ATTTTATTAATATATATTTAAAAAATCTTTAAAAAATTCATTAAATTAAAAAATATTAAAAAATATTTAAAATAATTATTATAAAATTAAAAAATTATTTTTAAAATATAATTTTTATAAAAAAAAATATAATATTTATAAAATATTATTTTATTTATTTTTAATTTATAAATTTTTTTACTATATTATAGTTAATAAATATTTTTATATTTATTATTTTAATAAAATTATAATTTATATAAATTTAAAATATATAAAATAAAATCTTAAATCTTTTTTATAATTTTTTTTAATAATATTATTTAATATAAAATTATTTAAAATATTAAAATATTTAATTTTTTAATTTTAATATATTTATTTAAATCTTAATATTATTCATCTTAATTTTAATATAATAATTAATTTTATAATAATTTTTTAACTATATTTAAAATATTTATTATTAATTAAGATTTTTTTTTATTAAATTTATATTTTTATAAAAATAAGATTAATATTTTTTATAAAATCTATTAAATAATAATTTTTTTTTATTTAATAAATTTTATAAATTATTTATATAATCTTAAAATAATTTATTATTTTTTATAAATCTATATTTTTTTAATATTTTTATTTTTTAAATATTTAATATTTTATAAAAATAAAATATTTAAATTAATTATTAAAAATCTAAATTTTATTATAAAATTATAAATATATTTTAATATTAATTATTTTTAAAATAATAATTTAAAAATATTTAATATAATTTTTATAAAAACTAAATTTATTTTTATTTAATTTTATATTTAATAATAATAAAATATTAGATTAAAATCTTATATTATTTTTTAAAAATCTTTTAAAATATTAAATAATTATTAAATATTTTATTAATATATTATATTTATTTATAAATAATTTTAAAATTTAGATTTTTTATTTTATTATTTATTTAATATTTTTTTTAAAAAAAAATTTAATATAATTATTTTAATATTTTTTAAGATTAAATTTAAATATATTTTACTTTTTAAAAATTTTATTTTCAAATAAATTAAATTATTTTATTAAATCTAAGTTTTTTATAATTTATATTTATATTTTTTTAAAAATAAATAATTAAATAAGATTACTTTTTAGATATATAAAAATCTTTTTTAAAATTTAAAAATTAATTTATATAAATTTTTTAGATTTTTAAGAATTTTTAAAAAATTTAGATTAATATAAAAAACTTTATAAAATCTTAATTAATTTTTTAATAAAAAAGATTATTTTTATACTTTTTTTAGAATATAAATTAAGGATTATTTAACTTTTTAGAATTATTTAATAATAAATATAGATTTATTATAATTATTTTGAATTATTTTTTTATTTTTTTTTATAATTTTAAGTTTTTATAAAAAAACTAAGATTTCTTTTCTTTATATAATTAAATAATTTTTTTTTAATTATTTTATAATAATATTATTATTAATATTCTTATTAAAAAAATTAATAATAAGTTTTCTTTTATTTTAGATAATTTTAATTATTTTAATAATAAATTAAATCTTTTTTATAATAAACTTAATTAATCTTAAAAAGATCTTTATTTATATTCTTTTAGATATTAGATATATTAAATTATTTAGTAAGAGATTTTTAATTATATATTAATTAATTATAATTAATTTAATTATAATTTTAATCTTTTCTTTTAATAATCTAAATTTAAGAAGAATAATTAAAATATAAGATTTAATCTTAAGAATAAATACTAAAAATTTATAAAAAATTAAGTTTAGAGTATTAAGATTAAAAATTATAATAATAAAGATCTAGGATCTTCTAAGATAATCTAAGAATAATCTAAAATATTCTTAGATAATATATAATAATATATAAAAATAGAATAAGAATTAATTATAATAGATTTATAAGATTAATTATTAGTTTTTAGTATTATTTTTAAAATTTATAATTAAATATTCTATATTATAATAGCTTATTAAGATTATTTATATATTTTTATTAAGATATAATTAATATATATAGAAAATTCTTTATAAACTATAATATAAATTAATAAGAATTATTTAAATTATAATATATTAATAAAAATAATTAAGATATTAATTTTTTTATAAAAAATAATATAAAAATAGATTTTTAATAAATTAAAAGATCTTAAAAAAATATAAAATAATAATAAAAAAAAAAGAGAAATATAATTAAAAAGTTTAATTATATATTTTTATAACTAAATTATTAAAAAAATATATAATATATAAATAAAACCTAAGATAATCTTTAAAAAAGATAAAGGATAATTATTAAGATAAAACTAAATAATATTAAATTAATATCTAAAAACTTAGATTAAGTTCTAAATAAGATAAACTTATTAAATAATATCTAATATATTTAAATCTAATAAATTAGATAAATTATAATAACTTAGTAACTAATACATTTTATAAAAATTATAATAGAATTTATAATTAGAAGTTAATAAGATATATAATAATACATTAATTTATTAATATTTTATTAGAATATATTATTTAATTAAGGGTTATTATTCTAATAAAATTATAATAAAAGAGGTAAATAGATATAATCCTGAAAGGATTATAATAAAGAGTGATTTTATTCTTAAAGGATATTTATAATATTAATTCTATCTATAATTAATTATAAAAAGATAGATTAATTCTAAGAAAAAAACATTAAGAATTAATCTTAAAATAAATTAACTATTACTTCTTATTTACCCTTTCTAATCTTTATATATAGGGATCTATAAGAAATCTATAGTTTATTAACTAAGATTTATAGTTTTAGCCCTTATGGGCCTTAGAACCTATAGGCTTTTATTTATAGATTATAGATTCTTTTCTTTATCTATATATAAGGATTTAAAATTATATATATTTAGTCTATCTTAGGTTTATTAGTAGATTTTTAATTTTATAAAGATCTAATAATCTATATCTCTATTAAATCCTATAAAATAAAAGAATCTTTATTATCTTTAGCTTAGAATCCTATAATAAATATAAGATTTCTTCTTTCTTTAAATAAGAGAGACTTAAACTAAATATTATTATATTGATATAATAATAGAGATTAATAGAAAAGAATATAATATTATAGTATAATATAATAAATAAGGAAGATATATATAAATATATATAATCTTAATAAAAGGAAGGGGAAGGGGTAAATAATAAGTCCTATATATTAATTATCAATTTATATTAGTAATGAGTATTAATAATTAGTTTTTAGAACTTCTTACTTTTAGCTAAAAAGTATTAAGTAGTAAGGAATCCTTCAATCTCACTATATATTATATATTATATATATAATACTAGTGATCACTAATTAATTTTAAGCGGTTGTAACCCCTTGATTCTAATACTAGATATCTACTATTAACTAAGGCTATGGTTGAAATAGCTAGTATGATTATATAGCCTTTAGATAAAGCCTTAACCTATAGCTAAGTAGCCTAAGCTTTACCCTGTTATACTATCCTCCTAACTATATATAATATATAGCCCTAAGTTCTAAGTTCTAACTAGCGCTATATAGTATACTATATATATAAAGGGCCGAGGCCTCTAGGAGCCTTGAGTCTTGACATAAACCCTAATTATTAATACTTAGTACCTAGTTACTACCTACCCTGGTTAACTTATTTTAGCCCTTTATAGATATACCCATATATCTTGTTGGTATAGTAACACCGATACTATAATAAGATATAAGCCTAAATCAGTAATTAAACCCATAACCTATTTGAAATTTCAATAACCCTAGCTTTAAAGTTAGATAGGCTAGACCAATAGTTATATTATAATAATATTTATTGGGTCTCGGTACTACTAGTACCTTTAGCTACCTAGTTTTCGGTACCTATATAAGTAATATTATACTAAAAGTATATAGTATATTATGATGAATCATTTATCCCTAATAGGCTAGGGCCGCTAGGCTGGTATTACTGTATTCTAGCATATGATTTCAAACTTGTATAATTATTTCCCATCCCCCATCTCTGCTTTCTAGAAGATCAACCACTTTTCTAACAGTCAGTATGCGACCCTATACTACTCACCAGGTTCACGCTTTTTATGGCCTAGTAATCATCACTATGATATTAGGCCTACTCATTTACTACACAATCTTGTCAATACCATATACTACCCATCATAGATATGATATTGTACGCAGAAATCTACCTGCGAGAAATGATGATTTCGCCGATGAATCCAAAAATTCATCCTCTATTATCAACCTCGGCGAGGATGAAAAAAAACCGTTACCCGTATGGCCCTGTCGTTCGACTCCTGACTGTCCCTGGAGCTTTATCTGCGACAACGAATTATGTATCAAGGGTTGTACCAGTGACCGGGATTGCGCAGTTAAGTCACAGTACTGTGGGAAGAATGGTCAGTGTATGGTTCGTTACCCTCCATTTCATCCAGGTGGAGACCAGGTGTGCCTAGATCGCTGGGAGGAGTGCTGGTTTACTGCTCAATGTTGCTCGGGTTGGTGTAGATTTATAACACTTCGCCCGGAACCACTTTGGCGATGTGATATCGGTGCACACTTCGACAAAAGGAACTTGTCTGATAGTCAAGTCCCCGTGTCATAGGGAGACTGGACCATATATGGTAAAGCCATCCCCCTTCACCATCCCAGTGGAAACTGATTTGCTATTTGAAGGCCGGGAGGAGTGCTGGTTCGTTGCTTAAAGTTAACTGAGTGGTGTAAATTTACATCATCTCTCTCAGTTATATTATGTGTGATATTTATGATTTGAAGAAAGGGAAAGAAGGGGGAAAAAAAAGCACTATGCGCTATACGTTGTTTTGATATGTATATAACAAAATTCCCATGACGGTTTTCATTTATTCTTGGCCACCACGACCATTTAACCAATACTCGCCCATTCGTAATCTGGAAACTGGTAAGGCAGACTTCCTTATATTCCAAAGTTGATTCTCATCAGATGATAGCTAGTCATCCGGATACTCATCACGCACATTACTAACAAATATCCGGTTGGTCTCATCCCACCGCTTGAAGTGCTTACCCGCGATTGTCGTGAGGCTTTGCGGCAGCTCCAGTATTTCAGGTAGAATAAGCTCGATATTCTCTTCCGCAACGTATCGCACACTTCGGTCCTCGACACTAGAACACACAAGTCAGTGGGGAGTCGATAAATGGGAGACCAAGTTAATAGCAAACCCACAGAACATGGTAGAAGCTTTGATGCCGGCCCGCTTGCAACCGATCAATCCCCATGCGCCGCATCCATGGCTCTCCAGCACCACACTCCGAGTCCCACCCAGTGATGATGGCCCGGTAATGGTAACGGCGATGTTGGAAAACCTGCCCGACCTTGTACCGGATGTTGTTATTCTCACCGGACCGTCGCCGGACCTGTTTTGGAATTTCATCCACCGCGCGCATGACATGAAGACTCTCCAAGATATGCTCATGCTCAAAGAGTCCACGAAAAAGCGGCACTATATGCTGTTCCACGAGGAAGATATCAGACGGAAAGTCGGTGGCGAACAGTTCCATTAACCAGGGCAATTGATGCCTTAGGTCCATGGGCCGAGAGTCTCCAGAAAGAAGCATTGACGACCATAGCGCAGCGTACCTAGCAGCCACCACATCCATCGAGGTTGCCGTGGTGTCCGGGGTATGAGAAATAGAGTCAATGGAGTTCAAGATATTTTTGCTGCAGCGTAAGACGATCTGGGAGGGTGATGATCCTCCTAGGAACTCCACCTGGTCGGCATCCGTGGCACCAAGAAAGGCCAGCTGATCACGTAGATCGGATACTGGAGTCTCCCGTGCCCCTCGAAATGGATCTAGATAAATAGGAGCACCGGGTTCTTCGCTGACCAGAGAATTTCCGTTCATGTCCAAGCCAATCGGCGGAGAGATGATGACGTGGACATGAAATGGAAATCCGCAGGGGCGGGCATTCATTCCCAACTGCTGTGCGACATAACAATAAATCACGGCCGATATCAGTGGTAAAGAATTATGACCGGGGCTTGCCAGGGCCAGCCCTAGGAAGTTATGCTCCAAGGAATGATAGGGCCGTCCTGACTCGATCCCTGTGAGGCCCTTATCCTGAAGCCAGGATGCGAGCAATAGAGCCTTCTCTCGGGGTCGCAGGCCATTAACATCAGGATGGGAAAGTGTAAATCGAGCGACAATCCCATCCAACATGCATTTGGCCTTTAGATCATCAGCGCCAGTTGAATTGCAGAACAGGAAGGGGATCCTACCTGATCCAAATCTCCAAACCCACTCTCTGGAATAAAAAGGTCAAAAGCTGCCAGAGCACGTTCGAGCACGACAGGTTCACCACGTCTGAGTTTGGCCCATTCGGGTACTGCGATACTTCGATGAAGGCAGGTCAAGAGCGCCCGTGCATAGTACCTTTAGTGTTTGAAACTCTGGTCAACCATACCCACTCACAAGAGAAGGAAAACAGAGGAGAATACTGGTCTCTCTCACCTTCTCGCCAAGGGATCCTCCCCAAATTCTACCCTGCTATGGTGGACAAGAGTGTCCTGAGCATCGACGCCAAAATCAATGACCGCGCGGAATTTCTCGATGCGCCCTGTTTGGCTAGCAAGAATACTATCTAGGAGTCGACAGACAGAGCGATCGATGTTAAATCTTAATATGAACAGTGATTTCCAATTGACCGATGATACGGGGTCAGCCAGCTTCCGAGAGATTCCATGCTGTTTACCCCAGGAGTTGAAATGGGTTTGGCAGTAGTGACGCCATAACAAAGGCTCGTTGGTCGCATTGCCAAATCGACGATTAACTTGCTCCAAGGCAGCTGCAGATTGTGGTGGAGAGGCGCGTAAGATTGAATGAAGGATTTCTTCTGGGAGGTGATTCAAAGACAGAACCATCCCTGTGTATGATTCAAGGTTTCTGGACTCGGTAGAGAAGGAACTTTGCAGCCGATCCTTTGAAAGGCAAAATGGGAGGAAGAATGAGAATGAGAATGAAAATGATCAAATGGATCCAATATCAGTTACATAGAGCGAAGTCAACGCCAGCGTTGGACCTTTGTTCGCCTTGGAGGTTAAGAGGGCATGAATCATGATATATGGGAAAGACAAGGGAATGCGGAGGGATTATGCCAAGCCCGAGAGAACTTGATCTTTACAATGTACCCCTCTACATAAATTGTATTGATTCTCAAGTACCCTCGCAGTCCTTTTTTTTTTTTTTTTTTTTTTTTTCTTTTTTCTTTTTTTCTTGTTTCTTCTCTCTTTCTTTTCTTTTCTTCTCCTTCTGAGACCCCGAATTTTCAAATGGGTCAATCTCAATCTACAGGCTCCAAGGCCTCTGAGCCACAGGGCAGCCAAAAAATAGATTATTATGAGCTGTTGGGGGTAACTCAAATGGCAACGGATGATGAGTGAGAGAAATGAAACCTTTACGATCAAAATCACACATATCTTGGCTAACTTGACATTTCTGTCTCGTCTCTCAGGATTAAGAAAGCATACCGCAGGAAGGCTCTTGAACTTCATCCCGATCGGAATTATGGAAATGTCGAGGAGGCCACCAGGCTGTTCGCCGAAATTCAATCCGCATATGAGGTTCTTGCCGATTCACAGGAGCGTGCTTGGTATGACTCTCACAGCGAGGCTTTCCTAGGAACCGAGGGAGGCTCTGATGGGGGTCCACAGTCGTATACAACAGCAGATGAGGTTCTTAAGGTTTTTTCGAAATTCAGCCCACGGATGGATTTCTCCGACCTCTCGACCGGTTTCTTTGGTGGTCTTCGAGAACAGTTCACCCAGTTGGCATTGGAAGAGCGACTAGTATGTCAACTGGAGGGTCAAAATATGGTGGAGTATCCGTCATTTGGGGGTCGTGATGACAACTTTGAGACTGTCGTCCGTCCGTTCTATGCCGCGTGGACTGGATTTTCCACCCGTAAATCGTTTGCTTGGAAGGATACCCATCGTTACTCCGAGGCACCAGATCGCAGGATACGACGGTTGATGGAAAAGGAGAATCGACACCTTCGAGAAGAAGGAATTCGCCAGTTCAATGACGCGGTTCGGTCATTAGTAGCCTTTGTCAAGAAACGGGACCCGCGATGCAAGGCGAATGCTCAAAGTGAGGCACAACGCCAAGAAACTCTTCGTCAGTCGGCAGCTGCCCAAGCGGCCCGCTCGCGAGCAATTAATCAGGCTAAGATGCGTGATCACGTTGTTCCGGAGTGGGCTCGGTCTGAAGAGCCCGGAGTCGAGGAAGAGGAGAGCTCTGGGAGTGAAATTGAAAATTTCGAGTGTGTCGCATGCAATAAAAACTTCAAAAGTCAGAAGCAGTTCGAAGCTCATGAACGGAGCAAAAAACATGTGAAGGCTGTCAAGCAGTTATGTTGGGAAATGCGTGCGCAAAACGAAGACCTGGATCTGGGGTCCAATATCCACCACTCCAGCGCAGCTCATGCTACAATCTCAAATGAAGACAATGACTCTGTCGCTTCGATCTCTCACGACGAGCAATCGGAAGTTCCAGTTGGTTTGAAGACCAAAAGAGACCAAGATATGGAACCCGTGATGACGCCCTCATCTGATTCGGAAAGTGACGTCCAACACCACCCATACTCCCATACAGACCCTCAGAACGTCTCTATAGGTACTGCTGATGATGAAGACTACGCTCCAAGGGAATCTATCCAAACGAGACTCTGCTCGGATGTTGATTTATCGCAGGACGGCTCCATGGCCCTACTGACTGAGCAGCTTTCCTCGTCTGGGATTGATAATCGACCTACTGCTGTCACCCCTCGGATAGGGAAGGCCAAGCAAAAACGGGCTAAGAAAGCTGCTCAGGGTGATGACCAAGCTTCGGGGATTCTGTGTGCAAACTGCTCTGCCACCTTCACTTCGAGAACCAAGTTATTTACTCATATCAAAGAAAACCCTACTCATGCCCAGCCGCTGAGTACTACCAAGAGTAGAAAGCGATGAAGGCAGTGCGTCTTCTTGGGGAACATATACCTTGGAGATTGAGGAAGTTCAGTCAAATGCGCCCCAAAGAAAGAAGTCCCCAGATTTTCTATTGATTTATATCTATGTTTAAATTAACGACATGATGGAATGGGAATCAAGAAGAAAAGAAGAAAAAGCCTCCCTAGCCTAGCCCTGCTCGTGAGTTCTTGACCACTTGAGCAACAGGCAATAGGATTCCTTTGTTATTAGAGGCTCCAAGAGCCGTGCCACTACTCCATCCCATCTTCTCCAGCATAGCCCGTCCTCGGTTACCCACGCCGATCTCTGGCGCGGATGCCCCAACTACATCGCCATCCATGTAAGAAACCGCACCGCCAGCGCCAGCGCCACTGCGCTTGGCTTTGGCTGGCCTGGAAGCATCCGGACCCCATGATTGGTACAGCCGACGATTCAACTTCCTTCCAGACAAAAGATTGTCAAACTGAGGAATGGTCTTGCGGGTATACTTCGGTGTGCGGGATGTTTTGAGAAGAACGGGGAAGCGAGTCAATCCATTTCCCCGGGACTGCGACTTCAAATTGACTTTGTTTGCCAACTCATGAATGGTCTTTCGTCGGTGTTTAGTCATGGGTGGTAGTGCCAAACTTTTTTGCCACTATTAGATAATTTCAAGTATTCTGGAAGGGGAGAGGAAATTGGGTACACACCTGGTTTTCGAGGACAGGAGAAACGTCCGAATCTCAGAGATCAAGTCCTCTAGGTCCATTCCTTTGGCGTACTTGACCTTTAAGTCAGGATCTGCGAACTTCCTGCCTAACAAGCCTTGTGAACGGAGCTCCTCTCGCTCCTGCTTCTTGGCCTTCTTCTTTTTGCGGTCCGCTTCCCATGTCTCTTCTCGTAGGATTTCCAAATCAATGCTATCTAAATCACTGTCGGGTAACAGGAGATCCTCGGGCAGACGTGTTTTTTTGCCTTTTGGTCTTTTCTGTAGGCTGGGCCGGTCAAAGTCCATGATGTCGAGACCATAGTAGGGGTCGGCATCAAGGGCATCCGCAAACGCTGTGGCTGATAGGAAAGCATGTTGCCCACGGCCACCCTTCTTCCCGGCGGAGTAAGAGATGGCCAGTTCTTCAAGTAGCCCCTCGTCGTCCATGTCGTCGTCCATGTCGTCCAGATCTTCGTCGGATTCATCAAGTGAATCTAGCTCGGCGTCATCGTCTTCTGATGTGCATGACGAGTCCGGTTCAGTGTCCAGGTACATTTTTGATAGCACTGTACGTGTGTTAGCACCACCAGCAGTTCGGGGGGGTGTTGAGTGGTGTGATAAAGGAGCCTTACCATCAATCGACCCTAGCACCTCAGCATCTTCAATTGGCTGAGAGTTGGGGCTATTCTGTTCCAGGTGGGAATCCGATATTTGAGTGTGAATGCTTTGAGAGCCCTCGGTGGCCAATTCCGATCCTAAAAGCGGGTTGCCAACCTCAATACCGCCTTCAGCTTCGGCATGTATTTGGGCATCTTGCTGGTCCTGGTCGTGCTCTGTATTGAAAATAGCATCTTCAAGTGTGTGGGTTTTCCCCTCTGGTAACTGGTTGTGTCTCTGTCGTGTCGGTTGTATGGTCTGGGTTTTAGCGACAGTTGGGTTGTCGGTGTGCTGCACGCCCTCTGGGCTAGCCGCGCTCCGGGTCATTTGGAAGTATTCTCGAAGCTCCTTCTCATCTGTTTCGATCATGATCGGCCTTCGACGTCCCATAAACACAACCTCATCTTCGCTGCCTTCGGTGTCGGATGAATCAATTTTCAGCGTTGGGTCTGGAAGGCCCGTATGCACAACTTCCTCCCCTGCGGTATCAAGAATGAATAATTCGTCACTGGCATCCTCTTTTGCATCTGGCGGCGCTTGATATTCCGGTTCTGCCACCTCCGATGGGGTTTCTTCTATCTGGCTCCCTTCTTCTTCCTCTATGTTCGATTCGGTTCGCTGCAGCTGTCCTGCACTCACAAATTGGACAGCTTTATGTCGAAGATTGCTATGTGACCAGCTGCGAGTGTGCGTCTCAGTATTTCGGGCCTCTTGTTGCATGGTAAATTGAGGTGGCGATGGTTCTTTTATATGGTCAGCCTTGGGGACTTTGCAAGTGTGTGTAGAGCGATAATGTTATACTTACTGGCCATTGCAGGAGCCCGTTTCATACGGGCCTTTGATTTACCATGGCGGGCCATGCTGGGGTGGGGGTTGACGGAAGGAGACAATATGAGGGAGAGAAAAAAAAAGCTGTAAGAAGGTTGCGAGTTGGAAAAGGACGCGATCGGGTGGGGGAGAAGGGGGCGGTGGAGAAAGTTCTGGACCACTGTATTATTGGTGTATGCCGTACAAAATACAGAGTACTATACATATAACTATCGTGTGCCGTGGACGTTATGTTGGTAAAGTAATATAAAATACATACATAATACATGAGTATATATAATACCAGATACGGTGTATCTGGAATGATATACTATCATAACTCAGCTATGAAGCTTTTGAAAATCAATTCATCATATATTTATATAAAGTACCTACATATGTAGGTATTTTCAAACCAAGATGACTGAAGTGAATCCCAAATAAATTGCATTCTTGCATTTATTCCATACAGATACAAGACAGTGACGTCAGTGATCTGCTTGGGTCTACTTGTGTTATTATGAGAGGAAATAGAAACATTCAGATATATATAAACCGAGTCTTTGAATAAATCAATAGATGACCACGGCTTTGACATATTCTTGCCTTCGTTCAATAGTTTTGGGACTTCTATTCAAATGTTGATGTCTTCCAGGGTTATATACCCTTGAGTCTAGCACTTGAGTGGCTTTGAGTTATCACGGGTGATCGTCCACATGGGCAAGATATATATTTATTGGTGGAGCCTCCTTTAACTCTTCCCCGCGACAGTATCTCTCCCCATTCCTCATCTGATACAACATCACCCACAACCTCGATACCTTCACTTCCCCCCTCTTCCTCCTCGAGGGATATCGCTAAAATGACAGGGGTGGATTTGGAAAAATGCAAGCGTATAGTACAATATTTCTGGGACCCCGAACCAAAGAATGACACCGCACCAGAGGCCGCAATCTGGTGTCTAGGTCAACAGTATCGACCCAGTCCCCTACAAGACTTTCACAACGATAGCACAGCAGGTATGTTCATGCCTTGGTTCTGAATGATAAGTGGTCTGGCCCTTTTGGCGGCAAAAGCCCCTCCCATCAAAGCTCCAGATGTCCCGCTAAATCCCGAACAGCCAATAATTCTACCACTGGGCAGTCCTCCGAAGTATCGCGAGATACAACTGGAAGCGCATGGCCCGAAGCCTTTTTGACGGACTTCGAATCGCGAATATGGATGACATACCGCTCTAACTTTCCTCCCATCCCACGTAGTCACTCCCCCGAAGCGACATCGTTGATGACACTCGGTGTGCGCATACGGACCCAGCTCATGGACTCGCAAGGTTTCACCTCGGATACAGGATGGGGCTGCATGATCCGATCTGGACAAAGCTTATTGGCAAATACACTCTGTATCCTGCTACTAGGTAGAGGTGAGAGGGATCTACTAGATATATACCACTTAGGGGCCCGCTAACATGTCTTTATAGAATGGCGAAGAGGTGACCAGCCAGGTGAAGAATCGAAGCTACTAGCGATGTTTGCCGACCACCCCGAGGCACCATTTTCAATACACCGATTTGTTCAATGTGGTGCGGTCTCATGTGGGAAATATCCCGGAGAATGGTTTGGTCCATCGGCAACTGCTCGGTGCATCCAGTATGTACTCAGCGGTCAAAATCATAGACACCGCTAACCCAAACCTGGTAGAATCCTGTCGACTGAGTGTAACGACCCTAAATTTGAGGTTTATGTGACCAATGATACGTCCGATGTTTACGAAGAGCAATTCACTCGACTCGCACGTAGGAAAACGGGGCAGTTCCAACCGACCCTAATCCTCCTTGGTCTACGCCTGGGAATTGAGCAAGTCACCTCAGTATACTGGGATGGGTTGCGAGCGGCTTTGAAATACCCCCAGTCTGTCGGAGTTGCAGGGTACGTTCCTTACCGCCTGACACCAGAGAAGAGCTGACCGTGACCGATACAAGTGGACGTCCCTCCGCATCGCACTACTTCGTGGGGGTTCAAGATTCTCATCTGTTCTTCCTTGATCCCCACACCACGCGCCCCACGCTTCCACAACACCAGTCTGAAGAGCCATACACCGCCGAGGAACTGGGAAGTTACCACACCCGCCGCCTGCGTCGCATTCACCTCAAAGATATGGATCCAAGTATGCTGATTGGGTTTTTGATCAAAGACGAGGCGGACTGGGCGGACTGGAAACATCGTGTGCAAACCAGTTCCGGGAAGCCGATAATTCATATTTTGACAGGAGAGACGCAACTGGATAAAGGGTATCAGGGGCCCGGTCGGAAGGCAGCTGTTGACGAGGTCGAGGCTTTGGATTCAGATGACATGGAGTGAATAAATCTGTAAACACAGGTAGCTGTAGGAAATGCAAGCAATGATCATGATTCCCAAATATGCGGGAAGCAAGAAGCAAACCGTGTATAAAAGAGTGAGGAAGGGAAAATTTGCGAAGAGAAAAAAAATATTTGAATGCAATTAAGCATTTGGAATTTCGCGTTCTAGTAAGGGGGAGGTTAAACCGTGTAACCGGCCCCAGACCCGAGTTATGTTACACCGCGCGCATCGAGCAGTAACCATCAGAAAAAGTCGCCCATTGGGGAAAAGAAAATCGAGACCATCCCATGACACATTAGAAAACCCGCAAAACACCCATAACCGACCGCCTCAGAGCCCATAAAAGATCAAGAGGCAGTAAAAACAAAAGCAATCCCGCAAGAAACAAAAAACCCAGAGCCCGCTTATTTGGCAGACGAAGAGTACTTGGTAACGGCCTTGGTACCCTCAGAGACGGCGTGCTTAGCCAGCTCACCGGGGAGGATCAAGCGAACGGAAGTCTGAATCTCTCGGCTGGAGATGGTGGACTTCTTGTTGTAGGCAGCAAGCTTGGAGGCCTCAGTGGCAACGCGCTCGAAGATGTCTGGAATGATGAGAAATTAGAGAATGAAAAAACAAAAACAAAAGAAAAGACGACACGCGTCAAAGGAGGAAGATAATAACATACCGTTGACGAAGGAGTTCAAGATCGACATAGCACGGGTGGAGATACCAGTGTCGGGGTGAACCTGCTTGAGGACTGAAGATGACAAAATATCAGTATTTGGAACGCGTTTTTGATTGCCAGATATACAAGTATCAACTCACCCTTGTAGATGTAGGAGGAGTAGGTCTCCTTGCGCGTCTTGCCGCGCTTCTTCTTCTCGCCAGTGCTAGCGGAAGTCTTCTTGCCAGCCTCCTTCTTCTCAGCGGGGGCCTTGCCACCAACGGGAGCCTTGCCGGCAGTGGAGGGCTTCTTCTCAGCAGCCTTAGGGGGAGCCATTTTTGATGATGGATGAAAGTTGAGGATGGAAAGAGTTGAAAAAGGTTGATGAAAGTAGATGGAGGGATGGGAGAGAGCAGAGTTGGAATAAGGAAAAAATAAGGGAACGCGGTGACGGAGGGGAACGCGGTCTTTATACTCGACCGCCAACGGGCGGTTGATCCTGGGAGTGCAGAAAAGGAGCCCGAATTTCAATACGGTATGGGGTGCGTATGATCTGTATGATTAAATCAGGACTAGACGCGTCTTTAGCTGTGGATTGGTGGGGATCCAGTCTGTAGATCACGCGGGTCATCTGTATGGGCTGGTAAGGCGGTAATATTACGACACTAGTCCATATCAGGTATGCCCGCCCTCCCGTGATCTTAATGCTGATTGGCTGATTCTTCTAAGCGAGTGCGTGATCTAGTGAGTCTCGTTGATACAATGCCAAACGTCACCCTCACCGCGTCCATATAAAGTCCGTCCGCTTCCTCCACGCCCCCTCTTCTTGGAAACCTTTACACCATCTCACGCTTCAACATCTACTTTCCATCCACTTTCATAACACCCTTTCTAAACCCAACCCTTTTCAAATTCTACAACCTTCAAAATGACTGGCGGAAAGTCTGGTGGCAAGGCTAGCGGTAGCAAGAACTCCCAGTCGTAAGTTGACTCTATACCAGCATTTTGTTTTGATACCCATTCATTTCCACGCGTCTTTGGACGCGAGAAACCAAAACATCTTCCACCCCAAATCACCTTTTCGCCCTCATTCGCGTATCATCTCTTTTTTCTCCACCTCTAACATACATTTGTTTTTCTAGCCGTTCTTCCAAGGCTGGTCTGGCCTTCCCTGTCGGTCGTGTCCACCGTCTGCTCCGCAAGGGCAACTACGCTCAGCGTGTCGGTGCCGGTGCCCCCGTCTACCTCGCCGCTGTTCTCGAGTACCTCGCTGCTGAGATCCTCGAGTTGGCTGGTAACGCCGCCCGTGATAACAAGAAGACCCGTATCATCCCCCGTCACTTGCAGCTTGCTATCCGCAACGATGAGGAGCTGAACAAGCTCCTGGGTCACGTCACCATCGCCCAGGGTGGTGTTCTCCCCAACATTCACCAGAGTATGTTACCCTTCACTCAACCCCCATGGTGGTCATACCATGTCTTTCACCAAGTACATCCAAAAAGCTAACTTGAAACCTCTAGACCTCCTCCCCAAGAAGACCCCCAAGGCCGCTAAGGGTAGCCAGGAGCTTTAGATGAAGTTCCTTTTGTTTCGCGGGTTTGATTTGTTTGTTTTCCGGCGTGGGTTGGTTCATTCACGATAATGGGGTTATGGGACGGGCACGTTATGGCTCTCTGCGTTTTCTTTCTTCAAGTTTCCTGGTTGTACATTATGCCTGCGGGCATGGAATGATACCGACGAACTCGAGCTAGTTCGATGGGATTTTCAGCTTTTATCTCCGATAGCCCAGGGGCGAATGCCCGAATCAATGAAAAGATTCTAGGTCCATCAGATATCATTCTCCTTTTCCTTTGTTTCCATTACTCGTTATAAGTACTCGTATTTCCCGACGTCTTCTTGAGTTATTTTCTTGACTTGATAAAGTTTCACTAAGATTGGTTGCAATCTGCGCCATATTTGTTTCGCTTGGTATAAATCAATAAAGAAATGGTTCATTGTGTTTTACAGATAAATACCCAGGATTCAATTTCTTTAAGAAAACAGGTCTCACTACTACTTAATCGAACGTTTAATCCATCAGTGCGCCGCCGGGGGAGCCGCATCTGCGCTAAATCAGTATACTAAATTCAAGATATTCAACAAGGGGACGGGGGTATGATCGAATCCACATACAGGGTAAAATACGGGCAGGCAGGTTTCGCTCCCATTTATTTCCTGTAGGCAATATCAGTACTGTATGCATTTATTGACGAATTCGGGAGAGACATACCTCCAGGGGCGGTCGGTGGGCGATAAGGATCTGGGTGTTTCCATTCTTGCAGTAGTTTTTCTGTTTCGCGTAGCAGAACCTATACCCATGTGAGCTAACCAAGATATAATCCACAATCGTAGGAGATTTCGTGGAGCCGTACCTGTTGCTGGCGAGGGTCACGAACGTCCTTGTTGGCATCGAACAAGGAACGAATGTAGACAGCCTGTCCACGCCACACTCGGCGGTCAACAGCCCAGTCCAGGGACTGCTTCAAGGACCGTCGATAAAGGGACCTACAATTGGTTAGTAGAGGAGGGGATATGAAGGATAGTGATGGCATTTGCGCCAGCGGTCGCGAGAGACTCACAAAGCGGCGGAGGCGGACATGATGTACGCCTTCAATTCGAGCACTAAAGAAAGGTTGGCAGGTCGGTAGGAATTGAACTTGTAGCAATCAATGAACCGGACAATAGCCGCGGTCAAACGCAAGAGATTGGAGGGAATTGATGATGCAGTGGGTTGACTATTCTGATGGAGCTCATTCGTTGCAAAAGTGCATGTTAGGTCGTTATGTTTCTCCCAAGCGCGTAAGAACATTACTCCGCTGCCGCCAAACTTCCGCATCTCGGCATTCGGGAGCCTTTGGCTTCGGCTACGTAACAGCATCTAGGGCGTGCGCTTTTTTCTTCTTTCCCTTCCCCTACTTTTCTCACTTCCCACCCCACTTCTTTGGCTATTGTGCCATCCTGTTCTCTGTCATTATCATTCAAGTTCCGTCTTTATACACAATGGCTGCTCGGTTTCCTCTTGCGCGCCTTTCGGCTCAGCGCTTAACAACTTTGACCCGGGCCACTCGCGGTCCCAGCCGGCTTCGCGCTGCCCAGAGCTTGTCCACTCTGACGCGATCCAATGTCACCACCCCTAGAGCTTCTGGTCTGCTGCAAGCTTCCTCAGGGTAACAACATCTTTTTCCTTTCTTCGGTAGCTGGGCGCAATGGCTGATGTAAAACAATCACAGGATCAATGTCTCGCGCAACCTTGCTCCCTTCGTGGGCTCCCAGATCCGCACCTATGGTGAGTTCGCCGCACTCCAATTGATTATTATCTACTGGCTTATGCATCATACTAATACTATTCGCATTAGCCGACAAAGTCGTGCAGGTTCCCCAGATGGCCGAATCGATCACCGAGGGTACCCTGAAACAATTTTCGAAACGTATGAAACTCACTCTCTCGTCGCAAGCTTCATTCTCATGGATATTGACTTGACTTGGGATCTAGAAATTGGCGACTTTGTTGAACGTGATGAGGAGATTGCCACTATTGAGACTGACAAGGTAAAATTCCTCGCTCTAAGCTTGCCGTCCATCCGCACATCTCTAACTTGACGTCTTTTACAATAGATTGATGTCTCGGTGAACGCCCCGGAATCCGGTACCATCAAGGAATTCCTTGTGAGCGAGGAGGATACCGTCACCGTCGGACAGGACCTGATCAGATTGGAGCTGGGTGACGCCCCTGCGGGTGGCAAGGAGGCCGCCCCCGAGAAGTCCCAAGAGCCAGCTGCTGAGAAGCCTAAGGAATCTGCTCCGGAGCCTGTGAAGCCCAAGGAGACCCAGGCTTCTAAGCCCGCTGCCCCGGAAAAGCCCAAGGAGACCCCCAAGGCTGAAACCTCCAAGCCTTCTGTCGGCAACCGTGAGGAGCGTCGTGTACGTGTTTCTAATGCGTTTGGTACATTTCCGGAACTTACGACTAATATTTCATGATATATTGCAGGTCAAGATGAACCGCATGCGTCTTCGCATTGCCGAGCGCCTGAAGCAATCTCAGAATACCGCTGCTTCTCTCACCACCTTCAACGAGGTTGACATGTCCTCCCTGATGGAGCTCCGCAAGCTTTACAAGGATGACGTGCTCAAGAAGACCGGTGTGAAGCTGGGCTTCATGAGCGCCTTCTCGCGCGCCTGTGTTTTGGCCATGAAGGACATCCCTGCCGTCAACGCCTCCATCGAAGGCCCTAACGGTGGTGACACCATTGTCTACCGTGACTATGTTGATATCAGTGTGGCCGTTGCTACTGAGAAGGGTCTGGTTACCCCTGTTGTCCGCAACACTGAGACCATGGATCTCGTTGGCATTGAGCAGTCTATCGCTGAACTGGGCAAGAAGGTAAGCACCTCTCTCTCTCTGGGGCAGTTAATCATTGATACATAACGCTAACGAAAGATACATAGGCTCGTGATAACAAGCTGACCATTGAGGATATGGCCGGTGGTACCTTCACCATCAGCAATGTAAGTCTACTCTTCCACGTTTTTCGCTTTAGCGGAGATTGATTGGATGATGTACTAATCTTGGACCAGGGTGGCGTTTTCGGATCTCTGATGGGTACCCCTATCATCAACTTGCCCCAGACCGGTGAGTCCCTCTGCTTACTCTTTTTCTCGGGTCTCAATCTAACATTCTCTTCTAGCCGTCCTGGGTCTCCACGCCATCAAGGACAAGCCAGTCGTCGTCAATGGCAAGATCGAAATCCGCCCGGTAGGTTTCCTCATCAACAACCCATATCACCCTATCTCTTGCAAGTAAGCTGACCATTAGTTGATAACAGATGATGTACCTGGCTCTCACTTACGATCACCGTCTGTTGGATGGTCGCGAGGCCGTTACTTTCCTCGTCAAGGTATGTCATTTGCCCTTTCCCCTTCTCCTCCCCTTTTAAGACGCCCACTGATTCCATGGCAGGTCAAGGAGTACATCGAGGACCCGCGGCGCATGCTGCTCGGGTAAATGACGTTGTCGTTACCCTTTCGGCTGTCTTGTGTTTGTTGTGCTTAGAGCAGCCATTTGGCATCTTGTGTAGATTACCCGTTTCAAATATAACTGCCCATTTCAAAACAGGCCATCTGCTGTTTTCCACCCCTTTTCTTTTTATTTTTCTTGTATGATATAGGGGGCTTCGTCGGCAACTTTATTTTCCTTGTGAGATCAGGGAGCGAACCCCTGAATGGATCGTTGGCCATGATCAATTATAGTGACCTGTGATCTTATGCAGGCGATGGTTGACTTGCGAGTGCTGGTACCGGTGCTCAAGCCCAGTAGAACATCGGATTCGCGTCTTGTCCCATAACGCATCGAATGGCCAAATTATTCGGGTTCTTGGAATGGCATCCCGGCGTCTTAGCTTTCCGTGATTTTCTGACCAGATTGCGGCCATTGATGTTCGTAGTCGATTGGATTTCAGCGCAGCCCAACTCGGGCCTTTAGAAGTTGTGTTTCCTCGGGGCTGAGTCCAAAAAGCTGGCCTCGCTCAAGCTGGAGGAGCACCGGAGCATCTAATGTGGTCATAAGGTCACGGAGAAAATCCATCACAATGGCCTTAAACTCCAGGAATGGATATTTTTGTGCCACCAATTTTGCCCGGTGGGGTTCTCTTATATCCGATATTTCACCGTCATATCTTTGCCGGATGCTCAACCATTTCGAACTCTGCGCAGGTTGGCTTGGGGCCCACGAACAAAGTTTGGATAGGTCCTCGGGGGATTGATTTCCTTCGTATTGGTTTTCCAGTAACGCTTGGACTATGAAACGGGCACCTGTGTCAAACCACCGTGTTTCTGAGACCTTTTCAGTTGCGGTGAGACAAAGATCCATGAATGCCATTCCTATGGTCGGTAGTCGCGGGTGGCTGGCGGAGTGACTGTCCCCCTCCGTCGTGTAATGCCGAAGCTGGTCCGCCACAGTGAGCAATTGCAATTTGATCGTTAGATCCTGGGGCAGTGGGACCTCTATGTGGCTTGATGCCAGCAACGACCGAAAGCCTGTAGCCGTCAGTGAGAACTGGCGCACATGTGCACGGAATTTCTTCACGAGTCAGTTTACCTTTCAGCGAGTCAACCTGCCAGTTCAGTGCATCTTCCTCGATAGCTTGGCCTTGAGTTCGCCTCTCAATGGCCACAAGGATGCTTTCAATTGCAAGACAGGTGAGATAGTCCAAAATCATAAAATCCACCTCCACCTGGGTATCCGAGAGGGCATGCATCATGACAGGAGCCTGAGTGTTGAGCTGGGAGGCACAGCTTGGGGGCTTCATGATCGAGGTAGCTATAGGAACATGGCTAAGCAGGAGAAGATGAGATTGTTTAAAACATTGAATGGGGTTGGTTTATCTTTTGTGGGGGGAGAAGAAAGTCAAGTGGTGGAGTTCGCCCCGCAAGTTCAAACATTTGAATTGGGCCGTTTTTGGCGCGTTCGGATCAATTGGTTTAACTAGTTTGCATATAATACACACCACATGATCATAATCCATGTATGAAGCTCAACTTTTTATTTCAAAGCTTTCAAATGCTGTTTGAATATTATGACCTTTACTGTTTTTCTATGTGTTTTTTTATTTTTTAATTTTTTAATTTTTTTTTTGTAATATATTCTTAGATATATATATACATATTTGTATAGTACTAGTACGTATATATGTCCCTCTCTCCTCATTATGGATATGCAGACTACCAGACATACAGTAAGTATATATATATATACTATTAGCCATATAAAACATACCAGTAAATATGTACATTTCTCAATGTATAACAGTTGAATATTCTATAGCAACATAATATGTTGAATAAGTAATATAATCACGTGGAGAGAGATGAGGAGAGCATGGCGTCACGATTCCCTTCTTATTCTAAACCACTTTGCTTCCTCACTTCCCTACATGTTGAATCGATTAACCAGAAAATCTAAACCTCTCAGACAATCAAGGGTATTGATAATGGCATGGTATTGTTCTGGGTCCACCAACACCGAGTTGATTGAGAACCTGTTCAAGGTTGATTTAATCAAAAATGAACGGGTCAAAGAAGCCATGATTGGTGTAAGTCAGCTGTAGCTCCCCACTCCTCCCCACATGAGACCCAACAGATAGAGAAGAAGAAGAAAAGAAGAAGAAAAGAAGAAGAAAATATATCTCATCAATCCTCGGTAGGTTGACCGGGCTCAATACTCTCCGTCACGGCCTTACTCAGACTCACCTCAGCCCATCGGACATGGGGCAACAATATCCGCTCCGCATATGCATGGTCACGCATGTGAATATCTCATTGATCACCTCCAACCTGGAGCCCATGTCCTGGATATTGGATCTGGTTCGGGTTATCTCACCCATGTCTTGGCCAACCTAGTGACTGGACCACCTGGCGTCTCGGAGCAGGGCCAAGTGATTGGTATTGACCATATTCCCGAGCTAGTGGAGCTGGCTCGCTCCAACATGAACAAATCCGAACAGGGCAGAGAACTCCAGGACTCGGGAAAGGTCAAATTTATCACGGGGGATGGACGCCTGGGATGGAAAGCCGATGCCCCATATGACGCCATTCACGTCGGTGCAGCAGCAGAGGAACTTCACCCGGTTCTAGTTGAGCAACTGCGAGCCCCAGGTAGACTCTTCATCCCCGTCGAGTCGGAGAACAATGGAAAGCCTGGTATCAGCGGAGGACAGTACATTTGGGTCGTCGACAAACGAGCCGATGGATCGGTCCACAAGGAAAAAGTCTTTCAGGTCAGCTACGTACCTTTGACCAACGCACCCCGTTCATAGCTATCATAGGACGCCCTTGATCGATCAATCGCCTTTGCGGATCCAAGGCCAACTGGTTTGAAACGAACGTTTCATGGGCTCTGGACACCAAGTCTAATAGGTCGTAACATCGAATATGTGGAAAACTGGGCGGTTACCTGGCGCAAAGAGCACTTTATGACCATTTGACGAGATTACAAATATCAAAGATTGATTCCTAGTCCTGGAAAGCCAGATTTGTCCACTTTGCTTATTATTTGAATCAAAATCATTTATGCTCCCCCATCAAAAAAAGAAAAAGAAAAGCTTAGAAAAGCTTAGAAAAGCTTCCGACATCAGAAATACTCCTAGAAACACCGCGGTGTGCGATAATGGTGATATAATTGAGGAACAATAACCAAATGAAGAATCAACGGAAGGGGAAGCCACCAGAGAACTTGAATTGTGGTCCACCCTGTTGAAAGAAGAACTGTTGACCACCACCACCCTGACCAAAGGGATTGCCTTGTTGGAAAGGGTTTCCTCGCTGAGACTCGGGATCATTTGGATCGTCTCCGTTATCATATCGAACCCGAAGTTCGGAATCAGAAAGAACTTCATAGGCTTCGTTGATGGATGCCATTTTCTTCTCTGCTACCTCCTTGGACACGCCCTGCGTGGCAGCCTTATCCGGATGGTTGATCTTGGTCAATTGGCGGTAAGCCCGTTTGATCGTTCGCTCGTCTGCATCCCGACTCACACCCAACACCTTATAATAATCTTTCTGCTTGGAGCGTTTCAAAAGCGCATGTGCCTTTTGCAGAAGCGACTGAATCTCTTGAGCGTGAGGGTGATGCTCCTTGGCAGTATTGAGAGTGCGCACTGCATCTTCGAATTGATCCTCATCGAGTTCCGATTGTGCTTGGTATAAAAGACCATGAAGCGAAAATGGGACCAACTGTAGAGATTCGGCGCAATAAGGTCCAGCCTTTTTAGCCATATTCATCTGAAAAGATTGGAATCAGTCTCCGGCTTTACCGACAATAGAGAGAGGGGGGAGGGAGGGAGGATGGGATGGGAATGGAGATGTATATACGAACCGAACGATAAGCCTCACAGGTTTTCTCAATCAGGAAAGTATAGAGTTTATCTGAGGCGGCTTGATGAATATGACCGGCCTCCCTTGCCTCCGCGACGTCCGCTTTGACGTCCTCGATCAGACCACTATCCTCGCCACTGCTGACCAGGAGCTTAACTGCGTTGCTCCACTTATGCGCTTCCAGTGCGGCATGGAGCTTTCCGAGAAGTTTCGACAACTGCTTCTCTCGTCGATAAAGGCGATTGCAGGGTTTCGAGTCAGGGTCGGTATGAAGACACCTGCGAATTTGAGTTAAACCCCGTTCGCTGTCACCAAGTGCGTAGAATAGCATTGCCGAAATCTGTAAATGAGGCTCCACCAATGAAGGGGAGATTTGTAAAACATGCGCGAGATCGCTGACACCTTCCTCCACTTCGCCTCTCTCAAAACGACAGTGTGCTCTGGTCTGTCGAAGAATCAAGTCTGTATTAGCCTTGAGAATCGCCACCCCAGCCTGTGTAATACAAGCCTCCCAGTCACCCTTCTGCTCAGCGATAACGGCCAATCCTGCAGCATCGCGTGCTTCTTCAAGCTCCTTGTAATCAGACGACGAGCGCTTTCCCGCGCGCTCAAGATCCTGAAGAGCCTCTTTCCAGTGCGCGCTTCGTGCCCGAAGGCGGGATCGCTGCAGCAATGCACTCTCAAAATCGGGTTTTAGTTCCAACACGCGATTGAAGTCTTCAGACGCCTGAGGATTCTTGCCAATAGACAGGTATGCCGCACCTCGCTGAAAGATTGTAATATAGTTGGTCGGATCGCGCAAGATGGCTTCATCGAAGTATACCAAGGCCTCACGAGGTGAGCCGCTGGCGAGGTGTGTTTTGGCAGAGGTGATAAGTTCGGAGAGCGGCGTGTCCGGGGGAATCTGTATGGCATAGCCAGTCGATAGACAAGCTAGGACAGCCGTGAGTGTTTCAAACGAAATGCGCATGATTGTTTTCCTCTTTGGGGGGGTTTTTTGGTTTTCTGGAGGGAGTCAAAAGTTTTCGAATTTACGGAGAAAGAGTGGACATGATCAATCGATAAAAGCAAAATGGAGGGAAGAGTTTCAAGGGCTAGTATATGCGAACGTTGTAGAAATGAGAATGAGATTCATGAGCCTTGGGGGTGGGGACGTGGACGGCGTGGCCTTTACATGTAATTTACATAAATTACATCCACTTACAATCACTCATCCCTTATCGTGATCTTTATCGTATCCCTTATCGCTTATCGGAAACCAGAGCAACTTTCGGAAAGCAGAAACGCTCACGAAACCACAATCTTTCTCTTTTTCTTTCTCTTCTTCTCTTTTCAAGAATGCTACAATGCGTTCGATTTATACGGCCAAGAATTGGTCTAAATCACATCTTAAGACGAACAGTGCATTCTGGTACGTTAAAAACACCCCTTCGCCTTCTCTGGCCCCGAACGCTAACCAAACTTAAGACTCCGGTCTATCTCAAGTGTTATTAACTAGAGCCCGATTGTTGGCCACCGAGTATGCGAATCTTACCGATAGACTGGCAGAGTCATTTGATGCCAAAGTTGCAAAGCGGGCTGGAGAGCTGGCACCGGTTACTTCTGCCTTGAAGGAATGGGATAATGCCAAGGATGTAGGTGGTCCATTCTTCCACCATTGCCATTACCAATTAACCGTGAACTGGGAGATCAATAGTCCATTCTCGAATTAAAATCTCTCCTGGAGGATCAGCAAACAGACGAGGAATTGCGCTCCCTCGCAACGGAGGATTTGGATACAACCAATGATGCTATGCCGGCCATATTGGATCGATTAAAGAAGTCGCTGATTCCCCGGCACCCATTTGCAGCACTTCCTTGCCTGATCGAGATTCGGCCCGGCGCGGGAGGCGATGAAGCGGGTCTTTTTGCGTATGAGATGCTACGCATGTATCTTTCATTCTGTTCCCGTCGAGGGCTCCGACCTACGATATTGAAGCAGGACGTGGAGGATGGCCCATCGGAGGATCGACTAAGTGAAGCCGTAATTGAAATTGAAGCAGAAGGCGCATATGATATTCTGCGAACGGAATCCGGGGTTCATCGCGTGCAAAGAGTGCCGGCCACAGAGACCAAAGGCCGTACCCATACCAGTGCTGTCAGTGTCATGGTCTTGCCAAGCTTTCCAGAATCTGGAAGTGGCATGGACAATGCTTTGAACTTTGAAGATCCAACGAGCGATTACTACATTGATCCGCAGGAAGTGCGCATAGAGAAAATGCGAGCCTCCGGTGCTGGTGGACAGCATGTGAACAAGACCGAATCTGCGATCCGGCTGACCCATTTCCCCACGGGTACCGTGGTTTCCATGCAGGATGAGCGGTCTCAACAGGCTAACCGCAGAAAAGCCTGGCAGGTTCTGCGGGCCAAGATCGCCGAAGCCCGCCAAGAGGCTCGAGAGCAGGAGCTGGTTGAGCTCCGACGAGGCGTTTTGGGTGGAGTGGCTCGCATGGGCCGTGGTGATAAGATCCGCACGTACAATTTCGGTCAGAGCCGTTGTACGGATCATCGTTGTGGTACCACAATCCACAACCTTGATTCAATCCTGGACGGGGGCGATGGCTTGGAAACGGTTATGGAGAACGTGCGTACTTGGATGGCAGAACGTGAGGTTGAGGCAATGGTGGCGGAGGATTTGGCCAAAACCAAGGCGAACAAGTAAAGAGCTCTATATGGGTTGTACAACAGCATACATATATGTAAATAATATAGCAAATGTCCCAATGTAAAATGTGTAATACATCATGGGTTTTATTTATATCAATGAAACAAGGGAATAATCCACCCCAACTAATCTAACCGTTAAATGTACTTTCGCTCAGGATCGACGAGATCCATCATTTCTATGGACTTTTCATACCTGTTTAAATCGGATTAGTGACACATTCAAACCAAGAATGACCTGTAGACACATGGAGACATAGATAGAGACATACATGGTAAACACAATGCCACCGCTCAGAATCAGTCGAGCCAGTCGAGGCACAGCACCAGACCAGAGAGTGAGGAAGCCTTCATTTTTGAAGATGCTGGCAGCACAAACGAAGCTGTTCTTGTAATGCTTACTAGCCTCAATGGATTGCATTCTTGTCTTGACGGTGTCAAGGGGTTGAGTCACATAACTAGCATGGTCTGTTAATAAAAGGAGAAAGAAGAAGCAGAGATTTGGCACGTACACTGTGATGATACCAGCGATTCCTCCAATGGCAAAGGTACTCAAGGTTCCTAACTTTTCTCCAGGAGCCACATAACCCTCTGCGAATTGCTTCAAGGTAGTATAGGCCGTGAAGCGTGTAGCCGAGTTAGCTGCCTGCCGCGCCGTAGTGGGTACAAAGCCTTGGAAAAAGCCCCGAATGCCCCTTTCTTGCCAAATGATACGACTTCCATGGAGAAAGCCATGCATGCGTGGCTTTGCTGCTTTTCGGTCATCAATCCTGAAAGATCACCTAAATCAGTCATGGCTTCTATGTGTAGGTCCGTGCAGAAAGTGAGAAGGAAGTACTCACAACTGGGTCTTGATGCTCTCGAACGGAGTGACCGCCAGAAGAGATTCGGTGAAGCCCGCACCAAACCCAGCCACAACTGTTCTTGGTCCCGAAATCTTGCCATTCTCATCCTGAAGGGCCGCTTTGATGGCGTCGAATGCAACAAATCCTGCCGGTTACCGCAAATGTCAGACGGGAAATATGGTCGAAGAATGCTTGGACGTACGGATTCCAGCCTTCAAAGAATTGCCAATAATGAGAGTAGTGCACCCCGCGTACCACTGCGAGCCGAACGGAGGCCATGGCAACTTCTGGCCGTCGGGGAGTCGGCGATTGAGCTGCGTGCGAGTCTTTGCGACTATATGTCAATTAGTTAAACGATTCTGGAAAATGGCAAAGTGCCATAATCATACACTCAGCTGGATATGTGATTGCTGCTGAAGGTTAGCTCTAGTTTTTTTGACACAGGCCGACGGAATCCCATACCAATCTCCACTGCTCCAGCCGAGGAGCCGGCAAGAATGGAGCGCAGGACACTAGGCTAGAGAATAGAACATTAGAATCAAAGGTGTCCAAGAAAAACAAAAGGCAGGGTAAGGGCAGACCTTGGCCTTTGGATCCTTGCTCGCTGTAGCCATTGCGATATCGGTGAAGTGAATTGAAGGTTGAACCTCGGGATTCGTAGATCTCCGTACGGTCTCCCGCAGCCCCACTGTATGCAATTTACTATGTCATCATATCTACTCATGTTAGATGCCAGTAGTTAGTAGATGATAATACGTACAAGTTTACAACTACTAGTACACATTAGAAAGAAAATTTCAGAGGGATTCTTTATCATTAACTAGATGCTCATTTAGTATCCGGCATCCAATTCTCCTCCAAAATGGTTTTTTGGTTGGTTTTCAGGGGTTTTTTTTTTCTTTTCTTTTCTGTTCGATAGCATGGTGTTTTTTTTTGCCGTGAAGTTCAAGGGGACGGACCACCAAGTCCATATGCTATGTGGATCAGAAATGAAGTCAGGGATGAAAACCGTAGTTTTCGAAGTCAATGTGTCTAGAGGGATGGGGAGAGGGAGGGAGAGAGGGAGGGAGAGAGGGACGGAGAGAAGGGCAAAAGGAAAAGACACAGATCTCTGAGAGGAAAGACAAGGTTGGAGGAGAGCAAGGAAGAGGGGAAAGGAGAGAAGAGAGATGGTGGGATGGCGTATTCAGAGAGACCTGAAGTTGTGTTGCTGTGTCGTGTGATAGAGTAAAGCGTGGCTCTTGGACAGGCAAGATAGACCAGAGAGGGTAGTAAAAAGGGAACCAGACCGGTAAAAGCCGTATCAACCAAACCTCCATCCACTCCAGAACGCCAAAATTGAACAAAAGATAGATCATGGAGAACGCCGATCGTGCAAAACCAATCGAAATGAAAACCATGGCGGTCGAGCGTATGTACAATATCACCACAGAAAGCGAGGGGTAAGGGGCATCACTGGGACTGGAGATGCATCACTCTCATGACTCAACCCACCATTCCAGCACCGTGGCAATGGAATGAGGTAGAAACATAAGAACCGAATGGGGGAAATTATGATACAGATGTCACACCAGTACGGTGTCTTCGTGACCAATAAACACAACTTAGGGGGTCCGCAATGGCGACGGGAGGTAGAAATGGCTTCGATGGCGGAAATCCGTCGGAGACCAGAAAACATGGAAGCAGAAGAACTGGGATCGAGACAAAAAAGGAGAGCAGAATAAAAGCACCACGATCATTGCATAGGGTCAACTCATGAGCATGAGGAAGGTGAAAAAAAAGAGTATGCCACGAGAGCGACCCAAGTTTGCAGAGTGACATCGTCTTAGGAACCGGGAGCTTGAGGATTAGCTCCGGATTGTCCAGGAGGAGCTACTCGGCTGGCATCACCAGGGCCACGGCGTGGACCCTGTCCGCGACCACCGCCACGATAGGAACCCCGACCGCGGTTATAATACTGCCCACCATTTGGGTGGTGACCATGATGGTTCTGACGACGAGGTTGGCGATCCCCATTGCCGGGATGCGAATCAGCAATTTGGGGCTGAGGGGGACCCGAAATGGGTCGAGGGATGTTCTCGGGTGAGTCATAGACATAAAGTTTCTTGTCAATGTTTTGAGGGATAGCTTTGATCTCGGTGCCTAGTTCTTGCTCAATCTTGTAAAGGTTGAAGCGGTCCTCCCAGTTGATAAGATTGATCGCGAGACCCAGGTGGCCAAAGCGACCAGAACGACCGATACGGTGCAAGTAAGTTTCCGCATTCTTCGGGAAATCAAAGTTGATAACAACGTTGACCGCTTGAATATCAATACCACGGGTCAGAAGATCCGAGCACACCAGATTACGACACACGCCATTGCGGAAATCATGAAAAACGCGATTGCGATGCTGTTGAAGCATGCGAGCATGCGAGTAAAAGCAGGAGTAGCCCAGCTCGGTGATCTTCTTTGCCAGGAGCTCCACGCGATTAGTCGAGTTGCAAAAAATGATTGACTGATTAATCTGAAGTTTTGAGAACAGAGTATTCAGACAGTGCACCTTTTGCTTCTCTTCAACGAAGGCATAATACTGCGTAATGCCGCGGAGGGTAAGCTCGTCCATGAGGTTGATCTCGTAAGGATTGCGCATATGCTTGTCCTTGAACGCCTTGACGATGAGTGGGAAGGTGGCACTGAAAAGCATGACCTGACGATCCTTGGGATGGAAGGACATCAGCTGCTCAATGACTGGCGTAAATTCAGGTGAGAGAAGCTTGTCGGCCTCATCCATCACGAAAGTTGGACATTCGGACAAATCCGCCACGCCTTTGCTAGCCAGGTCCAACACTCTGCCGGGAGTACCAACCAGAATGTGAACAGCGTCATTGAGTCGAATAATATCATCCATCAGGCCGGTTCCACCGGTGGTGACCATAACATTAATGCCCAGGTGTTTACCCAAGGTCTTACAGACTTGCGAAGTTTGGAGCGCCAGCTCTCGTGTGGGGACTAAAATCAAGGCTTGGGTCTTGGTGCTCTTAGGGTTGATGCGTTCAAGTGTGGGAATAACAAAGGCGGCTGTTTTACCGGTGCCGTTCTTTGCTCGGGCTAGAATGTCTCGGCCAGTGAGAGCAACCGGAATGGTCTCTTCTTGAATGGGAGAAGGTTTTTCGAAACCGGCTTCAAAGATGCCCATCATGAGTTCACGCTTAATGTAAAAGTCCTCAAATTCGAGGCCCTTGGTGGCAGTGACATCCTGGCTGGAAAGTTAGCATTGCTCTCGATCCTGAAGGGTGCGAGGCTAAACGAACCTCGGTTTGTGGTCGAGAATCTTTCGGGGGAAGTTTCAATGAATCTTGTAGCTTTGGTTCTGAGTTCCCGTCACTACCAACAGAGTTAGAGTTGCACGACAAAAGAAATAGAAAACAAATTCGTAAGGGTTATTCGTTTTACCTCAGGTGGGTATTGTGCATTTGGGAGGGACGGCCGTCAGCCATGGTGAGAGATGGGTATCAAGAGGGACGATAAGTTAGAAAATAAGGAATCGACCCGTCAAGAGATCAAATGGTGGGTAAATGGATGGTGATCGAGCGAAAGATAGTTTGGGTGTTTTTTTTTTCGTGACGCGCCAGCAGGTTGGGGTATTGGCGTGGGTGAAATATTGTCGCTTCACGTTATCGGTGGGTAGAAGTGTAGTATTTGATCGGCGAAACGTAAGCTCTCAAAATCGATAAGGATTCAATTTCCTTGTTCAAGAACTTTCTAGGTAGCCCGACTGAGAAAGATGTTGAGATAAGTTAGGGTGTGTGGGGGTTTAGGGTCCCGCGATTGATCAGAGGGGTATTTTGAGTTGAAGAAAAGTCAAATCGGATGCCCAATGAGTAATGACGAAGTATGGGATCAAATGGTGAGATTTTTGGGCCAAAGATGAGCGAGGACTGATTATGGAGGGATGGGAGAGTGCGGCAAGTGAAAGGGATTGGAGACGGAAGAAGTCGAAGTTGAGTGGGAAAGACAAACGGCCTAGTCCCGCCGAGCCACGTGACCCTGTGGTTCAACTATGCTACATACTAAGTAAAATAGTAAGAACTGGATTATTTTACAAGATGGCAGAAGGTCAAAGAAGGCCGAATGAAAAGAAAAAGATATCAGAAGAAATGAGAAGAAAACAATTCAGATAATATTTGGGGTATTGAGGGTACAAATGATTCCATGAATAGCAAATTAGCGTCATATTTGATCACCTTCCTTGGAAGGGAAGGGTGGTCTGTCCACGTTCTGGTTCAGCAAGCTCTTTAACTCGGACATCGTCGGCGATCGTAATATCGTTTTTGCTTCCAGGTGTAATCAAGATGAACTGTCGCCCAATGGAACGTCGAGCAGCCATCAACTTGATCGGAAGGTTAGTACACGGCTCAGCACGGTTTCCAGGAACAAGAAAGGAAAAGAAAAAGATAGAACATACAAGCATATCGATGGACATTTTACGGTTGATGTGGTCCATGTACACGTCACTATGTCACTAGGTAAGTAATTGAATCCAGCATAAATCCAGATAGGGTGACAAACAATTCATCCAGACAGCGGATAGGGGACCCCATGGCTTCCCAGAGGGCGAGCAACAGACAGACCTGCGAGAAAGATTTCTCACCCCCAGAGAGGGTTTTGGCCCCGCGACCCGTACTATCACCTTTAGTAATATCTGGTTCCACCTAGACCATAGAATTAGCTAGCAGGACACCCTTTTTTATCACCATTCGCAACGTACTTCAAGATCCAACACTTTGTTGACATGGTCGACATTTAGCCGGCCTCGGAAACTTCTCTCACTCAGTAGATAAGTGAATTGTGCCTTTGCCCGAGAGCAAATCAAGGATCGGAACATCCCCCATCTCTTTTTCCGATCGTGAAGGGTCTTCTTCAATTGCTATAAACCAGTCAGCTAAGAGTTCCAAAGATCCACAGGATGCCAGTCTGTACTTGGGCGATAGCTTCATGCTCGTCAATCTGCTTCTTAGCTTGTTGATAAACCGCTTCTGTCTTTCCAGCTTCTGCGGCAATTTCATCCCGTGACGCGCCCAGCCTAATAAGAAAATATTAGTAACTAAAAAAAAAAAAGGACAGATAGGAAGCGCGTACTGTTGGGTGTATCGCCTCATGTCACTCTGCAGCCTGTCGAGCTTGAGATCAAGGCTGTCGGCGGTTTCGCCTTCGTCGATCGGAACCCTCACGGAGACATTGGAGGCTTCCTGAGTATAGTTCAGTACTCGCGCCTCAACCTCCACTTGTTTCTTCTGACAATTGGCTCTCTCTGCTCTCTGCCTCGCAATTTCTGCAATGGCAGCATCTTTCTCACTGGAAAGCTCTTCTCTTTTGTTTCTCACGACAGACCGCTCACTGTCTGCAACACGGACGTTTTCATCTAGAACATCAATTTTCCGACCCTGGGCCGCCTTCTCTTTCATGATATCCCTGAGTCGTTGCATAATACTCTCATAGTTTGCCTCGCCGTCTTTTAAAGACCCTTCTTGAAGTGACTTATCTGCTTCTGCCTCCTGTAGAAGAGTCTGGAGGGCATCTATACGCCCATCTTCTCCGGCCTTTTCTTTATCGAGCTCATCCCGGCGAGCCTCGGAATAATCTTCCATTCTCTGCATAGTCAAGTTCAGATCATGTTTTGTTTTTGCATGTTGAGCAAGCGCCTGGGTGCAGATCTTGACATGGGCGAGAGCAGCCTGAAGTTCTTTGTCCAAAGCCTCTAGCTGACGCTTGAGATCCAGGACAACTTCTTCCTGGACCCTGGTAAATCAAATACATATTTAGTGAAATGGGCGTCTGATAGGTTAGAGCAATAGATCCGTACCTGATTTGCTGCGCCGCGTCGGATTTCATCCGTGGGTTACCGGAATATTTCGCAACAGGAGCCTGACTAGGATCACCGGAGCGATTGTATGAGAGGTGATGCCCTCTACGTCTATCCCTTTCATCAATACAGTAGCATCGTCTCACATTCCTTGGCCTTTCGCGGTCGAAAAGAGTCGCAGAAGCCTCTTCAAGGTTTTCAATGAGTAGCATTTGTTCTACAGCATGATTGATAATCAGCTGTCGCCGGACCGTCGGGTGGTCAATCTGAGCAGAGAATTTAGTACAACGTGACGGAATATAATCAGAGCTACTCCCTACCTCCAGTACTCTCAAAGCCGTGTCGTATTTACTGTCAGGTTCAGTTGTAGATGTATCAAGATCACCGCCACCTCCAATCAGAATTGGGCACACGCTATGTTGAAGTTTGTTAAAATAGACCCAGCGAAACATGGCGAGTAGAAACGATTATTGAGACTCACCAACCCTCTCGACGCATGATGTTCGAAAGTGTATTCTGATCACGCTTCGAGGTGACGATGAAACTGCTAAGAGTATTACCAAAGGAAGTCTCAAGGATGGATGACCACTTGGCCTGAAGTAAAGTGATGTGATCGCCGACGGGGCCAATGGGCGTCATGCCCCATGATTTTTCTTTCAGTATGGCTCGTTTGAGAGTCGGCATTTTTTCATGAAATCCATTTTGCCTAGGGCCATTCTCTCTGCGGAGATTGCCCAGACGTCCCTCTGCTTCCTTGTAATCTTTTTTTTTGGCTTCATAGGCTTCCTTGGCCACTTCCACCTTCCTATCAGCCTCCTGACTTGCCTCCTGCAAGGCGCGTTGACCTCCACAGTGGGCATCATATTCTTGGCGAGCGACAGTTGCACGATCCGCTGCCTGCTGGCGCTCCTCCTGCCTGCGGGCATAACCTCCATTGCTCACTTCAGCTAGGCGTTGGATTTCGGCCTCAACGTTCTGCTGTGCTTTCGCGACGCTATTCTCCGCTGCTTGAAGATGTCCTTTAATATCGCGCAGTTCGGTCTACTAGAAGTTAGGAGGGCTGCCATCCTCATATAATAATGCTCCGGAGAGAGGCCTGGCAGTTTGCATACCTGAGCTTCCGTTCGTTTTGATCTTTCTTCCTCGAATCTTTTGTCGATTGTAATCTTTTCTTCTCGTGCTCCCTCGAGTACTCTCGCAGCCTCCAGGGCATGTTCCGCGGCCGTTTCAATCTCGTTATCGATGGCTTCAAATCTGGGATCAAAATCCCCGAGCGCGCCGTCTGCCCTGGCGATCTGCTCATCTGCTTTTGCGAGTTCTCTGACTAGAGACTCCAGAAGCTGCTACGTGTAAGCAAAGGCAAAAGCGAAAGGCAATGACAAAAATGACAGCAAACTCACTTGTTCTTGTTCCTCAACCTGAGCCCAGGCCATTTGATAGCTTAAATTTCTGATGCGCTCTCGCAGAGAATCGTGCTGATCGGAAATTTCCAACTTTTTCTTTGCAGCAATCTTTCGGTTTTCTAAGATTGAGATATCCTGCTTTGTACTTCGCATTTTCTCTTCCATCTGATCGACAGATTCCTCGATCAACCGATAATCCTGGTCGAGTTGCTCCAGTTGCACACCTTTGACGAAAAATTTGTATTTCTCTGATGGGCTAGATGTACTCAGGAACTGGCGAGCGGCGTCTTGGGATAACACATTCATGGGATTGTCAATTTGAAGAGAAAAGTAATCAGTAATCGAATCCAACTCGGCCTTTTTAGTTGAAATGATGTGACCATTTCCAGCTTTGATTTTGAATCCACTGGATCCATTTCTGTGGAAATGACGCTCAACAATGATTGATTCCCCAAAAACCTCTGGCCGATATGCACCATCTCCTTGGTTCTTGATTCGCACGATGATATTGGAATTATCTTTGCCCTCTTTGATGAAGTTCTTTAGACTTTGTCCACGGTTGGTTGCAGACGCTTTACCACCCAAGCAGAGTGTTAATGCTGTGAGAATCGCACTTTTGCCGCTTCCATTCTTGCCAGTGACAAAATTGATAAGGGGTCCCAATTCTACCGAAAAGTGTTCATGGCACATGAAATTGAAACAATCCACACGTTCGAGGATTCCGTGATCTGACGGTATGTTTATTTCATTGAGAGCATGGGCATATTTCTCTTGGATTCTTTGGGTCTGACGATGTTCCAGTTCATCATCATCCAACATTTCATCCTCAGCTAGAAGTGAGGGGTGGGCGCTCAAATCTCGATCACTGGGCTCATCATCTTGCTCTGATGGTGAGTTCGATGTGCGGGGTCGTTTTCTCTATCCTCTTTGTCAGTCTACCTATTATTCATAATTTTCAAAGCCAACAGTCAGAGCTGACCGGTTGGTGAGGGTCGACCGATCCTGCGCTTTCTGATCCATTATCACTTTGATCTTCATCGGACTGCAAGGATTCCTGGCCACGTTTAACGGATGACATGATGGTAAACGAGTGTGTGGTTTTAGAGGAGGAAGAGAAAGACAGAGAAGAGCGGAAGAAAGAGTAAATCAGTGCATGGTGTAGAAACTAGAAACTGCAGTTTATCTGGCGATGGCTTTCAGTTGGGGTCATCAAAGAATCAAAGAATCACCCAAATTAGAAACCCGCGTCGCGCTCTTTCGCGTCACCCGGCTGAGTCAGCGGGGGTAGTAAATTGCCCTTTTAACTATCTAGTAACTAGTTAACTACTATACGTACATAGTACTAGTTATTACTTAGTATTCATACATAGTCATGCTTTATTTATGTACTACCAAGTACCACGTATACATACTCAAACATACTAACATCTGTGCAAGAAATATCTAGCCATTTGAGAAATGAAATTAAATATGAGCAAAAGAGGTCTTATAACCGCTCCTGTTTAGAGATATCTGCGGCGTGTAAATCATTTGTGATTTCCATTGATCTTTCTACAATCGGCATCAAACCCATTTAAGCCAAGGCAGGCTCCTCAGCCACGTAGTGCAGATAAGCACCCAGAAGCTTGGTTCCTTCGATATAGTTACGACGATCCAGCTTCTCGTTGACCGAATGGGCAGCGTCAGTGGAGCTTCCCATAGGCAGAAGTAGCACATTCTTTCCAGTGGCTTGCTCAAAGGTCAAGGTCACCGGAATGCTGTCGTGTGGGATTAAAGTTAGCTTCAATGTTATACACAATGAACATATTCAAGAATTATAATCGACTCACCTTCCACCTTCACGAGTCATGTCTGGGGCAACACCAAAGACTTGTTCCACAGCCTTGCTGGCGGCGCTGAAGTTCCAGTGCTTCGGGCTGGCAACCCACCACTTGCCGTCATGCTGCAGCCACACATCCAGCTTGTTCTTGCTGTTGAGCTTGGCAAATTCCGATTTAATGTGGTCAAAGACCAGCTTATTGACGTCCGCACTCTCCATGTTCGGCACAGTTCGGATGGAGAACTTGCCAATCACCTTGGCAGGGATGACGGTCTTTGCTCCCGGAGCAGAATAAGCACCCTCAACACCATGGATAGACAGGGAGGGGAACCTCCAGCGGGCCATCAGGGTCCGCTCCTTGGTCGGATGAATGCCAGTCTCACTTCCCAGCGATTCGTGGAGGTTGTCCATAGTGTAGCTGATGTCACCGTACAGAGACATCTCCTCCTCAGTAACGGGAGCCACCAGATCCATAAGTCCGGGAATGAGAATGTTGCCTTGAGAATCTACCAGCTTCGACAGAACGTTCACCAGGTCGGTCATGGGTTCGTGAGCAGAGCCGCCAAACACACCACTGTGGAGATCTTGGGCAGGGCCCGAGATGCTGATAGAGTAGTAGTTGCATCCGCGCAGGCCATATGTCAGACAGGGCTTCTCAGTGCCCAGCCAGTAGTTATCAGAGATGCAGACTGCATCGGTGTCCTTGAAGTACTGCTTGGCTTCCGCTTGAATAAAATCATCCAAACCTTCGGAGCCATACTCCTCCATACCCTCAAAGCAGCAGAGCAGGTTGACGGGTAGCTCCATGCCGGCCTTCCGGTGAGCATCAATCACGTTGAGCCAACCGAGCACAGGACCCTTGTCGTCTGTGGAACCACGGCCGTACATGCGATCCTGATCATCGATGGTCAACTCAAAAGGCTCGGTGGCCCAGCCATCCTCCTTGAGAGCCGGTTGCACATCGTAGTGGCCGTAGACTAGAATGGTGCGCTTGTTCTTGTCATTGCCATACCGCGCAATGACGACGGGGGGAAGATCGAGGTGTTCCTTGCCAGGCTGCTTGCCCAGCGGCCGTTGGTGCACTTCGGCACCTAAAGCCTCTAGCTCGGTAGCCAAAAACTGAGCCATCTTTTGATACCAGTCCCATCAGTTCATGTTCTGAGTACCAAGTGAGGGGAATGACATGATCAACTCACGCGGAAAACATCCTTTCGGTTTTCATCTTGAGCAGAGACCGAGGGGATTGCAACAGCCTTGCGCAGACCTGTACAGGATCGTTAGCCATATCATTCTTGGACATCTGAAAAGCTGTGACCAAAGGTAGAGAAGGGGGAAAAAATCCCCTCTCCCAATCAGAGTCACAAAGCTTCGATGATCCGATTACGCACGATCAATGAAGCTCTCTGCCGAATTGTCGACCCTAGAACGTACATGTTAAATTTTTTGGCGGTTCTTTTTCTCTGAGCAAAAACCTTTAACATACTGCTTGAAGAAGGGCTCCAGCTGGGGTGCCATTTTGGAGTCACTGATGTACCCGTAAAAAAAGCGACGAGAGGTGAGGGGAGTAGAATGGGAAAACCGGGAGAGAAATTGCCCAGGTTTGACGAGAGATGGGATTCGATGGAGGGGAAAGAGGGGCATTGCAGAGAAGAAAGCCGTTGTCTCTTTATCACGTAATTAGCCTTGCAGCACCACCACTGGGGATTTTGGCTTGTGCCGGCTATAGCCGCCTATCACAGTTGTGGTGATTAATTATTATTATTTGGTCCCATGGGTTTGCAGGGGAAAAAAAACACCCTTATCTAGCGACCGTGCCCGGCTGTCTATTGGATCCTTGAATACAAGATATACTAGTAAATAAACATGTACGCATATCAATACATATATAAAATACATATTAGTACTTCCAATTTCAATGTTGAATTTTATGTAACATGTTATTCCGTACGCCTTTTCTCCAGTATAGCTTTCGGTCATATTGAATTCTACTGTTTACCTTCACCATTCAAGGCAATTTTTTGACAGTTGACCCACTATTGGCCTTTTTCAGTGTACCAATCAATAGCCAGATCGGTTTCTTAAAAAAAAAAAAAAAACAAAAAGATCGATCTTCTTAAGAAGAAAAAAAAATCTTCAAAAAGTGAATCCAAATAGTACATTGGTGAAGACTGGTATGGAAATGAAAACATATGATGACAAATGCTAGTATAGAATACATGGGCGTTTTTTACACAAGAGGCACGCATGGTTAGGTGTTCAGACACCCACCCACACCACCATCTCCACCTTTGGCCGGATTCCAACTAGGAAACCCATAAGACCAGGCCAGAAAATAATAAGATAAGACAGTAACACAAGTAGATCAAAAAAAAAAGACAAAAAAACCAAGAACCGAATCGAGTTAAATCACTCATCACGACCCCAGGCTTCCCGGCGGAGTTGTCGGTCCTCCCTGGCCATCCGTCGCTTTGGTCCCCATCGTGATTGAACCGCTTCTAGAACTTGCTTTTGAATTTGCTTCTTCTCGGGACTAGCCTCACAGGCAATGGCAATGAAGAGAGGCGAGCACTCAAAGCGCTTGGCCAGCTTGTGTCGGCTCCATGTCATCGGGTCGCTCAATCGGAGTTTGCGAATTTCTTCAATGTCGGAGGGAGTCAGGTGGTATTTGGCCTCGTCATTGATTTTGTGCACATTGGGGAGATTGGTGGCATTGAAGCTTGCAGGTGTTTCGGAACGCATCGTTCTTCGGGCGTCATTGGCAGGTAAGAATTTGTTAGGGGTGTGGTAGACCGAGGGGGCGCTTGATGGTGGATTGTAGATGATGTGATCACGGCCTTGGTGTGAAGGGCCAAAGGAGGCATCTGGCTTGACACGAAGGCGTTGCTTGGTGCGTCGGTAGGAGGATTGATGGCGCCGGGACCCTAAAGCGAGGGCATCTGTGCAGGAAGGGAGCAGGAATGGCAGGGTGACAAACGGCCGCTTCGGGACCACAAGAGAGGTTGCCATAGTACACGTGCACAGGAGAACCTTGAGAGCAAAGGACACGAAGTTTATCAAGTACGCTCCGGAGGGGTGGGGTGGAAATGGAGATGGCGTAGGGATTGGAGCACTTCGTAAGGACCTGGCGACTGGGGACGTGTTTCGACTCCCGAACTTTTTTTCGGTGGTCTCGTGACTCGAACTGGGGCTTAGTCTTGGCAAGAAACAAAAAGTTCGAGTATGGCAGTTACGGATACTTACAGTACCCATCTCGATAGAAACAATGTAAATTGGAAATCTAAATACATAAATGGCCATACAGCATTGTAGGAAGTCTCACCATTGATTACTACAGCTATGTATTACAATAAGTAAATGCAGGCAATATAATAATTACATTACGGGTGGCGTCGGGGGGAAGTACCTGATACATACGATTAGGCTGAGGGCCAACATTAAATGGTGTACCCGGTACTCGCCCCATCATCACATCCCGTTGATCACCTGGCACAGGATGTCATCATCTCCTGGGCAGAAAAGTGAGATGATAAACCACATCCCCCCCCTTTTCTGGACTTATCTCAGAACCTTCTCCCACCCTTTTCGTGCCCTTTCTTAATACCCCTGAGAGCCCTGCCCCGTATACAGTATACAGACCGTGTCAGGTCATGGCCGACAAGCTCTAGAAATATTTGTGCCGCGGTTTGTTCTCAACTTCATTTCACTTCCAGAGTTCGGACTTGACCGCTTGTCCATCATGTCGGATCGTCAGGCCCCGTTACCTGGTACACTGGATACTCAGTCACAACCGCCTCGATCGGTGCCATTGTATCCAGATACCGAGTCGCCAAACACTGCTGATAAGAGCTCGACCATACCTGGAAAGGCCGAGTCAAATGTACGCCCCAGACCACCGCATCTAACTTGGAGCCAACGACGGGAAGTTGGAAATGATCAATCTGCAGAAGATCTTGCTACAGAAATGGGATTTTCAAGCAGTGGACCCGTGTCGCCGGTATCACCTATCAGCTCCTCCGAAGTACTGCGAACGCCAAATCATGTATCAGATCGACCAAAGTACTCATCGTATAAGCATCCTTCACCCCCCGGTGCTGCCTCGCCATTACATAACCGTCTCCATTCCCCTGCATCTCAAATATTCGAGCGGGACGTGCAGGAGGACATTTTGCCATCCCAGGCCTCGCCATCGATTCCTGCGCATATTCGCACAGATAACTATATTCCACCGGTACTCGAAGCTTCCTCCGCCGCCATCACAGATGAACAATTGGATCCAGATTCAGTCGAGATTGTCACCCATAGTCTTCACCAACCTGCGGCTGCGGGAGTTACTGGTCCATCCACCGCGGAACAGTCTTTGGCTTCATCGGGTATCGTTGATCACATCGGTACACACTCGACCGAAGCTGACGATGTTTCTTCGGCCTATGGTGTCTCGGATACCAATGATGTACGGCGTTTGAGTTTCATCTCCTTTGCAGATGTAGTCAACGCCGAGCATGCGGAAACGGGTGAAAATATGTATGGTCGAGAGCTCTCCCAGGGAACCGCAACCACCGGGAGTTCCTTTGCAGCTGGATTGCAGAACCGTTCCCCATCTCCACTCCGTTCCCCTACCTCCTCACATGGGCTTGGTACGTCTCCTCCCACGAGTATTGCTACTTCTTACCAAGGATTGGACATGCTACCTAGCCAAGGACCTCGAGTTCCAGCCTGTCCGTTCACAATGGCACACAGTCCAGTCTCTTCCAGTTTTGGGGGAGAATTGAACGTGGAAACTATGCGTCAGGCTCTACGAAGAACGGCAAGTGGGGAGCTGGGAGGTGTTGCAAGCCAGACAGCCAGTAATTTTGACCACGATGAGCCTTTGGATCGGTCGTTCTAGCTTCGCGTGACCCTTAATCCCTCTCTTCTCCTCTCTTAGTCTCTTCCCCTTTTCTTACTATCTTTTTGAGAGATCGTCGTTGTATGTTCTGGAGAGGACATTCTTTCTCGTCCTGTGTTTCTTTTCTTTCTTTTTGCCAGAATTTTCACCAATTGCCAATACACTTGACCGCTTGGTGCTGGTAATTCTTCCAAAACATCGGGTTTCTGTGAGACAACGATGGTTCTTGATCTCGTTACATATGTCAATGGAGCTGGATATCCTTGATGACCAATTGTGTTTACATTTGACCGCTTTTGATACCATTGTATATACCCCATTCCGGAATATTGTCTACCCATTTTGCATTCTGTTGTGTAGTACTATAGTGTTTCATTGACAGACATTTCAGTAAATGTTGCGTTTATGCTGTACATGGCCCTAGGCCACTCAAATGATCGGCATAATGAAATTCCCCCCAAGGTATGTACTACTAGGTGGGATTCCAAGCACTGGTTGTTATACAAGGTTATACTGCAAACTAGTACCTAGTATAGCCAGGGATTGTACACTCGTGCTCACATGTGCATGCTCGTCATAATTATATCTTAACTACTAAGTCCTCACCGCCGAATTTGATTTCATAGGGTTTTCAAGCGTATTGGATTTTGCTTAGATTCACTATAACCTTATGTATCCTATTTTCTCACATTCTCCACTGCATCGAGGGCCCGCTGGAACCTGGAGCGTAGGTCGGCCAAGTCTTCCAGACCAACACTGATCCTGACAAGGTCTGGGTCAACATTGAAAGATCTCGCCTATAAACAAATCCCCGGGTTAGTCTCAAATGGCCAGAAGTGTAGGGAGGAGAGAGGGTGTAACATACCCAGTCTAATTCACCATAATGAGCCAGAAGAACGTATGGAGAGCTATATTCAGGCGACACGTTAGCACTTTGAGTTAGCCAGAATTAATCAGAGTGGTCATAACTATACCTGAGAGTGAAGTTGGTGCCGAGACTAGGTCCCTTCAAAACCTCCAATGTGTCATAAAATGCAATGGCTTCTGCGTTCGAGTGAAATGTAACAGAGAAAAGCCCACCGTATCCGCCATTGGGATTTCGAAGGCTATCGTACAGGGGCCTGGTTGGGCTGTATTTAGGATAATAAACTTCCTTGACTAAGAATGGTGTCAGAATAACTTATTGATGGGACTGGAAATTGAAGGAGATTTCCTTACTTAGAGGAGATGCTTTCAACATGGCCGTCACTTCTTCAGAAGTGGAGTTGATTTTATCGATTCTTGAAACAAAGTCACGGCTGTTTCGCTCCAAGAACAAAGCATCCTCTGCCCAATAGATGTCCTCATAATCCTGAGCGTATGTATCTTTCAGTTTCTGGTAGTACTGTCCGTGAGGATTCAGGATTGCACTTCCTCCCATGACATTACTATCGCCACTGAAAATCTTTGTCAGACTGCTGGCGACAATGTCTGCATATGGAAGAACGTTGATGTTGAGGAAATTGCTAATAGTTTCATCAACTACTACTGCAAAATCGTATTGGTCGGCCAGAGCTCGTATGCGCACTAGATCCGGGGTCTTAAGTAGAGGATTGCCTGGGGCCTCGGTGAAAAGCCCAAGGAACCTCTCACCCTTCTCTAGTCGAGCTTGGAGATCATCCAAATCTTCAGATGAGCCATGTCCGTAGAATAAACAGCCCGGGCCCCACTTTTGTAGAATCTTCAATGTATCGGTATACGGAAATCCGAAACAGATACTTTGCAGGGGCCCCCGTGCATTCATGAGAGTTTGATGCGCGTTGAAGATCGCGCTCATACCAGAGGGGTAGAGAAGAACATCATCCTCTGAGATATCATCGACTCGACCTCCCGACGAAGCTGTTTCTAGAGCCTCGGGTAGCTCGACATCAGCAGTCAAGACACCAGCAATGCGCTTTCGAACTGCAACTTTAGCCTGTGCGGCGTGTAAGGCGCTGAGGTTGCGACCAAAGCGTTCCTCGATGAATTGAGCATAGTCTCGACCGTCCTCCACACCACTAGTTGTGGGAGTGGCCGATGATGTATTTGGGGTCGAAGCTCCCCAGGCAACTCCGCTCAGGGAGCCTCGCCCTTGGTATCTTCGAGGACCTTTACAGGGTCGCTGAGCAAGAGACTCAGATGTGGCAGTCTCCTTCTCTTCCACCAAGAAACCGTCCTGCAGGGCACGGAGACAGAACTCACCCCGCCGACTCGAGATCCCGTTGCCAGAATGTTGCCACACCTGTTTCGCAATTGGTGCAAATTCTTTGGGATAGATTACACCAACCAACGAGGATGTGACCGAGGTTGATCCAGCTTCGGCATGCGTAGATGGGACGAAATTCACGATTCGGACTTTTTGCGATTGGTCGTCGGAGATCTTGGATATGATGAACGAATGGCAAAGTTGCGCAGTCTTAAGCGATGCAAAGAGAGTCGCTGTCTCTGTCTCTTGATTCCCTACACGTTGAACAATCTCCCCCGCGAGCTTCTGAATGCTAGGATGCACGAAGAATCGAGGATATCCGCATTGCATCTTACTTATAACCCAGTCTTCTCCTTCTTCGTAACCGACATTGGCTCTCCATGTTGGCAATGATACACTGACGGCCTTTCAACGATGTCAGCTAAGAATTCAATGTCAAGAGGTATTATGTGAGGGGTAATTTGTTCAACGAGGGGCACACTGGGGAATTCAAGAATACATACATGGTCGGTGTTTGGGGGCACAGGGCCTCCTAGTGCTTGAAGCATTGCCAATTAAAGACAGACAAAGTCAATGATGTGAGATACAAAAGAGAAAGAGAAAAATTAGGGGGGAGGGGGAAGTGGAAAGAGTGACAGTAGAAAAGAAATATGGAGTTTCGAGTCATACAAAAAGTATGCGATCTCGGCGATGGCGTATTGGCTCTACCCCCCCCGGTCTGAGTCAGCAAATGTTATCCCCGTTATCGCCCCATAAAAAAAATTCGGGATTATCGAATGCTTCAAACTACAATTCTTTCCCTTTGGACCAACATTTTCGGCACTCCTCTCTTGGAAAATGTCGACTCATGCGGTGAAAAGGAGGAGGCTCAGCCCCTCACCACAAAATCCTGATTCTTCAACCCTGCCAAAATCTTCGCATACGACTCCGATGAGCTCGAAAGAAGAGACTCAAAAAACAGCTCAGTCTACCGCGCGCAATGAGGATACCCAGTCAAAGAGTCATCAAGGACGTCGGGGAATTGAAGACAGCTCTGCAGAGCTGGCTATGGCCAGTGGATTCTACAAATCAAGCTTTTTCAAATTGCAGATGGACGAGTTGCTGACCGGGTTGAGACCAAACTACGGAAAGCAGATCTCAAAGTCCCAGGATGCCCTCCACAAGTTGAAGAATACGATCGAAGGCCTGCCCGACAGGGAATCGAAGTCTGTATCTGATGCCGAGAAGGAGCTACGGACTGCTTCTGATATCGTGATTCCGTGGCCCGAACCTCGACCCGCCAAAGATGCCAAATACACCGTGTCGTACGCGAAGCCAGCAAACATCAACGTGGTGGGTAGCGCTGTGTTGAAAACTGGAGCCAAGACAACGGATTCTCGACCGATCGATCTGGCTGTAACAATGCCCAACTCCATCTTCCAGGAAAAAGACTATGTCAACTATCGCTATTTTCACAAAAGGGCATACTATGTTGCTTGCCTCGCCGCAGGTATACAGGGGCCAATGAATGATCTTGGATTCGAAGTCAAATTTGGATTCCAAGATGGCGACAGTCTTCGTCCTTTGATTTTGCTGGAGCCTCGTTCGACTTCCAAAGGCGATCCGACTCCCCAGCCGCAGATTCGAATCCTGACTGCAATTGAACCGAGTCTATTCCCGATTACCCGGACACTTCCAATCAGGAGTAACGTTCGTCAGGGCTCAAAGGACCAATCAGAAGCTGGCGAATCAACTCCATATTACAATGCTAGCTTGCGGTCCGAGGCCGCCGTCTCTCTTTACCACAAATTCCTCCATTCAACCGCCCAGAAATGTGAATCGTTCCGTGACGCTTGTATCCTGGGGCGCACTTGGCTCCAGCAACGCGGTTTGCAAACCTCCTTCCAAAATGGAGGATTTGGGGGCTTTGAATGGGCAGCGCTTGTCTCTCTCTTATTTGAGGGTGGCGGCCCAAGTGGCCAGCCAATTCTTTTACGGTCCTACAGCAGCTATCAGATCTTCAAAGCTACCATACAGTTTCTAGCTGGCAGAGATTTGACTACACCCTTACTTCTTTTCGCCAGCGACGTTGCGGTTCCAAATGGAGGACCTGTATTGTATGATGGCCGGAGAGGGTTGAATATTCTGTACAAAATGACTACTTGGTCTTACGCAGCGCTTCGACACGAAGCGTCAATTACCCTCAAGATGCTTAATGAATCCCGCGAGGACAATTTTGACCGGGTTTTCATCGTTAAGGTCGACGAACCAGCCTTGCGGTTTGATCGCCTTATCTCGTTCCCGAAGGCTTTCAATGGTGATACCGTTCGTGCTCTTCGCGAGCAGAATGCTTTATACACCACACTCTCCAAGGCTCTTGGAGATCGGGTCAAACTAATCTCCTTTGCGAGCCAAAACGCCGAATCCTGGTCGACCCGAGCAAAGGCATTGACCAAGAAAGCGAGTCACAACCTATCCGTAGGTCTTCTACTTGATGCCGATAACGTCGGTCGGGTAGTTGATCACGGCCCCGCCGCAGAAGAGAAAGAAGAAGCAGCATCGTTCCGGGAATTCTGGGGCGATAAGTCAGAACTGCGACGATTCAAAGACGGCAGCATTCTGGAGAGTCTTGTATGGTCTGACCAACCATCCGAGGACTCCATTGTGCTCCAGATTCTCACCTACGTACTACAAAGGCATTTCCAAATCACCGAGGATGACTTTTCGTTCACTGGTGATGAGTATGACGATATTCTTCTTGAAGAAGGGGATGGTATCTTGGCGTACTCCAGCCAGCCCTTCCAATCCATCAAGGAAGCATTCAGTGATCTAGAGAGATCAATTGGAAACATGGAGGAAGTTCCTCTGACAATTCGTCACTTGGCACCGGCTAGCCCACTGCTCCGGTACACTGCGCTTCGAGTGCAGACCTCGGGTGGAGCCCAGGAACCCGCAGATATTGTTCTTCAGTTTGAAAGCTCTTCTCGATGGCCCGATGACTTCGCAGCAATCCAGATGACCAAGGCGGCTTTCTTGCTGAAGATCGGGGATTCTTTGGAGTCATCAGGTGCTGCTTCATCCTGCCGTGTCGGTTTGGAGAATGAAACAAGCAAGGTGTTGAATAATGTGTACCTGGATATTTCTCATACTTCCGGGTTCATCTTCCGCCTCAGAATTCATCATGATCGCGAACAAACACTCCTTGAACGCCAATTGAAAGATAAGAGCATTAACCCTCGAGAACGGGAAGAGATTGCGTATGCTCTTTTCACATACAAAAGAACATTTGTGCAGGCTCCACGGTTGACTCAGGCACTGCGAAGTCTCTGCACTCGCCTTCCTTTATTGTCACCGACAATTCGCCTGGTCAAGTTCTGGTTTAGCTCTCACCTCTTCTCGGGTCAGATCTGCGATGAATTGATTGAGCTTCTGACAATCCGGGCCTTTACGCAACCGTACCCCTGGGATTGCCCCTCCAGTGTCATGACTGGCTTCCTACGCACCCTCCACTTCCTCTCTCGTTGGGACTGGCAACAAGAGCCCTTCATCGTTGACCTGAGCGGAGATCTGGGCCCCGAGATTACTGAAACGATTCGCACTCGATTTACTGCTTGGCGGAATATTGACCCTGCAATGAACACTGTCGCTCTGTTTGTCGCCTCAGACCTCGATACTGATGGCGTGACTTGGACCCAGTATGAGATGCCCTCAAAGGTTGTAGCTGGCCGAATGTCCGCCTTGGCGAAAGCCGCAGTGGGTTTACTTCGAAAGGAAGGCGACGACCTCGACGTGTCAGATCTCTTCCAGACGTCGCTTAGCCCTTACGATTTTGTTCTTAATCTGCGCTCTAAATTCTCAGGGGATCGCTCCGCCTCCGTTTCTAAATATAAGAATTTGGCCGAGGGCACCTCCCAGCAGGCCGGTGCGGCAGTTGTGAAGTCATTTGTACATGATGTACAGGCATGTTATGGTCAAAGCATCCTTCTTTTCCATGGAGATGAGCGGTGTGGTGTGATTGCCGGTGTATGGAACCCGCAGACGTTGAAGCCACGGAATTGGAACTTGAAGACCGCCTACTCAACGGCCCCAGCTGGCGGGAAGGAGAGTCCAGACGACCGCGTTACAATCAACCAACTGGCCATCTTAAACGAGATCACCCGATTGGGCGAAGGGCTCATTGATACCATTGACACTGGCGATCTAAAAGCGTAGTCTTTCATGTACTAGTATGATTGACATCCAGAAGGAAAAAAGAGAGGAGGATTTATATCGGAAAGAATTAGATCTTTATCATATTGGCGAATGTACATTACCTGCTAGCGCCGCTGCAATGCAAAACTATCCAAAAACAAACAACCCAGCAATGAGTATCAATTACTCCCCCAAAGAAAACCATATAAAGAGCAACATGTCATTTCACAATCATGAAGAACCCCGACCCGACTTGCCGGTTGGCACCTGCGATGAGAAGGAACAGAACTTATCCTTGATCGCCACAACCTCATACGTGCCTTCATCAGAGGTCCTGACGGTCTTCCGATGCTCATAGGAGATGTCGTGCTTGATGTCGAGTACCTCAGACTTCTTGCCCTTGCGAGCATTGGAGCTTCGAATGTATCTGTAAAAAAAAAAAAAAAAAAAAAACTGGGATTAGCCACGAGGATAAAACTAGAATCAAGGACCAAGGCTCGGCAACTTACGTGAACTCAAACGGCGGCGTGCCCCAAAAATCGAAGTGAAGTTCAGCTTCCCCACCTTCGTGGATATCGACCACGGAAACCTGGCCATTGCTAATCCGAACACTGGGCATCTCATGGATGACCTTGGTGATATCCTTGTGGGCCTTGCACTTCCCACTGGCTCCGTCCCCGACAGCAGTGATGGTGAATTCACCTGGACGTTCAGCGATACGACGGAAGTTCGTGTTCTGTGATGTGGCCTTTCGCTGAGCTCCGTCGAAAGTATAGAAAACTTCGAACGGAGCATGCCCCGAAAGAGAAAATGACAACCGTTCACCCACGCAATAGTCGATCTTGGATTCAAGAGGAATGATGGTGGGAACATCGGAGACAGATACACGGACGGAGGAAGAATCGTATTCGGTGGCTCTCTGGCAGCCACGGGAGTCACGCACCTTATGGATGCTCACCACGTGTTGACCGAGGTCTAAATGGCGACGAGGAATTGGTAGATTGTGATGCTTCGAATTAATCTTTGGGATGGAAACGATCTCTGGTTTGGCATTCGAGTGATGCTTGATGGTAATCTCTAACGAGAAGGGGGGGACACCTTCCAAAGTGATTGGAATTGTCTCTTCACCACTGGCATCCTCTTTGCAAAATCCGTAGATATGACCAGGAGAATCAAAGCGTGCGGTGGGAAGCGAGTTGACCTTTTGCGTCACAATCAAAGCACTGCTCTTCAGGTCATGGTCGTAGAGATTGTCACCAACATCGGTGAATCTATAAGTGTACTGCCCAGGCTCAGAGGTGTCCATCTCAGTCGAGAGCACATCAAGTGCAGTTCGCAAATTTTTGGTGCGAACAGAAGACGTGCCACGATCTGTCTTGCGTCGTTGCTCGTACTGAAGAGCGAAAGGAGGATTGCCGGATAGACGAAGTTCAAGGCTGTCGTCGTCGCCTTGGCAGACTTCCGGTTTGACATAATTTCCTGACGAAGGAACAGGTGCGCCGTCCACAGCAGTGACTTGGGGTCGGGGGATCCACGAAACCTCGAATTCTTTGGCAACTGGGTCCACAGATCCTGGGCAAGAAACATCATACACTTCAAGAAGCTCATAGAGGCCCTCTTGATCCACGAGCAAAACACTGTTCTCGTTCCAGAAGGTTTTCTGGAGAGGTTCCTCGTGGGCATCTATGTTCTTGTATTTCACTGTCCATGGCCGCTCACCACTCAACCTCAACGGGACTTCAATCTTCGAGCCTTGCATGGCAGATAAACTCCTCTTCTTGTCGATCTGACCAAAGGAAGCGTGAGGTGGCTTTGACCGCGCATCGATCTTCATCATTTCTTTGAGTGTCCGCTTACAATTCGACTTGTCTTTGACACTGGTAAGTGCGAGGGTGTACTCGCCTCCGCTTGTCAACTTGTCCGTAGTGATGGTTGCCAATTCCGAGTCTGACTGAAGCACATGCTTTGTTCTCTTGCCATTGTGAAGGAGTTCGTATTGCAGGGTCCATGGAGCTTCTCCCAGGAAAGCCAGGTCTACAGAGATAGACTCTCCAAAACAGGCCTTGCGTACCTCTTTTGGTCCAATGAAGTGAGCGGAAGCTGGTGGCTTGACATCCTGTTCCAATGGAGCCACTTTATCTTTCAGAGATCGCGGTGAGTACACGGAGTCTTCAATATCGAGGAAGCGATAACGGTAGAAGCCAGCTTCCGAAGGCGTGAAGTCTAACTGTGTTCGTGGTCCATCAATCTTATGCGTTTTAGTGATGGCTCCCTTGGAGTTCTCAATACTATACCGCAGACGGAATGGTGGAGACCCCGTCAGGTCAAGATCAACAAGCAAGCCGACTGCGTTGTTGGCACACCGATCAAATATTTTTTCAGCCTTAACAGAGATTTCAGGCTCAGGGGGGTTGTGCAAGTAACATGATGAAGGTTCCAGGATATCGCCGGGGCAAAATTGACTCGAAACAGATGTCAAAGAGTACCAGCCCGGTTCTTTGATGGGCGACTTCTGATCCACAGACCTCAAGACGAGCGTGGTTTCTTTGGAATCCGCGCTCTTCTGCGTATCCGAGCCATCGTTGTATGTATAGACCACGGAGAAGGGCCCGTCGCCGGTGTACCTAGCTCCGTCAGTCTGGAATTTGATGGGGAGGTCAACACTATTCCCGCGGGCAACCTCCAGCGGACGTTGATCATTGCATCCTGACAAGGAAATGCGTGGGCTTTCATGGACCGAAAACTGGTGCCATTGGGATAACGACTTGGTAGACGGCCGCTCGTTATCCTCGAAAATGGTTGAGTAGTTGGCAACATTGCCGCAAGCATCATGCACTTCTTCAATAGCATAAAGCCATTCTCCGCCGACGTTTAGGGATTCATTCAACGGGAGATCAATTTTCTGGCTCTGTGCCCATGAGATATCGGGTTGATTGATACTGAAGAGAGCACCAACTTGCTTCTGGCTCAGAAGAGGCGAACGTAGGTTATCCGGTTGTATGTGTTGGAAAGAAAAGCCACGGTCATGGTGGTTTACCTGCCTGCTATACTTGATCTTCAGGGGAGGTGTGCCCTCAACCTCAAGAATCAAGTTAGACAGTTCACCTTTACATTTGTTTGTATGCGAATTCTTGATCAGCGCTCGTGGGCAGGCCACCACCAAGGCATCAGATGTGCGCGTGCGCACGTCGAGCTGAGTTTCATCCACCACCCGTTGAAGACGATAGATACCCGTCTTTTTGACGGGCAAATGAAGATCCCGATAAGGGACAGGATCCTGGGTTGCATGTCTCTTGTCCGCCTGTTTCCTAAGTTGCTTCAGTTGTTTGAAAGGAATAGTCAAAGTTTCATTTTCGCCCGTGTTCAGGTCGAGGCGCAACACTTCGATGAGAATGGGATCCGTCTGATTCACGCGGATGGGAAGGGTCACGGTGTTTCGCTGTGAGTCAAGACATAACGGCTCTCGATCTGGATTGAGAACGGCAGAACTACAGTCACAAAATTAGTACAAGAACCGGAGGCAATTCACCACCTCAAGGGTGGAATATCGACCTACCCTTCTGGAAGAATGTGCACAATTTGCTTTCCCAAGATCAATGAAGCGTTGTGGATGATGTCGCCCGGCTTGACTTTGCGCTCGGAGATTGACAGCTCACGATCATAAGCAACTTTGACCAGTCCCGCAAGCCAAGCACCTAGAGGGATCTGTCGCTGTCAGCACAAAGATTATCACCCATTTATTGGGAGTATGGAAAAACTAACTGGTATTTGAAACATGAGAAAGACGTTGCCAACCACATGCAATAAAAACAGAGCTAGTGTAGTCGGGAATGCCCACTCCAGCCATGGTATGCTCAAAGCCTGCAGGCCGAACAAGAAAATTCCATCCACCGACACCCATTTTAAAAATAACCAAGTCGAGTCTAGCTCATCGGAAGCGGTCCAGGATTCATATATGCGCCACGCATTGAGGGCCAGATAAAAGGCCACAACATAAAGACGCTGCGAGGGCGCATCAATCAAGTTGACTGGGATGAGGGGCGTGTTGGTATTCTGGGGTGCCTGTGGAGCTGGTGGCGCCCTTGGTGCCTTTGATGCTTTCGTCGGGGATTTAGAGGATGATTTTCTTTCTCGTACATCGCGAGATTGGGATCGGGGCGTCTCAAAAAGCTTTCTTCTCCCAGGGATAGTCTTGGGTGTCTGTGGAAAGGCAGACGGAAGGAGGGGAGTGCCGTTCATGGCATGCTGTGGTCGCCAGAGTCTCCGGCGGGGGTTTCCACAATCAAAAGATCAGGTTTCAAGAGGGAAGCTCTGCAAGTTGAATGTCCCAAGGTTTGAGCAGGAATTTCAGAGCTCAATTGACCGCTGGTTGGGTGGAGCCGTGGTCTTGTCTCGTAGTTGTAAGAAAACAAGAAACAAAAAGTAGTGAGGCTGCCGAGAGACGCGGGAAGCGCGTCGGACAAAGCTCGGTCCACATCCGACATAGTCACATACCATAATACTACTTCTCTTCCTGGGTCTCTGTACAATATTCCTTACTCACTCTCTTGGATCTCTGGGATCTCACAATCTAAACTACCCAAGGAGCTCATGTTTTCTTTCTTTTTATTACCAAGCTGAAGGCAGCTTGAAAACCCATCATGGCTCCGCGTACCAAGAGACGACATCTGACCGATCTTTCAGAAGATCAAAGCGATGAAATCTGCCGCCCAGCTACTCAGTCTCAGAAAGATAGTTGGAATGGATTCTGTGAGATTGAATCGGAGCCTGTGAGTGGTGATCATTTATGAAAATCATGATCCTATGTAGCTCATCCACCTTGTTTAGGCTCTGTTCAACGTGATGCTCCGAGAGTTTGGAGTTAGGGGAGTCAAAATTCAAGAAGTCGTGTCTCTCGATCAGGAAATGATGGCCTTTCTTAAGTATGATCTTGGGCTGAAGAATGTCCTTTTCTTCTTTTATTTCCCTCTTCGTCCTCTTCCCTGTTTGGCTAATCAAATCTGGGGTAGTAAACCAATCTATGGACTAATCTTCCTTTTCCGCTGGCAAGAAGACGATACAGACCAGCAGGAACCCAGCTGCCCTGATGGGCTCTGGTTTGCAAATCAGGTGAGCTTTAAAATGATTTCTGAGTTTTGAAAATATAGAGGAAAAGACAGGGAGAGACTTATTGAGGCTCGATTTTATCCAGACAGCAAGCAATGCTTGCGCCAGTGTGGCCCTCCTGAATATCGTCAATAATATTCCGGATATTGATCTCGGTGAAAATCTTCAGCATTTCAAGGAATTTACCAAGACTTTTACTCCAGCTCTACGAGGCGATGCTATTAATAACTTTGAATTTGTGAAACGGGTACATAACACCTTTGCACGGTATGCTTGTTGATCCCTGTCATATCATATGTTATATTACTGGTGCTAAACACCCCCTTGTCCCCCATTCAAGCAAGATGGACATTTTGAATGCCGATTTACAATTGAAAACTGAAGCCACCTCTAAGAAACGACACAAGGGTCAAGATACCAATGACTCAGATGGTTCTTTCCACTTTATTGCATTTATGCCGGTCATGGGTCAAGTGTGGAAATTTGACGGACTAGAAAGGCAACCACAATCTCTAGGTTCGTGTGGATCTGATGCTGGCGAATCGACACCTGATGGTGACTTCTTTCCATATTGACATGCTCTAGGTGAATGTTCTGAGGATGACTGGTTGGAGGTGGCCCGACCCAACATTCTTGACCGGATGGCCGCATATGAAGAAGATCAGATTGAATTTTCTATCCTAGGAGTGGTTCGGGATCCCCTCCATGACTTAATTCGGCAACTTGCCATCAATGTGCGAAGTTTGCAAATGTTGAATGCACGATTGACATCCTCCGCAACACCGGTACTACCCGATGGGATCACGAGTTTATCCGAATTCAAAGAGACAGTGCTTGATTCCGATCTTTCTTATGGTCTTGGTCATGAGGAGATTGATGCGGCTGTTGTCCCCGAGATGACTTCCTCAGAGGCTTCACCAGGATTCGCCGCGGAACTAGAAGAACTCCGAGAAGCACAGGGCGAGCTCCGAGTCCGAATTCGAGAGGAGCAGCAGTCTCAACGAATTGACGAGGACCATGCGAGGGGGCGGCGGTATGACTATGGACCCGCGTTACGGACGTGGCTGCGGTTTCTCGCACGCAAGCAGGTGTTGGCTGAGTTAGTGTAAAGCAAATGAAGTCCTGGATCCGGACCCTCGTGGCGCAGCGATTGGCCCACACTCTGGGTACGCTACACCTTAAATCATTCCGGGTGATCAGTACGGAATTACAGAACAATTACAATAATTACCAGTGGAGTTTCTTATCTTTCGTTCTATGTATACTAGTATTCTTTTCCCTCTTTCCCCTTTTACAATAAATAAGCTTAGGTATAGTATATATCTCTCTCTTTCTTTATATATATATATATATTGTTGTTATTTATCATACTTAAAAATTGGGAATTCAAAACTAGTTGACGTGGTCATTTACATAGACATCAATAAGTGTAGAGTTTTGATCAATACTGTATTTAACCCCAAACGCCTAGGCCTAGTTTGACTATATAACTAACTAACCTTGAAAGGCCCTTTATTAAGCACTTGAGCACCTACACCAGTAAGAATATAGGGACATCTGGAATCCACGTCATGTACTTAGGTAGATAACTAGATATGAATAGTAGCTCTTTCTTTTACCGGCTTTAGACTCACAGCTATTCAGACCAGTGCTTGATTTACCTATACACAGCTAGATGTAGCGGGTATATCAATGGTACTATATACATATCAACTTTATCAGTCAGCACTTGAGAACTCCTTCTATTTAAAGAGCTTCTTTGCAAGACTTATATTTTAATGGATAACATTATTCTCATTTGTACATGTACTGTGTCACTCTTCCCCCCTTCCCCCCTTTTTCCCTTTCTCCCCTTTTTTTTTTTTTTTTTTTTTTTTTTTTCACGATGTACTTCTGGAGTTGGTAAGATTGAATTAGTAATGGCGGTGTATTGATAGTGTATTATGCCCCACTCCCCCGGGGCAAAAGGGCAAAAAATAACTGTTTCTCCCACGTCACTGGATCTTTCCCCAAGTCACGGTTCCCTTGTTCACTCATTTCTTCCCTATACTCTTTCACTTCGATTATTGCAATCGCTTGCTACTTCCTGAGCTCGTTGGCTTATTTCCACCTATCTCAGTTCTGATACAGGGCCCGCTGCCCACTAAAACTCCCTTTCTCCCTTCCTTCCTCTGCGCATCGCATTCTTTTAGTACACACAAGCTTTAGGAAACCGCCACTCCGCACCATGTCATCCGCTACCCTGCCTGAGAAGGCCCCTGATGATTCCTCCAAGTTGAAAACGTTCCTCTCCATTCTGCGCAAGTATGCTCGGCCCCTCACCATTTCACAATGGTTAAAATCAAAGAAAAGGGAGAATCAAAACAATCTCATCGGTAACTCTACTAACATAGCCGTTACCTAGGTTCGTGGGTGTGACAGATATCGCCTCGGTTCGTTTTTCCTTGCCAGCTCAACTACTGGAGCCGCGACCAAATTTAGGTACGTTCACGAGGTGCCGAGGACATATATGTATGTGTGACATGGGGTATACGAGGAACTGACGTGGGACTCAAGAATATTGGAACTACCTGGACCGACCGGAGACCTTTGCGAGGTCAGCACTCATCGCCCTTCGATAGCAGTCGCTCATATGCTGACTATAGAGCTATAGTATTGGCACATCCGACGATGAACTAGGTCGCATGCTGGAGGTGTTGAAGTTCTGGTTCACGAAAGATCTGGTATCTCTTGACTTGCGATTTTCCCATGAGCCTGAAATGAAGGTGCTGAAACATTCAACAGAAATATATCAAGGGCAAGCCATGCAAGCCTTATAACTCGACCTTGGGTGAATTCTTTCGAGTAAGTGAAATGGAAAAAAACACCCAAAGGTGGTCTCAAAGTCCAAGAATGGTCATTGACGATGCATGGCAAAATAGTGCAGCTGGGATGTAGAAGATATTGCACCCCAGGAAACCAATCTTCCAGGCGTCGACGCAAATGGAAACGGCACTCTCATCAAGGATGGTAATGAGAAAGTCAAAGTGTGCTATTTGACCGAACAAACCTCGCATCATCCGCCCGTCTCTGCCTTCTACATTGACTGTCCCGAACGGGGTGTTTCCGCACGAGGATTTGACCAGCTCAGCGCCAAGTTCACTGGCACGAGCATTCGAGTGAGCCCTGGCCTACACAATCTGGGTATTTTTGTCAATCTTGAGAAAAGGGACAACGAGGAATACCAGTTGACACATCCCCATGCACACCTGGGGGGTCTATTGCGAGGTGCTTTGGCGATCACGGTATCAGACGCATGCTACGTCACCTGTCCCAAGACCGGCATGAAGGCTATCCTGCAATACCTAGAGGAAGGATGGATCGGCCGCTCTCAGAACCGAATGGAAGGTGTAGTTTTCCGTTACAACCCCGAAAAGGACAATATCACAAGGTTGAAGGATGTTACAGAGAGTGATGTTATTGCACGAATCAGCGGGTCCTGGCACGGCAAGATATATTACACCCCAGCAGGCTCCAAGGAACCTATTCTGCTCATCGACATTGAACCTCTCTACCCTGCTTCGAAGGATCTGCCCCCCGACGAGGAGCAGCTTTCCAACGAATCTTTGAAATTCTGGGGAGAAGTGACGGACGCCATTGTGGGTAAACAGTTTACCCAAGCGACCAAGCTCAAGCAGGACATTGAGGAACGTCAGCGTCAGCGGGCAGCTGAGCGTAAAGAACAAGATATTGAATGGAACCCGCGCTTCTTCACTGGTGCAGTCACTCCGCTAGGAAAACCCGAGCTGACTGAAGAGGGTCAGAAGGTCTTGCAGGGAATCCGGGATGGGAATTATGTCTTAGAGGAAAGTACAGTGCAAGGCGCATAGGTTTCTTTCAATTTGAAGGGGCCAGTCTATGTTTTGATTGACGCAGAACTCGTGGCGTATCTGGCATGCGCAACCATTTCTCCTTTGGCGTATATCTTGTTGGTTTATTTCCTTCCCTGACCTCACTACACATCTCTAGAATTTTTTCCCCCATATCTGCCCCCTATCTCTTCTTTTACTCTTCACATAGGGGTTGCATCTTGTCTTCTACTCCCCGTCTTTTTCTTTTGTGAATAGTCACTTGCGGGCGAATGAGGACTTGCGTTTTGTTGAGGCAGCAGCAATCACACTCCCTCGCGTGCTCAGAATGAATATAAAATCGTGTCCACGGTCTGCTTGCACTTTTGCTCCATAGAGATGTTATTATGAAAAACGAAGTTTTACAAGAACCACAGAGAAGAACCTAGTAGTCAACCCTTAATATACTGATTTGTGTTTATTACAAGAAACCAAAAGAAAAATTCATTGGTGAAATATGTAAACATTGAACAGAACAGATTATTAGCCACCAACACCCCTTGCCCGATCCCCCGCCCAAACCAGTCACGGAATAACAGCGTAATAAGATATAGTGACAGTCATTAAAACATCAATGCATGAGGAGAATTCAAGTTGGCTTATACTAAGCTGAAGCACTGACAACCTTAGTGAAGCCAGCAGTCACAGTCTTAGCAATTTCTTCATTCTTATGTGGGAGCAAAGACAACGCGTAGGCGACATCATTCCATTGTCGCTCAGTCTCACAACGGGGTAGTCGGGCGGCAAGCTTGTCTGCCAGCTGACGGGCATGTTTCTCCTGTGCATAAAGTATGATTATTTGAAAATGTCGAGAACGAGGATAGTGTTGGAACTTACCTTTTCCACAAATCCGATGAGGAACTTGACAATACGCCTGAGAGATACCTCCTCCAGGTTTCGCTCTGCACTCAACAAACTGAACATATCCACAAAGTGGTTGTAAACAGCATTATCCTTCGTAGCCAGCTCGGTAAAGAACATGCGAGCCAGGTCGGCAATTTTCTTGTCATCGTCTTCCAAGCACTTGGCCATCTCACCAAGTTGACCTTTGACCTTGACTTGACCAGCTAAGATAAGGAAGGTCAGGGTCATGAGGCAGGTACGCTTGACAGAGGCCTCATCATCGTTAAGACGGCGGTAAAGGAAGTCCGTGTTCTCGTCAATGAGATGGTTGAAGCAGACGGCCATGTCACCTAGTGCGATAACCGCATTGCTGCGCACGATCGGATCCTCTGACCGTTCCATGATTGTGATGAGGAGTGGAAGGTTCTTCTCGCAATATTCGGCCGAAACGCACATCAGCTTGGCCAAACACAAGGTCGCTGATGCCTGTAAATCACGGTCTGGGTATTTGTCGTTATTGGCACAAATTTCCGCCACCATTGGACCGAACTTTGCAAGAAGGGAGTTTTCTCCATAAAGGAGTTCACGTTCACGGATATGAGCCATGGCATCTTGGAAATCATCTTCGGTTGTACCTCCGATCAAGTCGAGTTCATCTTCATCGGCGTTGTCGGTGCTCTGCTGAGCGGCCGCTTCCGCTGTTTTGTTCTTCTCTTGTTCAGCCTTGCGGCGCTTGAAATCAAGCTCGCAAAGTTCCAGGTGTACGATCTGCTTGATTGCAATATGGCCAACGACATACAGAAGTTGCGAGAGAGCTGCAGAGGAAGGCTTTGTTTTCGATCCTTCTTCGTCGGTCGATGCAGTACCAGGTCGTTGATCCTCTTCATTCACAGAAGCTTGCGAAGAGGAAGGGTGTCGGGCATGAGACTGGAACACAAACCGAGTCTTTCTCCGGAGAATGTCAGAGCAAAGAACATCGGGATGCTTTGAAAGAGTGTAGATGGCGCTGATGGCTTGTTCCGCAACGCCATACCACTCTTTGCTGTTAGAGACAATTTCGAGCATGGCGGCAAGCTTGGTCAGGACCGAATGGTCGTTGGCAAGTTTGGGAATAACAATGTCCTTGGATTTAGCTTGACGTCCAGGCACCATGCGCCGTAAGGCAATGCAGGTATATTTGGCAAGTACAAGGTCGGATCGTCCCAAGCCACCGAGGCCGATACGCAGCATAGCCTCAATCTCCTTGACAACAACCTCCTGGTCGGCCAACGCGAGCATGCCAAGAACGATGATTGAACCACGCCGCTGGGTTTTCGAGATCTCCTTTTTCTGAACACTGTATACTTGCCAAAGTTTGGCAATTACCGTCTCTGAGACATGGCCCGCTTTCATCATGGTGCTCAACAACTGCTCCAGACAAGTGAGTTCAGCTGGTGTAGATCCAAAGGTCAAACTGATCATGTTGCGTGCGATGTAATTGGCAGCGTCATTAGGGCTGAACGAGTCCGGTGCATCAAAGAAAAGCCCCTTGTAGCAATCAATCAAATGGGTCTGAACACCCTTACCTTCATCGCTATTGCCCTTGGTCCAGATAAGCCGGAGCATGCGACGGATTCCACTGCGAGCCGTCTCGACCTTGTAGGCATCCAGAACCACGAAGAAATCCATGGCTTCGATTACCTCGCTCTTGTTGCGAGACGAGAGCAGCTGAGAGACTACAGTGGATCCCGAATGAAGAACTTCAACGAAGCGCAACGCTTCGTTGTAGTACTTCCTGGTTAGTTGTAACCGAGTCAACAACTCTGAAGTGGCCGCCTGCTCTGCCGCTTTTTGCACGGCAACTTCCTTCTCTTCCTCAGTCATCCGAGGAGCTTTGGAAGGCGAGTCATCCGGCAGTTGAGTTGCTTCATCCAATAATTCAGGATCAACACATTGAGTGGCATCCGCATCAAAGCCTGGTGTCTCCGGAGGTCGCAGAGAATTGAGCTCCGCGTCCACCCCATCTAAGCGCTCCGTCCACTCCTTATACGAGAGTTGGCCGCCGTGCATTAAACCGAATGGATGCGTAGCAACCAATTTAGACAGCAGCTTGATTGCATTCCTTCGCACATTGCTACTCTTGTCTTCTAGGCTTCGAGCAGCCAGCTCAGCTGCACGTTGTCGTCTCTTGGGGAATTTCTGCTCCAAATCGCAGATTCGCATGAAGACCTGAATGGCTCTGCAACGGCAGTAAGGATTGATGTCCAGGAACCTTTCTTCCAATACATCAAAAAAGGCATTGATCTGAGTCTTGTAGTTTTCGCTGGGTTCTTCTTGTCGACTTAGATCAGAGATAAGGTTGCCGCAGACTTCGATGACCGCACATCGCAAAGTGTATGCCTTGATATAATGTTAATTCAAGTCCGGTTTCATCAGAAGGGCAAGAGATTGAGGTACCTCGCTATCGAGTTGCTTGGCTAAGAGAGTCATTTGCTTAATGATCAACCTCGGGGCAAGGTCGGACAGCTTGATGATAAATGCAGAGACAGACTTCGGCCCACGGGTGTCGTTTGAATTGAACTCTTTATTTCCAAGCTCCCTAAATCATATTAGCACAGTCCCGACAAGTGTTCAGATCACAAAATTCACTTTAAAATCTCATCCGAGAGTTGAGGGTAGTCGTATTGCTCCGCAAGGATGTGGAGGAATTCGGCCATGGGCTCCGATAGATGCTCAAAGTATGTCAAACTTTGAACGATTGAGGTTTGCGCGCCTACAAGAGAAGTTAGTTCCGATATATTTCCATTTTATCCACAAGTGCATACCAAATGCATGACCATGGTGCTTCACTGCAATGCAGAGCACTTTGAAGGCATGCATTCGGATAGCCATGCTCTTGACTCTCTGTTCGCTCTCCAATATCAAATAGATGGTGCGGGTGAACAAATTAATAAACGTGTCGCGGTCTGAAGTTGTCAAAAAAATACGGCCTAACTTGAGTTTCATCACCTTGCACATGGTCTCCATAGAGATCTGGATCTGACCAGTCCAATCCCAGTGGCCATCCTTGGCGGACTTCTTGGATTTGGGGCCTCCTCGTCGCGCGGGAGCAGGATCTGCGGGCTTTTCTGCTGCCTTGACTTCCACCGCGGATAGAGCCCACTGGAGCAGGAACCCGTACATTTCCAGGAGTTGTTTGTGTTGTTGGATGACATCTTGCTCGTCGGATTCGAGGTCGCCATTGATAATATCTGCTTCGACGGATAATCCGGATACAATAAGGTCGAGTAGTTTGCTTAGGGATTTCACGGGGACGAAAGTGGTATATCTGCAACGGTTCACAAGTTCAGAGTCGATTCCTGATGGACGAAAGCCTCCATGGGGTAATTGGGAAGGGACCGGTGCGCACTTTAATAGGTATTGTAGGGAATCAAAAATTGAAGGTCTCATTAGGGCCTCTGGATTCTCTGCCACTGCATCCACGATCGGGTTCAAGACATTATCGATTAGCGCCGGCGACAACTGATCCGGGTCAGATTCGGCATCGAGAAGCTCCGGGTCTGCGTCGGGGGTTGGAAGGGAAGATGGATCACTCAAGTAGTACTTGAGTGATTCATTGATTTCGAATTGCATTCTGTCCTCCATGGTGTTGTCGATAACCACGAGGGGGGAAGGTTGTAGGTGTTATCGTTCGACAACGTGGGAGGAGGGGAAACAAACAGTGTTGACGATATCCGTGTTTAGCTTTTACTCTTTTGGTCGCGGAACCACGGCGACTTCTGACCGCCCGTAATATTACCGCGTTTTCCCTCCGTACTGCCGCGGTTTTCGGAGAAAAACAAGAGCTACGACACTGTAATGCGCTTTGCGCTTGAACCCTTCTCTTTCATCCCTCCTCACAGTTCCCCCGAGAACAAGCTTGCGGATTGCCAGGCGAGAGATCTCTTCTCTTCTTTTATAACTCAGTTTATGCCATGGCGGCTCATCGAGTTGCCCCCACCGGAGTTTTCGAACCTCAGCGAACAAGTTCTTTTCGAGGACTACAACCTGCAACGCATAAATACGCGTCGGAGGAGGGCGATAAGAGAACGACATACAGCGAAATGTCACAAGGAGTGAGCGATTACGAAGAGGAAGAGGAGGAAGTCGACGAGACTGTTCGAGAAGATATGAACAAGCTGGAAGACACATTTCCTGGCATCTCGGAACGATTCCGCCTGGTCAATCGAATTGGAGAAGGTACGCGCTAGATCTATAATGCTACATGAAACCCTAGAATCTCACCATGGAAGCAGGTACCTTTTCAACAGTTTACAAAGCGGAAGACTTACTTTACGATCACTATGAAAATGACTGGGATGTCTTTGGTGAAGCACAAGAACAAGAAGCCTGGCCCAGTCCTCCCTCCAAACGACGTCGAATTGAAGGAGAAAATGTCAGACACAAGAAACCTCGTTACGTGGCACTGAAGAAAATTTACGTTACCAGTAGCCCAATTCGAATTCAAAATGAGCTGGAGCTCCTCCATGATCTCCGGGGCTGTCCTTCGGTTTGTCCTTTGATCACAGCATTTCGTTTCCAGGATCAAGTCGTGGCCGTGTTGCCCTACTTCCCACATACCGATTTTCGGATTCAATACCGTACCTTCTTGGTGGCAGATATGCGTCATTATCTACGGTCCCTTCTGACAGCATTGTCGGCGGTCCATGAGCATGAGATTCTCCATCGCGATATCAAACCAACGTATGGGTCTACTCACTCACACTGCCTCCACGTCTTGAATGGTATGCTGATATGACATTTGGCAGTAATTTTCTGTACAATCCAGACCTGAAAGAAGGCGTGCTAGTGGACTTTGGACTTGCAGAGGTTGGTTTTGAGTCCCTTTGTTTGGATATGTCGATTTTGACACTGACCCATTCTGTTTTATTTATCATAGCGCCAAGGCGCTGAATACACTAGTGCATGCCTCTGCACTCACCAGTTATATGCTCGTCGAAGTCGGATCATTACTAGCTACTATTCAAAAAATCCACCATCGGGTGGATTGTCAACTGGTTATCCGAAGAATGACTCCCGATCATCAAGGCGAGCGAATCGGGCTGGAACTCGTGGCTTCAGAGCGCCAGAGGTACTTTTCAAGTGTACTTCACAAACAACGAAGATTGACATGTGGTCCGTTGGTGTGATCCTCCTAATTTTACTGGGTCGTCGGTTCCCCTTCTTCAATTCTGCGGATGATATCGATGCCATGATTGAAATGTCCAGCATCTTTGGCACCCGACGCATGAAGACTGCAGCGGCCATGCATGGACAGATTTTCGAAACCAATGTTCCCACAATCGGCGAAAAGGGCTACAGCTGGGAGAAGCTGGTGAAATGGTCAAGTTGTGTGGAAGATTTGACTGAAAGCGAACAACAAGCAACGCGTCTCCTTTCGGGTCTGATGGAGCTGGATCCAACGAAGCGGCTCAGCGCCGATGAAGCTTTACAACACGAATTTTTTACTAGTCCAGTGCATCATGATGTGGAGTGGGGAGGCAACCCCGAGGAGAGCGGAGAATCCGCTGAAGATGACGAGGCAGGGGAGGACGAAGCCGACGAAGTCGCCATGCTATGAGATTAAGATTTGTACGACATATGATGCGTTTTTGATATCAAGTGCTTGTCACACAACACTTTTTTTTTTTTACATAAACAGCTCTTGACCTTAGTAACAAAACTAGGGCGCTGCATACACGCATCACACGTAATATCGAATAGATCCATCGAACCTTGCACATGTGGGATGTCCAAAGTTACCTACTATTCCTGAACGATGCCGTGGGGAACATAAGCTTACATATCTGGGCAGTATTCACACATCAATTGATGCTTGCAGAAATAGGTGGACTTCCACATGAGCAGTCGAAATTGATGGCTACCTGTTCAGGTGGCATCATCAATACTAGCACTGTAGTACATATTGATCGATACATACCCAGTGCCTGGGCTTCAATGTTGCCTACATACTACTACATACTACCTAGTATATGAAAGAGCATTCGATTTTCTTTACTACATATGTACCTATTAGGCACTAGGTACATTCAATTAGACTAGTACCATCTAGGAGTGACCATTTCAATATTAGTGATTTTTTTTTTCGCGAGCACTAGAGTACTTGAGTATGTAGCCCCAGTAAAAGGTGTGGGATAAGCATTCAACTTATATTCCACAGTGTCTCTGTGCATGTTGAACACCTCACCGATGATGATATATATTCTAAGCCTATGGGAATGTACATGTTATTTGTATACAAATATCGCCTACTTGGCTTCCCCAAAATCATAGTGGCCAGTCTCCGAGGCATGCTGAGTCGCTCCTTTCTCTCCAGTGAAGGTGCCACCACACGTATTGCAACGGACCGAGAACGCAGCTGTATCGGTATAATAATGTTTGCTTTGTAGAATGCGGCATAGCTCTTTCGCTTTCTCCAGTACGATTGGGTCGATAGCGTCAAAGATCTTGGTGTCGCCATGCGCAAATGAATTTGCACGAGTGTATGGCGGGTCGGACGGTGAGAGTGCTAGGACGTCGTAGTGAATACCCGAGTATACCACGATACATCGAGTCGGTGCACCTTCATTGAATTGAAACATATGTAAAGTTTTTACATCAATGGAACAAATCTCGATATTGAAGTACTCGCTCAAAATCTTGAGCTCGATCGCGCCGCCCCACGAGTCACTGTGCTGAATCCACTGGCAATACTCATCCGGTTTCTTGCCTAGAATTGCTGCCGAGTATTCCGTGGGATTAGACTGAATGGATCCCGCGACAATCGACCGTAGCTCAACCATTGTATCCATGTCGCCCATGACCGCCGCGCCTACTGCTCGAAAGAGACACGAGTTATCATCTGGCATAACTCGAAGCACGAAGGTGCCGGCGTGTTCAGGGGACGCAATCTCGGGAGGATCCTCGGCATTCAAATCTGGATTTTGCGACATCGACGAAGATTGTGGCGATGGTTGGCGAAAGTCAGAGCCAGGTCGGTCGAGGGATGGCGGATCATTAGGGCGAGCAGTTCCTTCTCTTTGCGCGACAATCAACTGTTCTCCATTCAGATTGACACCAATGTCGGTGATCTTTTGGTCGGCCCGAAACTGGTCAAGTTGCAAGGGCTTGAGGTTCGGGTATCCGTATTTCACCTCGAAGAAGACCAGGCCAGTACATTCTGCAATTTGTGTCCGGAGATCATGAACAGTGGCCGACTCGTCCAGGGACACTGTTGACTGACCCGAGGGCCCTCGTACACGCATTCGCATCTTGCAAGGAAGACACAGGAATGCGACACGTATGAAGGTTATGGAAATGAAGTTTTGGAGATCAAGGGTGCCGCATCGATCCAGTGAGGGGAATGATGACGATAGCGGAACAACCTTTTCGGGTCTAGATGTGGGGTAAAATTCAGAAAGTGGTAAGAAGAATTGTGCATATAGAGGAAGGAAGAATCAGGAAAGAAAAAAAGATATAATAGACCAGTCACTACGTGTTCTTAGGAAGGAGCGGTATTCCATAATGGTCGTAGCTGTATACTAGTACTTACTAGTAGTATGGATTAACAGTCAAGATCATGTGAACAGTAACCAAGTACTACTATACTAGTAGTCTGTATGTAGTACATAGTATACACATACAAAAGTAATGTTCCTTGTCTTTGGCTGGATGCGGCGATCTTAACTACAAACCCCCACTCCCTGTATGGCCCTTACTTCTCATACAGTTCAGCTCGTTCCCCAAATTCATTCATCTTCACATTTTAGTAAAGACGTGTTAAGTCTAATACTTGATACCAATGAAGGGATAAGTGGCAATGGCTAAGATCCCGTGGTTATGGTGGTAGCCTGTATCGAAAGGCAAACAATAATACCTTACCTGTACTGAAGTTGTAACTAATAAACAACCGATGACTCAGCGGCACGTAACTTAAACGGTCTCGAGGGATCTGTCGCCCTTTGCGACGAAACCAGCTCTCTCGTCTTCACCATCTGACATCTTAATCCCCCACGTGTGACTCTAGTGGCTCACCATGGATCAAATGGATCAAGAGCAATCGCAACCCCCGGTTCGCCCGGAGGAACCTGTCACATCAATCGAAGAGGATGGCGTTCTCACTGAAGACAAATGGAAGGCTATGATGGATGTCACCATGGCTATATATGATTTTCGCGAGCCAGAGTAAGTGATTGGATCCTTTACCTAGTAAGCACAAGGGAGATAACAGGCTGATTGCGTTGTAGCGGTCACGATCCATCCCGACTGTTCCATCGCAGTGTCAACAAACGCCTTGTCCCAGATTACCAGGATATTATCAAAGAGCCGGTAGCTCTCAGTATACTGAAACAGAGAATCAATAAGCGCGAATATAAACAGTTCTCTGATTTCGTACGCGACTGTGCCTTGGTACGCGACTCAAGCTCCTTTCTCCATTGGCGAAGCCGAATCCTTTCTTACTGATCTTTAGATCTCCCACAACGCGCAAACCTACAACAGACCCAAATCGCAAGCTTATGAAGATGCTCTTGTAATAAAGGTAGGAACGGCAAATTGGCCCGATTGTTTCAGACTCTGTCCCACTGCACTCTGAACCCATGACTGACCTCATTTTCCCGCGCAGGAGGTTTTTCATGACCAATTCAAAAAGCTGGTCACTGATGGCGTGATCTCTGCCGAGGAAGCTCAATACCCGGACCTGGGGGAAATCCCAGAAGCGGATCCTTTGCCCGACGACGAAGATGAAGAGGAGGAGGAGGAAGAGGACGATGAAGAAGACTCCGAAGATGAGGGCCGGCGCCGAAAAAAGCCTGGGCCGAAACCCGGCTTTAAACGTGGCATGAAGGATTCTCAAAAACAGGAGCCGGATCTTCGTAAGAAACGAGGTCGACCGCCTCGCGTGGATACTCCGATGGAAACTCGGATTAAAACCATTTTGAAAGGAATCCGGAAGTTCAAGGGGCCCGGTGGCCATTTGAAGATCGCTCACTTCGAGCGTCTTCCAGACAAGGCTGCTTATCCCGATTACTACATGGAGTTCAAGGAGCCGATTGCCATCGACATAATCAAGCGCAAGGCGAAGCGCAAGAAGTACAACTCCGTCGACCATTTCATGCGGGATCTCGACGTTATGTTCGACAACGCCAAGGCCTACAACCAATCGGAAAGTCAAATTTACCGAGACGCCGTTGATTTACAAGGTGATGCCCGGAAGCTTGCTGAACAAGAGAAGAAAAAACCTGACAGCGAGTACTTGATGGAGGATGGTCGGTTCCCGTTGCCAAATGGTATCTTACATCGAGGCGAGCTGTGGAAGGTTGGAGATTGGGTCCACATACAAAACCCCAATGATGTGACAAAGCCTATTGTGGCGCAGATCTATCGGACATGGCAAGACTCCGAAAATGAACAATGGATCAATGCATGCTGGTATTATCGCCCTGAACAAACAGTTCACCACTTTGAGAAGCATTTTTACCCCAATGAAGTGGTGAAAACCGGCCAATACCGAGACCATCGAATTGATGAAATCGTCGACCGTTGCTTTGTCATGTTCTTCACTCGCTACAGTCGGGGACGGCCACGGGACTTGGCGCCCGACAAGGAGATCTATGTCTGTGAAGCTCGTTACAACGAAGAAAAGCACAAGCTTAACAAGATCAAGACATGGGCTAGCTGCCTACCCGATGAGGTCCGAGAGAAGGATTACGAAATGGATCTCTTTGATGTACCTCGGAAAATTAAGAAGATCCCCAGTCCAATTAAGCACTTGCTGAAGGAAGATGCCAAAGAAACAGATGATCTTCCCCGGCCAACCTGGGGAGCAGACAATGCGCCGCCTGTCGTGGGGGCTGTGCACCGTCGCCCTCGTGATGAAAATGAATCTCCACCTCCAGAGCCGACGCCGTCTCCACCTCCTACCCTGCCTCCATCCGCTATGGTATCGGTTACTCCCCGTCAATCTATGAACCAACCGCTCTTGGGTGCTACTATGGTGAGCTCAAGCAATGTTCCAACAGCTCCACTGCAGGCACCTATGCCCGCGCCTCCTGTGGCCCAGACTTCACCAGTACCCATTCCCCAAGCGACATTTCAACCTCCAATGAACCCACAGATGTACCAAGGTCCCAACCAACGCCGGCCAAGTAACTTTGTGCCTCAAACACCCACGAACGTGTATCAAACAACGCCAGCACCGCATCAATACTCGGCAGCACAGCCAACACCATATGCCGCCGCCCCCTACTCTACCAACCGTCTCCATGCTGCGGCACCGGTGTACAACCCCAATGCTCCACGTGAAGTAGAGGTGTTCCACCTCAGTGATGCGGCCAATGCGGCCATCCCATCTGATATCCGGCAGCAATTTCATTGCGACGAAAGAGGTCGTGTCTTATTCTTCTCAGCTCCTCCTCTAGATATAATTGTGCCAGCTCGCCCAGAGTTGGCCCACTCTCTCAAATATCTTGCTCGCAAAGAGGAACGTCAGAAGCAAGTCGCAGATCGAAAGCGCAAGCGAGAGGAAGAAGAGAAGCAACGGGCGGAAGAAGAAAAGCGACGACGCCTTGAGGAAGAGACTGATCTTGCAACCCGCGTTGAGGCTCTGGCCCCGAGAGCCATTGAATGCATGTTGAAGCAAGTCGTCGCCGGCACAGATGAGCTATACGAAACGTTCTATGGTGATCAATCCGAGAGTGCTCGGGCAGCTGACTTGAAATCTCGTGAAAGTATGATTCAAGCCGCTTGCTTTACTCGTCAACAGACGAGCTACATCCAGGCACAGTCCAGAAGGGATTGAATTGGAAACCCCGATGGCAGCACCATTTATATTCTTATTGGTGGTATATCATATGTGGGTTAATAGGGATGAGCACACGAGAGCCCTTTTTTTTTATTGTTTCTGTTTCCTGTGCAGTCCTGATTGCACTTTCATTTGGCCGAGGGCGGCATATATTTTCAGGTTCGGGTAGGGTAAGGGGCGTTTTGCAAGATGTATGATTAGATCGAGGGAGAGGTAAACCTTTGACAGCCTTGAAATGTATCTAATATTGACCTGAATGGATTATTCATTTTGAAACCGAATCTATCGAGTCTTGTCAAGAATTCCTCGATTGCTGTTTATTTGCACATTTTCATCGCCCATTTGCACTGATTTGGCACGAGTAGGGGATAAGAACTAAATGAAATATGGAAACGTAGCCAAAACCCTCTCCCAAAAGAAAACGACATCAACAATAACACCAGAAACCAACAAGGTCATTGATTCATGAAACGAATACCAAAGGTCAACAGAAGACCTAGATCAAAACAGCCTCGATATCCCGCAGACCCCAAAAGATCACAGAAGACAAAGAGATTAATACAGGAGATGGCCAGGGAAAGAGTCCAGTCTCGGAGAAAGAAACAACCATATGACGGGTCTAAATGATCCCCAAAAAAAAGAGAGAAACAAAGTGTGTAGAATAAATACTTAAAACCCAGATGGAAATCGATCAAGGAAAAACACAAAAAATCGATGAAACAACAAGCACGGTAAAAGCAAAAAGCCAATCTATAGGAGTTGGTCACAGAGTCTTGATACTGCTCCACCAAACCACAATGCCGACCAATAACAGATTAGCTAGGGCGATTTTGAGGATCTGTGAGTTGCACTTTTCTCCTGTTTCATCGATCCAAACGGGGGTTGACGCTTCGTGATGCTGTTTGTGTGCCCTAATAGAACTCCAATGAACTCTTTTTTTTTGATATCAACATGTCCAACAAATAAAAGAAAAAAAGCTTAGACGCCGTTTGGCCCGTGTCGTCGTGAGAGTAATAAAAGTATAATTAGGCGTCGTTGGAGCTCTCCTTGGTCTCGTCGGAGTTCCAAGAGGAGCTGTTACGCTTATTGCCTTCTTCCTCTTCCATGGAAAATACAAGGTCATTTTGTTCCTCTTCTTCCTCGATCTTGCTGGTCGTACCCGAGGAGATGGTTCGGTCGAGGCGGCCTGGAGCCACGGAGGAATGTCGAGCAGAACCTGGGTGAAGCGACATGCCGCCGAGCTGCTCGGAGATCATAGAGAAGGACGACTGTCTTCCGGGACTAGAGACGAATGGTGAGCCATCGTAAGAAGCTCGGCTGCCGATAGGGCCTAGACTGGGGCTGGCCGTAGCGTTGAATGCGGATTCACGGAGAGGAGAGCCGATGTGAGAGAACGAGGACGGGGCAATGCCATCGTCATCCTTCTTTTGGCGCTGTTTGGCAAACAAGGCCCCAAACCGGGAGGGGCTTGATGCTAAAGGCGAGCCATTCTTGGAAAAGCTGCTGCTCATGCCGAGACCACTGATATCATGATCTGTCCGAGACAGTCGGCGAAGCTTTTCCTGTGGAGTAAGAACATCATCATGTAAGTTCATTGGCAGGTAATCTTCTTCCATGGGGAAATTTTCATCCCAATCATCGAGAGCAGTAGGACGAGGGACGCTTGCGGATAGCATGCGTGGCTTGACGGGACGCGATGAGTGTAAGAATCGAGGTCCCACATTTTCATCGGGCGCTGGAGGCGAAGATCCGATGTTGGAGAATGGCTTGCGACGATCAGAGCTGAAGCCAATGTCACGCAGGTTCCGAAAGGCATCCGCGGGCCCAGGTCTCTGGGCGGGCGGAGAAGACAATTCCAGACCAAACTTCGATGGCATTGAAGCCGCAACTGGGCCGTATCTAGCGACATGAGATATACCTTGACTATCGAAAGATGCAGGAAGTGCTGCGTCAAGGGCGGTCAGGTGGTGGTGATTAGGTGACATGGGGAAGCGGACATCCTCCACCGGAGAACCATACTTCGAGCCGGCATCGGAGGCCACCCCTGCGTCGATTGTTGGAATCGAATCGTATGGCGGTACTTGCTGCCCATGCACAGTAGGAAAATCTTCTGGCTGTGGAGCATATCGCGTTTCCTGGCCATTCATCCGTTGCTGCGAAAGAACCGAATTTGTCAAGGCCGAGTCCTGGTTCACGTAGGCCTGCGGGTTGACCCGGCCTCCTAAGTTCAAGTGGCTACCCCCAATTCCCATACCAGCCCCTCCTCCTCCGGAACCACCAGTTGGTCGATTCACCCTCCGTCCATCTGGTAGAATGTGTGCTAAAGCACATTTGGCGCCGAACTTGCAGTTTCCCTGGTGGCAAAAAAAAAAAAAAAGAGAGAGAGAACCCGTCAGCGCCCGGTGATTGTGGATTTGTGAATAGTTGCTTGATCTATTTCCCAACAGGAATCTCAAATCAATCCCTTACCTTGGAAAAGTATTTGCAGGGAGCATAATCAATGGTCGAGTCGGTAGAGTGTAGGAATGGACAAGCGGGGCCTGCCTGGCAGGCACCTTGACGGAAGAATTTGCAGGGAACATGTTTGGTATCTGCAGATGCGGTCGGAGAATCAAAGTTAGTTTAAATGCAAGGCAAAGAAACCGAAGCCGTGAAAGCTAGAGGATCGGAGGCGCAATCGTACTCTTATTGCTCGGGTTGGGCGGGCTGCGAGCCATGTCGAGGCTCGAGGGATTGCGAGAATGACCATTTTGAAGCCCCGAGGGGACTTGCAGTGGTGCACGTCCTCTCATATCGAGGCGATCGGGATTAGATGAAGGAGGGCGAGAGGCCGAGAGCATCGCCAGAAGGTGTGGAGGAGGGGTTTCTTCGGATCGGAGAGGGAGGGGAAAGAGTCCCGGTGCGGGAGGTTTAGGTAAGACAAATCTAAGAAATCAGCGAAACTACAATGGAAAGATCTATACCAATCATTTCCCACTGGGTAAAGAGCTGAAAAAAAAAAGATATGTATATATATACCTTGATGGAAATCAGTGAAAATAAACGAGGGAAATGGAAGATGGTGATTGATTCCCAAGTGGAAGTTTATCTCTAAAGGTTCTCGTTGGTTCAGAAGTTTTGTACGCATATGCGCTGTTCATCTGATTCGCCTTGGGTTTCTTATGATCATTGTATTATCATGTATTATATGTATGTACGGTACATATTACTATTTTTGCCTCTTCTTTGGTTGCCTTCATTCCTAGAATCCTACTCATAGGTGCCCCCTGAATTAAATTTGAAATTCCGTGATGATACATATAAACTTGTGATATAAAACATCCTTGATGAGCGATCACGCGGGTTAAGAGAGTCAAGACTAACAGATAGAGAGAGACAAAAGCAGAGGAGGGGAAAGCAAGAAGCTCCCGCTCAGACCGAGCCGCAAATCACAAATGTGACTGAAGTGGAGACGTAAAGTGATCATCAAAAACCCCAGTAGTGGTTCCCCGTAGCGTCAATACCCGACCTGCGCTCATTGGAGGGTCCCTTCAAGCCCCAGTGACTCCTGCAAGCCATGTTAGCACACGACAGGTGATTCTAATCGTATGGCCATGAGTGAACACACCCAAAGCTGTTGCGATGTCATATCTTCGGGTAAAACCTCGGTGCACCTCCCCCATAGTTCCCGGCAGAAGCGACGACGGAGGGTAGCATGACGTTGCCACTGCTTCCATTCTTGTTCAAGCTTTCCTCGCTCCTCTAGGCTAAGGATGACTGCATCATCATTCTCGCCCTGATAACTTGTCAGACGGGCTTGAACCGCGTCCCGTTCCTCCTGAAGTCGTTGAATATCTTGCCGAAGATCGGAAAGCCGCGGCTTGGCCTCCAAGACTGACAGTTCAGCTCGGGCCCTTTTCTCGTCAGCTTTGATGATCGTCAACTCATCCTGGAGCTCTCCAATCTCCCGATCTCTCTCAGCAATGACCTCGGGAGTCACGCGCGGTGATGGATCCTGTAAAGCATGATAGACAACTTGTTTTCCTGCACATTCCCCAGTCCCATATTAGTAAACATGCATCGTCATTGCACCGGATCGGCTCAAAAAGGCACACCGGCAGTCCGTCTTTCAATGTCGCCATTTTGGTGTAATTCTCGTAGCAACTTAGCAGCTTGTGCTTTGATTCCAGTACTCCTGATCAGCTAGCTGCATTGGAAAATTATGGAGATGAAGCCCCTCACTCACCTTTGGAAACTTTATTGTGTAGATTCGCCGAAACTTCAATTGCCTTTCAATGTGATAAATTTGTGTCAGAGATTCGAACTCATCAGGAAATGAGTGTTGATTAATTCGTACGGAATATGGACGACTGAAAATATTCAAAATCTTGTAAGTCAGAAGCAAGTGCTATCGTGGCATCACTGGGCGTCAAACTTTTGTTCTCCTGTATATTGAGATTAGATACAATACAACAATTTTGAAGAGAATAATTACGTAGGTATTCAAGAACCATGGTGGCATCTTGTATTGTTAGTCGTGGAAAATGAGTCCTTGGCAATGTTGAAGTAACAAACCGTCAGTCTTTGCTCCCGTGTCACCTTTACTTTTGCGAGGGGCCATGGCAGCTATGGCCAACTAGTGGTGGCTTGAAATTAATTAAGATGGAAGAAATTGAAAGGTAATATTGAGGATGAGAGTTAATGGAGAAAGAGAGATGGCGAGAATAATTGAGAGGGGACATCTGGAGGAAGAGGAACAGGAACATTGAAAGGGGACAGTGCAGGACTTGAGCCCGTTTCTACCAGTGCAGCTACACAGCCATAACATAGCAATTATATATCTAAGAAGAAAAGAAAAAAAAAAAAAAAAAAAAAAAAAACTTGTGATTGATTTCATGACGGGAGACGCCTCATATCTAGTAAAGACAAAATCAAAAATGAAGTAAATAAAATGACAACCAATATGTCCAAAGGCCCCAAAGACAGCCATGATATCCCGAGCTTAAATGCAAATGTGTGGGGAAAGGAAACAACGTAAGAGTAAATCACCTCCTGAAAGGTCAAAGTGAAATTTTTTTTCCTTAAAAAAGAATAAATGAACCCGTCAAAATTCTAGAAGATAAAAAAAAAAAAGATGCGGGTGAAATTGGAGTAAGTTTAGAATGACGTTAGGGGTATCACATCACCAGCTGCACGTCTAGTTAGCTTTGGGCATCTAGAGATCCATGGAAGAGAGTTCAAAACTTACACAATCACTGTCATTCTTAGCACTTGGGACTCCCATTTCTTCAAAAGTCTTGGGGCCCTTGCTAGGTGGGGCGCTAGGTTTAGATGGCTGTGCAGCGGGCTTCTGTGCAGGCGAGGCGCTAGATGGCGGCTGCGGAGTAGAAGATGCCGAGCCCCGGGACGGCTGTCGGGATTCCATACGCGGAGGGAATGTACCGGAGGAGGGTGAGCCTGTTGTCCGAGGAGATGCTGGGGCGCGAGGGGATGGCAATGACCCCGGGTGACCACTGACTGGAGTTCGCACTGGCTTCCTGTCAGGAGGAGGCATTCCGTCGAGTCGTGTAGGTGGAGGGCGTCGGCGGTCACCCTGCGGCGGGACTGGGGCGGAATAACCGACGTCTATTCGAGGTGTTCCACCAGGACTAATCATGTTGGCCGCCTGAGGGCTTACTGGACCCGCCGGTGCGCTGACTGGTGTGCCGGGACCAGGCTGGCGATAACCCATCGGACCAGGGCCAGGGCCAGGGCCGGGTCCATAAGCTGGATTCCGAGGGCCTGGGGGGCCACCATAACCCGGAGGTCCATTGGTACGCAGGTTGGGGTTGACCCCAAACGCGGAGCTAGGTCGAGGATCAGGCATTTGATAACTGGGCTGGCCCGGCCGAGGTCGAGGAGTTGAACGATCGGGGTAGGGAGCTGCAGCTGAGGGGGAATCGGATAGAGTCATCCGGGAGGGATCGGGCATCTCAATATTTTCCGGGGTTGGGTCCAAAGAGTTACCACGCTGGTGGGCATGTCGGGTTGATTTAATTCGAGAGATAGCAACCTTCTCGTGGTCTCTCCTGGAAAGGGTCTTGGAGCGAGAGATACTGTCGATCCGGCCAGATGCATCTTTGTTGCCGCTGGCGGCAGCCTTGGCGTACCAGCTTCGAGCTTCTTTAATATCCACAGGGACAAAAATCCCGACCTCATAAAAGTAACCCAAGGCAAATTCCGCGGTAGGGAGACCGCTCTGAGCGGCCTGCTGCGCATAGGTAAATGCTAGTTCATCGTTCTTTTCGAATACGCCTTCATGTCCGCAAAGAAACCATTTGCTGATGGCCATCTCTGCTTCGGGCTCACCTTGGCGCGCTGCCAAAGCATTGTAGTGCAGGGACAGGGCCGGGTTGAAGTCACATCCAAGCTGACACAACTCATACGAGGCGCCCATCTTCACTTGAGCCTTAGCAAATCCATGGTACGCGGCCTTTTCGATATTGACGCGGGACGTGTTTAGGTCCAAAGGAAGGAAGGCTTCAGGCACGCTCACTTGCGGAAGTTCCCGAGCTAGAAGCATTCCATATACCTGCAAGTGTTGAGATGATTAAAACAGGCAAGGTCAAATCGGTCTAGTGTAAACTCACATAGGCTCCCTGCGGGGCGTTTTGGTCGCATGACTGCGCTGCAAGCCGGATGTACTCCAGGCCTCTTTGGAAATCTTGGCGTTGGCCGTGTTGGCCGAGAAGGATCATCATTCCCAAGCGCTGGAAACAGAAGTTAGAAGATCGATTCTACGAGAAATAAATGAGAGTCTCTCAAATAAAGACACGTACGTAGTAGGAAGCGGAGTCGGCCATGGCGACACCCCGCTCGTAATGTTTGATGGCCTTCTCAGGCTCCCCCGAGCTCTCAAACTGCATTCCAATCCGGTATTCTGCGCGCGCATACCCCTTCTCCGCCGCTCTGGAATAGCATCGAAAGGCGCCTTTGCGATCTACTCGGAAGCCAAACTTGCCGAACTCAAGCCACATGCCTTTAATGAACTCGGCCTTGGGATGATGCTGTTCCGCCAGGAAAGTGACGATATTCAGGGCGTCGGTCTTCAATTGGCGTTCTCCTTGGGGAGTGTGGGGCCGTGGGGGTTGCGTCAATGACAGACGGGCCTCATTTTGCGCAGCGACTTCAACGTACGCGAGTGCATCTTGGGCCCATGCCAATTGCATTTCCGGGTCTGTGGTTGACAAGACTGCCATGCGGGCGCGCTCTAGGTTAGCCTCCCGTTGCTCATCCGTAGGTGGGACGTTTGGGGGCGGATTCCGCAAGACGGGAAAAGGCGAGAAGTTGGGGTGATCCATGCTGTCATAGGTTGCCGACTGCGCATAAGCGCCATGGTCATGGACCTGGGGTTGCTGTTGCAGTTGGCCCTGAACAGCAGAGGAGGTGCGCTCGGGAAACTGGGTGCGATACTGGCCCGGTGGTGGTGGTTGCTGCTGGTATTGTTGTTGCTGTGGTTGCTGGACACGGCGGGGGTCGCGAGCGTGGTGCTCCAGTTGCGCGATATTATCCTGCATGTTTTCGGGGACTTCAGGCATGACCCTGATGGGATGAATTAGTACTCGTACCCGAGGCATCTTTGCGAAATAGCATATGGGAACATAAGGAAGGGTTAAGCACCTGCGACTGGACGTACCTTTGAGGGGAGGGGGAGATGACCTCTGGCATGTAGAAGTCATCCTGGCCCCCTGGATACCAAGTCGCACCCACCCGTGGCTGACCACGGCCCTGTGGCGGTCGGTTCATTGGTTAAAATTGGAAATCAGAGCTTGTAGAGAAAGACGGGTAAAAAAAAAAAAAACGGAAAAACAAAGGGCGTGCGAGGGGCACTTCTCTCAAGGTTCATGGGCCTCTATAAAGGAAAGGAGGGGGAAAAGAGAATAATAGAAAGAAAAAGAAATAGGGACGGTTTGTTCAAATCGCCAAGCGGAGAAAGTGAACCACAAGCCCACTTTTTTTCCCTTGGGAGCTGGAAGCCGACTTGTCCCCGCAGTGGTACTTTTCAGGTTTTGATTAAGTTAGTTATGAAGAATGAAATTGGCACGAGCTAAGTTATATAAGGGGGGTTTCAAATGTTTGATAGTATGGACATGTTACATGTAAGATTTGAACATTCAATGTTTGAATATATAGTAAGATTTAAATATACATTCAAATGTTGTATACATGCATATGTACTCAGCCCCAGGCAACTGCAGTAGCTTAGATAGTATAGGTATTTATGTACTTGAATTACCTGCAAAATGCAGAGAACAGGTCAACTGGTATGTAAATACTACACATATATGTCAAACAGGACATGCACATGTGTATAAATAGATTAACTCCGAGTTCAAAACATTTGAATACTTGTATACAAAGTACAGGTTTTTATAAACCCATAGACTAGTCCAATGGTATAAACTAGCTGTTAATTTTAAAAATCCAAGTAATCAATTGTTGCCCCTGAAAAGAAAGAGACTTATAATGTAACGGAGTAACTCATGTTGATTACGAGATGTTTCAATGTTTCAATGTTCGCCTTAAACTCCCGGCTCCACTTCTTTTCAACGGTTATTTTTATCCCTTCAATTCCGTCAAGGCAACATTGAATTCGTTTTTCCAAGCTTCTTCACTGCCTTTCAATCATGGATCGGGATTTTCATCATCCGTTCGTTCCATATGATATTCAACTTCAGTTTATGAATAATCTATATGGCTGCCTAGAAGATGGAAAAGTGGCTGTTTTCGAATCCCCCACTGGTATGTGAGACTGAAGGGGAAATTGGCCTCTTTTGATCCCGGATCTGACTAAAACGCCAACAGGTACCGTATGTGCTCCACATGGCAAAAAACCATAGGGACTCGGATCATACGCCACGATCGGCCTTTGCCCCGAATCATTGTCTTGCTGCGAGCTGATCTTGATCTAGGGTAAATCATTGAGCCTAATCTGCGCTTCACTGACTTGGCTACGAGACCACAAGCGTAAAGCTTTCCAACAAACTTTAGATCAAGCTGCTTGTACGTTTTTCCAACCTCATCTCAGTTTCCTTGACCTTTTTTTTTTCTGTGTTTTTTTTTTCTTGATTTCTTTTCAACTTTCTTCTTCTTGGATTCGGAATCTCATATCCACAGGTGACGACGATGAGCCAGAATGGATGGTTGAATTCGCTAAACGCGACTCGCGACGTGCGATCACGGAGAAGAGACAGGAGTTTGAATCTCGACTCGCAAAAATCAAAGAGGAGGAAGAACGGCTAAAACGAGCTCAAAGCATCCAAGAACGGCCTAGGAAGAAGCAGGTAAGGCTCAACCCACGAGGCCCCTTCTTTTGACATGTTCCAACTGGCTTCTCTCTTATAGCGGGTGGATGAACTAGAGCTGACGGGAGAGCGAGACGACGAGAGCCAGTTTGTTCTTGACGATTATGATAGCGAAACGGATGAAAAAAAGAAACCAAGTAACTCAAGTGGGGTTGATGGTTTGTCTGCCAGCACTCTAGCGTTATTAGAGCAGTTCAAGGGAAAGCTCTCCACTCAAGGACAGGAGGAAGAAGAAGAAGATGACAACACGGTCAAGATCTTCTACTGTTCAAGAACACACTCTCAGTTGAGTCAATTTGCTGGTGAGCTGCGGCGAGTTACATTCCCATCAAGTATACCCGATGCGCCAACTTCCGAGGACCAAGATGATCATCCGTTCAAGCTGGAAGAGCGGATAAAACACCTTTCCCTGGGATCCCGAAAAAATCTTTGTATAAACCCCAAAGTTCAAGCGCTGGAAAACAATACTGCCATCAACGAGAAGTGCTTAGATCTACAACAGTCCGGTATTGCCGCAGACAAGAAATGCAATTTTCTCCCGTCCAAGGATGATGAGGCCTTGAAACTTAGGTTTCGGGATCACGCATTGGCAACAGTCAAGGACATTGAAGATATCGCCAAAGTGGGAAAGCATATTGGCATCTGCCCCTACTATGCTTCTCGCGAGGTCATTCAGCATAGCGAGGTTGGTTGCGGTGATATTCTGCGCGATAATGGGTTCTCTACTGATAGCTCTCATAGATAGTGACACTCCCATATCCTTTGCTGCTTCAGAGGTCTGCGCGTGACGCCCTTAACCTGTCTGTTAAGGGCCATGTCGTCATAATCGATGAGGCTCATAACCTCATGGATGCGATTGCTGGTATCCACTCCGTGACAGTCTCATTGAACCAGCTGCAGACAGCAATCTCGCAGCTGACCACATATGCCCGCAAATTCAAGACACGATTGAAAGGCAAAAATCGAAACTATCTTGCTCAAGTGATCCGACTAGTCAGCTCCATTGTTGACTACCTACGGGGACTTTCACAGCGGAATAGTCCCCCAGAGGGTTCGGTTCTGACTTCGGATCTCATGGCGGGCAAGGGAGTTGATCAGATCAATCCCTACAAGTTGTCTCGGTATCTACAAGAGAGTAAGTTGGCTCGGAAGGTAGATGGGTATGTTGAGTCGTCGGAAAAATCCCAACCAGCCCCTCAAAGAGTCAAAACGACCATGCCCGTCCTCTTCCATATCCAGAGTTTCCTCCTTCCTTTAATGAACCCCTCGGAAGAGGGAAGGCTCTTCTACCAAAAGAATAACGACGATGTGGTGTTGAAATACATGCTTCTTGATCCTACAAATCACTTTCGGGAGATTGTCGAAGACGCTCGAGCAGTGATTCTGGCGGGTGGAACAATGTCTCCGGTGAGATTCTGTTATTTTCCATTCTCCTCACCCTAGAACCTACTACTGACATTTTAGATAGATGTCTGATTATGCAAACCATTTGTTCTCATACGTCGCCCCCGAAAGACTCGACACATTCAGTTTCGGTCACGTTATTCCACATACAAACTTGGTGGCACAATCATTAACCCGAGGGATCCTGGGCTCAGATTTCGACTTCACATATGAAGCCCGTGGATCCGAAAAGATGGTCAGATCTCTCCATGCTGGTTGACTAGCTCAACACAGTATGTTTCAATTCTTTCTGACACTTCTTATACAGATCACCGATCTCGGGCGAACTATAGCCACGCTCTGCCAAGTCATTCCCGATGGAGTCGTTGCGTTCTTCCCAAGTTATGACTACCTGAGCCAGGTTTTGACCGTGTGGCAAAAACCAATTGCAAATGGCAATGGCCAAACGGTTCTTAGCCTAATCGAGGGGAAGAAGAAGATTCTTTACGAATCCCGTGAATCAATGGTAACCACTGATAATTTGCTACACGAATACACCGAAGCTGTCGAATCGGGATCTGGTGCGTTGCTGTTATCAGTGGTTGGCGGGAAATTATCAGAAGGTATCAATTTTTCTGATCGACTGGGGCGGGCTGTTTTGATCATTGGCTTGCCTTTTCCCAACATCCGAAGCGCTGTTTGGCAGGCTAAAATCAAGTACCTTGAAGAAAAGGCCTACAAGCATGGGTCAGGATCAGAATCCGAGAAAAAGGCCAATGCCTCAGCTGCGGGTAGAGACTTTTATGAGAACTCTTGCATGCGAGCCGTCAATCAGTGCATCGGACGAGCGATTAGACATGTAAATGACTATGCAGCCATCATCATGCTGGATCGAAGGTATGATACACCGCGTATTCAGAAAAAGCTGCCGGGCTGGATCCAAGGGAGTTTAGTAGCGTCCTCAGCCGCAAGGCCAGCCCAGATGACTGTGCAACGCCTTTCCCGATTTTTTGCAGAGAAGTCATGATTCACGAATATCTTTTATAGATGGACGCAAGATCAAAACAATCAAAACAGTATTTACATGATACGCAATCTAAATCCATGCAAATTCAACAAGTCTAGTAGAAAATGTCATCAATCTGTACTATGTACTTGGGGCATTTACTAGTTACGTGGATTTACATAACTACTGTAGTTTGTAATGTTCTTCCGAATTAGGAAGGCGGTATTCCGAGTCCATGGTACAGTCGCCATGTCACATGACATGGGCAGCCCCAAGAAAGGGTTTGACCCTATCACGGGACAAGCGAAGTATTAGCGCACACTCTAGCAGGCGCGAAGCGTGGATTTCAACATCAGCAGCCGGAAGTATCCACGTCCCTTCCCCCCTTCAACGCCATAATCTCGAACCGGTCTTGTCGAGAACACCACCGCCGACAAGATGCCTACCCGTTTTTCGAACACCCGGAAGCAGTGAGTCGCCCTCCTGTCCTCGCCGCTGGAAGTTTTTTTTTTGGTTTCGGGAGGAAATTCATGATCGGCGCAATTTCGAGATTGCTGCATCACGACACATCTTCACCTTCAGTCGGCCTCGATCAGCAAGATACTAACCTGCATTTCTTCCATAGCCGTGGCCATGTGTCCGCCGGTTACGGTCGTGTCGGCAAGCACCGCAAGAGCCCCGGTGGTCGTGGTATGGCCGGTGGTCAGCACCACCACCGTACCAACATTGACAAGTACCACCCCGGTTACTTCGGTAAGGTCGGTATGCGCTACTTCCACAAGACCAAGCAACAGTTCTGGAAGCCCACTATCAACCTCGACAAGGTACGTGACCAACGAACGAAGTCGATCCTTTTTTTGTTTTTTTGTTTTCGAAGATGGAACCCAGCAAGGCAAATAATTGTGTATTTGGGAATCAAGGCCCATCAGGAGTGCGGCCTGGATTTCGCTTTATTTGAATGGATCGAAATGAACAAATTGTCGCAAAGATTTGGCTAACCAGAAATTTTTCATTTACAGCTGTGGTCCCTCGTCCCCGCTGAGCAGCGTGACGCCTACGTGAGCGGCCAGAAGACCGACACCGCCCCCGTCATCGACCTCCTCCCCCTCGGTTACTCCAAGGTTCTCGGCAAGGGCCGTCTCCCCCAGATTCCCGTTGTCGTTCGTGCCCGTTACTTCTCCCGCGATGCCGAGCAGAAGATCATCGAGGCCGGTGGTGTCTGTGAGCTGGTCGCATAAGTGTTTATTCGGTGTTTATCTTGGAGAAGGCGGGTGAATCGGGGCAATCGCAGCCCTAGCTGCATTCGGTCTTAAAGTGGAGGATCAAAGTCTTTCTGCCTTGAGGAGGACCATCGGAACTCAAAAAAAAGAACGCCACGGACCGAAATGGTTGGCCCTGGTGCCTGAAAAGAAAAAGGGTTTTTGTGTATGCAAGCAGCATAGCATGGCCTCCGAATGCCCTTACGATTTCACATTGTGTTAAACAAATACCACAAGGAGGATTTTTTCAAAATTTGCATCTCCCGGTTTGACTGGTATTTGATAATGGTATTTCACCCACGGCATATCTATGTCTCTTCGTTGTGTAGACCCTCGTGACCTACGGCTGTTCGACATGGCCTTCGAATGTATACGGTGGAGGACTTTTGAAGGCTTATGGCAAAGCTGCTGTCATTGTACAGTTCCAGTGACCATGCTACATCGGTTGGGTAACTCCCGAATCGTAGATCTTACGAGCAGTAAAAGACCAAAAAAGAGGTCATAAGTCCCAAGTCATATTCTCTTGTGACAATGATCGTCTACATCATGGGCTCATAGCCGTAGCACTTTTAGATCTTAGATTCCCGCACCGAACCCCTACGCTCCTTGTTGCTCTCATTGATTGCCAATGTCTCGCTGATGAACCGAACAGCCTCATTAACCATCTTAGGAGTAACCTCGTGGCCTGCTGCCTGGTCAATTATATCCTCAAACGTGACTGCACCATCCCCAAACCAGCCATTGGATGAAATTGCACTCTTGAACCATGTCAAAAAGGCTTCACCTCGGTGGTATGGTACAAGCTTGTCAACACCGCCAGACAAGTTCAGGATACGCTTGCCCGCCAGGCATCGTGTCAGCAAAGGACGAAGCTCCTGCTGTTCCTGATCCGTGGGTGCAGGCAAGATTCCATCACGCAATGGGCCAGGTGCACTCTTCACATGCTTGAGCATAAGACTGGCAGGATCATATTGTTTGACGATATCCACAAATGAAGCGGGCAAGGCCTCGGAGCCCAGGATCTCAGCTCCTGGTGGATCGCTCTTTGTCCAAGAGGGTAGTTTCGACAGTCGTGCACGATCCACCATCAAATTTAGATAATCGGGACAACCAATGATAACCACACCCGCGCTGATGCGAGGCTCGTGCAACAGGCAGCTCCAAGCGGCATGTCCGCCAAGGGACACACCCAGAACTAAATTCTCGGAGATTTTATGCTCGCCATTCGGGAAAACGAATGCAGCAAGGTAGTCCATTAATAAAGAAGTATCCCTTGCAGTTCCCTCTGAAGCATTTCCGCCGATTAGATATTGATCCTCACATGGGCATTTTAAAAATGCGGGGGTTTATACATATATATCCATGGATATACGTAGGTTATTTTTGTAAAAGAAAAACTCACGGAAGATAGAAAACATGTCCTGTGCATGACGCGGATTGCCTTGTCGCCAGGCCTCATTAGCCAGTGGATCTACCATTCTGGTACCATGATTACGCTGATCAAATGAGACGGCAATGAGACCTTTAGCGGTTGGGGTCTCATTGGTCTTGGTGTTCCAGTCGGTAATGGTAGATGCGGCGATATCAGTCATTCGCTCTTGGGTTGCCAAACGAGGATGCAACAGCCAGAGACAGGCTACCTCGGTGGCCTGCGAAGAAAGCTCTTCGAGTCCAAAGACTGTGACTGAAATTCCAGCAATGGCGTAGACCCTTTGCGATACGGCGGCTGGCTTGGGCCGGCCTGAGTCTAGGGTCTTCATTGGATCGGTCATGTTGGTGAAGGGGGGATTTCACGCGTGAAACAAGAAATGGGTTGAAACAAGAGAAGAAATTCAAGTAAGTCCTAGTATGCAATGGCTCTCGAATGAAGCCCAAATCCAAAGATATGGTAAAGGAAACAATCGGATTATGTTAGAAGGCGATTCGGGTATATGTACACGAAGGAGCCGAGGGCCGGAGACACCACTAGAGTACTTTCTCACTAGTGTCAATGCAACTATGCATGTATTGATTTGGATATTATTAGTGTTTCAAAAAAAAAAAAAAAAAAAAAAAAAACTTGATCTATAACTTCAATATTAGACCAATATTTACCAAGAGCTCCATATTGGAAAACTTGCCATACCAACTTGAAGTGAACAACTCAGGAGAAACCCACCACACGTGACTTGTGCCTGAGGCCAGAATGGTCGTATTTGGAAAAAGACAAACGTGCAATTTGAGAAGCGACAGATTGACTTATACAAGACTTGAACATATTCAGATCTTTTTTCTTTTCTTTTCTTTTCAAGTCATCGCCTTCTCCAACCTTACTTAACCTGTCATACCAGAGTACATGAAATATCATTGGACCTGTATAATCTCCCGTCGTTTTACTATCTTCGAAACTCCCCTTTTTATTGTTTTCTACCACCCGTTTCTTGGCTAGCTTAGCGGGTCCTCTCCATTCGGAGACATTCTGTTACTGGGCGGTAGATCCACCGCGGTTGCGAACTAATTTGGACGACCTGCGCTCCTTTAAATGTCAACACTCGCGTGGGCTATACTTTCCCACTGCTAAAGAGGCCAGGTCCGGTCTGTAATTCTATCCTGAGCATGAAATTCGGAGGATCCGACTATTCATGACAGGGTCTTAATTCATCCCGCATTGTACGTAACCCCAGGTTTCGACCACACCAGCAGCTGCAAACTGACGATTACCACACAGCATGACCGACGCAATGTTAGCCTCTTCTTCTAGGGAGGCAGGTCGCAGCTCCGAAATCGACCAGACCAAGAAACCAGATCCCATCTCCACCTCGAATGCACCGAAGCTGTCCTCGCCGTTTCCCTCTCCGACCGAAGCTAAACGGCCAGCGTCATCCAAATTAGCTCCATCTACAGACGTGAACGAAGGTGACCAGGGTTGTGAAACATCACAGGCAGCCAAAGAAGCCTATTCTGGAACTCAAAGCAAGGAGAATTTCCGTTCCTCTTCAACACAGCGCGATCCGCCGAGAGAGGGATCATCCCTGAACACTCGACCGCCCAACAAGTCTACTGAGGACAATCCGATTTCCCTACCCCACCACAAGCACCAGCATTCCGCTACAGGCATCTCCCCTCCTTCTCGTGCACCGAGTGTTCAATTCCGAGAAACCGATACAGAAGCTGCCGAACTGCCCCAATCTCGACCACAATCCCGACCCACATCTTTGTATGGTGATGATGGGGAACAAACAGCGAGGGGCAGGTCGTTCATTACAAAACTGAAGTCGTCTTTTACTTCCCACTCGCGCTCCGCCAGCGGCGGTGCAGTCCCAGAATTTCGGCAACCCCCTCCGGAGCTGGCGACCCCCGGCTCTGAACGGGGTGAATTTCGCTTTCCCGAGCCATTACCAGAAGAGGGCAGTGATATTGAGGCCGATGCGGAGGAGAGTGGTGCAGAGCACACGGATCGGCCCAAACGAAAGAAGATATTGCGACGCCCTCGAACAGAGGAGGAGGATGCAGACAATCGAACGGCACCCACTACGCCCAAAGCTGGCCGTCGACCTTCCTTCCACTTCTCCTCATCTTTTGCACCATTCGAGAACTATCGGCAAAATATATTTCCCCGGAGAGCTAGTACAACTGACTTTACTCCACAGCCACGGGAAGGCGTGTCGGAGGATGAAGGCCGTGAAAGGCTTAATCGGCGAAAAAGAAGTGCATGGGCTGGAGCCCGTGGCATGTCCTACATTGGGCGGCAGCAGGCGGAGGAAAATCAAGAGGAACAACGACCAAGTCAACTAAGGCGGCTTACCGGTTTGGCCGGTCCCTCGGAGAATGCCGAGAGCCTCGCAGCCACCTGGAGACGCCATCGAAACGAACGCGGCACCAGTGCCAGCGCCCAACGATGGAGGCAGATTAAAGCTGGTTTCAAGCTTATTGGGCAGCGACGAAAGGTTGATAACACGATAGATAATAAGAAGTCAGCAGAGCTTCTTGCTGAGCTGTCATCGGCCGTGCCAGCTGCCTTGATCTTGGCCAGTTTTTTCCAAAGAGATGAACACGGAAGCAAACGAATCCCGATTCTCTTGGAACAAGTGAAGGTTCGTGTGACAGATAGTCGCATAGATTCCCACTCTGGCGACCGTCACCTGGTTTTCCGTATCGAATTGGAGTATGGCAGTGGCATGACTCGAATGAAATGGATCATCTTTCGAACGTTGAAAGACTTTGCCAACCTGCATTTGAAGTACAAACTTCATCTTGGGACTCAGAAGTATATTCAATTGCGGACAAGTGAGAACAGCCCAAGTCTCCCTCGTTTCCCCAGGAGCGCATTCCCATACTTGCGAGGTGTTAGAGGACTGGAAAGCGAGTTCGAAGATGAAGATGAAGATGGTGGTTATGAGACTGGACCAGAGCCAACAAGTGGAACCGAGAGGGCAGGGAAGAAGAAGAAGCAGACCCAGCAACATCAACGCCGCCCTTCTGGTCCTCTCGCGCGTCGAAAGTCTAGCATCACGAATCCCCAGGAAGGTGAATCTGCTATAACTCCTTCATTGACTCACGAAGGAGCCCAAGGTGGTAAAAAGGAAACATACCCAGAAAGACAACGCAAGAAGCTTGAGATGTACTTGCAGAAGATGATCCGTTTCCTGATCTTCCGAGCTGACAGCAATCGTCTTTGCAAGTTTCTTGAGTTGTCCGCTCTTGGAGTTCGTCTCGCTGCCGAAGGTAGTTATCACGGTAAAGAGGGTTTCCTCATAATCCAGTCATCCAAGGGCCTGGATTTCCGGAGAGCCTTGAATCCTTCTCTTATCAAGAAGCGTCACTGGCCTAAATGGTTCCTTGTCCGACACAGCTACGTGGTTTGTGTAGATTCACCTGAGGAAATGAACATTTATGATGTATTCCTTGTGGACTCGCATTTCAAAATTACGACGCCGAAGATCAGTCTCCGCAATCAAAAAGCGAAGGACCTGGCCAAATCTGCAAAGCAATCAGCGAGACATCCTCAGCACCATACCTTAAGACTTGAAAACTCCGAGCGCAAACTAAAACTGCTTGCCCGAAATGAGCGTCAACTCCAGCAGTTCGATGATTCCATCCGATTCATGGCTCAAAACACCCCTTGGATGCGCCCTAATCGATTCGACAGCTTCGCTCCAGTCCGACAGAAATGTTTTGCACAGTGGCTTGTCGATGCCCGGGATCACATGTGGGTTGTTTCGAGAGCCATCAACCAGGCCAAAGATGTCATTTACATTCATGACTGGTGGTTGAGTCCGGAGCTGTATATGCGACGACCGGCTGCTATCAGCCAAAAGTGGCGATTGGATCGTCTCCTACAGCAAAAGGCACGCGAAGGTGTCAAGATCTTCGTCATCATGTACCGAAACATCAACTCCGCCATTCCTATTGACTCTGAATACTCGAAGTTTTCTCTTCTTGAACTTCACCCCAACATTTTTGTCCAGAGATCCCCGAATCAATTCCGTCAAAACACTTTCTTTTGGGCTCATCACGAGAAGCTCTGTCTCATTGACCACACATTGGCTTTTGTCGGAGGTATCGACCTGTGCTTCGGGCGTTGGGATACGCCTCAGCATAAACTGACCGACGACAAGCCTACTGGCTTTGAAACCGCAGACATGCACAAGGATCCAGACAACTGTCAATTATGGCCCGGTAAAGATTATTCAAACCCACGTATCCAAGACTTTTATGATCTAGACAAACCATACGAAGAGATGTATGATCGGAACGTTGTCCCCCGGATGCCTTGGCATGATATTTCAATGCATGTGGTCGGACAACCCGCTCGTGATCTTACCCGCCATTTTGTCCAGCGTTGGAATTACATCCTCCGTCAGCGGAAACCAACGCGTCCCACACCGTTCCTACTGCCTCCTCCAGATTTCAATCCGGCTGATTTAGAAGCTCTGGGTCTGGATGGAACATGTGAAGTGCAGATCTTACGGTCCAGCAGCATGTGGTCCACTGGCACTCCGGACGTCACTGAGCATAGTATCATGAATGCCTATGTCAAGCTGATCGAAGAATCTGAGCATTTTGTATACATTGAGAATCAATTCTTCATCAGCACCTGCGAAATCGATGGACGAAAGATTGAGAACCTGATTGGTGATGCCTTGGTGGAACGAATTGTTCGTGCAGCAAAGAATGGGGAAGCATGGCGCGCTGTCATTGTCATTCCTCTGATGCCAGGTTTCCAAAATACTGTGGATAGTGAGGGTGGAACCAGTGTGCGTCTTATCATGCAATGCCAATACCGTAGCATTTGTCGCGGCGAGACATCCATCTTTGGCCGTCTTCGCGCGCTGGGTATCGAGCCAGAGGACTTTATCCAGTTCTTCAGCTTGCGAACTTGGGGCAAAATTGGTCCGCAGCAACAGGTGGTGACCGAACAGCTCTATATCCATGCCAAGTGCATGGTTGTCGATGATCGGGCTGCGATTATTGGGTCAGCAAACATTAACGAACGTTCGATGCTGGGTTCTCGTGATTCGGAGGTGGCATCTGTGGTCCGTGATACCGATATGATCACATCCACTATGAACGGCAAACCGTATCTCGTCGGCCGATTCCCACATACCCTTCGCATGCGGCTGATGCGGGAGCATCTTGGAATTGATGTTGACGAGCTCTTGGAGCATGACCTTGCCACTGAAGAGGAGCTGCGCAAGATACAGGATGCCGAGGACGATAGTAGACCAGCAGGTGAGCGGCAGCAACGTGACTCGGAATCGTCGGTCATTGAGCGACAAGACGAGCGAGAGATGATCGAGCGTCGGCACCGTGTTCAAGATGAATTCTTATCCCGCTCCGAAGATATGCACAGTTTCAACCATGATGTCGACTGGGAGCAAGGCAACAATCCGAATCTCAAGAGTAACCGGAGGTTAACTGCCGATCCTCGCGTTACAGATAACTCTGAACATCGGAAGGATGTAGATGGCGAAGGCGTTGACAATTTGAAAGCTGCCGAGAAAGCAGGTCGGGGAGTCGGTCGCGATTCGCAAATATCACCGGTTGGCAGGGAGGCACTTGTCTCTCCGATTCATCCCGAGGGCAAAGGTACTGTTCAACAGCAAAAGCAGTCTTCGCCGCAAAAGCCTTCTCGGGCCAAATCGACCCGTGTGGATACGAAGCCCAAGTCTTCAACGGAAGGCCCCCGCGACTCTGAAAACAATACCAGCTCAGATACCCCGTCGCACGGCCATGGTGTTTCTGAATCGTCAAGCCGAGACTCGGAATCCGGCCTCGGTAATCCGATGATGTCCAAAGACAACCATGATCATTCTCGATATGGACATGCCCAGGATCTCAAGCGTGTTTTTATTGACAAGGACTGCATGAAAGACCCGGTGAACGATGCGTTCTATTTGGATACTTGGCAGGCCGTTGCCGAAAAGAACACAAAGATTTACCGATCTGTCTTTAGGTGTATGCCTGACAGCGAGGTCAAAAACTGGAAGGAATACAAGGAATACGCTGCCTACGGTGAGCGCTTTGCAGAGATGCAAAGCCACCCAACCAGTAAACCCAACCCGGCTACGCAGCGACAGACTGGTCCTGGAGGAGGCTGTTCGGCTTCTGCGCCCATTGGCTCACCAATCTCCGTGGTCAGCCCCAAGACTGAAGTGCCTATTGTTGAACCCAAGGCCGCACAAAGACTTGACGAAAAGGCTGGACTGCAAACAGCTGCTGCTGGTGATCGACCGCTCTCTGAGCATGCAAAGCAAGAAACTGTATCCTTTGTTGACGAGAAGTTCCGTCTTAAGACCGCGTCTGAACCACACTTGCTGAGCACCGTACTAAATGGGAATCATGATAACCCTACTGTCGGAGAGGATGTTGAAAAGCCCCGCTCCAATTCGGCGCATGTCGACTACTCCGAGGCAGTAAACCTCAATGCCTCTCAATCACGGAGGCGTAGACGAAGAGCCACGACTATTGGTTCCAAGCAGTTCCATGCTACAGATGATGTGATGGATAAGGATCAAGCAGAGGATCTTCTGAACAAGACTCAAGGCCATCTCATTCTTTGGCCGTACGATTGGTACGTTTGCCTGAACACTCGAGGGAAAGAAACATGTTGCTAATTGAACAATTTCACAGGCTTGAAAAGGAAGAACAGGGTGGCAATTGGCTTTACGCTTTGGATCAAATCTCACCCTTGGAAATTTAGTAAGTTTCATTATTCTGATCATATAGTTCGAAACGCGCAACTAACCTCTTCATAGCAACTAATCTCACTTGCACTCGCACTGGAAGGCGTCCTATGACTTCTCGTTCAAACCCCCATTAATCTCTTTGAGTTCATCATTTTGTTATATTACATTCTCGCCTATCTTATTGTGTTCTTGAGCGCCTCTGTTCTGGTAGATGCATTGTCTCTTTAGTTTTTGAAGGGTGGTCAATTTCTATAGACTTTTTTTTTGCTATGGGCCAGCATCCGGGCGTCCATACTCCAATTCCTAGATAAAGTTATTCAAATGTTTGATTAAATTGAACTTTGGAATGTGAATTTCTCCGGAGAAGAGATGTAGGTGCTTTAACATAATGTAGGTGCTATATATACAGGGTATCATTTGTCCATTGCTGGATCCGTCCTCAATAAGTGACTAATTTACAAACATAGCACTGATCAGCCAGCTCTGGGGCTAACCAGCAGGGCGCACAATTTGGTCTCTGATTCTGTCCAATCCATAAAAATTGGCTTCAAGGGCAGTTGTCAGGATCGAACACTGTTTTCCAAGCACCTTCCAATTATCGCATGCGCGACTAAGCTGCTCATGTGCCACGCTGAGAGCATTTTGCAGTTCAAGTGTTCGAGTACATGAACGGCCGAGATCGTTCATTAAATGAGTTGGATCCTGAATACAAAGCCTGCGGTCCACGTGCGCATTCCCTTTTGCGGCAGCAGTGCGCTTCGCATTAATTAGCGACCGCTGGCCACGGCGATAGGCAGGCTCGGCTTCCTCTCCAGTAGAAAGCCGTAAGGTGTCAGCGCCAAAAAACCCCGCGGGGTTAACAGCAACACCCACTGACGGGAGATTGACATCGGTACCATAGAACCGGAGAAGATCCAGAAACTGGTTACCTAGAACTTGGGGCCCGGAGTAGTGGCCGCGGTTCATTTTAAGAAAAGCGACTATCAAGATCACCAGGGCTTCAGGCGCGATGCTGGCCTGTGAAGACCCAAAAAGACCGCGAGACTCCAGTAACGCTCGGACCCCAGTATATAGGGGTCGGAGGGCGGGGTACTCGACTATGGAGTCTTGGATATATCTTGTGATGGCTGGAACGCTCTCACCACAATGGAAGCGCAGTAGCAAACCCGTTGGCCTGTGCCGGGCCGCGATAACAGGTCTGCCCTTTGTGGACCAGTGGACCTGGCCAGTAAAGACAGGATTCTCCTGTAATGTAGATTCTACCTGGCGCAACAGGTTGACATGTGCCTCTCGGATTTTCGGTCGTGTAGCGCTTGGCCCTCGAGGGCTATGTCGAGACCGTGGGAGATCTTCGAAGGGGAGAAGGAAGTTCAGGTCCGAATGCGCCAGCGCCAGGCCTGTATGATGGGAACCGATGATCTGCGGTGCTTGTGGAGCTACCGGTTCAAGCAGAGATTTGATCTCTGCGCTCACCTGGGTGATCCGACTCTGTTCACTCGGAGTTGGGGCCAAATACTGGTGCAGGGCCCGAATCTCCGCATCCAAGTGTACGGCAGCATCGCCAGCAACACTCACTGGAGCTAGAAAGCCAAGCCACGGTTTCTGTTCTGGTGCGCTTTCGTCTGCGGTTCGAATCGCATTTATTAGGTGATTATCTAGCCCCGGGGGTTTCGTTTCAAGAATGCGACTGCGAGCTCGAGCATGCTTTTTGGCGGGTTTTTTAGCTTCCGACTCATCTGGCACGGGGATCGCAGGCTCTGGTGGACGGTAACCTGCGCGATTTTCTGGGGGGATCCAAGGGCGAAAAAGTCCGGCGGCCGGGGTACGGGGGTATATTTTGCGGATCAGGCGGGCCCGATTCGAGGAGCGATGCGCCTCTAGGGTTTTTTGAAGACTGTTTGGAACAACGTCGGCCTCCTGAGCGGGAATATTACGGATTCGCCGGGGCACATGGTGGGAAAGACGAGTGGATTGGATGCCGGACAACCGCATCGCCACGAGCGGATCATGGGAAAAGAGAGAAAAGAGGAATTTCCAACCGAGAAGCTGTTATGAACATGGGGGTCTGGTGGCCTGAGGCAGCGGTTTGGGCGGTTGGGCGTAAAAAAAGATTTGAACTGAACTTTGGAATACGATGCATGATAATCAGGAATAATCAGGTATAAATCGGTAATAATTGGGTCTGATATTATCTTATTGGAATACTAGTAGTACATACATATCTTCATATCTTACCTTGGTACTAGTAGTTGAAAAATCCCCGAAAGGTCATAAAAATAGATTCTAAGAGATATTGATATATCGTACTATATAATCTTGGTTCATACATTACTACTCATGACGTCGAACTGATATCTATCTTTCTCTTTCTTTCTTTTCTTGATTACAAGTACCTGTTATACTTGGGAACTGTACAGTACGTTCTGGCCAAACCGGGAGCAACTCCACTGTGCCTGATTCGGCCGGTGGCTTTATTCTCACACCGCTTGCCCCTCCAACTTTATCTACAAGTACTTTCCCCTCTTCCCCCCCATTCGGTGGATTGTACTATTGGGAAACAAGAAAGAGAAGAAGCAAGAGGAAAGAAAGAAAAGAAAAAAAGAAAGGAATTACTCATATGGTTGTATGCCAGTAGTTCCTCATCTTCATCTTGCGCCTGGTGCTCTAAGAGGTAATCCAACCCTCGGTTGAACCAACCTGACGCCTTCCATTCCGCCAACGTCAGAGTTCCCTGACACCGAAAAGGATAAGAGAGGTTGCATGTGACAATTGCAGACTAACAGTTTGCAGCCAAATTGCCAGCCTCACTCGTCTACAACTTACCTCCATAACTCGATATATCTACCTGATGTCTGATTCAGAGAGCTCCCCCACGCAGGTGCCCGACGGTCAGCCGGACCCGGTACTCGTGGGACCGGGGCTAACGGCCTTAAAGCAAGCGGCCTATATCGATGCTACCAATGCCACCCCGAGCTTAGATACCGACAAAAAGAATCAACTGGATAGCGATGGACCATCATACTTTGCCAATATTCCCGGAACTAAAACCGAGGGATTGGATCCATCAGATCTATCCTCCATCTCAAAGGAGTTGCAGGGGAAATCGCCGTCGGGACAAGACTTATTACGACGCCTAAGCTTAGTAGGAGAATCATCTCCCATCTTATCGGAGGTGGACCCCAGGACCCAACATCCTGAATTAAAGCTGAGTGGTCGATTGATAAGTGCAGCCTTCTGTATTCCATACAAGCTTCAATTTCAAGCAGACGCCGACTGGGTATGTTATCGATTCCTTGTACACCTGACTTGAAGAGAATGGCCAACTGATCCATTGCCCGCGGGAGAAACCAGTCCATCAAGTCCCGCTCTGGTTCTTCGGCCTTGTTTGATTCATTCGCCCACCTTGCCTCGGATGAGACCCCCTGGTCACATACTTTGGTGGGATGGACTGGAGAGGTTGAACCCATTATAGATGCCAAGGTTCCCTTGCAACCCATCCCCGCCAACAAGTTGCCGCCTGGGTCAAAGAATCCAACCCCCGTCCCTATTAACAAAGCCGCGGCACCGATCCCCGTAAATGCAACCCAGAAGCCTCCATCGCACCCTTTAGTCGATGGAATTAGTGTCGGACGACAAGACCGAGAGAGACTGGATAGTCAACTAGCCTCGGGGCGACACGGCCGGATATTGCCAGTCTGGTTATCTGACGCATCAGAGGAGCCAGAAGACACTATTGTTCTCAAGGATCAAGGACGATGGCGACGATATGCCGAGAGAGAGCTCTACCCTCTCCTACACTACAAGCAGCATGGTCCGACGGATGGACGCTCGGAGCGACGGTGGTGGGCTGATTATGTCCGACTGAACCAGTTATTCGCCGACCGTATCGTGCAAGATTATAAAGAGGGTGATGTCGTGTGGGTTCATGACTATCATCTGTTTCTTCTACCCAGTCTGCTTCGACAGCGGATCCCCGACATCTACATAGGATTCTTTCTTCATTCTCCTTTCCCAAGTAGTGAGTTTGTGAGATGCTTGGCTAAGCGCAAGGAGATTTTGACTGGTGTTCTTGGTGCAAACATGATCGGTTTCCAGACATTCTCATACTCCCGACACTTCTCTTCCTGCTGCACACGTGTTTTGGGCTTTGATTCCAACTCGGCCGGTGTGGATGCATACGGAGCTCATGTCGCAGTGGATGTATTCCCCATCGGAATCGATGCCCGTGCAATCCAAAAGGCTGCCTTTGGTGCCCCGGAGATTGAGAAGGCAGTGGCAGGTATTCGCAAACTGTATGCTGGGCGCAAAATCATCGTTGGCCGAGACCGGCTGGACAGCGTGCGGGGTGTGGCACAAAAGCTTCAGGCATTTGAGCTATTCCTGGAGCGGTACCCTGAATGGCGAGAAAAGGTTGTCCTCATTCAGGTAACCAGCCCAACCAGTATGGAAGAAGAGAAAGAGGATCCAGAGAACAAGATTGCCGGTCAGATTTCCAATCTGGTATCTACGATCAATGGTCGCTTTGGCTCACTGAGCTTCTCACCCGTGCAATACTATCCACAGTACCTATCACCCCACGAATACTTTGCTCTATTGCGCGTGGCCGACGTCGGGCTCATTACCACGGTACGAGACGGCATGAACACCACCAGTTTGGAGTATATCGTCTGCCAGCAAACAAACCACAGCCCCCTCATTCTCTCTGAATTTTCTGGTACTGCAGGTACCCTTCCTAGCGCAATCCACATCAACCCGTGGGACTTGGTGGGTGTTGCGGGTGCCATTGATCAAGCTCTCAAGATGCCCGCACCTCAGCGGAGAGAGCAACACCTGAAGCTCTACAAGCATGTTCTTACCAACACAGTGAGCGCCTGGTCGCGCCAGTTCCTTCACCGGTTGCTCACAAACCTCTCGTCGTTTGATCAATCCGTTGCTACACCAGCCTTGGACCGTGCGAAAGTAGTCAAGCAATATCGCAAAGCACGGAAACGCCTTTTCATGTTCGACTACGATGGCACGCTGACACCCATTGTGAAGGATCCGCAAGCGGCCATTCCATCCGACCGTGTCCTACGTACCCTCAAAACGTTGTCCGCCGACCCTCGTAATGCTGTTTGGATTATTAGCGGCCGAGACCAGGCTTTCTTGGATGAATGGATGGGTCATATCCCCGAGCTAGGACTTAGTGCCGAGCATGGCTGCTTCATCCGTCAGCCGGGCTCCGACGACTGGAAGAACCTGGCTGATAAGCCCGACATCAAAGAATGGCAAAAAGATGTCTTTGATGTCTTCCAGCATTATACCGAACGGACCGGGGGATCATTCATTGAGCGAAAACGAGTGGCACTGACCTGGCATTACCGTCGGTCTGACCCGGAGTACGGCAAATTCCAAGCCCAGGAGTGCCGGAAGGCATTGGAAGACACCGTAGCCAAGAAGTGGGATGTGGAGGTCATGGCAGGCAAAGCAAACCTTGAAGTTCGGCCCACGTTTGTCAACAAAGGTTTCATCGCCACGCGATTGGTGAATGAATATGGCACGGGGCCTGGCCAAGCGCCCGAGTTCATCTTGTGCTTAGGAGACGATTTTACGGATGAAGGTATGTAGGATCGATATGATAACCCTGCACATGTGGCCCATATCGAATCAACTTTGCTAATGATCTGTCTTTTCAGATATGTTCCGTGCGCTCCAGAAGTTTGACCTGCCGCAAGACCACGTCTATTCAGTGACGGTGGGTGCTAGCTCGAAGCAAACGGACGCTAGCTGGCACTTGCTGGAACCGGCTGATGTGATCAACACTATTCAAATGCTTAATCACAGTTCCAATCAGGACCATTGAAAGGCCCCGAGAGACCCTATAAACTGGGTAGTCCTACTATCTTCCATTCTGGGGGAGGGGAAGGGCTCTCTGGATGCACTGGATGCCATACCCAGGTGACCTGGGCAACCAGATCATGCATTTTACTCATGACTTTATTTCACATTCATCGTACACGAACCCATTCTGATTAGCTGACTTAAAAAAGAGGCCCTCTCTTTTCAATTTCCTTTCTTCACCCCACACTTTTTGATCTGCTGCTGGGGGTGTGGCGCTTTTTTTATGTATGTCATGAACGGTACGTGGCCTTTTGTTTAATTTTTTTTGTTCGCTTTTTATTTATTATTTATCTTTTTTTTTTTTGTAATGCTTGCCATAGATGCATGAGCCTCGAATTGTCAATATGTTAGATAGCGATTTGCTCAGTGGAATTGGGCGGAGTTTTTTTCTCTTATTTCTTCCCCGAACAACATTTCTGAGTGTACATGAAGTCGAAGCCCAAGACAACAGAATTCCTACACTTGTCTAGGTTTGAAATAAGAGAAGCAGCTATAGATGTATCATCCGGCCATAGGGACTCTTTCCCCACATGTGCTAGAAGAGGGGAAGTGAGTGTTGTCGAGCTACTTCCAAGGTTCTTGGTGTTTGTACCTCATCGTCAGTTCAACGTGACGATAGTCGCTCAGCTTTGCATTCAGGATCCAAATGTTCACCGCAAACCAGGTGTCATTCCTGCGACAATGGATCCATCTTTCTTCCCCAGGGTTTGTGGGGAGGACGTCGAACCCCATGGGGAAATGGCGTGATACAGTACATACATAAGTCCGATTTCCGCTGAAGTATATGAATCATACATGTCTCCAAGTGCCAATTGGCATGTATAAATACTTATATACATAACAAAAAATTGGAGAAACATGTCCGGATAAGAGTAACTCGGTATTCTGTGCGAATAACCGAATAACCGTGATCGGCACGAACCCCGTTTTCCATTGAAATTTGTATGGCGGGAATTTTTTTAATGGGTCTACAAGGCATGAGTCAAATGTTTCTTAAATTTCCCCAGCTTTTCATGTCTAGCTCGATGCTTGCTTCAAATGCACAGAGCGACATGTCAAGACAATCAAAATACTTAAAACCAACTTGAACGTCCAACAATTTGAACACACACATATACATAGCCTTTTCCGGGCCATTGATCACCGAGTATGGCCAACGAGAAAGATCATGATCCAAACGCCGTCGAACGCAACCAATCACCCCGTCCGCAGAGCTCAGATGAAGAATCAACTATCGACGAAGAATATAACCACAATGGTCTGACACAGGTCCCCACCAACTCGAGCGCAGTAGCACGCACACTATCAGTCGTGCGCACTCGCGAATCCGGGAAAGATCTTGGCCCGCCGCCAGACGGGGGTTTCCAGGCCTGGCTGCAGGTTGCCCTGGGCCATATGATCATCTTTAACACATGGGGCTACATCAACAGCTTTGGTGTATTCCAAACGTACTATACAACCTCATTGGGCCGATCCCCATCCGACATCTCCTGGGTGGGTAGCATCCAGATCTTCCTGCTGTTCTTTATCGGAACTTTCTCCGGCCGAGCCACAGACGCAGGCTACTTTCGATTCACATTGGCCGTCGGGGCCACGTTGGAAGTGTTCTGTATCTTCATGACCTCACTCTGCACGGAGTACTGGCAGCTGTTTCTGGCGCAGGGACTCGGACAGGGTATAGGGTGCGGCCTCATGTTCTGTCCAACCCTAGCTCTGATCTCAACCTACTTTGATAAACGACGGGGGATTGCCATTGGTCTCACGGCGTCCGGCTCGGCCACCGGTGGACTGGTGTTCCCGGCCGTGGTGTTACGCTTGCTACCACAGATCGGATATGGGTGGACTATGCGTGTCCTGGGCCTGATCACGTTGGTGACATTGATGCCCTGTGTGTTATTGTTTAAGCAGCGGCTTCCTCCACGTACCAGCGGGCCAATTGTTGAGTGGGCGGCATTCAAGGAGCTCCCATACCTGCTATTTGCGGTGGGCATGTTCTTGAACTTCTGGGGGCTCTATGTTGCCTTTTTCTACATCGGTAGTTTCAGCACCGACATCATCGGAGCCTCAGAGACGACATCCATCTACCTGTTGATGGTCATGAACGGAGTTGGCTTGGTCGGACGCTTGATTCCCAACTTCATGGCTGATCAGTTCACCGGTCCATTAAACTTGTTGATCCCGTTCAGTTTTTCCACTGCTCTGGTGGCATACTGCTGGGCCGCCGTCAAGGACCTTGAAGGCCTATGGGTCTTTGCTGCCTTCTATGGATTGAGTGCAGCTGGTATTCAGTCATTATTCCCTGCTACCTTGAGCACGCTTACCACCGATCTGAAGAAAATCGGAGTGCGTATGGGCATGGTGCTTAGCGTGGTGGCGGTTGCTGCTTTGATCGGGTCACCTATTGCCGGAGTCCTTGTATCTAGTGATGATGGGCAATATCTGTACGCCCAGATGTTCATGGGAAGTGCCATTATTGCAGGCACTTTGACGCTGATTGGGGCTCGAGTGTGCAAAGTGGGCGCGGGCATCACCCGTGTATAAAGACAATATTAATGAATGATCTCTGGGTTCAGGTGTACACAATAATATTGTCCCTTGCATGGGAGATTTGTAAATAATACATCTCCCACATATAAATTCAAGATAAAAAATGAAAAACTCGCACAAAGAAAATCGTGGTCGAGGTATTGAGTTGAACATAACATAATCGAAGATCGGAATGATTTGAATGGACCAACAAAACCCCCCACATGTGATTAATGCGCCCGCCATTACTCGTTCGTGAATTTTGTCCTTCATTCATCTCCAGGTGTTTTTTACCTACACTTCTCTACCCCCTCTAAATTCAAATCATTACCTTGGTAAGTTTATCATGTATATTCTTTGTCAAAACGTCTTCTTTCCTCTTTCACTTTTGTCACTTTCGTCTCGAAATTGGTCTCAGCACAATGACTCTTACGAATCCACTAACTCGCGCAATACAGATATTTGCTCAACTCCAAGTCCAGTCCTGTTGACTACCACCATTTACCATTCGCCCTTCCTCATATCACACCAATCTTTAGTTCTGCAAAATGGCGCCCCGTGGTGCTCGTGGTGGAAAGTTCAAGCCCTCGCGAGGAGGTATGGTCGCATGCCCAATCATTTCAACCAAAACCCAAAGCATTTGAAAAGCTCACACATTTCAAACAGGAGGCAAACACTTCAGCCGCGATCTCCAGCCTCTCGATAAGGACGGCAATGCCCTTGGTCTTTGGCGCGTATGTTTGATTTTTCTCTTTCCTTCTCTCCCCCCCCCCCACCAACCCCCACCATACTCGGGAAGGAGTGCCCAAGTGACTTCATAGCTGAAATAAATAAACCACCAGGAACCCGGTGAACAAGTCCCATCCTCCGGAGATGAGGAGTCATCCTCTGAAGAGAGCTCCGAAGAGAGTTCCGACGAAGGCACCGGACCCAGCACCAGCACCCCAGCCAACACCGCCGAATTGACCCGTGAGGAACGCCGCAACCAAGCCAAAGCCAAGAAGCTGGCTGCGCTCGCCAAGCGCAACAAGACTGCCGCCCAGGTGGGAGATCTTCCCCCTTCAGACTCAGATGCCTCGGAAGACGAAGCGCTCCCCGCGAACCCCAACCACACTGCCCAGTCACGGAAACAACTGGTGAAGGAAGAGGTCGATGAGGATGCCCCCAAGCCCAAGAAGGTTGTTAAGGATGCCTCTCAGCTTTCCCGACGAGAGCGTGAGGCTCTCCAGGCGCAACAGGCCCGGGAGCGCTACTTGAAGCTTCACGCCGAGGGCAAGACGGACGAGGCACGGAGTGACCTGGCTCGATTGGCCATCATTCGGGAAAAGCGTGAGGCTGAGCGTGCTCGTAAGGAGGCTGAGCAAGAGGAGAAAGATGAGCAGGCCAAGGAGCGGGAGGCGGCTATCCAAGCGCGCGAGGAAAAGTTGAGGGCTGCCGCTTTGGGTGGTAAGCCATCAAAGAAGGGTGGAAGGAAGTAAACTTGTTTCCAAACAGCTTTTATGGGAGGGGATTTTCTCAAGAACTTATGACCATTTGATACAAACTTTGCAATGGAATCCCCAATGGATTGAAGAAAAGAGCCTAATATTTTGTGGGTTCTATCAAAACACCGTAGAGAAGCTATGGCAATGCTTCCGATATATGAAACAAAAAAAAGAAGAGCGCAATGTACACCGGCACGCCTCCCAAAACAGATAACCACAGGAATTAATCTTTCGATGCATACATAGCCAAGAAACATCAGAAGGTAAAATGAAATAAAGAAAGGAAATGAGAGTTCATACACAGGGCGTTGGGTAGACAACCCTAGAGAGGGTGACCAAAATTATGATCACGGAGCAGAATGCAGGGTATTGTTTTCATGCCTTACACACCCCAGAATAACCCCACAACACTGCGGCCTTGCATAACAACGCCCCAACCAGCAATCAGACTTACCAGCCATAGGATAGCGAAGACCAGGATGGGAATGAGAAGGAGCTCTGTGTTATGCAAGAAGGGTAGAGCATTGTAGCCCAGGAAGGTGATATAAGTATAGTAGATGAGAGCGGAGAGGTAGAGGGTGTTTCCCAAGAAGGTGGCTAGAAAGTTGCTCGGGCTGCGAGTGAGCAGTGGGAGGAGCAGGAATTGCACCACATAGAGGTGGAGGTACAAGGGAAAGAAGGCACGATTCGAGACCTATAGCGCAAGTATTCAGAGTTAGATTATTGAAAGAACACTGGTCCGTTTGACGAGAGACGAAAACCTTACATCAAAGCAGTATCCAAACTCCAATTGGTCCTTCTCCCCGGGCTGTACAAAGAGACCTTGCGCGGCACCTCGTCGGCGGCTACGCGAGCCACGAAGGCCGGCGAGGGATGCGGCTGCCCCATTAGGCCCGAACAATCGGCCAATGACGAAATAGCCAATTGTCGAGACCAAGAGAGATGATCCGATGAAGTGGAAGAAGACAAAGAGGATGGAGAGTTTCACGATAGCACCGAAGGAGTGGGTGTAGGCCAGACCCCATGCAAAGGCCGTGAGAAGGAGGAAGAAGGAGAGGAGGTAGGTGAAAGATGGATCCGGTCGATGCCAGGTGTTTTTGGTTTCTATTGAAGAGTCAGTACTCAATACCGAAGGTGAGGATTGAGTAGATGAGGTGATATAGGTGTGTATTTTGTATTTGGAGCTTGAGCGATGACAGATGACAGGACTCACGTTTCTGTAAATGCGGGTTAGCTTCATGCTTCATGCCAGCAACAGTCCGGGGATGATCATTCAACAACTTACATGGTAGTAGATGGATTTGAAGACTTTTTTGGGTGCAATCAACAGAGAGGTCATTTCCCATATCGCCATTTCAAAATCCATCTGGGGGAATTTAAACAATCTGTAAAGAACTCCGGGTTATTCTCCATGTTCGTGGTCTTGTCTTCCACCCCCCCCTCTTACCTCTTGAAGAAGCGTGGCATGCGCACGCTTGAGCCCCGGCGGGGCGTAGAGCCAAACGTGGCTGGACCAGCATGTTGGCGGGGAACGGAGATGTGCGGGTTCATGGTCGAAGGCCCGTTCTGGTCAAGAGCCGGGGATCATTGGAGACTCGACTTGCGATCCGAGTGAGTATGAGACGACGTGTCGGAGACGTTATGTCATCGTCACGTGGACGGGTGCCCCATACTTCAGGTTTTCAGGAACGGAGTCAAGCCCACAACTACTGTATGTACTAGTACTTTATTACTTAGTATCGCCAAAGCTAGGTATAATTTACTTACAATCTATATGTATGTTAACAAAAACCTCAAAGAGATCAGGTTGCCTGAAAATACTTCCCCAGCGCCACTGACATTCATTGATTAAACGTGATGTTTCATCATTGGATGCCTTGTGGCAACTCGATCTCTCTCGTATAGAATGATACCAGTCTATATCTAAGGGTCATGATGGGATATGCATCTTATGCTTTTCTCTCTCTCTCTCTCTCTCTCTCTCTCTCTCTCTCTCTTTGATCTATATCATCTGCACATGTGTAGGGGGGACCAATACCAAGTGTAGGTCGTGTCAGTTCAAATGTTACTTTCCAACATTTAAGCCTACAAGAATATGTGAATATACCAAGTGTTGACTTTCAAGGTTGGTACATGTCTTAAGGTGTAAAATCCAAGGCTTATCACTGATTGAACCGTGGCCCAGGCAAAATACAAAATCTTCAAATGTTATGTATCGACTTGCGCAATATAGAGTTCCTGACCTTCCTCTATTTAACATCCGACTAACTCTCCCGAGGTCCGAGACTTACTTCTGTATCACATTGCCACTTAGAATCTGCATAAGAATCTGCAATTGCCTGCAGAGTACATCTACCACACCAAATGTTCGGAGATTATTGGCGTTGAGTACCAAAGATCTCCACTTTGGAGATGGGGAAAAAAAAAGGATCCACCATGACATGGCGGACCCAGCTAAGAGAAGAGGGAAAGGGCCCAAAAAAAAAAAGAGGAAAGACGTGTCAGATGAAGAACTGGAAATAAATCAAGTTAGAATATGTTCACCGTCTTTTTGGACAGTTTTGTATAGAGATTTTGAATTTCCAAGGATATGTGAAGAGGGTCAACTTATCAACCCCTGAAGGGAATGTGATACTTGACTAGTACTTGTTTAATGTAGTGAAACTCCATAGTGTAAGACGGTACTTGTGGTGTTCCTGTTTCATCTGTACTTTACAATTAGGTATGTACTAGATACATAGTAGTTTAATACCCCTGTTTCAACCACATTAGAACTCGAATGGAAATTGTATATATATTACATCTCCCTTGGCTTTGGCTTTTAAAATTACAATGTCGATTCAATCTATCATTTGAATCTATGTACTTTTTATTTTTATTTTTATATTATTTTATTCTAATTTTTTATTCTTTTATTCTTTTTTTTTTTTACACATTCCTCCGCACGGTTCACGTTTGGTTGTGCCTGGTCCACTTAGTACATACTGCCAAACTCTCCCCCCCGTTTCAATTTCTCAGGAGTTCGTCCCGCCCCCGGCTTCTTTCTTGCCCTTCCTCAGGCCCATTACCAACCTTTTTATTCTTTCCTTTTGGCCTTTGACTTTTTGTATTTGTCCTGCACGCAGCCGCTGCCTTTTAACCCCCTTACTTGGACATGCCATGACTGTCTGAAATCCCACCTGCTTCAATTCGCTTCCCGCGACCCGGTTCGAGCTCCGCAAAAGTCTCTCGTGTCGGGACTCCATTTGGGCCACGAAAGCTACTGAAAGACTAGAACATTGGGCATTGCTGGTACGTGGCAGCTCTTGCAACAAGAATTCCCTTTCCTTTTTGGGGATCCACGGCAGTTTCCCAAAGATCCCTGAGGGGTCGCTGAAACCCTAAAAGTAATTCAAATGAATCTATAAATCTGTGCAATTCCAACTGATCCTCCAAAAGTCGCCAGCCGTGACAATGTCCCAGCAACGAGATGTCTACGCAACTACTTCCCCTCCACGCACCCCTCCCTCTCAGACCGCAAAGTATCGTCCCAAACAAAAGCACCCGGCCCGGCCCTCCATCCGAGATGCCTTCCCAGATGCAATGGAGAATGCGCCGCGGGTCAGCGAGTCCACCGATGAGCGTGACCCCCATGACCTATCGCTCTCTCCCAAACATGCCGCCCGCACCTCCATTGTAGACAATATGCTCCTATCGCTGGACCAATTTGCGGCCCCTGATTCTTCGTTTATGGATGACTACCGACTGTTCAATTCGGCCTTTGACACCGACCCCCACGGCCGGTTTCGAGGTCATACTTTCTCTTCCTCCATGTCATCTGATGCAGATTTCGGCTATGATGATGGGAGCAGTCGTTACGCCACAATCACCGCCAAGGGTCGCCGAAGCAATAGCAGCTCTAATTACCACTCCGCCCCTAGGAGAATGGATAGCACCCGCAGCCGAGATGCCATGGGCTCTCGGAGTGGCACAGGAGGAACCATGCCGAGAGTAAACGATTCTCGCAAGGGTAGCAAGGGCAGCTCGTCGACAGCGGATTATACGTATGGGATTTCCAACGGACGAGCGGATTCGGAAAGCATAGATCGACGCTCGGCCAGCTTCGATTGCGGTCCCAAGAAATACACCCCCTATGCCGACGTCCAGGATTCACTCATGTATGATGATGATGCAGCACCAACTCCAAGTGTACCAGCTGGGCCACGCAAACTCCACGATTACAGGACTCCGACTGGCCCCGCATCACGGACACCAGTGGCATCCCGACGTAACAGCGTCAAATCCGCCCAGGCCCCGCAGGTCCGCAAGGCCCGTCCGGAAAACATTGGCACAGGCACCCTCAAAGTACGGGAAAACGAATTCGACGTTTCGGGTGATACAGGTCTCGATCCTCCCCCGGTGTTTCCGGCAGCATTGGATCCTCCTGCACCCAGTCCAACAATATCCTACAACAAGCCCGCTTTCCCTCCCCCGGAACCAGCGGCTGTTTCCACTACCACCACCATTACCACCAACAACAGCATCCCGGGGAACGCGAAGGAACGCCCGGGATTCTTCCGGCGTGTCTTTGGTTCATCTAGGAACGCTCCACCAACCCTAGCAGATTCTCCAGGGTCGGTTGCCAGTGATGTTCCTTATCTCCAGGAGAACGAAAGCAAGGACTCTACTGGGACGACGGTCAATTTGAAAGGAGCAAGGATGCAGCCACCCAAGATCCCAGTACCGCCAACGCCAACGCCAACTCGCCAAGTGCCCCACCAGGTGGTGAACAAGAAGTCTTCGTTCTTTCGCAGGCGGAAGAAGTCCATCGCTGATCATGTCCCGCCACCTATCGTTCTGCCTCAAGACTTGGCCCCTCATACCTTGGATTCGATGAAGCCAGAGCCCAGCCCCGTGAGCAGCCTGCGAGAGGTTATGAATCAATATCTTGACGAAGTACCCGGAAAGCAAGATATCAAGGGCAAACGCCCGGTTGACTTGCAATCACAGAGGCCCAGGGAGAGTGTTTCTGCTCCTGGGGGTGGCCCTAGGAGTCACAACACTCTTCAGCCTCCAAACTCTTCTCGCGGCCAAAGTCGTTCGCCGCTAGTAGAAACCTGCGGCACCGATGATCAATTTGCAGTAGGTGAAGGGATTGAGTCTACTGCATTTGCCGATCCCGATCCCCCCTTGCAGGAGAAGGGGCCGGTTATTGCAGCGACTAGCACACTCTCACCGGTCGTTGAGGATTTCTCACGTAGCATTAAAGTGACAACGACCAAGGCTACAACCACTTATGATGCGTCTCATGATAGCTTAACAGGACCCCACAAACTAGAACCCCCGTCCGACTGCAATGTTCCGGAGTCTCCTGCCGTCTCTGAAGCTTCACACTACCAAACTGCCTCTACGACACCAGTGATTGAATCCGAAGAATTAAAAGCAGACGACGATAGTCTCGGTAAGATGGATGGACCTGGTGACGCTATCGAGGATGGACCAACATCAACGGATCGGGAACAGGCTCAGAAGCTCTTTGATAGCCAAGATCAAGTGGTGGGGAACGAACCTGCCGCTGCTTGGCTTGGAGATCCCGATCGAGCCACAATTCGGGAGGCTTATATGCGACTCTTTAACTGGTCAAATCTCAATATCCTGGCTGCACTCCGCAGTCTCTGTCAGCGGTTGATACTTAAAGGAGAAACCCAACAAGTGGATCGAGTGTTGGATGCTTTCTCGAGCCGGTGGTGTGATTGCAACCCGAGTCATGGCTTCAAAGCTACTGGTAAGTGTTCGATTGAAAAAAAATACTAGATTTCATATGGTGATTTTTTTTTGAGACTAACGACATTAATAGACGTGGTTCATACTATCTGCTATTCCATCCTTCTGCTGAACACCGATCTGCACTTGGCCGACATCGAGCAAAAGATGACCAAAGCCCAGTTTGTGCGAAATACCATGCCCACAATTCATCGAGTTGCCATGGATGCAGCTCCGGAAGGATTTGAAACACTACGCCCGACAAACCGCTCCAAGACCTCGGGCGCAGACATGGCACACTCAGCACCGTCATCTGCTCGTTCCGCAACCTTTCCACCTGATGTTGCCCGTAGCTCTTTGGATGGTGATAGTTCGGGCCGAAACCCCAACGAAGCAGGTCCATTAGTAAATACTCCATTTATGGGTACTGTGAGAGCTTGGGAGCAACAAGTGGAGGCAGTTTTGAAAGATTTTTATACCTCTATCCAAAAGGAAAAACTTCCACTCCACGGTGCCCAGCCAAGTCGAGAGGTGTCTCGCATGTCTTCGAACAACTTTTTGGGCCCCTCCACAAGCACACTTCGTCGAAGTCCCAGCACAATCAGCAAAAGTGGCTCGGACATATTCCCACGTGGCCGGTCCGCCGATTCTCGTCATGCAGCAGCGAGGTGGTCCTCTAAGCCACGGTCTCGAGCTGGCAGGTTATATCCGCCGTCTATGATGGGCTCCAGTCGAACCAGTCTGGACGACCAATCCTCCGTATGGAGCCCAACTACATCGAGCACGTGGAGCAAGTATTCGCTTGGCAAATTCACCTCTCCTTCGGTGGATTCTTTTGGCTCGGAATACCCTCGGGGTGAATATCAGCAGTCTATTGGTTTCGCCAACGCTCTGAGCCAAGCCATTATTCGTGAAGATTCTGCCACCTCGGTCTACAGCTATGAAGAGTCAGAGCGAACCACTCCTCTCCTCGAAGATGAGACTTTGGCTTTGGCTGGTGCCCCATGGGCCAAGGAAGGCAGTGTTAAACATAAACATCACCTAGATGCTGTGGACAAGCGTGCCAAAGATCGAAACTGGGGAGATTGTTTTGCGGTTATTCAGCAGGGCTGGATGCGACTTTTCTCATTCAGCAACACAACCAAGTCCATGCGGCAGAAGGCGAAGCAGCGTGGCGGCGTGGTGGTCGGTGGTGGTAACTGGACGGAGAATGCCGAAGAACTTTGGAAGTTTATGCTCCGGCAGACCATTGCGAGCGCCCTTCCTTCTCCTGGCTATTCGAAGTCCCGCCCTCATGTCTGGGCTTTAAGCTTGCCCACGGGAGCAGTCCATCTCTTCCAAGCTGGCACACCTGAAATTGTGCGTGAATTCGTCTCTACGGCCAATTACTGGAGTGCCCGTCTTTCGAAGCAGCCTCTGGTGGGAGGTATTAGTAACATCGAATATGGCTGGAGCGACGCTGTCATTAACAGCGCATTGGTTAATACCGTTGAAGATCGATCTCCACCTCCATCTTCGGGGGCTCATCGCGCCAGCATTCAAAGTTCGATCCGCAGCTCAATCGATCACCAAGGTGTGCGGCCCAGGCTACCTGCGGACCGTGTCAACATCAGCGACTGGAGTCCTCCTCAACAGAGCATGGTGGCTTCGAATTTCACCGAAGAAGAGCAGCTGAAGGCGCTCCAGGCATATGTGAAGAATGTTGAAGACGATCTCCAGAGACACAATGAGTTGCGTCCGGCCATGCACCTGGCCTTCTCCCCCAGACACCCCAACTCCGCAAAGGCGATGGCCAACTGGGAACGGAAATCATCATATCTGCTACGTGAGATTGTCAAATTCCGAACCTACATTGATTCTCTTTTCAATGCCATCAAACAGAAAGAGAATATCCATGCTTCTTCCAACAACTACTATGCTGAATCTGCTGAGACGGAAGCCGTGGAACCAGCTATAGAGGTCACACCCTCGAACTGAGTTGCCTGCATCCTATCATGCTGTTGTTGTTGTTTTTTTACTCTGGACTCTTTTTTTTTTCTTCTCTTCTGTTTCTTTTCTTCATCTTTATCTCCCATTCTTATGAACCCCTCGACTCTGACGCGAACCGATGTAAATACCCTCCAGGCTGAGGGAATTCGGCATATGCACCATATATTCTCAAAAGCAACATGGCGATGAACTACCCTCTTCTTCTTTCCCCCTTTTATTTTTGTACAGCTCTTTATATCAATTCTTTGTCGCCTTTGTTGCTTTGGTATATTCTTTTTCCTTGGACTTGGGTTGGGTTATGTATCTTGATTTTAATGCTTGGGACAACGAAGCGACCGACGCTATGGATACCATGATTAGTTAGTTACTTTTTTGTTGAAACTTCAATTCTAAATGATGCCGATGTGATTTTGTCTTGTTATAAGTATGTAGATGTAGATGTAGATGTATCAAATTATACATGTACAGTCTGCACACTGAGTGGCAATAGATGAATCTAGTAACATTATTTGCGTGGCAATAACCTGTCCATTGTTTCCCATTGTTTATTGAGCTGAGTCGCGCTTGTCTCACAACCAACTTTCAATCTTCCTCTTTTCTTCTTTTCTTCTTTCCTTTTTTTTATTCCATTAATTTATGATTTTATCTCTATATTGACTGAATTATAATCTCGCTTTTTAAATTGACACCTCTCCCACAATGTTTTAATACTGTATTACGGTTGATTTGCCAAGGGAGTGCTCAAGTGGGTAAAGGCACAGCTTGGTGGAGACTCAAAACAACGCCCAGACTGTCGGTCACCATGTCGACCAGAGCCCCAGCTACAACTCCGATCGTCACCCAAGGCCCGCCCTCGGTGCGCATCCCCTCTTATGAATCTGGCGCATTCCATACCCCAGAAGACCTTTCACCCCTAGATGCCGATTTAGAGAGTTCAGATTTCCTCATGGCCGAGGACGCGCGGGGGGTAGACCCCCCAACTACCGTCGACGATTCAACAACACACAGCGAGAACCACGACCCGCAAGAGACACCAGCCATTGCTACGTATACCACCGAGACAGGCACAGAAGCGCCCGAAAACGAAACCACGACCGCCACATCGGAACTTGAAGACATCAGTGTTCTTCCTCCACTGGCCGATTGCGACGACAGCAGCTTGCTCCCCTTGAGCGAAAATGGCGACCATGAGCGAGGGAACAACCAGACCCTCATCGAGGAACGTGAAATGCGCCAGAAGCTGATGGACATGGAATCGAGTTTTCTGCCCGAACCTTCGACCATTGACATCGCTGCGACCGGTACGAGAGCCGGCGCGGACGACACTTACCTGGTGGGCATCGATGGTGGTGGTTACGATCCCGACATGACCCAACAGACCGAATCGTCGCAATTCTCTTTCATTCCCCCCTGGGATAAGAATCCAGATTATGGCCACTACCAAGAAGAATTTGATGAGACAAAAGACAATGAGGAGGCTGAACCCACGACAGCTACCCATGGGGAATATCTTGTCGGCAACGAGAGTACATTAGACTCGCTGACTTCATCTCCTTCGGCTGCCGCCATGTTTCGAAACCTGCGCCGCAATCAATCCACACTGTCCGATGACACCGCGGACCACAGCCGAATATTTTCCCCGGAAGAGCGACCTTTCAGATCGCGAATCTCCCAAGCAGATGAATCACAACTTACGCCCTCCAAGCTGCGAAGGTCCTCTCGCAGTCTGTCTCCTACCCAATCAAGGCTGTTTAGTGACCAAAGCTTCAGTGCTGGTGGCAGTCGCCGCAGTGGGAGTCGACCTAAGTATCTGACTAGCCGTCAATCTGCCAATCGTCTTTCACACTCCTCTGTCGCAAGCAACAACACGACCAACACGGACGCAACGAACAGTGATGCGACGCTGGGAGCAGACTATGCTCTCCAATCCGGAGGAGCAGCATCCGACAATTGGGGTGGTCTGCACCCAGGATCGCGCGGGCACATGACTCGAACAACCAGCCTAGGAAGTATGGCATCGGGGGTCTCAGGTTATAGCGAAGAAAATTCTCTAGAAAGACGGCCCATTGCTGGGCAGATTGATGGAGGTCTGCAGACTTTGCAAGAGGAAAGTTCACCACAGTCCCCGCGGCACCAAGCTGGATTCGACGACGCATCAGCACCGGCAACGCCCAAGGCCAAGCCTCAAGATAGACCGTTCCCAACAGATACGGCTATTGCGGAGCGTGTCAAAGGAATTCAAGTTCCTACCACTTTTGCTCAACGGTTTCGAGAAGACTATGGAAACATGGGACCATCTCCCGAGAAGCGCGCTGGTACTTCAACTCCAGCGCTTGGACGAAGTGGCCTTGGTCGTAACATGACTTTGAAAGAGCAAAGCAGCACGATCGATCGTCTTTCGAAGGAAAACTTCGATCTCAAGATGCGCATCCACTTTCTCAACGAAGCGCTAAACAAACGGTCGGAAGAAGGAATCAAGGAAATGATATCAGAGAATGTCGAACTTAAGTCTGATAAGCTCAAAATCCAGAAAGAAAGCCAAGGGCTGAAGCGCAAGATTCGTGAGCTGGAAAAGCAGCTCAAAGATCAGCAATCGGACAAGGAATCTATGCTCAATCACGATCCCGAGGCCTCAGATGAAGGAGGCGATCGGGAATCCGCAAATGAAACCGAAATCTCCTACTTGCGTGAACGAATGGAAACTTATGAGCTTGAAGTTGAGCGGCTGAGATCAGAAAGCATTGGCAGGGAGAGTGAAAAACGACGCCTTGCTGAGATAGTTAAAGCGTTGACCGAAAACCGCACTGGTGCTTCCGAAACAGGCGCGAGAGAGGAGAGGGTAAGTACAAGTCATTCTGTTGCTGTTCAAGTTCCAGCACTAAATAAAAAATCTTCTTTGTTCAGGACATGTGGAAAGATATGCTTGATGCAGAGGCAGCAGCTCGTGAGCAGGCTGAGGAAGAAAATCGGCGACTCCGTGACGAGTCTATTCGTCTTCGAAGTGAGCTTTTCACATCGCAAGGCGGTGGTTCCAAATTACCCTCGCGAGATAGAGGCTACTCGACTGTTTCGTACAATTCAGCGTCGGAAAGAGATGGAAATCGTGCCACTGCTGCGGCAATGAGCACCTCCAATAACACACTTATGGTGGAGCTTGAACTCTTGAAGCAAGAAAATGCCGAACTAAGGAAGGAGGTCAGCGCTCAAACTTCTATGCTTACATCACGCAACCGGGAAAAAGAACGGCTTTATCAAGAAATTGAAGAATTGAAGCTTGGTCATGTTCGCCATGCTGGCCGTTCTGTGGCTGGTGACAGTATATTTGATCGGTCAGTATCTCGGGCACAAGGAAGGCCAGGCTCTGAACCTAGCGACGGTGGTGTATCTCGCAGTGATATGGATCGGGAGGAGCTCGACGCTCGGAACGGGCAGCTCCGTGATCATGTGTCAACTCTCAAACTGGAGAACCAGGCCCTACGGGGGCAGTTGGACGAATATGTCAGGGAATTGGAAGCTCTCGATAAAGCCTACCAGGCTGATGTGGACCAAGCTGAAGAGGAAATGTCGAATTTGCAACAAGAGCGAGATCAATCTCTTCAAGAGCGAGATCAGGCTCTTCAAATGGCTGATGAGCGCGATGCTGCCTTCCAAGATCTCCGGGCCGAAGCCCAAGAGGAGCTGGATGCCCTTGGCGAGGAGCTTGACCAGAAGATTATTGAATGTCAGCGCATGGGTGAAGACTTGAGGAATCAGGATGAAAGCCTCAGGGTCCTGCAGGCAGAGATGCGCTCGGCCAGTGAGGGCATCATTCGACTCGAAGAAGATGCGCAGAATAACCTAGAGCGGTATAAGACTGTTCAACACGAGCTTGAAGAAACCCATGGCGAGATGGACTCAATGGAGAAGAACCTATTTGAAGCCAACACCAAGGTACAGAGGCTGACTGTACAAATTGAGTCCAGCCAGAACGAAATCGCATTCCTCCGAGAAGAGCAAGATGGTGACAAGATTCGCATCGGGGACCTTGAGTCGGAGCTGAAGACGTACCACATGAGCCTGGTCAGTGAGAAAGAAAAGACAAGAGAGCTGGAACAGCGACTTGCGGATGAACGACACCAGCGCGAGGTGGTTGGAAGCAAGGAGAAGCAAGAAGTTCAGCGAATCATGAATGAGCTGAACCGTGAAGCTTCAGCAGCCAAGGAAGAAGTGCGACGATTGAAGAAGAGTCTTTTGACCCAGGAGATTGAGACTTCGACCTGGCGGGAGCGACTTATGGATCTTGAAAACAACCTTCGAGAAACCCTTGGAGATCTTAACGGCAGCCGTTCAAGCATGATTTCCAATATCATGAAGCTTCAAAAGGAGCTAGAGTCCACCGCGCTTGACCTGGAAAGTGTCCGATCTCAACTAGATGAGAAGGAGTCGCTACTTCGGAATCGCGATGCTCTTCTAGAAAGTCATGGCCTTGAGTCCCGCAAACTCTCTGAAGTCCTGGAGCGTGAGCGTCAGGCTCGTCGAGCTGATAAGCAGTCTTTCGAGCAGGCACTGAAGTCTCACCAGCAGGCCTCTCGGACTATCACTCAAAGTAACTCTCGAATTACAGAACTGGAAAATGCTCGCAATCAAGATCGCAAGCGGTTCACGTCGCTTGAGCAACAGTTCAAGGACCAACTTAACGAGCGCAACACAATGTTTCTGGCTATTTGGAAACGACTCTCGTCAATCTGTGGTCCAGACTGGGCGCATTCGAACAGTCTCATTAACGGCAACCTTCCTAGCCAGGAAGTGATTGGCAATATTTTGTTCTGGCCCGGTTTTAGTCGCAATCTGTTACTTGCTATTAAAACGGTTGAGGGCGTGGTTTCTCAGTTCAAGGGCCGCATCAGAGCCGTGGAATTTGATCTTAACAAGCAGTACCAGCATCTTGAGCATTCCTTTGCTCAGCGTGTCCGGCGACTCGATCGTGTTGAGGAGGCTGTTAAGAACATGCGTGCTGGGGGAAACCAGTCGCACTCGAGCTCGTCGTCAGAATTGTCCAAGTTGCGAGGGGAGAACCGGCTATTGAAGGCTGAGATCAACCTACTTCAATCCAACACGCGGGGGCATGGGGCAGCCTCCTCGGCAGCGGCAGCAGTAATGGCATCTGGGCCACGGTCTCCATCGCTCGGATCTACTGCAGATGCGGAGCGACAGTTGACCCGTCACAGTTCCACATCGGGTAACAGTGAAAACCCACGCTCAGAGCGAAGTCTCGCCCGCAGTGTCTCCGGTCTGCCACAACCAACACACTCGACCTCGGGTACCACATTGGTCAACGCCAACAGCTCAGGGGCAATATTGTCTCGGACACGCAGTGGACAACAGAACAACTGGGAGGGTGGAGACGACAAGTGGAAACATCGATTGCACGAGTTGGAGAAGCGGCTTAAGGCAGAGAGGGAAGGTCGTCTCCTTGACCGTAATGGTGCACGAAAGCGACTGGAAGAGCGCGATAACGAGAACCAGAAGCTCCGTGATCAGCTTCAGCGTGAGCGTACCCGAAAACCTTCTGGGGCCATTGAAGCTGGACGCAATCGAGCCCCCGTCTCGGACGAGAACCCCAGCTCCAGTGAAGGGGAAGGTATCATCTTAGATATCGAGGTTTAAGATGGAAGATTATGATACAGTTTTATCTTTTGTTGTACTATATACCCTTCCTCTTGTCCTCTTTTTTGTTTTGCGATTCGGAAACTTTTCCAAGCCTTGTTGACTTCAAACTTGTACGCCATATGTGATGATCAAGAGGATCCATGATGATCATGAAGGCGTTGAACACCAGTGGTATTCTGGGTGGTTTTGTTTCTTCTCTTTTTTTTTTTTTTTCTTTTGGGTTCTTGTTTAAATTTCTTTGTTTTTTTCTTCTTCTTCTATTGTACCTTATTCCATAATACATTTTTGTGATAGATTCATATACTTCCTGGGAATAAATAAAAGACATAATAAAGAAAAGAAGATCACCAACCTCTACCGCAATGAGACCTTGAGCGAGAAATCAACAATCCCCGTACCCTGATGAATCGAGCTGGTGGACAAGATATCCACATCGGGACAGGTATAAGCACCAGCATTCTCCTCCGTCAATCCTCCACTAACCTCAATCAAAAACGCCCTCTTCCCCTTCCACCCCTCTTTCAAAACCCTCGCCGCCTCCCTCACTCCCTCGGCACTAAAGTTATCCAACATAACCACATCAGCCCCCGCGCCAATCGCCGCATTTGCCTCCTCAACACTCCGACACTCCACCTCAACCTTAGTCGCAAAGCCACCCGCCGCCTTAGCAGCCTGCACAGCCCTGGGAATAGCCGCCGCAATCGACACAATATCCTTGGGGTCCGCGACTCCCCCATCCGCCGCAGCGCGGTTATTAGCGCAAGCCCAGACATGATTATCCTTGAGCATAGTCATATGGCTTAGATCATGACGATGGGGATCAGCCCCACCAATCAAGATGCCGTACTTCTCCACGACACGGAAGCCAGGCGTGGTCTTCCGGGTTCCGGCAAGTGTGCCCTGCCAGCCCTGGGCGCGGAGAGCGGCGAGCATGGAGGCGCTCTTTGTAGCTATGCCGGAGCAGCGGGCGAGGATGTTAAGGGCTACGCGCTCGCCGAGGAGGATCTTGCGGACGGGTCCGCGGACGGTGGCGCAGTGGTGGATGGGATTTAAGGAGAGGGTTTCGCCTTCTTTGATGTGCCATTCGATGCTGTTTGTTTCCGGGTCCAGTTAGATTGGGTCCAAGTTAGGTAGCAGCAGACGGGAACCAAGCCAGGGTTGGTTGGTATCGTATCGTGGGGGTGGTGGGGTAGTGGAAATAAATATAGCTAGAATGAGGGGATGTATGAGGTCACGTACGTGCATCCAAGTTGTGTGAAGACCTCGTCGACGAACGGAGCGCCTGCAATGATACCCTATAGAGACAGAAAACAGCAATATTAGTTTACCAATTCCAATTTCAAAGGATGTGTGGTGTTGGCATGGGCTTTTGTTGCTTACCTGGCTCTTGCCCAATAGGCGTGCCTCGCCCTCTGACTCGCCGACGACGAAGCCGCCATAGTCCAGGCTGGGACAGTCCTCCTCGAGCCAGTTGGCAATCAGGCGCTTGTAGTTGCCCGGGAGCAAATGGCGCACGTCACCGTATGTTGAGGCCATTGTGTTGATTTTTGTTTTCAAGAGCTGGAATGGAAGGTGGGGGAGATCTACGGGATTTGGGTGATGCTTGGTTTAATCCCCGCGGGGGTCGGGGTGATTCGGAGAATCACGTGGGATGCTCGGAGTTGATAAGTGGTTTTTGAAGGCCTTTCTTACTATATTCTTATATAGTTGGTCTTATTTTCTTTATTTGGTTTAATTATATGGTAAGCTCTTATGTGAAGAGTTCTATGGATCTTGAGTTGTCATGCGATGGCCAAGAATGCATTGTACTCCGTACATACTATGCATATGTATACTACATACTACCATATATGACACGCGCGTCATATGTTTGCATAAAATTAATACAGACGCGACATTCCGTATTGAGTATCTTGAACTCGACAGCACGCACATGTTGTGCACATAATGGATTCAAGATTCCGAAGCTATTGTGCAATGAAACCGATCTAGAGGATTCTAGTCGACATTAGCAGGACTATACAATGCCTAGTATGAACGGATGTAACCTTCCAAGGAAATACTTTACTATGTACTCCGTATACTAGTAGTATGTACATCAACTTTGGAAGTCCTGCCCACTGAGCCCACAGAACAATGATAGAACATCGATAGAACAACGATAAAACAGCCCAATCAGCCCTACCCAAACCAATAATTGATCAATCCAAAACCAATAATCACCCCAGACCCCGTCAACTTCCACGTTAAGAATGGAACTAGAACTATTTGACACACGCCCCCAATAGCACTCCATACCCGGGGAACATTTACAACCAATATTAATCCGTGCACCACACTATTGCCTATACATCCCCCCGATATATCCGCAAGATCCGCAATCTCCACGGCCTCGGACGCAGATCGTCCAACCCAAAACCCGTCCGGACTCGATAAAGAGGTAAAAAAGAAAAAAAGAAAAAAAGAAAAAAAAAAAAAGGGACGAACCCATACAGAAACCAGTGTACATCCGAAAAGAGCGCTGAAAAATCTAAGAAAGTCCAACGCCAAGCCAAGCAAGCCGTCCAGAGCGCCGTTCTACCCGTTCTTCCCGCTCCGACGATCCTGTCACCTCACCGGCCACTGTCCACTAGGGGACAGAGCTGGGACTAGCCCAGACTGGGCTGAGCTGAACGGGCACACGTCTCAATGTTCCGCAACTCGGCACTTTAGGTTGGAGTTCCAAGACCGGACGGATTTCGGATCACGGCACGGACCCGGAAATATCTGCAGGATTCAGCATCTGCATCGCACTACAACCCAGGTTGTACTAGTTCCCAGGTTTCTGGATAATTTCCGTTTCTGTCGAAATCTATCCTTGGGGCGCATGCTCATGCACATGCACTATAGGGTCTCAAGATAAATTTAATGTTCAAGGAAGGAAAAGTCAAAAGCAGGATCAAGGGCTCTGAAAACAGGATCTGGGATCTGGGAGGTCGATTATGATGAGGACTGATGATACTGGCGAAAGGAACTCCGCATCCAATTGAAGTAGTTACTAGCTAGGGAGCACGGAGACTAGTACGGATTCTTCCAAGATTGAATGCAAGGACCTGCCCATGCGCGGATTTTTCTGGAAGGAATTACACTATATCCGCCGAGCGGGTCAGGGATTTGCATAAACCTTGAATGGGGGAAGTTTTTTTCAAGGGACACGAGAATGGATCGGGATCTGATACTGGGCTGGATCCACTTTTGCCTTGCTACCTAAACAGGAAATGTACGATACAAGTGGTTTTGTTTGAGGGATTAATAGAAGGGTCTACCAAGGGGATGATATTCAGTATACTACATACTACTACATACTTTGTATAACCTAAAAAATAATTAGACATATCCCATATTGATTGAATCATCATCATGCATTTCATTGCAAATATACCGAGTTTCTATGTATTTAGTACTATAGTTTCCAAGTATATTCGATTCGGACAAAAGTTCGGAGTTTAAGGCAAGCCGAATTCAGGAACCGAGGATCGGCTTCAAGTCGGCTCGGGATCACGGTTCATGTCATCGCTGCCGAGGTTTATCTCGCCGCTGACAAAACAGGTCCACTTTACTTTAGTTAACTATTGACCTCGGCCTTCTAGAACCAAAGTATGTACTCGATAAATATTTAACATATAGACAAGATCAATTGAAAATTGAAATAGCCCCACACTCGGCTCAATCTCGGGTCAGCTCTAGGTAAAAACCTAGGTTGCGCCCATGCATGTAGTATGTACTAAGTAATGCTGTAACAGTAATCGCTCTCTAAACAGTCCAAGCCTTGTACACATTCTTACATCCGAAGATCTGTCCCTTCTTCAGCAACACCATATCGCGCCACGCAGGCTCATTAATGGCGTTGACGTAACGGCTGGGTTCCACACAGAATCCTGCACCCTCAGTGTGGGCGGGGAGTCCATCGATGGAGGGTACATTGACGTATTTGCCAGTGTAGAATTGGAACGCGGGCTCAGTGCTGTGGACTTCGAGGTGAATGCCGGTGTTGGCATTGCTGAACTGGGCCTGTCGGCGAAGGGGCAGACCGCGGGTGTCCAGAGGGATCTTGGAGGGGTCTGTCTCCATGATGAAGACGTCATCGATATGGGGGCCAGTCGCTTGGAGCTCGAATGGCTTGGAGACATCGCGGGGGAACTTGGCAATTCCACCTTCTGGGATTCCGGTGGAGTCGAGGGGAAGATAGTCGCTTGTTTCCAACTGGGCGATGGTACCGGTGATAGTGGCGCCATCACCAATGTTGAAGTAGCTATATTTTCCCGAAGATGGTTAGTTTTAAATTGACCCAATTGATGTGAAGAGGTTCTTCATCCCCTTGTTTTTCATTGTTTTTATAAGAAAAAAAAAGAGGATCCCCGGGAGGGGATATTTCATCTTACCTGTGGTTGGTGATGTTGACAACAGTCTCCTCGCATTCATCTCCCACAAATTCAACCTCGTACTCGGCAGTCAAGACAGTCTTCTCATCCTCCTTGCTCGCGGTGTACCAGACGCGTACCTCAACGGTACCGGGATAACCCTCCTCAGCATCGGCACAGTGATACTTGAAGAGCAAGGCATCATGACCATTGCGGTGAACGGTATGGGGGCCATCAAAAATACGCTTGCCCCAGCCCTTCTCACCACCGTGGAGGGCATTGGGACCATTATTCAGGACCAGTTGGTAATCCCGACCGTTCAAGTTGTTAATCAGACCATCCTTGATGCGGTTGGCGACACGACCGATGGTGGCACCGAAATGCGGGGAGTTGTGCTTAATATAGTGTTCCTGCGTGGGGAAGCCCAGGACGATATTCTTCCCGCCGACGCGGAACTCTTGAATAATGGCACCGAGAGGGAGGAAGGTGAAAGCAGCTTGTTCAGGGGCAGACATGATGAGGAATTGGTCCAAGTAAACTTTTTTGGTGGTCTGTATAGTAAAGGAGGAAGAGGGGGAATGTGGGAGAGCTCAGGGTCTGAAGTTGTACATGACGTTCGAACCCCGCAATGGGACGGAATCACCCACCGGGATAAATTGGACGGGGTAATTCGAGTGATTCTCAAGGTGTTTAGGCTAAATGGAGAGATTCTATATAACCACGACGATTCAACAATGAGGATTGAATTTAGGCAAGTCCAACGTTCTCCTATATATGCTTCAAATGTTGATGTATGAGTATAGAGCAACAGTGAAGTCAAGAAGAAAACATTGAAACTAAGGTTGTGTTTCTTCCTAGATTATGACTCCACCGGAGTTAGCCCAAGTTGGACATTGGTATTGGTTATGGATTAAAAATTGAAGTATATTTATGTATTTACTCCAGATTTACATTCAGATTTATACAGATTTATACAGATCAACATGTTTCCAGTATCAGAGTTAATTCTGTGTACATACTTAACCGGCTTTAGGCAACTTGACATCCGAGACGGAGACGGAACAAACGGGGTTCCGAGCGGATTTGTTTACCCCGGACTGCACAGCCTTGTACCTTTTTTTTTGTAACCCCTGGGGCGCAGTTAAAAAGAGAACATTGAATGTCAAATCAATATGTTACCCCTGGAACGATGAAACTAAACTATAAAAACGGCTGCCTATTGTATACAATGGTACTTCAAATATCCTAAGCTAAACCGGAAAATGATATTCCGCTACTCTTAGTCATCGTATTCGCTTTCGCACCTCCAAGGTCCTTTATACGAGACGTTGCTTACAACTTTAAAAGTCCAAATGTTTACGCGGACACGTTGGGCACTTTTCTTGCGGGAACTCGGCATCTCGGACATTTCCCGTCTTGGACAGATACAATCCCGAACGGAATACCTTTGGTGGAGTCAGAGAAGCCAAAGAAGAAATTTTTGAAATAAAAAAGTCTCCACCATACTTTCAATGTTCCGCTGACTCAGGGATATGGAGATTACGGAGTGAAGAGAAACAGAGAGAAGATCTCCAAGGGTCTAGTCTTTCCCAAATCTTACGGAGTAGTCCGTAAGCAAAAGAAGAATAGAAAAGAGAAAAAAAGTAATCAAAGTCTAAATTGCATGATTTCTCGTATAGAGATGACATGGAGATAAAAGGACGTAATTCCGGATTAGTAACAGTCGGCCTTCGAAATATCCGGTTTGTTAAAAGATCTAAACCAAAGTGGATTGTGGAGATGGGAAACAGAGTAAGAGAATAAGAAAAAAAACCTCCATAGAAAACACCCCAGAATTAATAGAACGCCATGAAATCCCTTTTGAAACCCCAACGCCAAATCCTGAACCCCAGAACTGTACAGAGGATCCCAAATCCAAAGGGGGGGGGAAATAGCCCCGATAAATAAAGAATGTAGAAGAGAAAAAAAGAAAGAAAAAAAGAAGAGAAGGGAGATGGGAGAGAGATAAGAAGATGACCCCTCCAAAATACTCCCAGAAAACAAAGAACATGTATAGTATACATGCATCACGTCATACGGCGTTATAAAAAAAAAAAAGAAGAAAGATGAATGAAAAGGAAAGAAAGATCCAAAAGATCAAGATCAGAAAGAAACCCCTTCCATCCTAATCCTAGATCGAAGTGATCTCTGTAGGATTCGGATTAAGGAACTGGTTAAAATCCTCATAATCGGTCTGCACACAGTTCATCGGCATCTGTCGACTAAACATAGGCGAAGGGATCTGATCCTCAAACGACAGATTAGAATAATCCGCCGAAGACATCATCTCCATCTCATCAAAAGCGCCAAACCCACCCGCAGTCGACCACTGCGGGGGACTCTGCAAGGCCAGTGGATTCACAACACCCTGCATCGACATGCCGTATGGTGGATTATTCCCAGACATGGGATCCTCCTGCTTGATAGGGGCACGGGCGGTCGGGCTGTGATGATAGGTCGGTGGGGTAGGGGGCATAGTCTGTGTTTGAGATTGAGGTTGCGACTGAGACTGGGACTGGGAGAAAGCGTCGGAGGAGAAACGAGTACGAGCGACCGGGGATTGAGCATCGGAGCTGCCGTCGGATGACTCCTGGCGTTGCATGCCGTGGCGCCAGAGCTCTTGCTGCATGGAGTCTGGATTCTCTTCGAAGTGTTCGCCCTTTGTGTGGTCGAGGGCGCCCAGGCGGGTAAGCAGGTCGTGTGTCAATGGGTGGCCGTTGGGCTCGGCCTTTAATCGGTCTCCTGGCCAGCCTTCGCCTGCGGTGCTACGACGGTAGAGTTCCTGGAGGCCGTGGACTAGCCATGCTTGTTGCTGTTCGAGCATTTCGACGTATCTAATTTCAGGGAAAGATTTGAGAGATTAGTTCAAATTTTTTGATCCTTGGAATGTTGGGGTGGATGAGTAGATCTTTGGGTGTTCTTGCTTACCCTTTAGGATACACTTTATCGTGGGCCTTCTTTCGTTCTCCAAAGACGCAGACTGCATTGTCAGCTCGACAACGTGAACACGGGCTTGATCCATCACACTGGAGAAAGAATCGGGGTTAGATTGGGTTTGAATTCCGCATGGATATGTAGCAACGATATGATATATATGCCTATATAAATCATATATATCGACATCACTTAACAAGTAACGTACCTTGGATTTCTTCAAGCGACATCGATCACAAGCTTTGCATACACGCTTGCGAACATTATCCGAGTGCGAGTGATCGGAGTTTGGTGTTGATTGACGTGCCGCCATGATGTGTGGAGAGATGGTTATATGGAATCGGACCTTTTCTTTTGATTCAGATGTCGAGAATAGGAATGCCAGGGGATGTGAAAAAGATAGATGAGTCCCAGTTGTAAGGGAAAATGGCGGAGCTAGTGTTGCGTTGAAGAAAAAAGGGAAATTCCTTTTAGGGCGAGCTATACTTCCAAATCCGGGGGGAAGAGGGGTGATCGACGTCAACCAGTCAATGATCTAATGACGATGTCGAGGTTATAGATGTACCATTCAAAACCAACAGGAATTGACTTTTGAAGTGAGTAGGGTTTGGACAGATTTCTTGATGATTTGTTGGTTGCGGTGTCATATATCAGTCATTCCAAAATGATTGAGAATTGGAGAAATAGAGGGGGGGGGGGGATTAGGGCCCTTTTTAGTTCCTTAGGGGAAGAGAGGGATTTAAAAGCATTTAAAAGCAATTTAGTACATTTGGGACATTTTTATTTTATTATATTTTTATTTTACATTTTTCGCATTTCCGCTCGTAACAGAAGCTTCTCATACAGGGAAAGTAATTCGATCGGGGATCGAATCATAATTCTATACTAGGGATCCACTGGCTGTGGTGATCACAAGGGCCGAGTTTTCCTTTTTTTTTTTTTTTTTTTCCCTTTCCTTTTTTCTCTTTTTTCTCTTTTCCTGATTATACATAAAGTGGAGTCCATTTCCAGGAAACTCGGCATTCGCGTTTTAGAGAAAGAGTTCGTTAGCACGGAAGAACGGAGGACGGAGCTTCGGGTTCGGAGACATTTTTGACGTATATCCGGATGGACTAGAATTCCGACCAATTGTTCCCAGTGGACCAAGGTGGTTTTTTTAGAGATACATACACATGCAGTAATTAGCTGTTAAAAATGCAAAGAAAAAGGAGTCAAGAAAAGGAATTTTTTAAATGAAAAACTCCCAAATCCATTCATAAACCGAGTGATTTCCAATGACTAAGCTGCATAAGATGGATAAAGTTGCACTCGGCATAGTCTTGCCGAGTCCAAACGGGGCCACTAAGCCCAGTTGGGCAATATTCAAGTTCAATCAAGATATTGCTTTTTTTATGCTGAGATAAAATCCAAGCTGAAATCATAATTCTGTCACTTTTGATCTACACATTATTTAGTGTAAGTACGGAAGTTAAAAAGTGGTCAATTTCAAGAAGGAAATGATGATCAAGTCGAGACGGCTTAACTGAAACGAAATGATTCATGAGTCTTGAATTCCCCTCGGGGTCCAATGATAGGGCGCAGGATACGGTGGGAACACACTTTCCATGCCACGTCCAAGTCCATGACGTGACCATCTCCAAAAATCCAAAGCTCCCCGATCCGATCGTTCATCTAGACCTCGGAATCTCTTGATGGAATTTTTTTTAAGTCCTCAAAGTCCTTTTGAAGTCCTTTTCAAATTCCGTTTTTTCTCTCTCTTACTTATAAGCTACTATATATCCTTATATCCATAGCACCCTCATCAATCTCAACGGCTTATGGGAGAATAGATTGTTCTTATCTCCGAAACTCCATGACCTCATTAATAAGCTTATTCTCCAGAACCTAAGTTAACTTAACTGGTAGTATTTACTCTGGTTCTAGCCCAGCTTACTTAGCTTACCCATGCATGACGCCGTTCCTGGACCATATCCCTAGTAGGTACATGTTCAATCTTCAATTCTTGAGCTCAAAAGATTGGGTTCCATCACGGACCTTCATTCCGGCTACATAATTTTGCATCTCTCAGTGATTCAAAAGTCATCAAATTATGGGAGATCACCATTTGCTACTTTACACCCACGCATTTAATCCACTGGGAAATACATCTTCCGCAATAGCTTAGTACATTTGGCTCCGTACTAAATACAGATTTCCAGGTTTGGGCCCCCCGCCAACAGGTACCTAGATAGATCAGGCAACCACGTTGTTTCTCAGGAACATTTCATATCGAAACTAAGAAAAGAACAAAAAAAAGGTACTCAATCTATACAGGAACACCAATCAGGGGTATACGTATATATCGTACAATCACACCAATTTACCATCAGCAACAGCCACAGCACAGCCTCCGGATCAAACATCCCTGAGCTTCCCCATCTGCCTCTTGAGTGGCTGGACTATCTTTACTGTCTTTCCTAACTTTCTCATCAAGGTCCGGGTCAACCAATTTACCTTTACTCTTGCCAATTCCGAAAAATCGCCGGTAACGTGTCTTGCGCTTCGTACTCGCATCCCTCGTGGTTTGAGGCAGAGCCGTCGTATGTGCTGACTGGCCTGCCCGAGATGGGGGCCGAGCTAAGGCGCCCTGCGAATGGACCCGTCGGGATTCCACCACGCGACGGACCAAATCTTGAAATTCATGTCAGCATGCGATCCTTCTCAATGAAAAATAGCCCCCCCCTATTTCACTTCTTCTTTTTCTTATATTTTTTTATACTTCCTCTTTCCTTCTTTTTGTTCTTCTTTTCTTCTCTTTCCTCCGTCACTTACGAGCAAAAGTCTCTTCAATATTGACCATCTCCCGCGCACTCGTCTCCATAAATCCACAATCATGTCGGCGCGCATACTCAAGTCCATCACGCGAGGAGATAGCGCGGCCGTCCTTCAAATCGCATTTGTTCCCAGCGAGAATCTTGACGGGCGGCGGCATGCCCACCCCGGGTCCAGCACTGGGCCCAAGTTTCTTGCGCAATAGTTCATTATCTTCCAGCCGCTGTTCCGCCTCCAGGTTGATCAACTCCAGAAAGTGATCCAAAGTTTCCAGACTGGAGGGGTTTGTAATATCGTAGACTAGTAGAAAGGCATCGGATTTGAGGGTGGTGGCCGTCCATAGTCCTCGATATTCCTCCTGACCAGCGGTGTCGGTGATGGATAAGAAGTAGGGAAGACCGTCGATATTGCGCGTGACCGAATATGCATCCTCTGCGAAAGGTATTGACGTTAACACCGATCGCGCTCGATCGCGTTCGATCGCGAATTATCAATTCATGACGAGCATGAAGGGGGGAAAGAGGAAATATCGTACCAATGGTTGGGTCATATCTGAATGATGGGTATGTTAGCGACTGGTCCAATATTGATATATTCAGGGGAAAAGGGGAAAAAAGGGTTTGTTACTCATGTATCCATTGACTACGGACCAGCCGCAGGGTGATGGACGATTTACCTATGCCCCGATCTGATCAGATCTCGATCGCGAAGAATTCCCAGAGCAATGGCACCGAATCACAGTGGGTACTAAGGCCCAGGATCGAAAAGAAGGTTGCCGGGGACGTACCGCATCCTCCATCGCCGCAGATGGTGATTGAGATCTTGTCTGCCATCGCGTGCACTGGCCGACCATAGATGCCAGGCACCTCGAGGTCGGCGGGTATAGTAAAAAAGTGACAGTATGAGGGATTTTTGTTGGGGTCTTTGGAATATAATACCGTATTGACGGGGATTTCAGAGGCGGGGAAAGTGAACTTTTGGAAAGCGAGAAAAGTAAATACAAGAGGAAAGTTGGAAAGGAGAAGATGTTAAGAGAGACACAAAGGGGGGGGGAGTTATTACTACTTGATAAGCATAAAAACATTATAACCAACAATGAACTCCTTTTTAAAGTCTATGCTTCTTATATACTTTTTTAATACAATATGTAGATATCAAATGTATAAATGATTTAAAAATCAAACTATTGAATTGCCTACATTCTAAAAAGAAAAAGAGAGAGATACATTTCGAATGTAGATGTGTCTCAAGCATCAAAGGAAATGTGATAGATCCGCTTGTTACGAGTATTACCAGGTAATGCTGAATACCGTGAAATTAAAGAATAACAAGGGAACATTGAAAACAATAAGGATAATGGGCAGTGAAGCTCATTGTGTATAGGATTATAAAGGAGATGGTTTCAAGGTAAAAGAAGCAGAGATCCAAGTTACACACATCTTGTCCTACTTTGATTTTTAATTTGACTATATATTCTTATACATTTTTTTAAATACTATTCAATACTTTTTTTCAATCGATTCCAATGTTTCCAACCGTTTGAAATGTTTAAATTTCCCCGTATTTAGTGGGTCCCTCGACATGTTTTTTGGTATTGTCTTGTACTTTTGCACAGGCAGAAAACAAAAGAGGAGAAACTGGATGAGCGACTCTTTTCCTATTCAACTCATCAACTTCCCTCTTCAAAAACTTCAATCACTATTCAAACTTGTCTTTTACTCTGGCCCTGGTCTTATTTCCTCAGATCTTCGGAATCATCCATTTGTTTCATCTTGACTCTACTTTCCTAAGAACAAGAGAAAAACCAAGCCTATTTGATTCTTGACAGGTGGAGTCCCCCTCGTCTAACGTGACTGGATTCCATCCCGCTGGTCCCTCTTTCCCGAGAGTTTGGATCACTGTCTGAGCTTTGCATTACTGGGACCCCATGCAAGGCCGAGGCCTAACCTGTTGTTCGTCTTTCTTACCATATGGTGGTTTTCACCTCATGGATCAATTCAACTTGGAGTTCAACTCCCGCGATGACTCTCAGGAGGATGGCGGTGTTTCCCTCACTCAATCTCTCTCCCAGGACCCCTTGATGGTCTACCCCAACCCTCATGGAAACTATGGCTACGGCGCCATGTTGTCGCAGGACGGCAACCTGTCCCTGAATAACTTTGATCGCCAAGGACAACAGGGTGGAGAGTTGGAAGGTCGTCTTTCAGGTGTCATGCTGGCTTATGACCCCAATAATCCCGCCTCTGTTCATATGAGCATGGGTGGCAACGCCTTCAACAACTATGCCCCAGCACCTTACCCCGCCACCACCATGGGGCTTGCGCCAATAGACCAACCCCAAATGCATGCCTCTTACTCTCCCTTCCAACCTTTACCAACGAACGCCCAATATCTTCAACCCCAACAATCGCAACCCCCACCGCCACCGCAGCAACAACCACAACCACAACCACCACAACGGCAGCAGCAACAACAGCAGCAGCAAATTCAAAATGCACCACAACCACGCAACGATAGTTTTACCAGTTCCACCAACAATGGCACTATCTCCTCGGGGAGTTTGGAAGATTCAAGCGACCCGTCGCAAGGCCGATCCCGAACCATCCAGGAGCGCGCCCGACAGCCGCCCTACGCGCCATCATCCACGCAACGCCCTCTCCAGCCTCTTGCGATACAGCCCAAGAAAGTTCAGGCCAAAGGTGAGAGAATGATTTTCCAGTTAGATATCCCGACTTTGAATCTGCAGAATTGACCTTGGGTGAAATATTTAGACCAATCTCCTGGACTGTCCACTCCAGATGCGGGCAAGTCAGAACATACGGGTATCTACTCCAGCAGTGGTTTTGATATCCTGGGAGTTTTGGTGAGTCTTTAATTTACGAGGACGAGGGATATAAATAACCCGATCTAACCATAACTATAGAGCCGGGTGGCAGTTCGTCCGAACCCGAAAATAAACATTGGCGCTGTCGACTTATCATGTGCCTTTGTACTGTGTGACATTCAACGGGAGGATCACCCGATCGTCTATGTATCGGAAGCCTTTGAACGGCTCACCGGTTACACAAAGGCGGAGATTGTCGACCGCAACTGCCGTTTCCTGCAGGACCCCAATGGCAACCTGAAGGCTGGCTCAAAGCGGACCTTTGTCGATGGACAAACCGTCCATCGCTTGCGTTCAACTATTCATGATCGAAGTGAGATTCAGGCGAGCATCATCAACTACCGCAAGGGTGGGCAGCCCTTCATGAACCTAATCACCATGATTCCCATTCAGTGGAACTCGGGAGATGATTATCGATTTTATGTTGGCTTCCAGGTTGATCTGGTAGAGAAACCGGATGCGATTACAAGGAGGAACCCTGGTATGTGATCAACGAATTTGCTTTTTCTCTCATGCACCCTGACTAACCAACATTTTAGATGGCACGTACAGTATCAACTATCAACGGGATCAGCTACCACAGTACCTGGTTCCACCGCCCGATATTTACCGTATGCGACCTGATCTTGTGACCCAATTCGGTCATGACCAGGTGACACAAGTCCTAAATGCTCTGGGAGTTCCTGGCTCTGGTTTGCCGCAGAACTGCTTGGATCGCGTTCTGGTGGAAAACACCGATGATCTGATTCACGTCTTGTCCTTGAATGGCGAGTTTCTATACCTATCACCATCCTGTACGCGGATTTTAGAGTATGAGGCTATTGAGTTGGTCGGCAAGACATTATCGACCATCTGCCACCCGAGCGATATTGGTCCCGTGATTCGTGATATGCGGGGAAGCACAACCTCTGCTCCAATTAGCGTCGTTTATCGTATTCGTCAAAAATACCAAGGCTATATATGGTTTGAGAGTCATGGTGCTTGGCACATTGACCCCAGCCAAGGGCGCAAGTACCTCGTGATGACTGGCCGTCCACGACCTGTCTACGCGATGGATCAAATTGCACGCCTGGGTTCCTCGGCAGCGCTGGCCGAGAATGATGTGTGGGCCAAGATCTCCTTGTCAGGTGTCATTTTGTTCGTGACGACCAAGTCGAAGCCTGTGCTGGGACGCACCCCAGACGACTTGGTTGGGAAGAGCATTCAAGAGCTTATGAAACCCGAGGATGACTCTGCTTCCATCTCGGATTGCCTGGAGTCAGCCGCCTCGAGCTTTGAACATGGAAACAGTGAGGATAATCTCAATGGTGGAAATAACAAAAAGGAACCACCGTCGTTCTGTCATCGGATGCGCCATAAAAAGGGGCACTGGCTTTCTGCCCACACAACTTTATACGCTGGAGATTTGGTGAACGGGCTGAGGCCCTCATTCCTTGTCGCTCAGATTCGATTCGCACGCGCATTCCCACCGTCTGCAGCTGCCACAGCTGCCGGGGACGACGATGCCATGGCCGATGTCCCCGGTACAGGCAAGATGACCACTCTCACCACTGCCGACCCTAATCCTCCACGCCAGTACGGCGCTCTCGGGCAACGTATGCCCGATCTCTCTTATCTCACCGGGTTGAATGGTCTACCCAATGGGAACCGCAGCATCTCTCCCTCCGACGTCCCCGCCACTTTCTTCGCTGAACTGAATCCTACTCGTGGAACCAGCTGGCAAATCGAACTGCGTGAACTTGAAAAGCAAAATCGAACATTATCTGATGAGCTACAGCGCCTACTTAGCCGACGCAAGAAGCGAAAGCGCAAGCAGACTGCCATCTCAGTAGAGAAATCGTGTTCTTTGTGCAAAACCAAAAACACACCAGAATGGCGACGTGGTCCGAGCGGGAATCGAGACCTGTGTAATAGCTGTGGGTTACGCTGGGCTAAACAGATGCGAAGTCAACCCCAAGTTTCAGCAACAGCGATGGAAAACAAGCCTGTCATTTGAATGTATATGGAAGAGGTTTCTGTTTGAAGTTCTTTTTCAGGTGTTGATTTGAATTTGGATATTTGGAAGCTTGGTCTGCTACTTGGTCTGCTATTTGTTTCATATACCCCTTCCTTCCCCGGATTTTGAGCCTGGTTCACACCAAATTGACATTCTTGTACATGATCTATCTCCTATAATGCATTTATTCTCCTCAATTGGCGTTGTTATGGATATAATCTGAAATTGATTTCATTACTATCAAAAAAAGTGTGAATTTGAATCAATATACATAGGAATGAAATCGTACTGTATATAGGAGTGTAGATATCATACATAGTACATACTATGTTCTACTTGAACTATGTATGTATACATAAAATGATAAACAATAGCACAAGGCCAGTCTCATCTACTATTTTTACAACATCAATATCCATCAAAAAGAGAAATCTAGTCTATGCAGTCTCATAATTCTCTCGAAGTCAACCATTTGTTCAACCAATCCCTCTCAAAAGTTTCAACATCCGCCTCACCATCACGACGCATAGCCTCACCCACATCCCCAGCACCACGTTCATCCAACGCAATCTGCACCTCAGCATAACTCATCTTCTCCACTCCCCCCGCACCCCGAATCATCGCATCATCAATGGCAAGGTATTCAAGGTACTGCGACAGCCTGCGCCGATACAAGCCCACGAGCACAGATCCCCAAGCGCGATCATGCTTCTTAACAAGTCCAAACACCGCACAAGCCTGCAAAACACCCGCCGAGCTCCCCCCAACAACCCAAGCCGGATTCGCCAACTCAAGCAAAAGCCCAAACGCCTCCTCACTCCCAGCCCTAGGCGCATCCAGCCCATTCTCCGGCCTCGCCCCAACCCAAGCCCGCAAGGCCCCATTCCTCCTCTCCGCCGCCACGCCCCTCTCCTTCCCAATCTGCCCAGGCACCCGACACGTCGCCGGCGTAATGGCGGACCCAAAAAGCGGCACAATAAGCGGCGTGAACTCGCCGCAAACAACCAGTATCATGGTAAACGGAATCATGCGCCTCACATCTCGCGCCGAGCGCCTCACAAGCTGGAACTGGCCTCGCCCAAGCCGCAGATTCCGCAAATCATATGTGTTCTGCGACGGCGCGGGCCCGGCCGCGGCGCCCTTGGAGGATTGTGGCTGGCTTGCGACGGGATTGGGATTCGCGACCCTGCGCGGCGGAGAAGTGGGTAGGAAGGCCGGTAGACCTAGTTGTTTGCGTAGTGGGAGCGAGGCACGGTAGTTGCGGAAGACGTTTTTCAGGCCTGTCTTGTAGAATGTGAGGTATGCGCGGCCGATGGCGACGACGCGCATGAGTTTGGCTGGGATTTGGGCGTTGGGTTGGAGGGGGTCTGGGAGGGAGAGAGGCGCTGGGAGGGTGCTTAGGGGCGCATTGATTTCGTGTTTTTCTGGCGCGACGACTGTTGTGCTGGGGTCGGTTGGTGGTTGTGGTTGTGATTGTAGGGATGCGGAGGTTGTTGAGAGGAGTTTTTGGGATTGTAGGAGGAGGGCATGGTGGCGTTGAGGTCTGTAAGAGGACCGGAGGACACTATGTCCTCGGGTGATGGACAACATGGTCGGTTGATTGGGGTGGGAGGTATTGAGGGTGGTTGTTGTACGGGGTGTTTTAAGTGCGACGCGGAGGTGAAACGATCGGGGGATCGAAATTGGAGACACCTGAGGTGTCGATGTAAAGCTATATGAGCCGAGGTACGATTCACTCACTAGTCACTACTAACATTTGAATACTTTCTAGATGTGTCTACCACATAGCTGAAATATTGGCATCCAAACCCCATTAATTAACGGAACATAAAAAATAAAAAATAATGCCTGATAAAAGTTCGAGTTTTAATAAGACACACAAAAGAAAACCATTTTCGAGCGACTACAGCTCAACCTGAGCAGCCACCATAGCCTCTGACATAAACCCAGTCACAAACAACCAAGCCATTTTCTTCCCATCCTTAGGCTCAACAGGGACCAAAACAGCCGCACTAGCCGTACGAATCAGTGACCCATCATCCTCAAAGAGCAATTTCTTCTCCCAAGTCTTCGAACCAGCCCCCGGTCGAGCATACCAAACCTGCACCGGATCAAGACCATTCGGGTCCTTCGCAGACTTGGCCAGCTTATAAGGCTGCGAGATACCCGCGACCACAAATCCACTCGCATCGTCGGCGTCAGTACGATACGGATCAGCATAATAGCTCGGATTATCAGTCACCGTATCAAAAGAGATGGTAGTTTGTACGGAAAGTGTGTTGTTGGTCGCGTGCCTGTCAGCCAAGTAGACCTCACCGCCCGAAGCACTAGCGATGATGACCTCATCCTTGCTGCGACCATGCCCAAGACCATTATTGTTCCAGAGACCAGAATGGGCAACTCCGGCCTCAATTCCAGCCGTCGCATCGGTCGTTTTCAGATCTGTCAGCTGGAGATGAATAATGGAAGACCATTTAGCACCCAGATAGAAATCCTCAACCATACGCATAGTGCCTTCGCGGTAGAAATGGTCATTGGTGACAAAGAAGGAGTGCGGGCTGACAGCGTAGAGATCATTGGGTGTTTTCACTAGTGGGTGGAGGATAGAACGGACATGCTGGATGGTATCGGACTGCAAGACATGGCGGAACAGCTCCACTTGCGAACGTGCTTTGTGAATATCCTCCGATGGTTCATTTGCATCAAAATTGTATTCCGGGTTAGGCAAGTGGTTGATTGCAAAGATGTATACAGCGTCCTCCTGGGCGGGGTCTTTAATGACATCGATTCCATGGGTGACGAATGAACCGTTGAAGTTTGTAAAAGCCAATCTTTTGGACTTGAATGTCTATTACGAGAGAATATGTTAGTGTTTGGGGATCGAAGTACTGTGTATGCAGTGACCGCTTACCTTTGGATCGACGACATGAATAGATCCACGAGCTGGTGAATGAGGTGTTAGATGGCCCAGACCGGGAAACCAATCCAGGCGGGTATATTTGTTGTCTTCGCAGGCAGTAAACAACAGATTGGCCGGGCGGTAGTGATGTACATCTTCGCAATGGATAGTATCCTCAATACGAATAGGTCCTTGACCTTCACCTAAAACTGTTGGGGCTGGGGTTTTGAGTATACCGCCGATTTTCACAACATGGAGGATGATAGGAACCAAATAGGCCGTCAAGGCCACGAAGCCAAGGCCAAAAATGGATCGAAAAATGCCCATGGTGACACCAATTGATGGGATGTTATGAGATTTGTCAAAAAAAAAAACAAGGGAGGAACGAACAAAGGAAATACCTCGGATGTTCAAATGCCTTTCCCCACTCAAGATCGTCATAGGTATTGCCAGAGTGGGGAAATTTGGGGGGGAAATGGGGGGAAAGAGAGAGAAGTTGAGAATATGAGGGAATGACCTCGGGAGAAAATGAGGTAACATTGGAATGAGGAAGGTAGGCCCGAGAGTCAAGACTTGCAATTTAGGTCGTACATGGTCGTAATATAAAAAAAAGTGAATGAATGCAATTGACTATCCTAAGCGATAATGATGGGGGGGTTTTCTGTTTTGAATGTCATTTTGATAGTTTTTCTTCCGAAGCAGAAAAAAAAAAGACAAGGTAAAAGAAAAGAGCTGCAGGCATCTGTAAAATCCATCAGATGTGTGATAAATCATCATCGAGGTCATAGCGGAAGTGACCGGCGCAGGGCAAGTTAGTCCGAAAAAAAAAAAATCCTTGAGTGCAAATTCCCATTCCCATTCTCATTCTCATTTCCATTTCCCATTCCAGTCACACCTTTCAAATTAAAACCCCAGATGACTTGCTTTACCGCAAGGATTGCTTCGCCTCCAGAAACTCCTGATCGCTAGCATCGAGGACATCGTACTCCTCGTCGGTAAGGAAGCCGGCGTCTGTGTCAGTCTCGTCCAAGGTGAGGCTTTCCACATCTTCAAGAACATCTCTCTCGGAAGCCGTCGAAACAGTTGGGGGAGGGCGAGCGGCAGCCATGGCTTCGTGAGTGCTGGTCTCGGGGGATTCTTTCTCAAGCTTGGGGAAGATCATACGGCTACCGGAAATCTCGGTATCATTCGTGGGGACTTCGGATTCCACGGACTCATCAATGAAAGGCTTAGCAGTTCCCTGGACTTGAATGTCACACCAGAGACGGTGGCCAATAGGAGTACCGTTAGGCAACTTCAGACGCCAGTACGAGATGGCAGTGCCTTCGCGCTGCGAGCTACGGAGGCTCACAGTAAAGTCAGCACTGCTACCAGGTTCAACAGGGACAGTCAAGCCATTGCTCTTCATCGCCGAGTGAATGGATTCGACGTCCGACGGGTGGTTGGAGTCAACGTTAAACATAGCATCTCCACCGGAGAAGCGCACGTCACTACCAACTGGCCAAGATTCGGGTCCGGGGTTGTAAAGAGTCCACGTCTGACGGAAGCAGGTGTTGGGAGGCAACTTTGTACCATCCGCGATGGTATCGCGCATGAAATACGCCTGGAAACCGGCCAACTCGGTAGAAGGAGGAACCTCGGGCTTGGTCGCATCAACTTCCACAGGTTCTTGCTTCACAATTGCCTGCTTTTCTTCGGTAGCTTCGACAGTCAGGTCGGAGACTGAAGACTCATCATGAGAGTCTGCACGATCAAAAATTTGGTCGCCCAAGGTGACACCGTCAGTGGCTGTGCTTACAGTCACGCTACGAACAGGGGTCCTGAACTTCACCAATGGGTGGGTTCGGTTGTGCATGTGAGTTGGAAGGGCCTCACAGTTGGCGCAGAAATCAACGTCAGCGCAAATGGCACACTTGTAACGAATGCCATTTATATAGCTCTGAGCAGGCTTGTCTTTGCATAGGGGTCCATCACAGAAGATGCCGTAATGGATTTCCCAATCACGAGACTGCTGCTCGGCAAGGGCTTCGTAGACCGGGGCAAATCGATGCCTGGGGTGGCTCTGAGAGGCATCAACAATGCAGTCGGCGCAGTAATCCCAGTCAGGGCAATCGAGACACTTGTGGCGGGTACCAACAATGTTCTGGACTCAAGTTAGTATGATTATTTTCAAGGCAGACAAGAGAAAAAAAGAGAGAAAATTCATTACCTTCTCGCAGCCATCACAGATAGCCGCATGCTGGAATTGACGACCGGGAAGGCAGCGAGACAGGATCAGGTTCTTCAAGCAGAAATTACGATCCTTTCCGAGCGAGAATCCATGGGCAGGGTGGTGGCCATGCTTGTTCCTCAGGAGACAACGGAGGCACAGGTCATAATCTTCGCATTCATTGCAACGCACCAGATTGCTCTCCTCAGTCTCTGTGAAGGGGTGTCAGCTATGATAATCCACTGGTATTGAGGGGGGGGCTGTGCTAGAATAACATACCACGGCAACATCCATTGCACATAGGGTTTTCCTCTTGAATGACTACATCCTTACGAGGCACAGGAGGCACAGCCGCAAGGACCGGAGCTGGGGTAGGAACGGACGCCACTGCCTCGGTAATGGTTTCCTGTGGCCGAGAGTCCAGTGGCTTGGTCTCCTGGACCTGTGGTTGATGGGGGGGAATGGTTTCGGTGACGCTATTGGTCACGATACCCTGCTCGACCGAGCGCTTAATAAGCCAGTGGCCTTCACCCAAGCACGAAGCGCCGTTCGCAACACACGCGGGGCAAAGGTCGTAATCGCCATTCTCGCAAATACCACAGTGGTAGTGATCATTGGCAATTGAGCGACGGCAGTTGTTGCAGTCAATGCAAAATGCTCCACTGGGAGAGTTGTGAGAGATCATCGGGAAGCGGTGTGCATCTTTCTCCATCTCGAAGTTCCGGTAGTGAGGTTCGTTAATATTTGAAAGTTCAACTCTTCCGTGAGGTCCAACTGACAAAACCTCGCTAGAGGCACCAGCAAAAGCGGCAGGAGTAGGAGGCGAGGCGCAGGCGGCAGGAATAATTTCACTAGAGCCGACAGGGATGGGTGAACTCAAGACAGTTTCCAGGTAGCTGTGTCTCGGAGGTGTCAGTGTTGGAGGGTGAGCCGGGGGCAAAGTAACTGTAGGCGCGGGCACCGACGAATTAATCGTGTTAGCCTTGATACGAAGCTTAGATTTCGCTTTTGCCGCGCGGTAAAGTTGTTTATAGACTGCCTGGTTATCGTTGTCAAGATGAATGTAGCAGCCGGCGCTGTCGGAATAGCGTTCGAGGATGACGTTAACATCCGCCGGAACCTTGAGTAAAGAGCGGATCTAAACCAACCGTATTAGTCAGTCAACAAGCAAACAAGTCAAGGTATTTCTGTGCTCCATTTCTCGGATAAGAACAACTTTTCATCCATCTTGGCCATCCAGGAGAGGGATGACACAGATCGTTATCAAGATAAGAGAAATGTGGGCGGACTGAATGTCCGGTCGGAGCTAGAGTGGAGACGGCCTTACCTTCTGTGGGAACACTTGAGCATTAAGCTCGCTCAACAGAAACTTGAATCGACGATTATTGTCGTTAAAGAGCACTTTGACGGTAACAGACTGATCTGAACCCGAGTGCGATGGAAGAGCCGGGGTAGCCATGATGTAGGCCACCGGGGGAAGTGGATGATAGGAAGAAGTATGGGGAGAAGGAAGCTAAGTGAGATAAGGTGACCACGGACGGGTAAACTAGGGGAGACAGAGAGAAAGGGTTGGGAAAGCCCCAGACTATGATTTAGAATACGAAAGAAGTGAGGGACCAAGAGAAGATGACGGATGATGGAAGTGAATACAGAGAGGATGGAGAGGGGGAAAGGGAATTGGAAAGCACAGAAGCCTGGACAGCAATCGTTGTACGGGAATCGGGGTCACTGGGTCAGCTGGTGTTGTGGGCGGTGTACGATTAGGTAATGTGGTCCGGGCATTATTACTAAATATACGTAACTAACTAACTAGTAGTACATAACTATACAGCTTGTAGCAGGTACATCGATACATGTCCGGTTCAAAGTACAAAGCGGGGAATTGGTACGTTTCGCGTACACTACCTACAATATTACAAGAAGAAGTGACTTTTCAGTTACTTTATGAGATATCATTTACTCCAGTAAAGGAACAAGTTTGGTACTTTTTGGTGGTATTTCGTGACCCCGTTAAGCGGAAACCAAAAAGAGAACATGAGGTCATGCAAAAAAAAAGGCCTAGATCATGCAAAGTGATCAGGAGTATGTCGTCGTCTTGCGGGGATCATGGGTGAAACGCTCAAATGCAGTCGAATCCAAGTCTAACAACGGAGCCAAGCAAGAGAAAGGCATGGTTCCAAAGGAAGATTGTCAAAAAAAAAAAAAAGTGAGAATTAAGGAGGGCATCAAGGCAAAGAGACTGGATGAAAAAGAGGAGGGACATGAACATGGAGGGGGCGAATAAGAAACAGAAGTAAGAAATAAGAAGAGAAATAAAAAGAAAAGGAAAAAAGAATGAGAGAAGAATGAGAGAAGAGTCCGGTGGAGAGAAGAAATAATATCACGACTCAAGATCACTGGCCGTAATATACACCCCCAGCGCCTGGCGGTTGGGGGAAGTAGTAGCCGGTGCCCGGCGGCGTCATCATGCCTCCCATCCCTACAACACCCCCAGATCCGAGTCCAGGCCCGGGCGCTCCGTAGTTAGGGGTGGTGTACATTTGGTTGGGATCGTAGAAATAAACAGTACCGCCAGATTCATGAGCGACCATGCCTGGTTGAGATTGTTGCTCACGAGATGGTCCCGGGGCTTGGTGGTGAATAGGTTGCGGACCAGGGGCGAAGTTTGGCACTGACGCGCCAGGTCCCATCGGGCCATTATAAATAGGGTACTCTGGACCAGAGTTAGGATAATACATCCCACCAGGATAATAATTGGGGTAAAATCCAGGTTGTGGGTATACGTTGAACGGCTGAAATGCCGGTGCGTGGATTGCTCTCTCCGGAATCTGAGAGAGGGGGGTAGCAGAGGACTGGCTGGGTGGGCCACGCGCGACTAGATCTTGACCGGGGCCATTGATGGGGACAGGGATGGGGACTTGATGATGGAATGGCTGCTCGTGTTGAGGCTGCGGAGGGTTGAACGGGAAATTATCAGGGCTTTCGATATCTGCCACGGATACCGTCTTCTTTGGGCGAGGTTGGTGCATGGGGATTGGAGCAGGGCGACTTTCACGGTAGGCAGGATGTGGGAGTGGCATGGGAGGCATGGACCCCGGGCCACCTATAGGCATCCCACTGGCCGAGGGGTAGGCTATAGGAACGATTGGGCGTGGTGGAGGTGGTAGACGAACAATAGGTTTGCTGGCATCAGGTGGCATCATAATTGGGCGTGAGTAGCATGACCCGGTGGGTGAGGCAAAGCTATCTTGAGATGACATGCCAAGGGAAGTTCGGCGGCTCGGAGGAATGCTTGGAGCATAATTGGAGTAGAGACTTGGGCGTCTTGGATAGAAACCGCCACCTCGTCCCCGACCACGATATGTGTGCTGGTTCGGGCGCATTGCGCGAGGAATGAAGATAAATGAACGTTCGGTTGATGGAAATATGTAACGCGGAGCTTGATCAGGGAGAGAGATTCGGACCGGCTTGTCACGGCGCAGAGGAGGGCGATGTTGAGGCAGTCGAGTGTGCTGTTTTTTTGCCATAGTTGTGGGTTTTGGCTGTGCCATTCCCGGCAAAAAGACCACGACTGGTACATTGCCTAGCAACACAGTGCTAGAGAAAGTTCGGTTCGGAGGGGAGGACTTGGGGGCAGTGGGAACTGTCGGGGGAGGTTGACGTGCAGCAGAGGGAGCCGAGTGCTTAGGTGCCGGTGGCTCATCTCCAGCTACGGTATCGTGAAGGTCATGAGCCCACTGCCCAACGCTCGCGTCAGGCTTCGAAGAGTCCCTAGGAGCCAAGGAATTAGTATAACAAGATGATTTGTCATGCAACAGATCCAACATACCTTTGAGTGTTGCCATCCACAATGAGACCGTACGGCCGAGACTTGCCCTTGTTGGAGGAACGGTGGTTGTTGGACCCCAGCTCTGACGTCCGCTTATCGTGCAAGAAAAAGCTACCTCGTGTTGGGACGAAGGCCGGGTTCTGGTCTCTCTCCTTGACATATTTCTCATGTTCCCGACGCTTTCGAGTAGCCAGTGTTTCTCGTTTTGGCTCTGTAGGAGGGGCTGACGGCGTTCTGCCGGTCTGGAGCTCTCGACCCTGGTTCACCTGGTGAAACTGAATTTCTTCAGAATCATCAGAGACCTTAAGCCCATTCAACATGGCCTCAGTATCGGACACTGTTGTCTTGAGCCCTGGCTTGGTGGGTGATGTGGAGCTACGTCGTGGCTCCCGTCCGTTTGTCTTTCGACCGTTCAGCTTGTCTGTTCCCAACCCTGCTGCTGTCTCGTCCTCCGTTTCACTGCCCTCCACATCGGCATCCTCATCTTCCTGGTGACTGCGGACCGAGCCCTCACTCAAAGAGTCATCTTCAAGGTCGCCCGCAAGAGAACCTTCATCTTCCCCATCGTCATCTCTGCGCTGCCTGCGGCTTGCCCCGATATGACGTCGCTGGGGAGCCATGTGCACCTGAGGGTGAGGAATATTGGAAAGATTCAAGATAATCAGTTTGAAAGTATGAAATTTGCAGTTGACCAGCTAAAACCAGTTTAGGGTGGCGATGAGAGGTAGACAGGGAGCGGGTGAGGCAGGCGGGCGTGGAAACAAGGACGGGTAGATCCCAAAAAAAGAACAAGCAAATGCTATGTATGAATGGAGAGAGTGTGCCCAAAAAGAAAGAAAGCAAAAGATAAGTGAGGTCGGAGAGGATTAGGGAGAATAGTGATGAATAAAGAAAAAAGAGCAAGGGGGCAAGAAGAGAAAATAGAAGAGAAAGAAACTGTGTAAAGCAACAGCATGATATTCTCAACCGCAACAAGCATGACATCGCAAAGAGACGTCACCCCCGATCGGGTCTAGCGGGGCGGTGAAGCTATTCTGCCCAGCGTCTAGATTTCTTAGCTTTCTTTTTTGATTACGTAAATGTTATTTACAACTAAATAACTAGTTATTTACTTCATGGTGCTGGATTCAACTATGCAATAGTACTTTGGAGAATGGCTTACGTTCAAACAGAGTAAGGTGCTCTTGGCTATGTCAACCAGAAGCATTGTACGGAGTTCCGGGTACATAATATGACCCACATGCTACTAACTATACCCTGCAATAGGGATGCAGGGAGCATCGGCCACTGGCTGCACACGACCACCCTTGATTGATAACGCCGCCCAAACCACGCTTGACTAGGTATCCTCATCCAGAATACATCTGCACATACTAGTAGGCTTTGACCAGTGCTACTACATGTTGATAGACATTTCCAGGATCTGCAAAGTTGGATTTGACCTTTTAACATAAGTCACATAAGCAAGTGTTGATATATAAACATACAGCAAAAGCACCCCAAAACAATGTGTTGAGTTGAATACAACATGTAGAAATTTCGAACAAAATCTGCCTCATTTCTGGTGCTGCAGACTCCAGTGGACCCAACATTTGAAAGAGATTCAGAACCTCTTTCGAATTGGGCGTCTTCATATTCATGGCCACGTCAACATCATTGCAGCTCGCAGAGGAGATTATTACTAGATGGCGGCCCAAATGTTGCCCCAAAACGCCTGTGGATCGGCTGCATTGAACCCACCAGAAACAAAAAATAGACAGGAGAAAAGACATTGACACCCGACCAGAAGAAGAAATGCATGCGTTGGAGTGACAAAAAGATCAGAATTCCCGATTTTAATCGAAGTTAATTTTCGAGCCTTGACCCTCAACAATAGCACCACTGAGCCGCTGGACGGTCTCCTTGGAGTATCGAGAGTCGTCAATTTCCGGTCGTCTGGGCTTGAAGGCACGAGGAGGTCTATCGGAACCATTGGTCTCGCCAGACTCTGAATCGTTCTTCCGGCCCTCGCCGTCCTTACCAAAGCGCTTCTTGTAGCGAGTGGTAGCATCCTCGGCGAACTCCAACTTCATGCGGCGGCCCAAAAGCGTATTTACCCACACCTTGCGCTTCATGCTCTTCTTCGACTTTTTCTTTGGCTTCTCAGATTCAGAATCAGAGCTGTCGGATGATTCCTCATCATCCTCACCAACCATCATAAAGCCCTTCACCGCTGTTTCCGCAGAAGCGATGTCTTCAAACTCGACCCATCCGTATCCCTTGCATTTTCCGGAATCTTGGAAGGTAGCCAAATGCACATTATCCAACGCTCCGCACTGGCCGAAGTGTCCCTCCATGATTTCCTTGGTGACATCGAATCCCAAGTTACCGACAAAGATGCGGCGGGACGGAGGGTGACCGGGCTTTTCGTTTGCATTCTCCTGGTCGCGGGACTTCTCGGGCCGACCCTCGAAGCTCTTTGCATTCTTGATCAACACTCGGCGGCCAGTTACAAGCTGTTCACTCAAGCCAATTGCCTCCTCCAGAGCCTTCGCGTTAGAGAAATCGACGTAGGCAAAGCCCTTATTCTGGACCTTTCCAAATCGTTCTTGTCCCTTCGGCATGTGGATTCGAGTAATAGTAGTCTCGGGGAAAGAGCAGTTGCTGGTGAAGAAGCTGATAAGGTCATCTCTGGTCACAGTGAAAGCAAGGTTGCCGATCCAAACTCCATAGTCGGAGCGTTTAGCTGAAGCATCCTCTGTTGCTGGGTTGGCGGGTTCGGCCTTCTTCTTCTTCTTCTTTTCGCCATCCTCGGTGGAGGGCTCTGACTTCTGCTTCTTGGCTTTACGCAGGGCTTTCTTAGATTGCGGCTCCGGTGCAGAGACATCAATCTCGAGTTCGGGGCCATCCTGCAGCTTGCGCTTCTTGTGGACAACATCGGGCGACGCAGGCGCTGCGGGCGATGAGGGTGGTGAAGATGTATCAGACATAGTGGCGGCAGTCAAATTGCTTCACACAAAATCCTGGAGAGTTCAAGATTGAATTAAAAAATCCAACAGTTCTCGAAGAAAATAAATTTCTCCAGATTCACATTCGACGCTAATATTTTTTTTACGGCGGGGCAGATCCGCCCTTTACGCAGCCCGAGCTTGGCACGCGCCGGGCGACTTCTTTCGTAACTAACCCTTGTATCTTCTTCTCCTCCATCTATCTTATCCCAGCTCCATCATCTCATTATCTCATCATGGCACAGGAAATAAAAGATTCTCGAGTGTCTGACACCCTTCCTGATGCTCCAGCCCCCGCCCCGGTGAAGCAGTCGGTGCGGTCCTTCAAGTACGACGACCTTCCAAAGATGCCAAAGATGCATTGACTAATAGTTATTTTAGGAAAAAATATGCAAAGACGAAGTTGAAATTTGAGTTGGGAATTCGAGAAAATGAGAATTTGATCCGCGAGGAGCTACGAATTGAGGATTTGTCCAAACGAATTCAGGAACAGAACGAGTATGTACTGACCTATCCCCTCCCCCAATGACCGCACTGTGAAATAAATGTGTCTAACTCATAGCTAGTCAACTTCTCGAAGTTCTGATGGAGTTTAATGAAAGCGTTCATGTCCACCCCTCCATGCGATACGGCTTGACCTTGCCTAGCGACACCCCTTTCCTTCCAACGCCAGAGAAAGAAGTTAAAGCAGTAGTCGATGACGCGACCCTTGCGCGAACAGCTTTGAAAGAGGCCAAGGCCGGAATCGCTAGTGGAAACTTTTCACCTACGGCTTACCGCCAAGTGGAGGAAAGTATCAAACGAAACAAGGAGTTTGCACCAGCTCTGCTGTACAGTGATCTGACCAAAGTGCCACATACCGAAGCGACACTTCCAGCAGACGGGGCCAAAGAGACCGTCTCTGTAGATCGCAAACTCGGATATTTTACCCCAGAGCATGAGACCGAACACTATCTCGCGCTGGACGCGAGGCTCGGAGACCCGGGCGCAAAAGCGCAATTGGCGCGTATCCCGGACGCGCCAACATTTGCTGAACGAGAAAAAGAAGCCTCAACGCGAAACCCAGCCTCGGTCTTCAATTGGTTGCGACGCAACCAACCACAAACATTGCAAGATCACGAGGTTGGCTCGGAGAAGTCTACATCACGACCCTCCAATGCCCGGACATCGAAGCGGGCCCCTGTTCAACGCAAGGAAGAGGAAACGATCGATGAGGATGGGGCTGAAGTTGAGCCTACTCCAAAGGGTAAGCGCAAGCGTGATGAGGATACCGGATACCGACCCAAGGGTGGAAATAACCGGTCTAAAAAAAAGAAGGATGACTCGACTCCTAACCGCAACTCCAAGAAGACTTGAATGAAGGGAAATGTATCTCAGCACTCACTTTTTTTCTTTTGTTTCCTTTCTATCTAATGTATTACTACCGCCTTTGTGTGACGTGTTATAGCAGCCCACAGACAGATATGATTTTCCTAAGACATCGCTGTGATCCCCAGGGGAGTATCTGAGCCGCAGATTCTCCATGACTGAAAGTTTTAATTATATTTGAGGGAATTTTTCTCTGTTTTTCTTTCTAAAAACGGGGATACCACGAGGCCCTTCCGATTCTTCCAAGGTTTTATGTAATATGCCGCATTGCTTGGATGCCATATATAAAGAGAGAGTTCAATGTTACCTATCGTTTTATTCAACTCGATTTTACATGTATAGGACTTAGAGTCAACAACTTTCTTCTTCCTACGTCAAACGACTCCTAACTTTGGAATTGGTAATCACTCTGATCACAAGCCTTGCAATATATCAAGATTTATGAGTAGAGGCTAGGACTTGACGATATCGATAGTGACGAAGTGGAGCATGGAGATCAAGTGGATACAGTCACGTGCATCAAAAAGTCTCAGACCGCGCTGCATTTCGGAGCTCCATTATGTTACCCTCATCTACTCTAACCGGTCAATAAATCCTATAAGATGGCAATCACAATCTTACCTCCCGTTGTGGAGGACATGGGTACCTACCAGCAATCCGACTCCGACGAATTCATGTCCGACAATTCAGACTCCGATGTTGAGATGAGCGGCGTCTCTCGACCAAACAAGCGTGCCCGCGTAGGGAATAATAAGCCAGGCAAAGGAATTGTGACACCAGGTGAAGTTGTCACCGATGATCCGCAATGGATGAGGTTAGTTTTCATGCGAATAGTCCAAACCCCGCACAAAATATGACGGAGCGCGGGGGTATGTGGTTTTTGTCAAGCTAGGTTGATATGGACTCGCTAACCTGTTTTTCTTTTTTCTCCGACAGAGGTCACGGCACCTTCACAAACCCTCTATCGACATCCATCATCGCCACCGTAGCCGGTAGCGTCCAAAAAACCAACAAATTGCTCTCAGTCCACCCAATCCGGGCCAGATACACACCGGAAATCGGTGACCTAGTGGTCGGCCGCATTGTCGAGGTTCAATCGAAACGCTGGAAGGTCGACGTCGCAGCCCCGCTTCTTGCACAACTCCCTCTCTCCGCAATCAATCTGCCCGGTGGTATCCTACGACGACGAACAAGTGCCGACGAGCTTCAGATCCGAACCTTCTTCTGCGAGGGCGACTTGGTTGTCGCCGAGGTGCAGAGCGTGCACCAGGATGGCGCAGCATCATTGCACACACGGTCTTTGAAATACGGAAAGCTGCGAAACGGTGTTTTCTTGGCTGTCACCGGGACTGGAGGCAGCGGCGCAAATAGCTCAAGCGTGAAGGGTGGCGTGGGTTCTTTGGCGGCGCCGGGAGATGCGACTGGAACGGGCGGTGTCGTACGATCACGGCGACAGGTTTGGACGCTGGAAACACACAATGGTGGTGGTGAAGTGGATGTCTATCTCGGCGTCAATGGCTATATTTACATCGCAAAGCATGCAGATGGAGCTGCGGCCACATCTGCGGAGAACGTTGCGATAAGCCGCATGGAAGAAATGGTGTCGAGCTCGATCTACTCCAGTCAGAATGATGAGATTGCTCCCCAAACTCGGCGCGAAATCGCCCGTTTGGCACAGTGTATCCAGGTGCTGGTGCAAGGCGGTGTGCGTGTGGATGAAGAGACTGTGAGGACAGCCTACGAAGCTAGCCAACAAGTTGATTTGGAGGTTGGTGATGACGATGATGATGAGCACAGTGAAGGCCGCGAATATCTTGAAGGCTCTAAAGCCCGGCGGATTATCGAGTTAGTTGTGCACGGAAATTAGGTCATGATTCCCATGTACGATATAGGGCGGATCGGTGATACCCCGTGCAAGAATGGATCCCCCATTATCTATGATATGTTATCTCCTGGTCGACTCGTAGACTCATCTAATTGATATGTGCAATGAACATGGGCGAAATTAATCAGCAAGAACCGCTAGTTATAACTATGTAGTGCTTTATGGCTTCTGACCGAATCAGTCTGGAGTCAAATAGTGTGTGCAATGTTGTTTCTTTGTATAGAATACTAGTGTGCTTCGTTATATGCCTTGGAAAGGCGAATAAAGATAAGAAGATGGAGAAAAGACCAAGCATTGAAAAAGATACATAGGTTTGAGAGCGGACTTAGACCAGCCAAGCCGAATCTCGCATCAAGGAATTCACCTAGATCTACATTCTTTTATCTTTCTTTTCCCTTCTCCAGAATAATCCGAATATTAAAGAAGATGCGTGATTATAAGTAAACCAAAAAGGCCGAAAAGGAATGAGGGGGGAGGGGCCAGAACAAAACCGACGCTTCAAGCATCAACTGATCAAAACATATGAGGAAAAGCTATATTGCTCAGGCCTCAAACACCGGAACAACACTAGCCCAATTTCCTCGTGCACGTTCATCCCAGTATCCATCCTTGCCACCCTTAAGGCGCCAGATAACCTCTCCATCAGAGTCCTCATTAGCAAGTGTAAACCAGCGCGGAATCCAGTTCTCGCCAGCGGCTTCCATGTCTCGTCTACGGGCACGTTGGCCCTCTTCCAGCTGAACCTTGACCTCTTCAGCGCGGTCAAGGTCACCTTCTTCCAGGGCACGCTGATCAGGCCGGAGACGGGAGTCAGTGGGCGGAAGTCGCGATTCTTCAATGGAGGTGATTTCGTTGAGCGTGGCCGCGAAGGAGGTCAGACCGTAGTGTTTAGGGGCATTGGGGACCAATGGACCGGCCGTCCAGATTGGATTACCAGATGGAGAACCGTCGCGCGTCAAGGCCACAGATGAAGGCCAGGTTCCTGCCAAACCAATCGACACTGGTTTGTTGTATGAGTCAACAGCACGAGTAGAAACTTCCTCGCTGCGGCCAGAGAACATGCCACCGGCCTTGAAAGTAGAGATGGAGCGGTGTCCGGTGGACTCGTTGTAGACGGTCATCTCACCAACGGGCTCAACGTATTTCTCACCGGCAATGATATTGCGCAGGAAGGAAGTGGACGGGACATAGCTGAAGTGCTCCCCGGTAGCATGCAGAGTAATCCGCACGCGTCCCTCGGTGGTAATTTCGGCGGACTTTCCCCAGAACTTCTGACTGGGCATCGGGGATTGAGCGAGACTCCATTCGCGGCTGTCGGCCTGGTAGGCCAACTGCACAGGTCGGTGAGAAACTTTCTCAGCAATGAAACGGAACCCTTTGTCTTCCCGGACAAGCTCATATGTTTCGCCAAGCATGGGGTTAAATGGTTTGCGGATTGAGCGTTCCCGCACTCGGTTGCTGGAGATGGAGGATATAGCAAATGCGGTGACATACATTAGTCGCTCAACAGCGTCTGATGATTGTGAAGCTTTGTCCAATAGCGACGAATACTCAAGAATCTCCGCCGCACGCTGCAACAACGAGATTGGTTCATTGGCGGATACTGGCATTGATATTGTGGATAGATCCTTGCCAACGTTCTTGCGCAGGAATCCAATCAAACTTGGAGGCATGACGGTGGGTGCGGTGATGTTTTGACGTCGACGTACAGCATCTAGAGGTAGTGGAGCCAGAGATTTCGCGCGAGGGGGGAAGAGTGGCGAGGCATCGATGCCATCATGGGGAGCGGATTCGGCTTCATCTTCACTGTCTGAAGGTGCATCGTCTTCCACATTCTCAGCAGGCGGGGCAGTTCGATCCTCTGTATTGTCTTCGTCATCGCTGTCTTGGATGGTCAGGAGAGGCGATGGGGCCCCATCCGTAGCATCAAAGAATTCCTGTGAGATATCCGACTCCATACTACGCCGAGGCACCATAGAGAAACGGGGCGGGTTTCTCCGTTGTTTACTCTCCGAAATGAGCGCCGAGAATTCCGATACTACATTGTCAAGATCGCGCAAGACAGCCATTAGATTGTCATGCATATCATCCGTATGGCTAGTGATGCTCGCGGGCTTTCCAGAGCCTGGCGGCACCGTCAGCTGGGAGGCATTGGCGCTAGCTAGCTTGCCACTGGAAGTAGAGTTTCCACTCGTCTTGCGTTTCCAAAACGAGCGCCTTGGATCTCCTTGGATATCATTCCCAGGGGGATGAGGGCTCGGAGAGCGACCCCGGCTCCGAGGAGGATCCATGGGAGATGGGAGCGGCGATGTTGCAAGATATTTAGGATCGGTGTCCTTGGCAAGTCGGCGCACTGCATCGCGGGTGCCAGACACCTTACTCACCAAACGTTCAACCCGAGACCATTCATGTTCTTCCTCAGCAGAAGCAGAGGGTGGCATGGTCAAACGCAGTTCTGGGGGGCCGATAGCCAGCGAATTATTGTCTTGCAGTCCACTCTTGGAGGCCCTCTCCAAGGCCTGTTTCCATATCGCAAACTCGTGATCGTTGTTGGCACGTAGATGCCAAATCTCAGTGCCAGAATCAATTGAAATCTCGCGAGACTTCTCGTTGGTTGCCACGGCCGCCAATGAAAGCGGGATCGCACCGCGTAAGGCGGCCGAGTTAGGGTCATGGTAATATGATAGAGTAGAGGAAATAAAATCCAGGGAGAAGAACCGACGTGCCCAGCCCTGGTGCCGCTTTCTCCGCCGTTTCTGCAAGATTCCGCTATGTACGTTCGAGGAGGTCGACAAGTCAGACCGTTGCGCCTGTAGAGTCGCACGGCTGTTGCCCCGTCGACGACCCGTGAATTGCGGAAGTGAATCTGTAGAAGCCCCTTGCTGAGACTGAGCTATGGAAGCCACAGAAGCATGGGGTTGCAGGCCCGTGGGATAGGTAAGCAGAACGAGGGTGACTGTTTTCGAGACCTGTTTAGAGAAGGTGTTGTCGAAGACAAGTGCGTAGTTCCCTGCTTCGCTGGCCGAAACGTCGTATGTTCCTTTAGAGATCTTGTCGGCTTCACACTTGCCGACCCATTTAATTGATTTGAGGCCGATTGCTGTCAGCTTCTCGATGACGGTGGACTGTTGATTGCGGGAACCGGGGTTGGCAGCGGTAGCGGGGAGGTTCTCATTGGAGTCGGTGCTTTGGGAATCGGAGGGAGGTAGATGCGAGGCTAGCGAGGATTGACCAGGATGCTTGAAAACCCCGAAATTCACGGACTTCTTATGCGGTTGAATGCTCCATGAAATGGTGTGGCCGGCGCTGACATTGATCCAGCGCACAAAATAGGACTATTAATAGACAAAGACAGGACTTCATTAGATTGGGAATTAGAGGTCCAGAAATATCTCCAGACTCACCTTGCTATGGATCTGCAGCTCCTCCATGGCCGCCATGGTTGCACGATATTGGGGGGTTTGGAGGGGGAGGAGTTCCGCAAGAAGTGTACGTATTTACGTACAAGCTATGGCGGACCGGGAGTTGCGGCTGAAGGGGCGAAAATGGGAATAAGGCGGAACAACTATAAATAACATAAAATAACACCTTTCAAAACAATGCTAAGAAATCACAAAGAAGATTTTCGTCCCCTTATTTCACTATCACATATAGACTCAATAATCCGATGCACTAATGGCGGGGGAAAGCGGGAACCGTAAAATCAACACCGAGGCCGAGGACAAGGGCACGCACTTCACATGTACAAATTCCAATGAGTGCCTAGGTAAGATCTACAAAAACTAACTCCGTTCGGTATAATAAATGCTACATAAGTAGAAATAAAATGCCGGATGGCTTGTTCATTGTGTAGTGGCTACAGTATTCCCCCTAAACACCGAGACAGGTGTATCAAATTAAGACAAGACAGAAATTGGAGAAAAGATCAGAAAAAAGGGGGGCTAAAGGGAAGATTGAATGCATATGCCCATCGTTTTTGTTTTTGGTCTGCTTTTCCTGCAGAATCAGAATCCTCGCGATGATAAAGAGAAGAAAAAAAAAAGGAAAAGAATAAAAGAATAAGAGAAAATGGTACACTGTACAGGCAGATCCTTTAACGAGTGGCTTTCATGTTGCTGAACATCAACTTGAAGCCATTGCACAAGGCCTGCATATCTGGGTATGGGTTCTTTTGCAGCTCAAAGCCCTGGGGAATCACCTTCACAGGCCAGTTCTGCAATCGAGAGTGCTCGCCAGCCTTGAAGCAAAGGTAGAAGTAACCGGGGTGTTTGGCGTTGATGCAGAATGCATAAGCCGAGCGACGAGGGTTGGCCTTGGTGTAGGTCTCAAGCCATTGATCTGTCAAGATAGTTAGTAAGAGACAATCTGAAAACCATTTACGGGTCCAACATACCGGTTTCAGCCTTGCTGCCATCCTGGTGCTTCTCATTCAAAACCATCTCCTCAACCTTCTTCGCCATCGCCTTGACGTGGTTGACAATAAGATCGTCAAGATCACTATAAGTATACTTGCCGCCAACCTTAAGAACGCGACCAACGGAGAACTCATTCTCCTTGTCCAATTCAAGCACATCGATGTGCTGGAAGACACCATGTGACACCTTCCAGGTGACTGCTAAGTGATCGGGTCCTCGCGATGATGGACGAATAACCACTTCACCATTACTCCGAGAGCCCAAGTATTCTTCAGCTTGTGTAGAATTGAATGGCCGGAAGAGCGGATGCTTGATGACACGCATGGCTTGACCAGTACCTTGTGTACTCTCTTGCTGGGACTCCCGATCCTTGTGTTCTTGCGCTTCATCCCAATCGCCGAAGCCATGGTCTGGGTTTCGGCGGATTGGGTGACTAACCTGATCTTCTCGAAGAGAAACATTGCAAGTGAAACCCTTCTTGTTCAGGTAGAGAATCTTGGCAGACACAGTCTGGTGTTGCTGATACACGTTGCGCACAGAGAGCTCGTATGGAACTCCCAATTCAGTCTCTGCGACCAGCGCATCGACTCCACAGTCCAACCTGGCATCAATGTGGTCCTCAAACACCCGCTTGATAGCAATTGGTACCACCATGCCAACCTTCAAAGAATCGGGCGTTTCGCCTGTGAACATAGTGAAGATATCTTCCGTGCCCAGATGGACAAAGTGTTTGCGCAGTTCCTCGTATGGTTGCTGCAACTCTGCACGAATGGTTTCCAACGTGGCACGCTTGCGCTGATTCAGGTTCTTCTCCAACTGCTCTGCATACTCCTCCAGAATCAGATCATTGACACGATCTTGCTGCTCATCACGGAATAGTTTGCGGACAATGGCTCCGGAACCGTTCTCATCGGTCTCCGCCTTGATGTCCTCCTCATCCAACTCGAGAGCATCGGCGGCCATCTTGCGTGCAATATCGTAGTCTTCGGGGTGCACACGGGTGTTGTCAAGTGGATCAGCATCCGCGGAGGCGTTCTCCCAGTCAATGTAAACGAAGCTGGCGCAATTGTTCCACACTTTAACACCCATGGCTGGGTATTGTGCTTGAACACCGAGCAGTTCTACGCGATTATCCACATTTCCGCCATTCAAATTGACAATCTTGAGCAAGTGGGCCGCTTTACGAGGACCAAGTCCACAGACATACGGGAGAAGGTTCGCCGTTAGTGAATCGTGAACCGCCTCATTCAGATCCACACCAACGAGATTGACCATGTCGACAAGAGCAGTCTCGAGTTGCTTGAGCAAAAGCTCCTGAGACACCAACTGTTGACCGGGTTTGAATTGAATGGAAACAATGTCCCGACCGAGGGAAGCGTATTCTTTCAGAGGACTCTGCAAGTATCGGGCTAGAGCCACACAATAGTGAGTGAGTGGTCCAAAGCCCGGGTTGTCCTGACGGGCGCGAGGAGAATTGTGGTAAAGTCGGGCGACCTCATCATTGACAATGACAATTTCAAGACGATCACTGATTTCTTCATCATGGTCATCGGTGTAGGTCTGAGTGCGGATGTCTTTCTGATCGATGAGTTCGCTGAGGACTTTGTAAAGACGGCGAGACTCCGGAGTCATACCAGAGACTCCAAGAACATCTGGCTTGCGTCGCTTGATCAAATTAAGGAAAGCAGCAACGTTTTCACCATCGTCAAAGCCTCGGGACGGATCACCGCATGATAGGTCCTTGAATTTTCCGTTCTCCAACACACGGCCATCTTCTTCAATATAAGCCCAGTGGATAGGATCTCGGCCCACGACACCAGTTCCAGTAGAGAGGGCAATGACTCGGGGCACCGTACCCAGGATCATTCCCTTGGGTTTGAACGGTGCCTGATCAAGTCGCTGCGAGAACATTTCACGGCACTCCTTAGCCACATGGTTTTCGCATTCCTGTCGAATGTTCTCTTTCACACTGCGATTGATAACACGTTCAAGCTTGCCGAGAGCCATATCAAGAACTTCACGACGAAGACGATTCCACGCGTCGGCGATTTCAGAGTAATTGTCGGACTCAATGTCGGCGTAAAGACGTTGACGGAACTGATCAAAGTTCTCAAAGCGTACGCGAACTTCAACCAGACCCTCTTCCTCAGCCTTAAGCATACGCAAGAACATCTCCGGACGACGGGCAATGTCACTGAGCTGTTGGTTGCGTAGGTATTTGAACTCGTAGTAAGGATGCTGCTCGTCGATCCGACGTAAGCCCTTTTCAGTTCGGTGGCAGTCAACAACTCCATTCATGTAGTATGCTTGGCGGATGACCTTGCGCATCTTGGGGCTTAGAACAAGCTCTTCGGCAAACATGGTCTTGGCAGCTTTGAGGACATGGTTTGAGTTGGAAAAGTCGGTGTCAACAAATTGATCCGACATATCTTCTGGGAGCTCCACAGGGTCTTCGGTGTACTGTCGGCGGCCTTCTTTGGAGGCATTCTGCGCAAAGGCATCGGCGGTAATACCAAACGCACGTACAAGGCTGTAGGCCTTACCGTTTCGTACTCGTTCAAAGAACGATTTGTTGGTCGCCTTGCGCCGTTGGGTCTCTCCGTTCATCTCCCCATTGACTGTAGCACTATCGCGTATCTGAGAAGCATACTGGAAATGGATATAGTCTTGCACATCTTGAAGCTCCTCCATGGTCGCAGCAGCAGCCAAAAGATCCTCCACATTGTGATCTTCAACATTGAACAGGCTTTTGATTCCATCATAAGCCTTCTGAATAGTGTTGCGTTTGTCAACCAGGGCTCGGAATTTGAGATCGTAATCGAAGATATCCCAAAGGTCTGTCATATTGAGGAGTTTCTCCGCACGAATGCTGTATTGGGTAGTCTCATCGGCAGGATCGCCGCCATTGATTGGCTCTTTGACAGCGTGAATCATGTAGTCCTTGCGGTGTTGGAAAATGAACGGAACCTCCCAATCATCTGTAATCAGGAACTCCAACATCTTGGCCACCGAACGCTGGAACGGCTCACGAAGGTCCGGCTCGATGCGTTTCTTGAGCAACATGAGATTTGAAATCCAGATCGCTTCCTCTCGGAATTGATCTTCTGTGAGGATAACGTGTTTGTACGGCTTCCGGGAGACCTGGTGGCGCTCGGGCTCGTCAAGTAAGCGGATTTCATTATCATCTTCCGTCAACATACGCTCCGCAAGCTCTGAGGGCTCGAAAACGTCCTTAAGATCAAGGTGTCTCTCCTCGACCTCTTTTTCCTCGTCTTCTTGTTCTTCAATATCGAGGGCAAATCTATATTCTGTGCCATCACCGAACGCAGCGCGCATATCTTCAAGAGCATTTTCATCTAAGCCCGCCGCTTCGGTAGCCCCAAGGCCAGGCATCGAAGTCCGGATCGGAGGCGCGACCTCGAGATCATCTCTCTCTCGTTGTCCTTCCTCGTCGGAGAAAGTGTCTTCCTCAATGAAGTCGTCGAATTCATCCTGACCGGCGCGGTGGCCGGTGCGAGTGTATTGAGGTGCCTCTTCCTCCTCGTCGGAGTTAAAAATATCGTCGATTCCTTGAACCTGCTTGCCGGAATCGCGATCCTTGCCTCGCTTCAGGCGTTTGAATTTGGACTGTGTCAAAAAAAGGTCATGGTGTCAGCGAAAACCCCACCAATTGATCGCAGCCCCCAAAAATCCTTTTTTATCATGGACATATTGAAAGATTGAAATACCTCTGATGCGGAAGCACGGCTGAGTCCAGGTACATGCTCGCCGATCAACTCCAAATCCTCTTCGTCGAGGTGCTCCTCGCGGGGACGGGATCGTTTCTTCTCGCGTCGGCGTTTGGCGCGCTCCTCGATCTCTTCGTCGTCATCATCGATAAATCCTTCGCGAACCTATGTTGATAGTCTATGTCAGTGCGTAAGTCTCGTTGGCATTGATACTAGCACTTACGGCGCGAGCGGCGTCCTCGTCGTCATCTTCATCCTCGTCCTCTTCGCTGGAGTCGTGATAATGGTTTGCGCCTCCTGGTCTCTGCTCAACTTCACCGTCTGAGTTTTCGACCATGTCCGCATCATTCTCATCATCATCCAGAGCCTCGCCTTCAATCAGGTCCCGCAGACTCATGGTGGCTGGTCGAAGAGATCTCTCTTCACTGCGGAATTGAACGAAAGCCGGAAAAGATGGAAGATTGTGATTCGGGATAGCTTACCCCAGCACCCGATTCAAAAATATGATAAAGAAACGAGGTGGTAGTGGTGGAGGAATTGGGAGAAAGAAAGCTAGAGCTGGCGAGAAAGGAAGACTACGAGGGAGAGGACGGAGTGTGGCGGTGATTAACTGAGGTGTCTGTGGCTAGTGCTATATAAACCCAGAAGGGAACAAGTGTGGCTAGTGAGCTGCACATCACGTGAGGTCATATTGAAATGGGAATTTTGTATACAAACATAACATGATAGCAACATGCAAAACCCAATGAAAAAAAATGAGATATATCAATTGTCTATAAATAAATTTTAGACCCAACGTAATTTATCCCTAATACAATCGACATTTCAAAATTACTCCGTAACTCGGGCATCATTCATGGATCTTCCAGAAGAGGGATTTTCCCCCCCAAAAGCCTGATCCTATGGGGTAAGGGAGGGTGGAGCAACCCAGGAACATGTGTTTCAGTGATAGTAGAACATTCACGAGTTCCTACGCCTTCTGGATTTTTCCCACCACCCCCCTGAATAGCATCACTTCTTCCAAACCCTGTTTGGCGCCGACTGATCATTCCTCAAGTATCGTTGGTCCAGTCGATGCGCCCGCGAGGCCCAATCAGCGCCGCCAAGACCATCAGTGATATCGGGTTCCCCGCCGCTAGCTCGCGACTCCAAACCTAACCTCCCTCCCACTACAGTGGTCGTTGGCTTAGCGCGATCGTTCCCTGGTCACTCATTTTGCTCCTGTTTACGCCCTTCTTCGTCTCATCTTCTTCTTTCCCTCGTGGAACTTCGGCGCCATGGCGGACCAGTTCAAACCCCGGACGATGAAACGCAAGAATGTCAAAGGTCTTGCGCTCAATGCGGCCCCGAAACCCGCCGCCAACACCTCTGACGGCGATGCTCAGGTCCCTGGGGCGATTGGAAATAGCGAAAGCAGCCGGACGGATACCCTGGAAATCGGCCTGGAGTTCCGACTAGATCTCCGCAGCGAGGACTTGGTGACTTTGAAAGAGTTGGGCGCTGGAAATGGAGGCACGGTTTCAAAGGTGATGCACGCATCGACCAAGGTTGTGATGGCTCGAAAGGTAAGGTTAAGGGAGATTTGGGTTTTTTCCGGCATGGACTCTCAAGTGCTGACAACTACCCCACCAGATTATCCGCGTCGAGGCCAAAGAGAACGTGCGGAAGCAGATTCTACGAGAACTCCGAGTCGGACATGACTGCAACTGCCCTAATATTGTGACATTCTATGGCGCGTTCCAGAATGAGGCGAGAGATATTGTCCTGTGCATGGAATACATGGATTGCGGGTAACGTCGCCGAAATTGAAATGAATGAGGGGCATTTGGCTGACAATGAATCTTCAGATCCCTTGACCGTGTCTCCAAAGACTTTGGTCCCGTTCGGGTCGATGTGCTGGGCAAGATTACCGAGTCCGTGTTGGCTGGTCTTGTCTACCTGTACGAAGTGCACCGCATTATGCACCGAGACATCAAACCGTCTAATGTCTTGGTCAACTCTCGCGGAAACATCAAGCTCTGTGACTTTGGTGTCGCTACTGAGACTGTTAATTCGATCGCCGATACTTTTGTGGGAACTTCAACATATATGGCCCCGGAGCGAATCCAGGGAGGCGCCTACACCGTCCGATCCGACGTTTGGAGTGTGGGTCTGACGGTCATGGAGTTGGCTGTAGGAAAATTCCCATTCGATCACTCCGACCCAGCCGCTGGAAATCGCGCTAGTACGGGGCCGATGGGTATTCTTGACCTGCTCCAGCAGATTGTTCACGAGACTGCCCCCAAGCTGCCTAAGAGTGATGCCTTCCCACCCATTCTGCATGACTTTGTCGGCAAGTGTTTGATGAAGAAGTCCGAGGAACGACCCACTCCTCGAGAGCTTTACGTACGTTTATATACCCCACGTCCATGAAACGACTTATCGTGAATGCCCACTAATACAAAAGAAAAACAGGACAAGGACGCCTTCTTACAAGCGGCCAAACGCACACCTGTTGATCTGCAGGAGTGGGCTATCAGCATGATGGAAAGACATAATCGTAAATCGTATCTAGCACCACCAGCACCCAAATCCCTCAAACCCGAAGGCACCAGTACACCCACAGCAAGCACTTCGTCGGCCGCAATGCCGACCCCCACAGCTGCAATGCCAGCTCCTCCGAAGCCCGCCCCTATCAGCAAATCAGTCCGCCCTCCTCACCCTCAACAATCTCCCTATCACCAGACACCCACGTCGGGTGAAATTCCTCTCAACATCGCCAACGATGCCAATCGTTACTACAATCCTCCCCAGCAGAGCCATCACTACTCTTCGTCGCGCTCCGCACGTTCCCCGCCACCTCCATCTTTAGAGCACCTTTCACTGGAAACCAGAATGGACGACGATCGCTCCAGCCGGCGCCCGACTCGTCATATGGGGGATCCGGTGTCTGCTGTCGATGCCCCTTCCCGACCGTTCATGAGTCCACGGTCTATCAGCTCAAACAACAATAAGCCCCAAACCAACCTGATCCCTGGGTCCTTGCCAATCCGACCTGCACCCCCAACCGGGCCCCCTCCACCTGCCCCTGTCTCTACTGGAGGCTGGCGAGGTTACCCCAGTCATATGCCGGGAGCAAACTCCTAAAGTGTCCAAGATTGATACTTCTTTTATTCATATTCCGAAATGATAATTGCTCGCTTAAAGAGTCTGCAAATGCACATGATACTTGCACCTTTAGGCCCGTTGATCGGGATTCTCCAACATTCTCTCTGTGAAGCTTTTCCTTTTCCTTCTGTGTGTTCTTGTCCGACTTGGCGATCTGCCCGTTTTCCTTTCCTGGCGTGTATGGACAAAAAAAGAATGACCAGGGCTGAGCATATATCCCTCCTCTCCCGACTTCCGCTTCATCCACCTCCCCCTTTTCTCTCTCTCCCTCTCCATCTCTCCACATACACCGTTGTCATTTATGCGATCATTTCTCTTTGTCTTCGCCCCATTATATCTGTCGACATTTCTCTCATTTCTATTTCTATTTCCATTTCCATTCTCATTTTCATTTTCTCATCTTTCACTTCTGTCAATGACTTGATTCTTGCCAACCACCACGACAACGACACCGACGACTTTGGCTTTTCAACTATTTCATCCCTTTCTGACTTGCTCAGATATGTTCCTGCATGATACGGCGTATATAGTGCAAGTTCCTGATGATCAATATTACAATTTTCATTTTCAATAAAACTTGATGTTTGAGAAGTATATGTATACTTGTACGATAGATGTCTGGATACCTCATGTATGTATACACTAGGTCTGATTATCATTTGTTATGCATTTCCGGGGGACCATTGAGAGGCCTATCTGAAGAAGCGAGGGCCAGAATCAGCGGATCAGATGACTTAGCTACCGATATGGGGAGGATAGGCGGTACATAATGGTGGACATTTGCCATTTTTTGATACCTTTTTGATACTGTTTCTTAAAATGTTTGATAAGGATACTGTATCCTAAAGGTATCATATAAGATACTGTATCATAAAGTAAAATTGGTATCATCCCTAAGAGTGTATCATCAAGAATTTGGTATCATCCTCTAATCTGTATCAGACAAGGTCTTTCGTATCTTAACTTTTTAAAAGTATCAAATGGTATCAAACAGTATCGAACATTAACATACATAAAATTCAATATTAACCAGTTGACATTGAAAGCACTGGCTATATGTGTATTAGTACATACCAAGTAAGTTCTCCTCAAGTTGATAATTTACTATAGTATGACCAATCTTAACCTATCCTGGTCGGCCAGGAGGGTCCTACTATATACTAGGCAGGTCTGCATGGCAACCCCAGATATGGAGAAGATTGAAAACATCTGATACAATAGCATCACTTTCTAGCTGGATACCAGAGACACGGCTCTGTTCATCCTGCACAAACACCCAACTATAAATGATTTGGTTGATATCCTGTATTATAGAGTCAATTGCATAACCATGCCCAGCGCTGATTGAAGGTAATGACCATACATTTAGAATGAAGGTACTTCCATTAATGAAGTCTTAAACAGGAAAATGGTAAAGGTCATCTTGACAAATAAAAGATGGAATAATAGGGTCTCTCAAACCGAGAATTCGTTCAAACCCTTACATATGTAGAGTTGAAGGAGTATGCTAAGTTATGCTTGGCTCAACTGTATCCTTAATCGGATAGCCAGATTGCTTAGTACTCTTAGATTGGCTAGCTAGGGAGCTTACAGTATTTGATTCTGTTATAGGCATGCGAGCATGGAATGGGAACATTAAGAGATTAGAGGTACATAGAGACTCTAACTTATTAAGTGATGCTAGTCTTGTTGATTCTGCCTTGTCTATAATACCTAATAGCGGGATTGGCTTGAGAAAGTCTGTGATACTGTAATATCTGTTGGGATCTGGACTAGGGTAGATTAGATATAGGAGCTTATCTTCTTTATTAGCTAGTAGAATTATACTCTGCTAAGGAGGCTAATAATAAGTATCCTTAATCTAGTCTTTAATCTCTTGTGGATCCATTAGCCATTATAGAGGGCAGGCGAGAGTAGGTCACTATAGTAGGAGCAGGGAAACCAGGTCACTGTGGTAGGAGGGAGAGCAGGGAAAGCAGGTCACTATAGTAGAGTAGGGAGAGTAGGGAAACTAGGTTACTGCGGTGTAAGAGAGAGTAGGTTACTACGGTAGGAGCAGGGAAACCAGGTCACTATAGCGGGAGTAGGGAGATCAGGTTACTGCGGCGGGAGGGAGAGCAGGGAGATCAGGTTATTGCGGCAGGAGTAGGGAGATCAGGTTACTGCGGCAGGAGCAGGGAAACCAGGTCACTATGGTGGGAGCAGGGAGATCAGGTCACTGCGGCGCAAGAGAGAGTAGGTTACTGCAGCAGGAGGGAGAGCAGGGAAAGTAGGTCACTGCGGCGGGAGCAGGGAGATCAGGTCACTGCGGTGGGAGCAGGGAGATCAGGTCACTGCGGTGTAAGAGAGAGTAGGTCACTATAGCAGGAGGGAGAGCAGGGAAAGCAGGTCACTGCGGCGGGAGCAGGGAGATCAGGTCACTGCGGCGGGAGGGAGAGTAGGGAAACCAGGTCACTGCGGCAGGAGTAGGGAGATCAGGTCACTATGGCGGGAGCAGGGAGATCAGGTCACTGCGGCGCAAGAGAGAGTAGGTCACTGCAGCAGGAGGGAGAGCAGGGAAAGTAGGTCACTGCGGTGGGAGCAGGGAGATCAGGTCACTGCGGTGTAAGAGAGAGTAGGTCACTATAGCAGGAGGGAGAGCAGGGAAAGCAGGTCACTGCAGCGGGAGCAGGGAGATCAGGTCACTGCGGCGGGAGGGAGAGCAGGGAGAGCAGGTCACTGCAGTGGGAGGGAGAGTAGGGAGAGCAGGTCACTGCGGCGGGAGTAGGGAGATCAGGTTACTGTGGTGGGAGAAGAGGTACTGACTTATATCTTAAGTACTATAGTACAGCATAGGAAAGTTCAAATAAAAAAGAATTCTTAGATTGAAGTAACCTAAATATTAAAGTATAAGTACTAATATAACATTAAAGTACTTACTTTGATAATCATATAATATAAAAGCAAAACCGAGTCATAACCTCCTACTGCCGACGTATCTTCTTAACAAACCCCAAATCATTCATCGCAGTAGCCCCTGTACTATATGTATCCCGGCGTTTAAGAGGCTGCTAGCGGACTATAAAAAGCTCCTAGGTAACTTCCTTACCACTTAAAAGAGATGCCTTAGCCTCCGCCCCTATCCTATCTTACCACCAGCTTAGAATTATCTTCCATCATCCTTCACCTGCTTCCTCAGACTACCTCTTAAGAATAACATAGCTATGTAGTACCCGTATAATATTAGTCCAGAGAACTATATTAGAGTAATAAAGTATTAGTCTTAATTCAAGATCAGAAAACAGAAAAAGACTTACCTTCAATATATTCCTTTCCATCAGCACTAGAGTTTTCGTAATCAATATGATTTGCAATCCAGGGAAATACCTCATTAAAGAAGGTTAACTCAAATTTTGTAAGATAAAAATCGAAGATTTCCTTATTTATTTAGAGTCTAATACAATTAAGCAGACTACTACAGGCTTTATTTTCCTCAATATCAGTATTAATAAATCTTTCAACCATTTTCTAAGCATATTCAAAATTAGTCTAATAATATAGCTACTTAAGAAAGATAGTAGATAAACTATAGTAGTATAGAGTATATAGGATTTCTATAACTTAATATAACCATAATAAAGTTTATATAGTATATTATAGAATAGGTATATCTTCTCTATAGTTATAAGGGATTTTAGAAATATAGCCTTACCATCACTATTAAAGGTAAGAAAGAAATATAATAGTAATTTCATGTTAAAATACATAAGTATAAGACCTTGGTTTTTCTTCTACTCCTCAGGAATTTCTTACTAATTTATTCACATCTAAGTATATTTACTCTTAGTAGGTTCATTAGGTATAGATTTATCTAAGCTCTTCTCCGAAATATTAATACTAGAGAGATCCAGCTTATTAGGAATAGAGTATTAAGTTTTATTAGGTTATAAAAAAGACTAATCTAAAATAAGGAGTACTAGAGGACTTAATATAATACTTATTAAAATAAATAGATTAGATATAGGAGTAAGGGGGGTAAGGCTCGGAATTTCACTAAGATATAGTTACTCTAAAAGAAACCCTAATAAAGATGGATATCTAGAAGATAATAGCTCAGGGTTTACCAGTCTAGTCTATAAGTAAGGTAGGCCTTGTTTAGTACCCATAGAGCTTCTAATAGTACCTTAAGAGGTACTCTTATTACTCTAGGTCTCTATAGCTATCTGGTTTTTCTTAATATTCCGATTAGCTCTCTAACCACTACTTATTTTCTTCTTCTGTTCTGGGGGCTTCTAAGGAGCATTTTTCCCCTTTCTAGTTATATATTTAATTACAAGATTAATAGGAACTTCAGCCTATTTAGGTGAAATCACTAATATCAGAAAGTATTCATCAATTAATATATATATATATATATAATATATATATTAAAAAGTATAAAAGCAGGTAACTTCCAAAACTATAGCAGTAAACTCAGATAAGACTTACCAAAGCCTAAGGATCTGAAGAAGCTAGTATTTTACTTATAGTATCTTAAATCTCACAGTAGAGAGAGAAAAGTAAAGGAGTAATAGAGAGGTAAGATCAGAAAGGTTTAATCTCTAGTAGATTAAGAAAACTCAAGATTAAAGGAGTAACCAAGAGAGTAAAGGAGTAACCAAGAGAGTAAAGAGTAACAAAGAGATTAAAGGAGGAACAAAGAGATTAAAGAAGGAACAAAGAGAGTAAAGGTTACTAGTAGATTGGTGGGGAAGAGAGAGCAAATACAGTACTATATTAATTAAGCTTAAAGCTTAAACATACAAGTACTGATGTCCTATTACCCCACATTACTCAGTGCTTCTCAGCTCCCAACTATCAAAAACCAAAACACCAATTTATCTACAACCAGTTAACTATATTGAGTATATCCTCACAAGATTTGATCTTTATATTTTTGAAATACTAGCTAATACTCTACATATCCTTATAGGTTACAGATCTAGCAACAATCAAGATGCCTAGCAGACAAGCCAGGCTAATACAAGCCTTTCCAATCAAGGAAGAGGACTTGGTACACCCAAGTCTTAGAGAAAACCAGCCTATCTACATTCATCCTAGTATTAAGGAGAGCTTTGAGGATGAAGAGACTAATACCAGCAATGCTTTAAGAGTCCAGGAGACCGACACACCAAGTTATGGCAATGATTGGAATGAAGCTGATCAAAACCTAGTTCATTCAGGTATGAGTACCAAAATAGAAGAATATTTGAAAGGGAGATACTAATATTCGGTTTGGGTCTATCTAGACTCAGACTTCAATGACAATGAGAAAGAGGAAGCTGATCTAAACAATGATTGGGTCCTTACAGCAATCCATACTACCATCACAACACAAGAGGATGACCAGGATAGTGATATTATCAGTGATATTAAGGATATTACACCACAAGCCAGTGATACTAAAGATATTACACCATAAGCCATTAATACTGAAGACATGACTACCGATACTATTAAAGCCCATGATGCCACTAAACGCAATAGTACAATCAGTACTCTCTCTAAACTATCTAAACTATCCGAGAATGTCTCTAAGCAAGTCTTTGAACAAGATAATAATACAAAGTTATAGTTCATTAGGGCTATACAGCCACCCAATCCTACTCCTCTTATACCGCCTTTAGAGACGTTAGAGATACCAACCTCAGATATACCACTCCATCCGTTCTTATTAACAGTTACTATATAGTACCTACTTAGCCACATCTCCCAGAACCTCTATACAAGCCTACGGCAGATACTGTCCCTTTATATCTTTAGGATCTTCGCTTAGTCTTTAAGTTTAAATACAGATTTATATATATAAGATACAGAGGCTCCCCCAAATCTACCAAGCGACTTACAGACTCTGAAAAGACAGCTTTAGAATAAAGTCATAATAATTCCAATCCTCTATAGAAAATACCTATATTCTCTTCAAAGATACCAATACTATCAGCATAAGCACAAAAGGAGAATACTATATCTTTAACTAATATCTATATTATAGATATTATTAAACTGGTTAAGCGTCTTCTTATGTCCCTAATATTTAAAAAACAGTCCTATTAGGGTATAGCAGAATAGGTAAAGACCCCTAGTAAGCTATAGTATAGTATTAAATAGGGATCATTAATCCGTCTAATATCTAGTGAATTTACACTATATTCTAATAGAAGTCTAATCTTTCTATTAGATATAGTAACATATTCATACTTAATCTATGGGTTAAATGATGATAATAAGCTACAATCTCCTAAGTATACTAGGTATTAGTATTTTAGATATATTTATACTATTAGTAAGAGAAGAAGATTTAAACAAAGTCCTAGCCAAAACTAGTTTAATAATCTATTTAATAATAGAAGTCTTAGGGATAATAAATTTAATATCATTTTAAAAATCCAGAAATTGGTATTAAGCAAAGATATCCTAAAGGAACAGTATAAAGCTCTTATTAATTCCGGACACTAAATTAAGTAAGATAAGCTTATTCTATCAATCCAGATAAAACCACAGTTTTATAATATCCCTATTAAGGATATTATTAAGCAGTATAAGACACTACTTGATTATCAATTTACAATTAATAATTCAGGGTTACGAACCTTCTAGTAAAAAGATAGGTATAAATTTACCATATACTATACTTTAGTTCTGAGATCTTAGTCAGTATCTTAGTTAGCAAAACTAAAACTTTGAGTTATTACTCTTAGTATAATAACCCCTCTAATAGGGGAATATAAGATTTAGGTTTATAATCAGAAAAAGCTATAAAAGTAGTGTTTTAAGGGCATCTATATCTACCTACTATATTAGTTATTCCTTGATGGCTTTAGTATCTTCTAGTATTCCTATCAAAGTATTATAGGTGTTTACTTAGTCCTAGCCTATCTCCTAGTAGTATAGAGGCAAAGGAATATGAATATCTTTACCTTAATATTAGGTCCCTATAGAATAAACCTACCTGATATTATTGTTAGTTTATCCTCTCTAAAAGATCTTGAAGAGGAGATAGAGGTAGATTAGCTAAATCTTAGGAAGGTCTATCTTTTTATTACTTATATTAGTATGATTGGTGATATACCTTAGTAATAAGCTAATACTAGATTTTTAGGCCCTTTTATAGCCTAGAGCTATAGAAGATGTTTTATTAAGGGTGATTAATAAGGAGATATCTATTATAATATCTAAAAGAATAGGTAATTCTTCTACTAGACTAGTTACTATCACTACTTAGCTGACTTTAAACCATTGAAGACTGTAAAGAAGAAGTAGTATTAGGTAAAAGGAATACTTAAAGATTAGCCCTTACTACTTAGTATCATCCCTATATTTAATCCTATTAAGTAAATATTAGTAGACTATTGGTACTTAGAGTTTAGGGGAATTTTGAAGTAGTTGTATCTTTACCTTATTAAGAGAATTCTTTTAAAAGAAGGTATAGAGAAGTTTATAAAGGTCTTTAGGAAGTTTCTTAGTCTAATTAGATAGATATAGTTATAATCCTTATAGAGCTACTAGAAAAGCTATTAGCTATAAGAATATAGGTGTATAAGTATTATCCTCCTAGTACTATTCTATCTATATATAAATAAATCTTAGATTAATGCTAAGTTCTAGAATGAACTTAAGAAGACTAAGGGGCCTCTTAAGTATATCATATTAATATTTGGGGCTATGGCTTTAAGTAACTTACTTATAAGTAGCCTATCTATCTCTAAATCTGATTACTACTATATTAGACTAGTTATTCTATAGGCTAGAGTATAGGTTAAATATCTTTTTAAGATAGTAAGCTGATTAGCTGGTTAAGGTAAAATAGTAAAGGCTAGTAATACTTATATATATACCTGGTCTGACTCTCCTAGAGGAGTATAATAAGAAGATGGTACTACTAAGCCTACTAAAGATATAGTATATTGGTAGAACTGTTAGTCCTGGCCTAATATGTATACTAGTCTTTATTATATCTAGGATTTTGAGGATTTTGGGACTCTAAGTAATAATGGAGTTGTAGTATATGAAAAAAAACATATGTAAGTTTAGTCTTTGAATCAACTTGATTTAAATATTAATTTATTTGATATGTATACTTGAGTACTTTGAATATTAAATCTAATAACTTTTAAATAGTAATTATAAATGAGGCCTGATTAATAAAAACAGTCTATAGCTGATTAAGGCACTTCTGATAAATGAAAGCTTGAAGACTTCCCTGCATCTATACTAAGAGGGATTATACAACTATGATAACTTGGAGGCTATAAATAATATCTGTGAGGTAATTCAATATTGTCCTAATGTGTTTACTAGTGTAAATACTAACTAGACTGAGTTTATAGATCTATCTTTGGTAACTAAAGAGCCAGCTATCTATATATAGCCGGATGATATAAGTGATATAGACTTATTTCTATACTATTTAGACACAGAAAAGTCTTATTAATATAACTAGGCTCTCTGGGCTGATATTAAGTACTATAAACGCCTGACAATAAGAGACAGAGAGCTATTAAGTAGAATATAGAAAGTGCTATTAGAAAAGATATTAGTATTACTACCTAATTACCTATTTATGAAGCTTCTGCTTTTAGCCTATAGGTGAGATTATACTATAAATCTCTCTTTGCTTAGAAATGAACAGAGTTAATGGTGGGAGAAGGTTTCTTTTTTATTTTGGTATGTTTGACCTTTCTGGATTTGAACTAGTAATTATTTGAATATATAAAAGACTAATATTTGATTATTTAAATCATTAATAGTACTAGATTATTTTGGTATAAGCATATTATAATCTGTAGTAATGACTTTGTTTAATATAAAACTATATATGTTGATGGATTGGGTATATCAACTTGTGTCGGAAAAGTCATCAAGATCTTAAGCCATACTATTAATAACCAGGTCAGAGGTTTTGTCTATATCTAGCAGATGATACTACTAGCTGAAAAAGATAGTATGTTAGATCTGCCTCGGCTCTAAGCTAAAGACAGATTTGATCTAGTTAGTCTTACAAATATCTCTCCTTAACACTAATATGTTATAGAGGAGAAGCTTGAGGTAACTAGGGATGCACCAAAACACATATTCTTACATTGTATCTGGCAATTTTCGCCAATCTAACATTTGATACATTTTAGAAGAATTCAAATATATTCAAATTTATTAATCAATTAATTAATTGATTAAATGTCTAGATGTTAGTATTAAATATTAAACATTTAAATATTTAATATTAAAAGACTGCTTTAACATTCAAATGTTGAGGTATAATACTAGTATGTAAATGTTTGAATGTTTTAAACATTTGTTGTTTAAATATTAAATGAACATTTATATACTAAGGGATTTTCGCATTGGTCTTTTATCCAGGTAGCCTAGTGGTTTATAGTCTTACTTGAATTTTGAAGGCTCCCGGTTCGATCCATCAGCACTACAGTACATATGCAAATCATGAATTCTTTTTACCATATGATTTCCTTTGCAAGTAGCTTAATGAAAACTCATAAATAACAATTTTATTAAGTTAGCTTTGCTGTAGACTAGTTAAAATTTGATATTTGCTAAATTTGAAATGTCAAATATCATTTTTCAGGTAAAGTATGGGGGTGGTGCTCTGTACGTTTTACCACCTCATCCGAGTATTCGAATATATATATTTTTCAAATATTTCAAACCAGATGTCCACTGGATGTCCATTAATCAATTCAATGTTGATCTTTGAATCAATCAATTGCATCAATTTCAAAGATTTGAACATTTGAATGTTGAATTTAACATTGATATCTAGCGGACTGGAGTCTATTTAATCAAATTAAATTAAATGTTGAACAACAATTGATTGATACATATATATATGTGGACACATATGCATCCTGGACATATGGATATGTACATACTGATATTCAACATTTGAAATGTTATTGTTGATCTAGTTTGAACATTTGAACGCGTCCTCCTCAACCTTGTCTGGACATCTAGCTTGAACACACTAACATCAATTGATTGATATTGAACCACATGAGGTATGACCAGTCTGCCCATCCTCTCAAGGATATGATGTTATTATTGATGTTATTGTTGATCCAGAACATTCGCATCCTCCTCAACATCAAATCTTGAACCCATATATACACCAACATGGAACAACATTGAACCAGGTATAACTGCCTATCCTCTTAAGGACATGATGTTATTGTTGATGTTATTGTTGATCCACAACATTCGCGTCCTCCTCAACATCAAATCTTGAACCCATATATATACCAACATAGAACAACATTGAACCAGGTATGGCTACCCATCACCTTAAGGACATGATGCTGATACTGTTATTGAACCAGGACACGTCATCCTCGAACCTACCAACAACATTGAACAATATCAACATGGTATGGCTACCCATCCCCTCAAGGACATGATGCTGATACTGTTATTGAACCAGGACACGTCATCCTCGAACCTACCAATAACATTGAACAAACTTGAGGTATGACTGCCTATCCTCTCAAGGACATGATGCTGATACTGTTATTGAACCAGGACACGTCATCCTTGAACCTACCAACAACATTGAACAAACTTGAGGTATGACTGCCCATCCTCTCAAGGATATGATACTATTGTTGATGTTATTGTTGATCCAGAACATTTGCGTCCTCCTCAACATCAAATCTTGAACCCATATATACACCAATATGGAATAACATTGAATAAACTTGAGGTATGACTGCCCATCCTCTTAAGGACATGATGCTGATGTTATTGTTAATCTAGAACATATCGTCAGCATGGAACAACCTCAATGGTATAACTGCCCATCCTCTTAAGGATATGATGCTGATGTTATTGTTGATCCAGAATATATCATCAATATAGAACAACATTGAACAAACCAGGTATGACTGCCCATCCTCTCAAGAATATAATGCTGATGTTATTATTGATCCAGAATACATCGTCAATATGGAATAATATTGAACAAACCAGGTATGACTGCCTATCCTCTCAAGGACATGATACTGATGTTATTGTTGATCTAGAACATATCATCAATATGGAACAATATTGAATAAACCAGGTATGACTGCCTATCCTCTCAAGAACATGATGCTGATGTTATTATTGATCCAGAACACATCGTTAGCATGGAACAACCTTAATGGTATGACTGCCTATCCTCTCAAGGACATGATGCTGATGTTATTGTTGATCCAGAACACATCGTTAACATGGAACAACCTTAATGGTATGACTGCCTATCCTCTTAAGGATATGATGCTGATGTTATTGTTGATCCAGAACACATCGTCAACATGGAACAACCTTAATGGTATGACTGCCTATCCTCTCAAGGACATGATGCTGATGTTATTGTTGATCCAGAACACATCGTTAATATGGAACAACCTCAATGGTATGACTGCCCATCCTCTCAAGGACATGATGCTGATGTTATTGTTGATCCAGAATACGTCCTCCTTAACATTGAACAAGCTTTAAAGGACTGCTGGTACTTGAAATGTTCAAACTAGTACTTCCAGACATATGTCAAATATTATATACACATGTATGGCATATGTAAGTACTTCAATTTTTTAAAGGCCTAGTTAACCAGTTAGTATGACGAAAGCCTCAACATTTGAATGAATGATTACTGATTGATGTCATGCCGATTTAGGTTCACCTAAGCTTTGAACATTTACAGTGTTACATGGCCAGGTAGTACCTACCAAGGTTGGTACCAGCATATGTGGCTGGGGCTGAGGCTATATGATGGGGTTGATACATGTACTACATGCAGTATTAATGTGGTGCCTGTATCAGATGTGTGAGTAGTATCGATGTGGTGCCTGTATCAGATATGTGAGCGGTATCAATGTAGTGCCTGTATCAGATGTGTGAGTGGTATCGATGTGGTGCCTGTATCAGATGTGCGAGCGGTATCAATGTGGTGCCTGTATCAGATGTGTGAGCGGTATCAATATGGTGCCTGTATCAGATATGCGAGCAGTATCAATGTGGTGCTAGTATCAAGTGGCACCGGTATCAGACATGTGAGCAGTATCATTGTAGCGCCTATATTGGGTTGATCGAAACCCTTTGGATACCTTATGATACCCATTTGATACTATAACCTTCGCTATGAAACCCTTTGGATACCTTATGATACCCATTTGATACTATAACCCTCGCTATGAAACCCTTGTGAAACCCTATGATACGATTTTGAGAATAATGATACCATTATTTCTGTATCAAACATGATACGGTATCATAAAAAGTTTGGCTTAACTACCGTATCGGATGTTTTTACTGTATCATTAAAGATACTTAAAGGATACCGTATCAAAAAGGTATCAAAAAATGGCAAATGTCCACCATTATGTATGAGTGTGGTTCATGTTCTGACCGCTTATTGAGTCTTGTTCTCACACTAACATGGTGATTTCATCCCTTACCAAAGTTGTAAGTAGCAAAAGTGTGCAAACAAAGCATATTGACCGTTCCAAAATATACATTAATAGATCATGTTGATTCAGAGCAACGAAGTCAAGAATCCCAATTGGTTTCAGCATGGCTGTGCACACTGTCGGCAAGAAGAGTGGAGACTTAAAAGGTCCCCCACCTTCTAATGATGCAGCAAAAATGGCATTGACTATTGGGCAGCAAGTAGGCAAATCTTTATCATTGGACCACGTCGGCTTGCTACTCGTAGGACGTTGATGGAATCGAACATTTACCCCTCCCAAGCCTAATACTCTCAGATTCTTGAGTCTTCTAAACAATTCACGAATGTGAACAATTTGGATATATTTCTGTAGGTGAAAGATGCCTAAACATCTGAGGAGGCTGATTCAGTCACTACGCGGAAACAAGAATACTGGGACAGCAGAATCTGAGATAGATCGAGCGGACGGCCAAGCAGACAATCCAGCAAAGACAATACCATCAACTCATACTCATTCTGTATTCCAACCAACCAAATCGATCGAGGACCACCAGCCACAAGACTTATGGCAAGCAGCGTACGAAAAGCCCACTACAGAGCAACGCCAGATCTGGTCTAGCATACAAACTGCCTCCGGGTCAAAAGACAATAATCCTGGCCTGAGAGAGCAAATTGACGATATCGTCAAGGTGACAACATTGAAAGCAACAATACCAGGAATACCAGCGGAAGTCAGACGAAACATTTCGGAGATCTTCGCGGAAGATCATCAATGCGGCTCTATCCGTTAAAGACATCATTAGCGCAGTTGCTGCCCTTGACCCTACGCAGCATGCAGCTAGTGCTTGGACAGTTGTGTCGCTTGGTCTGACAGTATGTTTTGCCCATAGCCTGAAGATACTGCAGCTGATTGATGACCGATGTACTAGATGACGCAAAACTATGATGACGCACGAAATGCATTATTTGAATCATCTGAGTACCTAGCTGATGTTCTCGCCCAATGTGCATTCATTGAGCAAGAATTCTACATAAATGGGCCTCAAGATATCCGCAGTCATATAGGAACTGCGATGATCGGAATCTACACAGCAATTCTATGCTATTCAGGACAAGTTCGGAATACACAAGAATCTAGCGTCTCGAGAAACCTCATGGATTGTGTCACTGCGATTACTGGGCATCCGCTTACAGCACTCAAAACCTCGGTCGAAAAGGAAAGGGATCGTTTACGCAGATGGGTTGATTTAGCTGGACATCTTCACCACGACAAAGAGGCAGAAAACATCCTTCTTAAAATTGATGACTTGGCTAAATCCATGAAGGTTCTTCTTGAACATTTCAGTCTTGGGAAGTTACACAATGTGGAAGGGGCATCATATGACTCCTATGATAATCAAAACATCAACCCCTGCCTTCCAGATATCAGGACCGAGCTTCTCGACCAAATTTCAGAATGGACAAGGTCAGGTTGCAAACCTATATTCTGGTTAAATGGAATGGCAGGAACCGGAAAGTCTACCATTGCCCGGACAATCGCTGAGTCCTTCCAAAGTCAAGGACTGCTTGGTGCCACATTTTTTCTTTAAGCAGACTGAAAAAGAGCGTGGTATCGCAAAATACTTGATATCGACCATCACGAGACAATTTATCACCACAAATCGGCCACTTGTGCCGTTTATTCTAGACGCCCTGGATAAGGATCCAGATATTGGATCTAAATTCCTAGGTGAACAGTTTGACAAACTTCTCTATCTTCCCTTGATGAAGCTGGATTCAGAGCAAGTCAAAACAGTGGTGATTGTTATTGATGCCCTAGACGAATGTGATGGGGAAAATGACATAAAGTTCATACTTCACCTCTTATTCAAATTACAAGAAATCAAGTCATTACGCTTACGAGTTGTTTTAACGAGTAGGCCTGAGCTTCCTATTCGTCTAGGCTTCGATAGTGAAGAGAACCACCAGGACCTAGTTCTCCATGAACTTCCTCTCCCAGTGATTGAACACGATATTCGCCTATTTCTGAAACACGAGATGTCCGCAATACAAGTTAATCGTGGACTTCCCCCTGACTGGCCGGGAAATGACAAAATCGAAGATCTGGTGCAGATGTCCATACCATTATTTGTCTTCGCAGCCACAGCCTGCCTCTTCATCAAGAAAAATCTACATCCTCATACAGCGCTTGAGAGATATCTTAATATTGGAGCTACAGGTGCAACTCAGATGGAGCAAATGTACCTCCCAGTTCTGCGTCAACTCATACAAGACGATGAAGAGCAGACAAAGGAGGCTCTAAAAGAATTCCAAGAAATCATTGGGGTCATCATCCTACTTGCCACCCCGCTTTCAGTCAACTCTCTCGCTCTGCTTCTACAAATGCCAATACAGGAGATCAAAGATCACTTAGTTTTCCTACATTCAGTTCTCTTTGTACCAGACAACACCAACACCCCAGTCCGCATTCTTCACCTCTCGTTTCGAGAATTCTTGCTCCATACAGACAAAGAATTTCGAATTGATGAGAAGCATACACACAGGCAGATAGCATTACACTGTCTCCGTATTATGGACACTCGGCTTAGGCACAATCTCTGTGATCTAGCAAGTTATGGACTACAATACAAGGACATCGATTCTCAAATAATCCAGCAATATCTTCCGGCTGATTTGCAATACTCCTGCAATTACTGGATCCATCATCTGAAGGAGAGCCAGGGTGGTATCCCTGAATCTGAAATTCTCTCATTTCTTCACAAGCGGTTCCTCCACTGGTTGGAGGCATTAGCCTTAATGGGAAAAGTGTCGGAGGCGACAGGAATGATACAGATATTAGAGTCAAGAACATGGGTAAGTATCAAGAATTTATGATCAGATAGCTACTAATGGATATCACAGAAAACTGCTGATCCCGCTATTCTGAGGTTTCTATACGATGCAAGAAGATTCACTCTTCAAAATGCTTACATAGCTAGCATTGCTCCACTGCAACTGTACTGTTCCGGACTTGTGTTTGCACCAGGGCAAAGTGTCATCAAGAGGGCGTTTACTAGCGAAATACCAAAACGGATACAGAGGCTACCAGCAGTGACAGACTTCTGGAGTCCAAATCTACAGACATTAGAGGGCCACTCGGGTCAGATTAGCTCAGTGGCCTTCTCTCCCGATGGGCTTACGCTGGCATCTGGCTCAAAGGACGGCACCATCAAGCTCTGGAATACGGCGACCGGTACACAGCGGCAGATCTTGGAGGGAGGCTCTTGGGAAAGTATCAATTCCTTAGCCTTCTCTCCTGATGGGCTTACGCTAGCATCAGGCTCGTTTGATGGCACCATCGAGCTCTGGGATACAGCGACCGGCACCACCCAGCAGCAGATGTCAGAAGGCTATTCAGGTGACATCAATTCAGTGGCCGCATTGGGCTCACTCAAGACGGCTCCTGGCAATTCTCTGATATCATTATCGAGTAATTGGGTGAATTTGGGAGGTGAAAATTTATTATGGCTCCCCTCTGAGTACCGTTCATTTCATTTTCAAGATGTCAAGAATGCTACACTTGTACTAGGATATAGGGATGGCCGGTTTTTGTGTTTAGTGTGGGATATGCAAACAGTATAATTTAAGTAATTTTTATTATTCTACTTAAGTCTCTTATTTTGAGATCTTTTTGCAATAACAGGGTTGGGGAGATCTGAGGTGTACATGTGCTTTTTTGAGAGAAAGACTTCTTTTATGGTTACTCGAGCGATGCATTCAAAGGATCAATTTTACTAAAGGAATCCTAAGAATGAGGTACATGATATCAGGCTCTATCTCTCCTTCTAGGTTGTACAGATCAAAGAGATTGGCCTCTCAATTTTTCAGAGTTAGAACTATAGCTTCTTTTGAAATTGAATTGTTATAAAATGATAACTTATGACTCTCATTTTATTGCGCGTCTTCATTTCTGGTTATTTTATTACTCTTCTTTCATTTCCTTCGTTCTACCAAATATGGCTGCCGCCTCACATGCAGGTTACTTTTTATGCTAGACGAAGTTTACAAGTTGTTTATCAACGATGACTGTTTGGGCCTGATCCCCGAGGCGCATTTCGCACAGCGACCGCAGAGGACGAACCTCTAGTACGTTCGGTCCACAAGTGTAATGCTATGCGTTCCCGGTTTATGCTACACGTGCGTAGCAGCACCGGCATAACGACTTATTGAACGACATACGTTACGGATCCCTGAAGGGCGAGCTTACGCTTCTCAAGAAGCTTTATATGACCGCCTGGTCGGAGATTCATTTGCGCACTCTACCAAACGCTCGGGCCGCCGCCATCGCACACCACTGGCTTGTGCATCTCCAGATCCCAGAGTTCGAGGCGTCCAAGGTCTTCAATCGTTCGTGCATCCGCAACCCTACCGAGTTCGTGTCGGTTGCGCGGAACGCTCCATGGGAGGAATTCGTCTACGTCGACGAGGTTGAAGAAGCTGTCACTGAAGAGGAACCCGAGGTTCAGGATCGCTGGCGCTTGGATTGAGAAAGGGAGGTATCCGATTTTATGTATTATTAGCTGATCTGATCGATTATGTTGCATCTTTTCATTTTGTATGTTCACTTCTATTCTCAGCGACGCCTGTTATGACTTCATCACCTGACAATGACGATATATCATTGGCACCAATGAACATGCCAGGTGGGCTTTCCCACAAATGGCCAACTTTTGTTGGCGAGGTCGCTTGGTCTGAGCCTCGGTCAAAATTGATCGCTGATATGAAGTTCTGGTTGAATGAACCGGGCAGTTGTGTGAATGCCGCGATTACCATCAGTGTGCTCCATGCATGGTCGAGTTTTGATTGAGAAGTGGGAGACAATCAAATTACTCCATCGCCATCCCAAGAAATCGAGATGTGCCGCAATCCGGAGCAAGCACGTCCTCCCTACAGTCAGTGGCAATTTGTCCATCTCCTTCGCGGATGTTTTTTTGAGGAATCCTGACCCTGAAAAGGAGGAAGAGGATTTCATTCTTACTGAAACTGATATGCATGGAATGGCGGACCAGATTTGGTCATTTCAATAAAATACCTTGTACTGGCCCCAAGGCTGCTATTAAGAGGGCCGAACGAATCGAGATATTTGTCATAAAGAGCAGTCAGTAGAGTCTTAATCACTGTGCATGGAATTACATCACGCACTATGTACTTTGGCATTAATCCTTAAACTTCCTTATGTACTAGTAAATCCTTCTACTGTTTCTTCTACTGTTCCTTCTACTGTTCCTCCTACTGTTCTTCCTACTGTTTCTTCTACTATATTATTGTGTATAGTAGCAAATCCTTACAATTCCTTATACATTAAAACCCTGCACTTCCTTGTATATTAAATCCTTGAACTCCATTGTACGTTGAATCCCTGCACTTCCTTATATATTGAATCTATGTATACATGTATGGGGTCACATGATGTATATGGACACATGATGTACATTTTTCCTGTACATCTTTTCCGTGATTCTTATTTTCAAATGTTTAAGAATCCCTTAGGTAGCCTTACTTCGAGCAGCTATGATTCCCAAGTTCACCAATCAAACTGTCTTACCGTGACTCGAATCTCACTTCGATCTGTTTTGCCGAGAGTATAAAAACGATCTTCTGATTTGTTTGAGAGGTTCAATTTGTCCAAAGAGAGCCAGGCCGCCGCGGTATCTCGACTTGGGTACCTCTCCGGGCTAGTATAGATACTGCAGGGATTGATGTGGCATTTGCAAACATGCAGATAGCTCTGGATGCAGATGAAGAGTACCGTAGCTTCATGGCGGTGCGGGCGTCTATGGTGGCGAAGGCAGAGGAGGTTGACATGGCCAGGGTCGAGCTAGATACAAGGGAAGTCGGCGCGCTCCAAAGAATGGCTACAAACGCCCGGGATCTGGAAGAATGTGCGGTCATGTTCAGGCGGCGGTGGGAACGCGAACATCTAGGAACTTAGTAGCTCTTCTGTACTTTGAAATACTGCATGTGATGATACCTAAGATGAGACCAGTAAGTTCATTGGAATATTCAGATCAGCCAAGACCCAAGATTTTGATTAATAGCGATGGAAGGTGGCATGGAAACCTTGGAAGCACACAAGCTATATTGAGACGTAATGAAGTTTAAGTGCATATGCCAACATAATCAAATATACTATAAGTACAGAGCAAAAGGCTCGACAAAAACCCCGAGCAGCTAACCAAATGCGAATGCAAACACAGCAAAACAAGCAAGCATTGAACCTTGCTTTGCACATCGCGGACGCCGGAGCCTTAAGACACCAAGCCAAAAGCAAACACCCCGAGATTTGCAAATCCAAAAACACCGCAGTGGAAACAATAAAGTTATTTCATAGCCAGTTCCGGTCCAGCCAAAGGACTTGGCCCGTGAGTGGGAGTAATATTCGGAGTCGAATTAGACAGAGGCGAGGATGCCACGTCCATCAAGTTCATCACCGAAGAACCGGATTTACCGCCGCGAGTACTGGCGGAACTTCCTCCACGACCGGTTCCTGGGGTGCCTCCTCCACGGCCACCGCGGCCTTCATGTACCGCAGATGCAGCGGTGCCATTGCGCTCGGGAGTGCCTTTATCGGCATTATCGGTCTTCTTGGCTCCTCGTGGCCTGCGCGAGGTACCTCCTCTTGAACCGGGTCCGCGAAGGGGCAAACCGGTATCCTGGGAAATTGGCACAGCAGTAGCAGCAGCAATGGCGACATGGGGATGAGAAGCCAATGCTCTACTCCGACCCGTACCCCGGCCTCGGCCTCGACCGCGCTTGATGGTTCCATCCGCACTGTAAGGTATGTTAGCAAGGCTGGTCGCTTCCTGGCTATCGGGGAAGAAGAAATAAAATAAAAAACTAACCGTTCCACTTGGATCTTCTCGCCTTCCGGTACAAGAGGACCGCTGTACACAAAGAATCCATCTTTACTAGCAGCAGCCTGTTCCTGCCATGCCATCTCCGTATCGTCGACAAAGGGATCATCTCGATCGTACTCCTCGACCTTCTTTCGTCTTTTCTTCTTGCCGTCTCCAGCATCCGAGGTCACACCATTGGTGGCAGTTCCTGCACCACTCATGTTGACATCTCCATCCACATCACTGTCGCGCTCTGCTTCGAGGCTCAAATCCTCATCCGCACTTTCAGTCAGTCCCTTTTCATTTCGCTCTAACGCAGCGCCAGCGGCAGCCACGCGAGCGAGCCGATCTTTGTGGGCTGCCAAACGAGGGTGCAAGGCAGCAAACCCGTATTGTTCCTCTGCCAGCTGTGCAAAATTAACAATCTGGTTGCCCTTTGATAATGGGATATGCACCACGATGTTGGGTGTACTGCGCGCATCACTTGATTTGGAAGAATCGTCACCCCCCATACCAAACAACGCATTGGTGATCAATCCCGACCCCTGGGGAAGTTGTGGGGTTTCCTTAGCTGCGCGCGCCGGCTTAGGAGACGGAGCTTTTGAGGAAGGAGCAGTCGCGGCGCCCTTTTCTTTCTTTGCGCTCGGCACAGGCGTTTCTTTCTGGGGTTTTGAGTCAATCTCCATTGCATCAGTTTTCTGAGCTGGCCGTTGTGGCGTAGCCTTTTGCGCTGGGGTCTGAGGCTGCGGGGCTTGTGCCTGGGGCTTTTTTTGTTGGGGCTGTAAGGCCGGCGGTGACAGTTCTAACTGAGGAGGTTGTGGAGGGATCGAAAGTTTCTCTGATGGTGGATAAGGAGTGCTGTAGTGACTCGAAGATTGCAGCGCCGGTGGGACGTGGACCGTTCCATGAGACGGCGATGACGCGGGTAATGCCGACGGCCCTAGCGATGGGTACGATGGGGTTGGCACAGGAGAAGACACAGCCGAGACATGGGCAGACGAGGAGCGCGGCACTGGGGTGTAAATACGTGCATTTTGGGTAGGTGGGTCAATTATGCTGGAGATCGCCGGTGACGCGCTGGCACGGTAATTGGGTTGCGGTGACTTGGCAGGTGTTGGACTATAAGCTGGCGCTGGCGATGGGTTATCAAAAGCTGATCTAATCGGGTCGAAGTTTTGACCACTGGTGCGTTGCGGGGGAGGTTGGGTTGACTGGGATGGGGGTTGCGCTGGTGGTGGATACGGTGATGACAAGGCATAATTAGGCGCTGGGGTCGGGGTCGGGGCCGGGGCCGGGTGAGGACTTGTATAAGAAGGCGCAGATACAGGCGCAACAGGAGCAGGTTGTGGAGGTGTTAGGGCGGGTTGAGATTGTATGGGTTGCGATTGCTGCGATTGCGATTGTGGTGGTGGCTGTGATTGGGGACTGGGAGGGTTTGCCGTCGCAGGTGCGGCAGGTGCGGCGGGTGTGGCTTCTTCGGTTTGCTCCAGCTTAGGTTTCTTGCGAGAAGCAGCGGTAGCGGTAGACTTTTCTCTTGGGCGACGAGGTGCTCGAGTTGCCTTTTCTTTGGCTTCCTTTTTAGGTTTGGGGGGAGTTTCGGTGGTGGTGTTGTTGTTGGTATCGTCGTCCTTCTTTCGACGCGACCGTCTGGCACCAGAAGCACGTCGATTGTCAGGTTTCTCGTCGATGACGGGTCCATCATCCTTGGACACATCCATAGGAGAATCCGTGGACATGACGTCCAAATGGTGAAAATGCCCAAAAAAGAAAAAAAAGTTGAATAAAGGTAGTTATACAGAAGTTGATGGATTTGAAGTGGATGAGTGGATGGGGAGATATTTCAACGGTCGGGAGTCGGTTATCACGAAAGGGAAAATGGGAAAAAAGGAAAATGGAAAAAAAAGAAAACGGAGAGGGGAAAGGCAAGATAAGAGATCTGTTACAGGTCAAACAAGAAGCGGGAACATGAAGAAGAACCTGAAACAAGGGAGGTCATGGAAGGACAAGAAGGCGATGAATTAAGGAGAAGAAAGGAAGAAAGGAAAAAGAAAAAAAGGACAAGAAAGGGGAAAATAGCGATCAAGGGAGTTTTTGATGTGGTCGAATTCATTGGGAGTTTTCCCGGTTTGATATGTATGCAAATCAGAATTCCAATACATGCATAGATCAATCGAACCTCCAACAAATGACCAATTATTGGATGAATGGAGATTGGATCATCAAATTCAAATCAAGTCAATCTAATTCTTCAAATCCTGAAGCTTTAGAATCACTGATCTGGTCATTGTTGTAGCCATTCCATCGCGCGCGGATCTGGCGTCAGAGGGGCGTATAAGTGTATAGTACTTGACCACACAGACCCTGTTTCCCCCCTCTCTATACCTCAGACCGAGTGACACAACCTGCGAAACCATATGACAATCCCACCGGGAAACCATTAGAATCCATCGAGGAACATGATCATGGGAATTTTGGAATAAAAATAAACTAATGGTCTTGATATGCTTAAAATTTGCCTCGGAGATCAGTTCCATGGCCAGCTATGTCATGACTTTTAGTAGTTCTATATTAAGAACTATAATAATATAGGACAGAAAGGGTTTTCAAACAAAGCATCAACTTATATAATCTACATTAGGCATTTAGAAATTTTTTTATATAGATGTAATGCTGCCCAACGATGATGATATGCGGTGTTAAGAAGCCTAGAAGTTGACTAGCTTCGATGAAGAGCTTCCGAATCTGGTTGCGCAGGATTGCCTCTTTGGGACTAGCCCCGACACATCGCGCGCTAACCCGATGCGGTTAGTCTGATGCATCCACATTTTAGCTTTTTTGAGCCGCAGGCCCCGCGCTGACATAACTTCCTTCTTTTCATCTGCGCGCCATGGCTTATCGAGGTGAGCGTTTTCTCCTAGACTTGGACGAGGAGGACACCAGTCCTCCTGAGAACCCAGTTCCTTCTCCCTTTTCTCTTATTGGAGAGATTTTGGAGCGAGACCCGGCCCCAGCTGCACCGCCAGCTCCCACTCCCACCGCTTCTTCCACCGGCTTCCCCGCCCACCGACGACGCAACAAGCCCTCTTCCTTCAAGCAAAGACGAGCAGAGCAAGCAGCTCAGGCCCCCGAACCGAGTCAACCGATTCAGTCAAATGATACCGTACCACCAACTACCCAAGATGAAAAGACATCAATCGCCGAGGAGAACAGCAGGCATCTGGCATCCATGTCGGATGCGCAGATTGAGCGAGAGCGAGAAGAATTGATGGGCTCAATAGACCCGGGGCTGTTAGAACGCTTTCTCCGACGAGCCAAAATTGAAGATCATGATGACGATTGGTCCAAGGAAACACAGAAGAAGCCAGCGGCTGAGCCAATGCCAAATGAATCGGCGCCGTCAAAATCGAAGAAGGCCGTCTCCTTCGATATCCCGGCTCCTGCTACGCAGCCTACGCCCAAGAAAAATCCAGAACCTATCACAAATCAGCGACCAACTGCCTCTAAGCCTCCAACCAATGATGATCTTCCTCCCTCTAAAATCCCTTCAGACCTTCTCCCGGCATCCGAACGCCCAAATCTAGACCCCGCCATGATCGAAACCTTCCACTTCCCCCAGCCAAAGAAACCGATGCCAACACTTGATCCCAACGACCCGAATTTCCTTGCAGACATGCAGTCTCATTACTTCCCCGAAATGTCTCACGATCCTGCTGGGCTCTCATGGCTCCAACCTCCTTCTGCCGATGCAGAAGACCCAGACTCCACCTCACCCTATCACCCCTCCAGCAACGCCATGGCTATACACCCATCTGGAATTAGATTCTCACTACGTGGCTCACTTATTGCTCCCAACACATCTCTTTCCCTCCCAACTACCCTTGGTCTCCACCACCATGGCCAAGATCCGCACGCAGCCGGTTATACCATCCCGGAGCTGGCGATTCTGTCCCGCTCGACGTTCCCTGCTCAACGATGTGTTGCATGGCAGGTAATCGGCCGGATCCTGTTCCGCCTTGGTCGTGCAGAGTTTGGTGATCGTGGTGGCCAGCTGTCGGAGGGATTGTGGCATGTGATTGAGAAGGAAGGTGTTGTGGCAGGCATGTTAGCTGAAGCTGAGGGTGCGTCCGGCCAGTTCCCCAGCATGCATTCACGTACCAGCAAGGATGGCGAGGATAAGAAAAATGACCAGGCTGAAGAAGCGAATATGCCTATTGCATCTGGAATTGGACGTCATGCTAGTGCTTCTGCGTGGGCCGTTGAGGGCGTGTGGCTATGGCAGAAGGGAGGTGGCAGTGATCGCGGATTGCTGAAGGAGGGTCAGATTCGATCTCAATAGTTGATACATGCCTGTTATCTAAAGACCACCATATGCATATGTGCTAAGCCTGCCTTGCTTGACCTACAATTCTGATTGATGATTTTCAAATGAGGCGGTATGTCTAATCTCCAATCTCTACTATGTAGACATAGTACATAGTAGGTAGTAGTGTGTAAGAGCTTCCATGAATCTTTCAAGATCTTACCCCATAATTACTATGTACTTCAAATGCTTCCAAGGATTTCTTATCCCCGCTTTGATATTCAACATGTGCAGCATTATATCCAGTAGGTACACACATGTGCATGCATATTTTACATAGGCATTTACTCAGTTGCCCAGATGTCTAATACCCACTAGGTAGAACCTGGGCACGACCTCGGGAATTGCAACTAGACTTGGGTACCCCTAGACCAAGGCAGGAGTGCCTGTGCAGTACCTCGTACCTCCAGGGCCTAGGAAGAAAAAAAAAGCCATTCATTCAAAGAAAACCCAAGATGAATCAGACAACAGCAGTTTGAGTTCTCAAGTGCTGTTAAGGAGACGTCCTTGACTACTAGTAGTCTGGACCGAGCAAAATATCCATGTATGAATCAAATTGAGAATATGCTTTAATCACTGGAAAAACCGACAGAAAAGACTTAAACAACGAGTTGACAGGAAACAGCCGTATCAAAAATCACAGCAAGACCTCGACCTCCTAATCATACATGATATTCAATGTTATCACACTACAGCCACAGCTGCATTCAAACCTCAGAGCGACACGTTCGTTTCCTGATAATGGTATCGTAAAGCATTCTCGCACTCGAAGTCGTCGAAAAGTTCTTCATGATGATACCACAGGTGCTCGACCATAGCCAGGCCATTGAAAGCGGTGTTCTTCGTTTCTTTGCAGACCTCGCAGAAGTAGAATGGCTCGTCCATGTTTGCTCCGCCCTCACGGATGAAGTTGTCGAAGGAGCGGCTGAAGCCCATGATTTGCTTGACCAGGCCTTCCAGAACCCAGTCGCGGGTGGGAAAGGTGTAGAGATTAGCCATTTTCTGAATGATTGAGGAAGTGGGTTAGTGAATTGTTCCATGGACATGATCGAGGGAATGAAGCTTACGTTTTGAGGGGCTGACTCGAAGTAATGTATGTCTGAGTGGGGTTGATGTTGATTGCTTTGATGGAAGTGGCAGGAGGAATTGGCAGGTAATGGGAGACTCGGGACAGACGAGGGAGAAAAGAAAGAAGGAGGGAATGATGGGGGGGATATGCTGTATTTATGTCGAAAGTAATTGTATGGGTGCCTGTGGATGAAGATGGAATGCGATTGAATTGGGAATGATAGTATCGAAAATGGAACGAAATCCAAAATAGGATAAAGTTTTCCATACTAGTGAGGAGGGTACAAAGGATAACCAGGAAGTAACAATCACATGGAAAGACTGTCCGAAATTGAATAAAAAGCTCCCAATGCAGACAATACGATTATCCTTTTCAGAAGAGGTCTTGGGTGAACAAAGACCCTGGAACAAAGGCCCCAGAAGTCCCTCGTAGGTTCCAAACATTCAATGTTTCAAATGAACCCTCTCTCTCGTTATGTCAGATCATGGTGTGGAGATCATGGTGTGGTGCCATTCACATCCATTTCTCACATTCATTTCTGAGAATTCAGGTAGCACCATGTGACTTCCAAGGTTCGTTTACAGGTGCACATTACTATGTATTCCAATATGTTTAGAACAAGATCAACAATAACATTAGACTTCATTCAGAACCTAGTGTGGTGCGCATTCAAAATCATACCATGGATATCATATCGTACAAAAATACCCAGCTGCCATGAACCAGAGCACCAGCAAACAATAAACACATCAAATATGACAAACTCATGATGACCCACCAGTACTCACACCCTGATCCCCAACCTGAACTCCCCAGACCTGCCATCTAGCCTCCTCAATAAAGTCTCTTCTTAGCCACAAACCCGATGCTGGTGTTTGGAACTGCGATTGCAAGTGACCAGGAACGGTATCTTGCTCGTCACTTTGTGAACGATCAAGCCAGTCGAATAGAAGTTGAAGCTGCCAGATACGGTCACGAATTTCATCGGAGTCTGCACCTCGGCCACGAGAAGACTGTACAATATTGCGCACAGTGTGTGACAAGGCCAGACGGGCATCAACGGCAGAAGTGCGGAGCCAAGGTGGCGAGGTAACGATCTTGGTAGAGATACGAGGAGAAGGCGTTGGGAACGAGGAAGGAAGAACGAGAGAGCGTTCACGGATGTCAAGACCCTGGAGAGATGGAAGCTGGAAAATCCAGTCCCATGGGCTTTGTGAGGCTGTCGTGGTCCCTGACATGAAGCCAGAGAGTAGCGCATTGCGATTGCCCAAGACAGATGGCGGTAGGCCCTTGCCGGCACCGGAGGAGGCTGCAACCGAAGATCCAGGTAAGATGTCTTGGGCTTCACTTAACCCGGTGAGAGTAGATGCAAATACCGAGGTCGAAGCGTCGGAGGGGCTGTATGTAGCTTTGCGGCGAAGGTAGATTGACGGGTCACCGTGCCGGAATTTGTCTCGAAGAGCATCGTCTTGACTGAAATCAAGAACAAGGGGCCAGTGATCCGGGCCGCGAATCTCGATACGTGTAATCCCACTGGGGTCCGGTATGATACAGGGGGCGTTGGTGGTTTTGATGGAACCAGAGCGAGATGTGATGGTGATGGGAATGGGGATCGGGCGTCGAGTATCGAGATCGCGAGGAATGAGGCATCGTGGCTCTGCAGCGAGGACCCAGAGATGGCGGAAGGCTTGGAGATGACACTTGTTATCAAGCACAGTAGTTGGGAAGATCGGATAGAAGGAGCAAAGAAGCGTTGCCACGGCTAGGTCAGAGGTGCCAAGAGTGTAACTACCTCCACCTAAGAACAACGTGCCTATTGCCATATGAGCGGCCATATGACTGCCGTATGGGGTATCGGCATCTATCCTGCCATGAAGAGAGCGCAGGCGCCGGAACAAAGCCAAGTCACCCGTACCGGCCATGACGGCTGCCGTAGATAGTGATACGACATCCTGGCAGTTCCGAACGGAATTACGCGCAAGCTTAGAGTCATAGCTTATCGCCGGGAGTCGCGAGATTCGGATGAATTGATCCAGGTAATAAAGCAATAGATCTCTTGCTTGGGTGTCCCCGGAGCCAGCATAGCGAAGGCCGAGGGCTAAGCACAGACCGGCGATGATGTTGAAGAAAGGCATATCTTCACTACGAAGATGACCCACAGTTAGGAGACGAGATCTTTTCTGGTATACCTTTGGAAGGCTTGTCTTGATCCAATCGGCACTGGGTTTGATGCTATCCCACATGATGAGATGCCGTGCCAGTGTCCTTAGGAGGAAGAGATCCGGTCGGACATAGTCAAACCGTACAGTGGTGTCCGGGATGTCAATCTTCTTGGCCAAAACTGCATCATTGGTTTTCATGAAAATGACAGCTAGTGCAACTGTCGCGCCCGCGGTAGCGCGATCCAGCACATGTGCAAGGTCAACGTTTTTAGTACCAACGGCGATTGCGAGCAGACGCTCAACAATGTGCATGTCGCGCATTCCCCTCAAGTCTTTACCCTTGCCTAGGTTAATGAGACCTAGCGCAAACCCAGCGGCCAGACGGTAGCCTTCATCCCGCAGGTCTTCTTGGGATGCGGCCTGTTCGTCCTGCTCAACATTCTCGATTTCTGAAAGCATGACCTCACTCATGCGACGGTGTTGAGAGCCGCAATAGAGCAAACCAATGCCCATGATGCCAGCAGTTTGGGTGAGAGGCGATAGGTTGAGCTCTGCCGCTCCCATAGGCAACATTCTTGTAACATGCACAGACAGCAATCGAGTGATTAGTGTGTCCATAGTGCCCATGTATGATGCAGAAAGACCGAGCAAGAGTCCAATGGATGTCATGGTATGTTTGGGAGTCAGGTACTTGAAAGCAACCCATTTGGCCAAGGACTTGAGATGACCATTCAAGCCCAAAGCTAGCAAGAATCCAGCATGGCGGTTCGTGAGCTCCTGGGGCTTATTGAACAGGATCCAAGAAGTATCAATTCCCTTGGAGGCCTTGGAGATTGCAAGGCCCGTCGAGACACCATTGTGGAAGAAAGCCCAGCATACTTTTTCCTCAGTGAATGCAGCTCGTTCGGCGCTAACCGTGACATTGGATGGTTTCATCACACACTGGAGCGAGAAAGACGGAATCGGAAGCTTCTCTGTCAATAGAGGTAGTCGACCGCTGAAGGCAAGCATAGCCCGACCCGCAGGAGTAGATAATGTGCGAAACGAGACGAGCTGCACAAGTTCTTTTTGTGCGTCGAGTAGATCGGAATCTGTCCAGTCGGGCTCTGGAACACAGTCAGCCACTGGTGCTTTGGACTGGTTTAGAAGCCGGGCTGCTTCTAAGAAGCGCTTGTCTTCCCGGAAGACCAAGCGAGTTACTGAGAAGCGATCAGCCTCTGCAGAGGCTTCGAATGCATTGATGTTATCAATCTCTAAAGCAGAGGTGTTGATATAATGATAATCCCGCAATGCATCATGAGATACCACAGGGTGCTGGGGTGCCGCAAATGATTGAGCTTGAACTGGGTTCATCGACATGTAAAGGTCCTCGCGGTCAATAAGCTCTAGAAGACTTGTGCTCCATGATGTTGATGCTTCGATCTGGCACTGCATGACAGCTTCATACAAGGGCGCGCTCACCCCCTCCGGGAACGTGTCAATTATGCTTTTTGTCAAGCCCCATCGATGTAGAAGCTTGATCTTTTCTAAGGGGGTTGAAACATTGCGGACATCAGAAAGGAAGCCAGTCAAGGCCAGTGTCCTAGGAGTAATGTTGAAGCATTCTTGCCAAAAACGTCCCTTTCTAGGTACTCGATCTGATGCGGCGACAATATCAAGCAAGGTGACAAACGGGGCGGAGGATTGACGCTCGACATCTAGAAGGAATGCAAATATTGACGGGGGAGGGAATGGTTCAGCAGGAACATCCAGCGAAGAGATTCGAGTCTCTTCAAATTGCCAGCGCTCTATGCTCGCCATTTCGGTGCCAAAGTAGGAATCCTCAGTCCATTTCCAAGATTGCCAACCTAGCCAGCCACCAAGTTGGGCCAAGACCGGGGCCAGGAGCCCAAGAGGACGCCGGGACTCTTCCGTGTCGGTGGTCGAAAGTTTCTGTTCCTCCCGAAGAAGATGAAGGCCAACAAGTATGGTCCCGAGTGCGGTGCACCTGGTGTTCTCAGGGAAAGCGGCAGAAATAGGTAAGTAACCATCACGGCCGGATGCCCTAAGTCCTTGGGGGCTTTGAAGGAAGTCGCGGCTTAGTGAGACACATCGGCTCAGATAAGAATTTTGACGATATGTTGACCGGCTTGCATTAGACTGTTCATTTTTGGGGGTACGTGATGTATCTCGGCCGGCCACGTCTGCAATGGCATCTTGCTCAACGATCCACCCCCAAGAACAATTCGTCATCCATGGCGCAACAACGCCAGAAGATCCCGATTCAAGGTCAAGCATAGATTCCCAGCTTTCGAGATCCAGATGGGACCCGCTGCTCGACCGGAGAAGGCCCTTTTTGCGACGTGTTCGCTTGGCGGGGGTTTGTGGCTGTGGTTGTTGGATGAATGGGACAGCCAGAGAAAATAGGACAACAACCAGAGCAGTCCACTCCAGATCATTCTCAATATCTTCTTTGCCTCGAAGCCATTTCATAACCTCCCACCAAGCCACCAACAAACCGTTCCCTGCCTTTTCCGAATCACGAAGAACAAATTTGCACACCTTGAGAACCTTTCGTACAAGATCATTGTGAGGCTCCATTTGGATTTGGATTCTGTGCCTCCGATTCTCTGTATCTACTAGATCAACCTTTCCTTTTGAGCAAGCATGATCGAGTTTCGTAAAAGCGAGATTAGGATCTGCCATGACTCGATTCATGCCACTCTCTCTCGAGCGACTCATAAATTTGTTGGCAGAGATCCCATGGGGCTCGTACAATTGCAGCGGTTTCGGAATTTCGACTCTGGTCGGGCTACCCCACAGGCTTTGTAGGGACAATTCTCGCTGTCCATTGTCGGACAGGGTCAGCGTGAGGATTCGCGAGATCTCACCGTCTGTGACTCTGCAGACATCTCCAACATTCGGGATATGTTGTATACCAGTTGCGTGAACCAGCAACGGACGTCTCTCAGAGTGCTTCGCTTTCTTGGAGGTCGCAGGCACCACTTTTCGATTTTTGGATACTGCCACACGCTCTGCTCCCAAGTTGACAATGGTCATACTCTGTGAGTCTTGGTCTACAATGCAGACTGCCACTGAGGTGGCATTTCCGTTTTGTTTACTCGCGTAGTCGGAGGACGACAGTGTGCAAACCTTCAAGTGATGTGATGATGCTTGCTGCATTGAGGCATGAAAGTTCCCTGTGAATCTAGAAGAAAAGCTCTCTACCTTGGTAAGTAAGAGCTCTTCGGGTAGACCTGATGCAGATTCACGCAGAGCGATATTCTCAAACCCTTCAGATATTATATCATTGTTGAGTTCCTCAAGTAGCCTATCCACCGGAGCGTCTACAAAGCTGCCTGCAGTGCTGTAGACGGACCCTGCTGCTGGAGGTAGTGATGCGCGAGGATTGAATCCAAAGCTTCCACGCATGCTACCAGCTCCTATGGATTGCCTAAGCCCGCCATGATGCATGGTGCTGGTTTGACTGCCCGTTGCAAGGTCTGAAAAAGTTATGCGGTCCTGACTAGTCGCTAGATCTGTCCGTGCAAGCAGAGAGCTGACTCTCCTGGAAGTTTTTAGAGGCACTCCAACATCACCAAAATCCTGCGCAACTCGCGCAGCCAGATCTTCTTCGCCGCCATTTTTGGTGTCAGGTGGCTGAGATGAATTCCAGTTCTCGGTCCATGGACCGAAACTTTCCCTTGGCCGCGCAGATGGTGTAGCGGCGCCAGGTGTCATACCGAAGTGAGAGCTTCGTCTGTTGGACCGCGCACCTTCAGTCTGCCGTCGGGTTTTGTCTTTGATTGATGCGCTGGATTCGTCATCCCTATACCGGGCAGTCCATACTGTATAGAGCCCAGTAGTTGCGTTCATTGTGAGCACCAAAATCAATGGGTTTGCGGGAACTTGATTCAACCCTGAGAGCTCATCCTTCGGGGAGATGTATACAATCTCATCAGCCGGATCCAGCACATCAAGCCCTGAGGGCCTTTTCTTGGCACTACTGACGCTGCTTTGTAGCCAGCGAGAGGACTGTGAGGTGACAACCAGGCCCATTTCTGAATGAGGATCAATGAGAGAGAAAACTCGGGGAAGATCTGCGCTTGAATTGGAGTTGGGCAGTGATGTAGAGCTCGTTGGCAGTGACAATTTCAGGATCGGGCCCTTGTCTTTAGTAGGAAGAGGCAGAGCTCCAGATTGTGAAGCGCCAGGGTCAAATAGTGAAGGGGCCATAAATGAATTAGGTGGCGCCGATTGATGCTGGCGTTCCACACCATCATCTGGGATCTTTCTTTGAAACACAAGTCCACGGGGAGTTGCAAAAACAGACTCAACTTCAAATGGAAGAGGAACGGTGTGGGTATTTCCTGTAACAAAGAAGATGTGGGCCTGCGACTTCAGGACCACGACCAAGGCTCTTGCTAGTTTCTTATGCGGTTGCTGGGGAGAAACCACAGCTATCTGAGAATCACCATGAAGATCCAATGTTGAGCCTAGGTTTCCAGCGGTGGAATCTTTCCCATGGCGTTTCGGTTGTCCTCCCCGCGTGTTCGTTCCCATGTTGGTCGTGTGAGGTTGATTGAAACTCGCGTTGCCTACTGATTTTCGGGCATGGCTTGCTGTGAACTGCGTGAATAGCGCATGTCGAATCTCCTCTTTCTCCGGATCCATTCGAAAGACTCTCTTCACCATCCCTGCGCGGGACCATACCGCGCAGTGTTTCGTCCATACCAGCTCATCATCAACGGGACCTGTTAACCCGCTCTCATCGACACATGTTATCCATTCGTACTGGTCTTTTGAGGGGTCTGGAGGCAATATTCCTTCTGCGACCAAGAAGGAGACGGCGGATGGTTCGTGGAGACCGAGCGAGCGGATGGAAGCCATGGTGGGCTGTTTGTTCAACTAGAGTAGCGATTGCGGTTCGCCGTCATAAACAATCTGACGGCCCGGATTTCTCGAGGAACTGTTTTCCATTGTCAAGAAAAAATAGTTTAGGCCGAAAAGTTTCGCCAGGTAGGCATTGTCGACAGTTGTTGACTGTTGAATGCCGAGAGTGGAGGACGCGCAGGAACGCGGATTGGATCGACTTTCCTTCAGTTCTTTGCTTCCGGCCAAAACAACTTTCCTTTTTCCCTCACAACGAATACCACCTCTACCTCTACACTCCACAACCCTTGATCATTAATTGATTTTCGCCAAAGTAGCTGGCCTCTGAGCTTAAGCTATTAATATTGAGCCTGCCGGTTCCTTTAAAAGTGCCTTTCCCCCGGCGCCTGTGCTCCGCCAGCGTTAATAGCGCAATGCCTTCGTTTCCCACCACACCGTTGCTTCGAGCGAGAGAAGATGGCTTGCAACTGAGGTAATCATCCCCCAGGCACCTTTTACTTGGGTTTAAGGCCAGACTACTAATTTAATTGAATGACCCTTTAGCTATCGACTACCGCATCGCATCCATGCCGCAAAAGGATATCCCCTCCGAGCTCCAAATGGCTCTTCGATCATAGTCTACGGCAACGAAACCGGCTTGAAGGTTGTGTGGAGAGGAGGAAGACAATTTTCGGAATTGAAAAAGCCTGAAGCTCTACGACAGGGAAAGAGCAATGCAGACAAAGATGCTGATGCAGTGATGATCATTGACTCCGATGAGGAGGATGCCTCCGAAGCAGCCCCGGCCCAAGAGGAATCGAGCTATGATTTTGTCTCGGATGAGAGCGAAGTTGACCCTGCTTCCCCATTCGAATCAATTTTGAGACAAGTCGATATTCCCTTAGGCAGCCGTGTGTTAGATCTGGCTATCCCTCGTGTTCTTCCCGAGGAATCACGTTCGCCTCTGGATCCCTTCCCGCCTATCGCAAAGAACACCATCGTTATAGCGGCAGTTTGCTCAGACTTTTCTACCCATGTCGTGACTCTACCTTTGACCCCTCCCCACCCAGAACAAACAGACCCTCAGAGCTGGCACATCCAGTCTCTTGTCATCAACGGAGGTGTGACCCATCAAGATATTCCCCGCGGCGTCTCCCTTACCTTCACCTGCTCCGATACTGAGGAAGACTCCCGAAAGTCACGAAGCCGAGCTGGAGGTGCAGGAAAATGGGACCTCCTCGTTGCCACACATTCAGCTGAGGGACCTGGTGTGCTCCTTTTGCATCGGCTCCCGATTCGGGAAGAGCCCACCGGCTTCTATCATATCATTGAAGAGGACCTGATCTCCCAACGACGGCTGTTGCCCTCGCCAGCTCAGACCATCGTCTTCAACCCATCTACATATCCATCAGCTCGCCATTCACATTTATTGGTCGCTTTTCACAGTGGATGTGTGAAAATTTATTCGTGTTTCTCTGTCAAAAAGGCCCCGAAGACAGGGCGGCGAGCATCGGGAGGACACGAGGATTGCGATACTATCGACACAGAGGGTCGCTGGCTAATAAGTTTATATCCTGGCTTTGAGCAGAACTCAATCGGAATCCAAAAACGCAAGACCATCATTGATGCCGAATGGGTTCTTGGTGGTCGTGCGGTCATGGTACTCCTAGAAGATGGTGGGTGGGGCGTCTGGGACATTGAAGGTGCTGGTCCCGGAGCTGCGAAGGGCCCGCTGCACCGCCAAATCACTGTGCAAGGGGTAAGTGGGGGGTCCCTCACAGCGTTTGCTGTCAGTGGCCGCATTGCGACCCCTCTATCCAACACGCAGTCCGAGGTTGAGAACCGCCCGCGGTTTGCACCGATGACACCATCCACCAAACGGGTTCGCGAAGACACTCTTCTGAAGGGATCCATGGCTGAATTGACCCCTTCCCTCCGAGGTCAAATATCCGTGCTCCAGATGAACTCGTCCCAGGAAGCGATTCCAGATGAGTCAATCCTCTTCCGTCATGGTCGGCAGAGTGCGATCATTCCGAGTTTGATCTCCCTCTGGCGGAACGCTGTTCGGGCATCCGGTACTCTCGACGCATCTAACCGATGCCGTGTGACCCCATTCCAAGATGTGAACTTGATGGGTGAAAATTGCCAGGCAATTAGCCATCTTCCGGCCCCTGAACGCCGCTCTCGTGCTGCTGAACGGCAATCATTTGACGTTCTGGTCGCTGCAGAGCACCAAGTGATGATCCTTACACCGCGTCTTACTGAATCCGCCGAAGAAAGCATACAGACTCACCAGGCACAGCAACAAGCTACAGCAAATGATCAAATGATGTTACAACGAGGTGAATTAGATGTTGAGGGAATGGGACGACTGCTCAACGGCATGGCCAGCCCTACCAAACGAGCCCGCATCTTCACTTGATCCCAAGATATTGGATACAGTCATAGATGATACCCATGAACGACGCTAAATTTGCAAAGTATTTCTCTTCCAAAACTTATCTTAGGTACTTTAATTTTCCCCCGCTCTTTTTCTTCGCGTTTTGTTTTCGCCCCCCTTTTCTTTTTCTTTTTTCGCGCTGCAAGGTGGAGCGCAAGGCGAGATTCATGCCTTGAAATTCCTTCCTCGGAAGTGAATAAGCTCTGTATCGGATGCGATATATCAATAACCATCAAGCAAGGCTTTCCATGGCCTTGGCTTTTTCTTCTGCATCCGAAGCCTATCAGGCCAAGGTTGCGGCACTCATGTCTGTATCTGGGATCGCAGTGATTCTTTTCTGACTTTGTGGATTCCAATCTGTCCTCGGACAAACTCCTACATTGGTAGCTACGAGCTCAGAAGGGGATACTGTCTGGAACCAGCATGGTGTGTTCGAAGGGCCCCGATGGGACATACGTAATACCTTAAATTTACCTATTAGTTGTGTATCTGGACACACTTTCTATACATACCCTCATCACTCATCATGAGAGTGACCGTATTCCCTTCAAGTTGCTTATTTAGTCGCGACCCAAATTATTTCTCGGAACGACAGAAAACTTTCAAATGTTAGCAAAAATAATTATTAATACAAGATTCATCTATACACTTCCTAAACCCATCCCCAGGCTAGTGCTGACCACGATTCGCATAATCCTGATGCCACTCATAATCTGGATTGTCAGCCAAAAGCCGCCCCCCCCCCCCCCCCCCCGGATGGCCTCTTCAGTCGGCGTAGGCTCTCTCCCCAACACCTCCGCCATAAACGGATGCGTAAACCCAGCATCACCGCTCGAAACACTCTCATACCACGACAAGACAAACCGGAAGAACGTCTCAGGTTCCCCACCCTCACCATCCGTACTCTTCAATCTGACAAACTCATTCGGCGAAACCAATTCCACCTGAAGCTGCCGGCCCGTCATGCTGTTGATCACATCAACAACACCAGCGAAGGTGAGAGTCTTTTGAGCGGTTAGAACAACAATTCTCTTATTGTAGTCTTCTCCAGCACGCATCATCAGCCTTGCTGTTGCTTCGCCGAGCTCGGATCGGAGGGTAAATGCCATCGGGTCATCGGAGAGTAGATAAACTGTTGATGTGCTAGGGTACTAGCCCATCCAAACGGGGAAGGTGTCTGCATATTGACCTTGGCGAACAGATGTAAAGTTGAGGCCGGACTTACTATCAAACCAAACTAGCCCAGCTCCACCTGAAGATCTGTCCTGTGGATATTCTACCCAGTAAAGTGTAACCTTGGATTGACTTTGACATGGCTCATCGAAATCGGTCATCTTTGTAACATTTCCTCGGTCATGAGATGGCCTTCCATCAAGTTGATCTTTCTATTGGACTCCAATTCACCGACCTAAAGAGATGTATACCAAACATGTCCCACCCCCATTTCCATCGCAGCTCCAACCACATTGACAGTGGCATGACCGAAGTCCGAGTTCCATCAAGCTTCAAAACTTCCAGTTGAGATTTTCTGGGGAAGGTAACTTCGAAATATCTGGGCAGTAACTACTGTCTAAGCCAAATCAATGGTGAGAGTTTTATCAGGAAAGACTACGAGACTCGATCGTCTAACATTGTTATACCGAGATTTACTAGCAATTTATAGATCTAATGGTACTGGAAACAGCCAAGAAGCTCAAAACATCATGTACATATGCCCCGTCAGTCGGCTCTGCTTGATGATGCTTCCAAAATTCGCCTGCAATCCTGTTTATCTCTCAAAAGCCCAGCATCATCTCTGCCTTGAAAGCAAGACCAGTAGAACTGAACATCATCTCGATCTTCAAGGATATCCGCCTCGGAAGCCTCTATGGCAGTGCTGAAGCCGTCATGACCCAGCACAAAATCTATAGCGGCCCCAGCAGCGAGTAAAGCCTTGACACATGCTGTTTGCCCCCAATATGAAGCGGCATTCAGAGCAGTCCCATACCTGCCGGCTTTCAAAGGCAAGTTCAAATTAGCTTTCTCTTCGACAATCAAGTAGTTGACGATCTCGATCTGGCCCCCAGCTGCAGCTGCAGCAAGCGCACTCCCAAAAAACCCACCCTGAAGAAGCAAATCAACAGAGGCGCCATTCTCTACCAAAAATCGAGCCACCTTAAGCCCGCCCCTAGATGCAGCGGCTGCGAGTGCACTCCCAAAAGCACCATTCCGAAGGGGCAGATCAACAGAAGCGCCTTTTTCTACCAGGAATTGGGCCACCTCAAGGCTGTCACCATAAACAGCAGCTGTGAGTGCACTCCCATAATCTCCATCAAGAAGCAGATCAACAGAAGCACCCTTTTCTACCAGGAAGGAGGCCACCTTAAGACTGCCATGGCATGCGGCGGCTGTAAGTGCACTCCCATACGGTCCATCAAGAAGCAGATCCACAGTTGCACCCTTTTCTATCAGGAATTGGGCCACCTCAAGACCGTCCTGGCATGCGGCAGCTGCAAGTGCACTCCCATACGACTGTCCATCAAGAAGCAGATCCACAGTTGCACCCTTTTCTATCAGGAATTGGGCCACCTCAAGACTGTCAAAAAATGCGGCAGCTGCAAGTGCACTCCCACACTGTTCATCAAGAAGTAGATCAACAGAAGCACCCTTTTCTACCAGGAAGGAGGCCACCTTAAGACTGCCATGGCATGCGGCGGATGCAAGAGCACTCCCACAATATCCATCAAGAAGCAGATCCACAGTTGCACCCTTTTCTACCAGGAAATAGGCCACCTCAAGACTATCACCATATGCGGCGGCTGCAAGTGCACTCCCATCATTGTCATCAAGAAGCAGATCCACAGAGACACCTTTTTCTACCAGTGATTGAACCAGCTCAAGACTGCCACGGCGTGCGGCGGCTATGAGGGCTTTCCCATAAGTCCCGGTAACATCAACAGAGGTTTCATCTGTCAAAATCGCCAGAAGAGCATTGAACATTTTGGCTCTGTCTCTATCTGCTGCTTTTTCAAGTGCATTGCCATATTCGGATTGAGCTAGACCAAGAGATGTGCGATTATTCAGCAAGAGATCAAAAATCTCACGGTGGCCACATTCTGCAACAATTGACAGAGCAGAACAGGTGCCATGGCAGTAGTCAGTCATAGCGCCGCTTTCCACAAGCTTCTTGCATATTTGAATAGATCCAGCCTCGGCAGCAAGATCTAGCAGGCAGTCTGACTGTATATTCGTGGACGAGGGAGATATATGGCCACTGTCCCACAATTCGGTAAATATACCATTGAGCCCAAAGCGACAGATCGCAAGAACGGGTAAAGTGGATGGAGATATCACTTTGAAAGATCCGACATTAAGGTAGGAAAAGATCGAAGTTCCGATGCGGGTAAAATATACCCTTCCTTCAAAGTCCCTTTGGATGTGTTCATGCCATCTTTGATAGACAAGTCCGCTCTGGTTTGGAGACTCCAGAAAAGTTCTCAAACGTCCCATCAAACAAATGTCTAGCTTTTCTGGTGGTTGAGTTATTCGTTCGTAGCACTGGATATGGAGTGGCCAATGGTGGCGACAATATTCCAGGAATTTATCATCATCTGGAAAAACAAGTCCACCTTCATTAACCGTCGCATTTATGCTTGCGGTCATTTCTTTGGATTCAAAGCATTTATCACTCTCTTGCTTCCCATAAGCTATCATGAGGTAGCGCAGGCAAACAATCCCAGCGTAAGTGTGAGACTTCTGCAAACTCCACAGCCCCTTCTCTTCGGCATATTCCGCAACACTGGCATGTGAGAATCTCCATAGATCCCGAGAGTCGTCGAAGACGACCAGATTATGACAAAGGTCCAAGAGTTGATATTTGCTGATCTTCTTGTGCACGGTATTGCTGTCGCCGCCGAAACCGACTCCTGTTAGGAGTATGTCGCTCGTCAAAGGTGCACGTGAGCACATGATCCACATGAATGCGCGATCAACAAGCTCCTTTTGAGACTTTCTTTTGGAAATGATTTCATAGATATGTTCATATGCCTTTGGTAGCTCTGTAGGCATTTCTTCAATGCCATCGAGGACATCTTCTGGCATTTGACAAGTCTTGAGATTGGCCGTTTGCAAGAACACCCATTGAAACCTACTATGTTTAGTATGTAGTATACGTCCTCGGTGCAGAGTTATGTCCAAAAATAAACTTACATGCCATTGCTTTTCGCTAAAAGCTTTTCCCTTATCTCTTTTTGCTCTTCAATAGAAAATTTATTCCAGTGAGAGAATTTAGGGATTTCCTGGTCAATGAAAATTTCGATATCTTCGCGAACATCGGAGTTGTCAGTTTGGATAATGGGATGCTTGATGAATCGGTTTTTGATCTCGCTATCTGGACGAGCGGAAACAAATATCCTTGTAGGATAATCCGTGTGGGACAAGAGAGAATCAATAGTATCCAATAGGATCGCTACTGCGCCTTTCTCGCATTCGTCAAGCGCATCAATAACAAAGGTGACTTGGTCGTACTGTTGTAGAGACTTGGGGAGTTGTTGTTTGCAGGTTTCTATAGGAAGTTGAGAGGCGTGGTTTCCCATCTCCTTGAACAGAGCTTGAACATCTCTGTGAATCTCGTTGGAGCCCTGGGTTGGTGTTGCTAGTTGGCGAAGAAGACTTCGGATAACATCATCCGGGTCTTCGTATTTCTCTTTACGCCGACAGTAGTAGTATACTATTCGGCCTCTATCTTGGCGATGTGATTTATCAAGTAGATAATCGATGACTTTGGATGTCAAGACCGTCTTTCCAGTGCCCACTTTAATTGGATCATATTATTAAGTGCCCGCAGCACTTCCAAAGCCAGATAAAACTTACTGGTTCCTTGAAGCCAAATCAGTGCTGGTGATGTGCTCTGTTTCCAATCTTGGAAACACTGATTTTCCAAGATCCACTCACACGTGTTAAGTGCTCGATTCTTCTTGAGTTCAGCATGTCGATCAAATTCCTTCGTTGGGGAGATCCAGTCAAGAATTTTTGATAGCTTCTCTTCATCCAGTCGCTCGAAAAGCTCGCTAAAGCTTTTTTGAGCAAAGCTGTCAAAATTATGGAACTTTTCAAGAAACTTCACAACACGGTCATCGATCTGGACAGTAATTTGGCTTTGGCAGATTTGAGTAACTTCTGTTAGGTGAGAGTAGGATTCTTTCAAGTCTGTGACCTGATCTTGGGTTTCTTGATGGTTCAAAAAGGCGAGGAGCAATCGTTTGGCCGTATTCGTATCCAATTGCTTTAGTGCATAGCTCAGAAGCTTCAACGATGCAGCATAGACCTGCACTAGGGCCGACCGAAGGGATTCCCGAAGCTCCCCTTCGATTTTTCCAAGGTAGATCTCTTCATATAAGTGCCCACAACTGATTGTTCGCACAACTGTCTCTGCAGTCATGAGAGCGGCACCGATTTCTGCATCTGCATTGATAGGAACCTAAGATTCAATAAATAAATGTAGCTCTTTGTCAAAGCTAGGCAAAACGTACCTGCATGAGACCTTTGACCAAAGGCCAGACAATACTTGCCGGCTGGGGTAGGTAGTTGACACCAATATCGCCGGCGGTACTCAGGCAAGAGATGATGCTTTTTGTGTAAGTTCTCGGCTCGATTTCATGACCATGAACCTCAAACTTCCAGCGTCGGTCCTTCCATTCGTCTTGATTTTTCTGAGCAATCGCGATGAGTATTTGAGCCCCCTCATGGGGGAACTTCATTGGTTTTGTTGTCGGATCGGGTTGTGTCTTTGCTTCCTCTATTATGATTTGAAGCTGCTGCCGCTCTTCTGGTGACAGGCTTTGGAAACCCTCATCCCATAAGTCATTACTATGGCTCGTAGAGTTGGATGTCAGAGTCGCCTCCTTGTGAGGCTCTTGGATATCGCCGGTTCCTACTTCCTTCAACGCAGAAGGAACAGCAGAGGCTGAGGTAATATTTGGTTGTATATCTGAGACATTTGTAACGGCATCGACAGACTGATGACCTTCTAGACAGCTCGATGACGAAAGAAGAATCGAAGAAGGAGCTACCGAGGAGCCGGCGATCGTGGGTCTAGCAATCTCTTGAGAAGAGTGGGATCCCAAATCCTCAGTGGATGTGCCTTCCACCCGATGTGACCGATGGAGAAACCTTCCAACCAACACATCTCTTTTCTTATTTTCTTTTTTCCCCTTGGCTTCCTTGTCTTTCTTTGTTCCCTTGTTCAGATGAAACAAATCATGATACCCCATAATGGAGGTTGGAGGAGGTGCTCAGACAATGATGAGTGGAGGGGTAACGATTGGGCATCGATCGGCAAGACCTCAAGACAGGGATTCGAGCCTGGTGGTACTTCTAAGTGCCGTTTGGTAACAGGGCGCTAGAATGTGGATTTTAACATGCTTCACAAAATCGTTGGGTAACCCGCGTGGTGGGAGGAAGATGAAGATTTGAAGCCTTCAATCCCGAATGCCAGATACAGCACACATGTGGACCTGTGTACAGTTGCCTTGAAGCTGGAAGCGGACCAGTCTCGTAGCGCCATGTTCAGCCGCTACGGCCCGCTAGCGTGACGTGGCAGAGTGCGTGATTCGATCAGGATGGCTGCAGCTGTCTGGCTTCTCCGCATCTTGAGAGGTATCTTTCATGGTGAAGGGCCGAGTATAAGTACATGAATTAAGACAGTCTAGTGATGAGATGGAATAAAATGTAGGATAAAATTCTGAAGCATTGATTTCAAATGGAAAATGTAGGCAGGATTTTAGACCGCTGGGGTTGGTACTCAAGTGCTAGTAGACTATGTACAGGTAACAGGATGTACTTTTTCTTGTTCCTGCAATCTTTTGGCCCCTCAATCCTTCCAGATATCAGTGATCAGTCATCCATACATGTAATACTGTATTCGCTCTACTACAGTCTTCTGCCTATTTTAGATTTATTCAAGCTAGCTCAATAATAATTTCATATATGTTTGACTTTACTATTTATATTCGGCAGACGGAACGAAGATATACGGGTACATGCACCATATATACGCGGTGGAAAGAAGAATCCCGACTCATGCAAAGATCGAAACAGCCCCCCGTCTACCCCAATCCTATCTGCAAATCCAAGAGAAAGATCTAAACAATCACAACAGATGGGTTATTCGGTACAATAGATTCTGTCTAACATTGTAAAACGTGAGACGTTTATCCGTTGTACCCAACGGCCTCCAGCTCCTTGCGGACAACGTCCTCGGTCTGGATCTTCTTCATCTGGGTATCTTCCAATTTCTCGCCACCAGCAAGACGCATCTTGAGCTCATCGATGGCGCGAATCTTCTTCAGCAGACCACGGACCTTCTTATCCTGAGCCGAGGGGTTGAGATCCTCGGGCTCGGGGATAGGAGCAGGAGCGGGGGCGGCAGGAGGGGCAGCGGCAGCCTGCTTAGCGGCACCGTTGCCATTGGCGGCGGGACCGTTCTTGCGGGTACGGTTGCGGTCAGGGCTGGGGCCAGTGGGAGCGTTAGGGGGAGGCTGGTTATCGGGAACACCGTCTTCACGAGCCTTCTTGGCAGCCTCACGCTTCTTCTTGTTCTTGGCGGCGGACTTGGACAGCTTCTCGTCTCCACCGGCGGGGAGGGGAACTCCACCACCGGGGGCGGCACCGGGGGGAAGGTACTCCTCAGTGGCATCGGCGCCAGGGACCTCGCGGCGGCGAGGCTTGCCGAAGCCGTTCATGCTGGCGCCGGGAACGCCATCACGAACGAAAGCGGCACCACCTTGGTCCTCACGCTTGAAGGCAAGAGGAGTCAGCTGGCCACGGGCACCTGGGGGACGGTAGGCACCGGCGGGCTTGACGGGTGCCTTGCGAGTAGCCAGGTAGGCAGTGGCGGATGGGTGAGGCACGGGCAGCTTGGTGAAAGGATCTCCCAGAGGGATCTGAGCAGAATCCTGAGGACGCCAGTTAATGTCGTACAGCTCAGTCATTTCTTCGTTGTACATGAGTCCACCGCTGACGTGCCACAGACGGACGCCGTTGTCAACACGCAGACGCGGGCTGGTGGTAGCAGTCAGGATGAACTGACCATCGGGCGACCAGGAACACACACTGGCATTAGAGGCCTCGACGGTAGTAATCTTGTGATAGTTCTTGTCCAAATCATAGAGATCCATCTGACCAGCGAGGTTACCGAAACCGGCAACCAGAACAAAACGGCCGTGGGGGGAGAACAGAATGGTATTACGCGGGCTCAAGGGGAAATCGTGCTTGGGCACACCACGCATGTTGAAAATGGTGGTCTTGGCGGGCATGTAGCCATAGACGACACCAAACTCCTTGGAGTTGGGGTTCCAGCTCACATCGTGGATGGGACCCTCTTTGTCTGATGGGGAAGTCAGCCTATCTGCAAAAGTCGCCTTCGATCATATTCACGATACATACCAAGATCAATTCGAGAGTCGAAGGCACCATTGGCACTGAGCAAGTACAAGGTGGTCTCGCCGTAGTAACTCTTACCGGTGCGGTCCACCTCGGTCTGCGCCAGTACGATTACGGTAGTACCGGAGGCATTCCACTTGAGCTGGACCTTATCACCCTTGAAGAAGCTCTTCTGCGAAACCGGCGCATTGAACTGTGGCACAATGAACACCTTAACTTGGGCGGGCTGGCCCTTGCGCTCAGGAATAAACACCGCAATCGAATGGGTCTGTCCTGGGGAGAGCGCAAAGTCCGCCACCCCCTCCACGCGCAGCTTATTCCAAACGGTCGACAAATTGTCACTCTGGTAGAATTGGACCTCGTTGGTCACAACACGGGCGCACAGCTTCTCGTCGGGGGTGTACTGCAGGTTCCAGCCTGTCTGCGACTTCTGGACGTACTGGCCGACGATGGTGTTTTCATCATCAACCGCGCGCCACACCTTAAGGTTCTTGGTAGCATCACCATTGGCGTCCTTGGTTGGCCGTTGCCAGGTGATCAGGTAGGTGCCGAGAGGCGAGAAGCCCAGCTCAAAGACGTTATCGGCGGGGATCGTGGAGACAATGTTACCGCCATAGGCGTCAACAACGGTGACCCTATTAAACGAGACTCAGCTAGGTTCTAAGACAGTGTTCTAGACAAATACACAAACTTACCTTTCGGGAGACGCCCATGCGTAATAACGGCCACACGGCGAGTATGCACCGCAGCGGAGGTTCCCCTCAGGTCTGCAAATAGTCAAGAATCAGTAAATTGTTCTATCTTTTAATTGTTAAACATAACAATCTCACCTTTCAAAGCCCGACAAAGGCTCATAAGTAGGGGCGGCATCCATGATGCCGATTCCCTTGAGAGTGCGGTCTAAAAGGCAAGTCAGCACGTGTCTTTGGGGGGCGTTTTTTTCTGGACTTGTCATAGGAGAAGGGTAAACACACAAGCTAACTGCGTAGAAGCCGCCATCTTGAATTCAAATAGCTGGGATGAAGTTGCCACGAAAAGAGTTCTTCAAAAATAAATCTGGATTCCAACAAATAGGAAGCCCAGTGTATATTCCTTAAATTCCGTTTTCCCGATGGGAAGATTGTATGCACAAGAGCAGGGCAAACAAGACAGTCCAAACAATTCAGACGAGTCTATTTGTCGCGACTTGGCGAAAACGCGACCGCGATGAGAGTCGAAGGTAAACGGAGGAAATTGGATAGATCGAGCTATGGATGGAAAAGCTCGAGGCAAAGAAGTTCAGATAAGGCTGAATGAAATCAGTTGATGTGGCGAGCCGATGAATGTCAGGTTTGAATGTCGAGATAAATCTCAATTGGAATGCGGTAGGGGCAGTAAGATGTTCTTGTCGGAAACTTCTTAATGTTCTATGCTAGACAAGTCAATGCCAGCAGGGAGGGCAAAGCCGAGGGGGAGGAGTGGTGGAGTTTGAGGGGTTGGAGGTGGGGAGGATGAAGAGTGAAAGAGAAAATTCGGGTGTTGCGCAACGGCATCAGCTCGAAGGCGGCATGCCGTCATTAGGCCTCGGAGCCCAGCCATGACTTGGAATACATTTCAATCCTCTTCTACTTGATGTTACACATTCAATAGTACTATATACTAGGCTTAGAGCATACATCTTTCAATGAGGAAAATTGAATGGATTTCCTTTTTTTCCTCCTTCGCTCTCTAGTACTTTCTAGGTTGTACTGGGGTCTGTACAAACATAACGGTCAATTCCGTACGGTTTTCGAAGGTGACCGGTTTTAAAATCCAGAATATATCTAGTTGCTCTTCTTTCTTTCTCTATTATGTCACTTAATACCGTGTATTCAAAGGCTTGTATATGATATTCTTATGTATTATTTGCTGGTTGATCCCTTCACATGTGTAGTAAAATATAGCTGTTCTCTCTGGTTCTCTCGTATTCGGACTAGGACACATGCATCTGGAGTACATACCAGTTGACTAAAGTACTGAGCATATGATGAAATACACTCCCATTGCTAATCGCTCACCAATGCCCATTTATCTTGATGCATTCCAAACTTTTAACGACCAAGGCTTTTAATTGACTACTGGGAAAGAACTCTTACTCAACAAGAAACTACTATGTAAGAGACAGGTTTTCCATGATACATAACGCCACGTAATACCTACATGTACAGCGCAAAAGCCCAATAAACATGAAAAACAACTTTCTGAAAGAAAATTGAAAAAGAAATTGCTCATCTGCACTGCAGAATCAAAAAATAAAGCAAAAGAAAAATCTCGTATCTGTCGTGTCCACCATTGGTGGTGTTTGTTGCCTTTTTTCCCAGAATCCGCCCCCGCATAGAAAACACATGGGCCCCGGGGTGAGGGACTCAGGCCTGGCCGCAGGGTAGGGGACAAAGGAAACTAAAAGAAAATGACCAACCCATCAATCCCTCGAAAACACAAAAGAAATGCAAAAAAAAGATACAAAGCAAACTATCCCGTTAAAATAACGCCTTCCTAAACTCTTTCCCTAGCCAATCAATTGACTCTTCGCATTCTATTCACGACTTGGGGTCCCAAAGCCACCAGCACCCTGGTTGGACGGCGTAACAATCCGTGGCGTACGAGCAGTTGTGTCAACCACATCCTGGTCAAAGGTCATGCCATCAATCATACGCGCATCTCCCGAAAGAGGCTCAGGGGTACTAGAACCAGCAGGCGAAGGCGACATCATCGGGTCCTCACCAGTAGGGTAATGCTGCTGCTGCTGCTGCTGCACGTAGGACGCAATCGGGTTAGAGCGATTGAAGTTTGAGCTACCCATGGAAGTCGGGCGAGCACCGACGCCACCAGAGGACAAACGATTAATGCCAGCGGGACGCGAAGTCGGCCCACTGATCGTGCTGCTGGCGCCCTCGCCGAAGCCGACCAGGCTAGCATTGCCCTCGTCACTGAGATTGCCTACGCTGATATCGTCGGGGTCCTCGCTCATCTTGTCGGCGTCAAAGGCATCGCTGCCGCTCGCCCAGGTTGTGTGGGTTCCACCGATGCTGCCTGTAGCGCTTGCGCTGCCCACGGTGCTCCGTTCCTTGAGGGCTGCGAGGCTATCGAAGTAGCCGCCGGAGGTGTGGGGCGCCGGGAAGGCGGCATTGGAGGGCGACTGGCCGCCGGCTCGAGCGGTTGCGACTCGTTCCAGACCGGCTAGGCGGGAGATGCGATCTGCGCGCTCTGCATCTAGGGTGTTTGTGGAGGAGATGGAGGCTGTAGAAGAGTGGTGAGCGTGTCGGCCGTGAGGGAAGTGGCCCTGGTGACCATCTTTGATGGCTGTAGTCGACAGCGCAGACAGTGAGGTTGTGCCGGAATTGGGAGTGCCCCTGTCCACCAAAAAACCACCCCGCCCAAGGTCAGTCATCCATGTCTTATTGTGCAATATACATTGAACGACGGAAGGGGGAAAAGAAAGCTTACGGTCCCATGTCTGGAGTGACGGGGTCCGAGGGAGGAGGTGGTAGATTGATAAGAGTGGGGGTCGACATTGTGTCAAGATGCAATGTTAGTACAATGGATTTGGAGGGTCGGTTATCAGTAGAGTAATCAAGCTGAAGTAGGTTAGTTGGAGATGTAAAGAGAAGAAGGGAAAGATGTGGGAGAGAGAAAGGAAGTGATGATCAAGATTGCGGGGAGGTACAAATAATTTGTAGGTGGACCTACTATGAAGCGGATCATTTTCCCTTTTCTTTTTACGACGTCATTTTGCCCACTCCCCCAAAACATCCAACATTTTTCTTTAATTACAAGATTTACAAAATTCACCGTGGAAAAGAAAGAAAGGAAAATTGAAAACAATGGATATTCTTCATACATTCATACACATGAGGTCACTTCCTGCTTACTGCCGCAATGTTCCATTAAAAAGAAATTAAAGGAATAAAGTTCTTGCTCTACTCGCTGGCCTTGCGACTCTCATAGTTTCCACGAAAGTCATCCACCTCTTTCTGCAGTCGCAAAAGATCGGCCAATATATCTTTTGCATTAGACGGTTGAGGTAATGGCTCATCTGTAGTAATAATCTGTGACACGGGTCTGCCTTCAGAGCTACGGGCACCTTCCCGCGCCCGTCGAGGGGGAGGCGGCGGGGGTGGCGCCACCGAGGAACCGCTGGCTATATTACCATAAGAGGACGTTCGTCTTCCAGGCTGGGGTGGTTGTGAGTTAGTAGGGGGTGATAGATGGCCTACGCCAGCGGAGGAAGTTGACGGGCGAACGTCCCCAGGGGACCCTGCGGACGTAGGTGGAGGCATGCTCATGCGATTACGATCTCTGGAGAAAGATCGCGCAGAGATAATTGATGGACCGGGACTTGGTGGCTGAGATCCATCGATGTCTTCTGAATCTGGCGAAGACAAGGCCAATCGACTGATATTCGACTTGGACTCATTGGACTTTGACCGCATTTGGCTTTGCCGTCTGCCAAGAGGGGGTGGTGGCGCACGCTTATGCTGAGAGCCACTGCGCGAAAGCGTCTCATTTGAACCTGTTGCAACTTGGCTTTGTGATTGAGGAGAGAAGTAATCTGGGATTGGTGATTGGACTGAGCTGGCATTGGGAGTGACTACTGGTTGAGAAGTGGCCAAGCTCTCCGGCGACGCGGACTGGAATGAAAGTTGATAATCAGATCGTGACGATGTCGGTGATAATTTTGATGCCGATTGTGAAGGTGGTGGATTGGCTGCAGTACTGATCCGTTTACCATGATGGCTTCTGGGTGGCGGCGGCGGTTTTTTGTCTCTATTGGCCCGACTGGTCGGACTTGTGCTTTGTTTATGTTCATATACCGCAGTGGGCCGGTTGAGCGACGGGGTAATATCTTGGTCGGTACTGGACGTTGTTGATCTGGCAGTTGAGCGCTCGTCGTATTCATTTGTGGTCAATGGACCTTCGGATGGGGGGGTGGACGATCCATCCGTGGATGGAGCTGAGTGTGGAGCAGACCCAAACGAAGGTCGGGGGCGATCACCAGGAGCTGAGCTCTTGGAGCTCTGAATATTATCATCATCTTCCGTATCGCTGACCGAGGAATCTGGATTGAAAGGGTCTGCTGTTTGCTCATCTGAGGAGCTTGAGTCATCCTCTTCGATCTCCAACGACAGCGACGACTTTCTGGGGAAATCAGGCACCAAGGGAATCGCTTGGGAAGGGCTGGAGGTCAGGCTTGACGCCAACGTATTCGTAGGTTGAGCTGTAGAGCCCACCGCTGTGGCAGCACCACCTATTCCACGGCCTCGTTAGTCAACTCAATGTCGTTTGAGAGGGGGGGTTGAGGGGGTGCCATGTTGGGCCCATGTCTTATCGGGATGTGGCGGGTACACACGTCCAAGAGGCATCATTGAGGAAAGAGAGTCGGGAAGAGACCACTCACCATCCAGATTCCTACGAAAGGGATTGGAAGCAGACATTGTGACGAAAAAGGGCGAGGGCTTTCGTCCCAGAAGATGGAAGAGGGGAGAAAGTCCCCCGCCGAGCTTCTTGGGCCATCCTTACGCGCCGCTTTCCGATCGAAGCGTCCGGCCTCCCCGTGGGCTGCAGTCGCGAGCCCAATGGACTGCAATCAACTGGTACAATTTACGGGACTTTTTAAAACCGATGCATGGCCAATAGGAAAATTTCAAAATTTGCAATCTCTTTGGGGGGTGACAGAAACGAATGATCTAGATCACATCGAACAAAGAATCAAAAAGAATGCTATATAGTACAAATGCATGGGGCATAAAAACGGAATCGATCAGATTCCAGATAAAAATGAAAGAAAAACCTCCCAACCGATCCCAAGATCCCCGAATCCCCTGTGCTTGATAAAAAACATGTAAAGAAGATAAAAAACGCAATCAAAATCAAAAAATCAAATCAATAGAACCCACGAAGGACTTCTGTTCACTTGATCACCGCTCGTTATAGACATGCCATGCCTGCTCATCTTCGAAAAACTTGGAGGCCAGTCGATTGCCACTCTCAGTTGGTTGACTGAAGGCAATCTTATCCTTGGAGATCTCCATGCCATATATGTAATTGCTGACCACACAGTCCAACAGGTCAAGCGCAATCCCCTTCCTTCGAGACGCTCCAGAGGTCCAGATTCGAGATACTCCCACAATGGCCGGGTGTTTCTCATCTTTCACCGATACTGAAGAGCTATTGGTGCCGTTCTGTTCCCCGAGAATAACCGGTTGTGATTCCCAGATCCGCTCCGTAAGACAGAGTCCCACGCATCGACTATCCTTCATATGCAGGAAAACCCGGTATCGATCGACCTTTTCATCTTCATCGGGAGCCTTTAGATGATCGGGCGCCTCTGTTTGACTCCAGAGGACTTCTTCGTCAATCTCCGGAGATGACAACTCCTTATTCACCACCTCGAGCACTCTTTTCGCTTGGTTCTTTGCACTGGGGGATGCCTTGCGGTCCACAATCACCACGTAACCCTCTTCGAATCGTGTCGCTTCATAAACCCAACGTGACGCATTTGCGCGCATGAATGCCTTGCCCAGATCGACTCCGGTCGAGTTCATCTCGTGGAACTTTTTATGCAGAGCCGCATCCTCCGTGTTGGATGGGATATATTCCATACCGCACGTCGCACATGTCTTGCGCACCTCATTTCCTAAATCAATCTGCATTTGGCGTAATGGAGCCTGTTGTTTCTGTGCTACCTTCTGCTTTGGCGGATCCACGGAAGAGCGTACGCTGTTGGAGTTGACCTCCGTCAAGGGCGATCCGGTCGCGACATCCTTATGTTTGCGCTTCAGGAAGGCAAAAGCTGGTTTGCGAGTGTTTGCGGGCGGAGGAGTTAATCGGGGTGGTGGCGAGGAGGGTGGTGTGGTGAGATCGTCGATATCGTCCACTGTGCCTTCAGATAACACGACGGAATTCCGGCGCGATGGGCTGGATAAGACGGCGGCGGAGGACTCGCGGATCGCGTATTGAAGATTGGTTTCGGCCTCATCGGACTCATCCAGGACGCGTCTTTTTTTCGCGGCTCGTTCATCGTCATAGACGCGCCATGTTGGTCTTCCGTATGTTTTCATCAGGCCTCTGGTGGGGGTTGTCAGTTGAAAAGTTACGCGTTGGATTTCGAATCAACATACCGCTTAAAAGAATTGGTGACTGTCCACGGCATCTCCCTGGAGATCTATAGGTGTATGGTGGGGGAGAAGATGTTTATTCTCTGACACGGGGGGTTTTTTTGGCAATTTACAGCGGATCGACCGGTTCCACTGCACGCGTGGCGCTAACTGGTTTAGGTCATATTGTTTAGTGTCAAGGTCAGGAATCAACTCACTTGTATCCCTTACTGATGCTGGTAAGCAAGTTCAAAGTGAAAAAGACGAAGCTGGGAAGCTGAAAAAGATGGATGATCATTCGTCTCTTTTTGTCTTTTTCTCTCTTTTTTTTTGCTCACCCTTAACGGTAAGAATTGTAAGGCGTAGCTGGAATGTGGAGAGCTTGAGTTTATTAAGTGTAAAGTTGCTCCCGCCAAAAAAAAAAATCGCCACCAATGAGTTATTACGGGGATAAGATGAGATAATCCCTAATCAATAAAAAGGAGAAAAAAAAAGGAGAAAGAGGAAATGAAATCCAAGATGATTTGTACGAACGGATGACTCTTTATGGCTACCTAATCGCTCTAAGCTGGGATACCTGATTCCTGAATGCCTGGTAACTATCCCGGTCTGGTATGCCTGGTGGGACAGTGGGATCTTTTCCCTCCCCCTTTCTACTCTAGCAACCAGGAACATAATGAACAAATCATAGTCAAGTCATAGTCAAATCAGCGATCAGCTATTATCCAACACCCCCTGATGGAACCAATCATCAGACTTTGGGTACAAGGCCACAGCGCAAAAGAGAGATTAAATGAGGATTTCGCCCCCGTGTAGCCTGGGGCGAGGCTCTCTTGTCTCCTGAACCGCCTCGCTGGTGAATTACTCATACTGGCTTTCTTCAAACAAGCAAGGTCAACGCTGTGTTCAAGCGCTGGAGGAGATTAGAATAACGATCAACACCTGCATCAACTGCATTCTCCCACTTCGCCTCTTTTTTTTTGGAATTCTGTAACAGAAGATCGGAGAGGCTGGGCCAAGACAGGAAAGATGTGACTTGACTCATGCTGATTGGATCATGATGAGTTGCAGAGATGGACTGATCAGGAACACTGATTGGTTTGACCGTTTGAGGTTGGGACATCCCTCGGGGCCCCCCAAGACTCCCAAGACTTTCCCCCAAGTCTCTTTTGCGGCTGGTTACGAAGTCCAATCTGCGGCTTCCTCCAATAGAAAAAAAGGGAATAACTGTCCCCCCGGATTTGATGGTGCAGGGCTTGATCGTACAGAGTTCAGGGAAAAAAAAGATACAAACCAACAGAGTGGCGAAATTTAAGGTCCAGGGACGTGGAGCTAGAGCACAGGCCAAACTGGAAGCCGCGAGGGGGATCTCTGGAGTCTGGTCTGGATTTCTCTGAGGAATTTCTGATCATTCAAGCTTTTTGATGACACGAGCGGATCAGCCCTTAATTCTTTAGGACCAAAAAAACGTTCACGCGCCTAACGGACTGAAGCCTCGTACCACACCGGGATTTGGCCCCATCCCTAAGGATCGCCCGGGCGCTACTCAAGCCTGTGGATTCCAACTTGACTGTTTCGATCGCATTCGATGCATGACTTGACCTAAAGTTCCATGAGCAGGCATTTGATTCTGGGGAGAAAATCAAACAGCAAATAAGTGACAGATGTGTACATCGTTACACATGCACATGAATGCAAAAGTCTGGACCATCACACTTGAAATGTTGCAGCGTATGAGATCAATAAAATTCGGTCATTCAGACTAGTCAGTTTGTTGCCACATGTAATTTGGTCTCTCTTAACATTGTACTCCGTATCTGCCAGTGATTAGCTTCGGATCTTACTCATGATTCGGGAACACCGGGCTTTTCACTTGCATTGCAACATCGTGCAGGGTAAGCTCGGAGACCGGAGTCCACGCTTGGAAGTCATGGGGAAAATGTGAAGAAAGACCGAAGTCGGTATGCTTTTTTTTTCCTTTGTTTCGGTGCATTGCAGGTCTAAAGTAGCTCAAGAAACTCTCCGGGTTCTTTTTTTCGATCAATGTGACTTATATTCAACAGAGACATTCCTTTTTCTGTTTCCTTTTTGTTCTTTGTTATTCATTCTCTCTCTTTCTCTCTTTCTCTTTTTCCCTTTTCTCCTCATATTGTCCCAAAATTTCAAGAGAACAAAGAAGAAAGAAAGAAAGAAGAAGAAATATACAATCGAGTTCTTTTGGTCCCGCTTTTGTCCCGCGGAACGATTTGGCGGAGAGAAAGAAACAGGCAGTTCAACTCAAAAATCTCTTCGAAACTTCATTCCCATTCCTAATCACCAATTCCTTAAATTATCTTCCACCATGTCTGACGACGCTTCAGTTGCAGGCAAGCGCAAGCGTGCGAGTATGTCTCTCCCTTCAATGTTTTGAAAAAAAAAAAGTTTTTCCCTTTCCCCCCATCTGCAGCATTCCCGCTTCAAGTGACTAGTTTGGATGGTCATTGGATTGGACCTTTAAGAACCTTCCAATGGCAAGGCAGAAGAACCTGACAAGGTACTTTGCCGATCTGAACGCAAGTTTTGAACTTTCCTTCCTCAACAGTGACGTTGCTGTGTCACCCAACCCCCGTTAAACATCTTTTCTCTCGCCCTTGCGTTTTTATTCGTGCTCGCAGCGACCCGCAGATCAATTTTCCCCAGCATGACTGACCACGCGCCATTAGGAACCCAATCTTGCCCCCCACCAGAGCTGCCCCAGCTTGTTGCCGAACAGCATACCGCCATTCCCTCCCACGACAAGGATACCCAGCGTTTGATTGTCATTCTCTCCAATGCCAGTCTCGAAACCTACCGGGCCTCCAGCGGCCGTGCTGGAGCCAAGGATGAAAAATACTCGCTTCTCAACAGCGACGAGCACATTGGTATCATGCGCAAGATGAACCGGGATATCAGTGAAGCCCGTCCGGATATTACTCACCAGGTATGAGACAAGACTGATGATTCTACATGGGTGTTGCAACCTGTGCTGTACTTCTTTTTTTCTTTACTGGTTTCTACAAACTTTTTTTCTTCTATGAAACAAAGCTTACCCATGTTTTTCTACAGTGTCTTCTTACCCTTCTCGACTCCCCCGTCAACAAGGCTGGTCGCCTGCAAATCTTCATCCACACCGCTAAGGGTGTCCTGATCGAAGTGAACCCCTCCGTCCGCATTCCCCGAACTTTCAAGCGTTTTGCGGGTCTTATGGTCCAGCTGCTCCACCGTCTCTCCATCCGCTCCACCAACTCACAGGAGAAGCTGTTGAAGGTGATCAAGAACCCCATCACCGACCACCTGCCCCCCAACTGCCGCAAGGTGACTCTCAGTTTCGAGGCCCCCGTTGTCCGCACCAAGGACTACCTCGAGTCGATTGGCCCCAAGGAGAGCGTCGCCATCTTTGTCGGCGCCATGGCCAAGGGTCACGATGACTTTGCCGATACCTTCAAGGATGACACCATCAGTATCAGCAACTACAGTCTGTCCGCCAGTGTGGCGTGTAGCAAGTTCTGCCACGCGGCCGAGGAGGTGTGGGACATTCTTTGAGCGGATCCGACTTGGAATTTCACGCGCGCCATTTTCCCTTTCTGCGTGCGGGCTTTTCGCCGTCTGCTCTGGCAACGCTTCTTTCTTCAATATTTTTTGTTTCTCGGAAGAAGGAAGCGGTTTTGCCATGAAGCCACGAATTTCTTTTGCGGGGTTTTGGACCGGTCCGAGGTGACGGGATGCTTTCTGATTTTCTCTTGGTTTTGAAACATCTCAAACGAAGATCTAACGCTCCTCTACTTTGCTCTCGTTAATTATGTTTTTTGAGACCCTTTGAACTGTCGCAAGGGCATCTTACCAGCATCAATGTTTCTATCCTTTTTTCTTCAACACTTAAAGAGGGCTTCTTATGCCCATGGATGATTCTGCGTGGGATGCTCGGATTGCTGACCCAGACGAAATTCATCTTTTCGTCCTTGGGAGACCCAAGAGACACTCGGACTGGATGGCATTTGGTTCCTTTTCGCCATTCAGTCCTGATCCAGAGCTCTTCCATCCACAGGTCCCCCCGTTTGACTGTGGCGATGAGACCAGAAAAAGTGAACAGCATACATAGATCAGGAGCCTTCTTTCTTGGCTCCTGAAATCACATACGGTATCGAATTGTAATTCGGTTTTTTATGGTCGTTTTCCTTGTTTAAGCCTGTAGATCTGATGGATTTGTAGTAGTATTTCATGATCGAAAGGGGCTTCGTACTTTGTATGGTCATTATTTCATAACTCAAGAGGTGTTCCTAAGCCTGTTCCAAATCGCCCAAGATGTTTTTGTTTTTGTTCTTACAACATTGAAAGGGGTTGGGTTTCTCGACGTGGCAGACGCCTCACTTTCTGCTGCACGACTAAAATCGGTGTAGCTAATCAGAGGCGAAGATTTCCGCTTCAATCCCAACTAAACCTGCACGCCTGCCCAGACCCGCCTTTGTGTGCTCAATACACAGACTGGTACACAGTATGCCTTTTTACGGAGTACGACGGAGTAATGCTAGTGTATGGCCATCATAAGATTCTCATTCACTAGTGAGTCATTTGCGAATAAGAATTTCGGAGTTCTGTACAGTGTTATTCCCACCCAATACTCACCTACTAATTTCTATGAATAGTGGCGGTCAGGAAAGAAGCCCAAGCCCCCAGGAACAATGGAATTTCCTTTCTTACCCTCCTACTCCACTGCCCGCCTCACCATTTGTCCAAGAGAATAGCGAGCTTCTCAGAATTTCAGAAATACCCGCCCCGCCACTGCAAATGATCCACACTGGGTCCCCGCGATGACCTGGCCCTCTTGGGATCCGAGCGGCTTCGGGAGTGGTTAAGCTCCTTGATTGAGAATCCACTTGCATCTCCATACCTATCCTCACCGAATCAAGCTAAGGACCTGATTCGATGGCAAGGATGCCATTTGGCTCTGGGAAAAGCCAATTCCCGTCGCCAAATTCCAGGACCAAGAGGGCCAGGAAGTTCCAGGACCCTCTTTCTCTTCTCCGCCGCCTGCCACGTTCAATCCCAATACTGGTTATCGGAGCGTTTCACCTTTTCCCGACGTGCAGATCGCGTCTTTTTTTTTTGGGAAATTCCATTTCTGAGAGGGAGGGGACTTAGGGAGACGATCGATAGTGCCAATGTCCTGATGTGTTTTTTTTTCTCGCAGGGTCCCACCGGAACTTATCGTATCGGACCACGCATCTACTCCGTAGTGGGATTTGACTTGGAATGAGGGGCCCAGTCAGGCTGGGGCTTGCCTTTCTCGGACGACTGCGGTGGACGGATGACCACAACTTACACGTACCTAAGCTTGGGCAGCTTTTTTTTTCCCTCTCCGTGCTTTTGTTCGCCTGCGTTGGATTGGCTAATCGTTTCTCTTTGCTCTGTCCTTTTTCGGTCCCTGGCATTGTACATCGCTGTGTCATAGTTCCTTCATGTTATAGGGTCCGGTTCCCTCACCGTATATAATATACCCTTCTTAAGACTCCCTTGTCCCATTCCTTTCCTCCTCATCTTGACTTTGTGTCTTGACCCATCACAATACTTTCCCATCTTATTCAAATCATTTTCTGAAAGTTGGACGTGCCTGTACGCCTGGCACGTTGACTTGGTTGCATTTCTTTTCGCAGATATGCCCGTCTCGCACTTGACCTTGACCGTTTCACACCTTCCGACCTCAACCTCATTTTTCTTATCATGTCTCCAGCCACTCGGATACCAATTTATTGGTCGGCATGACGACTATATAGGTTTCGGTCAGACGCAGGGGGAACCTGCTGATTTCTGGGTCACGGAACGGAAACCAGGGTATGTGATATCCGACTATACGATGTATAAAAAAGACAAGTCACTAATTTTCATACTTCAGAGGTGCTCCTAGTGCTGTTCATGTTGCATTCCCAGCTCCGGACAAGGACGCTGTGAACGTATTTTTCATCTCCGCTTTGAAGGCGGGTGGAAAGATGCATGCTGAGCCCAAATGCCGGGATACTCAGACAGGCTACTTCAGTGCTGCCGTGATCGACTTGGATGGCAACAGCATCGAAGCGGTGTACCGGCCAGGTGCCTCAGTCGTTGCATCGGAGGCTGGAGGACCGACCATTGCCTTGCTGGAGAATGGATCCGTGGTCTCCAAGGCTTCCAAGACTAGCAGAGCTACTTCGGTGAGATCTGAGAGCATTGCGCCCCCCAGATCGGAGGCCAAATCTCGTGCACTCACCAGAGCGCCAACCAGTGTTGCGCCAACTTCAGTTGCACCAAGCGCTTATGGGCGTGAATCGGTTTATGAGCGCGAGCGTTCTGCCCCGACAATGGTGTCTCGTGCACCACCACCCCAATCTCAATCCTACACGGTCCACACGGTGCAGACCGTCCAGAAGCCGGTCGATGATGGCAGCAAAGCGGCGAAGACAATTGTTGGTACTCTCATCGGTGCCGCAGCGGGCGCGGCAATCGCTTACGCGATGGTCATGGGTGACTCACAGTCCTCTTCCGACACGAATACCACCAGTTCTTCGCCGCAATACACGCCGGAGCACCACCAGTTGATGGGACCCCCATCGCAGGTATCGCAGTCGGAATCCGAACAGAGGTATCGGGCCCTTGAGGCGCCTCCAACGCGCAGTGTCTACACGTCGGCATCAGGCCCTCGGTCCACACTCAGCCGCAGCCATACCTCCAAGAACCCACGTGCCAGTACGATCTACGAAGGCACCGAGTTCTTCGATGACCACGGCCGCCGCGCCTCAGATGGCACCGTCTTCAGTATCCCCGAGGACAAACCCGTCCGAGCCATCGAGTACCCCACCTCCGCGAACGGCTGGCGCGACGAATACAGCCAAGCCCCCAGCACCTTCATCAGCAGCTACGCAGCGGACAAACCACGCGCAGGCAGCGTGCACTCCGTCTCCACCATCAAAGCCCCCCACGGCAACGGCCAACGAAGACACAGTTCAGACGACAGAGACACATACTCCACCCACAGCAACAGCTCGAAAGCCCACCGCGCGGCTTCCTCCCACAGCCACAACAACCACGGCACCAGTCAGCACCACTCGACCCCCAGATCTGTCAAGGACAAAGATGGTATGGCCAGTATTGCTTCTTCTATCCGTACTGCACGCAATATTCCACTGCCCCAGGGTTCTATCGCAACCTACTACTCTGCCACTCCTAGCCATCATGGCAAGTCACATGTTTCGGCTCGTGATGTGCCACTTCCTGACAGTGTGATTGATCTAGATGTGAACTCGCACGTCACACCGGATGATTCTATCAGCCAGATCGGTCGCCCCGCTCGGTCCTCACACCACTCCCACCACTCCAAGCACTCTAAGGCATCGAGACGTACGTCCAAGTCTAGGTTCGAGGATGAAGTGAAGCCAGCTGACAGTGTGAGCCAGGTGTCGCGGGCCTCTCAGCGAACCGTAAAAGCTGAAGAGATGCAAGCGGCGTCGAGGGTTAGTAGCTGGCGAAGCCAGGTTGTTTAAGGGAGATTTTCCTATACATAGATTGATATTGTTTCAACTTTTGCATCATCGGTTGTTTTGCTGTTTTTTTTGTTTTGCATATTTTTTTTCTTCACCTTTCTTTTCCCCTTTTTTTTCTTCTCTTCTCTACTCTTCTTCTTTTACTATATTTTTCCCGTTTTGTTCTTTGCATTTGAGGGTTTCGGTTCAACAACATCAACATATAACACATACGACAAATACGACAAATACGGTGCCCAGGCGGTTCGTTCCTCTTAATTATGACCGACGAAATTAGAAACATACATACTACACATATACAGGATTCATCATTTCTGGAAATTTTTTCTCTTTTCAAAGTTTTTTGTAGTTCTCAACCCTTCAATTCGTACGATAGGTAAAATTCAAGAGCAGACTGGGCCTTGAATACATATGATGCAACTATCACACATGTGTGCATGATAGTCCTTTTTTGAAAAACTTAGCAGGTACATTATATACTTAGTCTTGACCTCGGAACTCTAAGTCTCCGAGTCCTCCCAAATTACATTCCGTTACCACCCAGACCATATCCATGCATACAGCAAGAATTTGGGCAACAAAACACAGAAATCCAGAGATGTTGGAGCCTACAGGTTCCGTTGTCAATGTCAAGCAGCCAGGCCCAGGAATACCGATGTAGATATGGTTAGGGCTTTATTGGAGGCTGGGGCGAATCCTCATGTTTTAGAACTTATCGCCGTGGTGTGCGCATACTGGTATAGGTGATGTTACGGATGAGCCAAGACGAAAAATGGTTGACTGGTCGTTATTTAGTGATATCTTGCATGATGGTTTGATTCAATGTTCTTATAGAACCAGGCTTTGTTGAATCATTGAAGTGATGCTGTGGCGGTCGAGTATGTGTAAGAACTACTAGTATGTTTTCTCTTGCAACACATCTTGAGGGGTCTATAGACGATATGAGGTTGATCGATATTTTAACAAGCATTAAAACCCAAAGCTGTTTGAAGTTGGTATCTACACATATGACTTTGTGTTTGATCTTGTTTGTTTCAAGTGTTTAGGTAACGCCAGATTTTTTCCGTGATTTATGCCACCGATAGCATAATCTAGGATTTTATCCGTACTTAGCCCTAATTTTGAGAAAGCGAAACAAAAGGATAAACAGAAGAGAAGCAAAGAAAGGGAAAAAAGGCAAAGAGTCCCGAGGGCAGAAGATGATTGGTCCTGAAACCCCGCTTCATGCGCCTCTCAGCTGGCGTCTATAGTCGCAATCGCAATGAACAGGGGGGATTTCTACCATTTAGCTCTAGACTCTTTAAGCCTCTTTCCCCCTCTCAAGTCTCGAGTCAGTGATGGGTCTTTTTTCTCTTATAACTCAATTCTCAAGCTATTCTTTCCCGAATCATTTCTTTTTAAGATTAAAAATTGCTTTCAAAGACATTGTCCTCACCCTCTGGACCCGCAGAGCCGCATCGTAGGTACATTTCCAAGGTTATTGTATTCACATCAAACACTCCCAGACTAGCACGACAACAGAAAAAAAAACCCCCCACTAAAGGCGCAAAAGTAGCCCAAAATGCCATCCCTAGAGACCCTCCCCCTCGAACTCTGGGACCTGATACTAAACCACATCATTCTCGCGCCCTCAGTAGAACTGAGCGGCCTCGGCGGCGAACTAATAAACCTGCACCAAATCGCCGGTCTAGCCTCCACATCCAAAACCCTCCAGCACAGCGTCTGGAGCTTCTTCGCCCGCAAGCCCTTCAAGCCCCTAATCCCAGGCTGGTCCTCCTTCGCCCACTACCTCGCGGACCGCGCCTTCGGCGACAGCGTCGTCCCCTTCTCGATCGCCATCGGAATCCTGCTCAGGCCCCGCTCCCCAGTGGACCATCCCACGCTGCATAACAGCGTGGCGGCGGAGCTGTTCCAGATCATGATGAAGGCGCTGCTGTTCTCGCGGGCGCGGAAAGCCGAGGCGCAGAATCCGTGCTTCACGCCGCCGACTGGGCCGTGGGATTATTCGCTTGAGCCGATGTCGAGGAAGGTGGCGGAGTTTGCGCCGAGCTGGGTGGAGGTCGTGCTTGTTGTTAAGTGTCAGATTGTGGCGTTTTATTTGGATCCGGGGTGGTTTGAGACGGGGGCGTGGAGGGAGCTGCATCGGGAGCTGGTTCAGAGGGAGATGCAGAAGATTGTTGCGGCTATCACTTATAGAAATACTCTGGGCCAGCTTGGTCAGAGGTTTATAAGGGGAGCTGTTTCTGAGAGGGAACGCTTTGGTTATGAGAGGGGAGTGGTGGTTCAAAATCACGATGAAAGAGGGAGGTTGATGGCTTCGAGCAGTTGTTATAATATTCACTAGGCCCTTCACTCTTTTTCTGTAAAAAAGAAATGAGGACTAGTGTTTACTATACCAAGTTTCTCAAAGCTGCTTACTGAGAGAAGGTGACGCATTTACTTCAAGTTGTTTACTTAAATGTGCAATGGAATTGAATGAACATCCTCCTCGTTCCCTTTCTGCATTCTCTTCTGGACTCTTTCTCTTCAAGTTGATCCTGTGCTCGCTAGACTATTTCAGCTTCTAGCTCATCTCTTCTTGAATTCAAGTCTTCTCATCACCACAATTCAAGATAACAGCACCACTCTCACCACAACAGATCCCCTCATCTTTCAACTACCCTTCAACCATCATCAGACACGTCAGACGACAACCAGTCCTACCTCCAAAGTCTAGTCAACATCCTACTCCCACCTTCAAAATGACAGTCCACCCAATGAAGATGGTGATCGAAAAGAAGGTCGAAGCTCAAGTCCGGGTACCCTCACCTCCCAACCCACCCTCAAGAAACCTCTATACTAACACAATAAACAAAAAAACAGGGCATGTCACACCTAGAAGCTCTCCTCCCAAACATCTGGCAACAAGTCCTCGACCAAATCATCCAATTCGACCACAACCAAATCTGCGGACCAAACGGCGACATAACAAGCCCACTACACCAACTCGGCGGACTAAACTTCGCCTCCAAAACAACCCAATACCGCGTACGCGCCTACCTATCCCGCAAATTCGACGACCGCAAGCTCAACATCCTCCGCCTGCTCGCGCGGGACATCACAAAGGAAAGCCGGCTCGCCTTCGCCGTCGCAATCGGCAGCCTCCTGATCGAAAATCCTTTCCGGCCCTGGATCCGCACCCTTCCAGTTAACTACGCGATCGAGCTCACATTTATTCTGGCAGATGCGTTTGACGATTGGAAGGCGGCGTGTTCTCGGATTGTTGGACCTGTTGGAACGAGACGGCAGTCGCGTGCGTTTAAGGCTCTGATGGATGGGGCTGAGCCGATTGTTGCGGCTAAGTGTCGCATTATGGGGGATCATGTGCCTGCGTCGTGGTTTTCGTCGCTGTCTTGGAAGGAGCTTGAGGCTGAATTGAACTCGAAGCAGTTGGAGTGGATTGCTGATATTCTTATGAGACGTCGGAAGGTTAAGAGGGTTGTCTTTCGGGTTATGAGACCGGAGGAGACTCCTCAGTGAATGTGTGATGTATCGCTGAAAGTTGTGCTTTTGGTTCATTTTTGGGCCCTGGATTACCCTGGATTACGATCAATTGATGTAGGATGAATGGCCACTCGTGTGTACGGTTTGGGGTTTGGGGTTTGGTGCTTGGATTGATGGATTGAGCCTCATTACCATGTGGATTTACACATTCAGCGGGTTGCAGATACATGTACTCCAGGTGTTCTCAACAGCAGAAATGTTAGTAAATCAGAAAAAAACTAGAATCACTTCAAACATTGACTCCCTTGAGATCTCATTTCTAATACTTCTCTGGGTATATATGACTTCTTCCACTCATGCTCTCTTCTTAATCTCCATAACAGGCGAGTTCGCCTTCCCTTTCGTAAAGAAAGCCCGAATATTCTCAAAGCATTCTCGTTCGGCCTTTTGGAACGCAGAATCCGTCAAGCCACCCAGATGCGGCTGAATAACCACCTTATCGCTCTGCATAAACCACGGATCCAGGGATGGCTCATTAACAAAGACATCCAGCCCAGCACGGGCTACCTTGCCGCTCTCCAGCGCCGCAATCAATGCCTTCTCATCAACAACCGCACCTCTGGCAGTGTTGACTAGGAAAACGCCGTCCTTCATAGCCGCAAACTCAGCAGCACCGATTAGATTCGTTGTATTCGCATTGAGCGGACAGCTCAGTGAGACAACGTCACTGGCAGCAAGCAGCTCGTGCAGGGTTTCGCAATACGTAGCCCCGTATCTAGCCTCGTCATCCGCCGACAGCTGTCTTCTATTATGATAGATGATCTTCATATTGAAGCAAGCGGCCTTTTTAGCAATATACTATACCAATCCAGTTAGCAGGGATACTCCAACAATCAAACAAGTAAGAGAGAATCAACTGAAGAAAAACAAAAGCACCAACCTTTCCAATGGCACCCATGCCCACAATCCCCAGGACCAACCCAGCAGGATCTCTCGCAGGAACAATCCCACCCTCAACCGGGGTTCTCCAAGTCCCATTCCGAACACTCCTCTCCGCATTCGAGGTATTTCTCAACACAGCCAGAATCAAAAACAGCGCCATATCCGCCGTAGCCTCAGCCACCGCATTCACAGTATTGCAAAACCAGATACCCTCGTCCGCCATCCATTGCACGTCGAATTCGTTGTACCCCGCACTAGCCGACACGATGATCTTGCAGTCAGGGACCAGCGCTTTCAAGAGGTCTTGATCAAAGGGCTCGTAGGGCGGGGTGCCCATGCGAATTAGGAAGGCGTCAATGGGCCCGTTGGCGGCAATGTCTTCTGGTAGCATCTTTTGTGTCTCGGCTCGGTTTTTAGCGTGTAGGACGGAGAAGTTGAATTCTTTCTGGAAGTCGGCGATATAGTCGGCTCCTGCGTATTGGGGGTGGCATAGGGCCACGACTCTTGGCTTGGGGGACATGATTTCCAGGTATGTGTTTTGGTTGATTTGATGAAGAAGGATGTCTATAGAGGGGGTGTCTAGTGGAAAATGCAGAGAGTGTGAAAATGGAAATGGAAATTAGTAAAACCGAAGGAGCTGAAGTGGAGTTACTTATCAAATTATACTAGTAATGTGAGGGGTCGGGAGAACTACTAGTTAACTAATGTATGTGAAAGTTGACTCATCGAAGCACGAAATAACACAAGATTACTAGAGGTATGATGAAGGTACATGAGCAGGTGGTTGAAACCCAACTTCCAAGTGTAAGCTTCTCGATTAACCAAGAATTCTCTAGCTTCTAACTACTCAATTCTCTTGTTTGTTTACTTGAGAAGAGCTCAATGATAAGTTGATAAGAGCGATGCCATCCTCCCCGCTCACCCCCGCTCACCCCGCACCATCCTCATTCATGATCGAAATCCACAGTCTTACTTTGAAGATATCACACCAAATACAAGACACAAAGCTATCAATGCTACTTCCCACGTATCCAAGAGCGAACCCGGCCAATCTACACCCATCCATTAGTCGTGACTTCCAACCATCAACAGAAGCGTCCAACTATGCCACACATACCAAGCCAACACTAACTCGATTCAGCCCTTCAATAATATCACGACGTCCATCATCCAGACTAGTACTGTTAAACAACCTCAAAGCATTCCGATACAGACCCGGACACTCCCGCGCGTAGCCTCGCGCGTCTTCCATGATCAAGTCGAAGACCGGAATCTGATAGGTCTCGCAGCATCCATCCCGGGTATTCGTACAAATGCCATTTTCGGCGCGTCCGTCCATATGGTATCGAGCGAAAATCGCATCACCATACCGGTGTTCTGAGATGGCAGTGCAATATTGTGAGGCATATGGCTCGGTCCTCGGTATTCTTTTGGTACTATCAAGGACGTCCGAGATGCGGAAATCGAGGAAGAGTTGTTCGGGGAGGGGGTTTTCTTCTGGTATCATCGTAGCGTGGACGGTGGATCTATGACGTTCTATACTGGATGAGATGCAGTGGCTCGGAGTTTACCAAGAAGCTAGTACGTGTAGAACCTGTCAAGTCTCAGCGCTAAGACGCTGGACTAAAAATAGCGCGGCTCAAAATGGGTGCCCTCGGGAGTCCACTTGGGCGCTTTGGTCGACTGGTTGCCTGTAACAGGCAATCATTCCATTCAGTCTTGGAAAAAACAGCACTTCGGTGGTTGGCATTTCAACCTGTCGATGTATTTTCAGCTATACCGTAAGCTAGTAGTTACATATGTAGTTGGCTGACAACGCAACATTGAATTACTTGAATCTACAATGAAGCATATCTCGAGAAGACGGGCCTGCCTGTATTGTGCTATCTGATGACAAGAAAAGAAATAAACCTCGTAAAAGTCCCCTTCCCTTAGGTACGACATCACGGCCCGGTCCCATCACTCCCATATCATTTTCCTTGGTCCGATTCGATCCGAGTCCACCCCCAAGCGTATTCATGTCTCAAGCAACAGGTTGTTTTTTTCAGAAGGGACAGCTTTCGTTAAGAATCATCCATGGCCTTAGTATACAGACACACCAAGACATAGGAATGAGCTTTCTTTTTTGGGGGAAATTTTGATTGTCTCAACAAGGGAAAGAAATAGTCCTCTAGGAGGGTAAATGCCCCTTGGAGAACAAAATGCCATGTAATGCATGAGAGAGTTGGTCATAAGGATCGTTGGGTATGATGTCCCAGAAACTAGCACACAAAACGACACAAAGCATGGTCACAAAGCATGATTTAGCCAAAAAGGAAGAAGACAGGTAGAAGAATAGACCAAAAAGATAAATAAGACTGCAAGAAAGGGGATCACAGCAAGTTTCTACACCCACGGGTACGCCAGGCTTAGCGGATCTGAATCTAACGGAGACAAGCGGAGATGATGCAGAGGTGAATGAGATTAGACTGGTAGGTCGTGCGGAACGGCAAAGGGGGTCATTGGTATTGGGCAGATTGATTGAGAAAATGCCGATCAAATAGCGTACTTGCGAGTCCACTCGCGGGCTGTGGCCTCGTACCGCGGACGGTCAGTCTTGTAGACATGCGCGATCTCAGGCACAAGTGGGTCATCGGGGTTGGGGTCTGTGAGCATCGAGCAGATCGAGAGCAGCACTATAACAATATGAGTTAGTATAACTCGTTTTTCATCGCAGTATATGGTTTGACATCGGTTTTCGTACCTTTCGAGATTGTCAGAGCAGGGCTCCATTGATCACGCAGGATGTCGAGACAGATGCTGCCGTTCGAGTTGATGTTGGGGTGGTAGATGCGGGTGGTGAAGTTGACCTTGGGAGGCTTGAATGGGTAGTCGGTAGGGAAGACAATGTTGAGGAAGAAGACACCTCCAGAGTAAGGGGAGTCACCCTAATGAAGATCAACATTAGTATCTATGTTATTTGCAGTCAAGTACTTTTCCACCGGCGGTAGGGGGTCTCGACAAGCGCTGAGGCTGAATGCCCAGGCCGTTCCCCTCCGACCGTAGTGGTAAATAGTACAAATAAACAGAGGGAATTTCCAACTTACAGGACCCATGATAGTTGCTTGCCAGTGGAACTATATAGAGAAAAAAAAATCAAAAGTCAGTCGTCTGTTATATATCCCACCATTCCTCGAAATGATCGACAAATCGGTTACAGCCCCGCCGCACGATAAGACTTTTGAGGGGTTTCAGGGCGACGGTGACCAGCTAAATAACGCGAACGAGAAAGAAAAGGGAGAATCATACCAGATCATCTCCGAGAGGACCAGCGGAGCAGGAGGAGGGGGGATCCCTGTGATATATGTTAGTTGATAATCCCGACAGATCTGGCTTAAGAGGGGAGTGCTTACCGTCCGAGATCAGTGAGTTCCTTGTTAATGCGCTTAAGGGCCATTTTGAAGATTGAAGGGGAAGAGAGAGTGAGAAAGAGAAGACTAAGATGGGGGTCAGCGGGAAGAAAATGAGGGGAGCGGTCCTGTTCCACGTACGGTTACGTCTTTGTGTGGAAAAGAAGAATGAGAATGAGAAAGAATAAAAGAGGGGAAAAGTGGTGCGGGTGGGCTTGGGTCGGTATTACCAATACGTGCTCCGATATGACACATCGAGAATGGGCCGGGTAAGTTTTATTCGGGTTACGTGAGGCCCCTGTAGCGCGGGGTTTGCCCTGTATTTTTGGTATTTTCTGGCTTGTTCCTTGTACTGAGGTGGCAAGTGGCTAAGCTTCGATTGCTAATCTATTTCTCACTACCGTATCACCTTCCATAATCGTTCATAAGATTCTCATAATCTCTTAGTAGTGATGACTGGTCAAAGTGCTTCTAATCCTTAGCATCCAAGAATACCCATACTTGGGTAATGAAAACTGCCCCTCGATGATGTCACGTGCGGGTGAGGCGCCGTTATCCCGATAAGGAAGGTGCCCTAGCCTGTTTATACTGTACAACGTACTAAGTGAGGTACTACTGAAAAAGGTCTCTTATACTAAATACTAGTTTCTTTAAGAGATCCTTGTATTACTTTAGTCATTGTATGGATAAGAATGTACATTGTTCGAGACATCTGGACTCTAAAAATTATTTTTTTTAAACAAAGGCCTGCTTGCCTGTAATGGCCCGGCCAAGGATCAATGCTGTGGGTTGAAAAAGCAATTAGTCTCGGCCCAAACCAAGCCAGAATCATTGGGCACTTACCGTGAATATCGCTCTGACCCTCGTACGTCTGCACCACAAACAGGTTGGCTACATGACGCCCGATGTGGTACTCATCGCTGGTGGCATTGCCGCCAAACACCTCTTGCAAGCTGTAACAGGTTAGTATAATCAACTCAGAATTGTTGGAAACAAAACAGAAAAACACGGAACATACATTCGGGAATTTTGCAATGCACGATCACAGTTTTGACGCTTAATCATTGAGATCATCTCCGGGGTAGCCTTTCCAGCGTCCTTGAGACGAGCCACCTGCACAGCCGCCAGCGTGCCGTAAGCCGCATCCGTGGCCGCATCAGCCAACTTCTTCTGAACCAGCTGATACTTAGCTAACGGATTGCCCTTAAACTGCTTACGCTCAAGACTGTATTCACGCGCACGAGCAAGACAGTCCTCCAGCGCACCCATGCTACCAAAAGCAATGCCCAAACGAGCACTATTCAAGCAGGTGAACGGGCCTGTGAGACCCTCAACATCGGGCAGCATGTTCTCCACACCAACGGGACAGTTGTCCATGTGGATCATACCCGTGATGGATGCGCGCAGCGCAGTCTTATTCTTGATAGCGGGAGTCTCGTAGGTGCCAGGCGGGCATTTGGATCGTTCAATCACGAATCCACGGATCTTGCCAGTGGACTCAAGCTTAGCCCACACCAAAGCCAGATCCGCGATGGGTGAGTTGGTGATCCAAGTCTTGCTTCCGCTCAAGAGGTATACGCCCTTCTGGGTGGGGTGCTCGCGTGCAACGGTCTCCATGGACCCGGGGTCAGAGCCATGATTGGGCTCCGTCAACCCAAAGCAGCCGGACACTTTGCCCGATGCCAGTCCGGGGAGGAACCGCTCCTTCATCTCCTCTGTGCCAAACTCATAGATGCCTGTCATGGCCAGAGAACTCTGGACCGACATGCCCGACCGGTATCCACTGTCGACACGCTCCACTTCCTTGGTGATCAGACCTGAGGCGACGGTGCTCACACCAGCGCAGCCGTAGCCCTCAATTGAGGCGCCGAGTAGGCCGAGCTCGCCCATCTCTTCGAGGATTCGTCGGTCATAGTCTTCGTTGCGGTAGGCCTCTATCGGAAGATAAGTGTTAGATTCATCCCATGAAACGGGAGTTGGAAATTGGGAGTAGACGAACCGAGGACGCGAGGCTGTAATTTATCCTGGCAGTACTGTCGTGCTGTCTCCTGGATTGCCAGCTCCTCTGGTGTGAACAGCTCCGATGCGGCAAGGGGATCCTCCCAGTTGAACACGGCGGATGATGCGTACCGCCGGTTAGCAACGGGACCACCAGCTTGTAAAGAGCGTGCAGCTGCACGCAGAAGTGAGCGGTTCATCATTTTGTGCAGTAAGAAATAAAAACTTTCGAGAAAAGAAAAACTAAATTGACAAGAGAGTGGAGAGTTGGACTGTATGATATCAAGAATGAAGGTTGCGGGGGAGCTTCCATCTAATATGCGCTAGTGACGGCGAACCTCGGCAATTAGTGGGCCACAAAATCACCGAGTGTGGGAATGATGTAGGCACATAGCTTTGCCGATGGAGATCATGATCACCCATATTCACGCCGTGTAGGGGGTCTTCTAAATTACAGTCTCCAATTCGACGGGTTCTCCGAGCCACTAGGGGTATTAATTCGGTGTTATTCGGTAATTTTGGTTCAGAAGCGCCGAGTCGACTCGGTCTCGGGCTCGGCGTTGGAATGTAGTAGTAGCATACCCACAAGGTAGGTACAGCCGGAGGTTTGCCCACGACATTTTTTATCCTGTGGGTACATATTCAATCCAATCTATAAATCATCTAGGGGCTATATTCATCTGTCATGAATTAATTATGTACAAGAATGAGGTGATAAAACAAGTTGGAAGAGGTCCAGCCACTATGCCGGCATCTGGCTCTGAAGAAAATCAAAGACTCCGGTGGGGAAGTAGTCTTCGTCGAATCCCCAAAGATCTGCCATCATTGGGTCTATTGATCCTTCAGACAACCCAGACTCAGGTTTGCCCATTACCGGCTCGAATCCGTTGCTTCGCTCGGCAGACAAGGGCGCCACTCCCAGTAACGGCGGGGGGTGGTTCAGTATAGTATCGCGCTCACCCCATATTTGAGCCCCTGGGATAATCACCGGCTTGAAAAGCGATGATGCTTCTTGCATAGCAGGTCCCATCGACTTCTGACCACCATTGCGCTTCTCCCACTCTTCCAGTCCAGTGAGCATCTTTCGTAACCCACGCGCAATGTGATGGCTCAGATGGCGTTCGCTAGCCCTTTCGCTGCAGGAGACCATCAGTTCAACGATACGTCCAACTATGGCTCGTACCTCGCCGATATCGACGTGCAATCCGGCCGAGGAAATTGAGTTTTTTTGGCGCAGTCCTGCAGGATTGGGGCCGTTGGAACATGCCTTGGCCGCGATCTTCAACAGAAACACAGCTGCAAAGGTGATCATGCTGTGTAGATACAGTGGAACGCCAACCAAGGCCAGCTGGATGTCTGGCTCATCCAAGACGACCTTGAGGGTGGCAATAGCCGACTCGATCGCAATATTGGCGCGCTTTCTGCGCTCCGGTGACATGGCTTTTGAAGATGTTGAAGAGTGATATGTGCGTAAAGCAACCGAGTTTAGCTGCAGCCGAGAGAAATTGTAATGCATGTCGACAGCTTTGTAAGGGTATCTGCCAACATATCGACTCCCGGCTAGAGATGCAGTTAGTAAAAACACTTAAGGACTCACGGGATACACTGACTATGCTTACTTAGACGATTTAGCCATGCTCCCTTCCAATCGATCAAGTCTAGATCAAACTGGTCGATCTTGGGGAATTCGCTTTCGGGTACTTCGAGATCGACGTCGGGCCCAAATGAAAAATAGATACGAGTAAGAATGATAAACAAGTCAACTTGGCTATGCAGTCGAAGGTCTCCTTGTGATGTTGATGGAGATTGTGCAAAAACATTGTGCTGGGTGATGCTGGCGTCCTCGTGGATGATTGGTGGTCGACCATATGCGATGGAAAAATGATGCTCGAGCGTCTTGGAATCTGTTAGCTTCTGTAATACAATATGTAAGAGTCATTTTATCCAGAACTTACATATAAGAGATACCATAAGCGAGCCTGTTCTTTATGCTCTGGAGATCCCTGGATTGCCTTCCGATAAAACTGATGCAAGTTGCGCTCTGTAGCAATCCGCACTGCGTAACCAGATAGTTTCCAGCTAACGTCTGCAAGCCAAAATGCCCCAATACATAGAGCGCGAATATCATCCAAGGTGTGATGATGTCCAAGCATCGACTCCGAAGCTAGTTTCGCAAACTCGGTGTAGCACGTGTCAAATGTACGTTCTTTGGTAGGCAAATGAAGCGCTGTCACGGCCAGGATAGCCGCAGACAGCATGGACGAAGACTTTCTGGCACTTGTCAAGTCTCTGTGTGCTAATAAAGCCCCATCCCAAAGATAACGGTTGAGCACAAGGTCAAAGTGTTCAAACAATTTCTCTGCTTCCTGGAGATCCATAACGCCGCGGGAGATGAAGTCGGTCACCAACGCTTGGTCGGGCGCATAATTTTGTCCGGGTGAGCCCTCGCGATTCTCGCTCAATTGTGTCACTTCATATAGACTACCCATCGGGGCGGTCACTAATGAAGTGGCAGAGGTCTCTTCGCGGTCCATGGAGTACTGCGGCTGGTGCTGTGCGAAGGCATAGTTTGAAGCGCTTGACCCTGTGCTTGGACCGGCGATATTTTCAATTGAACCATTCCTGCCATGATATCCCAACGCATGCCCAGCTTCATCCACCGATGCGATCGACTCTTTCCGGCGATTTTTCTTCGAGGGCGTCTCGATCGATCTACCTCCGGCTTGGTAGTAGGATAATTCTGGGAGTTGGGCTTTTCTAAGCAAGTCTGTCATGGCCAGCTCAATTACATTCTTCCATCTAATCATCGAAATCAAGTTAGCATGTTACTAGCTTTTATCCGGCGCAATGTACAAAATAATGATACAGAAGACTTACTCCGCCTCGTCCTCCAGCAATGTCTGCAAGCTCTTATTAACAACGCAGTCCAGTCCCATGCGGCGACATCTGGAGCAATCTTCCTCGCCGGTCTTCATATCGCAGCGAACCTTGTGCCGCTTACATTCTGTACATGCACGGATCCTCCGAGAGATCTTCGGGACATGTGCTTGCCGCGAATGATACTCCGGGGTGAAGTCACCTTGCGGAGAAGCAGATGATGCATCATCATTACCCTCAAACTGAATGCGATTCCGCTTCATGTTGTGATATTGACTCAACCTCTCCGCATGAGCAACTCCGGGGAAGAGGAGAGCGGGGTCGGGGATTCTCGACCGTTTAAAAGTTGTCGCCTGAGGCACCAGTGGATCTAGAAGCCCCGGTCAACGCCCGGTCACGTGGAAGGGCCCTCTTTGGAACTGCGCTAGTCCTTGTTAGGTTTAATTATGATGCGTCGGCGCGTTCAGCTCCAAACGCGTCTTCGTTCTTTTTATTCTTTCAGTGAAGTTCCCCAAAACCCTCCAAAGTGATCTGGTTTCGATATTTCTGAATATCACCCTCAGCCACCAAAATGGGTATCAAACGTCAGTGAATCTTGGATACTGCTACTCTCAGGAATCTTATCTGATCATAGTATAATAGACCTATTCCAAGTGATCTCCGAAAATGCCCCCGATGCGATCAAGACGGGCGAGATCAAAAACCACTTTGGCCGCAAGGTCGCGATTGTATGTCCAATATCCATGGCCCCCTTATTCACTCACTCCTAATTATCAATGGCTAATCAATTCGTCTCTCCTACAGGATGCGTACGTCATTGACACCAGCTCCAAAAGCCAGTACCTCCCACTGACACTTTCGCAGATCCATGAGCATCTACAGTTTCCTTATCGCCGTGCGCTCCGAGGGCCAGCAACTTACGAATGAGAGTGGTGAGACAACTTCACACTTGATGGGCATGTTTTACCGAACTCTGCGAATGGTCGACAATGGTATCAAGCCTCTATACGTCTTCGACGGTGCTCCACCGAAGCTCAAGTCAGGCGAGCTGGCAAAGCGTGGTGCCCGTAAAGCCGAAGCTCACGAAGCCCATGAGGAAGCTAAGGAGACTGGTACCGCGGAGGATATCGAAAAGTTTTCCCGACGCACAGTGCGGGTCACGCGTGAGCACAATGCGGAGTGCAAGCAGCTTCTAAAGCTGATGGGTATTCCATACATCGATGCGCCTACTGAGGCTGAGGCCCAGTGCGCCACTCTTGCGCGTGCGGGTAAGGTCTACGCCGCTGCGTCGGAGGATATGGATACCTTGTGCTTTGAGTCTCCCATTTTGTTGAGACACTTGACCTTCAGTGAGCAGAGGAAAGAGCCTATCCAGGAGATCCATTTGGATCGAGCGCTGGAAGGCCTTCAGATGGACCGTAGTCAGGTAAGTTGTATCTCATTTGGGTGATCTCCCGGAAGTTGTAGCTCATCAAGTCATATGATATAGTTTATCGATCTTTGCATTCTGCTGGGTTGCGATTACCTCGAGCCTATTCCCAAAGTCGGACCCTCGACCGCTCTCGCACTGATCCGTGAACACGGTACCATTGAGAAGGTGCTGGAGTTCATGGAGAAGGACCCTAAGAAGAAGTTTGTTGTCCCGGAGGATTGGCCATACCAAGATGCGCGTGATCTTTTCGTCTCTCCGGACGTACGCGACGCAGACCACCCCGATTGTGATTTCAAGTGGGAGGCCCCGGACATTGATGGGCTTATCGCATACCTAGTCACTGACAAGGGATTCAACGAGGACCGCGTACGTAACGGTGCTGCGCGATTGACCAAGAACCTGAAGAGCGCGCAGCAGTCCCGTCTAGAGGGATTCTTCAAGCCAAAGGCACGCACTGAAGACGAAAAGGCCAATCTGAAGCGGAAGCACGAAGAAAAACTCACCAAGCAGAAGAAGCAAAAGAAGGATGATGCTAAGGCGAAGAAAGACTTGAAGGCCAAGCCACGTGGCGCAGGCTAACTTCCCTGCAAAACCGAATACTTTCGATCTGTACTCCTTTACGCATTTTTCTTATTTGTCGACTCGATCTTCTACGACCTTGGCGCTGGCGTTGCATGGGCTCTTCTATTTTTACGTGCGGGGTTCCTCGCATTTTCTCATCTCGTGGGGATGACATCGTGAACTTGGCCTCGACCATGACATGAACAAGCATATCATACTCCCAAAAAAGAAGCAATACTTTTATGATTAGAAGGTTTATCACGTAAACTTGTATTCATTCCATATGATAAAATCGGTATACTTGGCTGTGTGGGCCTAAGATCAGGAAATATCGGTGAAGTAAGGGACCCATTTATCCTCACTTTTTTACTGATCCTCGCCTCCACATGGCAGAAACCAGATTCAATCACGTTTATTATGATTATTCTGGTTGCTTTGAACATTTTCTCCGAATAAATAATCGCGTAAGACGTTTTCGTTGTGCGATAGACCAACTCCATTCTTGGTACACTTGTATAGATCGTCGCGGGATAGGCGAGATTTTACAAATGAAGTAACATCGAGTGATCTCTACCAACAATGTTGCAATGATAAATAGGAAAATCATATGATACTCCCTTTTCTTATCTGAATTGATTTTTATATTTAATTTTCTAAATAATGGTCGAGGGGACATAGGATCAAGATTATGGGTGGGGAGCGCGTTGATTCGATGCTGTTGCAACATCGGACCAGAAACCTCTTGATCCCCCCTCCACCTTAGACAATAGAACCTCTTTGCCCATGTAAAAAATGCTTGAATAACACCTATTAAGGTATTTATAATGGTCGAACTTTCATACTTGCCCCGAAAAAAAAATTGTTTGGTCTCAAAATTTTTGTAGCTGTAGTCTGTAAAGTCACATGTACCTAGGGTAGGGAACTGGACCTGATCAAGCCGAACCCGTTGGTCGGATGCACGGGATTAACAAGTGGGTGCGTCAGTAGCGATCAGTGGATATCGATGGAAATCATTCTATACTGTTTTTCCATTGGCTGTACGTATATTAATCCCCATGACCAGGGGCTAAGGTGTTGGTTGTGAGTCTAATACGGTATGTATATATTGGGCTACATCACTCGACAACTTCCACCCCGTTTGCCACCCGGTGAGGCAGCATCCATTTTATTCACCACTAAAAGAATTATTTGTGGGTAAAATGATTGTATATTGTTTACTCAAGTAAAAATAGATTTATATTATCTTTATTAACACGTACAGTAAAGCAAAAAATAAGACTGTCAGCTACGATAAGAGGTTGATGCATCGAATTGGATGCGGAGTTGAGGTTACGGGATATCAAAGGGGCCGAATTAGGGTTGGGTTTTGCACAGGACCTGGGACAAAACGCAAGACGAAACATTCCATTCGAGTGAGCTTTCAAAGAGCAGATCGTCAACTACAACGCATGAATCAAAGTCAAGGAATCATCAAGTCCCAAAGTCAAGTGTACCATGGATTAACAGCAGACTTGAGCGGGGCGCTGCATGACAACACACCTCGTGACGCTGCAGGTCCGTTCAAGCACAAGCAAGGAGACGAAGCTTAGAAGTGGGATTAAGTATATAGCGATGCACAATAGGAAGTATATGGAACTGGAGCACGCTACATATCCATATCTCAGATTAGAACGTGTTCCATGCAGGACTTTACCTGGGCTTGACCGTTTGCAGACCAGTCCTTATTTCTATGTTCCAGAAACGCGCAGGACACAGGAAGATCAAATTCCATACAGGCTTGCACCTTTCCAACAAAGTAATTGGAGGGGGTGATCTTCTCCGGTCGCACTGGAATGCCTCTAGAAAATCCAATTTAACTATTTCTCAAGTTCCCACAGGCGAAGATTATGGATTTGTATCCACTAGTGTAGAAAGGTCCGGCTAGACAGAGACTTAGAAAAAGGTGCCGATGCGCGATTTCTTCTACTCATGTCGGATGTTTAAGCTTGGGCTTTTATGCATGATCTCGAATAGATTTACACTCCTAAAAGGCTCTAGTCCTGAGGGCCGAGAATGGGCTTTCCCGCCATCTGGGGGAATGCGCGTTAAGTTCAAGCCATAAGATGAAAAGACATGTAGAAGAAGGATAGAGAACGCGTGACTGGTCCTCCAAGTTCGACAAGATCAACAGGATGGAATAAGAGTGTAGGATAAGAATCTCTTGATTAGCTATAGAATCATAATACTAATCATTCATAAGAGCTAAGATACTTGAATCCTTTGCAAAATAAAAAGACAGAAGTATAAAAAAAAAGAGGAAAAAAAAAAGCGAAAAGGGCGAATTTTGGGGGGTGATCTTGTGTCAACACCGGCCGCCTATAAATCACGGATGCCCCGCCGGCCTTTTCCCACCCCTTCCGCTGCTTTTTCATTTCTATTTCTCCCACAACAGCTTCTTTACTCGTTTACTAACTTGTCATATTTCAAACCTTTCCAAACTTCTTTCTTCTTTTATACCCTCACATCCAAGCTATATCACCATGCCTCCCAAGAAAGCAACTGCTGCCGCCCCGGCCAAGAAGGCCGCTCCTGCTGCCCACACCTCCTACCGTGGTACGTTTTGTCTGATCTTTAACCACCACCACATCGCGTAAAAGCGAAATGGATATCTTCTGCGTCGCCTACATTTGCTGATTCTATTGATATAGATATGATCAAGGATGCTATTGTCAACGTGAGTAGATCATCGTTATCATTCCATCTTGTTGTGATGGCGGGTCGCGCGCGCCCGACCGTGACACGTCCAACCGTTGGGCATGGCCAACCACCACTTCAAAATGGAATCAAATTAATATCGTTCTGTTCATTACTGACTGGGCTTTTGGAAAATAGCTGAAAGAGCGCAACGGTTCCAGGTATGTATTTGCGTTTCCCCACCGGCGCGACCAAGGATTCTTTGGTCGCGTCGGGTACCTTCTCTTCACTTTGCAACCAGAATTCTAACGGAACTTCCCCCTCTTTCTAGCCGCCAGGCCATCAAGAAGTATGTGTCGGCAAACAACAAGATCACCTTCGCATCCCAGAGTGCCTTCGATGCCCAGTTCAACAAGGCTATCAAGTCTGGTGTCGAGAAGGGCGAGTTCGTCCAGCCCAAGGGTAAGTTTTTTCCAATCCTTTGCGCCTTTGTGCGCTTTTCCATTCCACATTATTGGAATAATCCTGTCTTCCTGAATCATGCCCATCAGCATGTTATTCAACAATTCATTTTGCTGCAATTTCGATTTTGATTTTATTGTTATGGATTTGCTGACGCGTCGCGTGCCAGGCCCCTCCGGACCTCTGAAGCTGGCTAAGAAGGAAGCCAAGCCTGCTGCTAAGCCCGCCGCGAAGCCCGCTGCTAAGGCTAAGCCTGGTCCCAAGCCTGTAAGTTCAATTGTTCCTGTCTTTAATTCCATTGCCTCTTGCTCACTGTTTTCGTATAGAAGGCCGCTGCCCCCAAGGCCGCTGCCACCAAGAAGGCTGCTGCCCCCAAGAAGGCCGCTGCTCCCAAGGCCGCTGCTACCAAGAAGGCCGCTGCCCCTAAGAAGGCTGCTGCTGCCCCCAAGGCCAACTCTGGCAAGGCCCGCAAGACCAAGACTCCTTCCACTGCCGTATGTTCTTAGCCCATAGTTTTCATCTTTGAAAACTTTCATATTACAAGTAACTAACCATATCCTTCCAGGCTCCCGCTATTGTTGAGCAGCCCAAGATTCTTGGAAAGACCAAGTCTGGTCGTGTCACCAAGACCACCGCGCCACCGGTCAAGGCCCCCGCTAAGAAGCGTGTGGCTAAGAAATAGAGAATGGTAGCGGTCTTTTTTTTTGACCCTACGATGCCCTCTCATTTCACGTGCGCTCTTCCGGGAGGGTCATCAGGGTCCCCGTTTTGTGCTTTTTTCTTTTCTTTCCCATGTAATTTCTTTCCTTCGACCTGTTGATCTGGCGGTTCGGAATGGGTTTCCTTTGTCTTGGTTCTGGGATATCTTCGTTATGATGGCTTGGCTTTTCCTTTATTATTTTTTTTGTTCTGCTTCCACGTCGAAGGGATGGCGTCTTGTGGTGGGTTCTCAATGGGGAAATCGTTTTGTTCATTTGTTTGTCCATATCGGATCTCACGAAGATGTTCGTGGAATTGCAATCTCTTCGATCCGAAAGTGAATCTGTTCCAGTTGGTTTTCGTAGGGCAAAATCGTATTATTTACGTAACAATTTTTTTTCTCTCAAGGGGGAGGCTTTAACTGCGCTAAAGGGCTGTGCTAAGCCTTGCACAGTGTCATCTGGAGTGGTCTATGGGTTTGATTTTCCGTTTAATTGAGGGATTCGAACTTGTAGTTTCATGACCCCGCAGGTTGAAACCAGCGTTGCTGTGGGAATGTTTGTGATGATAACCAGGTTGATCACTGCGCCACCAATTGTCGGAAATTATTAGCGCTAGATTTATTGGTCACAATCAATCACGGGGATTTTTATTCTTTTTTAGAGTAAGGGTATGCCACTTCGTTTATCTACTAGTAGTATTTATCTGTTCTATGTACTCTATGCCCTACTAGTATAGTCCAAAACATGTCCTATGTAATGTAACACTTTGCTCTTATCTCCCCGGATTGGGGCCAATTGGGCAAGGAGCTTCAACATTGAAAGATAGTATAATATCGGGAATAAACGTATAGTTTTGCTTAAATTTGACAGATAAAAGGGAACATAGAAGCTTCAAATTTTAGAGTGCATTATTAACAATCTTATATACTTAGTAACTAACTAACTATGCATAGGAGTCTTGTAATTCTGGCAGAATCAGGCATCACCAATATGACTTCACCCACGAGTGGAGTGGGCTATTTTTGAAAGCACGATTGAGCATTCAGGGGGGAAATCACACAAGAAAAGGGAAAAAAAAACCCTGAAGCTTACTCCGTTCAGAACCCCTAAAGAAACTAATTTCGGTTTAGGAGAAAAGAGGATCCAATCTATGTGTCTCGACTCTCTTGGTGTTGTTTTTTAAGGAGTTTGGGTCAGGGACAAATCCCCCCACAAAGGTCAACTTAAGGATTCCCAATCTGAGTTAAAAATTTAAGTATATTAGTAGTCTTCTATATGAGTTAAGAGTTGGGATATAGGCAGCCAGCACATGGGCATCAAATACGGTGTACGGGGAAGTACGACGTCACCTACTCCTTGCAGATGAGAGGGGGGGGTTTTATGACTATGATGTGCTCAGGCCTTGCACTCTGCATAAATCATAGAAGAACCTTGGAAGTTGGGACTCAAGGTGGGATATGATTTGGGATATATACTCAAGTGCTCTAAATTTATTTTCTATATATTTTCATTTCATAAAATTAAGAAAGTTGAATAACCATCGGCTTCCTCCGTGCAAGTCCCGAAGCCTGTGTTGTGTAGTTGTGCAGCTGAATAGTGGAGTCGTACACTAATTTACTAAACACGCAAGTTCCCTTTGGTCTTTTCTTGCCCCGACAACATCTCCAATCCGTTCCCCCCATCCCTCCATTTCCTCCCACTTCTGCTCGGGGAATTATGTGCATCGGTTGAAAATTCCCAAACCCTTGCCACTCCCGGGTCGCATTGCGCTAGGAGAAAACGTGAGGGAGAGAAACGACAAATCAGAAAAACCACAACACCCAGCCCTGGCCTCTTGTTCTACGAACAGCTTCATAACCCACTACCTCCCTCCCCTCCCCTTCCTGTCGTTTTGATCCGCTGGAACACGGTCCGGTTCTCAACTTTCCTGTCGCCTCCGCCAATAAGGGTCATTGCCGTCACCTCGGGTTGCCGGTCCACGCAGACCTCACGTCACCCCGTTTCCCTGGGAAGACCAACCACCAAGAAAAAAAAGGATCACCCAGAGAAAAAAAAATCCCAAAAAAAACCATGCCGTCCTTCTCCAACGATTCATATCCATCGGCAACCACAACGGCTACCACAACGGCCACCCACCCTCGCTCCTTCGATTCGCCTCGCAAGTCCCACGACAAAGCCTCCGTTGGTAACACCTTCCTGTGGACCAACTGGCCACACCCACCCACAGGCGACGCAAATCACGACACCCATCAGAATGACCGGCAATTGCTCACGGATCTGAAAAACGGCAGTGCCTACTCGCTGAATGGCCGATCGAGCATCAGCTCCTACACACGCGAGATGCCGCACTCCAAGGACGGCAGCATACATTCGCTAGGCAACGGTTCCGCCAGAGATCCTCGGGATCCTGTCCGGCCATCTGCCATGCTAGACCGGAAGTCATCGGACGCTGGACCTGGAGCAGGCTCCACGACAGTGTCGATTCCAAGCCACCAGGTCAATGGCACGGCCCAGGGTCAACGGTACCCGGTCCAGGGGAAGCCGATGACAAATGGCGATATCTCACGCCCCTCCGCCGACGAAACCGCCATGTCTGATATGGCGACCAGCCCCTCAACTTCATTATTACAGATCCCCAATGGCGAAGACTCAGGTCGTCTCTCCCCCGATCCGGATCGGTTGAACCCGGCTTCTCGACCCAACCCCAGTCACCACCGCTACTCCTCCCCACCTGTACCTGTCCCTTCCATGATTGATGCCGCCTCTATACAAGAATCCCAACAATCTAGTATGCGACACCGGCACTCGCTGCAGGTTCCGCGTACTCCGAGCGTTCGTCGGAATAGTCGGGATCAGGGTGAGGATACTGCCTACAGCAGTGGTCGATTATCCCCCACCGTGGGAGGAAACCGACGTACTTCACTTGGCCTGATCCGTCGCACCACAAAGTCACAGTCAGATCCGCTTATGGATGGAGCACCGCAGGATGACGAGGCGGCTCGGTGGGCGGAAGCGATCAAACAGAAGCGCGCTTCGCGGCGAAGGCGCGAAGACGATGACGACGAACGAGTCATTGTGGGAACAAAAGTCGACCAGAACCACGTCAACTATGTTACCGCATACAACATGTTGACCGGTATTCGCTTCACCGTGTCGCGCATCAACGCAAAAATGGATCGGGAACTTACTCCGGCGGATTTTGACGCCAAACACAAGTTCTCCTTTGATATGTACGTTGTCAGATTGGGGGATACTCCTTGACTTATAGAAAACGACCTTACTGACTCAATACAACAGTACCGGAAATGAATTGATCCCATCAGCCAAATACGATTTCAAATTTAAAGATTACGCTCCTTGGGTGTTCCGAAGCCTACGCGCCAAGTTCCGCCTTGACCCTGCCGACTATCTGATGTCTCTCACCAGCAAATATATCCTCTCTGAATTGGGCTCGCCCGGTAAGAGCGGTAGCTTCTTCTACTTCTCGCGCGACTACAAGTACATCATTAAAACCATTCACCATGCCGAACATAAGCTCCTCCGCAAGATTTTGCCGCAGTACTACCGACACGTGGAGAAGAACCCCAACACTCTCATTTCGCAGTTCTACGGGTTGCACCGTGTCAAGATGGCATATGGCCGCAAAATCCATTTTGTTGTGATGAACAACTTGTTCCCTCCCCACCGGGACATTCACCAAACATTCGACCTGAAGGGCTCAACGATTGGTCGAGACCTGCAGGAATCCGACCTTGAGCGTAATCCGCGTGCGACAATGAAGGACTTGAACTGGGTTCGGAGGAATCGTCACCTGCAATGTGGACCCTCCAAACGAGATTTCTTCATCGAGCAGTTGAAACGGGATGTGGCTTTGCTCCAAAAGCTCAAGATAATGGATTATTCCCTCCTGGTAGGAATCCATGATGCTGAACGGGGCAACGAGGAGAAGTTACGTGATAAGACTCTTCAAGTCTTCCAACCTGGTGGTGATCGTGAGGAGGATTCCAGCCCTAACATGCTGATGCGAACACCCTCCAAGTTGGAGAATGAGCGCAAAGCCCGAGAACTCCGTATGCTGATCAAGCGCGAAAGACCCGTGCCGTTGGATAAGGCGGCAGCAAAGATGCCGGACGAAATACTCGATGAGCGTAAATACCACATCTTCTACGCTGATGATGGAGGTTTCCGAGCTACCCATGAGAACGGCAACCCTGGCGAAGAAATCTACTACCTGGGTATCATTGATTGTTTGACTCATGTAAGTCCATGATTCGACCAACAACAACATTGACCAACAAGCTAATTTTCCCACGCAGTATGGAACCATCAAGAAGTTTGAAAACTTCTTCAAGGGTCTTTCACATGACCGTACTCAAATCTCTCCTATCCCACCAGAGGGATACGGAGATCGTTTTATTAATTTCGTCAAGGGCATCACGATGTCGAAAGAAGAGGCCGAGCGCCGAGAAGAGGCCCAAGCCTCGACCCGACAATCAGGAGAAAATAGACAATCACGATCATCTTCCGTGGAACGCACAATGCAGTCAGCCGAGAAAGAGGCGGCAAAGGACGTATCTGTTACACATCCCCGAACCTTGGCTACTGTGTGGGACCCTGCAGATGCCGCAGGTCCCGGGCCAACGTCAACACTTCCAATTGTGGATGAGGCCGGCGAGGCCAGCAGTGTTGGTGGCCACAGCTCACACAGTCGAAATGGTCGTCCTGCCATTGACAAGGAACTTCCTCCTGCTCCATTCGATGAACCGCCAGCGCCCCCCAGCAAAGGCAAGGGCGTTGACCGGGGAGAAAGACCGATTGGCAGCCCAGCTCTACGGTAGATTGTCGCCATCTTCCGTGTCTTGAGTCCTGTATCAACCTTTCCCTGACTTTTTGTCCCAATCTTGTTTTGTATTCAGCGAGATATTCCCCCCTGTTGCTCGATAAACCGTTTACTTCTTGACCCTAACTCTGATTGATGAGTCTGGCAAGGAGCCTCCAATTTCTTTTCTGCCCTTATGGATTTCTCGCACCACCTGCCATGTTTTCGCTAAAAACTGCTGATGTTCACGAGTGATGTGTGTATATTTGTCTCCTGATTGTCGAGTCCGCCTCGCCTTCAGCTCCATCTGAACTCTGCGTTATACTGAAAATAACGCTATCGCTACCGTGTTCTGTTCTTCGGATCATCTCGAGTCCCTAGAGCAAGGAACAACGTCTTTTTCTTAATCCCTGCAAGATGTTCCATCTACTTGCAGCTTGCACTACGATATACAGTGTACCATCACCAAACGACCTCCTTTCGCTGATTGACTGATCAGACAACCTTTCTACGTTCTCTCTACAAATTCTCGATCTTGACGGTCACCAAATATGGTGACCAATGCTTTCCTTTATGCAATCTCTATCTACTGCGTTTCACCACGTCCTCACATCACAACTTTGATCCAACGACCCTCCTTCTATTGGCTCTGTCTATCAACCCAACCTTCACCTTGGCGCCATCACCTCTTGAACACCGGCATAGACCAAAAAACACACGGCAGGAAAGCGACTACAGGATTGGATCACCAAACCGCACCTCATTAGCGGGCCCCAACTCCTGAACAAGCTCCCACTTCCATTTCCCATTTCCTTTTCTTTTATTTCCTCTTTTCCTTTTCCTTTTCCTTTGCCTTTTTCTTTTCCGCCTTGGTTCCTTTTCTTTTTTTTCTGCGCTAAACCCATACCCTGTACCAATCACTATACCATTTGTGTTAAATGATCTTGACCGCGTCGTCTCTATTCTATTTGTTTTCAAGATCCAGACAAGCAGAGCGTCAGCGTGGGCAATTCTTCCGGAAAGTTTTTTCCTTTCCTCTATTCCTTTGTCTCGTCGGGAACTCGTTTCCTTTCTGCTCTTTTCCTTGTTGAACCTTGTTTGTTCAAGTTAATAAACCATAGATCATGAGTAAGGGCGTGTTCCTGTGTACTACTCGATTTTAGCGTGCCTGGACTCTACCCGACGTATAGTCGTGGAGAATGAGATATTCATTGTTTTCTTTTTTGAGATCTCGGTTTTTGTTTCGTAGAGACCTTGCGTAGATGAGATTGAGATAATGAAAGGTTTGCCTTGGAGCCTGTGGGATAAGATGGTCGTTGTAACATTTGAAAACGGCTGACATCTTCGTGTATACTTGTCTGGTCGAGTAATACTACAGTGGACTGAGATGTGAATTAATATAGTAGATGATGAAAATGAAAGATCAAATCACTTGATTCCATAAGGCATAACTATCTGACCGTTGTATTTGAAAATTCTCCCAGAGAGTAAGCATGGGACAAGATATTGAAACGCCAGACACCGCCTAGTCACCCATCCATGATACAAATAATCAGAAAGCAGGAAAAAAAAAGGCAAAGCAAATGTCATTCCATCATCGAGTGGCACGGATATCCTGTGTGAAAGGATATTGAACGGAACGAAACAAAGGACCTCGATGAAGGGGGATAAAGGATATCGGAGAGTAAGAGATTAAGTGACAAGAAGAAACGAAAATCCCTTGACCATTGGACTTCGTGGATGAATTTTTATCTCGTTGGCAGAGACGAGATGATAGACGAAGAAAAGGAGAAGGGAAGTCGTATTGATAGTGTTGATGGGTCGATAACAAGGGATCCAGGGTCCAAGAGTCAAGAAGGCACGCACGCATAACACGAGAGAAAGAGGATAGATAAATGACCACTTTACTCGGTTCTGCCCTGGGTGACCTTGGCAGCCTGAATGGCGGTCATCTTCTGAAGCCAGCCCTGGGTAGGCTGAGGTTTCTTGACGGTGCGAAGATCGTCAGTTGAGAAGCCCGAGATACGCATGTTGTAGTTGCGCTCGAGGACGAGCTGGATGTCGCGAATCTCGAGGGTGGAGGATGGGCGTAGTTTGGCAAGACGGCAGGCTTGGGTGATAACGTCGTCGACGAAATCATCTGCCATCTGGAGCACGAACTAAAAAGGAGGGGTAAAAGTCAGTTGATAGATCGCTTATCGCGTCGATAGTTTGTTTACCTCTTCAGCATCGGGAGTAAGCATTTCTCCCTCACCCCCACCGGTGACCTGGCGAACAAGGATATCAAGGTTCTTCTTGCTGAGCACGTGTTGCCCCTCACCTTCGAGGACGTAGCCGGGATGCTTTTGAATGGCGGGTTGACTCATCATACCACCCATGTTACTGTGGTTGGGGCCACCAGTGAGAGAAGGGCGAGAAGGAGGCATGGTGACTGGTTCAGGAGTGGAAACGTTGAGATTTTTGGGGATGTGCATGTTAATCGTACGCGCCGAAGATTCAGCTGACCGATTGGCAAGATAACCGGGTGGGTGAGTTTGTTGGTTGTTGACAGTCTGGTTCATAGCTGGCTGTTGCTGTTGCTGCTGTGCCTGCTGTTGCTGCTGCTGCTGCTGTTGTTGCTGCTGGTTCGGATTCGTATTGTAATTTTGTGCTGCCTGCATCGCTGCCTGATGCGACAAAGGGCGAGGTGGTCCTTGGTTACCTGGTTGGGTGCTTGTCGGGGTTGGTGTAGACCCGTCTTGGTTTGGAGTTTGGCTGAAAGTGACTTGACCTCCCCCTGGACCGGGAGTTCCCTGATGTGACGGAGGTTGAGGTCGTTGGGCTGGAGGGGGCGCGTTTGACAAAGCAGGAGTGGCATTAGCCGATGAAGGCGCCTGCCCAGGCTGCGAGGTTGATGGTGACATGGCAGTTTGGCCTGCTTGATTACGAGCTGCACTAACAGCAGAATTGATGGTGTGAGGAGCCGGGGTGGGTGGTTGTCCGGGCATACCAGTTCCAGCGACAGCAGTACCTGCCTGGGGGTTGGGCGCGGCTTGAGTCGTCGCAGGGACGGCAGGAGTGGCCTGGGGTACCGGTGCAGTGGTTCCTTGTCCTGGTTGGCTCATTTGAGGGTTCTGCTGCGACTGCATCTTAAAGCTCTCTTGCTGCTCCTTGAACTTGTTGAGGAAGTCACTACCTTCCCGGAAAAGCTTCTCGGCCGCTAGCTGCCGATTCTTGAACTCCTGCACCTCTTCTTGCGACATATTGCCCTGCGCCTGGCGTTGCGCATATTGCTGGCGCAAATCCGCCAACCGCGCGCGTCCCACCTCCTGCTTCTGAAGAGCAATGCCATACCGCAACCGGGCCTCGGGGATCCATGTCTGAACTTGTTCTGTTGTGACGTTCGGCGGGAGGTAGAAATTGAGGGAATTGACTTTCGCTTGGATCTGGGGTAGAAGCTGGTTGAGAGTTTGCGGGTTGTTAGACTGGGTCCGCTGTACGGGCTGTCCCTGTTGACCCGGTTGACCCTGCTGGACTTGCTGGACTTGTTGGACTTGCTGTCCCTGTTGTCCCTGCTGTGCAGCCACCTGGGCCTGAACGTGAGCTTGGGCTTGAACCTGTGGGTGAACCTGTTGTTGCTGTTGCACCTGATGATGCTGCTGCTGCTGTTGGTGCATCGCTGCTTGTTGACGATTTTGCTGGAACATTCGCATACCCTTCATCAGGTTCTGCGATAACTGGGACAATTTGATCTGGGCATTTTGATATTCATGGCTTTGGGGATCACGGGTATTCAATTGCTCCCAGAAGCTGCGAACAAGTTGGGTATGCTGAGCTTTCTGGGCCTCATTCAAGTGCGGTAGCTTCTGCACTTGATCAGTCCGAATGAGATTGGAGTGTTGCTGCGCAGGAGGCTGGCCCATAGGCTGAGCTGCCTGGCCCTGCGACCCATCCATCTCGAGGATAGTGGATAATCGACGATCGAGAAATCCAGGGAGCCGGATAAGGCACTCCGGTGAAGCTAAAGAGGTAACGAAGAGAGGACCGAAGAACGATTTTCGGATACAAGGCCAAAAACGCTCCGGGATAGAGACGTTTGAGTGTTAAGCAAGGCACCCTGAGGATATTGGGATGGCGAGTGGGATGGTGAGCGGTATCCGCGCGTTTACAATAGTAATCGTACTAGTACTGACAAGGCAGAACGTCGGTGTAGGTGGGCAGAAACACAACGGCTTCTAGGTTGAGTATCTTGGACGACACTGAACAAATTGGGATGCGAAGGATTTGAAACAACTATGGGGAAGTAGAGAAAAATTCTAAGTCATGAAATACTGGGCTTTTTTGGTCTGTTGCTTTTGGAACGATCGAGGTAGGGGACTATGAAAATTCAATGAAGAAAAATCATGCACCTAATTAGTATATACTCAGCACTTGAGTGCAACAGAAAATAATATAGTAAGTCTGAGTCTTCTGGATAGAGTGAACAATAGGTTCACTGTTGCCTACTAGGTAACATTTTAACATTCTATTAACATTCTAATAACCATTAGGCACATATGAAAGTCATTGAAAATACCTAGAAGTTCATACACATCATCAAATGCCAACAAAAGGGTATCATTGCAGTTCCCGCCTATTCCGAGAAGAACAGGGCCCAGTCTGGCACTGAGTAGAGTCTTTAGGGGGGCGGACATCTAAATTCTTGAGGTATATCTCCATGCGGACGGGCTGTTGATGCAAATGGATGCAATTACCGCCGGTGTGGGATATTCTGTTCGTCATAATGAGACTGGTACCACGGAGTGGAATTAAGCAAGACAATGCATGCAACAGATGGCCAGTCCATCCATCCTGTAGTATAAATGACCACGTGGTCATGTTCTGTTTCTTTGTCGAAATGGTATGGCGGCTGGTCCCATCCTGATCTACCAAAACGGACCAAAAAAATTAGTTCAGACTGAATCCAATTTGGACCGACATGATTTTATCGGAATTCAAATTTTTGTTTTTGGATTCAGCCCATAAGTCCCCCAAGGTCCCGCTCCATGCCAGTGACCCGCTCTTCGAGAGCTCGTTTTCTTCGCTCCAAGTCTCTGATCTCGGCCAGCTCTTGTTCAATTTCTTCGTCAGTGACATCAGGTACAGCTGGCCGCGATACTGGCGCAGGGGCAAAATCATCTTCATCATCATAAGAGGAGCGCATCTGCTCCAGTTCCGCGGTATTTGCAGCCACGCGACCTTCCAATTGAGCCACTGACTCGGCAATCATCTCATGGCGGTAGCGTAAGTTGGCAATTTTTTCCTGTGCCCCAGGAACAGGGCTAGTCTTCGGGTTAGTAACGTATTGAGGGCAAACAAAGCTGCGGCATTGACTAACTAGACGTTGCATAAAATCTCCGCTCCGCGCAGTAAGACTTCAACGTTTACTTCTCCCCGAGGTCCCCGGGTGGATGTGCCTGTTGACCGTTTGATTTCGTCCATCATGTCCGATCCAAGCACTCGCGCCACTGCTGACTGACTGCGGTTGTTTCGTGCGGAGTAGATTCGAGTGGCCATAGATTCATTCTCGGACTCAGCGGCGAAGGTTGTCCCGCGTCTGGTGGCACGTCGCGACCCATGAGCTTTAGCGGAGGGATCTACTTGAAAGAGGGCTCGTTCGTGAGCTTCGGTATCCCGGATCAAGGCGGTGATATCATGAGTGCCCAGTAACGCGTTTGTGAAGATGCGGGGCGCAGGAAATCTAGGCGGGGATAAAGTTAGTTAAGATCAAATCTAAGGAGCTAAAATGGAGGACAGACGGTAATTCTGCAATTGCATTTGAAGAAAGCGCGATCTGTTCTAGGTGAGAGTCGAGAAGCGGCATGGTTGTGGTGTAGTTGGAGTGTGGGTTGTATTAAGAGAGTGAAGTTCTATTGATTGTTTTGGGGGAAGATCCATCTCCATTCCCCGTTCGGGCCACTACTATAGGTACCATGTAGTAGATAGTAGCTTTAGAGTATATTGCAGACAATCATAGAAAATGTTGATTTTTAGTTATAATGTAATGTTACATATTGTCACTCTCTAAGCATTTGTTTCTTCTGTATTTTTCTTAAATTTTTCTTTTTCAAAAAGACTCATGTTTATTCGACATTTCGTTCATACTATTTGCAGTGCTTAAGCTACCGTTCAACACCTCAGGCAGGAATTGCAAAACCACCCAACAATAATAAAAAAAATTATGTAGAGGACGAGCATTTATCTTCTATCAACTATCTCTTTTATTTATATTTTCTACTTGTAATTTTGTAGTTTTTATTTCTCGGAATCGCCCTTGATCTATAAGACCCTGGCCAAGGCTATCCTACCTAACTACTGGATTCTGCATGATTCTTGCTTTTGGTCTGGCGCCGTAAGCTCCCCCCTGACTAAGCACATCTGGTCTTGCGCCCGTCCTCGTCTCTTGACATCACATCCCCCATCCACATCATCCATCCGTCGCTCTGCTGCTTTTCCCCATCATCTTTCTACTTTCTTGCTGTTCATTGATTCTGGACTAGTTTCTTTCCTGCCACTTTCCATCCAGTGACCTTTTATCGCCATTTCCCCTACCTCTCTTAGCTTGGGTACTGCTCAGCTGAGCTCGACAGCTTGAGAAACATGCCGGCCGAAAGGCGTTCTCTTCGATCAAACAACAAATCTGACGCTTCTTCATCTGCTAACGGTGAAAAGGCACGCTCAAACTCCCAGAGCTCGAGTGCTAAAGATAAGGCCGCGCCAACTACCCGCGCCGCCGCCAACAAGGCCAAAGCATCCCCGGCCAAGAAAGGCACCGCCAAGGGCGCGAACAACGGAATGGGAGAGGACGACCAGTCACACATCAACGGATCCAAGTCGACCGAGAATGGTGTGAATGGTTCTGAGGATGTTGAGATGGGGGAGGATACGGCAGGTGCGCCTAAGTCCTCATTCAACACCCGCAAGGACCGGAATGGTAACGAGAAGATGACTGTTGTAGTGCCCCCAGCAAAGGGTTCCAAATCATCCAAGGCAGGACAGGACAAGGACGAGGACGTGACGATGGACGGCTCGGAGGATGATGATGCTGAGAAGACCGAGCCCGAGGTTGATCCCACCACCAAGGCCATCCAAGGTAGATGCTCCGTCCATCCATCCCAACTTAAGAAGAGCCATGGCTAACGACACAACCTTGTTTCTTTGTTTGGTATGACAGATATCAAGATCAACTTCACTCTTCTAGACCGAGCCGTAGCCCACTTCGATCCCCGATTCACCCTACGTGTCCTACGCTCCATATCGTCGATGCGGAAGTACATCACCCCGGAGGTCCTCGCCGAAGTGATCGTGGAGACATACACAGAGTCCAATGAGACAGCGTCGTTCTTGCTTGAGGCCATTGACCAAACTGGTGCTTTCGAAGGTGTCGAAGAAACCTCAAACATGGATGTGGATTCGGAGAAGAATAAGACAGCCAAGGAGGTTCTCCCCGAGGTGGACGCGTATCTGTCCATCTTGGTACAGATCTATCTCTTTGACCAGCGTCAAATCCAGAAGGGTGCCGAGTTCTCAACCAACCTGATTGAGCGCCTTCGCGCGTTGAATCGTCGCACCCTGGATTCTCTCGCCGCTCGTGTGTACTTTTATTATTCTCTATTCTACGAGCAGATTGCTCCGCTTCCCCCATCCCCTGCAGCCGCCGTCACCAGCATTCGTCAAACATTGTTGACAGCTCTGCGGACATCTGTTCTCCGGAAGGATGTGGACACACAGGCCACGGTCATGACCCTGCTGCTCCGCAACTACCTGTCAACCTCCCATATCACCCAGGCAGATCTCTTGATCTCGCATAACCGGTTCCCCGCTGCTGCTTCCAACAACCAGATTGCCCGTTATCTATTCTACCTCGGCCGTATCCGTGCCATTCAACTGCAGTATACTGAGGCCCATAGCCACCTGATCGGTGCCACCCGGAAATCGCCCACCAGCCACAGTGCCCGTGGATTCTACCAGGCCTCCCACAAGCTGCTTGTGGTTGTGGAGCTTTTGATGGGTGACATTCCGGACCGTGCAGTCTTCCGCCAGCCCGCCCTTGAGAAGGCCATGCACCCGTACTTGCTCCTTGCCCAAGCTGTCAGTGTTGGAGACCTCGACGGCTTCTTGAACATCGTCAACACTCACAGCTCCACCTTCCGAAAGGATGGCACTTATACTCTGATCCTGCGTTTGCGCCAGAACGTGATCAAGACTGGCATTCGTATGATGTCCTTGTCTTACTCGCGTATTTCCCTACGGGACATTTGTCTTCGCTTGGGTCTTGATAGTGAGGAGTCAGCTGAATACATTGTGGCCAAGGCTATCCGTGACGGTGTCATTGAGGCCACCTTGGACCACGAGCATGGTTTCATGAAGAGCAAGGAGGTCGGTGATATCTACGCTACCCGGGAACCTGGCGAGGCGTTCCATGAACGCATTCGCGCCTGTCTTACTCTCCACGATGAAAGTGTCAAGGTATGTACACCCTCTCATGCTCCCTGTTTATAGATCTTTCCTAATCATTCAATCTTATTTCTAGGCTATGCGATTCCCCATGAACCAGCACCGCATGGAGCTAAAGAGTGCTCAAGAGGCACGAGAGCGTGAGCGTGAATTGGCCAAGGAGATCCAGGAAGGAGACATGGATGATGAGGACGCTGGTGGTGATTTCGATGCCATCTAAGCATGGTGGATACTCGTAATTGATACAGCATTTCTCCCGCACTGGCCCTATCCATATGAGTACTACCTCGTAGCGGCCTTCTTCAACTTATGTGTTAATTGTGCGCAATTTCGTTTTTTTTCTCTTTCTCTGTGTGGTGAACGTGTACGAAGGGGGGAAATATGCAGGACTAAGATGGCCGGCGCAATCTTCTTGTGTCTTATACTGGAATTATTCTCTTGCATAAGATTGTGGATTTGCCTTTTAGACATGCGAAGTTCCTCACCTGTAGAATGTCCGAGTAGGATTTGAGAGGATATCTATTGCTATCCGTTGAGGTCAAACATTCGAATCCTTGTCTACCTTTGAGGACTTCAAAATGCATGTCTCTGTAAAAATACTAGTAGGTTCAAGTTGTATAGGCAATCGGGAGGAGATGCTAACGGGTGAGTTGGTCCGTGCCGGCCCGACAGCTCGAAATCTTCCCGCAAGATTATTCCCTGCGGAACCTTGTACTCTCCCGAACCCTATGCTTGAGCGCGTTTGCCCTTCAATTTGTTCAAATTCCATGTTCTGTGCTTGATTTATTCAAAACACCAAAAATCCAGAGCACTGCATCGAGCATGCGAGCTCGCACCGTTTCGGCCACCGGGCTGATACTCACGCGACCGTCCTCAACAACCGTGTGCTCCCAATGCCTCCGTGAAGACCTCCACTCGTCCTATACTTTTATCCAATCCCGAAAATATCACCCAACACAACGGAAGGATGCTTCGCCATTTGGAGCTGCCGTGTCAGCCGCGCAAGCTATCTTCAAGGGTCTGCCAAAAGCGCCTCCGGGAGTCTCGGTCGATCCTTTACGCATGGTTGGAAAGGAATTGAAGTTTCTCAGCAAGAACATCCGCCAATTGCTGGGGTCAGGTCACCCGGCATTGGATAAAGTGGCGAAATACTATACACACAGCGAAGGCAAGCACATGAGACCGATGTTGGTCCTGCTCATGTCACAGGCGACAGCGTTGGATCCGCGGAAGCAAACGAATCCCGCCAGCCCGAGCCCCGTCGATAACCCGCTCAGCTCGCCATCAATCCTCGACGATTCGAACCCCAACATTAATTCAGCGGTTTCCCAGAACGCCGAGAACAAGTACAACTTTGCTGGCGACGACAACATCCTCCCCTCGCAGCGCCGTCTAGCTGAGATCACTGAACTCATCCATACCGCCTCCCTCCTTCACGACGATGTCATCGATAACGCCGTCACCCGCCGCGCCAACAGCTCGGCCAACTTAGCATTTGGAAACAAGATGGCGGTGCTGGCCGGTGATTTCTTGCTTGGTCGTGCCTCCGTGGCTTTGGCCCGGTTGCGGGACCCAGAAGTCACCGAGCTGATGGCCACTGTGATCGCAAACTTGGTGGAGGGCGAATTCATGCAGCTGAAGAACACCGCTCAAGACGAGCCCAACCCGCAATACACAGACGAGACTCTGGCCTACTACCTGCAGAAGACCTACCTCAAGACTGCCAGTCTGATCAGTAAATCGTGTCGTTCTTCCGCCGTTCTGGGTCGCAGCGCCCCAGAGGTCATCGAGGCTTCCTACCAGTATGGTCGTAACCTGGGTCTTGCGTTCCAGTTGGTGGATGACATGCTGGATTACACCGTTACCGAGGCTGAGCTAGGCAAGGCTTCCGGAGCTGATTTGGAGCTTGGTCTGGCCACCGCCCCATTGTTGTTTGCTTGGAAGAGCAACCCTGAACTTGGACCGTTGGTTGGCCGCAAGTTCGGTCAGGAAGGCGATGTGCAGCGGGTGAGTGCCGTTTTGTTTTAATATATATATTTTTTTCGAATTTTGATGCTAATTATCTGAAATTAGGCCCGTGAGATCGTCTACCGCAGCGATGGTGTGGAGCAAACCCGCCGTTTGGCTCAGGAATACGCCGATAAGGCGGTTGAGGCCATCAGCGACTTCCCTGACTGCGAGGCCAAGACAGGGCTGATCGACATGTGCGACAAGACCATGCGGCGACGCAAGTAAGTGGAGATGACGGAGGATTGTACCCTTTTTTGTAAACATATATATTTCTTTGACAGTTTCCTCTCTTTTTTTTTCTTTGTTCAGGCTTTCATTTCGAGAGCACATGTATACCTAGATATCTTAGATGTGCGGGTTTTAGACTAAGTTACGACTTGGTGGGACCGTTTTGGTTTGGATGTGCATGATTTACAGAGAGTTGATCTCTTGGAATCTTGAAATCTTGAAATAACGCAAATACTAGAATGGAGATTTTCCATTTAACGCATTCCAGGTGTGAAAATAAATGTGTCCCTGGGACCTACTATAAATAGTTGAAGTTGAAACATTGAATGTTCCATCCGCAGGGCTGTTCCTGACAGCTGGTCGGATCTTGCGGGGCACAAGATTTGGTAACCAACACCTCCGTCATATGTGGGAAGCTGCAACTCCACTTCTCATCTACTCTGCCTCATCCATTTTCTTCCTCTCCCCCCACATTACTCTCGTTTTGTTTGTTTTTCTACTGTGGAGCAGGTCTCTCATTGTATTTCAGCAAGCTTGACTTTTGCACTTCCTCATTCCAACTCTTCCCCTCGAATTATGGAGATCTCGGTCCGTCCGCATTGATCGACCTGCTTCCCGATGGGTTCGCTCGGCAGCTTCCTCATTGTTTACGTGCTCGGGGGGCTCACCTTCATCCCACTGGTCTTGTCACTGGTCCTACTCTTCGTCTACCTCACCCTTCCGGATGCGCCGCCATCACAGACCAGAATCCAAGCTTCCGATGCGGTCCGCCGCTCCGCCGACGACGAGTATAGCTTGAAGTCTGGCACAGATCAGTTGGCGGAAGAGTTCCACCGAACGCACGACTCGGATGTTGCAGCTGGATATTTTGCTGTTTGTCGCGAATATGTGCCTGGGGGTGTCAATGGGAAGCCTCCGGAGAGAACGACTCCGGCTGGAGAGGTTGTTGCTGCTGAAAGCCCCAGCGTTTATCAGTCCATGTATCGCAGTTTGTTCGATCGCAAGCAAGCGCCTAGTATCGAGCCCGCGAAGTTGAATGGGAAGAACACGAAACGGGCACGGAATGTCTTTTACATTGTTCTCAGGTATGCGCTCTTTCGATTCTAGGATTGGTCAAAGAACATGCTGACAATCAACTTTCCGCAACCAGGCATGGCCATTTGATGCTCTATGACGACGCAAATCAGGTTGAGGTACGATATGTAATTTCACTCGCCCACCATGCTGTGTCTATCTTTGGTGGCGAAGGAGAGATCCCCGAAGGTGAGCTTTGGATCAAGAGGAACGCCATCTGTCTCTCGCGGCGACTGGACTCGCTTGGAGATTTGGGAGGACCGACGCCACCATTCTATCTCTTCTCTGAAAATCTATCGGAGAAAGAGGATTTCTATTTCGCCATGCTCCAGAACCAGTCCAAGATGCGAGATTCCGCGGATCGCCCGCCCAAACATCAAGAATTTGATGTTAAGCACATTGTCACACTGGTTCAACGCCTTCACTCCTCTGAAGAACAACTGCAGACTCGGTGGATCAACGCATTCCTTGGTCGATTGTTCTTGGCTCTTTACCAGACCCCAGAGATGGAAGAGTTCCTACGGAGTAAGATTACGAAGAAAATCTCTCGGGTGAACAAACCGAATTTCATAAGTAAAATTGGTCTGCACAGAATTGTCATGGGTGATGGAGCCCCATTCATCACTAACCCCCGGTTAAAGGATTTGACAGCCGATGGCAACTGTTGCATCGAAGCAGATCTCCAATACACAGGCAATTTCCGCGTTGAAATATCGGCTACAGTGCGCATTGATCTCGGTCCTCGATTCAAGGCCAGGGAAGTTGATATTGTGCTGGCAGTTGTGCTGAAGAAACTGGAGGGTCATCTACTGGTCCGCTTCAAACCTCCACCAAGCAATCGTTTCTGGATGTCTTTTGAAACAATGCCGCAAATGTCGATGGACATTCAGCCCATAGTTAGCTCCAAGCAGATTACATTTAGCCCTATCTTGCGCACCATCGAGAGTAAGATCCGTGAAGTGATGGCAGAGAGCATTGTTCTACCATTCTGGGACGATGTCCCCTTCTTGAACACCATGGGCCAGGCTTTCCGTGGTGGCATCTGGCAACGCGAAGTGCCTGATCACAGTGACGAGGCAGAGATTCCCGATGAATCTGGCGATGCCCCGGCGACGCCGAAAACTGCACCTCCTGATCCCATAGAGGTCTTAAAGGCCAAGGATGATCGGACAATGAGCATGCCCGTTCTTCCTGATTCTGGCTCGCCGAAGGTGAAATCACGCAGAGGTCCGAAGTCGTTATCCTCAGACACGAATATCAAATCTTCGACGGCAACCTCTACTGGAGTGGAAAGATCCGATATAACCCCCTTACCCCGTGCCATTCGGTCTCAGACCTTTTCTCATGCAGCGGATCCCGTGGTGACGGCGGACAATGCCAATTTCAACAAAGCTGAATCCGAGACTAAGGGTGACGAGAAGAGCAGCGCAACTAGTGCTATGATTGAAATATCAAGTCGCTCCCCGCCTGCTTCACCGCAACGAACCCCAGGCAGTTCGCCACCTACCGGTGGCCTGATGATCCCAGAGAGTGCGGTCCATAGTCGTGGATCCTCGATTGCGGAATCCCTTGACGGCTTGAACTTCTCCAATGACCATGTCAATAACTTTGCTCGCTTCGAGGGTAACCCCAATTCCAGCACGCGCAGCTCTCGAGGCAGCTCTACTGTCTCACTTGTGAGCGAAAAACCACGCCGCAGCACCATGGAAACCCTGACAAAATCAATTACCAATACATTCGAAGATAAGACTAGTAACATCAATATTGGAACGACTGCAGCTGCTGCAAAGAAATGGAGCTGGGGTGTCTTTGGAAAAGGCGAGTCGAATGCTCGCCAGGAAACGGCCCGCTCCACTGCAGGTACTCCCGAACAGCCTATTGGACGTGGACATCCCCATCCCGCGCCTGGTGCCCCCTTGCCTCGCCCGGACAAATTTGCTCTGAAGAGAAACTCCACCTCAAATACTCTCCCCAAGCGGAAGCCCGTAGGACCGATTGCCTCACCTGGGCGACCAAACGCAGGAAGTTCTCGACCTGTCCCGCCACCACCATTGCCTCGCAGGAAACCGATTCCTCCTATCATGCGGCCTGATGGTGTTGATGAGTTACTCGTGGTAGAAGCCCCCCAAGACTCTGCACCAAACAGCCCAATCGTGGGAGAGTTGGACTTGGATGAGGGCTCAAATGTCACAGGCCTGCATCCGAGCGAGAATTCATCCAGAATAAACCTAGCTGAGACAGAGTCTCATTCGGAAGATGAGGAGGGACAAGAGGATCAATCCCTCCAATCCATTGACCAGACCGGCTCTTCTCCGACAGAAAGCCAGGGCAATGTCTCATTCTTGGAGCAAGTTGAAGTGCCATTGGCATAAACAACTGTACTTTTTTACATGATCACCGGTGTATCTGATAGCAAGCCTATACCAACCAGGGTTCCAAATCAGCCTTGGAATATGTGATTTCGCTTTCCCCCCTTTTCTTTCTCATTCAAGTTACGTGGCGTCAAAGGGGGTCCTTATTTGCTTCTTGTTTGAGATGCATCTGCAGGACAGAGGCTTTCACTGCTGAATTTCAATGTCCATGTATATAGAAATCGCAGGTATGCTGGGTTGACACTGTAGTGGCAACCTTCGTATACAATACAATCCACTCCTTGAAGTTTTTATAAAAAAAAAATTAGTCGAAAGTCAATACTTGGATGCCATAGGTAAATGAATCAGTGCTGCCTGGAGTTACGCAGGCGTGTTAATGGCCTACGTTACTAGTTATATAGCACTTAGTAATGTAGTTCCATGGCAAGGGATGGGGGCTTAGGCGTCGCCAAGACTGACAGGCGCCAGCTTTCCCCAACGTCATTGCGCTCCACGTGCGGAACCCCGAACTTCTTCCCTTTATCTGACTCCCCCAGGCGCATCACATCAGAAAGGTGCTGTCCGGACTTGGGATCTGCCGCTCAGCTCACATCTTCCTTGATACCCCTGAATCCGCATTGCATCTTAGCCCAAGATGAGTCGGTAAGCGGGACTGGGTGTCCTCGCGACATCCCCTCTACCCCCTCCCCTGCCCCTCGAACAACTGACAATTAACTTCAATCGCTTAGGACGGAGGCTGATCTGGCCATAAATATCCGAAAGGCTACTAGCATTGGTATGTGTTCAACTCCCGTCAGCGTTATGCGGAAAGTTGGCGGCTACTGCCGGAAAGGAGAAGGTGTCCAGAGGCTAACTATTGATTGCTGCGACAGAGGAAACCGCGCCGAAACGTACGTCCCAATTCATGCGAATAACCGGATTATGAATCATTGATATTCCCGTGTTCAACTCGACTGACGCTTGCTTTTTGCTGGGTAGGAAAACATGTGCGGAGTTGCATTGTGTACACGTGGGACCACAAGTCGTCTGCGGCCTTTTGGGCAGGCATGAAAGTGTATGTGAGATTGCGGGAGAAGGAAGGCTGGCTATGAAACATTAACCAGACGCATTCGGCTAACATTATTATTTTTGCTGTATAGGCAGCCCGTTCTCGCCGACGAAGTCCAGACGTTCAAGGCTCTTATCACCATCCACAAGGTTCTCCAAGAAGGTCACCCCATTGTTGTACGAGAGGCTCAGCAACATGCCAATTGGGTCGACAGTTTGATGCGAGGAGTTGGAAGCGACGGTGTTCGAGGTATGGCGTTGGACAAGACAAGAGCACCTGGGCCGTTGAGTTAGTATTGACTAACTTGGATAGGATATGCTCCATTGATTCGCGAATATGTCTTTTTCCTCGAGTCGAAATTGAACTTCCACCGCAACCACCCTGAGTTCAACGGTATGTGGCTTGCCAGGGAGTGGATTCGAAAATGGACAATTGTCTAACGAAAGCAGGCTTGTTTGAGTATGAGGAGTATATTAGCTTGAAGACGATCAATGATCCGAATGAAGGGTGCGCATGCAATCCTTCCCAGAACCTGGCGGCAAAATGCTAATTTTTCTGCAGCTACGAGACTATTACCGATCTCATGACTTTGCAGGACCAGATTGATTCCTTCCAGAAACTGATTTTCTCCAATTTCCAAAATGGAACAAATAACGAGTGCCGTATCTCTGCGCTTGTGCCTCTTGTCCAGGAGAGCTATGGTATTTACAAGTTCATCACGAGCATGTTGAGAGCCATGCACACAAGTATGTTGTATATCCAATGCTACATAATCATTTGATATTTACTGACTGTTTCTTTTTTTCTTCTACAGCAACCGGAGAGGATGAGGCTCTCGAGCCACTCCGTGGTCGTTACGATGCTCAACACTACCGTCTCGTTCGGTTCTATTACGAATGCTCGAACTTGCGCTACCTTACCAGTCTGATCACCATCCCCAAACTGCCCCAAGACCCACCAAACCTTCTTGGAGAGGACGAAGATCGCCCCGCCCTCCCCCGACGACCGGCGAAGGAGGTCGAAGCACAACCATCACCACCACCCAAGGCCTTGGCTGCTGATCCAGAGCCCATCAATGATTTCTGGACGACCGAGGCCAAGCGTCAGCAAGAAGAATACGAGGCCGAGCAAGCACGTCTCCAGCAACAGTGGGAACAGCAACAGCGAGAACAGATGCGTGCTCAACAGGAGGCGCAGGTGAACTTTGAGGCGGAGCAAGCGCGACAACTTCGAGCTCAGCAGGAGGCACAGGAGCAGCTTCTCCGGGATCAATACTCGACACATACCCAGGGTCGCTTGGCGGAGCTGGAGCAAGAGAACCTGAATGCTCGTGCTCAGTACGAACGGGATCAGCTAATGCTGCAGCAGTACGACCGCCGTGTGAAGGATTTGGAGGGACAGATGAACCAACTGAACTCGAACCTCAACTTGCAAAGTGCCTCTAAGGACGAGCAAATTCGTTCTCTCCAGGAGCAAGTCAATACATGGCGATCCAAGTATGAAGCTCTGGCTAAGCTCTACTCGCAATTGCGACAGGAGCACCTGGATCTTTTGCAGACTACCAAGAGCCTTAAACTCAAGGCAGCTTCGGCACAGGAAGCCATTGACCGCCGCGAGAAATTGGAACGCGAGCTAAAGACCAAGAACTTGGAACTTGCAGATATGATCCGCGAGCGTGATCGTGCTTTGCACGACCGGGATCGTCTCACTGGTACCAACAAGGATGAGCTGGAGAAGGTTAAGCGAGAGCTTCGTATGGCGCTCGAACGGGCCGAGAATGCCGAGCGATCAAAGGGCACGGAGATTTCTACTATGCTTTCCAAGTATAACCGGGAGATGGCTGATTTGGAAGAGGCTCTCAGAGTAAGTTTCTGCCTATTTTCATTTGAATTGATTTCATGACTAACAGAAATAGCACAAAACTCGTGCTCTCGATGATGTCTCCAACCGTAAGTCGGAATGGGATGGAGACCACGAGCTGTCTCTTCGCGAGAAGGATGAGGAGATTGAGGTTTACAAGTCTGGCATGGAGCAGGCTCTCATGGAGTTGGAGGAACTCCGCTTGGTAAGAACAGTCGTTGAATCGTATTGTTTTTTCTTCTTCTCATATTAACCATTCGTCTTGTACAGAGCCAAGGTGATACGGACCACGCACTGGACAGCCAAATCGACACAGTTCTACACGGCACCGTGGCCAAGATCAACGACATTATTGATTCTGTGCTACAGGCTGGTGTGCAGCGTGTTGATGACTCTCTATACGAGCTTGACTCCTCGATGCAAGCCGGTAACCAGAATGCATCGCCACCTTATGTGCTGTCACAGATTGAGAAGGCCTCTGCATCGGCCACTGAATTCTCGACGGCGTTCAACAACTTTATTGCAGATGGCCCTAACAGCCCTCATGCTGAAATTATTCGCACCGTATCCGTATTTTCTGGATCTGTTGCTGACACCCTGAGCAACACAAAGGGATTGTCTCGCTTCGCCAACGATGACAAGAGCTCTGACCAGCTGTTTAGTGCAGCTCGTAAATCGGCCCAGGCGACTGTTCGCTTCTTCCGTGGTCTGCAGTCTTTCCGTCTCGAGGGCATGGAGCCTCTACAGAAGACCGATGTTGTCATCAACAACAATTTGGAAGTGCAGCGTGATCTCCAATCGCTATCAAAGTTGGTTGAATCCTTCTCACCCAAGAGCAGCAAGATCAGCACCAACGGTGATCTGGGAGACCTGGTTGACCAGGAGCTCAACCGTGCAGCTGATGCTATTGCTGCTGCTGCGGAGCGTTTGGCTAAGCTGAAGAACAAGCCCCGTGACGGCTACTCGACCTACGAGCTACGTATCAACGATTTAATTTTGGCTGCTGCTATTGCCGTGACCAACGCCATCGCCGAGTTGATCAAGGCTGCCACTGAAACGCAACAGGAGATTGTGCGCGAAGGCCGTGGAAGCTCGTCCCGTACGGCTTTCTACAAGAAGAACAACCGCTGGACTGAGGGTCTCATCTCTGCGGCTAAGGCAGTTGCTGGTTCGACCAACACCCTGATCGAGACTGCCGACGGTGTTATCTCAGGTCGCAACTCTCCTGAGCAGCTTATCGTTGCCTCCAACGATGTTGCTGCCAGTACCGCACAGTTGGTGGCTGCCAGTCGTGTCAAGGCCACATTCATGAGCAAGAACCAGGACCGACTGGAAACTGCCAGCAAGGCCGTGGGTGCTGCATGCCGTGCCCTAGTACGCCAGGTGCAGGACATTATCAAGGAGAAGCACAGCGGTGATAACGAGGCAGAAGACTACGCCACCCTGAGCTCGCACGAGTTTAAGGTGCGAGAGATGGAGCAACAGGTACATATTCTAAATCCCGCGCTTTCCCCATTTTCACATACTAACCAGTTTTTTTAATTCCAGGTCGAAATCCTCCAACTTGAGAACAACCTTGCCCGCGCCCGTACACGTCTTGGTGAGATGCGTAAGATCTCGTACCAAGAAGAATAAATTCCCTGCACATGTTCTATTGTTCCCCGTGGCTTGGCTTTGCACCTTGACTATGTATATCCTGAAATTATCTTGGGGACCGTTCTTTCCACATTCCATACTGCTTCACATTATTTTTGCGACCAGCTAGTGATTAGCGCATATTGCTGCAAATTTTGTTTACGCAAACTTCTTCCAACTCAACCCCCTGCTAAGTTCTTCAATCCAAATCCACTCTAGTGCCATGTACATCGTATTGATCTAAGTACTAGTAGCTACTACGTACATAGCATGACGAGCGGGCCAGTCGGGACTAGACCGACGATTTCCTGTTCCGTATCATTTGTGCCCAGTTCAATGTTGCGAGGCGCTCGACACAAAGAATTTCGCTTTCAAAACATGCAATCGAGACTTACCTCGCATTTCGCCCCAAACCGAGATCCCCGGACAAAGAAAATCACGAACTGGGCTGCGCAGGCGGCTTGAACGCCTCGGTCCCATGCGGACCCACATGGCTTTCGAGACGGCGCGATCCAGTGGTTTGGTGGGTCTAGACCCGCGGCTTGAAGGCTTGGCACTGCGGGAGAACAAAGAGAATATCAACGTCAGCGAACATGGGAGCGAAGGTCAACACAAAGAAGCCGAGACCGAGACTGGATTGGCTTGATAGACAAGCGCTCTGACTCGAAATTCTCGGGGGGCTCGGAGGGGGAAGGGGTATGGGGTTCGTGGTCTTTCAATCTCATTTCGCCCGGTCAAGTAACTAGTAGTTCAAGTTCCTCATACTTACTGGTTAGTAGCTCGAGGGAGCTCTGACTGTCACATCGAGTACATGAAAAGTGCCTCCAGGGCCAACCTCAATTGAATTATCTCTTCTCACACACCATTTTGTTTTTGGTCTTTCATTTTTTTTTTTTCAACGATCAAAGCACGCACGGTGAGACTTTTCCGATCCGAACCGGGGAATTTGGTTCCGTTCCTCCTTTTTGTTGTCGTAGAGACATTTTTTCTGTTCCCCACCGATAAGAGCACCCCGTGCCTTTTCTCAACCAGTGAAGAAGACGGGCACCGGTTCATTCATGATTTTTGTTGACGGGCAGATGAGTAGATTCAAGGCGACGGCGGGCTAAGCGGATTTTCTCTCATTCTCCCCGAGATGAGAATCATTGAAAATGTTTAGGAAAAAGCAGTAGATCCGTATGACTCATTGCAGCTATCTTGACATAGACAGAGGATTCAAAAGCCGAGGGAAATAGTAGCTTGGAACTTCAAACAGGTGAACAAGCTTGAGAAATCGTCGAATATGCCATGGAATGCAAAAATATTCAGCATGTAAGCCCGTTAAGTTCTGAAAACGACTTTCCTCTAATGAAGGTTCAAAAAAGCGTCCATTTCCGCCTGAGAAAAAGGAGACTCTTCTTCAACGTCTGGATTTGCTGGCTCAATTGGGAGGCGGTTAATCTGGGCGTCAATCATGTCCGCAAAATCATTGGAAAGGGGATAGTCGTTCAAAATTCCATCCGGGCCATGCATCATGCTATTACCGTTGATCATTTCAATGAGCTCTTGATCAACATCAAGCTGGTTGTGGGAGTCATGTGGATTGGTTCCTCCCCCAGTTTTGGCATCTTCAAGGCGCTGGAAGCCCCTCCTGGTACGTGCGATATCACTAACAGCCGAAATAGGGAGGCGGGTTCGACGGGTCATCTTTTCGCCAGGACGACGCGGAGTGTACCGATAGGATGGATTTTCCAAGGCATGTTGAGCTTTAGCACGGTTTGCCATGTTTTGCCACATCTGGCGAGTGTTTGATGGCTCGTTTTTCCATTGATTTGCAATGATCTTTGCTGTAAGCAGTATCAGTCATTTCAGTTATCTTCATATTTCAATTTGATTGACTCACATATTTCAGTATTTGGGAGATCGGGGTAAAGAGATGTGGTGACTGCATGGTGATTCTGGCGGTAAAGAATCCAAGCATTAGGAGGTCGAGGTACATGCTTGGCCTTCTCCTTCTTCCCAGGAGCAGTAATCTGGCCATTCTTCAGGGCGTCTTTGACTTTCACAGCAACTTGACTGTAGTGCTCAAAGCCGATATCATTTGGGTTAACTTCAGGGACCGGGCAGATGCGAAAGGCACTAATGCTCTCATCTTTGACCACATGAACAGCCACGCTGATCAAAACCCTAAAATACATAAATTTCAGTAAAATGTCGGGTCTCGAGTTGAGAGAAACTTACGAGAGCCGGTTGGCTAACTTGGTCATATTGTCATCGCCAATCTTGGCAGCAAGGTTGAACGGGACAAAGACTGCGAGGTTAGAGCCATAGAGCGCACCATTTGCGGCAGAATCATGCCAGATAGCTTCAGTGATTTTGTCGGCCTCGGTGGCGGCCGTGTAAAAAGCACGAGCTTGAGGGACGTTGACCGTCCTGTCAAAAGCAAAAGGGAAGCTGGCCATCGATTATATATATGTACGTGGTGTGGTGGATGTGGTTTAGTGATCACCGTGTATCGTATGCTCAAGGATGGGATGATTGTGATAAAAGATAGGATGAAGGGGTTAGAAGATGAGAATGTCATTCGATGAGAGGTGATAAAAGATATAAAGAAGCGAAGCGGGGGCGGCGGCGGCCTAAATAAGGAAAGGGGCAAAACTGATGAGACCGACCCGCGGCCTTGATATTGAATTGTTGATATTGAATTGGTGAATCGATTTTCGACCGACCCGAGGCCTTGAGATTGAATTGAGAAGTGAATCGATTTTCGAATAGAAAGTTGGAGCGGCGTGGCACGTAATGAGACAGAAATGATAACCATCTTCCAGCAAACCGCCCAAAGCGGCCGTCTTGTGCGAAAAAAAAAAGAGAGAGACAGCAGGCAAGTCTCAAGTACCCGGGCTGCTGCTAACGCGATGAGGTAATCGAAATACACCCATTTTCGCTCAAACTTCAGATTGGTGGGATTATTTCCAGACACGGGGTGTCTGTCTTTTCTTTGTTTGGCGGTTCTTTGAGAATACTTCGGGCTGGGAAGGTTTCAATCATAGTATGTGACACTTTCATAAACGCCACCACTGCCTCAGTTCTTTGGTCCAGAGTGAGAGAGAGAAGAAGTAAGCAAGAGAGATCGCTTCAAACGATGACTTCTAATTGTAGTTCCTTATCTCCCCACAGATCCAGTTCAAATATTCTGACCCAACTCAAACTGCACCGGTGATGCATATGCAGTGTAGGACGCATTCTATGTGGGGTGCAGATCTTCTAGCCGGATGTTGCCCCCACTCCCGGATCCACTCCTATACTCTATAATGAAAATTATTAATTAAGAACCTTTTATACAGTTAAAAAATTAACATAAAATTAAGACTTTTTATGAAGATAGTAGAGTGTGCAGATACTTAGATTATAGCAGTCTAAAGGGTATGGGGATAAATACGAAATGCTGCTGGCATATTCCATGCATCCAATGACCCACATCGAACAGGTGAGTGAACAGGTGAGTGAAGGTAGGCTAAGAGGAGCGAAACAAAAAAAACATAAGATGTAATTATGAAACAAAGATATGTAAAAAATACATGTAAAAAGACATAAAACGAGGTCCGTGCGCAGTCAGGAAAAGGAAAAACGTCCGTGCGCAATTAGGCCCCCAAACAACCTAACAGGATCATACTTCCGTATGCGTCTGCGAGGATCCGTTCCAGTCACTGGCCCAGATAAAAGTAGGACATCGCCATTGAGTGCCCTTTGTTAACTCGCCATTGGGACCGATAGGCCTGGAACATATCCAGAATGCTCGACCACGATTCATGCCAGGCTTTTTGGTCGTCAAACTGACACAGGGCTCTTCATGTGAGTCACATCGAGGGACGGGTTTCTTAGTAAAGAGCTTAGTCCAGTCCTCTTTACTAACAATTGGGTCAAACACTGTATCATCATCAGGCTTACTAGGTGAGGGTGGTATCGATGAGTTATGTGTGCTTGCAGCAGCGGCTTCGCCTGTAGACTCGGTAGCTTGAGAAGCATCGACCATACTGCTATCGTCAATGGCAAAACTTCTCGATAACGAGGTCCCTTCGTTAGGGCCAGGTGAGTTTTCAGAGATTTCATTCGCAGGCTGCTGAGATGCTGCGCTATTCGAGGCTGCCTTGGGCTTGAAAAATCCCTTGAGGGTTTTCTGGCCAGCCTTCGAGACAGGTGATGGGGCTGTCGTAGATTTTGACCGTTTGGCAGGGACCGATGGTGGTGGCGGTGGCCTTTTTCGAGTCAAAGAAGTTGAAGTTGAGACATCACTCGGCGTTGTCAATGTATCATTTTGACTGTTTGCCGGGCTTGCTTGGTCATTGCTAACAGCGGGAGTCGGGTTCTTTGCGCCACTAGCTGTAGACGGTGATCGGGACGGCACGTTGGACGGTTTGCGGGCGAACATATCTTTGATACTTCGCCGCTTGTCAAGATCAAATTCTGGAAGTAGGCGTCCTGACGTAGGCAGCAAATACTGAGTCGAATATTCTTTCTGACGTTCGCCATCTTTGAACATCCCCGGTGGATTCACGATGTCAAGAATGGAAACAGGATTTCCATCATGCAGTACCTGATCCTTAAACATGGCGTAAACCGGGCAATGATCCGAACCCTGAGAATTGTAAAGTTAGCTCGTATTTAATATTGACTGCATCATTCAGGACTTACCAAGAGGCCTTCTTGAATATTGGAATCGGAAAACCATTCTTTCATCTCAAGACTGCACAGCACGTAATCAATTCTCGAGCCATAGTTCCCGGGTCGGGTATTGAGCCTTGTATCCCAGCAAGTATACATTCCTGCTCGACCTGGGTGAAAGGAACGGCAGATATCATGGAGGACAGGCTGCTCCTTGTCGTCTCGACCGCCAACCACCACTCCATCAGCCAGCAATGCATTAAATAGCCTCCGGGGTGGACTGATGTGAAACTCCAGCTCAGTGGCGGTGTTTTTGCGAATTGACTCAAGCATATGCGCAGAGTCAATTGGATTCTTAGAGATGTTTATATCTCCGGTCACGAATACCTTCTTCCCCAAGGATACAAGGTTCCGTATCCGGGCATCTAAAGCATTCAGAAAATCTAAACGGAAAGAATCACGACTCTCATCTCGGTACGCAGGACAATATATCCCAATGAGAACGAAAGCCGGAAATTCCAGGACAACGCAACGTCCTTCGGAGTCCAGAGTTGCAGCGTCGATTCGCTCCTCGGCCGTCGCACCTTGCTCATCGTCATCCTCTGCGCCAGCCGGGTCGGATAGAGAGCCAATGTCTGTAAGCTGGCTTAGAGTAGGATACCCGCCAATTTGCTGATCCTTTGGCATATCACGGAAGGCCACTGATGAGTTTGGCGGACAGAGTACTCCTGTTATGCCTTCTTCGGCCCGGATTGGTGCACAGGTGGCATTGCGTGTGTAAATAACCACCCCAGAGTAGCCTAAGAAAAATCAGTTATGCCTAAAAAGGAAATATAGACAGAGATGTAACTTGCCTTTCTTATACTTCGGCAGGCTGAAATAGCAGTCCCACCCTGGTACTAGGACCATGTCATCTCGCAAGTCCTTTCGCTGAATCTTGGTCTCTTGAAACACAACGATATCGGACTCGAGAATCTGAAACATAGACTATAATTTTTTATCAACACCACAAGAAGCATTAAATGACCATGAACAAATATCATCCACTTACTTCAAAAGTGCGGGTCCCTCTCCATGGTTCATAGGAGAATGGGTTTCTTTTCAAGTCAGTGACCATGACCACGAATGCATCCACAGGACCATGCATACCGAATCCCATTGACTAAAGTAATCAATTAGCACTCAAACAACAATACAAGATTTCCGATAAAGCTCAAAACAAACAACTTACCATTCCATGTCGTGATACGAAACCCCATGATCGACTGATCATACAGGCAGGCAGCACATAACCTGCCGTACCCTTCAGATTTCTATCTCTTATTCCACTTCAACTGAAATTGGCGACAAAATTTCCCGAAAGAGAGAAACTACTGAGCGTCGCGCAAACCAAACGATAGCTCTCCTTCGTTGGCACGGATATCACGTGAACAAACGGGGTGACATCAGGTTACATAAGCCCACGGGGAATCACGGGACCTCAAACCACTCAAACGGCGTGGATTTCAACGTACGACCTCTTGCTCCGAATCCCCTCTCCACTCCACAATCCTCACCCACAACCACCACAATGTTCTCCCGCAACATTGCCCGCCTGAGCCAGCGTGCCGCTCCCATCCGCTCGGCCGCCCAGCGCCGCTTCAACAGCGCCGAGGCCAAGCCTTCCTGGATCGCCGACAACGAGTTCAACCGCGAGCGTTCTGCTGTCAAGCACCACGCCGCCTCCACCAGCGGTTCGTGATCCCGACTGGAGCTCCCAGCCATGCTTTTACATGGACCCTGAGCAATTTCGTACACCTGGAGTGACTTTAACTAACTCAATGGCTCCCATAGACCTCTGGCGCAAGCTTTCCATCTTGTACGTTTTCTCCGGAAACAGCGGCCCGACCTATACAATGTGTGGTGCTTGAGTTGCGGGCCGGCTAACTTTTTTTTCTTGCAGCGCTGTTATCCCCTGCCTGATCGGTGGCGGTTACAACGCCTACACCCTCTGGAACGAGCACTGGGAGCACTGGGAGCACATGGCCCCTCTTGAGGAGCGCACCGAGTACCCCTACCAGAACATCCGCAACAAGAACTACCCTTGGGGCAACGGTGACAAGGTATGTGTTGATCCATTTTGTTGTTTTGTTGTTAAATCAAAGTAATCATGGCTAACTTTTCCCCGCAGACCATCTTGTAAGTTCAGACAACGACCTGGTGCCCGTGCATGGCGGGCACCAATACATACACACACACACACACACACAGCTTCCCACGAGTCTCTCTGCGCAAGCAGCCCCACTCGCCGCATCAATTGACCCCCGCAAATTCTGGAACTACAGCTAACCAATTACTTACAGCTGGAACTCCGATGTGAACTACCACAACAAGGACAAGGCCACTTAAGTGCATTCCTCCAAACCCGACAATTACCCCCGAGGCTTGAGAATTGAGCCCGTCAAGCTGTGTCTGGAAGAGAGCATTTAGCTGCAAATTTACATGTATATCTACTGCAGTGGTGTTTCACGGGGAGCGTAGACCCCGCGAAGAATGGGAGTCGCTGGACTCCGGTGATCGAATGAAAGAAGCCCGTTGTGTACTCCGTCATTGGTGCAGTTTCCTTTGTCAAGTTTTATTTACCTAGATCCAATATACTTGGTTTGGGATTTCTATCTTTTTTTGAAAATACCAAAGTATAGTAGGTTCGATGGGCCAAAGTCGGACTAGGTGCACGTGAGCTCCTAGAAGCTGCCACTTGCCCTAAACTAAAGCTCTTGAACTTGGGGATCGTTTCACGAATACTGTAAAACCATGATGCATTTCATGTATGCAGAAAGTATCGAATCAGAAAAACTCAGGCATCATTGATACCAATCAACTCCTCCAACGCCATAAACTACAAATACACGAACAGAACAAAACCCCGATCTGCTCCTCATCTCACCCCCTCCGCTTCCTCAGATCCAGATACTTCGCCGCATAATCATTAGCCAACACCGGATCACCCGTCAAATGCATAACAGTAGCCTTCTTAGCCATCATCTCCGTCTGGCCCAGAATATCTTCAATCTCCTCATAAGCCTCATACGCAGAATCGATGTACCCAATCGCACAATTCACATACTCCTTCCTGGCGGGTATACTCTCCTTCCCCAGCCTCGCCCACAACTCCCCAGCAATGCCCATATTAGCATCAACAAGCAGCGAGTACGCGCGCGCAACCAGGGCCGAGTCATCCGTCTCCAAGATCTGAGGCATGATGCTCTCGACAAGCTCGACGGTCGCTTCGAACTCGCGCAGGCTGAGCAGAACAGCAGCGAGCGTGCAGATAGCTTCCCAGAGGTCGAAGAGGACTTTGGAGCGGTAGGCGATGGAAGCGGCGCGCATTGCGAGCGAGAAGCCGCGCTCGGGATGGCCGGATTTCTCGAGGATCTGGGCTTTGAGGCAGAGGAGTTTGATTTGGGAGTGGACGTCGAAGTTTTCGGGTTGCATTGTGTGGGCGGCTTGTTCGACCATTTGGAGGGCGCGGCCGTAGTCGCCTTGGCGGATTGTGAAGTCGATTGTGAGGAAGGCGAGGAGGAGGCGGAGGTCGAAGTCGAGGAGTTGCACGGCTTGGAGCTGGGAGAGGATGTGTTCTACTGCTACTTTGTCGTCGCTGGGAGGTGTTAGGTCTGGTTACTTGGTGCAAGGATGCTTGTTGGGGGGCTTACCGGCAGATTTGCCGTTTGAGTTGCAGGAGCCCGGAGTAGTATGTCCAGGCATTGTTGTATTTGATGGCTCGAAGTCGTTCGGGCTCGACATTGTTCATGCGTGCGAAGGCCTCTTTGTAGTTTCCCTTTTGTGCCAGCTGCGGTCATTGTTAGCTTTTTAATCTCAAGAGCGATGAGGGCAGGGGTATCATACAGTCTGACAGTTTCTGAATGTGATCTTGACATAATCGTCGTAAGGGTGTCCTTCCGTGTAACACTCGCGGAAGATCTCGGTATTCAGCCAAGCAAGGTGGGTAGCACCTGAATCAAGATTGTTAGTTGAAGCTCAAGGAGCAGGGACTTGGAGTGTATACCTATCCGAGCATACATGGCGCTCTGCAGCGCCATGTACGCGCCTGTAGGGGTTGACAGGTTCTTTGTCACGTTGATATGAGAGGCTCGGACAAAAGATTCAACAATTGATGCAAGGCTCTCTCCCTGGGTATCATCAGCAAACATGATCAGTCAAAGTATTCGGGAGATACTAGTAATTACTAACCTGTTGCATCTCTAGCTTGGCCTCACTGAGCAATGTAGTACTCATGAGTGACCACATATCAGTCTCCTTCGACTTTGCCTTGAGGAACGCGAGACCTTCTTTTTCATTTCCTAGCATACCACTGTTCTGTACCTCACGCATCTGCTCGGGGAATGCCTTGCCAAAGTGGTAAAGCCAGCTCATGCAGAAGTTAAGACAGTTCATATCATGAGACTCGCGAGCAATGGCTACAGCTTCTTGCACGGCGGAGATGGCTTCACTGAAACATTCAAAGTCAGCTTGAATGATGGCTAGGTTTAATAGCGCGAACTGATATGCGCTGCGGTCTTGATTGTTGTGCATGGTGTAGTCGAAGTATCGATGTAGATTGTCGAAAGCTGATGTATAGTCACCAGCTCGCCAAGCATCGAGGTATCTGTGCGGGTTAGCTACCGGAATGGAGAAAATGTGCAGAATCCTTTGCTTGAGCACTGACTGTAGGTAGTACATGAGTACTGGGACAGACGCTTCCGATGTCATGATGCGCGTAAGCTGTGCTCGCATCTCATCTGGCACTCTGCCTCCCAACCCTGTTCTGGTCAGTATATAATGCTCAATGCCATTCGTTTTGTATAAACAGTATCCACATACTTTGGAGTTCTCCAACCTGAAATTCCACCAGGCGCTCGGCATCCTTAATACCGACCACAACTTCGTCTCTTTCATCATCTTCAATGTTGCCATACACCACCCGAGAAAGATGACTGGTAGAATCCAGGTCTTGATCGGAGAAATTCGCATCAACCGGGTTGATTTTATCTGGCGGATTCTTCCGCGCATAGACATGGTATGTCGGCAAGCGGTACCTCACAAAGCCAGACCATAACTTGACGGAGTCATGAAACTGCAGCCGGGTGTATTCAAGGTAAGCTCTGCGCACAAACGCACCAAGCGGCGAGCTGCGGGACAAGCGCGTACCCTGAGTCTCGGGAGCAAGGCCATTATCTCGATCCAGGAGCAATTGTTCACGCGTCTTGGTGAGAAGGGTCGGCAAATGATTGGAAAAGAACCATTCGAGTGCATCGAGAGAATCGAGGCTCCAAAGCTTTCTCAAAAATAGATCCCATATCGATCGACCCGGTACCGAAGAATCATGGCCCGACAGGACTTCCTCCAGCTCGGCGATGCTGGACAGGTAGTGTTTCTGCCATTGCTTATCGGCGGGATCTAAAGGAAACAGACCCCCGGTCAGGAACGAGAGCACATGGATGGCGGACGAGTTGGGGACGAATCCTTCCGTATAGACGGTTATCAGGCACAGCAGAGAGATCCTCCACGGTGTCAGATAGCGTGTCATGATTACGAATGGCCCATCCTTGAATCTGAATCGCAATATCAAAAACGTGACCCGATCCAGGGCGCGTTGTGATCGTGTTGCTGATAAAGAGCGATAAGGTGCCTGAGGCAAGAATTATCCTGCCCCGCCAAAAAATGATTCGAGTGACGCATTTAGCTTCTCCAATCTTCAATCCGATTGTTGAACTCAATTGCACTAGCCACCATGATGGAAGCTCTGACAACCACTGACCTGCAAGGCGCATTGCCTCTTGTCGCTCGCGGCAAGGTCCGCGACCTATACGAGGTTGACGACAAGACCCTGCTCTTCGTTGCGACTGATCGTATCTCCGCCTACGATGTGATCATGGAGAATGTATGATTTACGATGGATGGGACTACTACTCATAATATATGCATACTGACAAAAAACTCATATATAGGGCATTCCCAACAAGGGAGTCCTCCTTACCCTCTGCACAAAGACCTGGTTCAAGATCCTCTCCGATACCGTCCCCGGGCTGCGCACCCACTTCCTCACTCTCGACCTCCCTTCCCAGATCCCTGCTTCCCTCAGACCGGTGCTGCAGAACCGGGCTATGCAGGTGCGCAAGCTGCGCATTCTCCCCATCGAGGCTATCGTCCGTGGATACATCACCGGATCCGCCTGGAAAGAATACCAGAAGTCCGGCACCGTGCACGGAATCCCCGTTCCTGCTGGTCTCAAGGAAAGCGAGGCATTCCCCAATGGTCCTATCTACACTCCCAGCACCAAGGCTGAGCAGGGCGAGCACGATGAGAACATTCACCCCGACCAAGGTACGCTATCATATAAATACTTTCGTAGGGATGATATCTTGAGAATGTTGGAGCTAATTGCAAGTAACAGCTACTGCCATTCTTGGAGAGCCATACGCCACCAAGGTTGCTGAGCTGGCCGTACAGCTGTACAAGGCTGCCCACACCTATGCTCTCGAGCGCGGTGTGATCATCGCCGATACCAAGTTCGAATTCGGTGTTGACGAGGAGACAGACGAGGTTGTCCTGGCCGATGAGGTTCTGACTCCCGACTCCTCCCGATTCTGGCCCAAGGACTCGTATGCCGTCGGTCAGGGTCAGGCTAGCTTCGATAAGCAGTACCTGCGTGACTGGTTGGTTTCCGAGGGCCTCAAGGGTAAGGATGGTGTTCGGATGACCGAGGCCGTGGTCCAGGAGACCGCTTCCAAGTACAAGGAAGCCTGGGAGAAGATCACTGGAGGTAACTAGAGTAGAAGCTTTTATATGGCTGTATAGTTGTGGGCTTATGATTGATTTGAAAACAAGTGTCATCCTTGTATGTACGCTTTGATGAACGAGATGCAAGAACAAGAAAAGAAGATTTGAAATGTCATGCCCAAATGTTATTATATGATCTGCCTATTTCAAGTGACGCGGAGAGGACAAGATCCACCGGGAGTTAATGTACAAATTGCGATGGGGGAATATTGCTTAACGAATCACTCCTCCCACTCCGACCGAAGGCCCTTCAATCCCTTCTCCTTTGCCTCGGACTTCTTCCGGTTCTCCGTGTGCTCGGTTTGCTGGTTGGACTCAATCCAGGCAGACTGAACACCTTCGTCAAGCGGCAATGCGTCTGCACCGCAGATCCGACGCTCCTCCTCGATATCCGCCTCGCCCATACCATTTGTCGCCCAAATCTTGTGAATGCGCAAATCAAAGGGTCCTTCAATACGATCCGTGAGACCGATACCGATACTCTTAACCCGTTGGCGGATAATGGAAGTCTGTGGCTCGACCACGTATCCGTGATTGGTGCGGACAAAGGCGTTGAAAGGCAGAAATACCGTCTCCCAGCCTGTTGTACCAGAGGTCGTTGTGCTAGAATTCGAGGTGATGATAGTGGACTCAGGGGGGACGTCGGAAAGCGCCGAGGGAACACCCCTGGGGTACATTTCTTCCACTTCCTCTGCGTCTTCAGCCGACCTCACGGGCAAGGCTCGCTCCAGGATTTGCGAACGGTCTTGCAGGCGGTGGTGTCGGGTATATAATCTGTGCTGGTGGATATCGGTCTCAACAATGGACTCTGTCTGGATGTTCACGGTGTATCGGCGGCCGTCCGACTTGATGCGAAGCGCGAGATAGGCGTATGGATCGACATCCCAAAATAGACGGCCAAACAGCCAGCGACCACGGTCTTTGTTGCGGAATGCGGCATATCCTGTTCGTTCCACGCGCCAATTTTCCGGGAGTTTGGTGGAAATGCTGCCGTGGAAGCGAACGTGGGCAGGTGTATTGGAGGAGGGTTCAGCTGGTTCGTAATTTAGGTCTGCGGTACTGAAGCCGCCCACGGCGCGATCGGCAAAGGTTTTGCAGTCTGAGACGGTTCCTTCATCTTCAAAATTGAGGAGGGTATAGGGTTTGGTAGGGGTGTGGAGGGCCTCGGTGTTCCAGGCTAGATTGAGTTGATTAGTTTTTTGGTTAGCTATGGGGGAGAAAGCACAGGTCGTACCAATCTTGGAGAGACGGCCAAATTCCTCGGCACTGCGCCTGAAGAAGTTGCCCTGGGCCGCTAGGCTTCTGGTGGGAATCATTCTCCTGCTGTGGTGGATTGAATGGTGAGAGTTGGAAGAGGAAGCTTCAGAATGATGTCGGTTCCCGAGGTGGCGTGAAACTTACGAGCGCCGATCACCCGCGATAAGATAGCTCCGTCCCGAGGTCTTGCAAGATGAGTTGTATACTGTCCCAAGGTCCATGATTACGTTTTTTTGTAAATATTTTACATGTCATGGTGCCAGAATGATGAAGTCTTTCGCCAATCATGGGATTGTATTGTGGCATCTGCCTTGTCAGTCCCAAGGTTCCTTCTAATTGAGGCTTGTACTTAGTAGGGGAGGGCCGGGAGGCTATGTTAGAACTTAGAACTTAGGGCTCACTAATTAACGCCGCATATTGACAACCTGAACATTCAAGTTTGAAGACACGCGACATGTGGACATGAGCCATCAAGTCGTTGAAACATAGTATGGTATAATTAAAAGAAATGTTGGAAACCAAAAAAAATATATTTATTATTATGTTGATCTAGTAGAAATGACAATACTGTAAAAAACCACTCTCATAGTTAACTGTATGCCGATACTCGATCTATACTAGCCCTAGTACATACTAGTAATTACGGGGGTAAAGGCTATCAAGTTACGCACATCAATCGCCATGCATGTGTGATGAATAAATACCGTTCAGACCGTGACCGGCCGAGTCCAGGAGTGTAACAGAAATTTTGACCGCAGCTTGTACTAGAAACTATATTTCACATATAAAGATTGGGATTCAGATTTAGGATCCGTGGACAGATATCGAGCTCCGATGACAATTCTAGTTATTTCTGCTGCAGAAATTGTCACCGTTTCAGGGAGTACCCCAAATTTGACATACAAGATGTCAATAAACCTGGTGCATCAACCACGGGTTGTCAGTCTGGATGCTTGGAAACTGAGTATAGTTTGGTTGTGAGTCAAAACATCTTCGACATAGTGGTAATCCCCGGACATAGCCATGGAACCTTGGCCGTCTCCCCTTTCTCAAAGTGTAAGAGGACCATCAAAGTGGCTTAGTACTTTGTTTGCTTTGAGGTTTTCATGTTGAAAATGTATGCGGAGGTGATGTTGACCTCTTTTGTTTCTGATGCACACTCCCACTGAGATTCCTTGTCCATACATGACATTACTGCTGTCCATCCTTCCTTTGTCATCGACATACCAAACATCAAATATAAACACTATCGTTTCTGAATATATAGGCCATCATGACTGTTCAAGAGATGGCGCCTGTTCTCGAGAACAAGTATCCTCGTCGTGGAGATCGCCTGCAGGAGGAGCCATCGGCCAAAAATGCTCAAGGCTTGTTCCCCCCAGATGCTTGTATCTTTGTTGGAAAGTAAGTGTATTCAATATAAGCCACACATCGTTTGAAGAGAGTGGCATTTCCGCGCTGAAATACTGACCTCTTTTTGCAGCTTATCCACGAAGGTTGCTGCGGAGGCAATGACGGAAGACTTGAAGAACGCGTTCACCGTCTATGGTCCGTGTCATGTTAAGATTAAACAGGATAAGAAAAAAGGTCTTCCAGGTGCATTTGTGCAGTTTGAGGTAAGTCGAATTATCCGTTCGAAAAAAAAGTCCTCCAGGTAAACTGACGTATTCTCCAGCAAGTGGAACATGCAAATGCAGCACTGAATCCTGATGAACGTATCACTTTGCATGACCGGTGGCTACGCATCGAAAGAGCCAAAGGAAGAAGTAAGCTTCTTGCCATTTCTTGCCATTTCTCCCTTTTCCCCTCCCCTTCCCTTTTCCCTCCTGCTCCATCGTGGTTTCCAAAATTGATACTGACGCCGAAGGAAGGAACCGCTTGTCTTGGTCTCCGCTCTGGAGCCCCCATCACACAGCAAGATATCTCATCTGCACTGAGTGATCGGGGTCATCTGGAGTTCTACTGCATCGAATCGTTCCCAACAGGACCTCACACATGGACGTGGATCTGTAAAGTCACATTTGCCTACGTGGACGACTGCAGAGACGCCATCAAGGTAAGTAGATGATCACCCTCCCAATCTCATACAAAGGATACATACTCACATTTGTTCTTCTAGTACTTCCAAAAAGATTCAAAGTACTACCTCAGTCTTCTCGACATGGACGGTAGCCCCCTGGCTCCTAACGTAGGGCGTCCTCTCCCTCTCCGTCCCAGGGCCAACAGCTCCTCTCAGCCATGGCGCAACAATAACCACAGCAACCAAAATGGTCAAAACGGTCGAAACGGTCATCCACGGTACAACAAGCCATATCGCAATGGCAACGGACCCAGCCGGGGTGGCTATCGTGGACCTCCCAGATATCCCAACCAACAAGCCCTGCAGGAGAATATTCATCCTCCTCACTTCAATGGCGAGTTCCCCGTTCCTCAGTTCCGTGGAGACATGCCCCCGCCTCATCTCCGAGGTGGTTGCCCTAACCCTCCTTACTGGGGCCATGGTATGCCTTACAACAATGACCCGCATCCATCATTCTATCCTCCTCCGCCGCATCACCCCATGAACGGGTTTGGCAATCCCCCATTCATTATGAATGGCCCACCGAGATATGATCATCCCAATCTCCTCCCACCTCCAGAAATGTATAACCCTGGTATGCCCAACGGGCCTTTGATCGTCAACGGTCAGCCGCCATATGGTGGCCCTAACCCGGCGTTTTATCCCGAGTTCTTCACACCTGAGAGTGCTTTCATGAGCCCACCGTCCAGTGTCTCGAGTCAGCCCGGTGGCTACTTTCCACCGCAGCCCTACACTGAGCCTTATATGCCCGGTCCCCATCCCGACTACCTGGTTCCGCCGAGTGCTCCAATCAAAATTACACCACCGCCGACGGAGAAGACTCAAGTGGTCGAGGAAAAGGCCACTGACAATGGAGGCGATGATGAAGTCACCGAGACAGGAAGTATAGAGAAGTTGCTCGAACGCATGACAGTAGAGCAGGCACCGAAGCTCATCCGCGTCTATGACTCTGACACGGAGTCCGATGGCGAAGCAGATGAAGACAAAGTTCCGGTACCAATTCCGGCATCAACTGTTGAGCACGATTCCCGCAAACATACCGTTACAATTCTTGACCCAGTCAAAGAAGAAGACGAAGAATCAGCTGTTGAGAAAGCACATGACACACAAAGTTCGGAGCAAACTGCCGTTTCAGGACCTTCATCAGAGGATCAAGCATCCACGCCGAGTCATTCATGCTCTCGCTCTCGATCTTGCTCTCCTCCTTCTCGTGTCCCATTTGAAGTGCCTTCCAAGTCTTCTCCAAAGGCTGCCTGCCAGAACATTCACGCTGTTGGTGGAAAGACCATCGCGGAGTATGTACGATCCATGGTGGAAGCACGGCAGCAGGATAACATTGATGAGACCTTCGATGAGAGTTTGGTCCGAGAGGTTATTCTGTCACTGGAACTGGAGATGCAGCAAGAGAAAGAGCTGGAAATCGCAGAGGAAATCGCAGAGGCAGATAAGAAGAAAGAGCAGGGCAAGGAAAGGTCTGTGATTAACCGTGGATCCAGCTCCTCGCGAAGCTGTTCATTGACAAGGACCTGTTCGGTCAAGTCTATTTAAAAACAAGGATACGGTGTCCTTCTTTCTATTTCATACGGAGTTTTGTGCTTTTCTTTTCTTTTTCTTTTTCTTTTGTGCTCAGTTTGTACTGTGGTCGCAGTGTGCTGATTCTATCTTTCGAACCGTGTACTTGTGTCTTTTGCAGGATGGTTTATATTGTTTCCAAGGTTCGTGCCATTTTTATAAGTTGCAGTTTGACATTATTGATGTATCTTTTTTGCAAGAAAAAGAGTATAAAATAAAACAAAATATTTACTGTTTTCAGCAATGGACTCAATGGCTACTATAATACATCAGTTACAAAAAACATTCGTAGCTGAGGTTTCAAGCTAGTTTTACCTACATAAGTACTAGTATAAAGTAGGTTACAGCTCGGTTCCTGAGAAATACCCGATGGAGTCGTGTAAAAGTGACAGTACAAATTTGAACTGGAAAAATTGGAAGACATGGTTGACTATGATACATGAAAGGGTAGATGCTCTATATAAGTGGCTTTGCAGGCAGATCCATAAACAAACAAGAGGTTCAAAAGGACCAAGAAATACTGCCCGGCCAGTTTTGTGAGGAAGAACGCGAAGATAGGAGATTGATACCGATAACACAGATAGACGAAGCGAAATATGATGTGATGACAGGTACAATCAGTTTGATACAAATTGCTGGCGTTGCAATAATAAAGGTGATCTGGATGCTGGTCGAAAGGGGTGACTCCAGACACAGTCCATCCAGGAGTCTTTGCCTGAGACTTCCAATGAGAACGGACTCACATGGCGAAGAAGAGCGCCTTGCTATCCTGACGCGGGACAGACGATCACTGGCCGGCCATCTTCTTCATAGCCTCCATGCGCTCGAAAGCAGTCAAGCCGGGGGCGAAGTAAGGGTCGCTGTGAATGGTATCAAGATCCGTGGGCTTGACGTGGCCCCAAGCGCGCCATCCAGTGCTGACGCCGTTCCAGCGAATCTCCTGGATGACAAAGTATTCGGTGCAGTCCTGCTCCTTGGCGGGTGTCTCGACGACTGCGGCCGCGGGAGTCTTTCCACGGGGGCCAGCAGGCGCGGGTGTGGATTTGGACATGGACTGTCGGGAGTTGACGCGCAGGACGATCTGGCGAATGCCGGAGTTGGGAACTTCGGGAATCTGGGTGGCGCGGTCTGCCATGACGCGGAGGCCGGTGAAGTAGGTGCTGGGTCTTCGGAGCCATTTGATGAGGTTCCAGGTCACTTGCTGGTTCTTGGGGCGGTTCTCGATCTGCATGATGAGGTTCTTGGCAAGGCCGTCTCCGCAAAGACGACGGATGCCGGGAATATCACCCCTAGAGATTTGTAAGATATTGGGCTGGAAGGTTGAAAGGAGGGGGTAGATTGCGGATGCTCACCTTGCAAGGGCAGTGTACATATCGGTGTAGAGGAGGTGCGCAATCTTTCGTCGTTCTTTCAGCATGAGGGGGAACTCGTTATCTTTCTTGCAGTAGATGATCAAACTATAGAAAATGTTTAGCTATTGTTCTGGTGGCTGCAATCAAATCGGACCGATATTCGTCATGCCACGAAACTTCGCGTGCACAAGTATATGGCGACGCGGTCAGGATTTGTACATATCACCCACCTCATGAAGTTCTGGAAAAAGGACTTAATCCCAGTCCATTCCACCAGCCACCGATCCCGCGGGTTCTGGAAGATCGAGGGCAGATCCCTCCACAGTGGCCGGACGAAGGTTCCCGGCAATATGCCGATATCATTAGGCAGCGAGCCGTTCATAGCATCTCTTGTGCGGGCCTTCATTGAAGGACCAGCGAGGTTCTTGGGCCCGAAGTTGGTGGCCTTGATTGCCCATCGTTGCGAGGCCTGGGAAAAGGATCGGGATTGTTGGGAAGTCGGCGCAAGGGTCTGCGCAATAACGGAGGTTGAGCGTGCACTGCTAGCCAGGCTGCCAGCAGACAGACGTAGTGAGGACGCCATGACGAACTGCGACTGGGAACGTTGAATGTGTCTGCCGTGAAAGTCCGCGAAGGAGAAATAAAATCCGCAGGTCACGTGCCGGCTCTCCGCGATTTCAAGGTACGGGAAGCTGCCTCAGAGAGCGAAGGTCCCCACTTACTCTTCTTTTCTCTCTCCACTCTTCTTGTCCCGGTCATCTTCGACTCGGCCAGTGACAGTGTACTGCATAGAATACTCTTTGCAGCGACCGATATCTCCTCAAATACGCACCGCACACACTCCTTTATTTCCGCCAAAAAATAACCAGCCGGTTAGGGGACTCGGCAACAACACACTCCGGGCCACAAACTTTTTTTCTTCTTCTTTCTGCTTAAAAGCAATACTCCGACAATTCAATTCACCAGTGCCTATTTTACAGGCTTGCGCGGCGGCCGCCATATGCCGTATTTGTGTTTAAAGGCTGGCTCCTCGACGTAATGCCTCTCCTCCGCCCTACTCTCCCCCCGCCCAGACATCTAGCGAGCCAGACTTAAATCTCGCACAGTCAACCTTCTTGTCGGAACTTCTTCGGCCCCAAGTCTCATTTCCCTCGGGGCATATCACCAAAGAAGTGGCTTCCGCTCTGTCGCCCGCGGCCCCGCGGTCCCAGACCTCCTCTACGTCCCATACCCCACTTGGCAGCGATGCTGGTCAGGCTGCTTCTTCACCTCTCCATCCCCGGGTAGCTGTGATTCTGGGTGTGGATCGAAGATGGCATATTCCTCTGTTGGTCTGCAGAGCTTTGAGCACGCTCCCTGCTGCATGGTGGGGTCTAAGGTGCGCTTTTACTTTCCTGGCCGAGCTACTGCACATTCGACCGGGTATGGGAGGAGAGGGGTGGGCGGCGGCGATAGTTGGGAGTGTGGGACAGGACTGGGATGTTGAGAGGAGGTTTCGGGTTACTGAAGTGGCATTGGCCATTATGTGGGTATGTAGTAACCATGTTGGTGGATTAGCATGCCTGGTTCCCCGTGAATATCGGAGCGTTTTGGTTGTATGTGAAAGCTAACATTCGTCTGACTAGTGCTGCGCATCCGCATATCTTTCTTATTTCTTTGCTGATTGTATGATGTCTCGATGGTCAGTATACCGGTTCTCGGACTCCAGCCTGGGTTTCTCTTTTGCTAATACCAGTGGCTTGAACAGGCTTCTCAATTACACTCCGCCGGCTGTTGTGATCCGTCTTTTGACAACAAATGGCTTAATTGCATATATTACTTCTTGGGTTCTCTACCTTTCTGGTGCCTCTTCCGACCCCCGATGTCTCTTACCGGCTTGGATCTCAATAACCGCCGTAATATATCCCCCCTACAAACAAATGTGTTTTCAGATCGATTTCATCTGTTCATGCTGACAATTCATGTTTACATAGACCCTTACATTTGTCTATCATGCGACACAAAACCACGCCACTATCAAGCGCGAAACCGCAGCGTCTTTTAAGGTTGTATCTGTTGCAAGTTTCGTCAGCATGTCCTCGCTTTTGATGCAGCTACATCTGACGCGCGAAAACGAACCGGAGGTCCCTGTCTTCGTGATTACGCAAAAGCTATGGGACTGGGCTGTTGCAGTCTTTCTACGCATGCGAGTCGCGGATGACCGTTTTGCTAGAGAACTGTAACTTGGAGTTTTTCTACTTTTCGGCGTTCTTCTTTTACTTCCCCAGATATTTTTTTTCTATGATCCATTTGGCATGGACGTGGCCGCCCACCTAGCCCCTCTGATCTACAGATCAGGATACTAGGGCTGGAATTGTACATTTTTCGGGATTACCATGCTGATTCATTCCGGGCTTGACGTGGCACAGTCCCACTTTCGTCCCACTAAGGCAGGCTGCTTTTTCTTCTTCTATATTCCAAAAATCTTTGATAGATCTAATCGACTTCTTTTGGTTCGGATCTTGATGTTGCACCGTCGTAAAGCAAAGTAACAGATTACGACTTGGTACCCAGGTAAGAATTGTACAGGTCAAATGCAACGGATAATTCATATTCATTGTTAATACGCAAGAAACTGAACGCATTGAAAAACAAGCGCAATGATTTGATCACCGACTATGATAAGGGAAAAAGGTAGTGACCGAAAAGGGCAAGCAGTGCACCACTCTCCTAGTTCCAAACCTCCTTCAATTGAGCGTGACGATACAAAGCGTAATCGAGCAAGAACCGTACGAAATGAAAAGCAGAGAATAGAGAAAAACTTCGAATTGATAAAAAATGTAAAAGCAGGGTCTGCTTGAGCAGACATGGGTATCTCCAACGCCTCGTTCCATCGTGATCCTCCTAGAAAAATGACACGCCGTCGAATATGAGGACGCTTTCCGGTCGAAAGAAATATTCAGGCGCACATGCTAGGCTGACAGCAAACCGAGTCTAACATGCCAGGCACAGAGAGACGGGGAGAGGAGGCAGGACATTTCACCATTTATGGATCTGCGAGGTGTACCGCTCACAAGTGATGGGGATATGGGATGTCTCTATTCCACCGTTCACAGGGCAACTTAAGACTTGGAGAAATGACCAGAACGAGGTATGGTGACTGACTTAGAAACCGTGGACCTGTAGCATTGTCAGAGATGAAATACAACCAGAATATACAAACATGGTAACATACCTTGACCTTGACCTTCATGGCCATGCCGTAGCCTCGGAGCTTCTTGAAGCTATCTTCGTCTTCAGCAGCCTTCACGAGTTCCTTAGGGGGCTTGGGCTTGGTCAAGAAGTCGTAGACATCCTTGCGCTGATCGCCTTGAAGCTGAATCACTTCACCCATCTCGTCATCCTTGACGATGTTTCCATTGCATGCTGGTCAACAGTCAGCATTTAGTCGAAGCCAATCTTGACTGGTGATGGTGAACAAACCGTAAATCTTCTTCATGCGCTTGAGAATCTTCTTCTGGTCGTACTTGTCCGGGAGACCCTGGCAAGTAGTCAGGGTCTTGCGACCATTACGCTCTGTATCACAAAGAATGATTAGTGAACCGTCGGGGCGAAACAGGATCGTTGGGGGGTAAGGTAGTGATAACATACGCTGGATACGAATGTGGACGTAGTTTTCAGTCTTCGCGTTATTCTTTCCACCGTTCTCTTCGTCGACGTCGGCGAAGGGGTCTGTGTAATTCGGTGTCAGCTTTGGTCCAGAACAAAATCGTTACCCCGCCACCGCCTTCGATAATGAATTTGGGTGAAGTGAGGCATCAACAACAACAGCAATCCGACAACATGTGCAAGTGCCAGTAGCCTTTTGTAGCCTTTGGCATCTGTTTGAGGCTCGGGAAGGGTGGATTTCAAACAAGCGCCCGGGCGCTGCTATAGGAGGGGATGGTGGCGACTCACCGAAGGTCTTAAGGTTTTCGATGGACATAAACTCGGCCTTTCTTCAGAAATGGTCCTTAAAAACGGTTTTGGTAAAAATGAGTTGGAAGTGAGATTCAATATCTCTGGAAAGATGGGCGATCGCAAGAAGTTGCGTGTGGAGAAAGAAAAGATTGGAGTTGTAGAGGTTGAAGAATCAGAAGAGTAAGTGAGCGGGAAGAGTTTATGGGAGTCACGTCGTGGGGAAGGCGGTGTGTGACTCAGCCACTGCCCCTCCGCCAGCGCCAGCGCTCTCAGCGCTTCTATCAATTCACGCAAATCGCCACTTTACCTTTCTTACTTCTTACTAGTAAATACGAGATATTGCTGTTATTACAGGGAATTTCTGATCTCGCAAGCCTGCATATTATGGGAGTCATGAGTGAATAGCCATAAATTAAATGTTATGATTACAACGAGAAATATCCATCCGGGTATTAGTACAGTGTAAGCCAATAGCCAATCACTTGAACATTGAAGAATTGGTCCCCTAGTATCTTTCTGGGAATCCGAGACTAGATCTGAACTGCCTTCCAAGCCTATCAATCCAGATTTCTCGGGTGGGGGATAAGGGTGATTGGGATGGGCTCGTGGGTTCGTTTAAGGTATCACAAGGGTACAACTCTATGCCAATGGCATAGCAGCGGCGGGAGCGTTCTTTGCCTGGGGAGGCAGGAAGAGAGGGAAATAAGTCTAGATATTAAAGGTTAGGAATGGAGCGAAACATGAGCGATCACCGAGGGACATACAACGACGAGGGCCATCACTGGAAGAGACCAAGCAGGTTAGTTTATCGTGCTTTCAAGCTACTAGTAGTCAGAGGGCAAAGAACGTACACGACATGAGAACCGACATGTAGGCTGGAGTACCGGCAGTCTTCTTCTGCTCGGGGGACTCAGCAAGCCAGCCCTGAAGTGAGAAGACAAAGGCCACCCTGCAACGATGTTAGAGAGGCCTTGCGCCATCAATGGACGAGGAAAGGGGGCGCCTGGCTTACCATCCAATCATTCTGAATCAAGTCGAGCTTCTAGTTAGAAAAAAGAAAAAGAAAAAGACGGCATGAGTCGTGAATAAGCGTAGTTGCCTCACCTGTTCCGGGTGAACATCTAATTAACGTGTCAGCGTGTCATTGCTTAAAAACCGAGTCCCATCCACTTACTGCCGCCATGGGCATTGTGCTTGACATGGTAGCTATCGAAGAAGCCCGTCAGGTTTCCATTTCCATTTCCAATTCAGGTTGTGTTGTGTAATAATATTGTTGGTGGTGGCGCAAACGTACTGGACATGTCGCCTTCATTGCTGCTCTTCGGGGGGTCGACGTAGGGAATGACTGTCAGGGCATCAGGGATTAGCACAAATTCAGGCAATGGCAAGTAAAACAACTCACCCAAATCAGCCCTTCGCATATCTTTGTTTGACGCCATAATGAGTTGATGGGTTGATGGATGATTGGAAGATGTCAGAAAGTGTCGAGATCTCCCCCGTGCCAAGGCCAAACCCGCGTCCGGGCTAGACCCGAACCGTGGGGAGTTGCAGTTGGTAAACTCTGGAGAGAACACTAGTATTCTATGTACTGCCAGTGAGTACTAGTTATAAGATTGACAAGTACAATATGATGAATAATATCTTTTTTTTTTGTTCTTTAAGTTTAATGTCTTTCCTTTTTCTTTTTCCATTATTGCAATTTTCGAGTACGACTTTGGGGTATAATCGGCCCACTGCATGAATTAATTTCTAGATCTGGGTAATCTGACGATCTAATTTAGCTCCGAAACTTGAAAGGGTCGGTGAGAGTACAAGATTAGGCCTACAGAATGCAGTGCAGATCGATGTGATAGGATATGGCGTTCTCCTCCCCCCCCCTCTCCTTACATTCAAACCGTGCACGACATGGACTTGAAGGTTTCCCGCGTCTTCTGGGGACATCTGGAGATGGAAAAGACGGCATTTTGACCGGCAGATGGATTACAAGGATATATCAAGAAATCTCCAGAATGTCACGCGTTGACCCACGTACATAAGAGCACACCGTATGATAGATCTGCTGCAGTAACCCGATGGCGGGCCGATACGGAATGTGGACGCACCGGAGAGATAAGGTGGAAAGGGCAAACCTACAGGTTTGATATGATCCTTCTCGTGGGAGACGCACGGGGCGTAAGGCTCGCATTCCGTATGGAGCAAACATATAGAAAAAGAAAAGACAAGTCACATATAGCAAATTTGTACACCGGAGAGTATGAACAATGTGTAATACGATCAGCCTTGAATGGGCTGATCGAGGGGGTAACGGGGTTACGGGAGCCAAAATAACCGGAAAATCGGGTTTATGTATGGGGAAGCCACCCTTGGCACATTTTCAACATTGTACACGCCACTGTACATGGTAAGATATTGGTGTGACTTGACCGGGAATGGGGAATGCATAGGGGAAAGAAAGACGCTTACTATACTACATATTAATCAATTTTAAGAGTCAAGACTTAGTACTGTATAGTAGATTATGGGGATAATACTACTTGATATTAGTTACTCTAGTTAGTAGACGGCAGCTCGGCAAAAGATTCCAGACCAAAAGGGGCAAATGACCCCGATAACTAAGGTAGAGCAGGACCCTTTTTTTAGATAGAAATTTTTTTTTTTAAAAAAAATCCAATACATTTTACGTTTAGAACTCACAAGCAATGAAATAATTAAATAATGAAAAATGAAAGACAAGATAGAAAAAGAAAAAAAAAAAAAAACAAGAACATTAATCAAGGGCCCATTCCTGGTGGAGAGTTTTAGCAGCAAAAGCCGTCGATCCCGGCCATTGAGGTGGATCCAAGGCCACGGAGGAGGACGGAGACTGCTGATTTGGCCCGTGACTTACGTTATCGCTTTCACTTCCATAAACACCCACTTGATCCTCTATAATACCCCCCTCTCCTCCAACTCGGATTGACGAGATCCATATACATATATACCAATATCTCTTGGGCTTCAAGTCCTCGAAATCCACCTTCCGAACGACCTCATCCTCCCCGACCCTCCCTCGATACCTCTATTCCGCAACATCGCTCGCCCTATTCCTCCCAAGTCAGACCACACCTCAACCCAACTTCGAATTGTCGTTAATTAGATCGGATCAAGCATCTTTCGCATTGCGCTGCGGACTATATTGGTTTATACTTGTTGGCGCTTCTGATTATTTACCCCGGATCCGGATGATTCAAACGTTACACCCTTCGGACGGTCCACGATGAGCCTAAGATGATACCGCATTCTTCTGCCGGTGGTCAACCATGGGGTCACCCGATGCGACCACTCAATGGTGGCCCTGGAAGAGTCGATTTGGCACAAATGTCTTCACAATATGACCCCTCATCAGTTACCTCACAAACCCCCCTGCCGCCGTCGCAGCCTCAGCCCCAACCCCAGCCCCAGGTGCAGCCCCAGCCGCAACCGCAATCGCAACCACAACCGCAATCGCAAACCCAGACGCGCCAACCGGCCGTCGTCGACTTGACCGATAACGTATCTGACACAAACGATCGGGAACCTCCGCCAAAACGACCAAGACTAGATATCTCGGGTGCATCTAAGGTCGGCGATGCAGCCTCGGTAAAAAGTGGGGATCCGAGGAGTACACCGGCCAGCGCTGGTTCACGATCCCAGCTATCGTGGCGTGGTAGACCCATGTGGTCTTTTCAGGCGGTCATGTCGGAGATTCCTGGCAGTGCGACGGCATCTCGGCCATCAACACCGCCTCCTTTCCCCACCCAGCCTTGGAACAATGCGCCATCCGATTCATTAGATGGAGGCTCAAAATGCAGGGATTCATCCCCGGATAAGAAAGTTCAAACCACCCCATTTCGAATTATAACTCCTTCTGTGGCTCCAGCGATTAAAGGCGAGAGTAAGTCGATGAAACCGTTGTGTCACGGGCATGGAGAGTATCGCTAACATCTGTGTGTAGAAGTCGCCGATTTCACTCCTTGGACCGGAAATCATCCAGAGGATGTCCTGAATGAGCAAGCGGCGAAACAAGGCTACTACAGCAGGACCCAAGTTTCTCAAAATGAATCCAACACAGCCCGGCCTGCATTGTATGGCCAACTAAAACACCGGACTGGGCTTCAGATGCTTTCCACCGTCTTTTCCGCCGCGCTGGAGAAGCGCCAAAATCACAACACCGTCCACGCGCCATCTACCTTTAAACCGCCACCGAGAGTGACCCTTACCGACAATAAACGAGAGGCCTGGCTTCGAGATCTTGCCAACCCATCTGTGCAGTTGCGCCGCCTGAGCCGAACCATCCCTCATGGCATCCGAGGCAAAGTCCTTCTAGATCAATGTATGGGCAAATGGATTCCAATTGCCCGTGCAGTTTGGCTTGCAAAGTGTGTTGGTGCCAATGAAATCCGCGCCTTCAAGCGCAAAGGAACGAGTGGTGCTTTGGCGGTGGGCCTGGAAGCAAAATGGGTGCGAGACTGGACGACAAACGTTGAGCAGTACGTTGAGACTGTGTTTAGTGCGCCCAAGTCCTCCGATTGGAAAATGAAGATGTCGTATGCTGTTGGGTTGACTGCCCGTTTGTTTTTCGAGAATCTCCTCGACCATTACCATTTTATCGAGTGGTTCCTATCTTCCTTCGAAGCCGCATCAATCGGTACCACCCCTGTCTGGATTATGATGCTTGGCATTTACTGGAACAACATTACACGATATCGACGCAGAGGTCGACGGCTGGCCGAACTTCTGCTTGAAAAGCTGCGTCAGGCCACAGAGGCCAAGCGAGAATCCTTGAAACCCATCATTGACCGACTTTCTCGTTTCATTAAAAAGTTGATTCGGGAACATACTTCATCGTTACTCTTGCCGAATTCATGGGAAAAATATAAAGCTCAGGTCATTTCGTGCCTTGATCTCACCGACAATCTCGATCGAGCCTTGTTGCAAACCCTCACCGAGCGTAATGCCCGGGTACAACGGCCTCGCCATTCTAAACACACACCGAAACGCTCACCCAACCAACGTATTATTCGCCTGCTTGATTCTATTCGTTCCGAATCTGACATCCATTCCGTCTCAACTTCCTGTTTGGAAGCCGTTGACGATAGAACAGTGTTGGTCTCCAAGTTGCTTGAATGGCTTTCCACGCCATTCCGTCATGGGATCTACCGAGTCTACGCTGGTACTCGTCTATTGCGGAAATGGAAGGCAGCGGGGGTGGATGTTGATGATCATATCCTCGCCTTTCTCACCCGAGCCGGACATGACCAGAAATCGAATATGAACATGGGGAATGTATACCACACAATCTCTGAGCTTGTTAGGTCACAAACTTTCTCGGTGGGACGATACCTCCAATGGCTGATGGCGAAAGATGTCACCAGCCATACTTCTTCTTACCAACAATCAACGCTCGATTTGCACGTCGATATTGCATTGATAGCACAGCTTCCTGTTGGTCGTCTCCCTGAACATGTTGGCAATCTGCGTAGCACCTTGCTGGCTCGTACCGGGTTCTCTGCCGAAGATGAAGTTAACATGCTTACCAATGTGAAGCAACTGATCAGCCGACGTCTACCAGGAATCTTTGATACGGATTCGTCCAGCGAATCAACATTCGGATCGTTGCCAAATAACCTGACCTGGGCTGTTAAAGCAGAAATAAGCCAATGGCTACGTCGGGGTGTGGCTGAGCATTCTCGCGACGTCACTGGTTCGACCATTCGATCGTCATTTACCGTTGGTGGTGTCCCGTCAATGACGATGCTAACTCCAGATGAGTTCAACATTGTTCGTGACATTCTCGAATCATTTGAGGATGTTTCCATGTTGGCAGATGTATTGAAGTGCGCCTCAAGCTCTAACAATAGCGTCGTCCTCGCATCGGTCGCGGATACCGCAAGTTACCACTTTGACTCACTATGCATGATTGGAGCGACTTCAGATCTTTTCCGCAAGTTGGTTGATGCATACGCTATAATCAAACGGTTTAGCACACCGAGTCTTGATTTGATGTTCTCGTTGATCGAACTTGGGTTGCGTATCCCCCAGGAGTGTAACATGGTTTTGATTCTTCGTCAAGACCTTGCACGTATGGGAAACAAGGCTGTTCTCGCTGCGTCATCTCCAGTCTCCGACCACATCCCCGACTCCTTCGGCGATACGGATCCTTTATTCCGAGAGAAGTTGGATCATCTTTTATTATCCGGGAACGTTATGGATGAGCCAACATTGGACACCATTTTCAATACTTTGACGAGGCAATTGGAATCTCAACTCGGCAAGGGGAAGGGAAGACTGTCAGCAAATGATGCTTGCCAGTATTTGGCGCAGTTGCGATCTTTCCAGCCAAAACACTTTGATGGGATTTTGGTTCGCTGGGTCTGTGCCCATCTACGGTCCCCTGATCGTTCTACTCTATTACGTGTTCTACCCTCTCTCATCGGTGTTGGGTGTGTTACAATTACATCTTTCTTGGCTCTGGTGAGAAGGCTCAGCTATTCCACGTCTCCGCTCCCCAATTCAGAAGATCTTGCAGCAGACCTTTGCGATCTTGTTTTCTCCATCCCAGAGGAAGACAGATATCCCGATTTGTTTCCTCCCCATACAGAGGACAAGTGCCTTGATCTGGTCTCTTACCGGTTCCAGTTGTCACAGCAGGAGTTTTTGGCAAAGAGCTTTGATGAAGTCCTTGGCATCGTGTGTGACGCTGCTTCATCTCTCGACCATAGTGACGCAGCAAAGCAAAAGGACCGCGAAGCTTCTCTTGTAATGCTACTATGTGAACTTCTCGTGCGAAATCCTGGTTGTGTGGAGCAGAGTTGCATGCGAAAGCTCGTCGATCAGTACCCAAACGCCATCAGTCTACTTCAAAAGGCACTTGACAGTTTGCTAGGAGTCAATTTACAAAAAGAGGCACCATCTGTGATCTCGCAGGTCGAAAAGCTGGCCAGCACAACTGACGACTTTTCACTCCCCTTTTGTCAACTCAAGCTTCAGATTCTTTTTCATCAAGATTCTGGCAATGAGGATCGGAACAGTATTGCAGACGCAATGTTCAAAACTGTCGTAGCCAACTCTCGCGCCAACAACCTCCACTGGGTCGAGCTTGTTGCGCTCATGAGTCCTGATGCTGTTCGCCAGATTCGCGAACGTGCTGAGAAAGAGTTTTTCTCGATTTCAGTACTGGAAGAGCCATCAAACAACACTTTGGGAACGCCTCGCAGTGCGGGATCTTTGGAAACTGCAAAATTGTACCTGACAATCATTGAAGAGCTTGCGGATACAATTCCTGATGCTGCGTCCCCATCGGTTGTGTCTGTCATCGTGGAGAAAATGGATGGGCTGCTGCAAAAGATTCTTCTGATCCAAAGTGAAGGAGTATCTACTCAAGGGCGGCCAAACTTTGAGCGTTCTCTTGCTTTCTGGTTTTCGGCTCTGTTGAGAATGGTCGTCATACATCGTGCCTCCTTCATGCAGCCACCTGGTTCAAAGCTCAATACCTCCCATGAGCCATCTAGGCTTCTAGTCTCGATCTTCTGTATAGCGCTTTCTCGTCTTCCCGGTGATGTCTTGCGCCTTTTCCCAGGTGCAGACTATTTCCCTCGCGCGGAATCATCTGAGGAATATCGCCCTTGTCCAGGCATTTTGTTACAAACCCATGCCCTTGACGTTGCTGCATCGTTAATCGACGTGTTCCCCGATGAGACAAGATACCAGTGCTCCCGCTTTTTCAAGGAGAAGTGCCCTGCGTTTGGTTTGCAGAGTGACGCTCGATTCCTCTACCTCTTGGGTCCGATCGGTGACTCGACAACCTCCTACCTTGCTCAATCGGCAACAGCGCCGTCTCCAGCAGCCGGATCCACCCCAACATCCAGCTTGCCTGCCCCTACTCCTACCCATGCTTCACAGCCTCCCGCCATAAACCCAGGTTCGCTTGTCGGTGCCGGTGAAGGAATCAGCTCCACAGCAAACCGCCTTCGTCTCCAGCAACGTGGGCGGACTGTTGGTCCATATCCTAACCGTCCCTGGGAGCTTCTTGAAGACGCAGCACCTTTTGTTGGTGTGAACGACACCGCGGTTAATCTGGGCTATTTCGATGCTCGCCGCGTTCGGCTTTGAACGAAGTCTCTCTTCCCCCCCCCCCTATCTCTCCCCCTCCTCTTCCCTTCCACATATATCATCATCTCCACAAGCAGCCTTCTGTTCTTACTTCCCACTACCCATGATATCCTCCATTTCTTTCTGGCTATGCTCAGCATTACTGCATTATTACCTGTCCTTTCGGTCGTTGAAGCGAGCATTTCCACACCTGGCGATAAGATGCATATACATATGGTCATTCGCATTACAAACAGCTCGTTGATCGAGGAAATCCTGGTTTTGTTCCTCTTCTTTATCTCCTCCATCTCCTCCACCCTCGATACACTAGTACACAGCACCTGATTCGACTACTCCACATATGTTTACCACCCATGCACCCATCAATCACATCGCTCCTTCTTTTGTATATATATACATACCATGCATTTGTTGTTTCATGCCCCGGCGTTGGTTCCAAGGTTGGAGTGGGCTCGGAATCGTTTGTTCCACTTCGCAAGGGGTTTTTTTCTATTTTGGTTTTCAGGGAGGCAGGTTATGATGAATTATTATGAAATTGATTTTTAAGGCTATACCCATGGACATTCAAGAGTCAGATGATGTATCTACTACTACATGATTGATCATTGATACCAGTTGACCTAGATTCCAAGTTTCAAACCGTTGCGGGAATTTCTACAACTTAATTATGTATTCTTGACCTAATATGTACGGTGTTGATGTTACCGATTTTCGAAGGACCTAAAGTTTAGAGTGAGTCTCTTCCTCAATTTGACGAGGCAAGGGAACGGGGGATTTTGAGATTTATGCACGTAGTAGTGGTAGTAGTATTTGGCGATGGAAACGAGTCATGACGGATCGTGGTGAAAATAAGGTGTCGGTCTGGGCCGCTTGCACATGTGTATATTACGCCTTTAGGACTAGCGTCAAATATATAGGTCACGTGTCGGGCATTATTTTCATTACCAGCCGACGTGGTGTAGTTGGTGCACACCCCTCCAGGTTACCCCCGTAGCCGCCTCTCTGCCGGGGTAGCCCCTAGAAATTAAAACCTTCTAGGGGAGGGGAGGCGACGTGTTCGAATCCGTCCGTCGGCATATCTTTTTTTTCAACTTTTTTTTTCATATCTCCACATGTGCATACTAAATTTCTCTTCACTGTTTCTACTTATACTTATCTTCTAGTTCAATCCCTATTTTCTCTGTGGCCTCTTTGGCTCTCTTGCCTGCCTTTCTCTTTATTCTTTCTATTGTATGGCTTTTTTGTGTATCCAGGACTTCCCTCCTCTCCCCTTTCAGATGTTCTTCACGCATATACTCTGATACCTATGGTTCTATTAATATAGCCTCTCTATATGTAAGTACTGGTGTGTATAAAATTATGCAGCTTTCTTTTTTGTGTAAATACCTACTAAGTACTAGGGACTAATTCTATGCTTATGCTCTATCCTGGCTGGTATTAGTCACGGTAGTATTGGAGCTATTTGCCATACCCTAAAGGTGTTGTTCATTATTACGGGTTGAAGCGTAAATTGGTGGATGTATGGATTGCTAAGAGGGATCGGGAATCTTCCCGCTAAGATACATAGTAGTTAGGTGATCTAGAACGGTGACCGCCGATCAAGGATGGCAGTGTAACATTTATTTCGACATTTGAATTCGCAGCACTTGAGAGGTACCTACTAGTAGTAGGTAAGTGATTGTGAAATTTCTTTTTACAACTATACTTATTAGCTATCAGGAATTTCTGTCATTTACACCTTATAATACTTCCACCTGCCTACCTAATTGTGACGAATCTACTTACTTATATGATGTGTGTGGAAGCCTCCTGTTATAAAATTATATAGAGAGATAAGATTCCAATGACGTAAGATGATTGGTGGTAAAAACAAGGTGTCGGGTAGAGCCGCCTGTATTACGTCTTTGGGACTAGCGTGAAAGTTTTCAGTCACGTGCGGGGAACTATTTCCAACAACCAGCCGGCGTGGTGTAGTGGCGCACACCCTTCGAATTACCCCATAATTATATTGGGCTACTCCTACGGATTATTATCCCTAGTGGAGGGGAGGTGGCGAGTTCGATTCCGTCCGCCGGCATATTTATTTTTTTTCAACTTTCTTTTTCATATCTCTATACTAATTTTCTCTTCACTGTTTCTACTACTTGTACTTGTTTTCTAATTCAATGCCTATTTTCTCTTTGGCCTTTTTGGTACTCTTGTCCTGCTTTTCTCTTTATTCTTTCTATTATATGGGGTTTTTATGAATCCAGGATTTCCCCACAATCCCCTTTCATATATTCTTCACATAAATATGTACTCTGATACCTATGATTCTGTTTACATAGTTTCTCTAAGTGCTGGTATATATAAATTATGCAGCTTTCTTTTTTGTGCATATACCTAGGTCGGGACTAATTCTATGGTTCAAATGTTATGCTCTATCCTGGTAGGTATTAGTTACTGTAGTATTGGAGCTATTTGCCATACCCTAAAGGTGTTGTTCATTTCGACATTTGAATTCATAGAGGTACCTACTATGTATGTAGTAGGTAAGTGATTGTGAAATTTCTTTTTATAACTGTACTTATTAACTTTCAGGGATTTCTGTCATTTACACCTTAAGGTGGCGGGTAGAGCCGCCTATATTACGTCTTTGGGACTAGCGTGGAGGTTATCGGTCACGTGCGGGGAACTATTCACAATAACAAGCCGGCGTGGTGTAGTGGTTGCACATCCCTCCAGGTGACCCATACCAGCTACCATATTGGTAACTCCTAGAAATTGAAACCTTCTAGGGGAGGGAAGGAGAGGTGTTCGACTCCCTCCGCCGGCATATCTTTTTTTTTTCTTTTCTTTTTTTCAAACTCTCGATCTCCCTGATGTCCTCCCTCCCCTCAAAATTTGAAGTAGCATACCTACTACATATACTAACAGACCTCGATGCTCTGACAGCCTCGGGGACCTACTAGTGTAGTAGCTCCTTGTGTGCAACTTAATTACTTCCAACACGATCGAGGACACCCGTCCTTCTTCCATTCCTTGCATTCTTCTATATATACTTTCGAGATTTCGACTCTCTTCACGCCGTAAATGTACATGTTTACACACCAAGCACAAGAGAAAATCTAGTCCTTTACTTCGTATGTACTTTGTGAGCCTTCAAATGTTGGAAAAGTGTAGCCATGGAGGTGCGGAATTTAAGATACGTTGCGTATTCATGCTGATAACGGGGAGGGTTAGGTGGAAAGACACATAGGTAGGAAATAGATACAAGCTGAAGAGAAGCAGAGTTAGTACTTGGGGAGGGAGAAAACGAAAATGAGGAAGAGAGAACGATGGAGAGGGAGGTAATCCGGCATGAAACCAATGGACAGCGGTTGATCTTCAGGGAATCGTAACATACGTGCGAGATCTACGGGTGGGCAGGTAAAACATAATGAGAAGGGCAAAAGGAAGGAACTGAACAAAACGAGACGCGTTCTGCAAGTCCACGACGGGGAGCAGAAGACTCGAATGACAGAAACAAAGTGTAAGGGAAGGGGCTGGATTCTTTTTTTGCATCTGCAGCTCAGAAAGGCCTGTGACAAAAACAAAAAGAAAAAGGCGAAGTCATCATCGCTGCCAAAAAAGAAAGAAAAAAAAAAAAAAAGAGACCAAGCCGAGATGGCCAGGGACGAGGGACGAGGAACAAGGGACAAGCGGAACAAGGGACAAGCGGAACAAGGGACAAGCGGAACAAGGGACAAGCGGAACAAGGGACAAGCGGAACAAAAAGCAAAATAAGATCAGGCCAGTGACGGCATATCATCATCTCTTATTGGTTGAGTGTGGAGAGGGGGCAGGCTAGCTAAGACTACGAGCTGTGCCTACAGACCTGTGAGGTGAGTAGGTCAGTGGGGTTGTCGTGAAACAGGCGCGACGGCCTCGGGAGAGAGAGAAGGAAGAAAACAAGCGAAGAAGGAGGGGGAGGGACAAGGGTTTTATAGTCTGGGGAAGTGAGAGTGAGAGTGAGAGTGAGAGCGACAGTGACAGTGACAGTGAGGACTAAACCCAATCGGGAAGGACGGGGTACTCCTCTGTCAACGGGTGCAAACCAGGTAAAGCACTGAATGACCATCAGTGTGTGTTGTTTCAAGTAGCTTCCATTGGCTTCAAAAGACATCATCGTCGACACAGGGTAAAAGAGAGCGCTTCATCAATCCCCGGCTCAGGGCAGATGTCTATACTTCTGTCTAGGCTTCGTCTTCAGCGTAGATGCAACTACATTCTACTGAAATATGCTTATTGACGATGCTGAAGTTGGACGTGCAGAGGCATAACGATATATTGTCTTTTGCATGAGAAGCCCGCATCCAAAACTAATGATGTATATGTACAAAAAAGAAAGAGACAGCCAAAGCATTAGTGCAGTGTAGTGTTGATTTGAAACAGCATAGACATAGATAGCTCCAGAGTGGGTATAAGAACCATGCTATTCAAGACAGAACAAAGCCCAGACGTAATGGAGTGCAGTAAGGAATCAGGCATTAGGAGAATTTGTCTGTCCAGAAGAAAAAAACACCCAAAAATGAGAACCATTATTATCCATCAAGAACGAGTAATCTAATCGTCGTCGAAGATCTGGAAGGTGTTGTTGAGGATTGTCTCAATGACGCGGACTTGCCAGCCAGCATCGGCAATGTTGCCACCGGAGTTGGCACCCATCAAGGTTGGTCTGTGTGGTTGGTGTTAGTCTAATGATTCGATTCGGAATATGACGGTTTCATGATAACTTACCCAAAGCAGATGGCAATGTTGCCGGCGTTCATGCGGTTCTGTGAAGAGTGTTCTTGAACCTTGTTTAGATGCTGAAAGGATGATCGTTAGCATGATATCAGAATGATTAGCTATCTGTATTTGGCTTACCAAAATGACCGCACGGAGGGTAGCGTAGTGAGCATCAGGCAGATTGTTGATGAGAGCATGTAGTTGATCCCGACGCTGGGTATCTTCATCGACGCCTAAATTTAGAAGAGTCAGCTACCATCATGGGGGCTAAAGGCTTGGCATATTATGACTTACGGGCAGCCTCAACAAATTGGGTGTAATATTGAGATGTGAACAGAGGTTCAGGAAGATCGCGGAAGAACTGTTTCACAAGCCCGGCGACACTGTTGACATCGTGGTAGAAATTCTCTGGAATTGTAAGGTCGATTTGTGACGAGTCTATGAAATTGTAAGCTTGGGCCATATATGGGCTGGTCGTTGGACCGGAAGTCTCTTACCATTATCGAATAGAGCTTTCATATGGTTAATGTGATTGGCACTGCCGGATAGTCGGTAGATACCCTCCAGATCCAGACCAAAAAGTTCAATTGCCTGGAAACACTGATACACAAGGAATGGAACTGCGGTCCCGTCTCGAGCATAAAGGTCGTTTAGAGATAACCCGAATACCGGCTTCAAGGGAGGCAGGTTGTTCTTTTCCATTGACACTGGATGCATGATTGGCGGAGTGCCCATCGGAGCAGCGATCACTGGAGCGGTTTCATGAGACGGTGGGCCCGTTGGGTAAGGTGGCTGAGCCGGTGGAGGCGCAGGAGATTCCCCTTGTGTTGGGTAAGGTGGCTGCTGGAATCGGTCGGTACTCCCCAATTGAGGACTAGGAGAGGAGATGCTTTGCTGTGAGAAAGCCGCAGGAATAGAGGACTGGCGTTTGGCTTGAAGGCCAGTCTGCGGGGCTACAGCTACAGCTGGTCCGCCACCAAGGGTCTATGTGATCATTAGCACGGGTTGAACAAGCAGCTAAGTGTTAGGATATCACATACAGGGTGACGCTGATATTGGACCTCTGGACCACTAACGGCACCGCCATGTCCTTCGTGGCTCAAAATAAAGTCGTGTAAATCTTTTTGGTTGTCAACCTGGCGAATGACTTCCGCCAAACTCTTAGGCGCAATCGATCCATTCGTTTCGGTCTTCATAGGGCTCACGCAAAGACCTTGGCCGAGCAAGAGCTTTTCGTTGAATGAAGCTATGGATTGATTAGCGAATGTCCAAATGAAGTATGCCAGTATCGAGAAAGGAAAAAAAAAAGATAAAAGATATATGCAACATACCAAACTTCTGCTGCTGCAGGGTCAAGCCTGCGTCGCACTCCGCAATCAACTGCTGAAGATTATCTACTGCCTGAGGTCGATGAGTAGCGACCAATTCCTGACGAGCTGATTGCGCTGCCTGCACCTTGGCCGCATAATCGGCATCAGCATGCTGGACCTTTCGCAAAAGATCCTCCTCGTGCTGCGCTGCGGACTTGTGGCCCTTCAAACCAAATTTGCCACCTGTCTTATCGCCCGTGCGGACACGATCATACTGTTCCGCAAATGAATCGTACTTGGTCTTTGCCTTATCCGCTTGTTGTTCCGCATCGAAGACTCGCTTCTCCGCTGCTTGTCCTGTCTGTTTCCATTGCTTGCGGCCGCGTTCAATGTTGGAGGATAGCTCTGACAAATCATCGGACATTTTGTGGAGGGAGACGGAGAACTGTAAACCACATTCGGCCATGCGCTCGTGGAGTCGTTGAATCTCCTTATAGCTGGAGCTGTATGTTCCTTGACGGTTATCAGTGCGGAGTGCAGCATCGCTCACGGCCTTGGACAGCTTCCTTAACCCCTGAGCATGTTCATCCTCCAATGCCCCCCGTTTCTTCAAGAAGGTAGAGAAGTCCTGTCCAAATCGATTAGTATGTGTTCAATCTTCGGGTCGGGTAATCACGTCGCTAGAGAGTTGGTTGCGTTACGAACTTTGGCGGAGGCTACACTCTGCTTCAACCGAGTGAGGAGGGTAGCGATACCGATCTGTACATGCGACACCGGATTAGCAAGGGATTCTGGGTGCGGAGATTTGGGGAAGGGGTTTTTGGAGCAGGATAGGCTCCCGAGTATCACTCACCTCTGAGTAAATAATTTTGTCAAGTCTTGCCTTGAGCTCATCGGATATGACGGCAGGTGGCTGCTCAGTGGGGGCTTCGTGGCCATAGCCAGACGAGCGACCGGCGCTGCTCGGGGGCGCATCGCCCAGGATGGGCAAAGCGGTCGGGGTCGATTCGGGGAGAGCCGAGTCGGACATGATTCTGGGGGGATTAATGGAGTCCCAGAAGGAACATGGATGGTGTGAAGGTATTAAAAAGGAGAGAATGCAATGCAGCTATTATTATCGATGACACCGGAGTGGGCTTGGCAGTGGGGAGTGCGGGTTGGCGATCAATGAGGTCAGACCACAGGGAGCCACAGCCTCCAGGGAATGCTGCCGCCTGCGAGAACCCAAAGAAAAGCCAAAAACCCGCCCATTTCCCTCTCTTCTTAGTTTAGTCCCAGGTACAGCTCAGCCACAATTGAATCCACAATCCAGTTCAACCTTCATTAGAAAAGTAAGAGAAACATTCAGGGGGATGGTTCTGATTGGTTGGTTTCTTTGTAGCACAGATACCTTTGAACCTTGAAACTGGAAACCTGAAACACCCTACGTAGTCCACTTGGATGATATTCGCGTATACCGTATATCCGTTTAGATTCATTGAAGCTGTTATATTAGTGTCCCTTCTATTCCACTCTATAGCTAAGCAATTTCCATGTCCTTTGTATACACTCTAACCATTTTAATGCATTCTAGTGACAAAATAACAGAACTAAGTGAATAAACAAGAGTCGAGGCTTTACTGCCTCTGCAAATGGCTTGTGAGCATTCAATTGCCCTTTTCGGTTTAGCGTCACGATGCGCCCTGTCAAGGCAAAAAAAAAGTCCAAGAGCTCAAGTGACTAGCAGTACTAGTAGTATGCTTGGCCTTTAATCTGTAGAAACAGAGAGGCTCTTGATGATTAGGAAAAACCATGAATGTAACTTATGTTCTCGAGGCATTTTAAATGAGCACTTACCTTGACTGCCTGCAGAGATCATGCACGTTCAATTAAGTACATTTGGCAAAATAGAATAAATCCAGTATATTAAGCTACTTCATATTACCTTGACATTGAGTATCTCCACATGCAATGATTCTCCGATATACTTACTGTATAGGGCAATGGGTGGTCACGTTCCAAGGTTAGTGGTGGCCTTGGATTTTCGGCGTCAATCTCCTACCAACCTACTGCATGTGCGAATAACAGCGCCGTTTTTATTGGTTTTTGATTTTCAACAAGCAAATTTGGTATGATAAATCCCCGAGTTCTGCTTATATTGAAAATGGAGAAAATTCTGTATACTAATGCTTGGTAGGAATAGATCAACAATGTCGCCCCACGAAATATAGATGATCTGGAGAAGATCGGACATTAGCCTCAACCTGTGTGCAGACCCACATGCCACGGCCCGAGGTCAAGATTCAAGAGTCAACTTTCTACTTAAATAACTAACCTCTTCCTGATTACCCAACCTTGAAATTCCCTAATAATCTTTCTTCTTGTCAATACATATTTTCCCTACCCTAACTCAGGTTTGTTCTCCTAAAGGAAACCATTCTGAATTTGTTTTCTGGCTGGCTGGCTCTCTAACCCTCTCTCCTAGTTATCCCGAGGTCCATCATGTCCGAAGAGCTCAACGTTGCTGCAGTGCTTCACCCGAAGCCTGAGAACTTCAAAGAGGTGAGTGAACTCTTGAAATAAAATCCCAACAAAACGAAGACAAGGATCCCTATTCTATATTCCTTCAAATCTTGAAAGATCCCAGACATTAGCTCTATACATACTTGAATCAAAATCTCATGCGTCGCAGCTTGCCGCCCTCGTCACCGAAGTGATCAAGAAGGTGCAAGAGCACGAGCCCGATACCCTGCTCTACTATGCCTTCGCCGTCCAGGAGAAGAATGAAATCGTGATTATTGAAAGGTGAGAGATGCTACCATACCATATACTTACTATGTTCTATTTCCCTCCTGTTTCTGCCTTCTCTTCCCCCCTCTTCCACCCCCTCGCAACTCCCGCACTTGGATAAAATCACGAGACGGAATGACTGAACCCCCTACCCCCCCATTTCTAGATATAAGAACCAAGCAGCCGTTCAGGCTCATGTCAAGGCACCCTATTTCAAAGAGTTTGCCTCCAAGATCCCAGGTTTGTCCGAAAAGCCGTGGGAGTTGCGAGCGGGAACTCACTTGAGTGGCGTGCGGGGAGTGTCACGGCTGTAAGAGAGACGATAGAGAGAATGTTCCATTGGATATAAATAGCGAACTTCCCTGTCCGTTTTAGTAACTTTAGCGTCGTTTTCGAGGCGCCGGGATTTTGCCCGTGATCTCAAGCTTATGCGATTGGTGCATGATGGCGGGAAGCAGCCAATACCAGATGTTTTGGGCCCTCCTTTTAGAGCAATACGAAAGGGCCATTGGATTGTCAATTTATCAGAGAATAGAAGAAAGATTCCAAGTCAAGACGAAACACGAAGCAAAAAAAAGAGAAGAGAAGAGAAGAGAAACAGAAACAGAAACAGAAACAGAAACAGAAAGCATTGATATATAAAAAGGACTGAAATATTTAAAGGTGGAGACGTGGAACTGACTCTGTTTTGAACGATCTTTTTGTTCTACATCGGCAACTTTAGGCTTAGCTGAATCTCCTCTTGACATTACAGAAATCTCTTTTCTTTCTTTTTTCTCTTTTCATCGTTGATTACATTACAAATCTCCACCTTTTTTTTTTGATCTGATCTATCAAATCTAGGTAAGAGAGAGAAGAGAGAAAAAGCTCACTGTCCGCCCCTCATTCCTTTGCGACTCAGTCGTGGTCTCCACCCTTTTCTCCCCCTCTTTCCCCTAGCTTCAACACCGGCTCATCCCCTGAAGCTTCACCCTTAGAAATCCCCAACCACCGATCCCGCACCTATTCGGGCTATCTCGCTCTCTACCGCGCCCTTATCGCTCTCCTTTTCCGTGTACATACTTTCACCATGGCGACGGGCCCGGCTACTCAATCGCTGAAGGTTAGATCCCATCCGAATGGATCTCGCATCTTCCCGCCTGCACGGGGGATCAGACCGTCAGATCACTAATTGCTTCTTCAGTGCGTGGTGACTGGTGACGGTGCCGTCGGTAAAGTCAGTAATCCCTCCAATCTCTCCAGCACTCTCCAGCTCCAGTCGCGATGGAAACATTGACAGAATCCCTCTTTCGGCCTACAGACATGTCTTCTGATCTCCTACACAACGAATGCCTTCCCCGGCGAGTACATCCCGACCGTGTACGTCTTTCCCCCCCCCCAAGAATTATTCCAAAATTCCAAAATCGCCCCTCAACCAGCCACCAAGCAACAGAGTTACTGATACAATGCAGCTTCGACAACTACACCGCCAGCGTGATGGTTGATGGCCGGCCGATCAGCTTGGGACTGTGGGATACCGCCGGACAAGAAGATTACGACCGTCTCAGACCTCTATCGTACCCCCAAACCGACGTCTTCTTGATCTGTTTCTCCATCGTCAGCCCTCCGTCCTTTGACAACGTGAAAGCCAAGGTACGAATATGAGCCATGATACGCCTGTCGCACTGCACCCCCCAACTTTCCAACGACGACAAAACAACTAACAAACCCCTCCCAATCTTCCAGTGGTACCCCGAGATCGACCACCATGCCCCCAGCGTCCCCATCATCCTCGTAGGCACCAAGCTCGATCTGAGAGACGACCGCTCAACCGCCGACGCCCTCCGAGCCCGCAAAATGGAGCCCGTCTCATACGAGCAGGCCTTGACCGTGGCCAAGGAGATCCGCGCACATAAGTACCTGGAGTGCTCTGCGCTGACGCAGCGCAACCTGAAGAGCGTGTTTGACGAAGCCATCCGGTAAGTGGAGCTAGCTCGGCTTTCTCTCTAGAATTCCGCAGATACTAATGGTCGCATTCATGCAGTGCTGTTCTCAACCCGCGCCCTCTTACGAAATCGGGGCGTAAAAACAAATGCCAGATCTTGTAAACTTCAGGTTTTTTTCTTTTCTTGTTGTGCATGGCCGTCTCACTCTTTTCTCTCGTATGCTATAATGAGTAATATATAGTTAATACGGCGTCCGGGTAGCACGAGGCTTTTTCGTTCGTGAAGGTCTCCTTTTTTGATGAATCCATTGACTCTTTTTTCTTGTTCTTTGTTGTGTTCATTTACCTTTCTTTTTCTTTTGGGGGCAACCACTTGGGCACGTTCGTTTTCTTGGTGATATCATACTAGTTCAGATGTTCAGATCTATAGAATAGGTACCTATTTTGAGCAGCTCTTTGATTCGAGGCCTGATCCATGCGCAATGTTTGTAAATACATACCTATCAATGCTACCCGTGGACGTAAAGCACCCGAAGCAAACATTTGAATAAAACATTGGAGGGAATCGTTCATTACATTCCACTATATGCACAGAAGACTGAAATTGGTATCGTCTATGGAAACATGAAAGAAACATAGCAAGGCTTTTTATACCTTGTCCCAAGATGTACAACAAAAGAGAAAGGGACTCGGAAGGGAAACAAATCAACAATGCAAAAAGACCAGCTACCCAAACGTAGCTCGATAGCAGGCCTGTAGCTCGAGCAGGTATGCAAGCAAACCCATCTACCACAACTGACCCCGACGACTAGGGTGCACACCGGCAAACTTATCATCATCATCACCGCCAGCAACAGCATTGGCACCGGTAGGGCCCTTGGGCGCAGAGCGCTTGTCATGGTCATGCTTATTCTGGACCTTCTTGGCCTCCAGGGCCTTGCGCTGGCGCTCATCGTTCAGCTTCTCGTTCTTAGCCTGGATCTTCGCCTTGCGGTGATCGGACTTGGCACCACCGCCGCCAGCACTATATCACAAAACCCATGTTAGCGAACTGATTGATCATCGGGGACAAGCTAGCTAGCTAGCTAGCAGCGCAATTCGGTATTGGAAAAACGCGCGCAAAGTTCAAACTATGTGCGCGAGGAGAATTGATTGGGAACTTACGTCAATTCGACGTTGATGCGACGAGGCGGGTACTTTCCGTCGTCGAAGGTGGAGTGGTGGTATAGAGCGAGACAGGTCTTCATGCGGTCGTAGTTGTCGAACTCGATGAAAGCAAAGCCACGGCTGCGCTTCTTGGCGTCGTCCTTGTTGGTGGCGACACGCACGCTGGCGGGAGGGTTCTTTTCGAAGTGCTTTGTGACGGACTCGGTGTTTGCGGAGAAGGGAAGATTGCCTGTATATTGTGGATATGATTAGTTGCAATTTCTTGTCGAGTGGTTGGACTTGGAGTACTGACCGACGAAGCAGATGAATCGAGAGTTCTTGTCCTTGGAAGCTTCCTCGGTTTGCTCGGTCTGTTCAGTCTGCTCGGGCTGCGCCTGCTCTTCAGCAGTAGCAGTGGTCTCGTCGGTGGTCTTTTCCTTCTTGTCCTTCTTCTCCTTCTTGTCCTTCTTATCCTTCTTTTCCTTCTTCTCGGCCTTCTCTTCGGCCTGTTCCTCGACCTTCTCCTCGACCTTCTCAGTCTCCTCAACCTTCTCCTTCTTGTCCTTCTTCTCCTTCTTGTCCTTCTTTTCCTTCTTCTCGGACTTCTCCTTCTTTTCCTTCTTCTCGGACTTTTCCTTCTTGTCCTTCTTCTCCTTCTTTTCCTTCTTCTCCTTCTTCTCCTCCTTCTCGTCAACATCCATCTTATCAGTAGACTCAGTCTCAGTCTCAGCCTCAGCGGCGAGCTTGCGCTTCTTTTCCTTGCGCTCCTTCTTTTCCTGCTTCGCCTGCTTCACCAGGTCGGTCGCCTCCTCGACATTGTCGGTAGCCTTGCGTTTGTCACCCATTTTGTATGTATTTGGAGTGTGAATATAGTAATTGACGAAAAAGTAAGAACAGATCAAAGTCGCAGCGCGAAAAAATTGGGCGGAGACGGAAGAGAAAATCATTTCTGCCGCCGATCAAATGAGCGGTGAGTTGATAACGCCGAATTAGGTAATCTGCTTTAGGTTAACTAACTTAACTATAAAACTTTGGGATTTGCACGATTACATGGCTTATTTGGAATATGTATGCCTTCAATGTTAATAAGAGCTATGAGCTCTGCATCCATGATATAAATTGAATATTGATCTACACTTTTAAGCGCCCGCCAGATGAAAATACATAGAACAAAAAGATATCGGAATCAGAAGATCAAGATCTGCGTCTTGTTCTTCTTAGCCGTATACCGCTCACGCAGTTCGGGTCGAGTAAGTAGCTTCAGCAGGGGGAAATGCGTGTCCTTCATGTCAAAGATACCGCGCTGCTTCTGGTCAATGTGCGATCCGTCAATGACAATGCGTTGCAGCTCATTCAGTTTCAAATCGCCTACACATCAATTAATTAGCAACAGCTCTGAAACGGTTGGTGATTGCTGGAAACTTACCGGATTCGAGCAAGTCAGACACTCGGGTTGGTGTTCCGATACCAATACCCATCCTAAAGAATTGTCAGCCAAATATGAAACGTCAGATGCAATAAGGCATACGCCTATATCGAGGGAGATCGTACTGTGCGCGTTGGAGGAACTGCTTCGCTTCATCCAGCTTGATGTGCTTTGCGAACAGCTTGCCGACAATGGATTCCTTAGTTTGGAAAGGACGAAGAGCCCTGCACACCGAATAGTTAGCATGGGCCGTCAATGGGTCCAAAGTAAACTTTGTGGCTATCATACCTGACGATGTCCGCTGCTCTGAGGGCAGCACCAGTAATCACAAGTGTATGAGGGGTACCCTTCTTCTCCGATGACTTTGACAAGTCCGAGCCCTTGGGGCTAAATGTCTTAAGAAACTCGGGGAGCTTCTCCAGGCTTCTTGTCTCGGTGTAGGCACTCGTATCGAGGAATGTGGAGTCTGCCATCCGTCAGTATTTCCTATCGTACAACATCAATCGAATCTCAAATACATACCGGCAACATAAAGATCAGTCAATTCGACAGCAGACAATTCCTTATCCAGCTTCTGGGCTCTCTGGGCAAAGTAATCGGCTAGCAGTCTGCCGTCCATTCGTCCAATAGACTCGTCGATGCCGTTCTTGCGATCTCCTGCATTCACATCCTCTTGGGGCTTCTTCTTCTTTGCCTTGCGCTTCTTCTTGGTCGGACCATCTGCCGAGGCAGCCGGAGCTGCAGCAGGCGCTTCTGTGTCGGGGTTGTCCTGCTTAGAGTCGTCCGCTTGTCTCTTGCGCTTCTTGTCGAGCTTGGCGGAAAGCCCTTTTGGCGGGGCGGAATCGGTCATCTTGATTCAATATTGCAATCTCTTAATAATTGAGACGGCGCGATAATTGACAATCGTAGTACTATCAAGTTCGAGTGTCGCAAAAAAAGTCCGCTCGAAAATCCGCAGCTAAGTCAGCAGGCTCTTATCGATAAGGAATGTGGGCAACCAATCAAGCGCGGGCCCGCATTGTTATGGCCGACGCGCCTCAAACACTTCAGATCTTATCCGTTCCACTTCCTGATAACCTATTGCCATTGCCAACATTCTGCTTCGGTAATTGGAGCTTTCTGGTTTCATGTTTCAACTTCATTCCGGATCTTAACTTCGGAAATGTCGACCCCGAACCCGCGTGGCCGTCGGTCACTGCGCAATTCGGGCGTTGGAACTCATACCCCGTCTGGAGACACAAAACTAACAGGGGTAAGCGATGATACTACAGAAGCAGCTTGAGAACCACTTGTTGACTCTATTCTACAGCTTCAACGGCTTCCGAGCCATACAAGGTACCCACTCACTCCAAGTCGTCTCGTCACTGCAGCTACTCCATCCGCCCAACGATCTGGTTCTCGATATACCCCCCGAGCGCGGGCCACAGGAGCTCCAGCGACACCTTATGGGCTTCGCGCAAGACAACAGCGCGCTACTAATACTCCTGGTCGTGACCGGCGACGAAGTGGGAAGGTTCAACGAGAGACGACGTTTGACATCCTAAAAAATCTGGGTAGAACGCTTGCGCCGATCTCCCACCCAATCCAATCATCGCCACAAGAAATACCTGAGCCCATTGAGGAGCCCAAGGATGAAATTGAAGAGCTGGACAATGAGCCGAGGATTGATCCGCCCCGACTTTCTTTGCCTATACAAGAGAGCGAGGATGAGAGCGAGGAAGCAGGCTCTGAAACGCCACCACCTCGGATGTCTTTGGCATTTGATGATGACGATATCACATATCGGTCAGTCGAATATCCTCGAGATCTTGCCATTCGGGATCGACTTTCCATTATGCCTGGACGACCTAGTGAAAATTTTGGCGGTATTCAATTGGAGAGTGACTCTGATGATGGAGACGAGACGGGTATCGTGGGTGACTACGACGTCCAAGACGATAGGATGGTTAGTGGAGGCGATTTTGACAGAGGGTAAGTTTTTATGGGACAGTGGTATATTATATGGTACAGAAGAGGCTAATATCACAAATAGTGGAGAGACAGAGGATCTCGGCCGATTTCATTTTGATCTCGACTTCCCATCACCGCCCCCGGCTCCAATTGATGATCCAGAGGACGATAATCTAGGCGACATGGAAGGATTTGAGTTGTCTGCACCGGATTTCCAACCCACCGCCCGCTCAGTTTCTTCCGATGATGATGCTGGGGGTGATTTTATGGGCTTTGACGGCTTCGATGTTGTACACCCTGCTTCCAGAAGCCAGAGCCCGGGCATGATTGGCGGTGGTTTGCGAGATGAGGCCATGACTGTGCCGAGCAAGGAGAAGAAGCTTTCTCGACACGGAATTCCTGTTCCAAACTTGCCCACCGGTGTAGTCAAAAAGCTAGCCACACGTTTTGCGCACTCAAAGGGGGGGTCAAAAGCAAGACTCAACAAAGCTGCAATGGCTGCCATCGAGCAGGCGTCTTCGTGGTTCTTTGAACAAGCGAGTACAGACCTAGCAGGGTACTCTAAACATGCGGGACGAAAGACAATCGACGAGAGCGATGTCGCAATGCTCATGAGAAGGCAACGCCAGATCAACAGCTCGACAACCATGTTCTCCTTGGCGCAAAAGCATTTACCCAAGGAGCTTCAGCAGGATATGAGGCTCGCTATGCCCCCGTGAAAAAGTCGCCCCGATACTTAAATCTATCAAACAGAACTCCAAACACCGATGGAAAATGCGCCGAGGATAAGGTACCCGTAGCCAAGCCAATTACCAGTTCTTATTCTGGCGAACTCGGCGCAAGGCCTCGTTAGGCTTCTTCCGGATAAGCATCCACATCATAATGGATGTTGCCAAAGACAGGCCATACCTGGGAAACATGAGCGACACATTCGAGGACTTCAAAGGCTTGAAGGAACAGCATATGTATACTTACCATGTGAAGATGTACTGTGCGTGGTTGTTTCTCAAATTGACTTCAGCAGCGCGGCCAATGGGCATACCCTTGGCCAGGCGGTCATACGACTCGATGAGATCAGGCACTGCGAATGAGTCAGTTTCTGGCACACATCAACAGTACTCGGTTAGGATATCATACCCATAGTGCTCTCAATCCAGACGGGCTGGCTCCCGCTCACTTCAGCCATTTGCTCGATGTCTGGGAAGTAGAATTTCCCTTCCTCAGGCTTGTTATCCGGTGTAAACATATTCTTCTTCCATGGCTCTCGGAGCAACCCTTCCACCGTAATCTCGCCTTCTGGCAAACTGTCAGGCCGATCCTTCTGATCAGCCATCTTTCTAGAAATCCAGCCACGATTCACGAGAACTGTGCTTTGACCGTCATCACGCTCGAGGGGAGTCACAACCATGAATCCGTCCTCTCCCTCCCACATGCGAGGACCAATAAGCATCTCCTTGTCATGTCTGAAATGACCTGTAGCGTAGACGCGACGGTAATCGAATTCGGCAACGGCCTCTGGATCGATGCGCGGCGGGAGCGGCAGAGGAGGCCTGACCAGGCGATCCTCAAATTTGGCAACAATCTTGGTTTTCTCGTCCAATCGCTTAACCTGCCACGTTCCAAGGCCGAAAGCAATAATCGGAATCAAAGCTGTGCACGCAATACTTGTCAGACATGTTCAATAACTTCTCATTGTAAGAAGCAGATGCTAGAACGCAACATACCAAGAATGATGAGTCCAGGTCCATGTTTCTGATTGACCCGCACAAGTTTTGCAGGATTGTCAACATCAAAGGCCCCCTCAGTCAGTTCCCGAGTTTTCGTGAACTGACGCCGTTGCTGTAGGTGACATGTAGTGCAGATCGAGTCCAATTTCGATATCGCGTTGGTGTTTCGGGCCACACGGGTAGGCAGAGTCCATGCTGTTGGAGCGCTTTTACGCAAGATTGAGAAAATAGGCCGCATCTTTGAACAGCAGCAAAGGCGAGGCTGCTCAATTGGACCAAGTGAGGTAAACGTCGATCGTCGATCGGAGGGAACGAAAGTCTAAGCGGATTTTGGTTCGGAGATTCTAGGCGGTCACGCCGCGGCTTCCGTTGCTTGCTTGTTGCTCCGCATCTCCACAGCTCTGATACCTGTTTTGGTTCGCTGCTTAATACTTGTTGCATAAACACGCCAATTATTTTGCTTCATATCGGTATGCAATGATGACTGGCTTTTATGAAGGCAGTCTGCAAGATGGTATTGCTCTCGCTCTGAGAGAAACCAAGGCCGTTGTTTGCTTTGTCCGAGGTCAGTTATTCCCCGCATGCAAGAGAACCAGCCACCTAATCGCAGTGCGTATTCAGATGACACTGAGACGAGCTCGACATGGGAAGAAGAGTATTTTGCTGGCGATGAGGTATGGCTTATTACCCTACACAGTTCATTTACTCAGGGCTATCTCGCTAATCGTTGTTCTAGATTGCGCAAACACTTGACACCGGAGCAGTTCTATTACGTATTACCGCCGGATCCCAGGAAGCTGGCTTCCTGACCTCGCTATGCCCCATCGCGAAATTCCCGACCGTTGTCGTCATTAAGTATGTCAAATTCATTGGCTTGTGAGATTATATGGGCTTTGCTGATTGGTTGGGATGGTAGCAATGGCACACTAAAGGAGTATCTTGTGCCTGAAATCGCGAAGGACGTCTTCCAAAGCCGGCTCACAGTTGCTGTGAAAGGACAGATGGCTTCAGAGTCTGTTCAACAACCGCAGAGTGGCAATACCACTGGCGAGAGCAGTGACGTCGTGGCCTCGAGCCCTCCCGCTGTTGCGCCCGCCCCAAATATCACACCTGCACGATACCCATCATACCCAACACCACAGGCTGCCCGTGCGGCTACCTCCTCGGCTCAACCAAAACCCAAAGAGAGCAGCAGTGCGAATAAGAGTACAATGAGTAATGCGCCGCCAAAGAAGCCAGTCCCGGCGAAGTCTCCGCCGCCGAAAGAAGAGCAAAAGAAGCCAATTTCCAAACAGGAAAAGACAGGAAAGACACCCCTAAAGCCCAAGCAGACTAGTCCCGGCAAGAAAGCTACTCCCCCTCACGAAGAACCCAAGCCACAACCACCGGTACCCCGTGGACCCCCCAGTCAATACCGACTACAAGTGCGATTGTTCGATGGAAGCTCTGTCCGATCCAGCTTCTTACCCACGCATACAATTGACAGCAATGTGCGCCCCTGGTTGGATGAACAAATGGGCACTGAACAACGCCCCTACAATCTCAAGCATATCTTGACTCCTCTTCCTAGCCGAACACTCTCCGTCTCTGAAGAATCTCAGACACTCCAGGACTTGGGGCTAGGATCAACCGCTAACCTGGTCATGGTTCCTGTTTCATCATACACAGATGCATACTCAGCTACCGGATCAAGCCTACCTGTTCGAGGCATATCAGCTGTATACAATGTTGTTTCATCTGTTGCAAGCACAGCCACGGGTCTCGTAGGCTCATTCATTGGATATGGACAGGCTGCACCGAGTGAAAGTGGGAGTGGATCATCGCCTGCATCTACTTCAGCGCCCTCGGAGAACAATCAGCGACCACGCAATACGGGACCGATCATTCGAACACTCAGGGACCAACAGAATGATAGGAAGGATAGCCAGTTTTACAATGGAAACCAAGTATGTTATTTTGATCGCCTTGGATATTCCGATGACTAACTGTTTTGAAAGTTGAATTTTGAGCCACGGGATCAGGATAGGAAAGACAATTGATCTTTCTCCAGGGTCTGCTACATACAATTGAGCAAGCGTTTATGATTTCATGGGCGTTCATGTTTTGCATACGATTACGTCTATCGGTCATTATGATAAGAAATGGATTCTGTCAAATTGTACACACTGGGCAACAACAATACAGTTCATAACCCAGACTCTTCACTTCCCAAGAATGAATGCTGTTGAACTGCAATCCGCCCATTACGTAGAAGTCTGTGTAAGAGGAGATAATCGGTGGGAAATAATTTGAAATATTTGTCTCTTGAACGAGCACGAGTGGACATATCTGTCATCGGCTCAAAGCCAAGATATCAAGTCTTTAATTGGTATAAACTCGAGGAGAGATGGTATAGAATACAAAAGCGCGATTCCAGAGTCGCGATGCAGAATGATTACATCCAGTAAATGAATTCGGATGATAAAAGGCGCATTAAAAAGACCGACTACTCATTCCCAACAGGAAACGCCTAGTAAGGCTTAGCAGCAGCCTGGCAAGCCTTCTATAAGGTTGTTAGCAGCGTATTCAAAGTTGGAACGGAAACAATCAGGATAAAAACGTACCAGCTGGTCCATGTACCAACCGCAAATGCCGATGTTGCCGTTGTTCTCATCCATGCAGTTGCGGAAGTCACGAACGTTAGCCTCACAGGCAGGGTTCTCCCAAGACTGGTTGGTAGCGCTGCTCTGCCAGAGACCGCTGTCCATACCCTGGGACTGGGCAGGAGCGGGGGCCTGCTGGGCCTCAGCAGGGGCGCTGGAGCCACCGCCGAAGAAGCCACCGATAGCGTGACCGATGGAGGAACCGACTGCGACACCACTATAATCCACAAAACAAGTATGTTAGCGGCGTTATTTTTCGGTGGTTCCGAGAAAAAAAGAGTTTATGCAGCCCGGGCTTTACCCGAGGTTGGTTGGACCCGGAAAAGAAAAAAACGCATCGCGACAACGGGGTCGGTTTGTGAGAATGCACTTACGCAGCGGTGGAGGCCATCTGGCCGAAGAGACCGGGGCCGGCGCTCTGCTGGGGAGCAGCAACGGGGGGAGGAGCGTGCTGCTGGGGAGCGGCAGCGGTGGAGTGAGGCGCCTGCTGCTGGGGAGCCGGGCGGGCAGGGGCAGCGGTAGGGCGAGAAGGAGCGCTACGCGCGGGGGTGGCACGACGTTGTTGTTGGCGAGGCATTGTGATGTGTGTGTGAGTGGTCACGGGTGATTTACTGAGAGATTCGGTAGTTGGCAAGAGAGAAGAGTAGATATAAGGATTCTAAGTGGAGACTGGAAGAAGCTAGAAGCTGAGTCAGTCGGCGAACAGGCAAACTCCGATGGAAATTCCCTGGGTTGTGATTGGCTGGTAAGTGTTACATAAGCTGCAAATCCATCACGTGGGTCCGGACATTGCGGGCATTAACGGGATTTCCACTGCAAATCACAGGTTGATATTGAGGCGCATGGCTTTGCGAGCTAAAAATAAAAGTAACATAGGATGGCACGGGACTATACAAATATTCTATCATGCTCGGGCGCTTACAAGGAGCTTTCTTGACTGCCTTGCTGGTAAGGTTTTTTAGCCAGGGCTTGTTTACACTGTCGTTTGGGAGCAGCCCCATCGTCAAGTACGGAACAAAGCGGTCGTGGATCAATGGGCTTGTTGGGTATCTAATTCAATAATGATGTACAAATTTTGAGAACGAAAGCGGGATGAAAACAGAAGGCTCATGCAGTGGTTGCAAACCTCAAGACCCCCAATGTGGCTCATCGATATAGACATTAGTATCGCTGAACGGAGGTCCAAGGTCAACGGGCCTTGCAGAGGCAATGTCAACTATCTTCATTTCAAGCTGAGTTCTTGGCCTTCTTGCGGGTCGCCTTCTTCTTCTCTCGTCGTGCCTGATTCTCGTCGTTGCGCTCGGCTTTGTTGAGCTTTCGTGACTTCTTGCTTTTAGCATTGATCTTCTGCTCCTTCTTCTTTTGAATTTTCTTCTCTTTGTCGGATCCACTTGGTTGAGCGTCGGTATTCGTCTCTTCATCAGAATCGAGGTCGGAATCAGCGGTTGACTGTGCAGTGGATGGTGCAGCGCTAGAGACACCCTCGTTTTGGGCTGGGGAGCTTTGAGCCTCTGCAGCCATCTTCTTGGCAATCATAGCAGCCTTCAAAGAAGCGCGTGCCCTCTCTTTTGCCTCTCTTTCCGCCCTCTCCAGGTCATATTTCTCATTGCCCGCCTAGATGTAATTAGCCGCAAGTCCATATGCCCCGCAGAAGTGTAACTCACAAGCCCGTGTTTGACAAATCGGTTTGCTGCTCCCTTATCGAGTGTCATTTTTCGTTGCTCGGGTTCGGTTTCCAGGGCCTTGATCTTCTCGAAGTATTGTTTCACTCGGGTGAGTTCCCGGAAAACAGGATGTTGAATGGCGTTGACACCGTGCATACGCAAATAGGCTAAACGAAGTTAGTATATTTAATAACGGGGAGGTTTTTGAACAAAACATACAGAAAATTAGAGACTCCAGGGTATAGGTGACCATGACGTGAAGTTTAGCCTTGTCCATCACAGGCAAATTTTTGGAGGTCTTGGACAAGGATTGGCCCAGGATTGGTTGCAAAATTTCCTCCAAGTCGTCAACATGGTCATCCAGCTGCTCCAGCAGCGGCTCTAAACTTGCTGTATCCATGGCGTGGGTGGGTGTATGTGGTAGAAGTGGAGTTTGCAACAAGAAAAATTAAGGCCGGTGCAACTGAGGCGGTGGTTGCGGGCGGTGGAGCTTTGCGGCTTGGATCGCTCGCGCATTACTTTTCTGCATTTCAAGCGCGCGACAGATTTCCTCGCCGAGGTACGCAATCAAGCTTTTTTTGAGCGCCTTCGATCTTATTGTGTTGACTACAATGCGACTGCCCATTCCGATCTGATCAATTTGTTACCACTTGGCGTCGACGTTACCTGCCAACTACCTATCCTCGAACCTCCGACACCTACTCGGGGAACCTCCCCCGGCACACTTTCAAAGTGTTTCACTTACTCGCCCGCCGCCCGCTATGGCGGAGTGGGCTTTTGGAGATATGTCATCAATCTCGCTCGCATTTAAGTGAGAAACCGATATTCCGATACGCATCGACATGGATGCAAGATGTGGAGGCGGCGCCTCAGGAGAGCACAAAAGATCCGCTGTCTGGAAGAGTACATATCCTCGGCCTCGGAAATGTAGGCTGTTTCATTGCACATTCACTGGCCTCCAAGCAATCTCCACCGCCAATAACATTACTTTTACACAATTGGGGGGTTTACCATGCCTTCTGCCGCAGAAAAAAGAGCATTTCCATTCAATACAATGGATTGGATGACGTGAAATCTGGGTTCGATGCTGAGGTTTTATCTGACGGCATATGGCATGAAGTATTGGCGGGTGAAGGAAAAGAAAAAGAAAAACACCCCGAAAATCTCCTAGACCAACCTGAAGACATATCAACGGACGTAAACAACGAGCACATCGAGTGCTTAATTGTTGCTTCCAAGGCCAGTATCGCGAGAACAGCCATCAAAGCTGTCAGGCATCGTTTGACAAAGGACTCATCTATCGTCCTTGTGCAAAACGGTATGGGAGTTGTTGATCAGCTCAACCAATTATTTCCGGATCCAGAAGATCGTCCAAACTATGTTCAGGGAGTTATCAGTCACGGTCTGACCAGGCTTGAAACATTTCACATTGCCCATCGTGGTGTTGGCACAATGGTTTTTGCGCCAGTAATCACAGAAAAAACACCACCGATTCTGGCTGAGGAAGATACCCATTGGGCATCGACCACAAAATACATCTTGCGCCTCTTGACTTTAACTCCATCTTTGGTTGCTACAGCTGAGACGCCCGCCGCGCTACTCCAATATCAACTTGAGAAGCTGGCAGTAAATTGTCTGATCAATCCTCTGACTGCGCTTAATGATTGCACAAACGGCGAGTTGCTGTACATCTATGATTTTACCCGAATCATGCGACTGCTTCTTTTCGAAATCTCGACCGTAATCTATGCTCTTCCTGAGCTTCAGGGTGTTCCCGGGGTCGAAGAGAGGTTCTCCCCCGAACGACTGCGCAAATTCGCAGTGAATGTCGCCTCCAGTACCTCGCAAAATACCAGCTCGATGCTTCAAGATGTGAGAGCAGGAACTGAAACTGAAATCGATTTTATGAATGGCTGGATCGTGCGTCGAGGAGAGGAATTGGGCATCAAGTGCACTTTGAACTACATGATGAGGCTTTTGGTAAAATCCAAGACAATCATCACTGAACGTAGAGGCAGTGCTTCTATCCCATTTGACGTTACCGGTTTCCCCTCAGTCAAGGATTCTGCCGATCAGATTACCACCACGCAGAAAGCTGAATGATCAAATCATTTGAAATTTCTTTTTCTACCTCATCAGCATTATTCTTGCAAAAAAACACTACCCACCCGGAGGCTTCTATATACATCGGGTGCTTTCAAATATTGGGCAGTCTTAATTCGAGACCGTCGAAGCGCGCTCACAGATATGCTTGATCTGTCTCCACCGGCGCAATAGCGTCTCTGCCTTGGGGCGGTGTGCCTGAACTACAGCATTGGACTCAAGGGCTACCTTGATTGCGCTCATTGTTGCATCTGCCTCTTTGGCATATGTGTGCAGCCAACCCTTGATGATAGTTTCACTCTTCTTGGCATCCACACCCTCAGTCGAACCCTCGAGCACATGGTTCCTCCAGTCCTCCTCTTTCATGTACATTAGACACGATGCAACTTCAGTACGGTAACAAACCCCGTCTGCTGTGACTTGATATTCACTGCCAAATATTAGCGAACGGGTATCTAGATGCCAAAACAAAATTGATTGGGGAACAAACCCGTAATACTGGTTCAGCCATAGATCCTCCTGCTTGTCGGGACTATTAATATCACGGAAGACAATGTCGTCAAGGTAGATGCAATCTGAATCGCTCTTCTCAAGGAAAAAGCCATCTGTAGTAAAAGAGGAAAATTTATCAGCTTGGTGGACACTTCATCATACGAAAAGAAATCTCACATTCGGCCAAGAGGAAGTCATTTGGATGACTTCCATAACTCATGTAAACTTCATCGCCCTTCTCATAATCCTCCGTAGCCCGAAGAGTATATTCATTTTCATCAAACTTCACATCGCACTGCATGGTAATTAAATGGGTCAGATTAAAGAAGCCATGTAGCCGTCTGCAAAAGTCACATACCTCAATATCTGAATGGTTGAAATAATCTGCAAATGGCAGCAAGGCCATCGCATCATTGCGGTTCTCCGGCGGCTCCTGATCAGGCCCAACCCAGTAGAAACTTCTCGTATTGAGAATAAGCCAATGATAAGAAAATTTGCGCCAGTCAGTCTCTGGAAGGGCAGAAGTGACATCCGCCCACGCTTTGCGTAACCGTATTTCTTGTTGCGGCTCCAGATCCTGGTGCTCTGTTTCGTATTTCTTGGCCCGCGCCCCCTTATCAATGGTGTTCCATTGACCGGCGATGCAAGGGGGAAGCACATTTGGGATGGGAGAAGAATCAACGGTCTCGTCAGTATCTGGCCATGTGAGACCGCCTAGTTCCCTCGGCCAGAGCAAGGGCAGACTATCCTCGAAGTCTTGACGTGTGGGCCAAGCATTGAACCAGAGCTGGTACTTTTCAAGCTCTTCTTCGCTGCCATGTGTCAAGAACGCGGCCATGATTGTTTGCACGGCTGTGCCTTCGGGGAATTGGGACCTGAATGGCTCAGGAACTTGCTCCACTGTGAAGATTACATCGGTAGGAACTTGAACCACAGCCTCACCTTTCTATAAAAAAAAGTTTATCGGCATTTAGTATACACTGCTAGAGCGCATTTCAAGGTTGCTGCATCTTACCTTGATTTTGCGCGTCGCCATCATTCCTAAACCGCGTCCAGGAAAACGCGCCGGGGTAACTGCATCGGTTACTACACCATGGAACAAGGCCCATTCAGTGAAAGCTTCATGATTGGCACCGGGCAGGTATTCGGGATCCATTTTAAACCCGTTAACCTCAAATGCTCGAGTCCTTGCAAAGAAATTCTATAAATTTGTCAGATCATATAATAACCAATGGAATTGTGTGGAACAAACCAAAAGCTCAATGGATATGAATGGATATCATGTATGGTAGAGTATTCGCAATTGTGTTTGTTGGAGCAAAATGACCATATAAAATCGATCAATACTAGTACTCAATGAAATGTGTCGAAGCTGATGAGTGCCGTGCAGATCAAATGAGATCCAATGAGGGCTGTGGAGCAATGTTTTTATCGATAACCCGCTTATCGGCCACGTACGGCAGCCGATAATAACCTAGTGCGCCATCTTCCCGATTGTCGTACGATCCATCTTGAATTGACATCCTTGAACCTGGTACTAACTTGCCCCAAGACTCACCATGTCGGTCCTTGGGAAGCGTGGAGCTTCTGAGCTTCGAAATCTGGCTACTCCAGGTCCCAAGCTTGTCAAATGCGCCTTGCGCCCTTTCTCGGTTCTCAACCGCCCACCGCCAAACTATCCGGGCCATGTTCCATTGACAACGATTGAGCGCGGTGCCCTAGCTCTGGGCTCAGCAATTGGGTCTCTGATTAATCCTCGCAGAGCAGGTATGTAAATATGACTTTTTTTGTGCAGGAGTATTTCCTTTCCATTTCCATTACGTTGAATTCCTGTACTATACTACAAAGCAACCATAATAACTAACATATGGCTTTTAGATCTCATTGCAGCCCTCGGCGAAGCAACTGCCACCCCATACTTCATCTACCGCCTCAGAAATGCCATGCTTTCTGACCCTACAGGCCGTCGCATCCTACGCGACCGTCCCCGCATTACCTCCGAAACTCTCAAACTTCCCTACCTCCGCACCCTCCCCGAGAACTCCGTTGGCCGAGAATACGCCAAATGGCTTGACCGCGAAGGTGTTTCGCCAGATACTCGGGATCAAGTTCAATACATAGATGATGAAGAGTGCGCCTACGTCATGCAGCGGTACCGGGAGTGCCATGACTTCTACCATGCGGTGACGGGACTCCCGATCTTCGTGGAGGGCGAGCTGGCGCTGAAGGCACTGGAGTTCCTGAACACTCTTCTGCCAATGACCGGCTTAAGTCTCTTTGCATTTGTGAGAATGAAGCCTGCCGAGAAAGAGCGGTTCCTGTCACTGCATTTACCGTGGGCGGTACGAAATGGACTTCAGAGCAAGGAACTGATTAATGTATACTGGGAAGAGGTATTGGAGAAGGACGTTGATGAGCTGAGGGTAGAGCTGAATATTGAACGTCCGCCAGATCTGAGAGATATCCGGAAGATGATCCGGCAGCAGCAGAAGCGAGAGAAGGAGAAGCAACAGCAGATGTCAAGCTAAATGTGCATATCGCATGATATGCTGTTTCTCTTCCCCTCTTACTGTCTGCTCCGTGGGGCATCTTTTGTACGACCATCACTTTTTGTATAAATATCTTGAGCGAAAATAGAATTTTGAACACCGTCCGATCAGACGGGTAAACAGACCAGAACACCTGAAGTGGATTTTTGAGAAGACCAAAAGGGCTTGCGAGAATAGACGATACACCACCAAGGGGGCATCAAAATGAGGGATATTTAGAAAGAACATGACTGTCATATTACCAGAACCAACCGACTGCAGCATCTGGCTCTTAGAAGTCAAGGAGATCATCATCGTCATCCCAGCCACCTTTGCGCCGGGTGATGACAATCTTGTGTTCCTCCTCCTCCTTGCGCTGGTTCTCCGCAACGGCGTTCAAAAGCTCCTTGAGCTGGTCCTCGGAGACCTTCTGTCGCAGCTGACCACTTTGAGCCAGCATGATAAGTCGGCTCTCGATATCGTTTGCGCGCGATTCCTTGACGAGACGAATACGACCAAGACGATCCGCAGCGGCGGGTTCGAGGATTTGGCTCAGAATCGAGGCACGGCGATCAGCTGGTGGAGAGTTTTGCGTCAGAATATTGTCGGTTCATCATGCATGGTACTGGAATGCAGTGCAAGCAGGCAGGCGAGGTGTATTTGGATTGGGAACCGTCCGGCGTGTCTGCGCGAATGGCAATATATTCGATAGTTGGGATAGTCACCTACATTCAGCTTGTCTGGCGCATAACTCGTTAGTCTCCATTAAAAAATTGCATATAGAAGGGATATATTGGACTCACTTCCGCTGCTCTTCCTGGCCGCCATCTTGGCTAGGTCCTCCGCGGGGACCGCCTTGTTGGAGCTGTGCAAGACGAGCTCGTCTGATCTATGACGGATTTCAGCATTTGACCTCTTTCCGGGTAGGAAGATCCTTACCTCCTCCAGCTCTGAGTCTGCCATGCTGAGAATTGGTGCACGTGGACAGAGTGAATATTACTAGTATGAAACGATGTCAAATGTCAAGTTCCCGAATCGAGAGTCGGAGAAGATTGATCTGGTAACCCCACTTCATCCGCCTGAGGCTGCCACGCGGGGGAGATTTCCAAGGTTGGTATTTTAATAGTACACAAGTACTACACAACTATTGATGTATATACTAGGATCCATAATTTAAATGTCAAAAAGAGAGACAAGCTATGGTGCATTAGTAGTATCATTGTAAAGGGTTTCAATTCGTCTTTAATTTCTCACAGATTGACGGATTTAGAGTCCGCCTTGTACCTGATCAATGGATGTAGAACCCGTTTGTATAGATGTAATTGTTTTTGTACTCCGTAGATTATCTGCATGTGTTCTATGATAAGCATGAAATTTGGAGTTAATTTCGCATAAAATGCCACTATAATTACGTGCCTCCCGTATATGGAGTAGCGTGAATGTTTAAGCCGTAGACGAGATAAGGACGCGTCCAAAGTGCTGGGGGAAATACGTGCTGCGCCCCCTCTTTTTTCCCTCGTGTTTCGTATAGCCTGTTAGCGGGGGCAAAGTTCACGGGAGGCGATATTTTTCTCCCTTGAGTCGGATCGTTAGGCTGAAAAACGAGAGATTGATCAAAATTGCCCGAGTCGTGGAACAGTGCGCGATCGGCTGGCAAGATCCGGCTTAGTCGCATCAAACTATTTCACATAGGAAACTTTGTCAAAGACATAGTTCGATCGGGCAGAATCCACATAGGTTCGGGGGTGGATATGCGTATTTCCTCAACAAAAGTCAAGGGGGGGGGGATAATCACTTAGTAGAGACAAGGGCCTGCTGCCAGTGCATAGAGAGTACAGCGTAGACATAAGAGAAATTACTGCAGTAGCGAGTGAAACATCATAACATGAAATCGATTCGTCACGTTCATGTATACACGGCAGATCACCTGCTTCCGGGTGTGATAGCCTGCCCATGACTAAGCCCCCCAGCGCTTGTTCGCCTCCTGCGACCCCGATCACTTTTGACCTTTCTATCAACCAGGGGAAATTCTATCCCAGTTCTTCCTCTTGATTATTCTTCTCTCCTTCATCCTTCTTGTCGGTCCTTTCACTCGCGTCGAATTTCTTTTATCCGGGGCCGCCCTCTTCCGGTCCGTCCGAGTTCCCGTTCGCTTCGATTACTTGCGGGGACCTCGAGTCGAAACTCCAATTCTTTCCTGGTCCGTGTGAATAGCTCAGGCGGCTCGTCGACAAATCACTTGATTTGGACGTGAATTTTATTATCCTGGGTTGTGGTTGAACCTGCTTGGAGCTACAAGCCAAAAACCGGGCACTCATCTCGCATTCCTTCAACGCCGTTTACGTCACCCATCATGGCCGAGTAAGTCTCCAGCAAAAGAGAGAAGACCAGTGAAAATGCACGATCGCTAACAGATATTGTAGTCTTATCTCCTTCCAGACATACCATCATAATAACCTCCTGCCTCCGTCCACCTCGACCATGATCCCGCGTCACGCTCACAAGCGATCGCTGTCTTCGGAGTTCCGAGGCCTCTCCCCCGACAGGATCGTCACCAAGGCCAAATCCACTACCGATCTCTCCGAAACAATTTCCAAAAATGCTTCCAAATCCCAATTGGGCAGATACGACGAGGAGGAGAGTTTTAACACCTTGCAGGACCCTCGATTGGCTATCAAAGCGGAGGTTTCACCTTCGACGTCATCAACACACCACCCTGACCTGAGCAACGAGGTCGCAGCGCTAAGTGTGAAACTGATCCAGGCGATCAACAATCAAACCCATTTGGATGATAGCTTGGGTGCCACACGCCAGGAGCTTGAGTTGGCCCAAGGCAAAGTACAAGCGCTAGAGTTCCAGAATGAAAAGTATCGACGCGACATCGACGACAAAGTCTACATCAAAAAATCCGATTCCGACCGTGAAATATTGCAATTGAGAACTGCCCTTACGGAGGAGAGGACGCAGCGAATGACCGTCGAAAAAGGAAAAAAGCAAATTGAGCAGGAACTTGAGGCTCTGACTGCCGATCTTTTTCAGGAAGCCAACAGGGTAAGCTTCCATCCATTCACTGTTTCAATATTTCATTTATTTAGCTGGGACTGATTGTTTTAGATGGTTGCTGCAGCCAAGATTGAACGGGAAGCGGTTGAAAAGAAGAATGAGCAATTACGATCCCAGATCAAAGACACCGAGTTGCTCCTCGCATCGCATCAGGATCAGCTGGCAGAGCTCAAATCAGTCATGCAAGGGATGAACATCTCCAAGGATGACTTGGAATCTCGTGCGGCTTCCACGGCACCATCATCACCAGCGCGGCCCTCAACTTCGCAGGAACCGGAATTGAACCATATCGCTGTAACCCCGTGTAACCCCGAGGAAGTCATCCCTGGCCCTTCGTGCAATTACCCCGAGATTCTTCGGATGGTGTGCCGGACTGATCTGCAAGCCTATGATGACTTCCGAGAGCTGCTCACGCTTTCCCGCAGTTCTAAGCCTCCTAGTCGCGCTGGAAGCGGCTCATATGCAGGCTTGAATGTCATGAGCTTAGCTGGCTTTGGCTCTGGCTCCGCCTCTGCAACCAACTCACCCACAAAGAATCTTGCTGGCTCCCCAAGTAGCTTAGCATCTCAACTAGGGTCGCACATTCCTTTGAAGGACACCCGATTTTATAAGCGGGTGCTTATGGAAGACATTGAGCCTACCCTGCGACTTGACATGGCTCCTGGGATTTCATGGCTTACACGACGCACAGTTGTAAGCGGCATCTGTGAGGGAACCTTGGTAGTCGAGCCAATGCCAACAAACACAAAGAAGTTTGAATTCCCTTGTACCGTCTGCGGTGAACGCAGAACCGGTCCTCAAAACGAAAGAACTCACCGTTTCCGAACCTCGGAGAGTGAGACAGCGCAGCGGTACTCATTGTGCATTCAGTGTCTAGAGCGTGTTCGTTCGTGCTGTGAGTTTACTGGATATTTGCGACTAATCCTGGATGGACACCTCAAAGCTGGTGACCACGAAGAGGAGAAAGACATTTGGGAAGAAACAGTCCGACTCAGAGAGCGGATGTTCTGGTCTCGAATTGCGGCTGGCATTGTTCCACTTGTTCGCCGGGCCGCCGAGCCTGAAGCCGAAGCCGAAGCCGAAGTGGAATCCACCGAATCAAAGGTGAATGTCTCAGAAGAGATCTACGAGAATGGGCTCCTTCACCCTACCGACAACACCAACCTCGAATCCAAGTCATATGATGTGTCTGGTTCTGGTGAGTCTACTCGTAGCCAGAGAGATTCAAGCATTTTTGCGCCTTCTCTTCCTGACTTTGATATGGCCAAGCCCGGGACACCTGATCCTTACAATGTTCAGAATGGGAACATTGAAGATTCCACATCCGATGTGCCTGAAAGACGAGGTTCCGTTGATTCCGATATCAGCATTTACGAAGAAGCCAGCGGTATTGCCGAGACCGAATACCCGGAGTCTGAAGAAGCAAAGACTCCAACAGTTCATGAAAATGAAAGCACTGAGACTGATGACCAAACGAGTCAATGAATCATAGTTGATGCTAGCCATCGATATGAGTACCCATGACCCTTTGACCAATTCGTGCTTCTTTCATGATACCACCTTGATGCATTTTCTCTGGTTTCCCCCTACATTTGAGCATATTCTGGCAGGACACTGATAGATCCTATTTACACTTCACCCACAGCAATGCTGTTTACGCTTTTAATACTCAGCTCGACCTTACCACCTTGATCCTCGTTGCATTTTCACACCCTCCGTCGATATCCCTTTGATTTGAGCAACTTGCTTCCTAATCATGTATTATTATTACCCCCTTTATTCCTATCATGTACACATAATGTCTTGTTTCTCTTTTCGTTGTGGTCATCTGTTGCTCCCCTCGTCGCCTTGCATTGCATCGTTGGGATGCGATGCAATGCAAGTGCCTTGGGTTTTGCGCTTGGGCGAAACAACCGCCTCACAAAATGATGGCTACCCATGCTTCCTTCATCTAACTGCTTCCATTGGCGTTTGGCTTTGATGTTTTTTTGCTATTGCATTCTCCGGGGTTTCGCTGCAACATCCAGAAATTGGCTATTGAAAATAGATGACACGAAGATTGTTCAGGATTCAATACATACCCTACCATGAAAACCTTCCAGTGAATACTTCAATTATATCTACATGTAGTAAATTGTGATACCTCAAGGAATGTGGCTTGACGTTCGTTCAATACGACCCGAAAACTTATTCCCCGGAGACCCACTCGGACTCGAGGCTGAGCATAAAGATCAGATACAACCTCCAGGGCTGAGATGTAGATCGTAAGCAGCGACTTGAAGGCGTGAGAAATGTTGGATTCAAGTTGAATGGGTTTGAAACCTGTGCATCGCATTCGTCAAACTACCTAGAATCAAGGTTTTAAGGGCAAGACTCCTAGATCCCAAGACAGCCTGCACAGTGGTTAGGAGTTAGAACATTGAAAGTCCTCATGATTGATCGCTTCTCAAATGTTCCAATGTTTGTATGAGTCGCTTGGCGGTACTTTCTGTACATTCATATATGCATTATTCTCTTTTGGACAAGTAAGCAGGATCTAGAGGCTGTGCTCTTCATGAGTGTTTAGATTATTAATTTATTATTGACTTCCCCAGACTATAGAAACCGTATACGGCAAAGGAGGAATTCCTTGCGTAATAGAATGAATATTTGATGTGCAAGTACCATTTCCCCCCTGGTCTCTAACCCCAGTAGCTATAAAGGTACTTGTATGTTCCACGTGCACTGCCCAGACATGCTCTGCCAAAAATATCCACCGACTTGGCAAGAATTATCAGTCATTTATTTGTAAACATTTGACTTGGATTCTTCAAGCAAATGATTACACCATGTAGTCCCCATTATATCTACCCCGGAAGGAACCTCATCGAGGTACGATCTCAATCTTGCATATGAGAGAACGTGGCAACTAACTTAATTCAGCTACCTAGGCATTTTCTAACACAATCGGAGATCCTCGCTTTCAACCTCTCAAGTTGGCACAGTCTGCATAGTCAACTATTTCTTTATACATCATCTCGAACCGACTTCTGAACTAAGATGTATGGCGTTCATGAGAACTTATTCAACAACTCAACAACCGCAGATATACCGGTTCAAAACATTTGTATAGTGACCTGCGATGAGCTGGAAAGCCAGGCTTCCAGATGCTCTAGTCAATTCCTGCCAACCTCGAGGTATCTCCGGGATCCCGTCTTTAACGTATGGGCAGATCAGACTAACAAAAAACCAGCCCCGGAGAATTCGACCCTAGCTTCATCTTTCTCGAAGACCCAACATTTCAGTCATATGATTTCTTCCTTGAAGCATCTCTATCGATAATGCAGTCCTTCCCAGACAAACCAGAGCTCGGACTCCCCTCGATGCAGGAAGATAAGAGCATACCCAGCCTACAAGAAGTCCAAGCCCTGCCAACTCTCGACGGAATCCCAATATGCTGGGACCACGACTGCAACGGAAAAGTATTTTCTAGCTGGAGCAACTTGAGACGGCATCAACGAGAACGCGCATCCCAAGCCCCTAAATGCTATTGTCCCCGATGCGGCGCACATTTCAGCCGTACAACAGCCCGGAACCAACACCTTGCAAACATGAGTTGCAAACGAATCCGTCGCTATTCGAATGGTCGAGTGAGACCCAGCACTCAGAAGATGCAAGAGACGTACACGACTGAGACCCAACTATGAGAATTACAAATTGTCTGATAACTTCGGAGGGAAAACGCTACAAGCTCAGTACCCAGAAACCTGGAATGGTGATTTGAACCTTGCTCAAGATTGTTATGTGGCCTTGCAGAGAGAGAGAGGACAGTCATTTCCTAAGCATTACAAATGCATGCATCAGCAATTTGTTATCCAGTCTTGTTGCACAGTGATTATGCCCAGATCTTCAATTGCCTAGATGAGTCCCCTAGTGCCTTCTATCACGGCTGTGCCACCTTGTGTGCGGCGACTCGCAGCAATCACGGTTCGTTGCCACGTGCATGCCGGATCTTCGGTAAAGTCTTACTTTCCCATGTTCTTGTATCCTCGAGGATCTGCTTGCCTTGGCACGATGGCAGCGCAACGGTCTGTGTAACCATTAGCATCCATTAATGATGTAACAAGCTGACCTGGGCCTTGATTATTTCATCAATTCATTCATTATATGCCCTCCATATATGTAGTATACTTTACTGTTTCAAATATCAATTCATTCTATATTGTCACCTATTCAGTGCCATAATCACGGCAGTTTGGGACGTAAACAGGTTACATAGTTTCCTGGGGTCGAAGCTGGATTGGTTTAAATTCCTCTAGCCGAGTCTGACAGCTTGCAGCGCTTAGCGCCGCCAAGTCATCAGACGATGGGGCTGAGGATCAAGATACCCCTCACTCGCTATCTACCTTCCAAGTTCCGATCACTCTTCCTGAGGCAACATTTGAAAGTACTTAGCAGTACAAACATTGAGTTGCACTCACAATGACATCGGTCACAGTTTCTGGCGCAAACAGTGCGCTTCAGGTCGGCGTTAGTTATGGTTCTATTCATTATACTTCGGGTAAGTTTCAGAACTACTTGAACATAAAGAAACCAACTGACTTGATCATCCTTCTTTCGTAGAGCGTCCAGAGCCCCTTCCAGAGCGACGTCCAGAGCCTCTATCAACTGTGCCATACCCGCATGACCCAGACTTTGTCAGTCGTGATGCACTCGACCGGCTTCACGAAAAGGCTGCTATCCCAGGGTCCAGAATAGCCCTCGTCGGCCTCGGTGGGGTCGGGTAAAAGCAACCCGGCATAAGAGCGATTGTTTGCAGGCTGACTTTACAACAGAAAGACACAACTCGCCATTGAGTACGCCCGCAAAGTCAGAGAGCAGTCACCAGAGACGTGGGTCTTCTGGATCCATGCGAGTAACATGGCTCGCTGCCAGAAAAGCCTGCGTGACCTTGCGAATCGAGTCAAGATCTCCGGGCGCGAGGAGCATACTACTAATATATTCCAACTTGTTGGGAATTGGCTGGAAGATGGAAATATCGGAAAATGGATTCTTATTCTTGATAATCTTGACGACAATGAGCTCCTACGCACATCTCCGGCAAACGTGGGTCGGGGAAATAACCAGACTGGCCCAATGCAGCCACCGCTTAGGTACCTTCTCGAATGTTCGAATGGCTGCATTATTATCACAAGTCGGGACAAAAAGATAGCCCTAGACATCGCCGGCCATAAGAACATGATCGCAGTGCAACAAATGGAGAAGGCTGAAGCTCTGGATCTACTACAGAAGAAGCTACAGCTAGATCTGTCAGGAAAGACTCTGCATACACAGGCGGAACTTGAAGATATGGGGCAGCTTGTTGATGCGCTCGAGTTCATGCCACTCGCGATCGTACAAGCCGCCGGCTATATTGCGCATCGATCGCCGCGTTGCTCTGTGTCACAATACCTAGGCAAAATCAAGGGTAATGATCGTGAAGCAGTTAAGCTGCTCAATCAGGAGGCAGATATTCTTTATCGAGACTGGGAGGCCAAGAACTCCATTTTACTCACATGGCAGATATCCTTTGACCACATTCAGGGTACAAGACCATCTGCAGCGGACCTCCTCTCTCTTATGAGCTTCTTCGATCGACAGGGAATCCAAGAGAGTGTTCTCCGAGTTCCTAATCCCCAGAAAGTGAACGACAATTCATATTTGGAGGATGATGAAGATAGTTCTGGCGAAGAAGACGAAGTTAGTATAACTAACTCTGACATAGATCAGTGTTTTGAAGATGATATCGCAACACTGAGCGACTATTCGTTGATCTCTATTGAAAAAAAGAGCAACTCTTCATCAATACCGCCTGAAGAACAGGGCACAGTTCTCACCATGCATCGACTAGTCCAGCTTACCGTGCGCACGTGGCTGAAAACTCATGGAAACTTCGAGCTATGGAAGGAACGGTTCATCTATAATCTATACATGATGTTCCCGAACGGTAGATATGAGAATTGGGAACAATGCCGGGCGCTCTTTCCACATGTGAAATCTGCTATTTTACAACAGCCACAGCCACGAAGGCCCCTTCTACAATGGGCTACGCTACTTTATTTGGGTGCCTGGTATGCATACGAAAGTGGCAGTCTAAGAGATGCGATGGAGATGGTATCAAAATCAAGAAAGCAGAGAGTCAAATTACTAGATGCGGCTAATGAAGAAGCCCTTGCTAGCACTTCATTATTAGCATCAATATATAGGAAACAGGTCCAGTGGAAAGAGGCCGAGCACCTTGAAGTACAGGTATTGGAGATAAGCAAGAAAAAGCTTGGCGAGGACCATCCTAATACACTATTAAGTATGGGCCGCCTAGCGTCAACATACCGGAAGCAGGGCCGGTGGAAGGAGGCGGAGAAACTTGAAGTACAGGTGTTGAAGATGAGCAAGATAAAGCTTGGCGAGGACCACTCTGACACGCTATCAAGTATGGCCGGCCTGGCGTCGATATATCACGGCCAGGGCCGGTGGAAGGAGGCTGAGAAACTTAAAGTACAGGTGATGGAGAGGAGCAAGATAACGCTTGGCGAGGACCACCCCGACATGCTAATAAGTATGGACAGCCTGGCGTCGACATATTGTTCCCAGGGCCGGTGGAAGGAGGCCGAGAAGATTGAAGTGCAGGTGATGGAGAAGAGAAGGATAAAGCTTGGCGAGGACCACCCTGACACACTGTCAAGTATGGCCAGCCTGGCATCGACATATTGGTCCCAGGGCCGGTGGAAGGAGGCCGAGAAGCTTGAAGTGCAGGTGATGGAGATGAGAAGGATAAAGCTTGGCGATAACCATCCTGACACACTATCAAGTATGATCAACCTTGCTTGCACCTGGAGACTCTTAGGCCGAAATTCCGATGCTGTGGAGCTCTTACGAGAGAGCTTAGCAAAGCAGAAGCAGATCTTAAGCCCTAATCACCCTGATGTCTTGGATAATCAAGAGACATTGCTAGAATGGGAAACCGAGGGATTGAACATCGATGCATAGTCAACGATTGTTCTACTACACATGCCTGTGTTTAGCTTCAGTCAAAAGGCTTTCCAGCCTTCAGCGATCTTATGTGATATCTCCTGCCATCAAAACTGGTAAGTAGATTAACAATTTGGGTTCTATGATCCCGGCAGATGAGCAATTGATCGACTAATGACTTGGAAATAGATTGTCTCCGCGATTGGGGATACATTCAATCTCCTTCAATCTCCTTCAATCTCCTTCAATCTCCTTCAATCTCCTTCAATCTCCTTCAATCTCCTTCAATCTCCTTCAATCTCCTTCAATCTCCTTCAATCTCCTTCAATCTCCTTCAATCTCCTTCAATCTCCTTCAATCTCCTTCAATCTCCTTCAATCTCCTTCAATCTCCTTCAATCTCCTTCAATCTCCTTCAATCTCCTTCAATCTCCTTCAATCTCCTTCAATCTCCTTCAATCTCCTTCAATCTCCTTCAATCTCCTTCAATCTCCTTCAATCTCCTTCAATCTCCTTCAATCTCTTTCAATCTCCTTCAATCTCCTTAATTCGTTGAAGCTTTGAGTACTTGCCTGGGCATCCTTGTTGAGCATTTTCCACTCTGGCCGAGTCCACGTCAGGTGCTTGTCGTGCTTGTTTCGGTAGCGCAGAATGCGTATGCGGAGGAGTTGAAGGGATCTTGATTCCAGATAAGCCGCATGCTGATGTGGATGTGGATGTGGATATGAGTTATTCATCATTGAAAAAGAGGATTCGGTGGATGAGAGGAATATGGTTTTATTTTCGGTAGGATTCCAAGGTTGATGATGGTCCAATTCGGTGATGGAGTCTTGCTAACTGTGCATAGTTGTCGGCTGTGAGGGCAAAAGGACTCAGACAGTGGATATTCGTACCCACAATGGAAATGAATCTCGGACACGATGTAAATTGATCAATTGCTTTTGATGGGATGGGGACTAAGCTGCGGCTTTGAGAAAGGAAGGAAGACTTGGGAATGTACTTTGAACTTATATGTTTTGTTCGTGTTTGTTTAGCGCGTGGGACCTGACCTGGGATATGGGGACTTTGTATCAGATTGGATGGAAAGAACAAACATTCAGAATGGAATGCTTGGCTTTTGGTTGTCGATAACAATCAGGAGCTATCCGGACGTGAAAGTAGCATATGAATGTAATGAACTTTCAAGGTTCCGCGGTTACAAAGTTGAATGTCTTTCTCGTACTAGACTAATGTATGAAATGTAGGTTCAACTCGTCAAGGGATATGTTAATTGCGTTAGAAATGATAAGGCTATTATACAAAAGAGCACATCATCCAATACCCCTCCCCAATTAGCCTGAAATGAGAACGCGCCCTGAAACTCCAGATGCAAAGGAATAAATAGAAGCAAAGGACTGGGAATACTTTGGCACAGCCTTTATTGGATGGGACGTGAACTCATTGCCGGGCCCGTTGGTGAATGTGTCGGATCTGGTCTTCAATGTTCATATTTTGGGGGTTATGCACACCCGGGGGACCAATCGGCAGGCCGGGATGAGGCGCAGCAACGCCAGGAGGGAGTGGGCCATCTGGCAGACCACCACTGAGAGCCATGCGCTTGCGACGAGCTTCTTCCTCGGGGTCGATACCAGGCGCAAGCGACGAGTCAAAGACATCGCTGCGTTGGCTGGCCAGTCGCTTAAGATTGTTGACCACGTCAGCAGTGGAAAGGTTGGTTGTTGCACTGCGCGCATCTTGCTTGGCACGTTGTTCCTTCCAGCGGGGGTCCAGAAGCTCAATGCGAACGTGCTCATCCAGCTCTGCAACGGGAATTTGTTGATGACAATTGGGACAGATTGCGGTGGCACCCTGCTGACGACGGGCCTGGGCTCGCGGGACGTAGTCGCTGCGAATGCGCATAGGAGGTTGACCCGGGACAGCTGGGGCAGGGAAATCAGGACGAGGTTGCTGCGATTGAATCGGCAATGCGTGTGGGTACTGTGCATTGTAATCCGCTCCGGGTTGTGGGTATGGCGCTGGGTATTGAGCTGGGTATTGGGAAACGGGAGCTTGTGGTGCGAAAACCGGTTGGGGCTGGGCCGGAGATGCGTTGTAGTAGGTGGGAGCGTCGAGATCAGTGGGCATAGCCTCTTCGATACGCAGCGGGTTAAGAGACATAGCGGCTTTCTGCTCCAGAGAAGCGGACTGCAAGTCATTGAGTGATGTCGGGGGTGGCAAATCATCGTGGTCATCGCTTTCGGTAAACACCACCGTCTCGACAACCACAAAGTCGTGCCAGTCGATCTGTGCATATTCAATTCGCTCTTGTTCTTCTAATTCCTCCTTCTCTTGTTTCTGAAGTTCCTGGTGCTTCACCCAGTCAGCGCGCTGCTTGGCGCGCTCCAAAACATGGTACTTGTTCTTCGCGCTGTTCTCCAATTCGGCAATACGCTTTTGTTCCGTAGTTGCATCATCGAGGCCTTCTGATCGTAGCAGAATGGTGTATTGATCAACCAATCGGTTAAAGAACTGGTGGAGACTATTAAAGGGTCGTAAGAATTCGAACTGAGGGTTCCGTGCCTCCCGTTGCGAAAGCGCGGTTAGCCAGGACTTGCCTCTCTTGGCGACAAAGAGTGCGGTCAGCTTCACAACTTCCAGATCCTGTGCATGGCTAACGGGCATGCGCGCAGAGAAATGGAATGCAGGTGGCTCAGGCGGGCCCTGGGGCATTTCAGGTTCGGCAGCAGGAGTAGCTTCACCCGCTCGTCCCGCAGCGATCGATGTTCCCCGGCCATTCTTGATCTCGGTTAGGCGCCATTGATAGAAGGGCGCGTAGGCATCGCCGTCGTTGAGGAAGGAGAATTTCGGGTTGTTCTTTTCTTTATCACGGACACGATCTATAGGAGCAAGGGTAAGTATCGAGGCATTGTTCACAAACACATTAGTTTCGAGGGAGACATACCCTCAAAGACTGGTCCATTTCGGGAAACGTAGCCGGCGGTCTTCTCAACGATAGCTGTGTTACGAGTTTAGCTGTGATCTTGTCGCGCGCGCGTATGATAAGCTGCAACTCACCTTGAATATCCTTAGGTGGACGCACCAAGCCCTCTGGAGGCTTGTTCATATCCTCCGGCAAAGGAGTATTTCCATTTGAGGAATCCATGGCGACGACGATGTGAAAGAAGTGATAACCGGGGGAGTTCTTTTTGGCCTCATTGAAGTTGCTGACTACTCTTTCACCTGCGCCACATGTTAATTGTCAGGCTTGAGTAATCTGTGGCGGTGCAGCTCCAAATGCGGGTAACTTCGCTTATGTAAGGGTTTTTGTTTGCACTCGTTGCAATGGAAGCACCTGATCCGCATTCATCGAATTTATTTATGTACATATTTGTAGTATATTTGATTGATTCACCTATTTATTATCTTCATTTTATACTGGTATCTATAAATCAAGGGTCGCGAGATACAAATATAACATTATTTACATGATTGTAATCAAAAGGTAGCATAAACAATTCAAAGAGAAATCTCATAGTTACTCCTCGGCTCTAACTGGAGGCTGAAAGTTAAGGGGCTGCTGTCTCTTGTCCACAACTCCGCCCCCAGTCGATCTGGCCTCTCTCTTCTCTGCTTTCGTCCATTCCCTCACCTCGTCCTTTTTTTCCTATATTCTTTCTTCTTTTTTTTCCATATTTTCTTCAGGCCCTGTCATGGGGTCTTTTCTTTTGACCATCTACGATCATTAAATCGTTCACCTTTTGTGGTGACGGGCTGTTTTGAGAGCTGCAACGAAAGCTGTCAACAGTTATTTTTCTCGACCTTGAATTTCATTAATTGTTCGCGATTGAATCGCTATCCAACTCGACTCCTCTTTTTTCCCTTTTTTTCTCTTTTTTCCTTGCCTCGACTTCGTTTGACCACTCGGTCCCTCCCTCCGCCTCCGGTTTTACTGCGCCCCTCATACCTCGTGCATCCGCGGAGATCGTGACAATGGGTCAGAAAGACAGTCTACGGCCCGGCCGTGGTGGTCGTGGCCAGAGCCGTAGTCGCTCACCAGGGCCCAAGAAACCTCAATCTCCAACCAATCCCTCCGATGGTCTTAAGAACAAGAAATCTACAACCTATGCCTCCGATGGTGTTAAGGACTATGACATCTTCAACCTCCCCGCCTCCGACTATATCCTTCTGTTGTTGGTGACGCTGATTGGCGCCGTCGTGCGTCTATTCCGCATCTACCAACCTACAAGTGTTGTCTTCGATGAAGTCCAGTACGTTTTTTGGGTTTCTCGGGTCACGAGTAAACAAAAAATGTATTTTGTGCTAATTGATGACCTTTTTGAACAGCTTCGGTGGATTTGCCAGCAAGTATATCAAGGGAAAGTTCTTTATGGATGTCCACCCGCCTCTCGCCAAGATGCTCCTTACCCTGGCCGGCTGGTTGGCTGGTTTCGATGGAGAATTCGATTTCAAGGACATTGGCAAGGACTATCTTGAGCCTGGCGTTCCCTATGTCGCTATGCGTATGCTGCCCGCTATCATGGGTGTTCTAACGGTCTCCTTGATGTTCTTGACACTCAAGGCCAGCGGCTGTCGGTCTTCCACTGCGGTCATGGGTGCCAGCGCTGTTATCTTTGGTAAGAATTAAAGCTTTGTAAAATCCGAATATCAAGCTAACCCCGGATCTAGATAATGCACTGACCACTCAATCCCGCCTGATTCTTCTGGATTCCCCACTGGTTTTCTTCACGGCCCTAACTGCTCTGGCATTTACATGTTTCTCGAATCAACAAGAATTGGGTCCTAAGTATGCCTTCCGAGGTGCCTGGTGGTTTTGGCTAGCTGCAACCGGTCTCTCCCTGGGTGCCACTCTCAGTGTCAAATGGGTTGGTTTGTTCACCATGGCTTGGGTTGGGTCGCTCACAGCCCTCCAGCTGTGGGTAGTTCTCGGAGACTCGAAGAATGTTACACCCCGATTGTGGTTCAAGCACCTATTCTCCCGCGCCTTCTGCCTGATCGTGCTTCCTCTTGGATTTTATGTTGCGATGTTTGCGATTCACTTCACTTGCCTGGTGAACCCTGGTGAAGGTGATGGCTTCATGTCCTCGGAGTTCCAGGCTACCCTCAACTCCAAGTCCATGACAGATGTCCCCGCTGATGTCTCCTTCGGATCCCGTGTCAGCCTTCGTCACCTGAATACCCAGGGTGGTTATCTACACTCACACAATCACATGTACCCGACTGGCAGCAAGCAACAACAGATCACCCTCTACCCCCACAAGGATGAGAACAATGTTTTCCTTCTGGAGAACTCGACTCAACCCCTAGGCCCCGATGGAGAGATTCCAGGAGCATTTGCCTGGGACAATTTGACTGCTACCGATAACTTTATCGAGGATGGAGCCGTTATCAAACTTTACCACTTGCTCACCCACCGACGCATTCATTCACATGACGAGCGTCCTCCGGTGACAGAGGCTGACTGGCAATTCGAGGTCTCGGCCTATGGATATGAAGGTTTCCCTGGAGATGCCAATGATATGTTTAAGGTTGAGATTGTCCCGTCAATGTCCGAGGGAGAACTATCCAAGAAGCGCGTTCGAACTATCCAGACAAAGTTTAGACTAGTCCACATCATGACTGGCTGCGTGCTGTTCTCTCACAAGGTCAAGCTTCCCGACTGGGGATATGAACAACAAGAAGTCACCTGTGCGAAGGCCGGTACTCTGCCTAACAGTATTTGGTACATCGAGGATAACTCGCACCCTATGATGCTGGAGGATGCCGAACGAGTGAACTACCGCAACCCAGGCTTCTTGGGTAAGTTCTGGGAGCTACAGAAGGTCATGTGGACCACCAACGCTGGTTTGGTCGAGTCCCACGCTTGGGATTCTCGCCCCCCATCATGGCCCACTCTCCTCCGTGGTATCAACTTCTGGGGCAAGGAAGCCCGCCAGATCTATCTTTTGGGCAACCCCCTCATCTGGTGGTCATCCACTGCCGCCATTGGCATCTACTTTGTTTTCAAGGCCATTGCGATTCTTCGTTGGCAGCGTAGCTGCAATGACTATAGCAATAACTCGTGGAAACGCTTCGATTACGAAGTCGGCGTTAGCGTTCTGGGTTGGTTCTTCCACTATTTCCCGTTCTTCCTGATGGCCCGTCAACTTTTCCTGCACCACTACTTGCCGGCCCTCTACTTTGCTATTATGGTTCTATGCCAACAGTTCGACTTTGTTTTCAACCGCGTGAAGATCTTCGGTCTTGCCTCACGCCCTGCTATTGGAAAGCTCATCATGACTGGATTCGTGATCCTTAGCATCGCCGTTTTCACCATGTACTCTCCCTTGATCTACGGTAACCCTTGGACCAAGAGTGCCTGTTACAAGGCTAAGCTCTTGGATACTTGGGACTTTGATTGTGACAGATTTCACACCGACGTAAGTGACAGTGTTCCAGAGTGGAGACCTCCCCGCCGAGGATATTGAGTGAAACCGCCGAAACGCGTGGCTGACATCGAATATTTTCACCAATAGCTGAGCCAATACCACTCTGAGGTCCTTTCCGCGAACCAAGTGATTCCAACAACATCCCTGCCAGTGCCTACCCCTCAGGTGCAACAGGAGCAGCCCGAGGTGCTTGAGCAGAAGCAACCCGAGCAGCCTCCAGTCCAACAACCCGTGGATATTGCCCAAGACAAGCAAACAGAGGAGGCCGCAGTCACGGCTCCCACAATTCCCGGCTCCACAGCTCGCGTCGAGTACCGTGATCAGCACGGCAATGTCTTGCCCGAAGATCTTGTCGCCTCCCTTCGCGCTGACGGCAATGTCAAGTTTGAGACTCGCTGGGAATCCAAGTCCCGCCTTGAGCACGCACATGACGTTCCCATTGTGGACGGTCGGCTTGCACCCCCTCACCCAGATGTGGAGGGTCAGAACCCCGAGACTGGCGGACGTCCCGAGGACTCGATCGCTCCGGAGAGACCTGCGTCCGTTGTGCAGGGCAATGAGCGATCAGCCGAGACATCTAGCTCCCCTGAGGCAAAGCCTGCTAGCGAAGGCAATGAGGCTACTGCGCTGTAATTACTATGATCGCTAATAGATGGAGAGCTTGTGTGCGTCTAAAAACTTCTAACATGTATCATGAACCATTCTTGAGACTGTCATTCTTTTCATAGTGATCAGTTCAGTGTTTTTTAAGTTTAATTCATTCAATATTGTTCAAATGTTTATTCAATGCATGTGGGTGGATATTCCAATATTGCAAAATGCCCAGTCCTCAAGTGCTGGAGGTGCCCGCATCAATAATGTTGACATCTGGATCAATCAATTGATCTAAACGGTACCTGGGCGGGAGTGCTTAACATTCAATGTTTGAAGTGATCAATACATACCGATGGATGTAGTACTCAAGTGCTAGGAATATTTTCAAATTTTGGGCAGGTATGGAGGCCTAGGTGTACATCAATACACATGTGCATACATTCGAATTTTCATTCAAATGTTCCAGATGTCACAATGTTGGGCATATTGATGTGTGTCCAGCCCTGACTGGTACATGTGGAGATGATAGACCAGTCGGATATCAGTTGACCCAAACATTGAACATTGATTGAAGGTGCCTAGCTACACTTCAAATGTTGAGTAGCTTGAGTACTACTATTGCCCAGTGCCGGGCAGGTACTGCAGACATCTTGACATAAGCATTCAAGGTATGTAGGTACCTACTAGTAAATACTTCCAAGCACTTGCACAGAGATTACTTCTGGATTCCATCAATCTCAATGAAAATTCAAATCCTTTATGCACTTCCATATATATACATCCAGACAAGAAAGTTTGCAACTTGGAACATTCAAATGTTGAAGGGAGTATGTATGTAGTCTCAAGAAGTGTATGGACATACCTATAGCAGAAGCTTTCGATTATGCTTATGTAGGTTTCAAGTACATGAAATTCCGAACATTAAATTTTTCAAGGTCGAATATTTAAGCTCCAGAGCTTGGATGCATATGAATCGGCATGGCGGGTGAAGCCGGGAACTACCCACATTCAATATACCCGCAAGACAACTTACACCCAACGATAATGGATACCGTCATATCCAACACGGCTTCATGATAAATTTAGGAGTCAATTCCGAGTTTCTGGAGATAAGATGGCGCAAAATTAAACAAAAGAAAGAGACAGGTTGTCAATTGATTCTCTTTACGGACACGGAATACTATGCACAAATCTCTGGTAATCGCAAACGCAAATCCAAGGCCACAGACTCTCCCCAACTCTTCGCCGGTCTTAGTATACAGCATTTAGCCGCCAAAACGGCAATTCGCTCTCACATCGTCTTTTAAAGGGACTCGACTTAAATAATCTAGTAGTCCCACTCCTCCTTGCCGTACTTGTTGAACTTCTCGTGGAGGTCCTATCAGATGACGCGAATCAGTCAGCAATTGTAAAACAGAGAACCAAACCAAGATCGCATATGGAAGACGAGAAATAGCTGGTGGGCAGCATATGTGAGGATAATTTAGGGCCAGACAGGCCTGAGGGACTGCATACCTCGGGCAGAGTGACGTTGGGAACAATAACAGTGTTCAGGGCGCTGGGGGCAGCGCGGAGGGGCTGGCTCTTGTCACCGTTAGGGTGGTACTGGTACTTGTAGATCTTGCCATCCTCGGAGGCAGCGTGCCAGGGCATGGAGCTCTCGGCAATGCGAACGTTGCTCTCGGAGGTGACGGAGGTGGGCTTGGAGCCGAAGTACCTAATAGTCGCAGGCAGCCGGGTCAGCCAATTGAAGTCCTCGAATCGTTTACCACATGGCCCACGAAGCTCCTCGGTCGGTCGGTGGGTGGTGTCATCACGACGAGGTGGCGGTTAGCCACCTTAAACGTCACAAGGAGCATGGGGATATCGGGTATCGGGCGCGGGGGGAGGGGGGTAATTTACCAGCCAGCACCGAGGAAAGCGCCGGACATGATACCGAGAAGAACCTATAGGAACAGGAATTAGACTGGGCGGCTCGGAGCAGATCAATGGCAGCCGGATATCCATACGTAGAGCTCGGGGTCACGCTTAGGAGCCTTGTCAAGGCTGGCCTCCTCGACCTTGGAGGACATGAAGCGGCGCGGGGCAGCGCGGAAGATGGGCTGGCGAGCCAGAGCCCGGCGGGAAGCCATGGCAGCGATCGAAGACATTATGGCAGCGGGTCGTGCGTGGATGGGGGGTTATCGCGGAAGACTGGGGACGAGGTGGTGCGAGAGAATCGGAAGCATCGAATGATGTTGCCAAGTCACGTGGTGGAGTAGATGAGTCAGCATTGAATTGAGCTCATCGATTTGTGGATTTTGGGAACTTCGGGATTGAAGTTGATCTGCCAGTCGCGGTTGCTCAACTCCTGGCTTTGGCCCTATTTGCTGGTGATTTACACCGAAGGTGATGTAATTGGAATTTGATCTTCTGCGATCTTTAATATCTGATTACATTACATCCCCGAGGTACGTTGTGGCTCTTGTTACTACTCTATATCTAGATCAGGGGGTTTGCGATCTTTGCTCCCCCCGGATTTCTGGACGCGTGGATTTTAAAAGGAATACCCTCAACGCATCGACCGAACTAACTCATATTAATAATATTATAGGGCATTCAAAGCTTCCTCAGCCTCTCATTAGACCCTTTCTTCACCAACCTTGTCACTCTTTTACATAGATTTGTTTCCGCCCCTCGGAGTATTGCCTACCTCCGACTCACCGCGATTCTTGCCTAACCCACGTGTTCTGTGATCACCGAACGAATATGAGAGTTCGCACAATCTGTTAGTAAACGTACTGTGTGCTCTTCTCCAGAGTTTTCAGTTATGGCAAACTACGCCGACCGCTCCGAAACTGGCGATATGAATCAACTACCAACCCAGCAACATGCTTTGGGCATTCCACGGCCTCCATCAGTGGGAGGCATCTCCTCCAGGGTTACGGATATGGCCTCCGAGGATGGGGAGAACTCGCAATCATATACATCACCACCACCCCCGCCTCTTCAGCAACAGCGTAATTCAGCCTCTCGACGTGGTCCACCCCCCACCAGAAACTCAGTGACAAGCAGACCAGGAAGCTCTGGCAGCCGGCTGAGTAGGACACATATCCCTTCCTTGACTGCCTCAGCATTCTTTCGTCCAATGAGTTCTCAACGACTACAAGCGCACCGAAGTACTCGACCAATGACCAAGGGAACAGTATCGTCGACCGACGAGTGGGGAGACCACACGAGCCAAAACAGACGAAGCTTGATCTCGAACAGCACATATCAACAGGGATCGCTCCCTCCAGTGGATATGGAGCCCCCGCCATCACGTGGTACCGAATTCACAGATCCTATCATTCCTGATCGCAATACTTCAAACGCCAGCCCCATAGGAAATACAACAATCCGAAGCCTAGGGGAGAGTGTGCGGCTTTTACGGGATCGAGACCAGAACGGCAAAAAGCGTCCCGAAAATTTGAATCTGAATGTGAACTACAGCGTGCACAACCCGCATGATGGGCCTCCAAAATCACCATTATCATTCTTACAGAACAAGGCGGCTGCTCAAAATCCACATGATCCCCGGGGCCATTCCAGGCTTTCCTCTGCTGGCTCTTCTCCGGGAGCTACAGATATAAAGAAGCAACAATTCCCGAAGAGTAATATGGGCAAGAACTGGGAGTATTTTGTTGGCAACACTTTTTTCTGTGGTGGAGGTCGATTCCAGAACTCGAGAGATAAACCGATCAACATTCTCACAGGAATTCTGGTGGTCGTTCCATCAGCCCTGTTCTTTGGATTCTCAGCTCCTTGGTTATGGCACAATATCTCCCCTGCCATTCCCATCGTTTTCGCATACGTTTTTTACATCTGCTTTTCGTCCTTTGTACATGCATCTGTTGTTGACCCTGGCATCATGCCTCGAAATGCCCACCCTATGCCTGCAACAAACCCTGCTAATGACCCATTGTCACTTGGACCACCAACAAATGACTGGGTTATGGTGAAGCTCGCTACCTCTGAGTCTGCAGCTATGGATGTTCCCGTCAAATACTGCAAGACATGCAGTATCTGGCGGCCGCCTCGCTGCTATCACTGCCGTGTGTGTGACAACTGTGTGGAGACACTCGATCACCACTGTGTTTGGCTAAACAATTGTGTTGGGCGCCGCAACTACCGTTATTTCTTCGCTTTCGTCAGCTGGGGTACCTTATTGGGGTTGTTCCTACTCGGTGCTAGCCTGGCACACATTTTGGTTTACATGTCGCGTGAGAATATTTCTTTCGGTGCTTCCATTTCGAAATGGCGAGTGCCATTCGCAATGTTTATCTATGGTGCTGTTGCCACCCCCTATCCATTATCGCTTTGGATTTATCACTTGTTCCTGACCGGTCGGGGTGAAACTACCCGAGAGTATCTCAACTCCCACAAGTTTGCTAAGGCCGATCGCCACCGGCCATTCACTCAGGGAAATGTTTTGACGAACTGGATCTCGATCCTAGGACGGCCTCGTCCTCCTACCTACATGCAATTCAAGCAGCCATACGAAGAGGGCGACCAGCGTTATGCTATGCAAAAGCGCAAGTATCTCGTTCACCGTGACGTCGAGTCTCAGGCGGGGATTGAGATGCAAGAGGTTGGTCCCCATCAATAGGAACCATCAACACAAAAAGCACTCTCTCAATTCTGCCTGTTACGACCTGTGAAGACGACACGATTTCATTTTCTTGATCACATACCATTTCTTTTTCTTTGGGATAATATCCCCGTTCTACCGTTCTAATTGTTACATTCATACCCCTCCTGTCATAATTCCCTACTTTTATTACATTACCCTTGGCGAGGCATTATCATGTCATTGACATTCTCTGGAATATTTTCTATTCTTGATCTCATTTCTTTTTGTCCCTACTCTGTTGGATCGTGCGTCCGATTCTGAGATAATCTCCAGTCGTGAATGTCCGACTTGCTATCTGTCCTATCCTTATATTCCTTTTCTTTGGGGATTCCCCATGAATATTCTAACTAAATCTCTACGGAGGAAGATATCTAGTGCATGCCTTTGGTTAAGACATGCTTGTATGAACTGGCCATAGAAACAGTTGAATTAATCCGATCTACCGAATCCTATAAAAGCACGCGTATGTAACTGTGTATGTAACTGCGGGGGCGAGAGTTATGAGGAATTTAAACATTCCAACTGACATGTCATACGCCTTTTTAACTCCTTTACTAGTTCGCCCTTGATTAGATTCTCGGCAATTTCGTTAAAAAGTTGAATGTTGATGTTGCACGCGTCAGACATCCCCGTTCGCCCTCAATTGATAAGAGGCGCGCGGCTACCGATCTTCCTACCTTTCCACCCCTGATACTCCCCGACCAGACCACTCACTCGCCCCCATCTCAAGTGCTTGAGAAGGACGATCCAACCCGGTGGATTGTCTTTCTCCCGAACTGTGGATCTCGTGTTCAACATGGCGCGCCGAACCTCCCGCCTGGCCGCGTCCGCAACTCCCGCTCTCGCTGACGTCCCTGCCACACACGACACCCCCGACGACACGATGAGCCTCGACGTCCCAGAGCAGCTCCTCACACCAGAGGCCAGCCGCTCTGAGACCTCAAGCAACACCGAGAACGCGTCGAAGGAGGAGCCATCGACACTGCCACGGAGATCAACACGAGCCACACGCGCATCGTTGCAGGCCACCGAGGCGCTCGAGAACACACCGGTCAAGAAGAATGACACCGCCACCTCATCAAGTCAAGCCTATGTCGACAGTCTGGCCAGCGCAAAGCGCTCGCGGTCTGGGCTCAGACATAGTATCGCCGTGATGCAGTCGTCATTGCGGACTGACTCGGGTCTGTCTACTGATGATACCTTGATCGAAGACCACTCAATGGCTCCCGATACGCCTATTTCGAAGTCCTCACAAGAACCACAATCCGAAGATACGACCACATTCCTTCAGCAACGGACTCTACGAAAGCGTGTTGAGAAGGCACTGGCCGAGGATGAGACACCGGCTGCGGCAAAATCAACGCCCCATGAAGGTTCCCGAAAATCACTACGGCTATCGACTCGCTCTAGTATACTGGACAAGGCTTCGGACTTTTTGGAACGAGCCAACCGTGTTCTGGGTAAACGGTCCAGGGAGCTGAGTGACAAGGGCAAAGAGGTTGGTCGACGTGCCAGTCTTCGTCCCCGGGTTGCGCCAGCCAAGGAGGAAGCGCCAGTGCCAGCGCCAGCAGCAGAACCACCTGCTAAGAAGCGCCGGGTCTCTGAGAGTGATCTCCTAGATCTGAAGTCTAAGGATGAATCGCCACCAGCCGAGGAGCCTATTGTCCCGCCTGTTCCCAAATATAGGCGTAAGACATGGATGAAACATGGGTTGTACAGTGGACAGGAAGCAAGCAATTCTCCTCCGAAACAGCGCAAGAGCAAAAATTCTGAGAAATCTAGTCTCGACATTATCAGGCAACGGCGCCATCTCCCTATGCCAATATTTGCCGGGGCTCGACTTATAAAGACCCAAAGAGATTATGTTCTTCCTTTTGACATTTTCTCCCCACTCCCACAGGGTCAACCCAAACCGGATGAGTGGCGCAAGACCAACCACAGTATGGACTTTTCTAGCACAAGATATTTATTTGACTTAGGGCAAGAGCTAACCGGTATATTTAGATGTTTTCGTTGGTGATGCTGCCGGGGAATGGAGAGCAAACAAGAAAGAAGAACTTTCTACTTGCATGTGTGACGAGGACACTGGCTGTGATGATAATTGCCAAAATCGCTACATGTTCTACGAGTGTGACAATGGCAACTGCCGATTGGGTGCAGAATGTGGAAACCGAAATTTCAGTGAGCTTAAGGCTCGAACAAAGGCTGGTGGCAAGTACAATATTGGTGTGGAGGTTATAAAAACCGAGGATCGAGGATACGGTGTGCGTAGCAACCGGTCCTTCGAGCCAAACCAGATCATCGTGGAGTATACTGGAGAAATTATCACTCAATTCGAGTGCGAAAGGAGAATGAGGAACGTTTATAAGAACAACGAGGTAAGAAACCCCCAGAGAATCTTTCGTTACTCTGTGATTGACAAAAAGCCAGTGCTATTATCTAATGTACTTCGATCAAAACATGATCATTGACGCCACACGAGGATCCATTGCACGATTTGTGAATCACTCCTGTCAGCCGAATTGCCGAATGGAGAAATGGACTGTTGGTGGCAAGCCACGAATGGCTCTATTTGCAGGAGACCGAGGGATTATGACTGGAGATGAGCTGAGTTACGACTATAACTTTGAGTACGTTTTTATCTTGGAATCTTGAACTGTACAGCCTTTACTGACCAACTTCAGTCCCTACTCCAACAAAAATGTTCAAGAGTGCCGCTGCGGAGCACCGAACTGTCGTGGTATTCTTGGACCCCGGCCGAAAGATCGAGACCAGCGTGCCAAAGTAGAAGCGGCCAATGAAAAGGAGGCCAAGAATGCAGGCACGAAGCGAAAGCGCTCAACAGCGGCTGGAACCGCGACTGCTCAAGCAAAGAAGCGCAAGCTACCCAATGCGAAATCTATTAAGGCCGGCGTCAAGAAAGCCGTAACGAAGGTCACATCTGCGCGTGGTAAGACAACTACAAAGAAGACTACCACTACTACCACAGTCCGTGGGCAGACCAAGACCAAGACTGTCGAGAAGAAGAAGAAGACTGTCAAGTTGCCCACGGTCAAAGCTGCATCCAGAGTCAAGGCTGCCATCCGCGGTCCTCAACGAAAGGCAGCACCAGCTAAGGCCAAGGCCAAGGCAACAACTAAGGCCAAGGCAACTACATCGCCGGCCAAAAAGACCAACCAGCTCAAGCGGCCTTCTCCTGAAACCAAGAAGAAGATCCTCGCCAACGCTGCAAAGGGAGCCAAGTCCCCGGCCAAACCCCCGGCCAAATCCCCGGCTAAGTCTCCTGCTAAGTCGCCAGCCAAATCACTAGCCAAATCACTAGCCAAGTCACCAGCGAAGTCACCAGCCAAGTCGCCAGCCAAGTCGCCAGCCAAAGCCAAAGCCGGAAAAGCCTCCACAAAACCTCCTCGCAAGCCCGCCGCGAGAAAGGCACCTTCTAAGACCCCCATTAAGGCCAAGATGCCCCCTTCCAAGGCGAAGGGTACAATCAAGAGCCCGAGCAAGACTACCAAGGGGAAAAGCCTGAGCAGCAGCGTGAAAAGCGCAGCCCGTAGTGTTGTCCGAACTGTCAAGGGCGGCAAAAAATAAACGGGACCAACGACATTATTTGAGCCAACTCGGTTCTCTCTTTCCATATAACCTTTCTTCTAGGAACAACTCTTGATCCTTGAAGCTTGATTCTACCAGGCTACATGCCGAGTTCCCTGAACTCCCATCTACGATCAGATATGAGAGATCAATGCCGGCCTATCTTATAAGGATTTCCAACCCCTCCCCTCCCCTCCCCCTTCCCCTCCCATCCCCATTGTTTTGTTATTGCCCACCCATTAGCTAATTATCCTTGCCGTTCATCCCCCGTTGCTCTACCTGGCACCCGCAGAGGCGTTCGGCTTATTTATCCTTGGTTTCTGGTCTTATTCCTGGTTATGCCGTACTTTAGGCTCAATCACTGTCTCCTACAATTTTTTATTTCATTTCTTCCCCCCTTTTACCTTTTTATCTTATTTTCTTTCTTGTTCGAACTTCTATTGATTTTATTTTCTTCTTTATCTTCTGCGCCATGGTTATGAAGTCGATTTGCTATGGGTTGGTTTGGTTCGTTGTCGGCATGGTATGATGTTCGCAGGTATCCTTGGAAGTCCGCTTGGTGCTTTCTGTGTGCCTTTTCTGATATTGTTGGTTTGTGGGTAGCCTGGGTACTATATAGAATCCCCGAAATTCAACACGTACGGGCTGTTTAGCCTCAGTCCTAGAAATTTGGTGCCGAGGTGAACATTTGAATGTTGTAGTAGTTCTACGCAGTCCTTCCTTTGAAGGTTAGAGGAGTCTTACATAATATCGATGTCCTCTCAAGTAGCACACTTTCTATAAATATTGGGTTTCAAAGATCTACGCTTTCAATTTTGGTTTAAAAATGCGGGAATCAATTCCATCATATGAGTGTGGTGAAAAGAATAGTATGATACAAAATACGCCTATCTTAACCATATGGACTCCAACAATAACCCCAATCACGCCGTAAGAACCGAAAATACATATATCATGAAATCAGTCAAAAAACGAGCCAACACAAAGAAAGACAGCCGCAGAGGCAAATTCAAGCTAAGTTATGTGATGTATTATGCCAGACCGAAATCAAGCAGATTCAGGAGCCGGGGCAGCTTGTGCCTCTGGCTCATCTTTTTGTTCTTCGGGTGAATGTACAGGTGCAGACTCATCATTTTCGGCTGAAGGTTGTACCTCCGAAGGGGCCTGTTGCTCAGCCTCTTCAGTCGGCGCAGGCGGCGATTGCTCAGCTGGTTCTTCTGCTTGGATCGCTGCGATTGGAGCTTCTTCCTCAGTAGTCGGGTCCGCAGCGGCTGGCTCAGGAGCAGGGGGCTCCGTGGCCTCATCGGTAGGAGCTTGAGTTGCGGCTGGCGGCGAAGGGGAAGCTGGCTTCACGGGAGCTTCAGGTGCACTTGGCTCTTCTGGTTCAGTGGGTTGCTGGGGTTCTTCGGGAGCGTCACCCATTTCCACATCATCCTTTGGGTCTGTAAAATCAAGACCAGGCTCTGGGCCACTGGGGGTATCTTCTTGAATATTGTGGGCCTCATCCGCAACCGGAGCAGGTGTGGTATCTTGGTGTTCAGCTGGCGGTGGAATGAGTGCTTCGGTAGGCTGTTCGGGCAAGTTTGACTCCGGCTCATGTGAAGGCTCTGCAGGGACGTCTTCGGTAGCAGCCTTATCGAGACTGACAGATGCAGGGGAGTCCTCCGCAGGAGGCTGAGTCTCCTTGGAATCGGTTGGTGTAACCTCAGTTGCCAACTGAGCTGGCTCTGGAACGGACTCTGCTGGGATAGAGTCCCGTTTGATTTCTGCAACAGCGGCGGGGGTGGGCTCTGGAGCAAGAGACTCCTCCTTGGGCACCGCCTCTGTTGCTAAGGGGGATGGAAATTCGGGTTGATAAGACTGGCGATCAAGGCCATTGAATTGATAGGAAGGAGGCTTTCCATCAGATTCAGTAGCAGAAGCAGGCGCAGCAGAAGCAGCCTCGGTGATCTGGGATCCAGCCTGTGATACCTCAGGCACTGCTGGTGGCTGTTCAATCTCTTGGCTTCCTGTCATAGCAGGTTCTGAGACATGAGATTGCGGTTCGAAAGTCGCGTCAGTCATTTCAATGTCCTTGGAGTCGGCCGGGGTATTGACGGAAGTTAGGTCTCCAGATTCGGCGACAGATGGAGCCTGTGGGGTTTCCGGGGTTTTCGCATCCATCATGGATTCATCTCCCTCATCACTGTCGTCGCCATCATCACCATCGTCGTCGTCATCGTCATCCTGACCAGGCTGATTGGTTGACATCTGTGAAGCATCCTGTCCCTCCTTGGGGGCACTATCACCAGCACCCGGACCGGGGGGAACGCCGTGGACAGTCGCAGCATCGGCGCCTTCCCCAGGAGCAAACATGACCTTCTTCTTTCCTCCCCTGCCAGGACCCTTCATCTTCTTGCGCTTGGGCGGCGGGGGTCGTCTCTTAGGCGGAGTCATAACAGAAGCCGAACCAGCTTCCGCAACCACGACACCCTCCGAATTGACAATGCCGACACCTTCCACAACAGTTCCGGGCGCAGGCATCTCGGCTTTAACGGGTACAGTACTCTGCTGAGCAATGGCCTGAACATCACCCGTGATCTCGCCTTCAATGCGATGCCCTTCAGGGACCCATGCTTCATAGATGGAGATTTTCCCCGTTTCAGGGTCCGTCTTCTTGAACTTAGTCCGCCTCATGGGACCAGGGCCAGACCCAGATCCATCGGCAGATGTCACACCGCCATAAAGCGATGGCAAGCCAACTCGTCTCTTTGCCAGGAACTCCACCTCCGCAGGCTCCAGGTGTTTAGGAAGTGCCATCCACTTGCGACTAGTGAAGGTGCGTTCCGCCGAGTTATTACCGGATCCATCCTCGCCATCTGCAGTCTTTTTATCGTTATCTTCAGGGGCGCGAGCATTCTGGCGAATGTAAATGCACCCGGCACGAGCGGCGCGTAGGAGGGCGCAACTGCTTGAGCCGAGGAGTTTACTGTCCCGCGGCATAGCTAGTTCAGAAAGCATAGCGCCTGCACCGGGCCCTTGTTGATACTCAGGATCTTCGGACTTAGGCATCTGTGAGTGTACCTGTGGCTGACGCGACCAGCGGCGGACAGGCAATCCTTCGAAGACATCGTGGTCGATTTGGCCAGTTCGGCGGTTACCATCGAGTTGGCGGCCGGACCGTGAGGACCGGAACTATAAAAATGTTTAGTAAAAATGTTCTGTCAATTGACTGTTTAATTAATTGCGATTGCTTGGTAGCTTTGTGTCGCGGAACTGCTAGCTTGCGTGGAGTGGAGTGTTGCGGTCGCAATGAAGACGTACAGTCGATGGCATGATTACCGGCCCTGGGTGAATTGCTACCCCCCACACACAGACTAAGAATTAAGCACCTCCAAATAAAATGATAGGATTCAAGGGTTGTGGGAAACGGTGACAGCGAATCGATGTAGATGGAGGCGGAGGTGCTTTCGCGTTTCCTCATCGCAGGCAGAATCCCCGTGGTAAGGAGTGTCATCACGTGACCCCATCAAACATTTAGCATTTTGATATCGATTTTAAATACAAGGTGTACAGAACTTGAATAATGCAGATATTTTAATTGGTTTTCTCTTATGTAGCACAGAGTGGAGAGATGGTATTTCTAGACCGAAAGTGGAAATAAATGGATTTGCGTTCAACGACAGCGCTCGTACTATAATACAGGAAGAGAATCAAATCCAAGAGCACTTCAATGTGCCAATGTAGGGTACTCGTTCAACGCGATGGAGTGATTTGCAAGTGATATTTGCAACCGAAACATCTTGATTAGTTCCAGCTAGTATGCGCGTTAGTAAAGGCGCAGGATTTAAGTGCATTTTCCAAGAAAAAAGAACATACCCAGGTTCTTTCTGACGAACAATGCTTCCATGATCGCCGGTCTCCTTGCCCTGGGGAGCATTAGGTATTAGCCGAGCAGCTCGACCCCCATTAAATGGAAGCGCTTACTGTCTTCTGACCCTCCACCACCAACTTGTCCATCTGGTAGAATTGGCTGATAATGGTTTGTCTCTGTAAGAAAAGTCAGTATTATTCTTTTTGATAGGGAAGTAAAAGGGTGAAAGGGCAATGTGGCGCGTTCTTGGGGGCATATAATAAGGAATGGAAACAATCCCCTCATGTCCCCATTTCATTCTCTGCCCGCCCAGAAATAACATATCAACTGACCTTGAGTAAACGGAGTTCCTGCAGACCAGTCTGAATCAGCTCCTGTATCCGGCGGTCCTCCGACTCGTTTTGGTGCTCGCGGAATGAGTCGCGGGTCTTGCGGCGGGCGAACTCGCGGAAGTTGTAGTTGGAGAACTGGGTGGATTGGCGCATCAGAGAACGGAACTATTTGAAAAAATAGTAAGATTAGTAAAAAGGCAGACAGTTCAGGTGGATTGAAACACTCAGTTTGATATTGGGTGAATGTCATGAATATCACAGAGGACTTACCAAAGACCGCACCTGGAAGCCGGTTTCACGGTGCAAGCTAGCGACAGACATGATGAAAGCTTTTGAGTGAAGAAAGGAGATTGTGTAGTTCTTCAAGAAGTTGATAGACACAGCGCGAATGAATTCGAACTATCGGAGTGATTGAACGTTAGATATCGGTGTCACCGTGCCCCAAGATATCACTACCACTAACAGGTCTAATCGTTGGAGTTTGTTCAAAAGATGAAAGAATGTATCGTCCTTTTGATTTGACAGATTGCTGATAACGCTCGTACAAAGGATGCTTTGCGCGACTGTAGGGTTTATTGCGGAGTTGATGAAGGTGGCGGTTCGGGTTCCGGGCGGTATCACAGGGCGATCGAGGGGAAGTATCGAAACCAAACGAGTTCGATAGGTATTAGATACGTTGGAGGAAATAACACAATAGCAGTGCTAATCAAAGATGGTCGGGGGTGAAGAGTGAAGAGAGTTGTGACTTCGGAGAAAGCGCAGGGCGGGAAATTCTTTTGCGTTTCGGAGTCGCCAATGACGGAGTTACCGGGGCCGAGCTTCCTGCTCCACGGTTCTTCTTCCCCCCCCCCCACAAACATCTAGCGTCACATTCCTCAATTGCTGGGTGTTTGACCAGAGTATACTATTCATTCTTTCTGTCGCTCATGATGCTGCAGATACCCACGCCTCCTGCATCGCGATCGGGGTCGGAGGCTCCTGACGTGGAGGCGAAGCCCGCGGAGACCACTGGAGCTTCATCGGAGTTGCTCCAGTCCCTGGATGTTCTTCTGGAACAATACCTGCACCTACTTGATCGACAGCAGGAACTACAGTCTGGGCTTGCGAAACAGTTTTCCTCGGTACGATTTTCTGTTATATTCTGTCGTGATATTAGTGCGCTGCTAATACCATCTAGGGATTTCTTGCCCTCGCCCACGCAAACTACACCTGTCCTCCCGGTCGACGATATGGCGCTGACTACTACGACGAACGGATGAAGGCAACCAGGAAGATGTATGTCGACCCGAATCAAACCATTGGGCTGAATCATTTATTGACCTGTCGATGCAAACAGTTCGATCCAAAACGGGCCAGAGGACGAATCCACAGACTCGACAGAGTTGACAGAGACCAGCAACACGCAATCGCACGAGACAGGGTACCTGTTCAACATGGAAACCACTCCAAACCCCCAGCCCGAAGAGAAAGCCGATGCAAACGAAGAATCGCAGCCCAAAGACTCCGAATCCAAGGAGACAACGCAACTCGACACGGACGCTACGGCCAAAAGTGATTCGCCAGTTGAGGATTCCACCCCTGTCACACCCACGGCCAAGTCCAAGCCTCCCAAGAAGACTAGATCCAACGATCCTATACACTGGTACGGAATCCTAGTGCCTCCATCATTACGCACTGCTCAAAAATCCTTTACCGGTGGTATTTCAAACGAGGTGCCAGCATTGGCTGCGGTGGTGGTGGAGATGCGCACTCTTGAGGACAAGATCAACAAACTACGGGTCGAGCTTGGGGGCTAGATCACCATTTAGGCAGAGCAGATCCTTATGAGCGATCCCAATATCTCATGTCGGTTAAGCGCAGACCTGTCACCGAGCGGTGATCATTTGCCGTTCAATCGGCCATGTTTGGAACAAGGATACAGACCCGCTTATAATGGCGATACCCAAAATGAATTTCCGTCGAGCATGGACTCCACGGGCCAGGATGTCAGAATTGGCACTTCCACAGGAACGGTGGAATTCCGTCCGATTGCGCTCTCCGCCGTAAACAAGTATAGGCGTTATCCGTACCTATTTAAGGCTTGACAGGGTACATGTCTTGGTTTAGTGCCTATTTACACAATTGACCGAGGCCGCGTCCAATTCCATGACAAAAATCAAGCCATCTTGCCCTGTGCTCAAAAGCCAGAGGCGTATTATCGGGTCGTCTTCTCTTAATCGTTAGAATGTTTCACTTGTTTCTCATGTGGTGTTGACTAAATTATCAGAAGCCCCGTGCTACTCCACTTGTGTACTGTACTTGTGTACATAATTCCCAGAAGGCCCGACGTCAGACAGAGAATTGATAGCTGTATTTGCAATGCCATGGTACATACACTGGCATGTATGCCCCTTGATTTTATGTAGGTACATTTTCGCACTAAATCAGTTTGAAAGCTGCAGTGTCTTATTGCCGTGTACTCCGCGTACACATGGCGGGACTAAGCGACCACGGCCCCTCAACGTGAGACGTAGCGTCGGAGACTAACGTCTGGAACGAACCCCACTGGTCTGGCGTCGAGATCTGTCACCATTCGCTCGGTCCCATTGCCCACGTTTGATTCGCCCCAGGGTCTTTTTAGTCTTCCTTTCAGGTCTGGAACCTGGTGATTTCCTGTGTTTTTTTGTCCCGTTACCATTACCGAGCCGGATCCCTTCCACCTGATAGGGCACAACGGGAGTCGCAAGCTCTCATCTTTGCACACTTGATAAAGCTAGGAAAAATGTTAGTGCTGGATGTGATTGGTCTGCCGGATCAATCGGTTCTGTGATACAGATCTGGTGACTTGAGGACGTAAGTGTATGGAGATGAAGAAGGGGGGTTTTTTCCAAGTTGAAGGCTTGAGCTATCGAATTAACACAATTAGATTGCAAGGAGCCACAAGCGCAAAAGATTAATTAAAATAATTAAAATATCCCGAACCCGTTATGTACACAGTTAGACTCCACCGGAAGTATTTCCCTTTTGTTTCGCTTCCAGGGAATTTAGAGGTTTTAATCTAAAACCGGGGGTTTTTGAGGGTTTGAGGGTTTGAAGGCTGGGGACTAGAGCTATCCCGATATTCTCATTGTTTTTGTCCTTTTTTCTCCCTCTTCCCTCGCCTTTTCTTTGTGAGCGACTTCGCGAAGAGAGCTGGAGGCTCTTCCCCTCTCTTGTTCTTTTTTTTCTCTTTTGGTGTAAGTCAGCTTTGGCTGGGTTGAGAATTTCTGGAATCACAGCTAAAATGAACAATAAACGCCAGGCTCAGTTATTTTGAAACATCGCTGGTTTGATACCTGCCATCTCATCTCTCGTTCAGTCTTTCTTTTTTCAACACATTGTTCAACTGTAAGCTCTGTTCTATAGACAATGATCTACCCCCCAGAATGCATTCTGACCCTTTTCTTTCCATCCCAGCCGGCATTGAATGCCCTTTACATTCCTTTTTAGATCTTTGACAGTTTGAATCAGTGATTCAAGCTTATCATTCTCGGTAGACTGTTTTAGCCAGTCACTGTAGATCCCAGTACTCTTGTTTTTTTCTCTCTCAAAAACAGCACCGTTCATTCGTTTCGCATCTTACCGCTATACATTCGTTTTCGCCGTTCGATCAGGGAATCGAACAAAAGTCCATCCATTGCGACGCAATCCAATTTATCGCAAGTCCAACTTTCGCGATTTTGTGGACTTTGGCCCGATTTAAGTTATTCAAACTTCGACACGGCCCACTTGATGCTAGAGTAAGCTCTAGCTGCACATACGCAATACGAACCACCCGATCTGCAATTCGACAATTAGATCAAAGGAACCAATGGTTGACCCAAGTCAAAGCAACCCGGGCCCGAGCCCGGACACATCGGGAACAGAGCCACGCCGGTCAGGCTCTGTCAAGAAAGCGCGTGAGATGCTGGAAGCTGGAGTACGCCCAACAAGAACAGCACCGCCAATGCCCAGACCACCGCCACCTCCCCCACCAGTTAGACAAGTTGCTCACCAGTCACAATGGCCACTCCCAGCGTCAGGTTTGCAGCCTCGACCACTGAATCCTCAGCACCCACGTTTCCTGGCGCCCCGCGGTCCCCCACCACTTAGGCCCCCACGCCCTAGTGAAGTACCTTCGCAGATCCCTTCGCCATCGGTTTACTCTGTACGAAGTGGCGAGGCTCCACCCAGCGTGAACATTAACCCAAACCCGTATCCTTACCCAACAAGGCAGGCGAGGTCATTCTCGCATCCAAACCCGCATCACCAGTCACAGCTTCCTCGTCCCTCGACCAGCGATGGATCCACCAGTCCCACGAGTACCGTGGACTTGAATCCCCGCATTTCGATCACAACGGATGACCTTTTCAGACACTCGACTTACTCTGCTGCTTCGTCGATTCCCGCCATGGCTCCGATCCCTCCTCGAGAGCCACCTTTGCCACCAGCTCAACCTCGACGTCCACCTGGTGGATTGAATGCTGGCCCTCCAGGTGCGCGAAGCAGCCGGGCCCGTAGATCATCCGTGTCCCCGATCCCAGAGGAGATCCCTGATCCCCGTCATACGCTGGGGTCCTTTGCCTCCAGTCGAGCTATCCCATATAGCTGGGGATCAGGGCCTCCCCAGTCAGATATCCTGGAAGGGTATCTAGACGACGAGTCTTCGGAGGAGTCGAGCGATGAGGAAGACGAACAGGAGACACAGGCCGAAAGACAAGAAGAAGACGCCTATCCCGTGCGTAGTGCCAGCGTTGGCAAGAGACAAAGACCGACAATGCGTACGATCATGAAGTCGAACCCGGCATCCGAAGTGTCGATTCCAGATATGCCCGATCTCACACCCGCACACACCACGGAAGAGTCTATTCGAGATAGTCACGTCACGGGGACAGCAACTACGGCGACGGTAGGCGTACTGAGAGTAGTGAATGCTACCCCTACCCCCACTCGTACCGAGATTCGCACTCCCAGCCCTGTACGCCGGGGATCGATCTCTTCACTGTCTGGAGAGTCTTGCGTGGATCCCGAGAAGCCGCGTTTCGCCAAACAGGAAGATCATACGTTTCGTGGTGCCTTGGAAAAGGAGATTGAGGCTCTGCCTCTCGCTGCACCGACTATGAGTGACAAGAGACCAAATGGACGCAAACCTCCCCGTCTGGACATGAACGCCGTCCGAGACGCAGAGCAACGTGGAAGTCTCTCAAGCTTGTCGGATCTCATTCGACGGGCTACTCGCCTTGCCTCAAATCTGGACCGCGGGAAGACCGCCAGTCGGGCTGACCTTGTCGGTGCAGACATGCGACAAATAGGTAAGTTTCATATACAAACTAACAAATCATGTCTCATCAAAATTAGCAGTTCAAGGCTAACAGTACCCAGGACACCGACCTCGCAACTCCGGATCCCTCTCCGATATCCTGGCATCATTCCCTAACCCAACACCCGACGGACACAGCTCCTGGCCCGTATTCTTCGGCCGCTCCAATCTGCGCAATGTCGAACCGCTCGCCTCCCACGACGACAACCCCGAGACTGCCCCCAAACCCGCCCGCCGATGCTGCGGTTTGCCTCGAAAGTGGTTCATCATCCTCTGCATCCTCATCTTCATCATCGTCGTTCTCGCCATTCTCCTCCCAGTCTTCCTGGTCGCCGTGCCCGCCCAAAACGCAGCCGACAAGTCTTGCTCGCACACCACACCATGCCAAAACGGCGGCGTCAGCGTCTCCAGCGGCTCCGAGTGTTCCTGCGTATGCGCCGAGGGATACATGGGTGTCCAGTGCAGCGTTGTGGGCGACAGCATATGCGTGACGGCCGAAGTGAACAACGGCAGCATCGACAAGAACGCGACCATGGGCAGCTCCATCCCGACTCTACTTGCGCAATCGGACTCGAAGTTCGGCATCGAACTTGACGCCGTCACCATCATGGCCCTCTTCAGCTTAAACAACGTTACGTGTTCGAGCGAGAACAAGCTGGTGGCTTTTAGCGAGGTGGACCGCAGCAGCAGCAGCAGCGATAACGCCCGTCGCGCGATCCTCGTCGAAACCGATACGCCCGAATCAAGTGACGAAAAAGTCACCCGAACACCATCCAAGGTGGCCGGGTTGAACGGTGTATCGCACGTGGAGCATGCGCGCGCGATGAAAACCTCCAACGGCATCCTATACGACTCTGGAACTGGAACCAGTTCGTCCAGTACCGCTGACGAATCCACGGCAACCACCACGAGTTCGTCCACGGCAACCACGACCGGCACCGGAGCCACAGCCACAGCCACGGCGACCAGTGTTCCATCAGGGGTCGTGGAGTTCTCGCAGGTGGCGGTGCTTTATATTCTGGAAAAGACCGGGTCGATGTCCATGGCGCAACAATCTGAGTCGGAGATCCAGGATTACCTGGTTGATGGGTACAATTCTGCGTCGCACCCGACTGTGGAGGTACTAGGATGGTATGGGATTGATTTTAGCAACAAGACCATCACCGCGGGGTGATGACGACGCGTGCATTGGGTATTGATATTATATTTTATTTCCCCGGAGTTCTTCGAACACATTTTTTCACAACGTTTTCCCCCCATTCCAGTTCCAGTTCCAGTTCCAGTCTCAGTTTCCGTTCAGCTCAGTGGAAGATAGATTTTGATTTTGATCTTGATCTGTACATGTACATAAGCCAGATACCACATTAAGCAATTGAGTTTTTTTTTTTCCCCTGGGACTTTCCAGGGACTCGATTCAAAGTTCAATCTATTCTCAGGGACTACTTCAGGGTCTTTCTCCCCGACATTCCAATCCCACTGAACTCCGACAATTATTGCCCGAATTCTACCATTGATCCATTCCGTGGAGAAGCAGAAAAAAACGAGAACTGGGCAGGTACGTAGCCAATACCCGAAAGAGGCAAAGTGGATCCTTCAAGTCAGGATGCCAAGCTTTGGATTTTCGGATGAATCGAGAACTGAAATCACGACATTTTTGGCGGAGGTTGCGTGACGCAGGTCACGTGGTATGAGGACCAGCCATGAAGTATATAATACTGTAACTTATTCACATATGCATGAAGTTTTTTTAAAAAAAGATATCAATTCAGGGGAAAATCAGGGGAAGTTAAAGGGTTCGTCACCTGGAGGCTGAGTTCTCCATAGAGCTTATACCATGTCCACGTCGCCTGGAGTAAATGCCGCCCCCTGAAAATCAGGGAAGTGGGAGGGGGAAACGTCCCCGCTGTAAACGAGTACGGGTCCCGGGTCCCGATCTCCGCGGTCCAGCATGCAATTGGGATTCAGGTACAGAGTACATGGTACACGACTCTGTGGTTTCAAATTCATGTGTTCAAATGTTCAGAAATGATCCATTTGTGGCCAAGGACGCTATTGGATTGTGTGGTGTTTACAATGAATGTGGCCACTCTGGCCAGACTAGTACTATACGTACTGCCTCTAGCTCCGGAAGTTGAAAATGCTTATACCTCTGCCGTTTCGAACTATGTTTGACATTGGAAATATTGACCACTAGTAGTTCACTTGTCCACATGTGCACTCTATATATGACATGAAGGAATTGCGATCATCAATGGACTTGTACTGTAAACGCTCTACATGCATAAAAATAAAATAAAAAAGGTTAGATGAAACCACGGAACCCCATACACCTGAGACCCTGGAATGAAGCAGGAAAAGCAACACGTACGTGGAATCCTGAGGAGAAGAAAAGAAATAATCAGTAAATTGAGAGAGAAAAAAAAGAAAAACGATTAAATCCGAAACGTCAAAGAGGAATTGATAGTCCCGAGTTCCCCTGGTTCAGCGATTCTGTCTGGATGATGCGGCGCAGCCAAGACTCCAGTAAGACCCACAGTTGACGACTGTCCAGGCCATGATTGTCACCGGGAGACGTACGACTCCGAAGCTTGGTTAATTGATAAGACGGGATTTTTCCCTTTGTAATCCTCCACTTTTATTTCCTTGTATATTACCTGGCGCATTCCTCTCCAAAAGTGCCCTTTTTTTTTTCCCTATACCCCCATATACCCATCACATACATCATGGCCAACGCTCCCCACGGTGGTGTCCTCAAGGACCTGATTGCCCGCGATGCTCCTCGCCAACAGGAGCTCATCGCTGAGGCCGAGACTCTCCCTGCCATTGTCCTCTCCGAGCGCCAGCTGTGTGATTTGGAGTTGATCATGAACGGTGGTTTCTCTCCTCTGGAGGGTGAGTTTTAATCCAATTACTTTTTTTTTTTTTTTTTTTTTTTTACACCTACTCCCCTCTATTCCGGAGGGGAACCCTGCATATGCCGTGCATTAGTAGAGGGGCAATGGACTAATTTGCATCTCACCGCCTAGGTTTCATGAACCAGACCGACTACAACGGGTATGCCTAGAAATGATGCCATTGGAATTCGATCACGCAATATCTAACTCTTTCCTAGCGTCTGCGAGGACTGCCGCCTTGCTGATGGCAATGTCTTCTCCATGCCCATTACCCTCGACGTCAGCAAGCAGACTATCGACCAAAACAAGCTGCAGGCCGGTACCCGCATCACCCTGCGCGATTTCCGTGACGAGCGTAACCTCGCCATCCTGACCATTGACGATATCTACCGCCCTGACAAGTGAGTTTTGAAACCAAAAAAAAAAAACTCTTTCCCTTTTGATCTTGAAGTTTGCGTTCTCGTGGTCTCGTGTTCGGGCAATAAAATTTTGGGGGAGGGGCTCTTCATGGAGGGGGATCTCCGATTTCGCCGCATTTATCCCCGATCTGTCTCCGAGACGAACCGGTTATGGGAAATTTTTTTTTTCCAAGCTGGGTATTCTGGAGTTGCGATTGCTCCATGACAATTGGTTTCGTTTCGGATGGATCCTTCTCCCCCCTTTTTTGACCCTGGATGCGAGTGGCGGTTCTGGCCATGGGCTTGACGTCAAAACTTTTACGTACTATGAGAGATCAAGGGCCGTGCTTTTTGGTGGTGGGGCAGCGCTGACGTGGATGTTTCCCCTTATTTAGGACCAAGGAGGGTAAGCTCGTTTTCGGTGGTGACCCTGAGCACCCGGCCATCAAGTACCTGGAGGAGACCGCCCAGGAGTACTACATTGGTGGTAAGATTGATGCTGTCAACAAGCTCAACCACTACGACTATGTCGCTCTTCGCTGTAAGTTTTTTCTTGATTTTTTTTTTTTGGGGGGGGGTCTACCCCCAAACCTCCCCATTAATTGGGCGATGGCTTTCTTGCAAGCAATTGATCTAACACCTATCTCTTTACCTCTCCAGACACCCCCGCTGAGCTCCGTATTCACTTCGACAAGCTGGGCTGGTCCCGCGTCGTCGCTTTCCAGACCCGTAACCCCATGCACCGTGCTCACCGTGAATTGACCGTTCGCGCTGCTCGCTCCCGCCAGGCCAATGTCCTGATCCACCCCGTTGTCGGTCTCACCAAGCCCGGTGACATTGACCACTTCACCCGTGTCCGCGCCTACCAGGCTCTTCTGCCCAGCTACCCCAACGGCATGGCCGTCCTGGGTCTGCTCGGCCTTGCCATGCGTATGGGTGGTCCCCGCGAGGCCATCTGGCACGCCATCATCCGCAAGAACCACGGTGCCACCCACTTCATTGTCGGTCGTGACCACGCCGGTCCCGGATCCAACTCCAAGGGTGAGGACTTCTACGGTCCCTACGACGCCCAGCACGCCGTCGAGAAGTACAAGGACGAGCTCGGCATCGAGGTCGTCGAGTTCCAGATGGTCACCTACCTCCCCGACTCCGACGAGTACCGCCCCGTCGACCAGGTGCCCCAGGGCGTCAAGACCCTCAACATCTCCGGCACCGAGCTGCGCCGCCGTCTGCGCTCCGGCGCCCACATCCCCGAGTGGTTCTCCTACCCCGAGGTCGTCAAGATTCTCCGCGAGTCCAACCCTCCCCGCGCCACCCAGGGTTTCACCATCTTCCTGACCGGTTACATGAACTCCGGCAAGGACGCCATCGCCCGCGCCCTGCAGGTTACTCTCAACCAGCAGGGTGGCCGCTCCGTCTCCCTGCTCCTGGGTGACACCGTCCGCCACGAGCTCTCCTCCGAGCTGGGCTTCACCGCCGAGGACCGCCACACCAACATCCAGCGTATCTCCTTCGTCGCCTCCGAGCTCACCCGCGCCGGTGCCGCCGTCATCGCTGCCCCCATTGCCCCCTACGAGCGCTCCCGCAAGTACGCCAAGGACGCCGTCTCCCAGGCTGGTCAGTTCTTCCTTGTCCACGTCGCCACTCCCCTCGAGTACTGTGAGAAGACCGACAAGCGCGGTATCTACGCCAGCGCTCGCCGTGGTGAGATCAAGGGCTTCACCGGTGTCGATGACCCCTATGAGGCTCCCACCAACGCCAACCTCACTGTCGACACCTCCAAGCAGTCTGTCCGCAGCATCGTGCACGAGATCATCCTCATGCTCGAGACTGAGGGTTACTTCGAGCGCAACCAGTAAATATAACTGGTTGTTTTGCTTTTGATTTTCACCTTTTTATTTACGTTTGGGTATTGCCCATAGAGATGTGTACTCGCTTTTTAATTGCGATTGGATTCCCCTGAATTAGACTTCACAATCAATTCCTTGTCCACCTAATAAACATGAGTTTTGAGTAGATGAGATTGCATTGTAATAAAATACTTGGTCACATATAACACGTCCGCTGTATTTTCTAAGACTTAATTATCTTGCGCGTTAATATACCGCTAAGAAGCATGAATTGCCCACCTTGGCTAGCCAGAGCCCATCCCAGCCCCGGAATTACATGTATCCCAACAAGTACCATCCAACAGCAGTGCTCTATGATCGGGAAAGGTCATGCATGACTCATACTCCAGGTAAGCAAAGCAAAGCTACGAGTCTACTAGTACCTCGTTCATCCCACACCAAGCCCAGTCCAGTTCACCCTGGGCACGTAAGCTCGACGTATCTGCATTTATAATCAACAATCAAGACGCCTACTCTTTTCATAAGGTTTCTAGCTCGGCGTGTTAACAACCACAACCACCTGTGACACATCCATTGATCCAGCTCACCCGAGCACCTTATTAGAAATCAACATGCATAACTTGGTCAGCAGTGATCTGATTATGAAGCCGTAGCGGAATGTATTCCTGCAAGGCTGCAATTGTATGCACTTTAAATGCTTCCACCAATCACCACGCAACTCAACTAGTATACTAGTAGTTACTACTACTAGTTACCAGTTACTTGCAAGCATTATTAATGCTTCAGCCTTCAGCCACATGCATGCACATGCATACTGTAATACATACGGGCTTACTCCGAAATCCGACTCCGTACATCCCACATGCACCACCTGATGTCCTACAAACATCTTTATTAAAAACCATGTCCCCTATGTAGTACATCCCCTCTCCAAACTTCTATCTTATCAACAATCCCCATCCTCACCTAGTCCTCCAAAAACCCTCTTAACCCATTCCACCTCCCAACAACCTGGATCACAAAACCCAGACCAACCACCATGTCCACCATAAAACTCTACTACTACCCAGGCGCCTGCTCCCTCGCCCCGCACATCCTCCTCCACGAAACCAAGCTCCCCTTCACACTCTCCAAAGAAGTGGCCGGCCTAACACCCGAGCTGCGAGCCAAAAACCCCAAAGCCAAGATCCCCGTGCTAACAATCGACGACACCGTAATAACCGAGAACATCGCCATCCAGACCGCCATCGGTAATCTAGCGCCTAGCCTAGCGCTCCTCGGAGCCCCCGGGACGCTCGAGTCAGTGCGTGTCTACGAGTGGCTTTCGTGGCTGTCTACGTCTCTGCACGCGGCGGCGTTCGGGTCGCTTTTCCGGCCGGGGCGGTTTACGACTAGTGAGGACGAGGGCGTGCTGGAGGGGATTAGGGATAAGGCGCGGGAGTCGATTATGGGTACGTTTGATCTGGTGGAGGGGAAGTTGACGGGGGTGCATGCGGTGGGGGAGCGGTTTACGGCTGTTGATGCTTATTTGTTTGTGTTTTATCGGTGGGGCGCGAGGTCGTGGGATATGAAGGCGCTGTGGCCTAAGTATGCGGCTTTGGCGGCGGGGGTGGGGGCCAGGGAGTCGGTTGTTAAGGCGCTTGAGGCTGAGGAGGCGTGAGGTTTTGTTGCTTGGGAGGTGGGATCTATGCGCAAGTTCTATCTAGAATGTATGAATCGGTTTCAAGGTCCGCTTTCAATGTGACAGTCCGTGGGTTCAGATCTGCAAAGAATATGTCCAATATTAAGTACAATCTATCGTGACATTTACTGTACTGATATATGAACATTTGAACATGTGTAGCGGTCATGCAGTCATGCATGTATAGGCCCTGAAAAGGTGAAGACGCTAAACCTTCAAGGTCTGCGTCGAACTTGAAGGCGACCTCGACATCTCAACAGGCCGATTAAAAAGCACCGCAACACAAACTAACGCCTTCCCAATCGCACACAACAAGATCGGAAACCTGGAACCAATCTCCCTCTGCGCAAAAGCACCAACAAAACAACCCGCCGTCAACATAACAAGAAACATGACCCTCCGATTCCTCAAGCGATTCTTCAACCTGGCCAAATCCGGATCTATCACCAAATCGATAAATGCAGCCGTCGCCATCGCCGTCGTGATCTCCGTAATCTTCAAAGACCGACTCATAGCAACCTGGCCGCCGGACGAAAAAGCCAACAAAGCAATAACAGCCAATGCAGCAGGCCCATCGCGCTGAATGGGCCATCGATGCTGAACGATCAGCGCACAGAACACAAACACCGTCTGGATGAGGTTGCTGAGTAACAGCCAGATCCGCCGCCGCACCCCGATATAGTTTCCGAGCTGGCCCATTATGAAGCCGCCGGCCACAAAGAGGCTTAAGCTGACGCCGATGTTGGGGAAGCTGTATGCGTTCTTGGTTAGGCCTGCTACGCCGATTGCGAGGAAGAGCGTGTTGCCTGTTTGGTTTGAGGCGAAGCAGGAGTAGTCGGGCCAGGCGGCGGCGTCTTGGAGACCTGTTGCGAAGGAGAGGATGAGAAGTTCGCATTCGAGGAGGAGGTCTTCGCGGATGTCTTCCATGAGGAATTGGCGGAGGCGGGATTTGCGGCCATTTTCTGCTTTGGGGCAGTCGTGCGCCATGGTTGTATATATTTCTACCGAGAAGGCGCGCGATGCACGTTAGCCCAGGCGACCATGCTATATTTTTTTTCTTGTTTGACCCTGGCCCGTCTTTCGATTTCAAGCGGGGAGAGAGGGGCACAGAGAGTTGCGGAGATGTTGAGAACTCACAAGAATCTAGAATGTGTTCATGAAAAATGCAGGTGGTGTGGGTCTTCGATGTTGTTTTTTGAGGCTGCTTGCGGAAGGTACTATGTACGGTATACCGTATGGCCGATGCCAATTCCAGAACACTGGTTTAGCCGGAGCGGATTGAAGTAGCGTGGCCACGAGCTTTAAGTGTGTGGAGTAAGATTTGTGTTTTTTTTATCATTTGGACCCTTTCCAGGTTGTGTCAATCGCGCGGCATTCCACGCTGACGTATATCCATCTTGGGCGAAGGGGATGTGGAATTCCAAGACTGCGGATCGAGGGGAGATCGACTCCACGAGTGGAGAAAACCCAGTTCTGGGGTATGTGGCCGGTTTTCAAGATCTTGTTTCAGTGGGAAAAGGCCATATGGCAGGGTGACGTGCAGGCCTGGCTGATCAGGTCATTTGTATGTGAAGCATTGTTGATCTTTCCATAGATCTATATGGGCTGCCAAGACAATGGCGTGGATTTGCTTTGAAAGTTGGCGCGTTCGAGTCACATTCTCTTTGAAAGTTTCTTCAAGGGGGGGAAAGGGAGTATATGTGTCTCGGATGGCATTGTCGGAGAATAGGTTCTATAGAAGGTAAGTATGAATTTGTGTATGATAACTTTGCTTAGCTAAGGTGACAGGTACGAAGCTTAATTAAACCGTGGTATATACTATATTAGTACTGTGGAGTCATAGACGACGACTGTAATAGACTGGATCTGCCGCCCATGGATCCATGGATCTTAATCGATGATCTACGCATCATCTTGCAATCAAACAGAAACGGAGGTTTTGATATACTTCACTTGCTGAGTACTAGTAATAGGTACACAACTATCTTTCCAACTGGGCTAGCAGCCTAGAGCCCTCCGCGTTTTATGATAAAAAGTGAAAGATAAGTATAAGCATAATATCAAGTATTTATATTTCGAGAAGAAATCAGCTTGAGGGCAAAAGTTAGATAAAAAAAGATGCATTGTTTTTAAACAGTGTCAAGTATCTTGAAGCTGGAGAGGGTTTGTTGGCCTTGGCCCTTGACTAGTTTGCCTGGGTTGATTGGAGGTAGCCTCAAATGAAGTACTTCATCCCTCTTCCTCTTCCTCCTTCTGTTTTCCCCCAAATCTCCTCGTTCGATTTTCTTTTTCTCTCTCTTTTTATCTGTCAGTTTTCCTTCAAGGTTTTCTTTGAATTTCTTGAAGTTCACACTTTTCACGAATTTGCCCATCGTCCCCTTCCACATTTGCCCCTCCACTTCTTCCAAACCATCTTGCTGTCCACATCTATTCCATAATCCCATGGTTTATTCTCCCCATCTCTATCACTCATCGAAGTCTTCTCCTACTCATTTGCTTTGCTCTTTGGACCCCTTTATCTTCCCCTCCTTTCACTTGGTTTGTTGATTGACTCACCACCGTAATGCCAATCAAATCATTCCGTAGCGACGTGCATGCTGCCGCCGCCTCGCATGACTACCCACGCCTGAGTAAAATCCAGCCCGGAGAGTTCGATGGCTCGGTCGCTTTCATTTTCCAAGACCCGGAATTGGAGGCCAAAATCGAGTTCCAGGCCGTTGTATCTGGTAAGTGGATCCCCCAAAGCCTTATTTACTAGAGTGACCAGTCTCGACTCTCAGGTTTCGGGCCTCGGCAGACCCACACTAACTTTGAGCCTCAGACGCTTCCGATTACCCCAAAGCTCACAGCTTTGTGGTCTTCACATCTTCTGATAATGTCGCTGCCCCTGTTACTAAGGCCTTGGAGCACGCCCAAGACAGCGGCGTCTTCGCCCGCGCTTCTGTCGGTGAAGTTTTGTTTTTAATCGATCGCATGGTCTACAATACACTTCATGCCACGAAAGAGTCAATTGAAAAGTCGGACCAGGAGTCTGAATATGTCCACAGCGATAGTGAAGACATTGAAGATTTCTCTGACGGTGAAACAACATTCGGTCTTTACAAGTCTGTTCCCAGACTGGCACCTCTAGTTCTTGCTCGGCTTCGCCAGGATCTGCGTCTTGTCAAGGAAGCGGGGTTCAAGGTTGGCTATGTAGGAAGCCAGAAAAGCGAACTTATCTTGTCCATCGCTCGCCGCATTTCCAAGCTGGGTATCTCAGAAGAGGCTATGCAGACATGGTCTGTACAATCCTCAGAATACCTGGTGCTCTTGATTCGGTATCCCCACGGATATCAGAATATGCAAAAGATCTTCGAAATGGGTGACCAAGCAGACACATTTGTTCAAATGCGTGTCGGACTTTGTGACTCTTATCGACCTGCGACTTTCAATGATGCTCTTCTCCAATTCCTCCCATTCAGATCTCCTCGATTATTCCCACAACCACACACAACCAAGACGACGTCCTCGGCACCCTGGCCACTCAAGATTAGACCCGAAGACGAACCAGCCGGGTCATCCAATGCACCCGAGCCAGTATCGACTGAACCAGAGCCTGTGAATAACATCAGGCCAGTGTTTATCGGGGCGGCACTACACAAACTTCTCAATGAACGGCTGTTCAGAATCCTCTCTCTCCGGAAAGAGCATGGCATTTCATGGACAAGCGCGGAGCTCTTGTTTCAATTCTGCCAAGGCAGAGCGCCTGCTCCCGAAGATGCAAGCGATCCTCAGTTTCACCAGGAAGACACTTGGTTATCGCCTCCGACCAGCCTTCTGACCTCGGATCATTACAAGGAAATGCAACTTGATTTGAGCAAAACATCATTCCCTCTTGTTGTTATGCAGTTTTTCCTTCGTCACTTTGTTAGGTGCACAGAGTTCTGTCTTGTTTGCCACTGCAAGACCGGAGACCAGGTTGAGTCCTTAAAGCCATATGTCTGTTCCCGAGAGTTATGTCTCTATCAGTATATGATTTATGGACTGGGTCCTTGTCTTGAACACGAAATTCGAACACAGCCACTTGTTGTCGACTTGCTTATATCTTTGGCATACGCCAGAGCGCACGCAGGTCTCCTTGAAGATTTTCCAACGGGCTTAGGTATCAAGGTTCCTTCCACACTTGTTAGCCCCTCTTATCTCATTGCTCGTCTGAATTTATCCAAGATGACCATGGATTTTCCAGAGCTTTCCGCAAGTGGAATCAGGCTGGGCGATTGGATTTTTATCGAAAACGATGTGAATGGCAGTCCGATTCTCTCCCACTTCCGAGTGATCGAGATCGACAGAACAAAGAACCGTCTCAGCCTTACAACCCCGTTTAAGGCTACGAGCTCAAAAATCGACAATGTGCCTGATAAAACTGATGTGAATTTTGTGCGTTATGATCAGAATTTCGATCTTTTGGGACCTTTTGAGAAGCAGAAGATGATGATGATCATACTGGATACTCTTCCGAAAGTCTCAGAAATGGTGGATTTCCTGGGAAGTTCAAGTTCTGAGAACTCACTCGCATTATGGCGCGAGCGGATAACTCCCGCTGCGCATGATATGCTCCGTTGGATCATTGCATCCAACCGATCGTGTATTCTTCAAGACCATGCTGATCCAAGTCACCTCATCCGCGGAATGAATGGTTACACACAGTTTCTACTTGTTCAGGGTGCCCCTGATAAAGAAGAACGCTTTCTGCGTGCTATCGAAATGCAAGCCTTGATCAAAAACATGAAGAAACCAACATTATTTGCATGGCATGGAAGTCAAGTCTGTAATTGGCACAGCATTTTACGGGAAGGGCTCAACTTCAAAAAAATCACCAATGGTAGAGCGTGCGGTGACGGCGTTTATCTGTCCAGCATTTTCGACATCTCCATGGGCTACAGTCGTGAAGCTTTGCCTCACTCTAACTGGCCACATAGCGAGTTGTGTGTTGCTCGTGTGCTCTCCTTGAATGAGGTAGTCAACAGCCCGTCACAATTTGTCTGTACCAAGCCGCACTTCGTTGTCAAACAGCTGGACTGGATTCAACCGAGATATCTGTTTGTCGGACATCATACCGTTCTTCCGCAACACACACCCGCTCCCAAGGAATCCATTCCATATTATGAGCAGGATAAGAATTACCTAGCCAGGGGCCCAAGCAACGTACCCATTACAATTCCCCTATCAGCATTCAGCAGTCAACGTCGTCGACTATTTGGTATCGAGACTCCAAACTCGTCAAATTCGCGGTTGATGGTTCCAGACGCCCCGGGTGGTCAAGAAGTATTCAGCAACCCACCTCAAGATGATTGCGTGAGCGTTTTAACGGCAACAACTGATCTCAATCTATTGATATCCGACGATGAACTTGAGGATGAGATATTCGAAAATGCTCCTGTTCAGTCTTCCCGGACTCGGCTTGAAGAGAACGAGCAATTGCTTGTTAGTCCTCGTACTTCGGTATCTAAGACGGATTTTGTCCCAGATTGCTTGGATAGAGAAACCCTACCATTGATTGCACTGCCACGTTATGCATCTACGCCTGCCACGAGATTACTTCAAAAGCACTTCCAGGCAGTACTGAAAACACAGGAAAAGGAGGATCTTGCAGAACTCGGTTGGTACATGGATCCCAATGTTATCACCAGTATGTATCAATGGATTGTTGAGCTACACAGCTTTGATCCTGCATTGCCCTTGGCACAGGAACTCAAGTCCGCTCATATGCAAAGCGTTGTGCTTGAGCTTCGGTTCCCACCCCAGTTTCCCATAGACCCACCTTTCATTCGAGTGATCCGCCCACGATTCTTGGAGTTCGCATTCGGGGGAGGTGGACATGTTACCGCCGGAGGAGCCATGTGTATGGAACTTCTAACCAGCTCAGGCTGGTCCCCAGCAATTTGCATAGAGAGCGTTCTGTTGCAAGTTCGTATGGCTCTCAGCAGCACAGATCCTCGACCGGCGCGCCTGGCTATAGGAGGTCGCCAGGATTATGGAGTCGGTGAAGCAGTCGCTGCCTTCAAGAGAGCTTGCCGGGCTCATGGTTGGCAAGTTCCCCGTGACATGGATCTTATGGTACTTGGATAATTCTCCGAATTTTCATGTTCTCTACTTTTTGCAGGCATCTTACTCCCTGCGATGGGGATGTTTATTTGATCCAACCTGGTTTACCCTTTGGTATCTTATGACAACCCTTCAATTCCCAGTGACGGAAAATGTGATTCTTCATTCTTGAATCGATTTCAAATAGATTCGCATCTTCAGCCAACACATGCCGCTCACTCTCGACGACGATATGATCTCCTTGTTTTACCCCTTTTTCGCATACGCACTGCGTCTCCGCCTCTCTCTTTGCGTGCTAATCTCACTCCCAGTGACGGAAGCGCTCTTTCCGGAAGCGTTTTTTCATTTGGAAATTTCCTGGGGTCAGTTGTTCTATCTTTACATGGTTTCGATCTCATAGTATGCAATGTTTTTGCCCGGTGATTCCCCATTTAATTAGATCTTCATGATTTACGTGTCTTCAAATGTTCGATCTCTCTTTGCTTCTTATTTGGTCAAATTTGCATGTTTTGTGCACATCCACTTAGCTATCCTATCCAATGCAAATTTGACAACTTTTTTTAAAACTCCAAACCCATACTAAATCCATTGGGTTGACTACAATTAGTAGTTAGCAATGAGGTCCCATCATGTACTAATACTAGACTATAATCAACTATGGCTAGGAAGCTCATTATAATGCTTAGGCACTCCAGACCCAACAGTCTCGCTGGGTAAAAATGACTGAGGCTGTTGCGCCCAATCCACCTGACTCAACGAAGGCAAAAAAGAGTCCCCACGATCTGTCTTTCGCACCCTCAACCAAATCCACACCCCCAGAGCGCAAAGTATCGGAACACCAACCCCTACCCCAGCCCCAATACCAATTCTCTCCACCGCCGTAAATCCAGTCCGTGTACTCTGAGTAATCGCACCACCACTGCCCGCCGTTGCGACAGTAGTCGCAGCCGTAGTGGCAGCCGTAGCGACAGCCGAGTACGGCTCAGCGATAATGAAAAACGGGGACACAAAATCACCAGCCTGGGTATTAGCCCAAAGAAAAAAGACACTGGAGAGACTGAGATTGGATGCGTAGAGCTGGACGGTCCAGGTGAAGTTGTTCACGTTGTCGCTGTCATGGGCTCTGCCTTAAGACAATGTAGATTGATGTCAGTGATGTCTTTCCATGTTCTTCTCCGGCTGCTTCAATCTAGCGTTGGCTACAGCATTCACGTACTGTATATAGTGGCCCCACCCCCGGCATCCTCGTTCACTAAGCTCTGCTGCCAAATCGTCACGTAGGAGACGGGCACCGTGGTATTCCAGGCGATGATCGCTTCGTATCCTAGTGTCCAGACTGGTCTGTCGCCGATGGAGGTAGCGGGGCTTGTGAAGTAGTTTTCTGTGTCAGTTGCTGAGGCTGCTGTGGTGAGTGTGCAAATGTAGATGTAGATTATGGTGCGTGCGAGTCGGTTCATGGTGGGGGGTTTGTCTGGAATTGAGGATCGGGGGGATTGAGAGCTTAGGGCTGTTGAACGGGATTCCGAGATTGAACATTGTGGTGTTTCTTGGGTGTTTTGCTTACATATAGGGTGTTGGAGAGTGCATGTAGGGATGTTTGGAGACTGGGCTTTCAGGTGGTTTATTTTGAATCGGACTGTCAATAGACCCTTTAATTTAAGGGCTTGGACATTGGGTTTACAAGGGTATATTCATGAAGAGCACAGTCTTGGGGCTTTAATTAAGAATGTCGATGATTGGGATGATTAGTCGAGAGAGTTCTTGAATTTAATAAATTTCACTTGTACTCGGACTTGTTTTACAAGGACACTGGGTTGGCGGTAGATGAGGCTCTTTTGCAGTAGATCTTTCCTAAAGGCGTCACGAACTGCCATATTGCCCCACTTTGATAGAAATATCATTGTGGCAGATCTACCATAAGCATCAATCTTGATTCATTACAAGATATTACCAGCATCTTCCTCGCAGCATTAAGAAGAGGCTCAACATTGCTCACGGGAGTCACACCGGATCCGCCGGGATTTTCAGGATACAGCGCCAGTTAGCGTGAAAAGGGGCTCTAACCGAGAAGGCCCCTATACCCAAATGGGAATAGCTTCAGATCAAATTTGTTCCTCTGACCAGTCATGGGCGCTGATTCCGTGCAGCCCCCACAGTGGAAATGGACCCTTCAGCCATTCTCAGGGTCCGACAAATGATTAGGGGTCACATAACCCCACCGACAAGGCCACGACCGCCAAAGATGCTTATTTTTGCAACGAGGCTCGCAGCTCCAAAAATGGACCTCGTATAAAGACATCGGGAGCGCCCACGAATTTGCGGGGCGACCTAACCCTCCTTTTTCAATTTCCTTCTTGTCGCTCTTTTCGTCGTTGATAATCCAGCAAACCCACACCCACCATGATAGGCAAAATGTGGAAAACAGCGTCGGCCATCACTCTTTTAGCCGGCGCAGCCTCTGCCATCGATCTCGACATCAACGATGAGCGTAAGCCCCCGAAAACACAACCGCAATTTATTCAGACCCTGAAGCAAGCTTGAATATCTCTAACATGCAGCTACATAGAGTCCATCAAGAGTGCGGCTCGCACAGCCGCATACGCCGCCATGTCATACTACACCGGCAACCTCACCGGCCAGATTCCCGGCGCATTCCCCACCAAATGGTGGGAAGGCAGCGCCCTCTTCGACACAATGATCCACTACTGGTACCTGAGCGGCGATGACTCGAACAACGCGGCCGTGATCCAGGGCCTGAACTGGCAAAGCGGCGACAACAACGACTACATGCCGGGCAACTTTTCATCGTACATAAGCAACAGCGATCAATCGTCCTGGGCGCTCGCGGCCATGACGGCGGCGGAGTTCGATCTGCCGCAGACTTCGTCCGAGGATTCGTGGGCGGCTAAGGCTGCGGCTGTCTTCGATTCTCAGGTGGCTCGTTGGGATGATGCGGGCGCTTGTGAGGGGGGTCTGCGGATGGATATTTGGACGTACGAGTCCGGGTATTATCTGGTGGATACTGTTACCAATGGCCAGCTCTTTGAGCTGGCGGCCCGGCTGGCCCGGTACACGGGTAACGCGACGTACTCTGGGTGGGCGGGGAAGATCTGGGATTGGAGTTCTTCTTCGCCGCTTCTGAATAACAATACTTGGAGCGTTGCTGATTCGACTGATATCCGGGCTGGTTGTGACACAGTCAGCAATGAACAGTGGACGCTTGACTATGCTACGTATATCACTGGTGCAGCTTACATGTATAACCTGGTGAGATTGCGGAATTGCCAGGGCCACTTCTTTAACGAGAGAGGATTGCTGACGCTCATTCACTCCAGACCAATGGCGACTCAAAGTGGAAATCCGGCGTGGATGGTCTCCTGAACACCAGTCTGACTACGTTCTTCCCCGCGACACACGGCGGAGATATCGTCGAGGAAGTTCTATGTGAATCGGACGAGGTGTGTAACACCAACATGATCCTCTTCAAGGGAATTTTCATGCGTGACCTCGCCCTGGTATCTGCCGTCGCGCCGTACACCATGGATGAAATCCTGCCACGTCTGCAGGGTTCCGCATCTGCAGCCGCGGCGTCTTGCACGGGCCATTCCAATGATACATGTGGTGTGCAATGGTACAAGAAGGAATATGACGGCTATATTGGAATGGAGGAACAGCTCAGTGCGGCCAGCGTCTTCACAGCCAACCTGATTGCCTTTGACAAGCAGGCCGTGAGTACATCGTCCGAGGGCGCGAGCGGAACCTCCACGAACACGAGCACGAGTGCGTCAGGGACGGCAGCCACTGGAACGAAGACTGGCTCCAGTGCTTCGGGCACCGTGGCCAATGGTGGTAATGTGATTTTCGGTGGACCGTTGGCCTTGAGCGCGGCGATGGTGGCTGGTATTCTGGCGCTTTTCTAAGCCAGTTCTTGGCGGATGATATCTTTAATGCGGGGCACTACTAGTGGCAAATCCAGCCTAGTATACATAGTAATAGTACTAATATCCATGCATCCCGTGTGTAATATTAATGCAGATGTGTATGTACGATTGATCGCATCGAGATTCCCGAAAAAGAGCATAGTAGTTTCGGGGTTATAAAAGAGAGGACTCTATCCGAGCATCGACCTTGGAAGTCATGGGGTAACGGCAAATTGGATTGCGGGTTGGCCAAGAGCTAGCTACATTCGCAAGGTCGTAGCATTTCCCCATCTAATGCGAGTAAATGGAGCTCAGAGTGGATGCCAAATGCGAGGTGGTTGGCCAACATGTACTTACCCCAACACGTCTCTCCACATTTCACGGGGAAACAAGGCCGGGGTTGCCGTGGGCCTCCGAAAAAACACACCTCGGGGAAACAAGTCGGGGAAAGGACATAATGCAGGGTGAAGAATGGAGAAAGTGTAAAGTGTAAAGTGTGGTGCTTGATGAAGGTATTAGGCCCCGATTTTTATTTTTCTTGGTTCTTTCCTTCATATCCATATTCCGAGGTTATTGATGTGGGTTCTGGGCCTGTCTTCATATCAGCCCGTTCGAGTTTAAACCTCCACCCACCTGCCTGAAACTTATTTTTCTCCTTATTTTTTCTCTTTTCTTTTCTTCAACGATAAGGAAAGCTTCTAGAAACGGCGGATCAGCGCGGACCTGCATCGCACGCGCGGTCTGCCACGGTTCCCACGAAATTGACTTTGGGGCTGAAAGGGCTTAGTTCCCGGGGGTTTTCACTTAGTTTTCACTTAGTGCAAGATTGGCCGATGACCCGAGACGTCCCTGGCCGAAACCTCTCCAATCTCGGTGGGTCACTGTGCCCGGTGAGACAAACATAAACGCGACAATCTTTACATAGGAGGATTTGGTGAAGGAACAAGATAAGTAAAGGTGGGCCCACAAGGAATCCACCCACTCCGTTTTCTGGGCGATAGAGATAGGAACAGAGCCGAACACAGTGGCAATGGACTTTGTAATCCTGCAATTCAACACTGGCTTTCAATTATCCTTGGTTGAAACTCAGAGACCACTTAAGCCAGACAGATAATGATCACATAATCTTGAATTCGACTTAGCAATCATTCAGATTTATATAATAGCGTGCAAAGTAAATCAAGGTCGACCCCAAGATTGCCATCGTAGTGGATCGTGGATGTCAGAGCAAGCGAATGAAAGAAGAGAAGAGGAGGATAAGCTCTGGACCAAGGCCAAAAGGCTCAAAAGCCCCACGGACCGCGCCCAAACACTTAATTCACCTGGCGGATCTCTGATTGGCTTCAAGCACCGTGGTCGGGACACCGAGCCAATCAGGTGTCCGGGTAGTTATCACCTTCCAGAGATTCCATTACTCCAAATCTATTACGTTTAGTCCGATACTCCTCCCCCGCGTCGATCTAAACGGTGGAGTATTATTGCTGGCATCCCAGACTCGGAAAGTCATCATCGAGTGTCGTCATGCGCTCTTCTTATTATCCCTGACACGCTCCTTTGTTTTTTGATCTGGCTCTGCTCTCTTTTCTTTTTTCCCTTTCATCCATCCCTTGGCCTGCTCCTTCCATTCCTCACAATGGATGATCCTCCGCTGAAAGATTATGATGTCCATCCTCATGGCGATGATGATGCGCAGTTGGCCCAGATGGGCCACAAGTCGGAATTGAAGCGTCAATTTTCCCTGTTGTACGTTGCCCTTAATCGATGTGTGCATCCAAGGGCCCGACCGCGAAACTAATCTACTGTGTGTCTCCAGGTCGATGCTGGGTCTGGCATTTGCTATTCTAAATGTATGTTTATATTTATACCCCGATTTCATTTCAAATAACATCATCCAAAAATGCTCCAGATCGTGTGCTGACAGTTTTCAAAACACTTAGTCCTGGACCGCTTTGTCTGCCAGTTTATCGCTCAGCCTGCCGTCGGGTGGCAGTTCTAGCGTGGTCTGGGGTAACGCCCCCCGGTTTTCAAAATACCAATAACATGTGACACCCCATGCTGACGGCGTCATCCAGGTCTGGTTACCGCCGGTATTTGCAATCTGTGCATGTCCGCCTCGCTCGCCGAATTTCTTTCCGCATACCCTACGTGAGATTTAGTCCCCGAACCCACTGGATGAAAATACTGGACAGTCAGTGCTAATGGCCATCATAGTGCTGGAGGTCAATACCACTGGGTGGCTGTCATTTCCTGGCAGAGATGGATGCCCATCTTGTCATGGATTACCGGCTGGGTGAACTGCGCTGGCTGGGTCGCGCTGGTCGCTACCGGTGGTCTGCTGGGCAGTCAGCTGGTTATTGGCGTGATTTCATTGATGCACTCGGTATGTATAATAACGGTTCTGTTGGTTTTAGAAGAAAATTCTTGTTCGGCGGCTGACGGTTGCTGTAGAACTATGTGTCTCAGCGGTGGCACCAGTTCCTGATCTATATCGGGTATAATGTTGCTGCATTCCTCATTAATGCCTTTGGCAATAGCATCTTGCCTTACTTTAACAAGGCTGCCTGTGAGTAGAAAGAATTATCGATCGAATCTTTCTACGAAGCGCTAACGGGTCTTTCAAGTCATCTGGTCGCTCTCTGGATTCGGTATCATTTGCATCACGGTTCTCGCCTGTGCCGCGCCAGATTTCAACTCCGGAGACTTTGTTTTCCGCGAGTTCTTGAACACAACTGGATGTATGTTGGATTATTCACGGTGTCTGTTTAGAGCTTCTTTACTGACTTTATAATCCAGGGCCCGATGGTATTGCCTGGCTCCTTGGCGTATGTTTCTCTAGTACTCGAGTTCTTAATTCTGAGAGTTTTGTTTCTAACGACTCGACAGCTTCTGCAAGGAGGACTTGGTGTTACAGGATTTGTGAGTACACACACTGGCTGACACGTTCTTGTACAAATACTAACCATGGAAATAGGATGGTGTTGCACACATGATCGAAGGTAATTCGAGACAAATTTTATCGCTCGAGGATCCATCAAGGAACGAGACTAATGATTCATAGAAATTCCCAACCCCTCGGTGGAAGGACCCAAGATCATGATCGCATGTGTCGGTATTGGCACAGTGACTGGTACTATCTTCCTTGTCGTTCTGCTGTTCGTGGCTGGCAGCATCACCGATATTATCGACTCATCGGCAGGTCCGCTTTTGGCTATCCTATACAATGCGACTGCCAACAAGGCCGGTGCCATCTGTCTTTTGGTGTAAGAAATCTCTCCCAGAGATTTTGTTTCCAGTGCAGTACTGACAATTTTCTAGCTTCCCTCTTGTTTGCATGTTGTTCGCCACTACTGCTATCATGACTACCAGCAGTCGCATGTGCTATGCATTCGCACGGTATGTCCTCCCCTGACCTGCTCAAATCGCTCCTGCTAATTCGTAAAAGTGATGGTGGTCTGCCCGCATCGCCGTTCTTCTCCAAGGTTCACCCCAGCTTGAAGGTTCCCCTGAACACCCTCTACCTCAACCTCGCTCTTGTCATTATCTTTGGTTGCATCTTCCTCGGCTCCTCCAGTGCCTTCAATGCTATTGTTTCGGCCTCGGTAGTTCTGTTGGATCTTGCTTATGGCATTCCAATCGCGATCAACTGCATCCGGGGACGTAACACCCTTCCCGAACGATCCTTTGTTCTCCCCAATGTCCTCGGCTGGGTGTTGAACATAGTAAGTATTTCCAATGACTTCTTTGACAGGCTTCTAGAAACTAACCGGAGTATTAGATCTCGCTTGTCTACGTTTCTCTCACCACTGTTCTCTTCCTCTTCCCTCCAGAGCTTCCTGCTACTGGCAGTAACATGAGTAAGTTTACACCCATTATTGTTTTTTTTTTTTAAAAAAACAATCATGATAACTGACCAACATATAGACTACTGTGTCGCCGTATTCGCCATTGTGTTCGTCGTTTCTGCCATCACCTGGATCTTCGACGGTCGTAAGAACTACGTTGGTCCCCGGATCGAGTTGGAGATCCTCTCGGGACAAGTCGGTGATCAGCCACAACAGCCGGTCCCAATGGTGGAGCAGAAGAAATAAGATTTTCTCTGCAGCTATGACTATATAATAAGCATCGATATGATCCGTTTTCCTTAGAATGTATTAGCAATGTATTATTCTTAACAGTTTCCCTTCTAAACCTGTGGAACCAGGAATACTAGGCATAGATGGCACGTGATACAAAGCATTCAATTACGTCATGATTTTGATGCCTGGATGCCTGACCTTCCCAACATTCCACGGCGGATCCACGTTGAGACGGTGAGCCGATGCGACCGACAGTTTTAAACAAACAACATCTTAGTTCAATTGATATATTGGGGCCATATTTTCCCAGATATCATTGTTTTGCATGGGTGCGACGATCACCTCGACATACTGACTACATTGCACATCCCCGCCATTGGACAAACATTTCCCCACCAAAGATCAGAGCACCACTGACCGGACGACAACGTGAACCTACTAGTACATACCAACATGTTGTCAGTCTCGTTGCCCTCCTTAAGGTCATTTCTTCCCTTTCCGAAGGAAAAGAAGGTAATCAACTTACCGCCTGTAAAGACGCATGATATCGAAGCGCCAGAGAAGCCGGCAAGGGCATTGAAGTACTTGCTGAAATTGAACCACGCCAACTATGCAATCCTATACAACCACCGAAAATTCCATAACCACGCTCCCCACGTATGTGACCTGTTGTTTAATAGAGCCCCAGAGTGCTAGTACCTGAACTAACCTATTTAATAGCTTCTCGGTGGGGCGTTCCTGCAGGGCGCTGACGCGGATGACCTCTCCCGCATCTATGAATCAGAGTCCAAGCTGTTAGAAGCGTGGCAAGACTCGCCAGCAGAGGTGACTGACGAAGACTGGAGGAGTCACCTGGGCCGTCGAGAGTAAGTTCCATACATAAAGAATGAATCCAGACCATCCCTCCCCACCCAAAGACAAAGCTAACACAATGAACCAGATATGAAAAAGCATTCGTGGACTACTACGAAGACGAACTAGTCCGGCTCAACTACGATTGGAAAGAAGTCGTGGAAGAATACCTATTCTCCGGCGACGAGCCCATATTCAGCTCAATCCTGGCAGATCGTACGTGCACGCCACCCAAACCAATCCCACAATACCAGCATACTAACCAGGCACAGTGGGCCACCCTCTCATCCACCTCGCCTACGCATACGAGACAAACAGCCGCGAAGTAGCAATCGAAGCGCTGGGCCTCGCATCCGTCTGCTACAACAGCACGCACAAATATCTCGACGAGCCCATCTACTCACAAACCAGCCCCTCATACCAAACAACCTCTCTCTTCGAAATCCTCGACAAAGTCCGCTCAGACACCAGATTCGACGACCTGCCCAGTACACCGGACCACCACAACCTGCTCAACACGCACGAGGCGGCCGTCCTGGAGCACTGGAACGCGTGGAAGATCGAGGATCCGCTCGCGCAGTTCCGCGAGAGCCAGGAACTTGCCGCCGCGCTGTTCAGCGCCACGCACGGAGCTCAGCAGAAGTACGATTTCTTCCTTGTGCATGTGCTGACTACCAGCCATGCGGTCCGTGTCTTGTTGCCGTTGATTCCGGCTAGGCTCCAGATTCCGCTGTTGAGGCAGTGGTGGCTTATGGCTCTTACTACTTTTATTGGGCAGCATCGGCTGGAGATTCGGATGGAGCGGGTTGAGAATTATGAGCTTGAGGGCCGGGGTTGGGAGTGGGTGGCTGGGAAGGCTGTTAAGGGGGAGTATTCGGTTGATGTGCATTATGTTAAGGCTGTTCGGGCTTTGGAGCAGATGGCTGGTACTTGGGAGGATGGGGAGGATTTCTATTTGAAGGCGGCTGTGCAGTTTGCGGATGAGTTTGGTGGGTGGGGATTTGTATGATTTTAATTCACAGAAAGTCATCTTTATAGTTCCGGGAAATATAAGGATATTCCTTTTGCATTCTATAAAATGTTACTTTTTCCTTTCCAAAGAAGGGAATTTCGGCATATAGTATAAAAAAAACATACACAACATCGAAGCCCTAGCAAGTCAGCACGTAGAAGAAAGCCAAGAAAAGCACAAGAGCTAAGTGGTAGTAACAAGTTAAGTTGCCTCAAAATTTCTAAAACTACTTTTAAGCATCAAATCCATCAACAAAAACGATAGCCTCAAACACAACTTTTAAACAAAAGACCGCACCCAATCCACCCACCCTAAAACCCACAAAGCGCCAACATAACCGCATCACTCCCCTCCTCCCCATTAACATCCCCACAATAAACCAAATCCCCCATCCCAATCCTCGCCCCCACAACCCCCGCCTGCATCTCATCCACCCCCTCAGCCCCAAAAACCAAACTCTGCGTCACCGCCCCCTCAACCGGCACAAACATCTTCTCCTGGCACCTCGCACCACGCACATGCAGCGCCTTCATACTATACGGGCCCGGCAGCGCCTCCAGCCTCAGGCTAGCCGGCACCGTGGCCTCGGGCACAAATTGGAACGTTGTGCGGGTGTAATCGCCGCGCTGCCAGGGGACGCCCATGCCCTTGAAGAAGTGATCGAATTGGTCCCTGTTTGTGAAGTTGGGGAAGTGCAGGCCGATTATGGCCAGGCCGCCTGCCTTTATGTAGGCTTTTATTTTGGCGAGGACTTCGCGGTTCGCGGGGGAGGGCTGCGTGAGGCCTTCGTCTGTTATGAGGATTGCTTTGAAGGTGGTGTTTTGGAGGACGCGGAGGGCGGCTGGGGCGGTCTTTGCGCGCTTGACGGTTGAGACGGCGAGGAGGTGGTTTAGGAGGGTGGTGTAGGTTTCGTCGAGGTAGGAGCGGTAGGCGAGGGAGAGGAGGAGGATGTTGGGTTTGTCGGTGGTCATTTTGGGGGTTGGTTTTGGTTTTGGTTTTGATTTTTGTGAGGGTGATTGATGGGTTGGAATTGAGTTGGATTGGATTCAATTGAGGGTTCGTAGGTGATGGTTTAATTGAAGAGCTGACTCAGGGTCTAGGGAAATAGGAATGAAATATGGTGGGTTGAAGTCGGGAGGTGCCAATTCCTGGCTTAGTTGATGGTGATTGATGAATTTGAGAGGTGCGGTGAGGTACGTGGAGATGGTGAGAAGAGAATGAATTTTCTCTTTGGATTTAAAAGAGAGAAATTCAGGAGATGTATCATAAAAAAAAATTGTAAAGAAGACGGTGGTCGATTAGCGGTGTATAAATTAACGTTAATACATCTTACTAGATTAGCTATCTAGCCACTAGGCCCAATTGGGCTAGCGCAAACAACAGTGATCGGCGCTTGTGTGGCCTGAGAGTTCAGGTGGTAGTCATGCCTGAGGCCACAAGAGATTCCATGACTTTGTTCGATGTACAAAGTAGTTTTCAGCCTACCCTCTACACGAGTAATGTATCTAATTTTTACGCAATCTTAGCCCTCAGGTGTGGGCTGTTGGAATTTGGGAGATCCATTCGTAGGACGGAGATCTGCCCCTAGATCTGTCCTACGGTGTACTACAGTACCAGTAGTATTGTTACATTGTAAGATCTCTGAGGAGTGGGGTCGGGTCCTGAGATGATACTCCGGAGTCTGTACATATAATAATTCTAGGCACGCACTCAGCCTTCCGGGGCACGGGCGCTAAATACCCCGCCATGATTCTAATTCCACTCGGATAACATCCACGGGGCGATCTATGTCGATCACTGGCACCCCCTTGCAGTAACTTCGAGGCTGATTTGCCGGACGAATCACAATCTTGAAAATTGAAGAGTATTGGGGTGTGGCGACCAAAAGCCAGGAGACTGCCGGTTGGTCTATGTATTAGCCCTTGAAAAAAAGAGGCTACACAGATGCGGTGAAGCCTGTGTAACCATGGAGGTCTGATTGATACTTTCAACTGGCTCTTTCGTACAGGCCTGGATTGTGTTAACAATTTTGATTAATATTGGTCTGATTATTTTCTTGATTTGCTTTTCGAGTGTTACTTTTCTGAGGAGGTTAATTTGGGGTGTGCTTTATCCAAGTCTTCAATTTCTGGACCGATGTCTTGGCCAGGAAGAGCATGGTGCCCCATTGGTGGATTACAAGGATAGCTGCAGTGCAGATGCACATCCTCTCAGCCGCATCAAACATTCAACCGGAAGCTCACATCCCGGCTCAGCTACCACCTGGGCATGCACTTTCAACCCTACGGAATGATAAAATCTCTCATCTCGGAAGGTTTAAAAGGGTGCTTGATTCATGCGTTGTAACTCAATCACATGCGTTGACGGTTGAATATCTCTATTGGACAGCAGTAATCCCTTTCCCTCTCGCCCAGCCCTTTATCTGTTTCTCCAAATTCCGTTGAAAACTTCTCCACGTACAAAGCCAAATGCCCAGGCGTATTCAATTTAATAAAAGTCCACTAGAGATGCGCGGAGAACTAAGTCTCCGCAGCCTTTTCCTCTTTAATCATCTCACTAAGCTTAAATGCCATAGCACCAATAGGTGCCATTGGATGCCCACTGATTTGTTCCGGGAACACACTCGCATCCATGACTCTAAGACCCTTGACTCCATGCACTTTGCACTGCAAATCAACGACACTGGTTGCTGGTTCAGGGCCCATACGTGCTGAGCCCACCGGGTGGTAGAGCGTGAATGCTTTCTCCTTCAACCAGCGGATAAGATCCTCGTCCGAAATGTTCTCAATATCGCTGCTCGAGTACGGCCACCAGGCAGAAGTATGGTCATCATTTGACGGCACTGGTTCAAGGTACTCCTGGAGAGCCGCAGTTCGAGTTAGGCGTAGAGTAACTCGCAAGCCTGCCACGAGGGCTTTGACATCGTTGTTAGATGCGTCTGACAGGTACTTCGGGTCGATGATTGCTGTAGGGATTTAGATATTAGCTCTAAGGCTTTGAAAATGGGCTTCCATAGAGTTTACTTACGTGGCTCAAACGCATCTCTACTCTTGAGAGAAATGGTTCCGCTGCTAGATGGGCGAAGGTGAATAGGGCCCATGGTGAGAACTCCTTCGGCATCAAGCGGTATATCCTCGCCATGGTGGACGAAGGATAACGGGGCGGCAATCAGTTCGATATCCGGGGCGTTAGGGCCTGACGTGAGATCGGCTGGAGGACCACCCGATGAACCGGGAAAACTGAAATCCTCGGTCCGAATAAAAGCCACGACTTCTCCAACATTGCTAGTTAGCGGTCCTGTTCCAAACAATTTCCATTGGAGAAGAGCCGGCAGGGCCTTGATTGGGTTGCGCAGATAATCCAAAGTGTATGCAGGTTTGGCTTTGCAAATGATGGGTGTAGGGCAAAAGTGGTCTTTCAGGTTTTTGCCCACTGCCTGACTATCTTGAACCACCGGGATTCCAAGCCCAGCCAGCTCATCGGCAGGACCAATGCCGCTCAGCAACAGTGTCTGTGGAGTGTTTATAGCTCCACTGGAGAGAATGACTTCTCGCCGTGCATGGACATTGAAAGGCTTGCCATCACGGTTTGCTTGCAACTGAACACCAATTGCAGTAGGGGTTTCGGACGTCAGGCAGTCGAAAAGAACCTTGGTGACATGAGCGTGACAAGCGACATAAAGGTTCGGCCGATTCAGCACCTCTGGCGTAAGGAACGCAGTTGCCAAAGACGCGCGCTGCCCCTTTTGGTCAATGGAGGTTTGGATACGAGTAACACCCAACGTGCCGTCTTTGGTATTGATATCGGGATTAGCGGGAATGCCCACAGCCTCGCAAGCAGGAATAAAGCCTTTCTCGCCAATCTCGGACAGCCACGTATATCCAGTATTCCACACGCCGTCCGAGCCACGTTTCTCAACGTCAATCGCAGGGCGTGCAGGGTTAGGAGTGAATTTCTCCATGCGGCGAAAGTACGGAGCAAGGTCATCATATGCCCACCCTTGACACCCATGAGCGGATGCCCATTCGTCATAGTCGGATGGGGCAGCGTGGTGGTACATCATTGTATTCATTGATGTCGATCCTCCAAGTATGCGTCCGCGGGGCCAATAAAGACGGCGGGATGCTAGATTGGCCTGTTCCACCGTGTAGTAATTCCAGTCATGCTCACTGTGAAACAGCTCAGAGTAGATCAGAGGGATCTTCGTTGCGAGAACATTTGCATTGTCACCACCTGCCTCAAGAAGAAGCACAGAAGTGTTTTCATCTTCGGATAGTTTGCTGGCGAGAACGCAGCCCGCTGCGCCTGCGCCCACGATCACTATATAGGAATTCAATTAGCGACAGGCCCAGAGCAAAAAAAGTGCAGCATAGGAGTATCGAAACCATAATCATAGCTTTTAAGGGCGCGCTGAGCGCCAGCGTATGTAACAGGTGGTCCTACTCGGAGTTCGGGAGTTGCATAATGAAGTGGGTTGAGTAGCGGATTTCGGCCCATCGTGTCCAGAATTTAGATCTCCGGAGTTTAGCCGGAGGAATTGGATTTTTATATGTTCAATTCTTTCTTGGTATTCGTTAACCGAAAGTTCGCAGTAGCCGACACTGTGCGTTGCATGTGCATGTAACAAAGCGAGATTGATTCGGAGGGCATAAATAATCAAAAACATGAGGTCTCCTTTCCATCTCGGTGCCCCCCTCTCCCCCACATTTTCGCCCCCATATCTATAGCCCCATAATAGATCAAAAAGGTTATTGATCGACAAACTAGTCCATAAACGGTATGAGGCGAAACAACCGGATATGGATATCCGCCAAGTAAACCAAAGCGTCTGACGTATTAGTCTCGATAACTGTCTCCAAGTGTCCAGTACCAAATGGAAATAAATGGCCCCAATTTCTACCTCTAATACAACGTCTAGTACTTGACTTCTAGGCTACTGGTAAATCGGAAGTATTGATTGGTAGCAAGGTAAACTTATACAACATTTTGAACTAATGAATGATAAATATAACATTTTCTTATCCGGAATCAATAATAAAACCACCCAAAAACACCAAATGGAGGGTAGTCTAGAAGAACTGAACTCAAATATGCAAAGAAGGAAGACATTGTAGGGTAAGCCCGTATAAAGAATATCGGAGCCACACATGCAAGTGAGGACAGAAACAAAACATAGTTTGACAAGAAGCATGAGTCAAAAAGAGAACCCACAAGCACACAAAGGACACAAAGGACACGGAGGAAATGATCATCAAATAACAGACTACTAGTACCGACAGATGAACCGAATCCAACAGGAAGTAAGCTGTAAATCTGTTTCTTTCGGGCTCTGCAGCGGCCGCCCCATCAGAATCCAGAAATCTACTTCCAGTGCATCGCCAGGTACCTCTCCATTCCTAACTCAGACCGACCTCGTATAATCCAGGATGTGAGTTTCCTGGCGCGTGGTGGTCATACCAACTCTTCCGTTGACGAACGGCGTCCAAATTTCGATATCGGCATCATGGGAGTTGATATACGCGGCGATGAGGACCACGACTCCGGTTTAGTGATTCGAGTTACTGTACCACCAGCGGGCGTATGTACTATATAAATGTATATTGATGCTACGCGTAGCTTTAGTAGATCCTTTGAATGGGATTCCTCGGCTAGCAGTCAGCAGCGGGGGCGCGGTCTTGGTTACGGTAAATGCAAGATTGCTCTTGTACAGCATGACGGTTCTTTCAAAGACATCATTTACGGGGGCCGATAACCGCCACCCTACTGCCATAACCCAATTTCAATTTCCAATTTCACCGTCCTGTTTCCCGCGCGTATTGTACTTATCATATGCAGGAAATCTTAAGGGATTTGGTCTAAATACGGTCACTCTTAGAATAGACTTGAGAATAGACTTGAGAATAGGCTTGAGAAGGGACTTGAGAAGGGACTTGAGAATGGATTGATTATAGAGTTCAAGGATTCAAAATAGAAGGAAGTACAGGGATTCAACGTATAATGGAGTTTAAGAATTCCGTATGTAATGGAGTTCAAAAACAAATATGAATTTGGAATTACTCATAATTTACTTTCTGCCGGTCGGAAAGTTGAAATTGGGTTATGGCAGTAGGGTGGCGGGTATCGGCCGCCGTACATCATTACTGTTGGAATCACATGACTACTATGCTGTTTCTACCGGATGTCTCCGGTTCTGCGTGTGTTCACCGCCTGGCGTGCTTCCTTTTAGATAGCAGGCTCGTCTCTCTAGTTCTTCTCTTACTCACCACACTCAAGAATACAGACCATAGTCATTCCACTGCTTATTTGCTTCGCTTCTTCTGTTATTTAAACAAAGATCATCGATTCGGGGGCTCTAGACAAACTGTGGCCGGAAGCGCTTACAACCGCGGCATATGTCTTTAATCGCTTAAAACCCCAATGTTCAAGAATCCAAGGGTCATACGTGTATAAATTCATATTAATGCTACGTATATCCTTAGCACTGACAAAACTAAGTCCTTTATAGCGGAAAATATTGAATGCTTTATCAGTACATAAGATATACATCAGAGAAATTATAAAATCGCGCATGTCCTTAGTAAATCCTTTATTAAAACCAAGGGCTGTAGGTACATGAATGTATATTAATGCCGCGCGTATCCTTAGAAAATTCTTGATAGTCAAAAATTGACTGGTTTATCGGTACATAGGACGTATATCTCAAATACATAAATTCGCGCATATCCTTAGTAAATCCTTAATTAAACTCATGGTCTGTAGGTACACAAATGTATATTAATGCTGCGCGTATCCTTAGTAAATTCTTGATAGTTGAAATACATGTATTGATTGGTTTATCGGTACATAAGATATACATCTTAAATACATAAAATCGCGCATATCCTTAGTAAATCATTGATTAAAACCAAGATTCATATGTATTTGAATGTATATTAATGCTGCGCGTATCCTTAGTAAATTCTTGATAGTTGATTTGAATATTGACTGGTTTATCAGTACATAAGATATACATCCTAAATACATAAATTTGCGCATATCCTTAGTAAATCCTTAATTAGAACCATGGTTTGTAAGTATTTGAATGTATATTAATGCTGCGCGTATCCTTAGTAAATTCTTGATAGTTAATTTGAATATTGACTGGTTTATCAGTACATAAGATATACATCCTGAATACATAAATTCGCGCATATCCTTAGTAAATCCTTAATTTTAACCATGGTTTGTATGTATATTAGTGTATATTAATGCTGCGCATATCCTTAGTAAGTTGTTGATAGTTGAAATATTGATGAGTTTATCGGTACATAGGATGTACATCTCAAATACATAAATTCGCGCATATCCTTAGTAAATCCTTTATTGAAACCAAGATTCATATGTATATGATTGTATATTAATGCTGCGCGTATCCTTACTAAATCCTTTATAATTGAAAAGGCTTATCGGTATGTCCGCCAGTAGCTGGTTAATGGATTCCGACAGGCTGACCTCTAATACAAGAGAGGGCCATGGTACAGGTGCTCCGCCCGGCGGCCGGAAACCCTCTAGAGAAAAACAAGCCGTCTGCCTTCTTGCTACACACGCGCCAGTCCGACCGTCCAGCTCCTCCAAGCCATAAATCACGGCTGAGACGGCTTAACCCCATTTGACGAAGATCATCGATAAGCCACCCTTCATTGTTCAAATTCACAATTGATCTTCCCAAGATATTGTTATAGCATAATCTTATACAAGGCCTCATGCTCGCAGTGTATAATTGTTGATCACATCCCTTTTGGAACGTCCGGATTCTCATTGAGCGCCAAAGCAAAGCTTGTCAGGAATCTGCCGCACCAGAAGGCATTGCGAAGTGGGATGATCATTTAACAGAAGCTTGTCCTTGAGTACGCTGAGGTGCACATGTGGTCACAGAGCTGGTCGAGGGAGCGGGGTTATGTAGTCAAGGGTATGGACGGTCAGAAGGGTTATAGGGTCGATCATAAGGTCCATAATCCTGAGCTTGGAAAATCCATCAGATATCTGGAAGCAGGGGATTTGTAAGAACAAGCCTAGAAGAACAAAAGATCATTGTAAAATCAGGAGAGTGGGTACATACCTGTATACTAGGCCTATATTGGGTAGATAGTGTGGAATTTTGTAAAACTTCATGCCATTAAAGGCAGTTAGGCTCCAAGGCTGACTCGAGGCCGAAGACATATGCATTAACAGGGTTCGGGACGGGAGGCGGGGCGGCTCCACTTGAATACCAAGGTTCATGGTCACAGCATGATCACGATTCACATCTCTCCCAAAATAGAATGCGGGAGTTGGAACTTTATGTAGTAGCACTTGAGTAGTAGAGTTAGTATTTGGAGAGTATGTGTGTAGTATCGACCTCGGGATGGGTGTAAAAATTATTGAATGTATTCATTCAAGGGCCCCACATATATTTGTTAACACAGGTATACAATCCAAACGATCCAATAAACTTACTCTTCCTCAAAGAACACACAAGATCATCTTTAAAAAAAAAGAAAATCCGACGAAAGCTGAATTCGAACCCGGGTTGTATTGGTAACTACCGAGGTACGTTCTGAAAGCGTCATATGCATCAGTCGAGAAATCAATACTCCACCATTTTCTTATTTTACCCCACGATGGATTGTCGGATTGAGCTCAAATAAAGCGGAAATTCAAATTCAACATGGTCAATTATATAAAAATGGCAAACATCAAGCCCAGAGGGACCCCCCCCTCTGGCGGGTGCACGCCGCGGGGGGAGATCTGCTCTGGGGGATGTTTCCCTGTGTAACCGACACCTTCCCCCAAGGTCCAGACGGCTAACCTCTTGGGGGGAATTGTGCACATGTGGGAGGGCTTTGCCACTCGACCACACGGATGCCGGTGAATGAAAGAACAGCTGAATTGTTCCTTTTGACCCCAGATTTTTGAATTTTGTTAGTATTTTCTTTAGTACTAGTAACCCTCTGTGACGTATTCATTTCAGGACATTGTTAGGTTCATTATTAGCTAATTCTTCAACTCTAACTACAGCATTCCCCCTAGAAAGGGTTCGCGCGCGCCTATTAATTCTCTAATATTCTCCAACCTCTTCAGGCAGTCCAGGCTAAATAGTACTAGTATATAATTTTAAATTTTATCAATATGAAACACCGAGATGGCACTTGATAAACACCAGAGTAAAATTGCCTTTGAGGGTGCAAGAAGGCAAAGATTTCATTCCTCTGGTTTGTTCTTTCCATGTTTCATTCCAAGTTCCTTTCTGTCTATTCTCTGTAGTTTTGACATTCTGGTTTGGTTCACTCACTGGGCAGTTAAGTTAGTTGGTTATATTGTTCTAGGCTGACCAATCAGGATACGACAATTGGTCTATGTCCCATGTTCGTCACATTTCTGCAAGATGCAGGTAGTGCGGAGGGCGCTCCGACTAAAAAAGCCACTGCAGAACCTTTCTACCGTGTTTCATCTCCAAAAACTGCCAGCACTCCATATCGGCATAACTTTAATTCCAAGGGTGGACCTAACTTTGCGGGGTTGCAGAATGATGAGTTCGTCAGGTCGAATCTCGAATGTTAGCAACTACCAGTAGTAGAACCACACCTCAGTCGTTGTGAAATTGATGACCAGAAAAGATTCTTACTTTCAAGGATGCGTTATGGTCTATGGGTAGACTTGAGAAAGTTCCGTCAGTCTGATTAGTTCTGCCCCATGGATGTGCTGGTCACTCTGGCTTTGACCTGCTTTTACCCAGGAAGGGGTGCGGAGTGGCATGAACACCCCGCAAATTATCCAAGGCTGCAAAGGAAAGTGTGGGTGTCAAGAGAGGGTTCCCCGTTGGACTTCCTATTACAGCTACCAAGTTACCTGTTTCGGTCAGGGAATTCCTCCATGACGTCCATTCTTTGTGTTTGAACTTGTTTTCTCTCGCGCTACCAACCCCTTAATACCGATGTTCCCCCCAGCTAATCTCGGGTGTCTAGCCTCTCACGGGACCATTCTGCCATGTCCCAAGTGCCGTGTCCGATTTAGCTATTGTCAATATGCAGGGCCCGTTCTATCCCATGCCAGCGGGTTTTGTGATGGTCCCTTCACAGTTATTTGGTCACACTCGGTGGACGGTCCGAGAAACCCAATTCAAATGTCACATTTTGCAGTGCTGCTCCAGCTGAAACAGTTCTCTTTCTCTAGTTGAAAAAAGCCGACACGGCTGCGTCGCCGCGGAGGAAGAGGGCATATTTGAAAGTCCCAACGCTTGGGCTTATTCCTTCGGTGATATAAATTGCTACGAGACGACCCCTTTCAAGAGAATCAAAAACCACAAGCTACAGGCATCCAGATCCAAGATCCATCATCATGAGATACGCTCTGCTACTCGCAGCCAGCGCTGCTTTGGCGCTCGCAGGGCCCCAAGGCCACTCCAAGCGGGCCTCGTCCTTCGTTTGTATGTGGAAGCCCACCAGCACCGAGCCTAAATTGAGCCTACATTGACCGTTTCTTGTAGGGTTTGGCGCAAGCGAGTCCGGAGGAGAGTTTGGCAGTGGAGATATTCCAGGTGCACTGGGAACCGACTACATTTGGCCGGATACTTCGACTATTCAAACGCTACGTAACGCGGGTATGAATATCTTTCGAGTGCCGTTCTTGATGGAGAGATTGGTTCCCGGTACCTTGACCTCGGCTTTAAATGAGACCTATTTCGAAGGTCTGCAGAGTGTACGTTGTCCTCGTCTCAAATATACATACTATCACCCTTGCTGATAGGTTTCCAGACGGTCGAGTTCATCACGTCCACCGGCGCGTACGCTATTGTTGATCCACACAACTATGGACGATAGTCAGTCAATGCCTTTTTTTCTATTTTCCAACTGGCGGACATACTGACTGGTGAACTAGCTATGGCGATATAATCACCTCCACGAGTGACTTTGCTGCATTTTGGACCACCGTGTCAACTCAGTTTGCATCGAATAGCAAGGTCATCTTCGACACGAGTAAGTCTCATCATTTTACAGCCCTCGTTTCTCTATTCACTGACCCCTGCAGACAACGAGTTCAATACGGAGGACCAAACACTGGTACTGGACCTTAACCAGGCAGCCATTAACGCCATCCGAGCTGCTGGTGCCACCTCGCAATACATTTTCGTGGAAGGAAACTCGTGGAGTGGCGCCTGGACATGGACTTCAGTCAATACCAATCTGGTTAGTTTGACGGACCCCAATAACAAGATCGTCTACGAGATGCACCAGTATCTCGACTCGGATGGGTCCGGCACTTCAGACGTATGCGTCAACACGACTATCGGTCAGAACCGTGTTGAATCAGCGACAGAATGGCTACAAAGCAACGGGAAACTTGGTTTCTTGGGCGAGTTTGCCGGTGGTGCTAACTCAGTCTGTGAGAGCGCCGTGACTGGAATGTTGACCTACTTGCAAGACAACAGTGATGTCTGGCTCGGAGCATCCTGGTGGGCTGCAGGGCCTTGGTGGGGTGACTATATCTTTTCCATGGAGCCGCCCTCCGGAACTGGATATACTTACTATATTGATATCTTGTCTGCCTACTTCCCCTCCAGTTCAGGCAGTTCAGGCAGCTCTACAACCGCTTCCACGACCACATCCTCCACATCGACATCTTCTAAATCGACAACTACTACAACAGCCACGACCACCAAGGCTACGACCACCTCAACCACTACTAGCACAGGATCTACCAGCACTGCGGCCGCATCTCACTATGCACAGTGTGGCGGCATTGGCTGGACAGGGGCAACAACATGTGCCAGTCCGTATACTTGTCAAGTGCAGAATGCGTACTATTCCCAATGTCTATGAGCCTGAAGTATGGATCCAGCTCCCAGAACACAGAAATTTGAATATAACAACTCTTGATCGGTCATTGAATTTGTATACGTAAACATTGCTGAGGGAGCAATTTTGAAACGACACAGTGAAAGTCTGTACATGTTATTACATCCCGATATCTCTATTTAAACGGCATCTTCAGATCCTCATTTATCCGGTCAAAATTCCACAAAAGTTTCAAAGTGGCAATCCTCTCTCCCCTCAAAGCTCCTCGCCAGATCTCACGTATGGGCTCAGACTCTTTATCCAAACGGGTAAGGAATTCACCCAGTGTTTGAGAATAACTCATAAGCCAGATTTTCCGTGTCATATACGGCCATCGCAAGTAAGCCCACAGAGTCAAGGGAAACAAGAGAATTTGAGAAATCGCAACCCCAACAAAAGCCCCATCTATTGTTCCCCAGCCCCCGTAGCCTGCCTTCCAACCAATAACAAATAACATTTCACAGATCGGAAGAACAAAGCAACTGCAAACAAACCCAAGGAAAACCGACAAGAATCCGCTTGACTCGTGCATGTATTTGGGTTTGGTGCTTTGGGCATTCTGCTCTTGCTGGATGAATATTTTTGCAGATAGCCGAAGACCCCAGTCACCAAGGGGGAAGGCTCCAAACCATATTCCGATCAGGATAAGGTTGGTCAAAATGTCAGTGGGTGCCAGGATCCCTGCTGCGACTCGCGAAATATCGGAAACATCCTGGCTGATCAGTCCCTGAAACAATCCTAGTCTAGCCAGGCATAGTAAGAGATGAAAAAAGGACGGAATGACCGTAAATGCGTCTCGGAAACCCAATAACTCTTCTTTCGTCAGCAAATGCTTTCGATTGATATACTCAACACGGGAAGTTGGGGGTGCTAAGGAGATGTTAACTTTAAGAACTCAGCGCATATCTGGCGATGGTAACCTACTGCAATGTAAAGTGATACTAATTGGCCAATCCAAATCCCCGTGGCTGTTAATATCTACGGTAGACATTGAGGGCACTAGATACCGGGAGGAAAATTGTCTGATCTTCTCATCATTGGCCTTTCCGGGTTGCAAAACCGAAATAGAAGAAAAGTGTGTCGCATGCAGCTCGCCTGACCGCTGGTCCCTATGGAACCGACGCCAATAGTTGGGCTCTTCATTGTAGACTGACTTGAGCTCGAGGCAACATCCTGCAACCCATTTGCCATCGAAGTGCGTCTCTCCCCATCTCGATCCGTCATTTTCCCACGCGAGCGTACGAGTATCAATGATTAAAATGGCATTTCCACTCATCGCAGCAGGTGAAACAGAGTGAAAGTGGATAATCCATGTTTGTCCTTTGTGAACCAATCTCAACCAGGGCGTATTTTCCTTTACTGGCGGAATCAGTATCAAAAGGGGATTGTTTGGTTTCTGTGGAAACTGGAAGGTTATTTGATCTTTCTCCCGAGATGTGAATTTGCCAAGATATTGCTGTTTCAAAGGATAGGTAGGACCAAAAGCAAAATCTTCCGCAGCCCTTTGGAGCCATTTATCTGGTCCTCCTTCACAGTCTTTCAACGGAATGGGATCGCCCTTGAAAATATGTCTTTTGATGGTATCGTCATCGGCTAATAGAAGCCTTTTGCAAGGAGTGAAAAGTAGTGACAAGGGAACATCGGAAAATCCCCAAATAATGGCCTTGAATCTCTCATCAGAATCAATCTTCAGGACATCATCTGGTGACATCTGCAGGGACATTGCGAATATGTACATCAGGTCATCATGTCTTGTGCATGATCTCCGAAGTAACTCATTCCAGACCGATATGAAAGGCTTTGAGCTTGCGAAGAGACTCCGAGGATGGGAATCTTTCGTATTAGAAAGTCGAGATGTGGTCTTCTGGATTGAAGAAAAGGCAGAATATTTTGGCGCATCATCCCAGTCTAGAGGAAAAAACCAGGTTTGATGAATCAAACGCTGTAAGTCATGAGAGAGCCATCGCTCAATCATACTCGAAAATGACGTTTCTGAATAGGGATCGATTACAGAGGCAGATGTGATTTGCTCCAGAGTACGTCCATTCCGACGGGTAAAATGGCTCCAATCTCTCGATTCAAGGAGTATATCTCGAGGATTGAAAAATCCATTCTTGACTTTCACATAGCATAGTGAGCCCTGGCCCTCTTTGTATGTCCAAGCTCTAGTTGCCCAGTTGCTACCTTGAAATAAAGCTAGAATCTCTGGCATCCTATATGTATCAAGCCTCAGATTCTGGATTTCTTTGTCCAATATCATGACTTGCATCGCACCTGCGAATACAGCCGATATTTGGCAGATTGCAGAAGTCCGAAGCTCTTGAGGGTCAGAAACATGACCGCGCAGGACGGATACGTTGGGAATACACAAGATATCCAGCCAGAATAAATCATAAGGCGTGTTCCTCGAGTAAACTCCTGGTATACTCCCTGGCAACAGAGTTTCCCGTCTGTTCAAAGCCAAATGTGACATAGTCTCCCCACGATGATTGGGAAGTTGGCAAAGGCTTTCAACAATGGAATCTAACTGGCATTGCCAGATGCCATTGTCTTGACTGTTTCCTAAGCCGTCCGACCAGACGTGAGAGACCGCAACATATCTGCTATCCACTTTTGCGGGAACGATTCTCAACCGTGAACAACCACCTTGATGGTTTTTCTCAAATTTGAGCAGTGGAATTTTATCATCCTTAAGGATATTCACCACATCTTGGACTGGAATCATCATTTTGGAGCAACTGCAACCCTTGAGAGCGTGTTTTGGTTCAAAGTCAACTCTATCTTGCAGCGGTGCGACTTTTGTCGGATTGGGGGATTGCGTAACAGCTTGTGGGGGTTCATATGGAATTGCAAACAATTTAGCTGCCGTACAGATCATACCCTTGCAGTTCGTATGGTCAAGCTGAGGAGAACGAGAGCGCTTAATCTGGCACATGTAGTAAAGGGTCAAATAACCAGCACTTCTCGCAGTGACCCGGATAATCGAAGGACACCATCCGTTTTTTATAAAACGGTCGATGATGAGTAGTAGTGAGCCCTGTACCCCAGCCCTTATGTCTGACTTGTTGTTCATGTTTTCCGACGAGGCGGGGTATGGCCACTTCACATGGCGATACGGGCTCTGCACAGGATTGTTGTAAATCAATTCCCTTCCGGTATTTCTGGGAAAACGAATTTTTTCCTGTTCGTCCATTATAAGAGCAATCAAAGCATCGCATAGAATCAGCGCAGACAAGGCGACTTCGGGAACGGGGCTGAAGTTTCCACCTGGAAGACTTTCAAGTCTCAGGACCTCTGACCTTGTCTCCCCTAAGAGGTTGGGAAAAGTTTTCCCCTCGTCACTATCTTCATCGAAGTAGAGGCGGTGCCGTTCATTTTCATCAAAAAGGCTATCAGCGACCATACGGAGGCAGACGAACCGGCCAACATGGCCTTTAATGTTCTTGGAGAACTTCTCGATATCAAGATCTGCGTTCAAATATTTGGCTAAGACTCCGAAGAAAAACCGGTGCTGGATATGAAAGGCAATTTTGGTCGGAGACGAAAAAGTGTGAGCCTCCCTCCCTGCTTCTGCGACACTTTTCTCAATATCGCCTGGTTGGATCACCTCGTAAAGCATGCCATCTAGGAGAGGAACATTCACCGTGTTCGGTTTTGAATGGGTGGGCTGTGGTACAAAGTCCATCATGCGAAGGCTCCAAGCCGATGACTGTTTTTAGAAATCCAGGCGAAATCTAGAGAGAAACATTTGAACATACAGAGAGATTAGAACAAGAATCAAAACAGTGAATTGAATGATAATAAACAGACACAGGATGCCTAGCATCAACTGCGGGGTAAAGGGGCTGATAATGAGGCTGTATCAAGCCATACACCACCTCAACCGCCCTTGCAGTGTGATTGTGCCAAATGAAGTGCATGAAGTCCTCGCCAAAACATTATTAGTTAGTGGCCTAGTTAACTAACTAGTTCCAATACTTTTGCTTACCAATCCGTTCTTCTAAGTTAGTTAGTCATACATAAATATTGCAGAAATGAAGGTTATTTGTGTTCCGGTATTTCGTACAAACTCGTCTCTATTGGATACATGGGCTCGGTTTGGACTCTCGGAGAAAACGAGTACGTAACTCAACCAACCGGGTTGGACATTCGCTGCCCAAATTTACCAAGCACACGTGCAAACACCTTCTGTGAGATTGTGACTGGGCGCAGCCCCCACTTACAGGGATAAAATGCAAATTAATTCCAAGGCGGTCGGCAGCAGGAACTGCCCAGCCGTCCCGAGACACTATTCCAATCGGGCGAATAAGCGCAGCATTTGGCATGAAGAGGGGAAATAGAGCTGGAGCGTGATGAAAACTACTCTCTTTTTAGGCAGAGCTGGGCAGCTTTGCCGTGTGTTGGTACTCTGTATGCAGTAGTGGATTGAATTTGTGGGGGCCGTGAGCGAAGGTTTCTCCATTCCATGGTTGAATTTGGGGGCCGAACCTTAGATTGATCATTGGCCCATTGCCGAAGCCTATCAGATACCGCTAGTCCTAATTGGGACCATATACAAGATTCACGATCAGATGATAGATAATAGAAATCGCGTAAAGGACCTAGCTTTGTTCTATACATTAGTATGAGAATCATATAAGATCAACATACTACACGCGCAAACATGGTGTTGCCTCTTTGAGTTACCACTCGTACCTTCCACGTCATATCAATCAAGTCACCACCCAGTTTTCCTCTATGATTCTACAGTTGTGAAAATTAGAGATACCTCATATCCGAAAACATCTGTTCATTGATCATAATGTCATGAGATGACAGCTCTATTTCTCAGCCTCTGTGGAGTCACAATTGTCATATTTAGGGGGAGGAGGCAGGCTGTCCATACGTGTACCCCATCTGTTAGGAGCCATAACGCGATCTCGAGCGTTCCTCCAAAATTCAAAATCAGGCTCTTGAATGCGCATTGATCCTGGGAAGAATACAGGAACAAGAGATACTCCAACTCCGGGATATAACTCCTCTGCAGTCTTCAGGGCATCTGCTACACGAAGTCCGCGGATCACCTCTCCCTTTTCTCGAATATGAATGCCAAGTGCACCTGCGCTTCGTGGTCTTGCGGCGCAGGTAATATTATGGATACTTCCCAGTGCTCCAACTCCAAGAATATCTGTGTTAACCAGCGTCAGCATATATTCCCGGAAAAGAGACGAAATTCTAAATAAAGGACTTACACCAAGTATCTATCTTTAGTCCTGTCGCTAGAACAAGAAGAATCATCCAATTCAAGGTCAAGAACGATGTACCCAGTCTTGTTAATCGAGATGCTGGTGCAGTTCTTGTCCCGCGAGCCAAAATATCGAGATCCAAACCAACGTTCTTTTTACCTAGAATAACCATGGCAAAACGGCTGCCATTTCCCTCTGTGAGTGTGACGGTCGGGCCGCCTTTCCGTGGGCAAGCCCATTTTTCGCGTCTCCACTGAGGAAGTGAACTTTCTGCCAGGGCAAGAATGATGCCATAGCTTGTAATCAAAAAGGTCCCCCATTCGTTATTGACTATCCACGGAATGGCCGCAATCAGCAATTGAACGACAATCACCACGAATCCTGAGATCCAAATCATGTCTCTTGTGGGCAACCCATGGACAACCTTTTCGTCATCTACTACTTCATAGACCGCTATTCGAAGCGCTTCCCATGGTCTGGATGGTGGTTCAACTTTTGACTCCAACCCCATCGTGGATCTCCAGAAAGACGGATGCCAGGTCTCCCAGCTTCCTGTCATTTGGTGAGGTGCTTCGCCTTTCATATCTTCATCCAGTCTATCACTGGTATCTCGAAGCAGCCTGCTAAGAACCCATGAAGTGGTTGTCCGACTATGGCCACTCCCAGCAGGGATAACTAATGTGTTTGCGTTCTCTGCCGGCGGCATCAATTTTCCATCTGTTAATCTTTCATTAGATAATAGTCTTGTTTTGGTTCAACGAGCGAGTCTCGGAAATGAATTTACCACCGACAGCTGCGAGTAAAGCCTTTACAGCATAGGCGACCCAACCAAATGAAAATGCCATCGGGGTGATCTGCCGTCCCGCAAGCTGGGCCACTGCCTGTTGGATGACTTCAGGGCCGAGTAGCAGCAGAATAGAGAATATGTCTCCTGGATTCACCCATTGTGCGGCGAAATAATCAGCGGTACTTGTCGGGTTGATGATGTTCACCGATCGGGTACTGTGGATTAACCCCGCCAAAATTATTGGGGCCATGATTAGAATGGGGAGGTAACGACGCCTGCACATTTGTGAGCTCTGAGTTCCTGTTAAACTTAAAAATATTTCGGAGGATTGGTACGGAGATCATGTTAGTATGGGCTTGGTTACCTATTTATGCAACTTGAGGTGAAGAGTGAGCAAGGTTTGCCTAGTTGGTAAGATTGGATCGAGGCTAACTCCTCGTAAGATCAAAAAAGGCTGAGAGGAAGCGCGCGGGCTGTGAAACGGTCTGCCCAGGTGAGTTCACGTTAACTTAATTTTGCAGATTGATCCCGGGGTCTTAGTAAGATAGGCTGCGCTGCTTACTTCAATTTTCTGTGGCTCAATTTTTGAGCTGGGGAATAAGCCTTGGCTGTCTCATCGAGGGGGAGCAGCTCGTATTTGTGATGGTTACGGAACACCCGTGCGGGTGGGTTGTCAATTCTCAGGAGACTTGTAATTGATGTTTTGCAGAAGTAGCAGCAGATACTATATACGGAGAGATTCTGCCAACGAAATCCAGCAGATAGCTCATAAAATTATCTGCCATTCCATTTTTCGAATTGAAAGTGACAAAGCTGGGTATTGAAGAATTTTGTTTACAACCGGACGATTTCTTACCACTGTGTAATATACGATCCCCAAGCGAGAGTTCAAAGTGGGCGTGTGGGGAAAGACACACAAGCAAAGTCAAGACTACAATATCAGGCTTAACACCAGATCAAAGTACAAATATTATTCAGGCGTCCACAGAACATTAAAAGACTTGGCAGAATCCGGACGTGAATGTATTAGCCATACACCTGGAACCTATCAAATTTTGATAGCTAATTAGTAGTAAAGAAAACAGGTAGAATCAAAAGCAAAGGTCAAGAAGGAAGAAATAGGACAAAAAAGCACTAGAGGGACAAGAGAGTATAGATATATGGGACATCAAAAAGACACAGCAATGATCACAGAACAGTGTGAACAATTTCTTCAAAGTCGTCGCTAGTAAGCACCAAGTCATTCTCATTTGGTCCTGGTGGCCGATTGTACAGGGGCTTCAAACGGAAAGATCATAGGCGCATTATCAACTCTGGGGGAACCCGCGACACCACTCAAGGTGACATCGACTTCGTGATGACAATAGATCTGCTGGATAGGTGCAGCTTGTGGAGAAAAGGCGTTGACATGCTGGTTTTGACGTAGAGTCGATGAATGCCCGTGTAAGAGGGCGAGGGGAGTTTAGCGGCGTCAGGCGCCAAAGCTCAAATTCGACTTTCGTTTTCTTTATGCTGATAACCAAAACCATCTTGACCTCGCCCCCGGAGTTGTTAAACCACCAACGGGCGTCTTCGCGGAGCCGGGAAAGCGATTCCGAGACACCCGTCTCAATTACCAGTGTCGGCCAGCCTGTTGCAAGCGAGGGATGGAGGCCATTCCGTATACCCCACAGTTGCGCTTGTCCTCTGACTTGTGGACTCGGTGAATGCAGCCTTTAATCATTAGCTGTTTTTGAAAAAAAGAAAAAGAAAAAAAGAATGGAACCAATGTAGATATTGATTGAGATACATACCCATATACCCGAGCAGTTGGGCGGGTTTGTCGCCTTAAGCGCCCCCTTTGCCTCAACAACCAATACATTGAGGCACAAAGCCTCGCTTTCTCTGTACCAGACACTATAGTCTGGTCCGCCATTCAAGATGACCTTTGTCAGATCTAAGGGGATCTGGGAGAAACAAATGGTAATGAGGAGGAGAGAAAGAGGAGAAGAAACAGCCATGATGGTATTCTTCTACTGAGCGGGATGGAGGGGAAAGGAAGGAGAGATAAGCTCTCAATTCTCTACTAAGCTACCAACTATTACTAACCCTAGCCCTCACGCACAAAAGCAACACGCGCTGGAGCATCTAGGAGTAGACCATGTGACCCATTGGGTCATACGGTTCACTTTCTCCTAACACAAAGCCTCGCTTTCTCCATACCAGACGCTATAGTCCGGTCAGCCACTCAGAATGACCTTCTTGTGGTTTAGAACCACTAGGCCAACTTGATAGTTCCGTTCACACTACACGCTTAAAGGCTATGCATTTTTCAGGTCTCGGGTCGCCGCCTCATACGCTTGAAGAATGACTGCATCTATAATCCAGTGTGCGCTGGCCTCGTTGATTTTCGAATTGCCACTAGCCTTTTTGATTAGGCTAAGAGTGTGTACTATATTGAATTAGCTAAATTTCTCTTCTGATCCATATCTTGGATTATATACCAAGATGGGAAGGGAGGGGGAGTGGCTGTATAGCTTCCATCTCAGTATCCTCGACATCAAGTTCGAGGCAGAGGGATTGTTGGACATCTTGCACACTTAAAGTAATAATGGCAATTGTGGTGTATTTGGTTTCCTTAGCGTCAACTTGATCTGTTGCTTCTTGTAGTTGACGGCGGTCAATACTATTCCCCAGAAAATTTCGCACAGCGCGTTTCAGTTCTTCATAGCCATTCCGGCAACGCTTCGCAACGACCTCTTTAGCGTCTTCCATATTGATTGATTGTCTACTGGAAGGTTAGCGGGCCGAATCCAGGTTCCACAAAAGGATCGACGAACAAACTTGCGATTGGTCAAAATCGATTCGCTCCGCGGTATACGGTATATATACGGCGGGCGATACCCGCCACCGTAGGCTACTGCCATAAGTTAGTCGCGAATGATTAGAACATCAGCATGTTCACTTTGCCGCCCGACACGGGTCCCTTACCTTTGTGTGATTTCCTCGTTTGCATCATTTTCATGACTTCTTGGCGCATTGCAGGTGAAACATCAACCAATTGGGAGATCGAAATTGTAATCGTGGTGTCATTGATGTCAGCGGAAGGAATACAGCCGCTGCTCAGGGAAAGGAAAGAACGGAGAGAGAATAGCAACTGGATTGGCTATGGACAATCTCTCTTGGGGGGATAGAGAGAAGAAGGGAAAAGGAAAGAAGGAAGGAAGGAAGCACTAGAATCTAGATATACCTAGAGGGGGTCACCTGACCCCTCTCTAACAATAGGATGGTGGATGGATACGAACATTCTGAATGTAGCTTTATGAGATACTAATGTACCATGCACCCTGAGAAACCAGATGTCCTAACAGAAAATAGGCCTGAGAATAGACTTGAGAAGGGACTTGAGAATGGATTGATTATAGAATTATAGAGTTTAAGGATTCAACGTATGATAGAGTTCAAGGATTCCGTACTATATAATGAATCTAGTGCTGTATATAATGGAGTTCAAAAATAAATATGAATTTAGAATTACTTGTAATTTACTTTCTGCCGGTCAGAAAGTTGAAATTGGGTTATTTATTGAAGAACGAAGATCTGATTGGAGACCGGCTTGATATCAAACAAATTCTCAATTGTTAGAGAGGGGTCAGGTGACCCCCTCTAGGTATATCTAGATTCTAGTGCTTCCTTCCTTCCTTCCTTCCTTTTCCCTTCTTCTCTCTATCCCCCCAAGAGAGATTGTCCATAGCCAATCCAGTTGCTATTCTCTCTCCGTTCTTTCCTTTCCCTGGGCAGCGGCTGTATTCCTTCCGCTGCCACCTATCTTGAACCCCCTCCCCTATCTTTGAAAGCCCCCTTGACTCAGCTTTTATGTCTATTCTATTCGCTGACAGCATTGACAGCGCTTTTTAGCAAACCAAGATACACCCACTACTGAACCCTCGTCGCTCATAACCAACATCCCTAAGGGATACATAATGCGAAGGCTTACAACTTTCAAACAGTTAGAGGCTGACATTCGGAATGTCCTCGCCGTGCTACATAGCAACGAGGAGGACGGAAATCAGTACCTTCTTCTGCTCGGACTCTCGCCTGAGAAGATCCAAAATATCGATAAGCACCACCTTTTCGGCGCAGACTGTCGGTTCAATGGGAGGGCATCGCCGGACTCTTGAAAGTCGTTCCGTCTTTTTCCCATGAAGCGATAACGGATCAAACCACCAGATCCATTAATATACACCTTGTCGTAATAGGAATTCAATCACGCGATCAGATGTGGGTGATAACAACAACCTATAAGCCCACGACCAGCAAAGGCAAACAGGCAGATCAAGCCTTTCTTCCACCGCCAACTTTTCGGTGTTTCGATGAACGAACAACAGACGGGTTCAAGGAGTTTCAATTTTGGGTGGAACCCGTCCCGCCACCGGCGAAACTTGGACATTCCTCAAAATCAGCAATGACTCCAAGGTAAGTTCAAGCCATATCAGCCAAGACATGCACTCATATATGTGTTAGTAGACAGAACACCCGGTTGCGGACCGTGATGGCCATCTAGAGAGGCCATTTGGCCTTCTTGTTTGGATGTTCAAGAGGGCTGCTGCTCTCTCCCCTACACATTCCAAAGAGACCTCTGCCGAAACAGATGATGAGGGGGGCCCATGCCCAATGAATCTTGAATTACCGGAGTGAGAAAGGAGCAGTGTACCCCCACTGTACCTCTCCCCGACCTTAGCTCGTTATTAACTTTACCACAACTGAATTATTTATACATGGGGCTCCAAAAGTCTGTGCCCACTTTCTATTTTACCCGCAAAACGACATGAATTTGGATCAATTCAGTAGTAGATATCTCAGTAAAATGCACACAAAGCCTTTTTCCTAAATAAGCTAAGTCTAGATAAGACTTGAATTATCTAATATTTCTACTAGGAATATTAAGATATTCCTTTCTTATAGAGATGTCAAGCTTGGAAAGTATAGGTCATGAAAGTGGACAGATTTTGTAAGACGACTGGCCTGCACACATCCCCATAGTAAGGTAACCAAGGTTCTAAACTTTTGTCTCCAAAATGTCACCTCTAATTTCCAGGGTCTATTTCGAAACAGGAAAGAAAAACTTGAATCAAATTCCTAGTCATAGAAATTGACCTCTGAACACTTATTTAAAGTTTCAATATTTTATAAATTATCTTTCGTGTATGAAGTTCTTGAGATACTTCCAATCAAAGTGGGTGAGTTTTATTATGGTAGACATGGGAGTAAATTGAAGTGGTAAAGACTTTTGGAACCCTATGTATTGATTGAAGAGGGGAACGCCCGTAGGCTAGCACGTCGCTGACGAGTCAGAGATATGCGGGTCGATCTCGCTGGCCAAACCACACCAAAGCGCAGGGCAACCGAATACTAAATCATGAGGAGCACCCGTACAGGTCAGATGAGAGAGGGGAAGATGTGTTTGTATTCCTAAGTGTCACCAATATACCTTATTACTCTGCACTGCCAGTTGTTACCACTGTGGCGTTTGAAACTGGAACCTGGAAGATTGAGAAGGATCCAATGAAAGAGGGAGGGGGGGAATCAAATTGTTAGAAAGATCCGAAGATTGTGAAAGGGGAAAATTTCCTGAAGGGGGTTTGATTGGTTTTCTGATATGGGTAATTTGTATGTGTCCCGGATTGATGGCCTGGAGTGCTTATTATTATCATGTCATCATTAGTTCTTAGTTCTAGCCCGGGGAGAGGAATTTCCCTCCTTCTTCCTTCTTCAACCCTAATATTATCCGTTTCGTCTGTGTTCCGTTTTCTCCATCGTTTTCTTGGCTCAAATCAATTGTTCCGAGTTGTCCTTGTGTGTTTGTTGTTCTTTCACTGCCCCCTTCACTGTAGCGTATTACATTCGATGGTAGGGGACTATAGTAATTTGCGGGGAAGTTAAAACCCCTCGGAATACAAACTCTACGAGATTATTTTAACCTGGGGTATTCGGAAAGTATCAGTCTGTGTAATAATTGATCCATGTTATTTTTCTTCATCGTACGTTACCTGATCGACAGGCTTCTACCCTGCTGAATAGAGCTCGCTCAAACATTGTAACAGCACTCTCAGTTTTATATCTGGCAAGTCATGCACCAATTCTCTACTGAATTGCTGAGAACACTGTTTGCTTTAAGCGTGTTTTTACCGAATTCAATTCGGTCTAGATTGGAGTGACACCAGTTTACAATCAAAGTACAAAAGAAAATTAAGTCCTGCTAAGTCTAATGCCGTAGTTAGATTCATTCCCGGAGAGCAAGGATCTCCTGCGGCCCTCCACCTGTAAAACAGTTGATCAAGCTTTACAGACCGGGCTTCAAAACTCTTTATCAAGTATTAGTTGCGTCACTCGTGTGGGTACTACTTCGTATAACGTAAGGCTTAGATACCTCTGCTTACAGAAGAGGGGTCTGTAAGGGTGTGCATGATTAAATTCATGTCGTAATGTGAAGAGAAGAGCGTAAGGGAATTGATTCAAGCCAACGTAAAAATGGATCAAAATTCAGAGAGTGGACAGCGCTTTGAGAAAGAGAGAAATAATACACGACCAGATGTGCAGCCGATTGCCACGGTTGTTGAGAATATAGCAATACGGAAAGAAAAAGGGGGTCGATGCTCGGCAGGCAACCATAGAAGGTTGACTCCATTATAGGTTATCCAGGAAAGGTCATAACTCAAGCCATACCTATAGTGCTGTGGCAGAGAGGCTGAAGAATGGGGCGAAGACGTGATAGAGACAGCGGAACCTATATTGAATGTGCCAGGTGTCGTATGCAGATGATTGAGATTGACTTCATCAAATTGAAGGAAGTAAGGAGAATCGGCGTGAAGTGTTGTTAAGCACTGGCCGGTGGTAGGATCCCAGATCTTGACTGTTTTATCTATTGACGCTGATGCAAGTCGGCTTTGCGACCAGGCAAGCGAATTGACTGACTTGCTATGCCCCTTAAGGGTTAATATGCACTGGCCAGTGGCCGGATCCCAGATCCTGACAGTGTCATCATCTGACCCTGATGCAAGTCGGCCTCCATCTTGCGACCAGATTATCACGTTAAGCGAGTCGCTATGCCCCTTAAGGATTGATTCACATTGGCCAGTAGCTGGGTCCCATATCCTGATTGTATTATCATCTGACGCTGATGCAAGCCGGCTTTGCGACCAGGCAAGCGACTCGACTGACTGGCTATGCCCCTTGAGGATCAATATACACTGCCCGGTGGTAGGATCCCAGATCCTGATGGTCTTATCTGTTGACGCTGATGCGAGTCGGCCTCCATCTTGCGACCAGGCAGTCGACCTAACCCAGTCGCTATGCCCCTTGAGGGTTGTTTCACATTGGCCAGTAGCTGGGTCCCAGATCCTGATGGTCTTATCATATGACGCTGATGCGAGTTGGCTTCCGTCTTGCGACCAGGTAATTGAGGTAACCGGGCTGCTATGCCCATTTAATTCATACTGGGCAATAGCCGGATCCCATATCCTGATTGAATAATCATATGACGCTGATATAAGTTGGCTTCCATCTTGCGACCAGATGATTGAGGTGACCCCGCCACTATGCCCCTTAAGGGTGACTATGCACTGGCCTGTGTCTGAATCCCAGATCCTAACTGTCCTATCTTCTGACCCTGATGCAAGTCGGCTTCCATCTTGTGACCAAGCAATTGAGATAACAAGGTTGCTATGCCCCTCTAGGATTGATTTGCACTGCCCGGTGGCAGGATCCCAGATCCTAACTGTGCAATCATCTGACCCTGATATAAGCCGGCCTCCATCTTGCGACCAGGCAATCGACCTGACCCAGTTGCTATGCCCCTTGAGGGTTGTTTCACAATGGCCAGTAGCTGAATCCCAGATCCTGATGGTCTTATCTGTTGACGCTGATGCAAGTCGGCTTTGCGACCAGGCAAGCGAATTGACTGACTTGCTATGCCCCTTAAGGGTTAATATGCACTGGCCAGTGGCCGGATCCCAGATCCTAACTGTGCAATCATCTGACCCTGATGCAAGTCGGCCTCCATCTTGCGACCAGACAATCACGTTAAGCGAGTCGCTGTGCCCCTTAAGGATTGATTCACATTGGCCAGTAGCTGGGTCCCATATCCTGATTGTATTATCATCTGACGCTGATGCAAGCCGGCTTTGCGACCAGGCAAGCGACTCGACTGACTGGCTATGCCCCTTGAGAATCAATATACACTGCCCGGTGGTAGGATCCCAGATCCTAACTGTGCTATCACTTGACCCTGATGCGAGTCGGCCTCCATCTTGCGACCAGACAATTGAGTTGATCCAGTCGCTATGCCCCTCGAGGGTTGTTTCGCAATGGCCGGTAGCCACATCCCAGATCCTGAGTGTCTTATCGCCAGAAGCTGATATAAGGCGGGTTCCATCTGGTAGCCAGGTAATCGAGGTGACTGCGCCACTATGCCCCTCGAAGATTTGAAGGCATGGGCTCCAATCTTTCTCCATCACTGGCTCATTCAAAACCCAATCTGGTTTCTCCTTTTCATAACATGTCCTCATAATACTATGCATTGGACTTAAGATAAGGGACGAGCAGTATACTTGAAGGGGGCTGGTTTCGATTGCTAGCCTGTGATATCGAATAAATCGGGAGGCGTCTTGAACTTGATGTATAAGGGGAGTTGGTTCGTTCTTTCCCTATTATAGTAGTTCAGATATAAGAAGTAGAGATAGTTTTAGTATATAAGTAGTTACTCACCCGAAGTAAGCCCTCTAGCTTTAGCATAGCTGTTATGCCTTCAGACATGCTTCCTAAGATACTCAGGGCTTTAAGCCAGTGAAGGTATTTCTTTTGTAGAAAATCGCTAACAAGCCCCCCTTCATTAACATGAAAAAGTATTTCTTTATGGCATCCACTATAACCAAGATGGTCAACCCAATAGACACACGCATATTTCACAGCTGCTAATGGGTTCGGATGAGGTGGTATAACTTTCTCAATCGAGAATCCAGGAAACTTGATTTGAAAGATGTCGTGTCGAAGTGTCTTGAGCATGGCTTGTAGAGAGCGAGAGAAGATTGTATGGTGTTCAGCTTCTATACCTCTAGGGAAAACCCCATTTTGCATATCTCTAAGAAGAAATTCCTTTGCAGACTGATGGACGAAAATGATAGTGTCTTCGTGGATAGTCAAGAATGAGCCACAAACCGTAATAATCTCTGCTAGGGCTTTAGAGTCATCAAAGACATCATTAGGTAGCTCAACAAGAGAAGCTAGCTCGTCAAATGTGATAGGCCGATACACAATAGCCATAATAGCTAGTATTCGCTTGCATAGCTTAGCATCTTCCGAGTTGTGAACCTGATCGATCATCCGATCGTACAAGGTATTTAATCCAGGGGGTAATGCTTGTAGCTTCTTAAGAGCGTGCCTCCGCGATATTCTATTGAGCTCTTGACAGACCAAGGCTACCTAAAGGAAAGTGCCTTGCGAGTTGGATGACAAGTAACGGTAGATCATATCACGAGTCTCAATGCTGTAATTTTTAACTTTCGCCAGAGAGTGAACCTTGTGTTGAATGAATTTGCTCATAGCTTCAGATACAGACGCTTTATTTAGCTCTAATGAGATCAGAGCGGTCTGGGTAGTATTAAGACGCTCTTCGATATTAGGCCAGTTGCGGCTTGAGACAATCCACTTTATCTGTGGGTAAGCAGCTGATAACTGAGTAATCAAGTCGAGAAGGGAGAGTAGGCCTGTTGTGTATTCGTCTAGCGCGTCGATAATCAAATAGGTGCTCTGTAAGGTTGGGTCGTTTAGAATATTTGTGAAGATCCCTAAGAGGGCATTCTATGTGTTTGTATCCTCAAACAATGCTTTGCCTGCCTTGTCATACTGGCTCTGTACATAGGAGAGAAGAGATGGCTGCTTCTCGACAAGTAAATATATTAAGCCATGGAGAACAGCTGTGGCGTTATTGATTCGGACGTCGGTAGCTTGGCAAAAAAAGAACAATATATTCGTGTTATCCCCAAACAATCTTGTTGACTCCTCGATGATACCGCAGAGAAGCATTGTCTTGCCTTTGCCGGGATCACCTCTGATCCAGAGGAGACAGTTGCTCTTGTTGTCTTGCTATTGTTGAAACTGCTCGTTGTCTAGAATCCAGCAGTAAGAGTCTTTCAGTAGCCCTCCGTTGGTGTTCTGAATACGATCTTTGTCATGGTGAGGATTGGTCGTCCGCAGATCTCGCAGGCATGCTTGATTCAAGGATATTTCCCGCTGTACTAAGGCAATCACACCAATTAGTCACGTTCTTTTAGAGTTATGCGCTCCACTCACAGAACTGGGTAGTGATATGACCAAGGTTCTGCCCAACTTGGAACCCAGAGTTTGAACCGTTATACGTTGTCGTATGTGCTATGATTGCAGCTAGGTGGTTTCTAGATGGGCTAGTCGCGAGCATACGGCTGAGTCGTCGAAGTACCCCGCTATCAGGTGATCTATCAAGCGACGCTAGGAAGCAAAGACTGGTCGATTTGTTTCGGGCACCTCATGCAGTCGAAAACGCAATAGGTATAATCTTCTTCGTTGTGGAATTTGAGTCACTTCATCTAATAATTATTCATTCGCCTTGCACAAGAATGAATCTTGCCAATACTGGAGTGGTGACTCGTGGGGGGTATCAAGATATAGGGTATCAATCGTATGGTTATTTCCAATATATTACATACTACCTCATCATGTGATTTCCAGTTACAACACGTTTCGGTACTTTAAAATTGCTTTAACCGAACACAGACTAGCATGTTTAGGATAAAGTTTTGGAAATAAATGAAGAGAGTAAAGTGGTGCAACTGATTTCGAGCGCGTCTGTATCCCTTTTACTGACCAAAATTAGACGTTCTTTCACCAGACAGTTAATAACGACATACGAGGGTGTAATGCGCGCGCCCAAATTACTTGTACTCGATAAGTTCAGGGTTTTCGAGGTCATCTGGCCCAAATTCTAGATGTCCATCTTCTCGAAGAAAAACTGCTCATCTACATGTGGTCTTTCGGGAGTTGTCGGGCTTGAAGCTTGGAAGTTGCGCTTCGTGAAGTCCATTGGCCGTGCTGCGTGTCGATTCTGTCGAACAAGCTGAAGCAACATTTACTGAGAGTTGAGCGCTCAAGTGCGGAAGGTTAAAGGTAGTATTTTCAAGCAATGCGCTTCCAGATATCTTTCCAGATTTCCACTGTCATTTGATAACTAGCTCACCTCAAGTGTTTGATGACGCATCATTAACCGTCCCATTCGGCTGTTTGGAAAGTTAAAGCCGAATCTTAAACCATTTCTAATCTGTTTGTTTATCAGGCTTCTGCTTTGGGTGTTCCGGGAGCTAAATTCCCAATTCGGTTAGGTAAACTATCGGACCCTTAGTCAGCTCGGCCCCGGACTCCACGTGGGGCCGAGTATCCCGATCAGGTAATTGTTTGGCACCCCTTCCGGCACCCCTGATTGGCCTGGTTCCCCTCCGAACTATACTGCTGACGAATACTGCAATGTTCATAACTAGTTGATGTTCAGGTGTACCTACATCTGCTGGATTATTCAACCTAATATAACATAATTAGTAATGGAGAGACCATTTTCGGGACTAGTTGTACATAGTACAGATTCAGATTATAGTTACCACTTATCAAAATCGCTGATTAACGAGGGCCTACGGTTAATTCTTCTCCAGTCTATATAATGGTCAGCGTCCAATGTTCATTCAGTGATGTCCAGGTTACAAGGTTCGAAACATCCCTCGCACTCAACTCATCGACAGCCTTCTCTAAGCGACTATCACCTTCTGTATCTTTACCAGCTTCTTCCAATTTTAAACCTTCAAAGGAAGCCAGCATCACTTCAAATTCTGCACGATGACGGTATCAGATGGCCCAATTAAGAGCTCTGCATATCTTGAGGCAGTGAAACATCGTCGTACCGTCTATGGCCTAACCGACAAAATTTCAGTCTCCGATGACCGCATTATCGAGATTGCAAACGAAGTCATCCAGACCATTCCTTCGTCATGGAATGTACAGAGCACACGCATTCTGGTGACGCTAGGCAAGGAGCACAAGAGGTTCTGGGACGCGGTCATCGCTGCTGCAAAGCCATTCATTCTCGAAAACCAAGGCGAGGAGGATTGGAAGCGTAATGAAGAACGTTACGAATCATTCCGGGCTGCCTATGGCACAGTGAGTATCTTCCAAATGAATTCGTCGGGAAGATTCGGGATATTGAAATGATCTATTTTCTATGCGGTCAAGTTCTCTCGTGTCACACAATGCTAATTATATGCTTTATGTAGATCTCTGTCATTGAGGACCACGCACCTATCGAGAAACTCCATGAGAAGTTCACCAAGTTCCCCATCACCGTCTTCGAGGGTTTTGCCGAGCACTCCAACGCTATGCATCAGATTACCCTTTGGACTGCCCTTGAACTCGAAGGCCTCGGTGCTAGCTTGCAGCACTCGAATTTTATTCCAGGCGTGGAAGACGGCATCAGGTCTGCATTCCAGCTTCCGTCATCTTGGTCCGTGAAGGCAGAGATAGTGTTTGGCGGGCTATCTGGCGAGAGACCGACTGTCCCGAAGAAAGAACCCGTCTCTACTACTGTGAAAATCTTCAAATAAAGACGCTAAGACTCTGTAGCCCCTTCTTGCTGGTACTGGATGCGATGGATTGTGTTCCCAAGGAAGGCTACAGATCTTTCTTCCTTTTTAACTCTACAAATGATTTTACACAATAGTTTGGAATACTCCCATTTCATGACATAAGATTTTTGAAATTGATATTACTTTCCTGGTAACTCATACCGGGCCTGGTGGTCTAGCTCCCAGGCCAATCTCGTATTTGGTTCCAGCTCCAATGTGGTATTCGATGCCATCTCCGATATCTGCCCACCTTTGGAGGGATGAATTACCTCCGGCATGCGTTTCATGGAATCCAGGTCTATTTTTCTTTGGTGTTGCTTCCTTCTCTTGAACATGTAGAAAAGTGCCGCCAAGATTAAAGCAAGACCAACGACACCGCCGACGACACCGCCAACAATGACTGCTGTATTGATTGAAGAGGCTGAATTTGAAGATGAGACTTTTGGCTGGCTAGAACTTGTGCTGGTGCTGCTCGTCTTGAAAATGCCTTCGAGGCTTTTTGCGGCCCATTTTGAAGGGTAAGGAGAGAGTTTGATATCGTCGTATGTTGAAGAAGAAACCGCATACGTAGTTCTCGTAGGCTAAGGGTACCCAGGTGGCGTTAGTTTATTCATTGTGCACACAAAATGTTAGTTGTTTTTTTGGGAAATCTCTCACATCAAAGGTGTCTCGAACAGATTGAGAGTCCGCATCGTAAATGAATGCCGGCATGGTATATGTGCCAGCTCTGCTGTCCACATACCACGCGTTACGCCCACCGACTGCAAATATCTGGGTCCCATATGTAGCACAGTCCATTGTCATTCGTCCTTGGTCCAAGGGAGAGGCTTGGTACCATTTGAAAGATGGGATGGAAAGGTAAGAGCTAAGAAAGATACTTTGTTAGCAAGGGAAACAATTCAACATGGCATACGTCACATATTCATACACATCAGTTATCACATCCTCAGACTCAAAGTCGGCCCCACTAATAACAAAGATCTCATACGTCGATAAGGATTCGTCATGCTGAACAGAAGCGCAATACTGAGTCCGCGAAGGCACAGAGCCACTAGTAGTCTGGTTATACCATTCAGCCGTGGCAATATCATAGACTTGGACATAGTCCCATGTATTCTGCGCGTGTTAATATCCCAAATTCTCAATCGCAGGATGGGGTAGGTACTAACCGGAGTCAATGTTGCATTGATTCCACTTTGGATTGACGGAACTTCTCCACCAATGTATACCAAAATGCCCATCTCTCCGACAGGAATATAACTCAACGAGCCATCTTGAACCGGGGTAAAAGGTGCTTCTAAAGAGGTATATATGCCAGTGGTGGTGTTCAACTGGATCATCCCGGATGCATAATTCATTGTGGAGTCCGTAATTGTAGTTGTTGTATCAGATGCTTGGTAACCACCTACCCAATAGGCAGCCTGGATTGCAGCTGCATTAGTATTGGCTAGTCAGAATCATTAGTTCACGCTGGCTGGATATCAATTTGTCTGGAGATGCACATACCACCATTGACTAGTCTAGTTGGTATGATGCTCTCCTGCTGAGACTGCCATGTCTTCTGGTTTGGGGTGTATGTCCAAATGCCATTGTCATTAGACACATTTCCTACAAACAAACCACCATACATGTACATGGTCGAGTTGTCTTGACTAGCCCAGAAGGCTTGGTATTTGACAGCGGGCACAGTATCGTTCACGATAGTCATCTTATAATTTGAACCGTCATTGACCGAGAATGAGGATGTCAGATCAAGTGTGACAAGATAATGGTCTATGATGTGTCAGCCCTGGAGAATTGACGTGAAAGAATTGGAAGAGGAGAAACAACATACGATCTGAATCTCCATCGTCCGGGATGAGACCGCCGTCCAAGCCCACCATGTAAAGAATGCTGTTGGCAATACCCACTAGATAAATCTGGTCAACTCAATATACCCAACTTGAAATGTGTTCAGGCAATTGATACCTCCAAACTTGTAACTGCGGGTCCAACCACCCGATAAATCCGATAGCACCTCTCTTTTCGAAACGACTGATATGTTTTGGTTTGCGAAGACGACACCCGCCAGCCACCAGACCAACAGAGATAAACGGCTCATATTAATCGCATTTGGTTGACTTCAATGATCAAGGTGTGAATGATGGAAAGAACAAACCTTGGAGGCTCGCCAGGGGATTTCCGAAAGACCCTCCTTCAACGGACACTGCAGATATCTAAAATAGCCCAGCGCTACTGAAATTCGCTTCGATCAAAAAGGGCCATAATCAGCATATCGTTGTTTCAGTTACATGTACTACATAAACCCTTGAGAGACAAAAAAGTCCAAGCGCCCTGCCGTCGGCGGCAGATCCGCCCCTCTGATAGGGTCAACACACTAAGAATCCACCTTTCGGCCCCGATTGGCGGGTACTTACCGGGCTCGGGCAGGTGTGGAGCCGAGGTGCTTGTTGACCCAGGGCCCAGGGGCCCCTTCAAGGTTCCTTCAATCAATATTTGAACTCTCCAGACGCCGCTCCATTTAGGGGATTGAGCCAGGTCGCAGAGAAGATAAGCCATTTTTAATTGACCACATTCATCTTTCGCCGCCCTGTATGCTAATCAGCCTTCAAAAAATTCTTCTTCGCCCAACACACCGAACAGATGAAAAATCCCAGCCCCTACAGATTCAAATGGCTCGAGCATCCCGCACTAATGCAAACATACTGTCAGATCCTTGATGAAGATCTGGGAGAAACGAATGGAAATGAGGATGAGGTGAAGAAGGGGCAATTGTATGGCATTCTTCTTTACTACTAAGCGGGATGGAGGAAAAAAAGGAACGAAGGAAGGAAAGAAGAGAGAAGCTCTCACTTCCTGGACTAAGTGCCAACCCTAGCCCTATCACACACAAAAACAACAAGACACGCGCTGCACTAGCAAGGCGACCGCAACGGTATCATGGAGGCATCCACAAGGGCCATAACCCTGCCGCACGCCAAGTCCGGAACTATGACCTGGCACGATAATTGATCTGAGAGGCAACGGGACAACGAATAGATTCGCACTGGGTATCACCTGGAGAAATTCCATTCTATCATAGATATACGAATAAGGGTAGTAAAAGGAGGTTTCTAAACAAACTGGGATGCAACTAAACGTCCCCAGTATCCGAAAATGCATCACCCTCTGGCCAGCTTCCTCTGGCTTCCTTAAGCCACTCTCGGATCTTCTCGATGGCAAAGAAATCATGGCGAATCTCAGATGTATCCCAGGAATCATCTGCATCTATCCAGCCTTCGGTGCCCCGACTGAGATTGAGCTTCTCTCCAATGGGATGGCAAGAGTTGAAGTCTGTGAGAACCGGCATCTGGTCTTCAGTGAGCAAAATGTTCGCTGGGTTGATGTCGTTGTGGGCCAATCCCATGGAGTGTAAGTGCTCAACAGCAGCTTTCAGGGCAGTAGTGAACGTTTCTTCGTCGATTACAGGGCCATTTTTCGAATCGATATAGCCCCGTAAGTCAGATTGCTTCCTGTCTAAAACTAGCCCAGTTATAAAACCTCGCTTGACACGACAACCATGGTATTTAATGATACCAGGATGCGGATTCTGAGAGATGGTCTCCAGAACGGATGCCTCTTCGATCAGAAGGGTTGGAATAACATAAGCTGAGTCATCCTCTTTGTACTCCTCATAACAGAACAGGCGCGGTCTTTTCAGATATAGATGCTTGATTGGGCCGGAGAAACTGCGGATGCTGCCATCCGTGGGGACCTTCGGGTAGATCTCTTCATCAGGTATCTTTGTGAGCGCTTTTGTGAATTCTTCGAAGGAGATATCCTCTTTTGGTTTTGCTATTTGGCCGAAGTAAACGCTATCATCTTCTCGTTCGATTTTGCTGAAGCTTGTGTATAGAAATGCATATGTTTTGGGATCAAGGGATTCGGCAGTAAAATCCAGGTCAAAGAGATGTGTAATGACTGGAGCCATGATAACAAGCATGCAAAGCTTCTAATGATGGGTTTGCAAAACGTGAGTTCCGAGATTAAATTCAGCGAGAGGCTGAAAGTCATGTTAACATTTGATGGCCTTACTGAAGAGCGGTCGGTGGAGGCATAACCCCGCACATTGGGTAGCACCGGAGCATAAGGCACAGGCCTGTTGAAAGAATCAGAAGTTTTGAGCGCATTAGAGAAGCAAATGAGGAAGTCACAAATTGTTGCCAAGGTTGAATTTATGACAATTTCACCTGCTAGAAACCTGAAAATCCTCGGTATCCTGCGATGTAAGTACCCTGAAACACCATGACCGGATTTGTGTGCTGCGCTTTACTTTTGATGTGAAATGTGTATTAGTCTAGTGGATGTGTAGCTACTAAGAAACGAGGGGCGCCTGGGGGACCAGGGGTATTTAGTACGGCGAGACATTGAGACCTAAGGTGCATTTGCATCCACGTGACAGTCACAGGACCGCAGCTTCATGGATCCATTTCATTTTCTCTACAACATCGATTGCTGATATTCCAGAACCAGATGAATTTGAGAGTGTTTCTCAAATGAGAAGCATGGCTTTGGAGGAAAAAGTTAAGGAAAAGCAAGCTTCGGTCGATTTTCCTCTGTATATGGTGGGTAACCGTACGGATATTAAATCTAGAATATCAGCGCATTAAAACCAACAATGCATCGGCTATATTAACCGGATCAGCCATTCCGACCCACTATTGAACATGGCGTCCATGGCGTCCACACTAAAAGATTCAAAGGTTAGCGTCTCGCTCTAAATGGCCACCTTGATAGATAGTAGGTGGTTCCTGATCTCGGGGTTGCCGTGCTGCACAGGCTAAATCTCTTAGCCGAGAGAGAAAGTTAGTCGAGTTGAAGTAGACCCTAGAATCGCTTGAATCGCTTCTAAATAGCCTTGGAAGTCGCAATCTCCTATTCTTTGGTTTTTCTTCTTCCCTCAACCACACTCTTTTTTTCCCGCTCTTGTCTACCAACCACACTCTTTCAGTCGCTCATTACTGTTTGTTTGTTTTATATTGCTCAGCCGGTATTCATATCCTCCGCTTTCTGGAACCGAAATTAACATCTTGGTTGACCCTCTTTCTTGCCGTCGTCAAGTCCAGTATGTCGGCAGCGGGCTTTTCCCCCTCATACTGCACGCCAATTCCCACCTCGGGTGCATGTGTTGCTGGGACCTATTATGAAGGCTCCTACACCTTTACCGTGTCCTGTGACGCCCTGCCGGTGTTTTATTCCCCCTGGTCAGTTACGGAGATGAGTTCTGGAAATGCCTGGGACTGTGCTATCGCCTGTGCCGAAGATGATACCTGCGAGGCCTCCTTCATGCAAACCCAAACGTGGGGCTCATACTGTTATTTTGCCCTAGGTGGGGAGATTGAAAATTATGCAGGAGACGAGTTGTATTTGACGCGTGGGGATTATATTGGGACAGAATGTGACCCAGTTTCATCCAGCGTGTCTTCTACCTCGACCCCTGTTGTTACTCCATCTAGTATAGTAGTGAAGGCTTCTAGCTCAGCCCCTGTGGTCACTCCATCCAGTACGGCAGTGAAGGCTTCTAGCTCACTCGTCCTTGTCGGTTCAAGCTCAAGCTCCGTCATTCCTTCTTTGACTGCGTCTTCTAGCGCAACAACTACCACCGCAGCCTCATACTGCACAGCACTACCTACCTCGGGCTCATGCGTGGCCGGCACCTTCTTTGATGGAACCTATACCTATACTGTGGCATGCAACTCCGGGGCGAGCTTCGCTTCTCCTTATACCGCTGTCACGATTACTTCTGGAAATGACTGGGACTGCGCCATTGCCTGTACTGAAACCAGTGGCTGCACAGCATCCTATCTTTATGGTGAAAACTGTTACATGTCTCTGGGTGGAAATGTTTATACCGATGGCTTTGACTGGGAAGACACAATGGTTTTGCAAATTGGTGACTACATTGGAACCACTTGTGAAACAGTGTCGTCTACCGTGACTTCTTCTACCCCAACTGTTACTCCGTCTAGCTCACACATATTGACGGTGACTCCGAGCTCCTCGCCTATCGCCGTTATAACCTCTACTCCAATTTCTTCTATTAGAAAGCATCGTTCCTCGTCTGTTCCAATCCCAGTCAGTGCTTCTGCTCCAGCCGGACCACTCAGGTCATCCATTGCGCATTCTTCAAGCGCGATCAAATCGCTATCTGTCGCTCCATCTTCATTGATCCGCGCTAGCTCAACTCCATATTCTCGGCCTGTCGTCAGTTCATCTGGACTTGCCCCTCATGTCCAGCCGACCATCACTTCCTCCGGCTCTCCTGCCAAGCCCACCCCACCAAGTGGTTTACTCGGCCAATCCACGACTTCTACTATCTTGAGTACTCGTACCGCAACCATCACTGCCTGCCCGTCTTCAGTCACCGACTGTCCAGCATCATCCAAGACCACTTTCTTAACAACTGAGACTCTTGTTGTATCCACAACTATTTGCCCCCTTACTGAGACCACTGTAACACCGGATACACCGCAAAACACTGGTGCTGCTGCTACATCTTTGGGTGCCGGATCCGCCGACGAGTTCACGACATCAACAATTCTGACTACTCGAACGGCCACCGTCACTGTCTGCCCGTCTTCGGTCACTGACTGCCCCGCCTCGTCGAAGACCACGTTCCTGACAACAGAAACTCTGGTTGCATCGACTACCATCTGCCCTGTGACGGAAAAAGCTAGCTCCTCTCAACCTAGCATCACCACCACTTCCCTGGCCGGTGAAGGTGTCAGCGGCGAGAACAGCGGCACGGGTTACACTACGTCGACCATTCTCAGCACACGCACTGCTACTAATACAGCATGCCCGTCTGCTAAACCAAACTGCAACGCATCGGAGCTCACTACATCCGTTACAGTTGAAACCCTCGTTGTGTCGACCACCGTCTGTCCAGTGACCGCGACAGGGGCAGCATCTGCCTCTACCGCAACTACCAGTGCCGGAGCCGGTGTTGGAGCCGACACAACAGCCCTAGTTGGAGCTAGTGCTGCATCCGAGATGACTTCTGCCGCCGCTGCTACAGAGACCCTATCAACCAAAACTGACGTTTACGTGCCTTCAGGCTCTAATGGAGAGACAGCACCGACGAACACTGCTGTGATCACTGGAACTGGCCCGAATATGGGTCATGGAAGTGGCAACAGTAAGGGACGTCCATTGAATAACTCCAGCATGAGCCTTGTCAAATCTGCATCTTCTTCTGGTGTGGCAGCTGCTTCTCAGAGCGCTCAGACTTCCAGCAGCACGACTGAAGGTGCAGGAGCTGTGTACACTGGTGCCGCTTCTTCCCAGTCAGGCTCTCTGCGCTGGGTTATGGGCTCCTTTGCCGCTCTTTTGGCACCACTTCTTCTGTAAGACGCTTTCAAATGATTATTTGAATTGTGTTCTCCTTCGGGTTGAACACCTCTGGTCTTCCAGATGTGAAGAAACCACGAACTGTATTGAACTTATCTTGATCCATATAGTAATTTAATTTTCCCGATATGTATAGTGATTTTCTGCATTTGCTTTCAGGTTCGGTTTCTGAACCTTGGGATAGTTCCAAACATTGGATAAACTTTCAATTTTTTTTACTCGCATCTTCTCTCTTTTTCCTTCTAAACTTCAATTGTGATAACTTGGTTTCTCCAGCAACCCCCGAATTATTTCTGCACGATAGTAATACGAACATGGTGACTCAGAGTGGGCCAGTGCCAAGTACTAGTAACTGAGCAACTGAACAGTTCAGTCAATAATGTTGCACTATGCCACTACATGTGAACCTCACCTAATTTCAAACAGGAACAAGTGATGAAAAAAGATAAAAAACACTACCACTACTGAAGCCTTCGTTCTGCAGCAACATATCAATGAACGGTAAAATCACCATGCCAAAACGTCAAGAATCACCACACAGCTACCGAGCTATCCGCGCATCCTACACACAGACAACGATAACCGTCTACCAAGCTTATCCAGCCGAAATTGCCGATCCAGCACTCGAAGCCCAGAACTTTGAACCCCCTTTCTCGCGAACCAGGATGACATGGATCAAACCCTCATTTCTATGGATGGCATACCGCAGCGGATGGGCAACAAAGCAGCGCCAAGAACGCGTGCTAGCCATTGAAGTCACACGCGAGGGATTTGAATGGGCCCTCGCACATTCGTGCCTGAGTCACTGGGACGCTAGAAGCGAAGGAAACACGATGGATAAAGACCAGTGGCAACAGCAACTCCATGCTAGCCCAGTTCGCGTCCAGTGGGATCCAGAGCGCGATTTTCACTTTCGACCCCTGGATTATCGTGCTATTCAAGTTGGACTTGGTCCTGAGGCCGTGACGAAATATGTTGATGAATGGATTGTTTCTATTATTGATGTCACGGACGTAATGCAAAAGGTGGGGGCTTGTGTTCAGGCGGGGGATCTTGAGGCTGCGATGGCACTTTTACCGGAGGAACGGGTTTATTCGTTGTTGGATGAATTGAAGGAAATACTACACATTCATTCATAATCCCATGATGCACATATATTCATTTTAGAGGTTTGACTATGAATATTTCATGTGTATATTGGTCTTGGCTTTTAAAGAAGGCAAGAGCATAAGTTTTTAACATTCTCCGCTGTTGTTCCCGTAAGGATGTAGCTTTTTGAAAACCGCGGAAGACTCGTCGGAGTTTAGGTCAATTTTCGTTGACTTGGCGGAATTAAACAAAAGCAAAAACATAAAACAGTCAGGATTCCCATATATGTGGTCACCCACCATAATATCAACTGACAGGCAATGGAGGAGGGGAGTGTGATTTGAAACGGTTATTGTAATATGAGTAATATGTAAATTCAAAATTTTCCGTTGAATCGTCTAAAAATACAAAACTCCTCCTTCCACATTATCGGCTTATAAGATTCCAAATCTCTAATGAATCTGTCCTTTATAGTCCGAGAGCTCCACGCCAGGTGGATATTCTGCCATTCAGCCTTCTTTTCACCGTTCCAGAAATTCAGCCATAGCATCAACTGGGTTTCCTGGCCATTCACAATCTTCGTTTTGTGCGCCCATATTTTTCTATTGGAGTGCGTCACAATATGATCCTTTTGGGGGATTGAAAAGCCCGCTGCAGGTGGATGGAGACCCCTGAACTCTCTAATGTCGGCCAGCTGGTCATCATCCAAAGACGCAGGGAAATAGACCCAGAATAACTGAATAAAGGCCAAATCCAAGCCATGAACCCAGTTACAGCGGTAAACAGTCTCGTGGGAGGCTAGACGTAGAATTCCTTTGCTGGCAAGATTCTCCCAGAAAATCTGGGCGTCCGGGGAGTCTTCGAATTCCCTTAGTTTTGACATATGGGGCCACACTACAGTAAATGGATTAGCAATTTGAATCTGATGAATTTTCTATCTTTCTTCACTCTGCACTCACATGTCAATAGAAGAACCGTATCAGGCCGCTCGCGAGGCCTTGCCCAGTGGCATTTCCAGTGGCCTGCGATTTCGACCAGTGGCTGGAAATCTCCAACCCATTGCTCGGCATCGGACTCCATATTTTGGGGTACTTGGAGCTCATCCCAGACAAGGATCTCCCAGTCTCCCACATTGTTGATGATGTCTCTCTGAGGATCGGGGGGGCGGGGGGTGTGCGACATGATAAATGTTCCCGGTTTTATCAGAGGAGACGAAGGAGTCCGATTATGGATCATGTGTTGACTCTTGACTCTTGAGCTTGGCTGCTTGGCCATACTAGATTAGTCAGCGAACGTGTGCTGGAGAGAGACAGACGAACACATGTTCAAGAAGCATTGGTCGACGGACCTGATTCCGTATCCGTATACAGACAACATTGAAGTCCGGGAACTAATGTTTTATGAAGCTTTTCAACTCAACAAAAAAACTCCTTGATCAGATTCAAGTCTGGTGAGTAGGGCGGCAAGTACACCGATTTTACCCCTGCGTCCACACACATCTGCGCAACCCGTTCACAATGATGGACCGACGCATTGTCCACGACGACAACCGTTTCAGGCTCAGGCCGTCCTGCGCAGTGCTAAAAAGGCCTTAAACACAGTGGCATCAATTGAACCGCGGAATACACGCGACAGAACGATGCCATCCTGAGCGTACACGGGTGAATTCTGATATCGCTGTTCGGGATGGAATTTTGATACTTGCAAAGTTGCAAGGGGGCCACGCCAACATTGAAGTGGTGATCAGCCCGTGCACCTGAACCCAGCCCTCCTATCGCATCTAATCCAGACTCACCAATATAACTTTCATCAAAGATGGTACGATCAAAAATCCGATTAATTAGAGATAACATTTGAAAGTTTCCGTATTTCGGCATTACGCTTCTTTGCATGTTGTTGAGCAGTCTTTTTAAAACCAACCTTTACTAAGAAGGACTCTTCTAATAATGCCTGAGGGGTTGTGATTATTATTACGGTCTGCTCCGGTAATGGAGTAGAGACAACTGGATGCTGCACATATGAGTAATATATCTTGTTCGCTACTGTCAACTGGTATCCATTGATCGGTACCTGAGCAATAACCGCAGTCTGCGGTTATTAATTGATCTCAATGTTTGGCCTAGTTGGATCAATAATCACATCCCCAGGCAAAGTTATGCTCATTAGTAATACGAGTAACAAAATCTATGCCGAAAGGTCACGTGGCAGGTTTGCACTGTTTGTCCTTTGTGAGGACCGCGTTCGCGCGCCGGCCGCTTTTTAAGCTCAAGTCGCATGGTCCAGCTGGGGAGAGTTGCAGTTCCTTGTTCGTCACGACCATGGTCATGTCTAAGCCACCACTGCAGACAGACGCGAATCCACCCCTCTATCTGCACGCTGAACTTCTTCCCAACATACGACAAATCACACTCTATATTTCAATCCCTCGGAACCTCGCTCTCGATGCGACGGCCCGGCCACAGATCCAGCTCTCTGAGTCTTGCAAGGCAGTGACGGTGTCTTTACCAAATCCCCCCAAAATGTGACGGACACCGTGAAGCTCCCGGCGCGAGTCAACGATGCTGCCCGCCTCATATTGAATTCCAATACACCCCCAATCAAACAATCCATAGACGCGAGTCATGACTACTCTTTTAGAATGCAGATTGATCCGACTGATCCGACTCTTATGCCGAAAGACGAACTAACCGATGATCATGTGCCCTGGACAGCAACTGACATGTCAATCTCAACTCGCATTCGATGCCGTACCTGTTCGACCCCGTTCCTAGATGCATCTGGCCCGAATATACCACGCGATGAATGCGAAAATGAACTCAAGGACAAGAAAATTTCTGGCTGGATGTGGAAGGATCTACCAAGTGGAAACTGGGCTGAGATGATGGACTTTTGGCATTGCCACAAGCCAGATCCGCACGAGGACGACCCTAAATCTGAAGCCAAAGCTGCGCTTAAGGTCGAGGAAGAGAATGCCCAAATTAAAGGGTACGGAGCGGGGAGTCGTGTTGAGGCCATCTCTGGAACGGTTCTTATCGATGTCGCTACTTTCCTGGTTGCAGAGTCAGACTGTGTGGGTTTGAAAAAGGTGAGACTGCTCGAATCGTAGATGATAGCCCCCTGCATGCTTTTACTACCCCAAATTTCTCTGCGCTGCTTTTTTATGCCCTCTCATTGGGCAATCTAGAAGGAGACCATTTCGTTCAATGTTGTGGCCTTCGATACAATTGCCCTACATCGATACCCAGCCATTCCGGCCGCAGGTTAGAAGGTAGGCGGCTCAACCCTTGTCAAGACTTTGCGGCGCAGTTATCCTCTCTTGTTAGACGGATTTCGTTCTCCATTGTGCTTCCGTGGGCTTGTTCTGCCTGCTATCTGATTCGAGCTTTCTTCGCACCCTTTCAGTCTTTGATGACGGGCTGGGGCTGCCTTTCCCAGAGAAGTGGGACTGGCGTGAAGACGGAAACGCACATGCCGCATTGCCATATATGTCAAGCCTAGGCTCCTTATACTGCACCGATCAGCAATTCAAATGAATCATTTTCAAACTACCACCGTTTCCACTGCGTATTTCTCAGCTTCCTCGGCTTCATCTGCTGACACGCTATGTCCCATAGGGAAATGACGAAGAAGCGAGATCAGACCCCACATCATCTCAACAAAGAACACTGGACTGTGTATCGTGTAACGCAATCATCGGCATGGAAGATCCATCCGCAAATGGATGGCGTCTCATGAAAGCGAACGTCTCCCTGAATACAAACGAAGTCGACTCCGTAGAAGAGCACTGGCAAAGCCACCCCACTGAACTCATCGTCGCGGCCCAATTACTAGAGTTGATTGAGCGAGAGAGTGCACGAAGATTTGTCGTTCACTTTGGACAGAAAAGTGGACTTCTGGTACATGCTCCATACACATAAACCCTTGCCTTCTTGATATCCATTCCACTAACTCGAAATCAGCTTTGGGTTTTCAACCCTGATCTCCGTTACTCCAACTCCAATTCAGGACACAGTATCAGTGCACAGCAAGCTATGAAAGTGCTTTTCCAGACAACGGAGGATGTGGATTCGATGCTGAATCGTGATATGGGTAGACCGTCTCCATTATCTCTGGAGGAGCTGGAACTTCCCTCGATGATCTACCAGGCTTTGTGGATTGCATTAACCAGGAGTAATCAAATGCTGCCTCTATCGGCCAGAAATTTCAACGAGTGGACGGTCGGCCTGCTGGACCGGTATAGCCGAGCCACGCGAAATTAAAGAAAAGTGGATCAACATCCTGATGCCCGGATACGTCCACTTCCCCACTTTCAACCAAGTTCTCCACATTTCTAGCCAGCCTTGTTACGCCAGCCTTGTTACGCCAGCCTCGTACCCCTCATATTTACCATTTAGATGACTGTATTCTACAACTTTTCAGCATTGGACATGTCTGAATATTTTCTCTTCCATTAAGCTCCTCTTATATACACCAGAATGTCAAGGAATCGCATGATATTGGGGGCGGTTGCGACAATAATCACCCCTTTCGCGCTCGCAACAGCTGATTTAAGCTCGATATGCAACCCAGCAGCTATACCTAAGCCCAGCTTTTTTGGAGCTGAGATAATTTCTGTAACCGCAAACCCGGTCTTCAACTCGATTGACCATGCTGAAGTATCGCATCCAAGCTCACCCCAAGAGACAGATGACTCCGTCAGCTTCTGCAATGTCACTGTCACCTACACCCACCCGGGGCAACAAGATCAAATATCCACAACGGTCTTCCTGCCGCTCGAAAGATGGAACAACCGCCTCCTCGGCGTTGGAGGTGGTGGGTTTGGAACACGCATGCTCGGTGACGCGGATCTGCTGAAAGCCGTTGCAGGTGGCTATGCAGCTGTGGCTACAGACGGAGGGCATGAGGTCAATATGGAAAGTGCGGAATCGTGGGCTTTAAACAGCCCCGGAAATGTGGACCTCTACGCTCTGAACAACTTCGCTCATGTCACTTTGCACGAAGCCTCCCTTATTGGCAAGGCCGTTACGACCTCATTCTACGAGTCGGAGCCCGCCTTCTCCTATTTCGCCGGCTGCTCCACTGGTGGACGACAGGCGATGATGCTGGCCCAGCGTTACCCTACCGCCTATGATGGATATCTGTCCAGTTGCCCAGCTATCAACTGGAACAAGTTATGCATAGCAGCGCTATGGCCTTATGTGGTGATGAATTCAGCAGAATCAGTCGTGCCCGTTTGCATTCTTGATGAGTTCACCGCAGCTGCAGTGGAAGCTTGCGATGGATTGGATGGCGTGGTCGATGGTGTTATTGATGATTACCGAAAATGCAAATTTGACCCACATGCGATCGTGGGACGCAAAGTCGATTGCGATCACGCGCAAATCACCATCTCTTCCGAGGCTGCAGATGTTGTTGAACGCATATGGGCAGGCCCCCGCTCACCAGACGGGGAATCTCTGTGGTACGGCCCTACTCACGGAGCTGAGCTTGGTGCGGTCGCAAATTCGCACTGCGAGTCTGAAACTGGGTGCACTGCTGTTCCATTCCCTATTGCACATGAGTGGGTAAAGTTCTTCCTGAAGAAAGATCCCGAGTATGATATTTCGAGTATCACGAAGGAGGACGTTTACGATCTGTTACACGAGGCGCAGAGCTGGTACCAGTCTATCATTAGCACGGATGATCCCGATCTCTCTGGATTGAAGCGTTCTGGTGGCAAGATGATCTCCTGGCATGGTACCGTTGACCAGCTAGTCCCCGTAGGCGGTACACGCGACTACTACGATCGGGTGCTCGCTTTGGATCCCGACGTTGATGTTTACTTCCGCCACTTCGAGGTTCCTGGTGTAGCTCATTGTGTTGGTGGGCCTGGTGCCTTGCCCGTGAATGTCCTGGATGATCTAGTTCGATGGGTTGAGAAGGATGTTGCTCCAGATTCTTTGCTGGGAGAAATGGTGGATCCGAAGAGTAACAAGACCACACAGAGATACATTCCTGCTTATCCTGTCTTGCAAAAGGTGGAAGATACCGAACAGGAGTGGGAGAGAAAGACGGAACTGTAAATCCAAAGTCCGGTCCATGCGAAGATTGTTCATGTCCATATGCAATGGTGTATATTTTCAATTTGGTATATATGCATTAACTTCAACTCTCCGTCCGTCATCCTTGGAATTAAATCCAAATCAACCCTCAAAAGGTGTCTCGTAGGGCTGCTCAGCCTGCGGTGTCAGACGAGCAATGTGTCGTCTCTGACCATCCTCCCAATCAAACACAGCAGAGTGACAAGCCAACCGGTTCTAATATAGTTAGAATATCATCCACAAAAAGAACACCAAGGAGACATTATACTCACATCCCAAACAACAACAGTCCCAGCCTTCCACCGAACACGAGCCTGCAAATCCTGCGAAAGAGCAATATGATCAAACAAGAATTTGAGCAAGTAGTCCGACTCCTCCTTCTTATACCCAACAATATATCTGGTAACTGCACCGCCCCGCAAACCGTCAGCAAATCCCTTCAAACCACACACGCGCCTCAAAAAAACCCAATAAAGAACCAACAACTCACACTGCGGATTCACATAAAGCGCCTTCTCCCCAGTAACAGGATGAGTCCTCACAACCGGATGCTCCGAAACAACCGGATCCCTCCTCGCAATGCCGCCCCCATTCAAACTAGCATTAATCTGCTCCGCGCCCGAATGCGCCGCCTTCAATCCATGCAGCCGCTGTCGAAACTCGGGCGGAAGCCGCTTATAAGCCTGCGCCATGTCTCCGAAGAGCGTATCGCCGCCCGTCGTGGGCCCGTCCAGCACGTACAGGAACGTTGTGCCCGGCGGCTGTTTCTCGAACGTGACGTCGCTGTGCCAGGTGATGGTGTTTGTGCGCTGCTCGAGGAACTTGCTGCCTGTGTAGTCGTCGGCGCTGCGGAATACGAGGTGGATTTCCGGGAAGCCCTTTGGGGCGCCGGATGTTTGGTGGATGTGGTGGCGGCCGAAGTAGCCGGCGTAGTCGACTGCTTCTTGGATGGGGAGGGAGGCGAAGTCTTGGTCGCGGAAGGCTGGTGTGGGTGTTGGTTAGTAGCTGGGTTTTTTTTTTTTTTGTTTTTGGGGGGGTTTTGTTCTTGCGGGTGGGCTGTGCGTACCGACTACTCGGCGTTGGGCGACGAAGAGAGCGAGCTGGTCTTTGCCTGCTTTTGATAGTTTGCTTAGTTGAACACCTTTTACTTCTGTGCCGATGAAGGGTGTGATGTCGTCGAGTTCGGCTTGGCCTTTTGGGAAGAGATCTGGGAAGCTTGGGTCTGCGTCTTTGCCGTGGTCGTAGTGCTCGAAGAGGGTTAGAGGTGGGTATCTATGGATTCTTGTCAGATTTCATCGTTTGATTTTCAATGGTATCTTTTTTTGATGCGATGTACCTCTCAGTTTCATTGTCCCACACGGGAAGATAATTAGGGTATGAAGCCGGAGCAATCTTATCGGTGCCATTGAGCTCGGCTTCTTTCTCATACTTGTATCCGATGAGATTCTCCTTGTTGTGTCCTGTATCCGTCTTGAGGGGCACTGTGAATGTCGCGGAACGAAGTCCGACGTTCTCGACGACTGAAGGGGCCATATTGAATCTCAAATTTCGAATCGATCGAATACGCCTAGTATCTTCGAATCTTTTTTCCCAAAGGTGTTTGTTGAATACCAAGATTCTTTGCAGAAACAGAGGCAGGTACGTTCTTATATGAATTTGTATGTTCTCAAGAAACACTGACTCATTATATGTAAGGTTGAATGACAATACGATCCATTATATACAAATTCCGGCAGAGTATTGCCGATCAAGATTGCGCCATGACTGCGGGGTTCACAGCCTACGACTCGCCCGAGTTAAAAGCGACAAAGTATGATCAGTGATTATCAATGTAGCAAGTCAATGCGGGGTTTCAGCTTCCGGAATGAAACCTTCGAAACGTTGGAACGGGTTTGTAACATGGAAATTGTACACATCCACATGGTTAGAAGTACTCGTTATGGCTTCCGTGAATGGCGTGCGAAGTATGGCGTGGACAGATATCCATTATCTGATGACGTGCAAGAACGTGCAAGATAGAATTGGTAGCCACCGGTGTAGATCTGGTATTCTTAAGGTTGGAAAATGCGAGAAATTTACATGAAGTCCAAGCATTGAACCCCTTCCCCCCCTTTCAAATAAAGATGGCGTGATAGGCTGCTCGGGTTACGCGACGTCAAAGTTGCCGACTTTTCGGCTGCACTTTGGACATTGACTTTGGGCTTGGAAATGTTTCGATATCATGGTTGGCTCTATTTTTTGCCAGAAACTATGTGATATTGAGCATTGTTACATTGAGTCTTGTCAATGTCAATAATTAGTAGTTCCATGGTTGAACCTCAGGCACCAGGTTGATATCGTAGATCGATGCCTCAGGTTGCAATTTTCCCCTCGGACATTATCCGATGCATACTAGTACTTGATATACAATCCATGCTGTTTCTAGAAACCAATCAGAGAAAATGCAAAAACAAAACCAAATCAGATTGTTCTCCGACACGAATGTCAAGTACGTAGTGCTTTCGCGAGTTGGAGATTCCAGACCATTTCCATGAACTCGGGGGTTCTCCACGAGTGGGGCCCGATTTTAACGCCTTCCGCTACTTGTCCGAGCAAACGTCAGTTTATTCACTCTTGCGTGATTTGAACAAAGTCCCAATGCCTGCCAAAGAAAAAAAGCCAAATAAGCACCTAAGATAACGCTGGGTTAGATTTCAACATGAAGATTCTCCGATGTAAGCCAAATATTCAATTCTCTTGTATTGGCACTATCAAAGATGTTGAGAGAAAAACAGTCTATCGTCTCTCCTGTACATAAACTAAATAACCTGAAACTTCCATGTTCAGATACTGGCTACAACGTGATTATGGAGCCAAAGTGGATTCAAACGCCATTGGACCCGGTTAAAAAAAGATCAAAATCTAAAACACAGAGCAGAGTCTCGGGATTTTTTCCTATTTTTATACGAGTGGAACTATACACTATGGCACCCTGCATAAGATCGGGACGCGCCATGCGTTCCTAAAATCCACCCAGCCTATAAGCTCGCACCCATGTGTATTTAAGCCAAGTACAACATAAGTAGTAAGAAATGGCGTGATAGAAGCCCAGGAAGACTCCATGCTTGCCACAGGTTAATTTCTTCTTTGGAGCCTTTATAGATCAATGCGAACCTCCCATCACTTTTCATATGTAGAATCATTGTGCATTTCTACATTTCCCTGAGATCGCTACCTCCGATCGCATCCAGAGGTCTTATATAATGGCCATCGAGGAAGTAAAAAGAACCGGGCCTGGTGAGGTCCCGGACCATGATTCTAAGGACAACACCAAGATCGAGGCGACAAATGATTCCGACTCTACTTCCTCGCTAGAAGACCGACGCGGCACGGTCAAGAATGTGGATTGTGCTTTCGATACTACAGAAGATCCCCGATACTACAAGCCCATTGAAAGCTACGAGGGCTATCATCGCTGGGATCCTGAATTTGAATGGACGGAGGAGGAAGAGAAGGCAGTTGTCCGTAAGGTATGATTCTGACCGAAGACCTTACTGCAAAACACGAATTGCGGATGTTTCTTGTCTCAATCATCCCATACTCATGCTAACGGGATATTCTAGATCGATTGGCGCGTCTGCACATTCGCCTGCATCACATTTTTCGCACTGCAGCTAGACCGTGGTAATGTCGTCCAAGCCACTTCCGACAACCTACTATCAGATCTCGGTATGTCGACGAGCGACTACAACCTAGGTCAAACAATCTTCTTCTTGACATTCCTATTCGCCGAACTTCCATCCCAACTCATCTCCAAATGGGTCGGTCCCGACCGCTGGATCCCCATCCAAATGGTCTCCTGGAGTTTAATCGCGGCGTGCCAATCCTTCATGAAGAGTAAGAACGGCTACTACGCCTGCAGAGCCATGCTCGGCTTATTGGAAGGTGGATTGTAAGTCGCAACAGCCCAATAAAGACACAGCCATCCATCCCCAATCAAAACTAACCAACCGAAACATAGCATCCCGGATACCATCCTCTTCCTCTCATTCTGGTACAAAACCAAAGAGCTCCCCATCCGCCTCAGTTACTTCTGGATCTCCTACGAGTTGACAGCCATCGTGAGCGCCTTCCTAGCCTACGGCTTCCTGCACATCCACAACTCCGACGGCACAGGCGGCTGGCGCTATCTCTTCGCCTTCGAAGGCCTAATCACAGGCGTGATCGGCATCATCGCCGCATTCTGGATGCCCGCCTCCCCCACCCAAACCGCCGGCTGGCTCCGCGGCAAAGACGGCTGGTTCAACGAGCGCGAAGAGAAAATCATGGTCAACCGCGTCCTCCGCGACGACCCCAGCAAGGGCGGCATGCACAACCGCCAGCCCGTCACGCCCAAGATGCTCTGGAAGGCGCTGGGCGACTACGACATGTGGCCCATCTACCTCTTGGGCCTGACCTGGATGATCCCCAGTGTCCCCGCCACCAGCTACATTAGTCTGGAGCTGAAGTCGCTCGGCTTCAGCACCTTCCACACTAACCTGCTGACCATCCCGGCATATGCGATCTTCATCGTCAACCTGCTCTGGATAACGTGGGTATCTGAGCGGTTCAACCAGCGTCTGCTGCTGGGTGTTTTCGCAGAGTTTTGGGCGCTGGTTCTGCTTATTGCGTTGGAGGTGCTTCCGGATGGAGCGAGTGCGTGGGCGAGATGGATTCTGATCGCACTTTTGATTTCAATGCCGTATGTGCATGCGATTATTGTGGCGATTGCGTCGCGGAATGCGGGCACGGTTAGGACGCGGACGGTCGCGACGGCGCTGTATAACATGTCGGTGCAGATCAGTAATATTATTGGTAACAATGTTTACCAGACTACCGACAAGCCGTATTATCGCACTGGTAATGCCGTGTTGATTGCGCTTTCGGTTTGGAGTGCGTTGTTATTCATTGCGGCCAAGATGTATTACGTCTGGCGCAACAAGTATGTTCTTGAGACCCTTCCAATGTTGCTGGTTTCTTCATTCTAACCTTTCATAGGCAAAATGCTGCAGTCTGGGACAACATGTCCAGCGAAGAGAGGGAGCGTTATGTGGTTGAAAATGCCCACCTGGGTAATAAGAGGTACGTTGTCCTTTTTTGATCCGGCTCGGCAGAATCATCGGTTACTAACCTTCTTTCACAGAGTTGATTTCCGTTTCGTCCATTAGAGAGTATATACAAGATCCTCCATAGACGTGGGAAATTATAAACATTGACTCTATTCTCCAATCACATATTCACATCCTTTTTCCCCGATCCATACTTCATGAACCTTTCCTGCCGGCACGTCCACTCTGGCGCCAATGCCGAAGGTCTCTTTCACGGTTTTGCCATTTTTGGCGTTGTCTTCTGGATAGGTCACCGTCATTGAGCCATGTCGGATAAGATGAGTGGTTAGGCCGCCGTGCGTATGAGGAGAGTAGTAGGCATTACTAAAAAAAAATTGGAAGCGTAAATACAGTCAGTCCTATCCACCTTCCAATCTTGTAAAATCTGAAGGTTTATGCAAGGCGGACTATGTGTATCCCAATGTGCACATGACCTACCTCCCATCTGACCAAGTGAAGACATGTCCAAAACCCCACTCGCGTACCAGACGCTCACTCTCGGCGCGAGTTCCGATCGGGTAAATCGGATTTTGGTTCTCTTTCTGTGCCATGTCTATTTTCCTTTCCTTTTCTGTTTCTCCGTTTCTGAGCAGAAAGAATCTGTTGTAAACAATGGTTGTTCTCTGAGCAAAGTACGATGTTTCCCTGCCTCGGCTGTTATATACGGACCCCGTGCTGACGTCACCACTGCAAGTATACAAGACAAAAGTACTTCACTAGCACATGCACGTAGAGAAGAAGAAAAAAGTACTATACGGCACGGGATGATAGATTCTAGAAGCAAATGATAGACCGCTAAAAATGCTAAAAAATAACCTTGATTCTTCGTGCACATGTGTATATTGGACATAACAGATATGTAATATGTATTGAACGGCTCTTCAGTCTCAAGTTGCCAGGATCCGACATCAAACGTTTGAATCATAAATCATTGAATTGCGGAACCAAACCCTCAATTCAATCTCATGCTTCCAGGCCAAGAACAGATATTAACCAATGTTGATGAGTGTTTGTTGTTCTGGGTAAAATGACCGTATTGTTTCCAAAGTTCGACCCGCTACAAGCGGTACAAATCAAAGCATATTGGCCTATGGAGCAGTTCGTATGAAATAACCAAAAAAAAAACAGAATCAAAACCCCGGCATATATGCATAGCTTCAAATATCTTGCTCAGTTGCGAAAAGTGATTGACGGAGAAGATTTCCTCCTAACGATCATGCGCATGGTGTGGCACAGACGTGGCAGCTCTTGCCAGGGATGACCCATACTTCTTGGCCCTTTGCGTAGCAGTTGGGGCACCGGACACCAGGCATCTGATCGACATGTTAGTTTACCTCTCTCTCATTGATTTTCAAAAGTACGAGATTTAGCTTGGATGAACGAACCTTGTTGACTACCGGGGAGCTCGAGCCCTTTGCGGCACATGAAGTAGAGGGAGACATGTTGGATAGGATGGGAGGAGAAGATTAAGATATCGGGTATAGATGAGGTGGGTTGGATTGAGGAATGGAGAGCTTTGAATAGAGCTGGTTTGATGATGAAGAAGAATAGTTTTGATCTGATTTAGGCTGGAAGGCAGACTTCTTATAAGGCATGAAAAGGGAGGACAAGCACAGGGCCAAGGACGGAAGAGGGATAGGGCAGAAGAGAGGATAGATCGAAGCTAAGGAAAATTCAAAAATTCAAAAATTCAAAAAACCCCCTAAAACCCAAAATGAAATAAATCGTAACCAAGAAAGCAAATTCGAAAAAAAAAGCGCAAAGAATCAATACGGTGAGAAGGTCAGAGATGTCGGAAGTTTCCGTTGTACATCTGTAGACTCTCACGTTGTAAAGGCTCGATCGATCCCACAGAACATCAAAACTTTGAAGGAAAACGCCACCAAGAACAATACTACCAATCACGACCAGCATTCGTCCGAGAAATCCGGGTTTTTAGGGGATATGTTGAATGTTTGCTGTGATGGGGGAACTGGGAAAATGTGATAGTTGATCCCGATTCCCACCTGTCATACAGGAGACTGGTCAAACGGGTCATGGCATGACCCATTACCATGAAAGGAAACGAGTCCGAAGGCAGCAGATGAAGATCTACTCGATAACCAGAAAAAAAGGTGTCAAAGGGAAACAAAGAAGCAAGTCAAAGTTGACGTATCACGTTTGGCTTTTGCCCCAGACCCGCTTGTGATTTTTGTTTTTCTTTCTGACAGCCCAATCACTTGACTTCGATTATCTCCCCAAGATCATCTCCGATTATTGGTTCATCGAAGGATGCTACTCCTGAGCGACCAGAGTCAAATTTAGTCAAATTTAGTCTGGAGATCGTCACTTTTACAGAAAAATTTGGTTTTTCTTTTTGTTTTTCTTCTTTTCACGGCTCCATGCATGCCACTTTCTGAATACGTGGACTTACAGCTGTCACTGCATGCGCGAACTGCTCCTCCACAGGAACTGATTGCCAAACCCGAATAGCAGACTAGTGGTTTCCATGTTTCGATTTTACTTTGCTATTTTTCTTTTTCAATTTGCTTCATCGCCTTATTTTTAGCGTCCGGTCCGAGCCATGCGAACTACAGTAGACAGAAAAGAAAAACAAAAACCAATTCAGCCACAAATATGACGTCTAACCCAGATCAATCACCAAGCCCACTATTTACGGCTCGTCTCGACAACCTTCACTTCATCGGAGCTTTTACCGGTCATTGTGCTTGTCACTTCAAGCCCCACTCATGTTGATCCATCCGATGCATTGGCGACTTGGCGGTGATCTTTGTCTATCGCGGCTCGGGGTCAATCCGTGTTCCAGTGGGCGAAACCACAAACTCGGTCTGAATATCTGAATGTGTGATCGAATGTGTGATTTCCTTGATTTCTTGGCTCCTACATTACATATACTCTCCTGTCCGATCCAACCAGTCGGGCTGCGCCGTCGGCGATGAATCAATCCTTTACGCGCTTGCTCAACGATCAACAGGCCCCCAACTTGCAGGAGCAAACCGCACTGTGGGGCCCGATGGCGCGCATTATGCAGGATAACTTTCTTGTTTGCTTATATGCAATCCACTGCTGTTAGGTGGGTTCTCGTTGACCGTCGACCCCGAGAATCGGGCTATCCACGTTCTGATGCCCACCTCCCCATCACCATCAAACAACAGGGTCCACCCCAGTCCAACTCCTTCAAAGACGGCTCGCTGCCTCCAGGGTTCGTCATTTTCCTTTCTTTTTCTCTTTCAAACATCTAGCTAGCTTTATCTTTTGTCGCAACGCGCAGCACGGACACATGCTACGCCATATCGAGCTCGCCCCTATAGTCCGCAGATTCTCAGATTTCCACACTGTAGACCCTGGATACCCTTCTCGTAGCTGTGCATACTACCACAAACAGGGGATCTTACAACAAACATCATATCACATCCATATCAGACCCCGAGCACATATTTTGGCCCTACATAACACGTACATCATACATATAATAATCAATGTACTCAGGGCCGTCCTTGGGAATTATAGATTGTAATCATAGAAGCCCCGTGCAGTCCGGTCTGCAGGTGCTCCACAGGGCCCGTGGTTTCAAAGTGTGTGGCACGCCGCACAGCGCTGCAGCGCTTGAATAACGCCTCCTTGCATAGCCTGGTTCAGGGCCTTCTCTTTCAGCCCTCGCAGCCCTGGAGCGCAATCTGATCTCCGAATTGCACCGACCCTCGATCGGATGTACCCGATTTCCGATCAATAAGTCGATAATCGATCGCGCTCGGTCTCGGTCACACCTTCGAAATCAAATCAGTATATCATAGACAAGATCCGACTACGTCGCGCATATGCGCCCGCGACAGAGTTTGCCTTTTGCGTTTGCTATCCAATATTTGGTGCTGGTCCTCGGTCATGAGTCCTGATCATATTTGGCCGCCTATTGCAAGGCTGTGAATGCACACACACCTGGCAACCTGGCATACTTACTTAGTACTAGTAGCTACATACATGCGTTGTCTTCACTTGCTATACTTAGCCCCCTGGGTCGCCAGGGCTGTATCTGCATCTGTCCGTCAACGATTATGCGGGACGCCCACATATTGCCTTGTGGCGCACCACATTACACCCCTGCTGCGCCTGAAGAGCTGTCTTTGTTCGGTGGTACTCGGTTCTCTATTGATTTTCTTTTTCCATTTTCCTGTTTGCCATTTTTATTTGCCCGCCTCGATTCGTCTTTTACAGGGATCATATGTCGTGCAACGGTGAGGCAGCATAGATGCCTGAATTCCCTTTCTTCAACGCCCAACTTCCTATCACCCGGGCTTCCCTAGGGGATGAATAAGGAAAGCCGAAAAAAAAAGAATAAAAAATTAAAAAATTAAAGATGAAACCGAGAAAAGATTCAAAGACCTATGATGCTCGTCTTGTTGTTCTATTAACCTAGGAAACTTGCTTAGTGATCCGCACCAATAATACACCACCCGCATTCCTCCCGGTGCTATCTTGGAGGTGGATGAATCGATATCCCTCTCGTAGCTGGTCGAGACGAATACATGCCCACGCAGCCAAGGCGTCACGACCGATTTCGTCGTCCTTGATTTTGAATCTAAGAAATGAGGAGGTCAGCCGACGTGCATTGCAGATAGCGACATCTCATACAAGATGCAAGTGCTAATGTAAAAGCGAATTACAAATTTACAAAGGGTTGTAATTTGTAAATGCGGGGAAGTTGGAGCGAGGTTGACTTGAACGGTGCGGACCACCACATCGTCACACCGGCATGCTGGTAACACAAACTACTGCACAGTCGCCTAATCATCCTTCCTGAGTGACAGGCGGATGCAGACTGAAGAAAAATGCAAGCAGCCAGCCCCACACAAACCGTTGCACACATGCACGCAAGGCAACGTGCATCAGTCGAGTGAGGGGGACCAAATAAAACGCAATTGCAAATGCAAATGCAAATGCAGCCAAGATGAAAAGGGAAGCTGCCAAAAAAAAAAAAAAAAATGACGAAGGGAGAAGAGAGGGGGGGGGGGGGTGTGAGAGGGAAAAACCAACCGGACGAAACTGAGCTCTTCCACAACGCCCACCACAGCCGGGAAATCCAAAACATGCGCGTCGAAGTCCGGATTCCTACCCGACGCCGTCTTCGTCTGACGTCGATAACTGCTCTTGTCCGTATCATCGCTCGCGTCGTCCCGATCCGCCGCAACAGGCCCCTCGGGCTCCTCAACATGCACCTGGCAAACAACGTAGGGCCTGAATCCGCGCTCGGAGTGATTCGGCGGCAGTGCCAGATCCTGGGCCGCGAAGACCTCGATTTTCAAACTCAGCGTCGTCCGGCGAATGCTGTCGGCGGGGCCCTCGGAGCTGCGGTACCCGGAAGGCTTCAGGGCCCAGCCTTGGGTGCCGGCAAACATGGCGTGGTTGAGCATCATGCCTTTGTCGAGGCTTTGCCAGTTTAGGGCGACTAGCTGGGCGCCGCGACGCCAGTGGAAGGCTGGGTCGAGGTTTGAGGATGTGACGCGGAGAGCGTAGGGGTAGATTCGCATTAGGGAACAGCGGTTGTGCTCGAATAAGGCATCGCGGTAGTTTGCGTGTGCTTCGCGTGCTGCTTTTTCGGATAGCGAGAAAACGTGGCAGGGGACTTTGGCCTCTGTTCTGGGAATTAGGATTTTGATCTTCTTTTGTGTTTTGGTTCGTTTTGATGGTCTTGGGTGGTTTGGTTCATACCTGGCTGGTCAAAGTGACTGAAATGGTATGCTCGTGTGTATACCGCTAACTGGGCCAGAGCGTCTAGGACCTTGGAGGGTTTGACGGGTTTTTGCTGCGTGTCAGTGGATGGATCGCTGGCTTCGTCTGAGGGTTCGGACGCTTCCTCCAGCTCGGCTTTGAGATCCGCTCGTGGCAGAGGCGTGGACTTGGTCTTGATCAAGATCTTACCCTTCAGCTCGGCCAGTGTGGGCAATTTATCAGCGTCCACGTCGGACGCAGTGACCAGAAGACCCTTCCACGCCTCCTTAACAATATCGACCATCATTTGCTGCTGTTCCAAGCATGCGTGGACTTCAAAACTAATGATCACAGGCAGATCACTGTTCACGAAAGCAGCGTCACGGATCGCATGACAGATCTCGCGGAAGGGTGTGCCCTTGGTGAGAGTATGCCCGTGCAGCACACGAGGTTCTCCTGGCACAGTGGTGGTCTTGCCTTCGCCGTTCGTGCTGGCCTGCGCAGCCTTAGATCTCTTACGGTGCAAAAGGCCCTTCGCAGCTTTCTCTTCACTGTCAATCTTTGACTTGATTGTCTCTTTCAGCCTAGATGTCAGAGTTGATTTCTTCTCTTCATTGTCCGAGGAATCGCTGCTAGCATCCCCATTCGCATCCGCTTCCTCGGGTTCCCCATCCCAGACATCAATCTCAACAGATCGACAGCCATGCAGAAGAACCTAGATCCTATCAGCCAAATCTCACCCAACACTTCCTTCCTAAAACCAAATACTATACATACCGACGTGTACGCACTCGCCGCGGAATCACTATAAAGCTGGTTCCCAGTCAAATATGTATTATGACTCGAAGAGACATAATAGTCCGAAATAGGCGCCGAAGCATCCAATTCCTTCGCCTGACCCAGCGCTCCAGAAGCAGGATCTTTCATGTAAGCCCGGAACGCATCCAACGAGGTCAATGGATCAAGAACATCTACCTCAGAAGAACTCGCGTCCTGCTGAATATGATTGAAGAAATCATCCTTTGTGATTTTCTGGGCAGAGAATTCCTTGTAGATCTTCTCCAGATGCGTGTCAACTGTCGAGTGCAACGCATCTAGAGGTGTCTCCGCTGACGAGTGTAACGACAGGTGACGCGCTCGTTCAACGAGGCTATCAACTTTTTGCATTATGGCCGCTTGTATTGGTAATGAGGCCCGGGTTTGGGTTTGTCTTCAATCTTCGATCGAGCCTTTTGTTTGTTTGTTTTTGCTGGATGCCTAGCGGGGGTCGTGCTTTAGGCGCAAGCTTGATACTTGCGGTGTGCGGCTGCCAATTGGTACTTGGCAAAGATGCCCCGCAGTGATGATCCAGGTCAGTCGTCCAGGGGAAAGATGCAACTTTGATCCTTGGGTTTGGGACGTAGATGGTTATTTTTGTTGGTGAAATTCAATCTCCAGGAGGGAGAGGTCAGCTTTAAGATTGAAATGGATATGGAGAAATAGAAGGAGGCAAAATGATTAACATGCGACACGTGTGTCCCACTGTGATCGACTCTCCACTTTCTCAAGACGTGGCTCCATTTGTGAGCTCCGATACAGAGCTTGGCAAATATTGATCCTTAGGGCTGAATTGTGTTACTCTTGCTTCAGTTTGGGCATAATATTCACCAGATTTGATACGTGATACAAGATCTACTAGTAAATCCAGGATGTGCCTAGCTCGATGACCCCACCCATATAGCACATGCATGCCATGATACGTCCAGAACAAAAATGGACTAGCATGTGTTGTTGCTGAGAAATCAAAATCCAACCCCACGTACCACTTCTCCAGGCAACTATTGTTCACTTAAATACAACTGCTTAGAGCATTGGTCACTGAATTTCATCTTTAGACAACCATGGCGAACACAGAGCCTGTCCACTTTTTCGACATCATCTCCACCCTGCCAGGTACGCAGCCCGCAAAGCAAAGATAAGGGTTGCGCGAAGGAGCTTGACAGGAGCAACCGCTAACAAAAATCACCAGGTCCATTGAAATCATGGTCTCCCAACACTTTAAAAGTCCGGACGGTGCTTAACTTCAAGCAAATCCCGTATACCCAAAGCTGGATTTCTTACCCAGACATCGCACCCTTGATGAAAGGATTCGGTCTCGAAGCCTACGAGACCGGATTTGCATACACCCTCCCTGCAATCGTGCACAGTTCCGTCCCCTCGCCTCAAGGCGCAATGATGGACTCGCTCCCCATTGCCGAGCATCTGGACCGCGTGTTTCCCGATCGCCCATTGTTCCCCTCCGGTGACGCCAGCTATGCGCTTTATCTGGCCGTCAGTCACCTCGTCATTGGGGCCATAGGACCGGGGATCCGGACCCTGATCATTCCACGGGTGCCGGATCATCTTGATCCACGAGGACAGGAGTACTTTGTGCGAACAAGGACCGAGAGCTTCGGGATGCCGTTGGCGGAGGTGCGGCCTAAGGAGGAGGAAGAGATTGCGAAGATTTGGGAGACGATGGAGAAGGGCTTTCCGCCGCTAATTCGGGCGTTGAAGGGGCGAGAGGGGAAAAAGGGACCTTTCTTTGAAGGCGAGACGGCTGGGTATGTAGATCTGTTTGTGGTGAGCATTTTCGCGTTTCTGCATCGGTTCGATCGTGAACTTTGGGAGAAGGCTATGGGACAGGGCGATGGCGAGTTGCGCGCATTGTGGGATGCTTGCTTGCCCTGGCTGGAGGGACAGGGTGAGGAAAAGGAGTGGCCGATTCCGAGTGCTTGAGGCTGGAGTCAGTATGTTAATATGGAATGGTAGTAAGCTAGATTGATATGGTAGATCAAGTATCATTGAATATATAGCACAATGGAGAAATCAAATCGACGTAATAATACATGCCGGGGACCGGAAGGACCTGTTCTATTTGTCCACCGCGGCAATGGAAATAGAGGTGAACCATTCCAGTCAAAACACCGCTTCCAAAATGATGAGCCCGCTTCTTCAAAGACCAATGGTCGACGCCTGTAGTTGAAACAAATACACTCAATCGGGTGTTTACAGGCCACGCAGGAAGTTGGATTCCTTGATGGTCTTGCGACGGGCTTGACGAGCACTCTTGGTCACTTCGATACGCTGTTCCGCACTCTCGGTGGCGTCGGTGATACCTTCGGAGGGGCCATCGCGGTTGTATTGGGCTGGTGTGATGTCGTGGGCGTGGTGATGGGCAGGAATCTTGGGAGGGAGAACGCCAACGCGGGCGGCGAGCTTCTTCTCGTAACGCTTTCGTTGCTTCTTGTTCAAGGCTGGGAAGAAAAATGAGGATTAGAAAAGCATAAAGTTCATGGTAGGTGGTTTAAACATACTGCTGGGGTCAATTCCGCCCTCCTTGGCCTTCGATTTGCTTGAATCACCCAAAAGATCCCACAGCCAGTCGGGGTACTCCGAGTCCTCCTTCGCAAGGATCTCGGGCTTATTCTTGAAGTAATTCAGGCCGTTCATCTTAGTGCCGGCAGGACAGCTGCTTGGTGGGCGCTCGACAACGGGCTTGGTGGCAGTACCATCAATGTGGACAGCATCGGGGGTGCTCAAAGGCTGAGAGATACCGGGGGTTGCGGAGGAAATGGCGGACGGGGTGGTGACATCGCCAATTGTAGGTTGACGGGGGCTAGGAGGAGATGAGGGAGCGACAGACGGGTTGGTGCCTTTGTCACTGTAGAATCGGTTGAATTGACTGCGAATAATAGGTAGCTGGCGTGCGGGTGATGATGTCCATGTCAGGGCTTGTTGCTGTGGTAGCCGAGACAGCATGCTGCTCCGACAGGTTCTGCAGATCATCTTCGCGGCAATTGAAAGTAACCACGGTAATATATGTGTGTACCGGGATTAATATGAGGAATAATCGCAATGTTGCTGCTGCGGAGGCTCAATCAGAAAACTTGCGGCGCGGATCCCATGCCAAGCCGGAGAGGTCACGTGAAAATAATGTCAGGTCTTTCCCCTTTGGGAACAAGCTCTTTTTGATCAAGCAACTTCACAATGCCTTGAATACTTGGAACTCTCCACCACACCCCCGTGGAGGAGCTGGGTGTTCCATGTCACTAAGGTGAATATTTGAATCTTCATTTTCTTCACATACACCCTGACATATATATGTGTGTTATTGATTGATGGCTCGTTCTTCTAGCAAAGGTATGCAAGAATCTCTCGAAGGAAGGACTTGTACAAAATGAAATGGATATGTACATAGACTGGAAGAAGACGAAAGGTCGGGGCGATTGGCAAGGAATGGGAAGCTTCGTCACCTGGGAAGGACCTTGAAAAAGCAGAAGAAATTTGAAATTTGAAATCTACAAAGCTGAACATTTAATTACAGCGGGTCTTTCTAAGACTTTGGAGATGATGACATTGGAAAGGGAACATTGAACAGCATGTGTAATTTGAAAATATCAAAACAAACTCCGAAACGTACGTATAAATAACGCAATGGTATCAATGAGAAAATCACAGGAAAGAAAAGGCATGACACAGGACGGACGGAAGCATCTCCCGTAGAAAAATTAAACAAGCACAAGCATCAAAACTGAAAGAGTACAACATTTCGAGTCATAATAATTAAAAACCGGAGAATTCCAGGTAAGTGATGGCAATGAAGTGGAAGATCCGAAACCCATCATCGAAGCCTATGAAGACAGGCCACTGACGTTCAAGAAATTGTAAATATCTTCACAAGCATCCTTCAAAGACTTGTCTGTCTTCCACTGAAGCTCTTCTTGAGATCGGTCAACAACAGCAACGCAAGACCCCACATCACCAGCACGGCGAGGTGCAGCTTTCCTGGGAATAGGCTTTGAGGTGACAGCCTCCATGGTGTTGGCCACCTCTAGTACAGAGTGCCCTGAACCGGTACCCAGATTGAAGGTGCGGAAATTTTCATTTAGCTGACCATCGTTGGCAGATTTGAGGGCTGCAATGTGACCCTGGGCCAAATCAGTGACGTGGATGAAATCCCGGACAGCCGTGCCATCCTCGGTATCCCAGTCAGTTCCAAACATGGACAACTCCTCATACTGGCCAGTCATGACCTTGACGACCACTGGAAGAAGGTTTGTTGGAATTTGCCGTGGGTCCTCGCCCAATAGACCGGACGGGTCACATCCGACGGGGTTGAAGTATCGAAGAGCCACAATGGTCCATTCTGAATCAGCAGCAGCAATATCGGCAAGGATGGCTTCGCCGATCCACTTGGTGCGTCCGTAAGGGTTGGTGATACCAGTACAACCAGGCTGAAGAGTTTGAGTGGATCCTTTTTTGTCGGTGTATACTTGCTTCTTGTGAACACAAAGCTCTTCTTTAAGTGGCAGACCGGAAGTGGCCAGAGTGCCGTAAACAGTGGCAGAAGACGAGAAGACGAATGTCTTGATCCCGAAATCTCCAAGAATTGATGCAAAATCAATCAACCCGCTCACATTGTTGGCATAATACTTCAATGGATTCCGGATGCTCTCTTCCACTGCCTTGTATGCGGCAAAGTGAATGACACCTGCAATCTTAGACTTTGCTTCTCCCCATCTTGAAGGGACTTGGTACTCTTCTAAAAGAGACTGCAGAGCGGATGTGTCTCGGTAATCATGAGCATGCAATCGCAATTTGGGCATTTCGGTTCCATTCTCTTCATGGAACTTCCGGGCCAGGAGATCGATGCGGTCAAGAACATTCTCAAACGCGTTGCTTAGGTTGTCGATGACAATGACATTATAACTGGCTTTGAGCAGTTCCAATGTCGTATGGCTACCAATGAAGCCCAACCCGCCCGTCACCAGAATGTAAGGGCTTTCGATGGGGAGTCTTTGCAACAACTCATTGAAATTTTCGAAGAGGTCCGAAGCCTGTGTTGCTGGAGTGTCCACAAAGTCTGGAGAGCCACCCTCGACGGGAGTGCTCGTGTCTGAACGACGTCGACTGTCCATGGCGAAATGAAAATGGACTGATATATTAAATCGAGGCAGGCAATGAAGAAGTCAAGACTCGTCCAAATGGAAAACTTTTTGTCAATGCAGAGGATTAACCCAGATGAAGAAAAGAAAAACTTTCTATGCGGTTGAGATAATAGAAATGCGCCAAAGAGACAACCACGAGTGATTTATACACTGCGAGAAGAGAACCCTTGTACCGCCCCACTGCTCTAGATCCTATCTAGCGCTATCTTGGGTTTGACAAAAGGATGTTCCCGTCAGCACAAATGGAGCGATGAAGATTCACCGAGCATAAGCCACAGAAAAAAAAAAGTAGCCAAAGAGATAATCAGAGCAATGACAGGGTAAATGGAATAATAATAAATAAATGGGGGCGGACGGGAAAAGAGCTTAGACCAAATAGCAGGCACACAAGACTCCCCGTGCAGTGGGCCAAGTATACGGCTGGGGCCTGGCTACTATGGGTACCATGTCTCCACGGCCCGATTGCCCTAAATCCCAAGTGCCTCCACTTGGCAAGTGAGGTGTGTACTGCACATTGAGGACTTCAATTGGGGCTAATGATCGCATTGGAAATTGAGATTGGCCTTTACACCTCCCTTACCATGGTCGAGACACTCGTTCTAAAGCCAGTGCAGGACGCTAAGTTGCTAGAGGGAAAAACAAAAGTTCGGTGTTTTTAATAGACACGAATTTAGTTGAAAAAATCCCATTCCAGTATACGGTATAATGGCCAAGGTATTAAGTTGAAATCATTTTGGTATTTTTGATCTATATCCGTTTCAATGATGTAATTATCTGTGTTTTGGTATTTTATTTCTCCATTTAGTAGTAACAGACCCTGAAAAGCACGTGAGCAACATTGTCCCAACCCAGTAATCTTCATTTGGCGCTAGTTTTCTTTTCGTTATGAACATCGTCATCTTTGAGTCTCTCAGCCAATCCAGCCATTCAAGCTACAAAATCGTTATGGGCCTCGCCAAAGTCTTTGTGCCACTGTACATATACCCTAGCCCCGGGGCATGGTCTCCGTTAGAAGATGTGTATGTTTGACCCTTTCCTATTCGGTCCATGACCCTTGGCCCCTCCCCCTCCTTGAATCTAAAAAAAAAATGAATGAAAAAAGAAATCTGCACCCCAAGCCGCATGTAACTCGCCACGGGGTACCAACACGGCATGGAAAATCTACAATTTGGGCTTCAATGACAAAAGTGTTGAAAATTGCCGGTCGCAAAAAGAGAAACAAAAAATCGAAAAAAAAAACCTTGTTTAACTTGTGATTCAGGATTTCAACCCACCCAAATCTCAATTTTACAATTGTAATCAATCCTGGTAACGGCCCAGGACCCGACGATTTGCCCGACAGCCATTACACTCGCGCAATCCCGAGACTTGCTTCGTACGCCAATGTACGGCTTCTAGGATATGTGCACACCTCTTATACAACCCGTAACGCAGCCGCAGTCTACCGGGATATCAAAACCTATGCTGAATGGCCGAACAAATCTGGGAACCCCGATTTGGCCGTTCGGGGTATATTCTTCGATGAGACACCGCAGCAATACAGTGTCCACTCTTTGGCTTATTTGCAAAATCTGACCCAACTTACCAAGGATCTAAAGGCCCTTGGCTCAAATCCATATGTGAGTCTAATCCATGTTTTCCATATCCTGCTCCATCCACCCTCTGCGTTGTCGTTCGTCATGTAGGCTCATCCACTTCCCTTCCCTTCCCTGGTTCCTACCCCCTTGCATCCCTGTCCTTTTCCTCCGACGACAAATCCCCCTGTTCCCGCGTGGCTGTCTCTGCTGGTTGGATTGGAACAGCTGCAAGCTGCACATCGTATAGATTCTAGCCCATGGATTGCTTTTGCTTTTTCTGGGCCGTGATTCAAGTTCACGATGCCTCCATTGCGCAAATCAATTACCCGATGCGGGATGTTCAAGCGAAGATCTTTCATCTATAGTCTATAGTATCAAGAACTGCAGAAAGCTAATGCAAGTGTCATTGATCAGGTCGTCCATAACCCAGGGGCCGTACCGGACTCCCGGTATCTGGCTACTGCAGACTCGACCGTCGTGTTCGAGGAGACTTATGGCACCTTCCAGGAGCGGCATCGGGCTAATATGCTGATGCCACTCGGGGACAAAGATCGCTCTCAGCGCGCTGCCTTGATCCACTCCGTGCCGGATAGCGTGGAGGGTTCGGAACTGCGCCATCTGGTTAAGACGGTCCGCATGGTAGCCGATGAGGTTTTCATCACCCACCTTAGCACCGATTACTATGCTAGCTTTGGGTCGAAGTGGGCCGAGTTTGTCGATCTGATTTAGGCTGAGAATGTATAAGACCCATACCCCGTTGTGAATATTCATATACTGCGATCATTCTTTTCCTGTAGTAAAAACATTGTATATGCACCCCGGAGTTATTTCTATTGATTATTTGAAAAAGTATTTGAGTTTCGGACACTTTTCTATTGATTTTGCTTTTTGTTTCCCAAGCATGGATAACCTTGCAATGTACGGAGCTCTGGAGCGATCAATCGTTGGATGTGTACGGAGTATCCATGTCTGGCTTGGAAGAAAAAATTTCAAATGTGGAGTCTCCTCACCCCCCCTCCTGTTTTCCCTACCGCAAAGCTAAAAACTAGCTGCATGTTGAGATGACTCCATAATGAAGGCAAGAAAAAGAAAAAAAAAGAACATTTTTAGACGAACTTCCGGTCCACTTGTCCGAAAGAGGCAGACTGGACCGGAACGGTACGGTCGTAATTTTCATTATGTCACCGTATTTGATATCCGCGAACGCGATCGATCTTTAACCTCGGAACAATCAAGACAATGGGAACCACTGGAGATTCCAACCGTTTATCTTGTTAAAGATGACATTCTAGCCGTCAATCTTCGTGATAAGCCTTGGAAACTCTATGTAGACGTACATAGGCGCCCCCGGCCGAACCTTGGAAGCGAATACCCCCGGGAGGCGATAGTCGCTGTCGACATGCCCAGGTGGTGTAATATGCTGACTCTATTGACAAAGACATGCTATAACAATAACTAGTTAGTTAACTAGTCCACATTCCCTATTAGACAACAATCATGCACTCCGTGCTATGTATAACCTGCAGTAGAATTGTAACGCTATGTGAATTCTTCCCCCCAATCAACATGGAACTCGTCGTCTACTAGACCCATACCCCGTGTTGATATTCAATCAACTTGCCACGCCTAGATCTATCTCAGTGAGACATGCAGGACCCCAATGCTCTCTGCCATCAAAAACCGGATGATCGAGGTCTGATCGCAAGGCAAAGTCCAACATTGAACCCGACCGACCATGACTGAAACGGTGGGGTGGTTACTAGTCAATTAGGGCCGGCTTCCTTCATGTAGACAAAACCAGCGAAGGATCCATGTACCGAGAGAGCCCCCGCTACAATCAATATCAAACGAACAATGGATGAGCCGGCCGGGTTAAAAATTGGGAAAAAAAAAAAAAAAAAGAAATCCCGGAGTATACAACCGGAATTTTTTACTTTTTGGGAAAAAGAAAACATTCTTCACACGTCATTTATGGTTTACGGGTTACAGGTTACACGACAGTCCGTTCAAAGCTGATTGACAGGTACGAGAGGGATGTAAATGTGATCGCCGCAGTTTAATTCGCCAATACAAGTGGCGGAAGCCACAGCCTCGTGGAATCTACTGCGTACCTTGTCAGTCAACCCAGAAAGGAATTTAATCCTGCCTATCGATTCGATTTCAGGAGGATTTTCGATGCGGTTTTCGATCTGTGGGAGAGCCGAAACTTTACTCTGAGCTGTAAGCGATGAATAAGATGAAAAAATATGATCGAATTGAGCAGGAGTATTGCACATCTTTCAGTTTCGTGGCCCAATGCGGGTAATTGGGTCAAAATCATGTTCTGATCCTAGATGCGATTACGAATACACTTTCCCCTCTCGCTATACCAACTAGTCAATTTAGCGCCCGTGGTCGTCTATTCTAGGCTGTTCGAGAGAGGCTGGAAGGCTGAAAGGAGGGGCTGAGGTTTGGGTGAATGCGAACCGGTTTGTTTTAGTGCTACTCCATGTCTCCATTTGGTGATGAAAAGAGGAAAACTCCGTATTCGCTGGCACGCTAGTTGAGATTGGCGTTAGCTTGTGTCCCGCGTTGGTGAATCCATTACGGATTTCCTGCCACTGTGTTTGCGTGATCAAGAGTTCGTATCTTAGATTCTCATCCTATAACCTTAAGATAAAAATCGTTGACATGTGAGTCAATGGATCCAGTAGAAGCGTGAGATAAGTACAAGCCACAGTTCAAAGTTGTCTTGAGCAAGCGACGGAACCCGGGGTGTGGCGAGTTGCAAAGACAAACATACCGAGTCTATGCCGCAAGCCTCGCTTAAGCCTTTTTTTTCTTTTTCTTTTTCTTGCCTTTCTTTCCCTCTTGTCAGCCCTTCAATATGTACGGAGTAGCTAGTGGATATCGTCAAGAGTTCCATCCATGACCGTTTGGGTAATAATCGTCATCTCAGCCAAACGAACCCGAAGAAATGGAGCCCATCTTATCGATTCCACCCTGATCTCAAGCACCCCATCTCTTCCAGACTTGGACCAATCCAAGAAAAAACCTCCCATGGTTCGCAATCAAAAATCAGGAACCGGGCAGATCCGCGCGCGCGCCCGATCTTAGCGTTCTCGCGTATCACCGCTCATCTCTCTATGTAATTGCGCTTTGTGGAAAATTTTCTTTGCCTGAATCCGGAGTACTACATCTGTGCCTCCTTCCAACACCCATATGCAAAATGCAGGGATTGCCTAAAGATAGTTCTCGCGCGAATGGCATCGGTCCAAAATCCAAATCGCTTGGAGATGTGATCCATCGTGGGATCCACCTATCCCGGCGCTTCCGACTTTAGTTAGACGGAAAAGACTTCTCCACGAACTAACACATTTTTCCTTGCCTTTTTTCGCGTCTTTTTTTTTTTCACTTAGTACACGGAGTAGACCCAGACCTAGCCAGAACCGGTGAGCTCATAAGGGGGTCTGGCTGGGTCTCTCGGGTGAAATTTCTTTTTCCCTGCCTTGGTTGGATGGGGAAAATTCTCAGGGTCGTGTGAAAGGATCGCCCCCAACCTTGGAAGCTAGACTAGTTTCTTAGTTAGCTTCCTTGGTTTGGCGAGTGTTTTGGGATGCAGGGGTACGAGGTACAGAGGTATACGGAGTAATCATGGTTAATACTCCGAGAAGTTGGGTTTGGATTTAGAATTGGTTTAGATTTTTGACGTGTCGAATTCCATTGGTCGGTGAGAGCTATGTTTATCAAAGTAAGAATGAAGACCTACTAAGCTCGAGGCTGAAAGTTACCTGTAATGATTATGTAGGGAAGTTTTGAAAATTACTAGCGCGAGGAAATGTGTGGAGGCAATACAGATGCAGGGACACTAATGCACCATTTCTCACAATCTGCATACTCCGGATACTGTCAAGGAAACCCCTCGAAACATGACCAATTGTACTCTGGCAAGTGTATGGCATCCTCAATTCGCCAAGAAAGCCAAGGGTTACAAGCTGAATCAGGCCGTCTCAGCATTGTTTAGGAATATCTCGTCTTAATCTCTATTACTTGAAATTTCCGAAAAGAGAAAGAAAAGGCAAGTTTTCCTGGCAGCTGAAGCAATGGCATTATAGTACATAATTTTTATACAGATTCCATATCAACAATATTCGACCCAGTTGTCCAGGTCCATGTTCTTGATGACAGTCGAAAAGTTGCCAGCACCAGTCGCCTCACAAGCCGAGTTCCGCTGGTTCGTCGACACGGAATTGTTATTGTTAGTATCATCGCCCTTCGGATACTCAATATGAAAGACAGGTTTGCTGGCATTCACAAAGGCTGAGTAGAGATGGCATTCATCATAAACAGCACATTGTTCATTAACAGACCATTGCATCTTATCAAAGACCGAGCCAATAATATCCCCACCATTCTTAAGCCCCAGCGACATATTTCGACCATGTGCTTGCGATGCAAGCCACTTCACATAAGCGATAGCGTCCTCCTGTGTCAACCCAAGTCCATTCTTGTTACCATAGCCATCGATATTGTCCGGATCAACGCCATCGCAGCCTTTCGCCTGCGCCAAGTCAAGACGCTGTCGCATGATCCTGCGCACATTTTGGGAGTTCGTGTCGAGCCATTTCTCGCCCGGCCAGTCGTCGAGATTGTCGCCCAGATCCGAGGAGTTGAATTCACCAGCGTCCTTGCGCCAGTTCTCATAGGTGCCCGCTGAGAAATAGCAGATCACCTTGCGCCCCATTCCTTGGAGCTTTGTGATGGTGGCGTTTGGGCTATCGAAGAGGTCGATGTCGTAGATGTCTGCGTCCACTGATGTGTCGTTGAGGGGGTAGAGTAGCTCGATTTGCCATTTGGCTCCTATTTTGGGTTGCCATATTGATGTTGTGTTTCCTCCGGTCGTGCTGTTGCCGTTGCCACTGCCACTTCCGCCTCCATTCCCACTTCCGTTTCCACCACTCCCACTTCCTCCACTTTCATCACCCCCTCCACTGTTTTTCAGTCCAAGCCCGAGCCCAACGCCGAGCCCAACACCAAGGGCAATGATCAAAAGACCGACAAGTCCAAAGATAAGAGCCTTCTTCTTGGCGGACCAGGCCATCCAGCCTCCTTTCGCGGACATTTCGCTTCAGGTCACAATTGTCCCTTTCCCTTTAAAAAGTGCTGATGTCAGCTGACGGGCCTGCGAGTTGAAACACTCCCAGTCGTGTAGCAATTAACGCGCAGAGATTGATAATTAGAGTCCAGAGGAAATAGACATCTTTAAGCTCAAAGATAAATTCAGGGTCCAAGGCACGATGTATCCAGACGAAAGGATTTGGGGCTGTGGCTGAGACGCAGCTTCAGGATTGGACAGTTTCGGTTTCCAGCGAGCCATAAGGCCCCGAGAAATGTCATGTGGAGAAATGGTCATCTGCTATGAACGATTTTGAATGGACAAGAGAAAAAGGCGGGGGGAGGGGGGATATCTGATTGGATGACTGAAATTTAAAAAAAGAACAGACCTGCAGATGGAATTTAGTCGCCTACATCCTTGCCAAGATGCGTCAAATGAAGGTTTCATTATCGCACATTGGCGGGGAAAGAGAGATTGTCATGAAGAAGTTTCTGCACTCAAGCGATAAGAATCTCAGGAGTTAAATTAATAGGTTAATAGAGTAAGGATCGTGATCTCCTGAATTAAGGTGGTGGAACCAGCGCTGATCTACAATGATCATCGCTGTCAGCTCATGGCTCAGGCATCATTATTTCTAATTCAGGCCGCAATCCAACAACCCCAACACCCAAAAGTCTAGACGTCACTAGTTCTCTTCGTCGGCTGAATTGTCACTCTTTCCATTTTCACAGCCATAGCAAAGGGTGGGAAAGTGGCGAAGAACTAACTATCCCGGCTCCGAGATACAGCCTGTCCAGGACTCCAGGTAACCCAACTTTTCCAAATCCGGGCCGCCAAGCAGCCACTAACAAATAGTTCATGACGCCCCCAACAAGAACGAACAAGAACTGGTATCGGTTTAAACTCAGCCCGGCGGCACAACAGACCTTCCCGTTGCAGGGGAAAATCGAGCTGAGAGTCAGCCTGTCAGGGACTCAGGAACCATAATACATGTACTCCCCGAAAACACCAGGACCCTGAATTCTTTAATTAGAATCGGACCTATAGACAACAGTGCCTGGAATCACGAACCTGATCAATTGGATACTAGAGGAACAGAGACGAAGTCGGATGTTAAACATCACCAATGAAAAGCGCTTGGAAATGCATGCGCTGGCAAACTACTTAGCGCAGTCATCCGAGCCTCGTTTGTTTAGGCTGAGGACCCGATTCGCAATTACTTTCTGAAAATAACAAGTCCGATTTAAGGCCTGGTAATTTCGTTTGGTATCAAAAACAGTATGCATGGCATCTCATGTCATCTTCACGTTTTCAAATCATACGGCATGGAACTCCCAAGGCTCGCAAGTGCTGTAGTTCGGTGTTTCCCGTCTGTATGTGAGCCATCTGCATACTTTAGGTCTCACGCATATTACTCCGTACTTCATTCAAAGCCGGATAGACCCGGAAAACAAAACGAGTTTCTTTCTCAGCTCTCTCCGGTGTATGGCGCCATCAGGCAATAGTTGGCTTATGACCAGCCTTCGCAACGGCATCTTTCATCGGGCCGTCTTCGAGCGTCTTTGAGCGCCTTCCTGATTTTATCGGTCTAGCCTTTCACTAGAAAAGTGGCGTCTTGAGCATACATGTTTGGAATGTCAGACGGGACAATGTTCCGCATCTTTAGGTTTTACCGTCCGCCATCTCGTGTTCAAGCACTCAGCCCTGGAGGGTATCGGATCCACAAGTAATTTCCAGTACATGGTTTTTGACTTAGACACATCAATTGATCTTAAGCTACCCAGTGTACTTACATACCGAAGACCAACATTGACGTGCGCAGAGATGCGTTCATTATTGCAGGCAACTATCTCCAAGGCTTTGATTGTCGCCCATTCAAATATGATGTCCAGACGCGTAAAGGCTAATATCCTATAGCCCCATACATTTCGACTCCCAAATAATCACACATCTCATCATAGCTACCATGGTCAAAAGACAGAGGAATTCAAATGTATAGCAAAAGACCTGGAAGACTGCTTGCGCAAGAATTCCGCAAACCATCCCAGGCTTCACCTCCCCAGCGCAAACAGATACGATAGCGTCGAGTGGATCAAGATCGACTCGGGCAGAAGCCTAAAGTAGTGGAACTCCCATGTTTTAGAAGAGAACATCGCAATGGCTTTTTGATTTCCGCAATAGTTTTTTGTCGAGGTCCTCAATTCAATGTTTGAGACAATGCGCACTATCTGAAAGACGCGCCTACCTTCTAATCGAGCCAAGTACCGTGCCCAGGTGGAAAGAGGATGTTCTCAATTTGAATGCGTCCATGAATGTTTTATCTGCAGCAAGTGATCCATTGTAGTTCCAGTGTTGGTAGTATAAACCAGCAAGGCTCTCAGAACCAGGTACATATTCGACAGAGCCCACGGCCTCCAGGGCTGTCGTTTGCATAACCTTGGAAAGCTGATGGAATCTAACAAGTGAAGAGAGAGGAACAAAGAATGTGATGGATATGGAATGTATTGTGTAGCGAAGAAGAAGAGGAAGGATGTGCGCTCAACGGCCTGCGGGGGCGTCTTGGAATCACATGATCATGGAAGGAGGAAGAGAGACGCAGCCTGCTACTATCTAGAACAAGAAGGAAGCACTGACATCATGATCATGTGGTTCCAAAGCGCCCCCGCAGGCCGTCGAGCGCACATTCTTCCTCTTCTTCTTCGCTACACAATACATTCCATATTCATTACACTCCTTGTTCCTCTCTCTTCCTTCGTTAGATTCCATCAAAAGCTCATGGGCCAGTGCTCGACTACATGTACCCATCCCGGGATATATGCATATATATGTCAGCATGTTTGTGTGTATGCGGGCCCCTTGATACGCAGGCAAAGAATCCTGGGTAACTACCGTCTGCATGGATTCGGCCCTGAGTAGAATGTTGATCTTGCTTCCTCGTGTAACACATGATAGATTTGGCGCGAATCTTTTGGGCGTAGGGAATTGAGCAAATAGATAATATCGTTCGATCGTAATGACCAAATCGTGGAAAACTTCACCACCACGCGCACATGTGCAGCTTGATAGGAAGGTTCACCTTCGTAATGTCCATGCTTCATGATATGTGGTCCATTTCAATGTTGGCACTGAGTCAAAAAGCTTCACCTCCAGGCCCCATAAGAAGCTGGCATGTTGCCTGTTTCTTGTTCTTCCAAATCTTGTGTAGAAGGTCATTCCATTCCGAGCCACAGACTTGTGGTGACTGTGCTTTTTGGAGTTCCGTGCAGATAAGCCGTTTGTGTGAAAAGAGAAAATATTAGAGTCGACTATTGACAGACTCTGTAAGAGCTCTTCAGCTGCTTTCTGCATGTGGGCTCTATTCAAGTCCAGAGACATATATTTGTGGTAGGCGAGATGCCGGACGGCAATCTCCTAGGTGATGTGATCGGGGACAGCTGATGACTGTGAGTTGATGATGGATTGTTGCTATTGGACAATTGTTGGCTGTGAGTCGACGGCATACCAATAAAATATCCCGTTTTTGGCGCGGTAATGGTTTGCTGATGGAAATGTCATAAATGTTGGGTTTCTGACTTGAGAGGTATTGGGTTCAGGAAGCGTATGTTCGACAGTCGCTTGCTTTGCGAGCACGTACTTGGGAGTCGTTGCATTGACAGCAGCCCATTTCCTTAGTGCCTTGTTGTGCGCTTCCTCGAAGTCGAATCCATCAGAATCAAATCCTGGAAGCGGATTATGTATGTGCTGGTTGCTATGGCGTCGTGTTCACCTGATGAACGAGAGGAAGTCAGTGGCAACGAAAAGGAACGCGCTCTGCCGCGTAAGACAGTGCTTTTTTCGGGGTCAGCGTCAATATGAACTTGCCCGTTGCCTACCATCCGCTCTATATAAAGCTAGCTTCAGACCGCCGCTTCTTCTTCTTCTCTCCAGAGAAACTCAACTCAATCAGATCGGCGATCGAATCTTCCCTTGGCTCTCTCTTCTGCTCTATGCATAGGTTTCTAGCAGTGAGCTTGGAATAGATGCCGAATTTGAAAGCTACTGGATTGAGCTCGGCTCCTCTGGAAAAAAGAAGAAGAAGCGGTAGTCTGGAGCTCTAGATAGAGCAGACGGTGGGCAACGGGGAATCTCCTACTAGTACTAACGGATCCTGCAAACGCCGACGCGCCTATGCGGCGCCAAACAGCGGAAGAACTTTTCCCTGACAGTTACTGCATACTAAATAGTAGTTACCCGATTAAAACTAAAATATTTCACTAGTACTAGTAGTGGGTACGTGAGGCTGTGATTCACCTACTAGTACCTACATGAGCAAATTCCAATTTGTAGAAAGAATAACTTATTCTTTAATTACGCCCACAAGTTGATTGCATCCTCGTTCTCTCTTTTCTTTTTGGCTTTTCCTAGTAGAACAGAAAGTAGTAGTAATCCTGACAGGCATAGTACTAGTAGGACCCATGAAGCCCTGCAGCCCTGGGGATAGTCTTCTCACTTGGGGCTTCATATCGGGTTTCAAGCCGAATAACAAATTTGTTCTAGAATTGGGGAAATAATACAAAATACCTACTAGTAGTAGATATCGAAGGCTTGTGAGTGGTTGCTACTAGTTCCACGGCACTTTTCTATGTCTGGGCTGGTGTATCTGAACCTGATTTAGTTCGAAAGAGATATGTGAGGTATCATCGTGTGAATGATTGAAAGGAGCAACTTGAAGGTATGTACTATGCATTTTGAGGTGGTGGCCATAACAAGATAGAAATTTCCAGCCAAGGTAAACATGTCTCACAGCATGGTCCACTTCCAAGGCCGCCGTCCGCCAATGTGAGCCACCCTGGACCCTGGCCAAGACTCAGACCCTTAGCTCAAAAGCAAACCCCTCTTCCAACCAACTACGAGGCTCAAAATTCAACTCAACTCCTAAATACAAGCACGCCCCATATTTTTACAACTTATCAAAACCAATATCCCAACTTCAAAGATGTCCAACGATGCTCAAATACGGGCCCTTGCGATTCCAGAGATCGTAACCTCAATCCTGCACGAACTGGACATGCGCACGCTGCTAGCCGCCCAGAGAATCAACAGCGTGTGGAGAAATCTGATCTGCAACTCGAAATCACTGCAGGAGACTTTGTTTTTCCGACCAATCCGCCATGAGGCCCACGACAATACCCGGGTCAAGAACCCGCTACTAGCAGAATCATTTCCATCGCTTTTCCCAACACATGTACTTGGGGATGGCAATGGACAAAATATCAAGCTCATCGACCTTCCTTGGGAGAAAAATTCGGCTTTCCGAGAAATATTCCTTCGCCCAGAAGCAAGCTGGCGCCGAATGTTGACTCATCAACCGCCTATTTATAAAGTTGGTGGATACGAATACAGCTTTTCGCCGTTCTTATGGGGCTGGAGTCAAGCAATGGCAGATTTTTCAGACGATGGATTGCGAATGTCATCGCTGTTTGAATATGTTGTCGATCGCAGTCCGGATATCTGGGTTTTTGAGACGCTTAGTATATTTTACCCGTCTACTTTCCCTCCTGGGTTTGTGGAGTCGTTGAGGCATGTTAGGCGTTGGAAGGAGCCTCAGGTAGAGATGATGGGACAGTTTGATATTGTGTTTTTTACTTTTTGCGGTATGAGTTGCACGTCTGAAGAGGACTATGAGGAAGCGCGAGAGGAGATGGAAAGGGAAGCTAGGGAGAAGGGAATCGAGCTTCCAGATACTGATACTTCTGTGGCTGAAAGGATATGGGAATATTACCGAAAGACAGGGGCGAAGATGAGGGGTCTTGAGATGAAGAAATATTGTGAAGAAGAAGGAGCCTGGGACTAGCGAGAGTGTGTATAAGGTGCACATATAGCTAGATCAATGGCGAGGCTAATGGCCAATAACTACATGAAGAATTTGAAGTCTACCCATTTCTGAACCCCTTATTCTAGTGTCAGCTTGCCAGATGGAACTGGACCAACTAGTATGGCGCATAGATCAAGGCCAACTGGTCCACCTCATCTCCATCTTGTCCCATGAAGCCCACAACGGCAAAGCCATCATCGGCAGTGAAAGTCGAGCAGTCATCGGTGGAAGTTCCCGCCTCGAGCGTGTTGCCCGAGCTAGTAGTGGCCTTAATATAGAAGTTGCGAGTCTCGTCATTGTACTTGCCAGTGCAAAGCTCGGTCTCAATCCAATATTCATCACTTCCAAGGGTAAGGGAAACAGATGTGCCACCAGTTCCACCGTGGCTGAAGGTAGTACCGTCCGTGAGCTCGACAGCAACAGAGTCCAAACGGCTGCCACCGGCAAAAGTGAGGACAGAAGCCGCAGGAGAGGAAGGGATGCTAGTAAGATCGCTGAACCAGTCACCATGGGGACCACCGGAGAATTCACTCTGTCGGAGAGAGGAAGACAATTTCCAGGAGAAGTCAATCAGGACGGGGTTGTGGTCAGAAAGAACGTCGCCCAAGTATTCCGAGTCAGTGTTGAGGAACTCATTTCCATCGTACTTGAAGCTGGTAGCATCCAAGGTGACAATGTCGGAGCCACGGTACAAGACCTTGTCGACAGTCTCACAGGTCTCGGTCGTCGATGGGTTATCGCATACGACTGCATCTGCGCCCGCGGTCGGGTAGACGCCGGCCTGTTCCAGCTGGACCCAGGCGTCGGTCAAGTCGTTTTGGGACTTGAAGACGCGGATGCCGGTGTCCGCAGAACGGGTGTAACGGCTGTTGGTATCGCCCATTACGAGCACGGCATTTCCGATAGACCAGGTATCGATGTAGTCAGCAACCTGCTGTAGGTTGGCGTTACGCGCAGTCTCATCACCGTCCTCGGTGCTTTCGAAAATATTAGCATATGTTCAGATAATCTTGTGCAAGGGACCACGTACCCGGCATCGGCATGGAGATTGTACACATCGATAAAGACTCCAGTGGATGGGTTCCAGCGCATGAAAGTAAATCCCTTGGGAGTAAGGCAATCGTCTTCTGAAGCGTCAGAGCATGTATCCCACTTAGTGCGCGTGAAGTCGAGCCAGTCATAGTTAGAAACGGTGTTCAGGCCACTTCCGATACCCGCACCACCTGAAGTTGATGTTCGGTAGGTGTGGTTATCAGTGTCGTAGATATAGGCGTGGTAGTTGAAATCCTAAATTTGGTTAGGTCTCTCGGTTTATGAAATTCAGCTCGCGTTTTCACCCACCTCCTGCATGTTGATGATATCATAGCCATACTCTGCAAAGTAAGTGCCGATTTCCTCGGCATTTTCCGTCTTCGTTCCGTTCACATCGTTTGAGTTGAGGATGGATGCGAGACCTGCGACGTTGAAGCTCAGCGCCGTGAAACTTCCGCTTGTCGTTGTCGCATGGGCAGAAGCCAGGAGCAGAGCTCCGGCGATCAAGGTGTTTCTAGCCATTTTAATTCCTAGTCTCCTTTTGATTCGGATTGGTGTTCTTGATTATCGGATCGACGAGAGGGAAATCAGTTGACTTTAAATAGGCCAACGATCGTCCTGTACAAACTTTCTGCTGTTCCGGGTCGTTTGAAGATCCCTTCGTGATGTTGCTTCGAGATGTCGGTTACAGCTAGCCTGCAGCCCATCGGGCACTACTTACACCGCGCATGAGCATAGGCAAAACGTGGGCGATTCCTCGCATCATGGTTGGCGAGATACTGTGAACGCTAGCCTTCAGCGATATGAGATTCTGCAGGGAAATGCCTAGGTGAGATGAGGAGATGAATTTCTTGAAAAGCTTTCAATGTTATGACCGCGCGGCATAATGTTTATGCAGGTCCCAATGAGGTTCCACGTGTTGATTCTATGTGGTGCTGATGGTATTTTCGCCAATATATTAGAGCCTTGGCATCCGGCTTCACAACACCTAAATGGCCAAATCTCCGCATCCGACACAATGCCAAGCTTCAATTGACGGCTGATGGCGGAAGTCTTGAATCTTCACAGCGGAATAAACAACTCTTCAGGTCATGGGCTGTTGAAATTAACGACCCAAAATGAACAACCAGGCACTTCCGGCTCCCTTGGGCTAGTTCAAACATGTGTGAACGGTCTTCAGGTACCGGGGAGCCGACTGAGAAACCAATTACAACCAGCAATTATATTGTTTCTATGCACTAGACTCTTTACACCTAGAGTATGATCAGAACCCAGAGATACATGTCACAATCAATTACAGTTTCGCAAAATCCCCAAAAAAAACCCTGCAATGGATAGCTTATCAGTCCTGCAGGGGTAAGGGCTTACTTACATGCATACACGCCGCTCAGGCGTCATCAATGAGATGTAAAAAAGTGTTTGAAAATCCCGGAGCACGATCTAAACAGGTCTGTTAATCCAGAAGTTGAGCGATGGCTCTCTCTCTGCGAGTGAGGTCAATTTTGGGTATGGACTCCATAAAATCTTGGAATGCTTGGGACTCTTGATCCTTGGCGTTAAATCATCACATAGATAGCCGTGCAAACACAAGCTGTGTTGCAGGAGTATTAAGCTAGAACTCATGTGCGCCACCCAGATGCGCCGCGTAATCTTTTCAGATTATGGGCTACTGGTCTGTGTGGCATTCTGTTCGGCTGTCGATTGTGCGTGAACCAAGGCATGGTTCGGTCATTCAGTAACTTTGAACTGCTCAGTTCCTTGTCCAATTCAAAAGCGCGAAAATAAATCACTGTGTGAAGCGCTAAGGCATGAGTTGCTCTGCTGTCACCGCCATGCATGTGGGCGACCATATTCAAAATGCCGTTGCCAAAAGGGGAAGAGCGGGCCCCGGGGTATGGTAAGAACTTCCAAGGTTGACAGCTAAGAATAGAGAAAAGAGGCAGTACTCTTGTATATTTGGTTATGCTAAAAGGACTCCCAAAGGGCCACAGCTCTTAATTGGACATTTGGAACATTCTTTGACAGGCAATCCGATTTCGGTATACAATGTAAAAGATGGTAGGATCCATATCGCGGAGCAAGAATTAGTATGAGTAAGGTTGGGGCCCGAGAAAAGACCAAGGAGGAAGAGTCGAAAGAAATTCAATTTCGGAACTTCGGAAAGAATACACGTGCATGCGATCGAATCAAGACTCAAGAGCCCTGCCCAGGATATATCCACACATGCAACAATTGAAGCATTTCAAGTTGTGGCCAGCACATATTCATTGTGGCGTGAAGACCATGTGACTCTCCCACCTTGGCACTCATGCCCATGACTCTGGCCAATTAGAAATATGCCCAGCATAAACTCCGTCTTCATCACGGATAAAGGCGGACTTTCAAAGTTTGTGACCTCGGGAAGTGTTGGAATATTCAAAAATCTCACCGGAGATTTAGTCACCATTCGGGATCTTTTGAGAACAATGATCGAATCAACTCATAGTGACTAAATCCCTCATATTTTGAAGACTCGTGACTCATGCAAGTGGTCAAGTGCTCAATTTCCCGACTGGGCGGAATACGCGCACAATTCCTTCCCCTCGTGCGCTAGTATTTCTCGCTAAAGCGAGATCGACCTACAGTTTCTATGAGAACTATACACTTGTACTGTGAAAGGGCAAAACAGACCCACATCATTGAAGGCTGTATGGCTGAGGGTCAACACACCCGTGGACCGTTTCCATCCCGGTGCCCAGGTGGATCGTGATCAACAACTTAGCGTGTTCCAGTGAGATTTGAAATCACCTCGCTATTCTTCCTCTCATATGGACGATCAAACCCCAGACCCGGCAATGGAAGATGCCGTGATGTCGACGGATGATACTGTTTAGGAGAGAAGTCCGGTAATCGGAATGCGTATAGATCAAGATGAGCATCCACCTTGCGTTCATTTGAATGTTTACGCTAGATCTCTGGGCAAAGGAGCGGAACTCGGAGTGCAATATTTTCCCTCGGAATACATTTCCATTTTTTCTTCTCTCCTGAGTCCTGACATGTGTCTCATACTTCCATTGGCTGACTAGTTTGCAGAGTGGATCGTCACGAATCGAAAAAGGGCGTCGGTAGACATCTTAAGGCTCATAAGGCTACAGACGTATTGCCACCGTATGCGATGAAAGCCTCTAAAAAAAAAACTCGTACATCTAACCTAAAAGGAGAAGGTGATCGTGCGACTCCTGTGTACGATCTACAAGGCGTGCATTTATTAGCCCGATTGAACCCGTAGCGTCCTCCAGCGAAGTTCTCACGCACGCCACCCGTCAGACGGGTTGATTGGGTCGGGTCTCCCGAAGTTCACCCATGGATCGTAACGAGGCGCTTGAACCCCTACGAATAAGAGTGGCCCACGTTCAAGGGAAGAGAAAACGTAAACGTTTCACTGCTTACGAACGTGGGCTCTCGATTGGTTCGATTGAATTCTATCAAAGCCCAAGTCCCCATTACCCAGAGACTGAGAGAAGGTAAAGATGATATCTAGAAATGGAATCCACGGTACCCAACTTAAGGTCTCCGCCCCCACTGGGCCGCGTATCCAATGAGAACTCGTTCGGTTAAAATTGGGTCCCACTTGACCCGTACAACCAACCACTTACAATGCACTTTCTTACCCCGTGGTGCTTCGACTGGCCCTCATCACTGCCGACTTGGCGGGGGACTGTCAGCATAACTTCCGACATCCAGTCATATTCCCCTTAACGGAGTCAATGGAGTAAATGTGCAACGAGAAATAATCTCCTAAGGCGCCACGGGCTTTTGAATAACAAGAACCCTGCAAGGGTTTTTACTAGAACAAGCCAGGAGTAATAAAGAACAACCCACGGATTCCGATTGGTAAAAACGCCATCACGATTGAGGTTTTTTTTTTTTTGCGCCGGCCTTGCCGAAATCGTGAACTCTATGCGAGTTGATTAATGTTTTTGCTTTTCCGTGGCTTGAGTTCTAGAACAAGCCTCGTCATCCAAATACCTAATGGTATGAGATGTCATATATCTAACCTTAACCGGTTAGCAGTGGACCCGACAAACACAGTATGGATTGAATCGAAAGCAAATCATATGGAGACAACCGTTGATTCCAATCAATCTGGCCCATGTATCGCTAGTGAGGTATCAGAGGTATTTTTTATTTCTTTTTTTTTTTTTTAGTTTTAGTTCACTTTTGTTTAAAATAGACGGAAATCCAAATCCATTAATATTTGCCATCGTGCCAGTTTTCATTCAATCTGAGGTACTCACTTTCTTTAACCATAACCGACCCAAAAGAAAATGCTAGACGACCCCAGCCTATGGCTACACATATGTATTTCAGCTGCTCTGGTGGTGATTGGCGGGGCCTTTTCAGGGTTGACGATCGCCCTGATGACCCAAGATGAAGTTTATCTCCGAGTGATCGAACTTTCCGGAGAACCGACGGACCAAGAAAACGCCAAAAAGGTCATTGCGCTTCTAAAACGCGGCAAGCATTGGATTCTCGTCGCCCTCCTACTCGGCAATGCCATCACTAGCGAGGCTCTGCCCGTCGTACTAGATCAATTTCTCGACGGCGGGGTGGCCGTGCTGGCAAGTACTGCACTCGTCGTCATATTCAGCGATGTGATCCCGCAGTCCGTTTGCGCTCGCCATGCGCTCAAAATCGGTGCGTACATGGCGCCCAGTGTGTCAATGATCATGAACATCCTGGCTCCCATTGCGTGGCCCATTGCCAAATTACTGGATCGTCTCGTTGGCGACCACGATTCCACGGGATATAAGCGATCCGGCCTCAAGGCTCTGTTCTCGATTCACAGAGTGCTGGGCAAGGCCGAGGAACGACTCAACGCCGACGAAGTCAAGATAACCCATGGTGCGCTGGGGATGATTGAGAAGGTCGTCACTAATATCATGACGCCCATCGACGCTATCTTCTCTCTACCCGCCGATGCAGTCTTGGACGAATACGCAATGGACCGCATCAGGATCCAAGGGTATTCTCGGATCCCCGTACACGCCCCCGGCAACCGCATGGACATCATCGGTGTGCTCCAGGCAAAGTCGCTGCTCAAATACAACCCCAAGCTCACCAGACGAGTGTGCGATTTCGACTGGTCTTCACCTCCGGTGATCGACTCAAGAACAAACTGTTTGAATGTCCTGAAGATTTTCCAGGAAGGAACACACCACATGATCGTCATCAGTCAGAAAGAGAGGAACCTGGTCCTTGGAATCGTCACTCGAGAAGACATTCTTGAAGAGTTGATCGGAGAGGACATTTTGGATGAGTTCGATGGCAGATATGACAGAGCGACTGAATTGGCGCGTCAAATGAGCCCCGTTCCCACGCGCCCATCTTCCTCCGAGAAGTTTGTGGAAAAGTCCCCGATCATCGCCATCTCCGCTCCCGAGAGCGAATTGCTCAGCGCTTGGGTTAAAGAGACTGCTTTCCCTCAGAAATACGGCTCTGTTGATAACTTCAACTCTGCAGCCCAGTGGAAATACATTCAATCTTACCTTGCACAAACGAGAAAACGACAGCGACTTGAGAATGCCACGAGGAGAGCATATGGAACGCTTTCATGATGAAAAGCTGTTCTTTAATTTATGAATCCATGAAGATCCCGACTCTTCCGACCCGCCCGACGGAGCAAATCTACGGATTTGGAGCACTGGGATCATTGTCCTACAGTTACTACGCAGAAATTCAGTGCATAATCCATACCAATGCCCGACATACTCAAAGAAAGGCATATATGGAACTCTACATCGACTATCCAGTTCAGATAAAGTGTCCTGGTTCAGGTCCCCACATGCAGGGATGAACCATGCCCAGAGCACTTGGCAGGGCCGGGGCGATTGACTGCCGGATGCCAATGCTGCCAAGGGCGGCCCGGGACTCGACATCCACGAAATTCATGGATAGGTCCAGGACCAGACGACGCCGACTGGAAAAGATTGGAGGGTTTGTTGTGAGATTACGATCTCTTGTCATGGTGCGACATAGAAAAACTGTCGCACAAGTGCATAACGTGGCTGGCCACGAAATTTACGAATCACCATGCTCAGCGAGTTTACATTACAAAATTACGGAAATAATACTTTGCATTCTTGGAAATATTCTATCTCATTGGTCTAAGCTCGTAAATAAAGTAAAATAGGGGTATTCTCGGGTACAATCCGACATGGACTCCAATCCATGGGGATCTTCGGGATCGTAGCGGCTTAAAGCATTGATCCATGGATCAGATACGAGAATCACTTCCACCAAAAGACCGAAGAAGAAAAACGAAACGAAAACCGCACATTTATTTAAGACACAAGGCTGATTCAGTGAGACGAAACTGCTCTCGACCGTGGATGTTGTAAAAGTTCAAATCCCTTCTTTTTGGCCCCTGAGTTTAGTGGGTCCAGCCGGCAAGGTCATGCATGATTTCGATCTGCAACGGCCCTTTTGCATGATAGAAATCTCTAGTAAAATATAGAGTATCAAAGAATAACCTCGGAAGAAAGATAATTGTAGGCCTCATCTACTAGAAACCCAAGTGGGGGAAATGGCTGAAGTTTGAACACATCATGCAATTGATTGTGGGAGAGGAGCCGCAGCCCCGCGAACGACCCCACCTATCACAATCCAATGTTCGTGCGGCGAAAATTTGAAGGTTTTGCTGTCATCATTTTCGCCTGTGAAGCCATGAACCCTTTGCCCAAGAATTACGAACAATTAATCGAGCAATACGATTGATTGAGTCGCCCCCAATAATCGAGGCTATATTCCAATTTGTTCTTGGCCAAGGCTGGACGGAGACTTGAAGCCGAGGCGTTCCAATTTCAGTCCTTTATGGCCAACCTCGACGGCGCCGGTGCACGCAACGACCGGGTGTACTTTTAGCCTTTTGGCTCTTTTTTGTTTACTTCTCCTCTTCTTTGCCCTGCAGGAAGAACTCATGATGGTTTTTGCATAACATCATTTGAAAGAGGGACTGGTATATACGTCTCCGCTTGACTGGACTCGAACATTGAAAGCCGAGATTCCTTAAAATGGCATCCATTCTTCCAGTACACCCGGTAGGGTGGAATGGAATGAAAGACCATTGGTGGCAATTCGTAAGTCACTTGCTTCAAAGATAGTCTTAGATGCCTTCGAGTCAAATGCTGACAATGTAAAGGTCATAATTGGAGTTTTTCTCGCATGTATCATCATCGGATCTCTGTATATCATCTGGTCCGTGGTGTTGAGAATCAATAATTACTATAAGGTAAACAAACGGAGCTTCCATGAGCTCGAATTGAGCGCCGGATTCAAATGTTCTAACAAGTGGCTGTTCATAGTCAAAACCACGCGCAGATATTGTACCTTTGGAGGTCTCTCTGTGCCTTGAAAAACTGGCGCTTGACGACCTCAAGCTGACTAGTCTTCGCTCTGGACATCACAAACCATCCTCATTCGGTGTATATCTTGGAAGCTTCGATGATCCCTTGACCTGCTCACAGGATAAATTGCTAAGGCAATGGGATATACTAGTTTTGGATCCCTTTCAAAATGGTGTTGCAAGAGCCCTGCACAGCGACATTAAAACGTATGTGCTCGGTAGGCTCGACTTTGCACAGCTTTTCTCACACCAGGACGACGCAACTGTAATGATCGAAAAGCTTAGGACTGTTCTGAATAGCAAGTTCACTAATACTTCGTTCGCCGGTGTGTTATTTTCCAACTGGGAGGGTGTTTTCCCTCTCTTCACTGAGAAAAAGCTGTTTCAGATCATCGACAGGCTTGGTCTGGCAGTATATCTTGAAACGCAAGCACCGGGTTTCTTGAAAAATAGAAATTTCTTGCAAAATGAGGCTGTGTCTGGCCTTGTGATTCGGAATGCGAGTATCTTGCCCCAGGGAGAAAAACGTGATTATTTTCAAATGACCGAACTCCAGCCAACAATCAAGGCTTGTGTGTCCGAGGCTTGCACAAGAAATTTTGTCGTTCTGGTATGGGAAACAGTGAGCGATGATGCAGTGTTGTCAAATGCCGTGGTTCGAAGGTCGCTTCAGTGGTCCAATTTTTATAGTGCGATTTCGTGGATTGGATCTGAATCTGCTCTTCAAAATTCCGAGTCAAACGTACCGATAGTCGAGCCACTTTCAGCTTTTGGTTGGTTGAAAGAACCTGATATAATGAAGGCTCATGAAGTTTGGCGCTCAAATCTTGGTGTCTCCTCGTGTGCCGGTGACCAAACGGGCTGGGAAATTCTTCAACCACTTTTCCCTTCGATCAAAGAGTTCCTTGAATCTACCCCAGATGAAAAAAAAGTCTCGGAAGGTTCAAATTCCCCCATTCGCAGTCCCTCAGACTGGACCACACACATTAAATCACAGGGGAATCCATTATCTATTTCGACATCTGGACAAGAGTATACCTACCTCGGGTGTTTCCCATTGGGTTCAGATCCGGACGCACTTGCATTCTCAGAAATCCTGCAATCCCAGCTGCGTTTGAAACGACTAAATCTTCTTGATCCTGTTCCCACAGAACAAATCCAGAGCATCGGAACCCTTCTTGGGGAATTTCACTCGACTTTTCTGGCTTCAAATGGCGACGCCCAGCTTGCAGAAACCGTCAAGCAGCTCTCAGATCTGGCTTTTAGTAAATATTTACGCGTCAATCTTTCATTAGACTCAGGTCTCAGGCAAAATACAGACACTCGATTCTGGGCGGTTTGTCAAATTGAAAATGACGAAGCCGAAGTTTTCGTCTCCAAAAACGCGCATGATCTGGTCGGAACCATCCTACATGCTTTCCTGTCTGCCAAAGGTTTATCCCGTGATGCGTGTTTTGAAACGGAAACCGCATTCTCGACATGGTCGCAGAGTATCTCACCAAGCACCGGTCTTCCGCGTCGGCTAGTTCAGGATGTCGACTGTCTTAGTCCTGAAGAGCGTATAATATTATTGCAGCGCATATTACTTGCAGATTCAACAAGTCGCATGCTGGACAAGATATCATCTTACATCCGCACTAAATTAATGGATGCCCCCACATTGGCTCAACTGAAACAAATAAACACAGTTCGCTACCTCGAAGAATCGGTTTCCGCTGAAGCTCTTGTCGAGGGTCGAATCGCTTGGTACAAAGATCAAGAATGCAAACCCCCCTCTTTGGAATCCTCCTTGGAGCTTTTCCATGAAGTCCATCGGGTCTTTACAGAAATTTTGAGAACGCATCGAGAAGTCGATCTTTCTAGCATCACAAAAGGACTCAGCACCCTGGTTCAAGACAGCCATGGCAACGCACACGTCGACATGCTAGCACTGGCTCTATTCTGTGCCGCGAGAAAGAGCGCTTTCGACGAAATCTACGCAGAAGTCACAGACCGCAATCCCCTTTTCAACAATCAGCCCGATCAGGCTGCTACATTTGCCGAATCCTTTGCCCTAGGCTCACGATGTGAGGCATACTTTGATTTTTCCCCTAGCACATTTGGAAAACTTCTTTCCGATCGCTTTCGAACATACTACAATGTGCATCAACACCCAGATTGGATTAACGGGGCACCAGAGCTCGCAACTACTTACGCTGGAGCCCAGATTGATGTCAATCCAGACGAGAAAGCGAAGCCCTTGAGGCCATATCAGCGATTTACCTTCTTGGGTGTATTTGCGATTCCGGCCTTAATCGACATTGTTCTTCTTAGCATCATTGGACGTGGTCTATATCTGTCTGCTTATATGACGCATGAAGAGCAGGGCAGTGCAACGGTCGCATTGTTGATTTCCTTGCTTCTTTCGGGTGCAATTGGTACCTGGATTGCATGTGGTGGCCCATACTACCTCCTATCGATGGCATTTGCTGCCGCAAATATGTTTGTTCTTATCCGCTTGATTGCCGGTATTGCCTTCACCATAGCGGGCGGGTTGATTGGATTTGTCGCCATTTCTGTTGTCAAGTCGCCTCGTGCAGGTATTGTTTTCTACCTTTACCTCGTCGGCTTGACCATTTACTTTTCGACTTTTGCTTGTCTCGCAAGTTTCAGCTACCCGGGATCAACATTCCTCTCGGGGCGCAAGGCAATAATAATGTGTATACCGATTTTGTTCTTGTCTCCCATTCTCACCACCTTCATCGGAAATGATTCGGCTATCTACATTGCGGTCTTATACATTTGTATTGGAGTCCTTCTTCTCTGTTTGCGCTCTACGACATCGCAATGGGTGACATGGTATCAATCGATTCGACGAACAGATGACAATGAAATCCGCAAATGGTATATTGCTATCCACGGTGACAACGACGAGAAAGTCCTCGACGACATGAGTGATCCAGGTGCACTCAAGTTAGCCAGAGGTGCTTTATTGGAAGATTTAATGTCAGAGAGATCGCGCAGCATTGTCTCCAAACCCACAACTAATCAATTGGTCAAAGAACTTGCGCATGATTGGGAGTCCACTAACTTCCTTCTGGATTGGTACTGCCGATATGCCGACATTCCAAAGCCAATTCCGTTCAGCTCAAGCTGGAACATTCAAACAAAAGTCGCTTTAGAGACTTTGCGGAGCTCTCAGAAGGGCTTGAGACTGCACAATGCATTTATTCACTGGCGCCAGTCAAGCAATGACATTGGCTGCGGTGTTCTGTATTTTGTTCTTGCTCTTCTTGACAAGTGGACGCAATTGCTTTGCCGGGGCCACCTCCTTGGCCTGACGGGGTCTTTGAGTGATGTCAACCGTAAGGCAGCTGGCTTTGCACTAGCCTACTATCTTATCGGGGCTATCTTGATTGATACTAAAGCGCAAGAGATTCACCAGACGATAGGTGGACAGAAGCCCACAGCCATCAAAACAGAAAATGGAATCCATGCTGCACAGAAGAGAGTTGTGCGTTTCCGTCGAAAAATCTACAGGAGAACTCTCTTCAAATTCTTACTATGGCATGTTTGGAGTCTTGCAGTTTCCACGGCTCTGCTATGGACGTTTGAGGTGACCTTGGAAGGCATGATAATTTTCTTTGCCTATGTGCTTGCCTACACGGGCTTGATCTGGTATCAATATACCAAAATATTTGCCGGGCCTTATGCACTGAAGCCCGTCATTTTCGGAATATGTCTCGGATTCCCCGTCAGCATTTCTCTGAAAGTCTGTCTTCCCAACTTCCTTTACTCGGAAGTCATTGGCCTTGGAGTTGCAACTTGGATTGCTGCTTTGCTGTCGTTCTGCAGCGCAAGACTGGGCATGCCCCCTGAAAGTGTATCTCTTGTGAAACTTGGAAAGAATCTCCACGCATTCACTTCCCCCTGGGCACAAATATCGTGGTCGCAACAAGAGCTTCAAAGTTTGTTCGATTCCATCTTACTCCTGCCCGAGGATGATCGATATGGCCTTGATCCCACAGCCCATCCAGCCATCGAGATAAAGAGTGTGCTCTTATCTCGCACCCAAGAACCCTGGATTGAAGAAGGTTTTCCGAACTCGAAAAGTATTTTTGACAACATTATTTCTGGGTGGCATAAAGGAGAAATATACGTTGAGTTAGTGTCACCACGCTCTCTGCGCCCAGGAATCCAAGCCTTGAGCTGTAGTATTGGAAAGCAGCTCATGATCTTCATCGGCATCAATGGCTTGCATGATCAGCGTCTGGATATTTCCACGAATTGCAAGATCATCGCGGAAATGCTGGTCCATTCTGTTGTTAATGCGACAATGGGTATTCCTCATGAGCATGCACGGCTCGCCGAGAGAATTGTTTCCGGGGGTCTGACAACGACCATGGCCAGACAGCTCTCAGAAGAAGGAAACCCATCTATCGCTGTAAAATGGGCTAAGAAAGAACTCCTTAAACAGCTTTGTCTTGGGTTGGAGCCTGATATTTATTGGGATGATTTGGATGTCGGGGTTCGAACTGCTTTGCTGCGCCGTTGTCTGGGTCAGTCTTGCTATTTCTCTCGGGGTTCACGACAGGCTCTTGAAAAAAGCCTTTCTCAATTCGGAACCAAAGATCTGGACGTTCATATAGCAAGATGTAATCTGGCTGTTACGACTGCGATTGAAGTCCTAGAATATGCGCGCTATGATGCAGAGCCGATCGGCTTTCTGGAGCAGCCCGATGCCCCCGAGTACATCCCTTATCTGCCGCAGAATCCCCCAATATCAATATCGGCAATCCTCTCCCCTTTCAGCTTTCTTTATAACAAGCTTGGAGCGATCAGCAAGTTCACCATGATTGCTTTGCTTGCCGATGCTGAGTTTCAGAGGGAGTTTGATCACGCCACCAAGTCTCTCCCAACGCTTTTGCGTGTACCTACGGTGTTTCTAGTGAATACTGTGTGGGTTTATTCGAAGGCCATGCAAGACTTTGGGCTATCCTTGTTCTTGTTCTATGGCAGAGATAACATGAAGCAGTTATGGGAAGAGACGAAAGGCATCTGTATTCAGGTAAAAAAACACCGAGTCGTCATCCACAATGCACACGGCACGTTCACAGCCTTCCAGCATGAAGTTTCCGATGGTGTTTTCCAAGTGCATCAGTACGAGGGTGATCACAAGACTGAGCCAATAGAACCGAAGGTACTCAGGTCCATTGGAGTTTACTCGGATGAGATGCTACTTCTCAGCAAGCAACAATTCAAAGACGGGATTCTCCTCAGTGAATACCATTTCGACCACCGAACCCCTTCGAAGAAAAGCATCAAGTCCAGAAATGCTGCTGCCATGCGCGTTCCGATGAGAAGGCGTTGTGTACAAGGTGAAAACAACCTACAATGTGTTGAATACAACAGCGAGGGTCTCATAGAAGCCGGTTCCTTCATGAAAGACGGTATTCTTATCAAATTCAAGTATTACTATCGAAAGAACCCGCAATCTGGCGATGATCTTCTTCGTGCTGAATACTTCATGGCTCAATTATCTTGTGTGGTGTCCTGGTGTGCTCCTCCTCGCCGCCATGCGGACAAATTGGATCGATGGATCCCACATTCTAGGGTGACCGAAGTAACACTTGTGCAAGATGGTGTTATTTTCCAAAGTCGTTGGTTGTATGATCACAAATTTCATCCCACGATTCTCACCACTGTCAACGGCAGCGAGGTGCAAACGCCTTCTTTTATCAAAGATGACGTATTTGGGATTCTTACAAAGCCTCAAAACACATACTTTGCTCAAGACGATCCTCTTTTCTACTGTGACACTCTGAAGTCGAACATCATCACGCGTATGCTAGGCTTGGGAAAGAAGCGGCTCATTATGTCAACATCTCAGGCTCGATCTTTGTTGTGGAAGGCATGGAAGAGTCACGACGAATTCGACGGAGTCATGATTCAATGGATGGATGATCAGATTTTGCGACAGGACCTCGTTCTTGCTCCTTATTGGCGTGCTCGTGACTGGGGAAATCTTACTGCGGCAAAAGAATACATGGAGCTTCATGCGGATACCATCATGGCCAGCGCAGATATGGATGGAGCTGTTTCCAGCTGGACTCCGCTGGCGGTCAAAATGAGTGATCTTGTTAACTTTGGACCTGGTGGTGATGCTGTTGTTACAACACGCTCAAAGGAACTTGCTTATGACACTGATGAGACTCTGCATGTCATGGCTGCTGACACTGGTACGTGGCCAAATGAAGGTGGAGGTGTCTCTGCTTGTAGGCGGGATATGGTCAACTCCTTGCAAAACATCAAGTGGCATATGCTTTGCGAGTCAGCGAACGATTTTGGCATTCCGAAGCATCAAACAGAGCGCAACGTTGAGTCTTTGAAGATAATCCCACTCTGGGGGTTGGACTTTCTTACGCCAACTCATGGCCTCTTCCACAACAAGTTGGACTCGGAGGTGGACGTTGTGTCTACAGCAAGTGAATTTGACATCAGGATGAACTTCATCCCGATCCTTGCAGCACTTGTGAAAGGAGCACGGGCAGTGGTTCTTTCCAACACTGATATTGACCAGGCTACCAGGGCCCTTGTCAATCTCAACACATATTTCCAAGAGACCCGACACTGGTCTCAGGTTTGGAATAGCGAGCTGGTTAAGCAGACCTGGCGCAACCTTTGGCTCACTCAAGACATGCCGAATGCAGTCCCTTCAACAGAATGGTTTGACACAGAGCTTCCCACACTACCCTCATTGGATGTTGCTCTGGAGTTGTGGTACCGCTATCTTTTCATTTTCGCGATTCCGGTCCCTGAAAAGATCCCTGATATTTTCCAGGCCTCACATCACACTGTGAGCGCCTCGTATGGTGTGGTATGCAAAATCAAAAGAGGCTGCACGCTACAAATTTGGGACCATGCTATCGCCTGGCGGGAAACAAATCTCTGTCTCTCGTCCGCACTATCTAAGCTCTCACCATTTGTGCGAAACTCCCTCCTGGGCCTCATACGCATCACATCCGTCTTGACTCTCCACCACGCAGATGTCATTCTTCCATGTGCAGATTTCTTCAATCCAGGCTGGGAGGTGGAGATCGGGACGTGCCAAGGCACGATCGAGCATCGGGCCAAATTCCGCCGGAAGATCGACCCCGTCGTCAATGGTATCACAGACATGCAGAAGTTCACGCCGACGGACAAAATCAAAACCGAGCGCCCGACCGTAACGATGTTGTCCCATGTATGGTTTGCCAAGGATATCAAGACCGCTCTGCTTGCTGCCCATATAATAATCAACCAGTGGAAATTCGACGATTACCACCTAGACATCTACGGCGCAATTGACAAGGCACCAACCTACTCAACCGAATGTCAAGAAATCATCGCCTCAAAGGGCCTTCGTGGCCGCGTTACAATGCGCGGTACTGCGGATCCAATGAAAGTGTTGGAAAAAACATGGCTCTTCCTCAACTCATCACTCTCAGAAGGCCTCCCTCTTGCGCTCGGTGAAGCAGCTTTGACCGGTGCACCTGTTGTCTGCACGGACGTGGGTGCGTCGCTTCGCGTACTTAGTGATCCAGATGACTTCTCTCGTTTCAGCGCAGTAGTCGCCCCGAATGATGCCCTCGCGTTGGCAAGGGCTCAAATCTCCATGCTGGCTCTTCTGGGCGAATGGAGTCAATATGCGGGAGACGACGAGGTCGCGCCAATTCTCACCTCAGCGCCTACCCCTAAGGATGTCGCAATTATCACCCGTCGTATGTATGAGAAAACCGCGCAACGTCGTGAACTGGGTATGAAGACTCGCCAGATTGTGCAGAAGTCGTTTAGCGGTGCTCGGTATCTTCGGGAGCATGAGCAGATGCTGTGGATTGGCAAATCTGCCTCGACAATGGCCAGGCGTACAAGAGTGATGATCAAGCACACAGCTACTGGTGGTGGGGAAAGGGGAAATCCACCCCCTTCTGGCGACTTTCATCTTAGCTCGAGCAGCTCCGCCAACGATATTGAATCTCTCGGCCATTTATCGGCCTTGGTTCCCGGTTACCCTGGTGATCTGGCTGGGCCGAGTGAGAGCCCTCCAGGCATCAATCCAGGCACAATACAGATGCCGGTCCAAAACTTCAGGACTTCTCTCGCCAGTCTGCTCCGATCACAGGCACATACGGGTTCTTTGTTGAATTCTGGACGCGAGGAGCTGCGTAGTCTACGTCGGGAAGACTTGCTGCAGTTTCGAAGCTCGGATGTCAACTTAATCTTGAATCAGGATTTCCTACGCTCTGCTATGCTTTGGAGTGGTTAGGCTCTGGCTGTATATGGACCTTGGAGCACCACTATTCAACTATCTAAAAATTGATCCATTTTTGAAAGCATCCAGAATATTTCTTCTCGTCTTTTCCGGTATATCTGTCCTTTTAGTCGCTATCCATGTAATTCTCATTACTAATCCAGCACTTGAGTAGAAGACAGAATGGATGTAGCAAGGTGACAGGTCCATGTGCCGACCGGCAGCTATCGCTCGCAGTCATTCCAACAAGTTCGAACGCTGCGCCTTCTCCTTTTTTTCTTCGACAACGCCGAGTCCCAACTGTTGCCAAGGGGTCTCTCGGATTGATGGATACAAGGTAGAGGGGTCTCCAACGATGCTTGTGAGAATCGGCGTGAATTCGATGTCGGGAATTCGCTGTTGGAAAAGGATCTCGTGCGCCATAAGCGCAATCGCGGGGTTCGCATGGACGCGAGCCTTGGTGAGGTCCCATGCAGTGTTGTATTCCTGTACAAAGGTATGCGTCACGGCGGTTAGGGGGCCATTCTCGAAGCTTTTGATCAACTCCGAACCCTTGAAACCGGTTTCGGCGGCCGATACCCGCCTACCTACTGCCACAGCCCAATTTCAACTTTCCGACCGGCAGAAAATAAATTACGGGTAATTCCAAATTCATATTTGTTATTGAACTCCATTATATACAGCGCTGCATTATATATTGAATCCTTGAACTCCACAATGTCAGTTATACGTTGAATCCCCATGTGTACTTCCTATGTATTTTGAATCCTTCAAATGTTGAACTCTATAATCAATCCATTCAAACTCAAGTCAATTCTCAAGTCCATTCTCAAGTCTATTCTCAAGTTTATTCTCAAGCCTATTCTCAAGTCTATTCTCGGGGCTATTCTCAAGTCTATTCTCAAGTCTATTCTCAAGTCTATTCTCAAGTCTATTCTAAAAAGGACCCGTATTTAGATCAAATCCCTTAAGATGTTCCTGCAGGTGATAAATACAATACGGGCGGGAAACAGGGCGGTGAAGTAAGAAATCGAAATTGGGTTATGGCAGTAGGGTGGCGGTTATCGACCCCCATACCTTCCCCTTTTGCATAACTTGAAAGTTGAGATCTCTCAAATCTCAACATCAAAACTTTCAACTGTTTGATCACTTTGTTTGTCATGTGATCTGTACTCTCACTCCACCCTCTTGTAGGTAGCTTGTTCTCTTCCTTCTCTTCTTCTTTCTTTCTTCCTTGCACCACTCAATACTATCATATTGCGTTCATGCCCTCCTTTCCCTCGTAGACTCGATTCCTCGTGTCTGTTCATCAACTATTGAGCTCATGTACACCTCTTTCATTTGCAGGAAGTCCTGTCCCTCTCAATCACAACCGTCTACACGGGTTTAGTGCCTACTTGGTGTTTCAAACACCGCGATCATGGCCGTTGCAAGTGCTTGCAAAGTCTCTGGCTTGTATATGGTCGGCTGGATCGCTGCTCTCTCCATAGAGTGCGCCGCCGCGACTGCGATGCTGAATGAGCGCCATGAGACGCCGCGTGACTTCTCCCAGAGTCAATCCGACGAGAACCTATACACCTGGGGAAAGATGGGTGAGCATCATGTCGCGATTGTCTCCCTGCCTCCAGGCGCGCACGGAACGCCCGCCGCAGCGAACATGGCATCCAATCTTCTAGCATCCTTGCCCAATATCCGATTTACTCTAGTGGTTGGAATTGCCAGCGGTATCCCGCAGCTTGGCCAAGGTCGTGATATTCGACTTGGAGACGTTGTCGTCGGCCAGCCACAGGAGATGACGAGTGGGGTGATTCGATATGACCTCACTCAGACCATCACACAGGACCGAAAAATCTCCTTGAGCAAACCTCCTCCAATCCTTCTCCGGGCTATGGGCTCTGTTCAAGTAGCTCACGAATTAGAAGAATCCAAGGTGCCCGAGTTCCTTAGTGCCATGCCACGAAAAAGGGCCCGGGCATCCACTGGTAGCAAGAGGGACAATGGGTATTTTCATCAAGGATTCGAAAATGACCAGTTTTTCAAATCAATATACCAGCACAAAGGCGGACGTGACTGTCTTAAGTGTCATTTAAAGGAACAAGTGGAGCGTGGGGTGCGGTTTAGTACTGACCCAGAAATCCACTACGGCATAATCGCCTCTGGCAATGCGCGTGTCAAGGACAGTGCAACCAGGGACACTATTTTGAAAGACGCTGGAAACGAATGCATTTGCTTCCTGTGGGAAGCTGCCGGCCTGATGAATCACTTTCCATGCCTTGTGATTAGGGGTATTTGTGACTATGCCGACTCACACAAGAACGATCAATGGCAACGATATGCTTCTGCTACCGCTGCCGCCTATGGAAAAGAGCTCCTCCACTACATTAGCTCTAGGGGGGTTAAGGAGAGCCAGTTGGCTTTGGATGTTCTTAAATCCGGTTCGTCCCATTCTTTCTGGACTTGAAGACCGAACTAATGAATCTCAAGTGAAACCAGATATGGAGGGAGTGAATGCTACTACAAAAATCATCAAAGAAAAAGCCGAATTCGTTTCAAACTCCTATATATATCACCTTTCCAAACTAGAGGATTGGCTTCCAGATGCCGGCCTGGAGCTCGAACTCACTGAAGCACGAGAGAAGCGACAGGATGGAACCGGTGCCTGGCTTCTTGAAAGTGGGCCGTTCAAAGAGTGGAAGTCAGGAAACCGACGATCTCTCTGGCTACATGGGCCTCCTGGGTGTGGGAAAACAGTCCTGGGCGCCATGATCGTCGATCATATCGACCAAACATCTATACACAGCCCCATCATACTTTCTTACTTCTTTGGCTTCAGAAGCAAACCTACCCAGTCAATTCTTGGCTTCTTTGGGTGTCTTATTCGTCAGCTATATTCGAAATGTCCAAATTCGTGAGCGGAACTGGATGCGGTCTTTTCATCCTATGAGAATGGACTCCGTAGGCCCACAACGAGATCACTTTTCGAGGTATTCTCCAAAATTATGTCCCATACTGAACAGATCCGTATTATTATTGACGCTCTGGATGAATGTGAATTAACGAACAATCTCCTTATTTGGATAGAAAGCCTCATAAAGCTGGAGCACCCAGGACTTCGCATCCTCGTCATTAGCCGGAAAGAAGAGGAAATCGAGTCGCGACTGCAGCACTTTGAGATCCTCTTTCCAATTCTGCCAGATCTTGTGGAGGTTGATATCCGTGCTTATGTTCATCAAAGACTGCGAGACGGTTGCGGATTCGAGAGATGGTCTTCCCATTCGGATTTGATTGAGAGTCAATTGGTGCAGAACGCCCATGGAGTGTAAGAACAACAATTCTCGAGGTATTGAATTTTTCCAGTCGACTATACTAACTATGAGAATAGTTTCATGTGGGCTGAATGCCAACTTGATGCTTTACAAAGTTATATCGATGTCGATTTACTGGAGAACTGGCTCCAAGATCTTCCTGCAACACTGGAGGAAACTTATGGAAGAATACTGGCCAACATCACCGAAAGTCATCGACCTTACGCCGTGAGAATTCTCCAGTTTCTAACATACTCAACGCGTCCCTTGCGTCTCGATGAGGCGGCTGAGATTATGGCTATTGATCCCAGTCAGACGCCTTCGTTCAATCGAAATGGCGAGATCCCAGACATTCTCGAGATCGTCCAATCATGCTCATCTCTGGTCTCTATGGTGAAACGAGGGTATAAAATAATAAATGGGAATACTCTTTCTGAAAATGCGAACAAAACTGAGAAGACAGACGAGGCAAAGGTGGTGGACGAGGTGCAGCTTGAGTTGGCTCATTTCTCTGTTCAAGAATACTTGAAATCGGGTCTCATTCAAAGTTCGTTCCCAAAAGATGATACTCAGACTGGCACAATATTTCAGAATGCCATGAAAGAAATGACCGCCCGGGGTTTAATTACCAAAACATGCCTGGCTTACATGTCCTATCCCAATCTGCAAAAAACAATGGACGAAATCAGAGCAGAGTTTCCGCTTACCACTTACTCCACTGAGTTTTGGAGATGTCACGCAGAATTCTCTGAGAGAGAGGAAGAAGTCCAGCAAAGCATCATACAATTCTTTCGTGGAACAGGCTGCACGTTGTGGCTCAAATTCTCCCCCAAATCCGAGTCTTTGCCTAAAGTTCCATCTCAGGAGAACTTGGAAATTGCGCTGTGGTTTGCTTCTACTATGGTTCTCCCACACACGACTCAACGGCTGTTGTATGAAGAGTCTCTGCAATATCGACCCTGCGACCTTAGGTGGGCACTCCATCGTGCTACAGAAAAAGGTCACATTGATACTGTGCGGGTACTTTTAGCGGCCGGCGCCAACACCAACCTAAACACCATATGTGACGGCTTTCCCATCCATTCGGCTTCTTGGAGAGGCGATACCAAGGTTGTACAACTCCTGCTAATATGCGGTGCTAGAATCAACGCCCAATCCTCTGAGGGCACTGCTCTTTTCCTTGCTTCGCGTTATGGTCACACCAAAACTGTGAATCTGCTCTTAAAGGCCGGTGCCGAGTTCGGCCTAGAAGAGCCCTTTGGGAAAAATGCGATCGAGGCTGCTTTAGACAAAGGTCATACCGAGATAGCAAATGTGCTCTTAGAGGCCGATGCCAAGGCCAACCCATGGCGCACGCATGTATCTTCACTCTACAGCGCTGCTTCAATCGGCCTCGTCAATATCGTGAGGTTTTTCATAAGCGTTGGCACTGATGTAGACACAGAGGACGAATGTCGAAGTGCACTCACAGCTGCTTCAGATGCCGGCCACACCGACGTCGTGAAGGTCCTTTTGGCGGCCGGTGCAGATGTCCACGCTTACGGAGGAGAGGACTTTGTCGATGCACTGCATGCGGCAACATGGAATGGCCACGTTGAGACCGTGCAGGTGCTCTTAGAGGCCGGTGCTGATCCAGAAGCAGGTGCGTCAAGACAACAAAGGAGAGTATGGCATGGCGGTTACGCACTTGAGGCTGCTCGAGAAAAGAACTATGGCGAGATCAGACAACTGCTCGAAAAAGCGATCAGGGACAGAACACCCTCCCGCAGGATTTGACCTCAGCAACAAGCTAACTCACAGAAATGATCCTGTTGAATCAGTCGTATGTAAATTATACTTGATCCCAGGTGCCCAGATGGCATTAAGATGACACAATTACCTACTTGGTAGTGTAGAGCTCTCCAGTTTAGACGTAGGAATTGATCCAACATTGAAGCTTTTAGTACGTGATCCATGAATTTTTGTAGAAAACCCGTTGGAAATGAAGGTATTCATGTATGTATATTTATCGAAAGCAAAAAAAAACACAAACCGAGACGAACCGCCGATGTGGAGAATCTACTAGGTACAAAGTAAAGTACGAACGGAACCATCAAACAAAGTATTTAAGCGGCAACGAGCGCTTAGCTCTATTCCACACCGAATCCTCCTCCGGCTTCGGGTTCGCGATACGATGCCACTCCCCATTGAACGCATTAATAAGCCAGCTAGAAAGGCCTGCCAGAACAATTAGTTATGTGAATCCTTCATGGAGGATGGATGGATGGTCGGGGAGCAGACTTACGTTCATATACCAAAGTATGTCCATTATGGAAGATGATGCTGTGATCTGAATCAGGGAAGATCTGCATGTCATAATTGTCGACGTTCGCCAAGTCCAGCTTGTCGATGAGTGTGAGGGTGTTTTGCAGATGGACGTTGTCGTCTGCGTTGCCGTGCATGATCAGGAATCGAACGTTTTGACTAATGGCCTTTACGTCGGTGATGGTCGAGTTCTCGTAGCCTGATGGGTTGTGCTGGGGTGTGTGCATGTATCTTTCGGTGTAAATGGAGTCTGTGGGAACGACTGTTAGGGTGACGGCTTTTTTAAAAGAAGAAAAAATTACGCAAGGCTTCATTCACTCACCATAGAACCTCCAGTCCGTCACGGGCGCGACGGCCATGCCGTACTGGAAAGTTTGGCCTGCGTCCAGCTCAAGAACCTTGAGAGTCATGAAGCCGCCGAAACTCCAGCCCCAGATTGCCATGCGGGATTCGTCTACGTAGGACTTCGCGGCGTAGATCTTAGCAGCCTCGATCTGGTCGTGGGCTTCATAGTGGCCGAGGTTACCGCGGACGATGCACCGCGCTTTGCGACCAATCCATCCCGTTCCGCGGCCATCCACTGTGACGACGATGTATCCCAAGCTAGAGGCGATGTACGTTTGGAAGTCCACGGTGAATTTGCGGTCCACTGTTTGGGAGCCAGGACCGGCGTACATGTAGAAAAGCACGGGGTATTTCTTGGCTGGGTTGAAGTGTGGGGGCCGGCGTTCAACGACTTGGAGGACATATCCGTCGACGGTCACGTTGGTGTAGATCTCTGCAGGGAGGGCGTAGTCTTCAACCATCTGGGTGAGTCGGGCATTTTCTTCAATCACGGCCTCGTACTCGAGCTTCTCTCCCAGCGTGTTGATGATGGCCTGCCACGGGACGGCTGGCCCCTTGGAGCTGAGGAGCGCGTATCCAGAGCCCTCCGAGAAGGAGATCTCATAGTACCCGGCTTTGGATGTATCGGTCAACGGGCGAAGGTCAGATCCGTCCAGCTTCACTTGGTATACATGACGCTGGGTTGGTGCCTCTTTGGTCGCAACGAAGTACACAATGTTTCTCTGCAAGTCAACAGCGGAGGGCGCAGACACCACCTCCCAGTCTCCCTTGGTGAGCATAACGGGCTCAGAGCTATCGAGAGGGGAGAAGTATGCCAGATGGTCGTAGCCTTCATAGATCACGGTGTCTACGTATCCGTCGTGTGGTCGGCCATTTGCAGGATCGGCAGGGATAAACCGTGTGGACTGCGAGGGCTCAACCCATCCACCGTCGAGTCCGGCAACATCCACTGAGCGAACAATCTTTCCGGTCCGGGTTTGCGTGTCTACCAAGAATATCTTTGTCACATCACTCTCACGGTTCGTCTCTCGGACAAGCACCTTGCCCTCGGATGCCCAAACAACTTCGATAATGATGCGATCGTCATCTTGGAAGTCCTCCGGCATGTCGACAACAAATACTTCTTCCCGATCAACATCATAGAACTCCAAGCGGACCACGGGGTTCGGGCTACCGGCCTTGGGGTACTTGATCTGTCGAACTTCTGGGTAGTTTTCGAGTCCAGGTAGAGGCTTCTTGCCCGAAGGGCGAGAGAGGAAGTACTGGACAGGATATTCAGGAACTTCAGCCTCCTCGGTCCGCAAGAAGGCAAGGAACTTGCCATCACGCGCCCACCAAGTTCCCGAATTTCCAGAAAAGACCTCTTCCTCATAAACCCAATCAGGAACACCATAGAAGAGATCCTTGTTTCCATCCTTTGTGATCGGAGTGACCTGGTAAGAGGACAGTTTGCGCAAGTAAAGGTTGTTATCGCGAACAAAGACAACAGCATCAGACTGCGGCGACCAAGCAGCCAGCTGCACACGGTCGCTCTTATTACTCGGATCCAACGGCTCGGCCGTCTGGGTAGCAACATCAAAGATCCAGTACTTTCCATAGAACGAGTGTCGCCAGTTCGATTGAATAGAAGATGCAACCAAGACCTTCTCCATATTCGGGCTTGGCCATGTCTTCGCGGGGGTGACATATTCGCCATCGACCATAAAATGGGACTTTTTCATCAAAACCCGAGTATTGGAGCTCTCGCTACCATCTTTCCGACTGCGAATGTCCTCCACACGTAGGTACCCGTCTCCGCTTTCGCCGCGCTCAACCATTAGTCCATCCTCACCCTTTGGTCCGGCCACCCACGAGATCGCGTGCGACTGCGCAGACCACTGGCCAGTCAGCACCTGGTCCAGAGTGACCGGGCTCCCGTAGCTCGTGCCGCCCGTAGCGGAATCCGGATCGTGGATGCTGACGGTAGAGACTGACGATAGGGCCGCGGTACCCGGTCGCTTCTGAGCGAGGAAGAGCACAAATGCGAGCACCCAGCCCCCGACGCAGAGGAGGCCGAGCAACCATAGGACCCGACGCATGCGACTGCTCGTAGCAGGTTTCTTGTTCCGAGAGGAGAGGAAGGGTTCGTCGGATCCGGGCTCGACGCCATCTTCGATATCGCGGTATCGATCATCTTGATCGTCCCCCTCCCTGTCAGCCGCGGCCAACAGCTGTTCCTTGTGTGCTTCCATGAACGAGGCCGAAGCGACCGAGAGACCCGAGTCGGAGGATGTGTGTGATGCGAGTGAGACCGACCGTTGTCGAGTTAGTGGGACTGCTTCAGGTGTGTTTTCATTGTCGGCCTTCCCCATGGTGATCAAGGCTCGGGGTTGAGTAAAGGTTCCTGGCCGAGGCGGATCTTATCAGGGAGAAGAGTGGATCCGTGGGGAATAGCGCGACCAAGCAGCTCACGAGAAGACTAGAATCTGCAGGATGCAAGGAGATCAAGTTGAAAGCATTGATCTAAAGGAAAAACTACAAATTGAAAGATGAGAACCTGGTGAAAACGGAAGTTCTTTCCATTTTTCCACTACAGGGAGAAGCGCAGATAAGTTGGAGAACAAAGCCAATTCCCTATTGCACTCCATTTTAGGAAATGGCGGAGCCTGAGAAATTGACAAATCGGGCCAAGTTTGGACCGAAATAGAAATAAGAATTAGAAACATACAAAACTATGCATTCGACTTATAGACTTATACATCCTCACAACACATTTATGAAGAGTTTCATTTCAATAAAGTCATTCATCATGTCACGTTTAGAATAATCTGCCCAACTCCTAGATGAACCTGCATAGAAGACCTCCTCGCCCAGAAATATTCGTAAAATCATTAAAAAGATAACGATCAAAGCCTCCAGGGCTACAGAGCCAAAAAAAAAAAAAAAAAAAAAAAAAATTTACCAATCCATCAGACCTCAACGGCATGTCTGACCCATTCAACCAAACCCACCCACTCCGGAGGGAAAGTTCCAGCAAAGTTTTGGATCACTCCGTGAACCAATCGCCTCCCTGACTCTCGGGCGAACCATTTTCTTGACGATAGATGCTTGTCCAGGCCGTGGAACAAAACGAAGATAAGTGCCATCCATTCGCCTTGTTTTACTAGGCTCATGAACTCATCGCTAACTCTGATAGGCCAGATCAGGCTTCCTTGCCCGGATGGCCAGCATTCTAGGCTTTGGAGCAATAGCTTATATGTGTCTCGGTAGATATTCCGATGTATTCCTGGGGTAGCCTCGATAAATGGGCGCAAGGTATGGAATTTTTGTAGAATAGTCCTGGTTTTCGATATTAGCCATGATGTCAATGTTGTTATTTAGCTTATTTAGCCCTTGACAATATGGCTCAGACTTACATGTGGAGCTTCACTATATTTGGATCTTCACTGTTATTAGATTTGATGGTAAGCTTCGAGATCAAGTTGAGCGAATCGAGAAAGTTATGGGAAGAAGGCACGTACTTGGCTCTCGCAATGGCAAGTCTATTATTCCCATCTTGGTAAATCCAGGCATCAAGCCAAGCCCGCTCAGTGCCATGGAACATCTGCATCCATAAGAACGCAGCTCCACTGAGAATCGACCGAAGTGTCATGATCTCGTAGAGCGGATCAACGGGGGTCTCATCTCGACAAACACCCGGGTAGGCAGTCACCAAGATGAGGATAATGGCCGAGCACATGAACGAAGCCTCGATATTCTGCGGATTGGTAACCAGCTCATGTCGTAGTCCAGCAGTCGCATGTGTTTGGTACGTCAACGCCGTCTCCAGCCATGTAGGAATCTCATCTGCATCAATTTGTTCCGATGCCAGATGGAGAGCAGACACGGCAAGTAGACTGTCCATGACATAGTCGTGAGAAACAGCAAACTGGGGAATTTTCTCATTCCAGAAGCGCCGATCTTCGTCGTCTTTAGCTATTGATGGGAGAGTCGACTCGCATGCCTTGTAAAAGAGTTGCATCTCTTGTAGGCGCGGAAGTCGTATAAAATCGTCGGAGTGAGAGATGCTGGATTGCGACGAGGATCTGTCGGATCTTGCATTTTTGGGCGAACTCGTGCTTGTTGATACGGGCCTTCTTCTAGGTCTGGGTGCTACGTACATGCATTCTAGTCCGCGGCGAATGCAGAGACTGCATGTTGGCGTTTGCTCATCACACTATTCAAAGGATCAGCCATGGGAACAGGTTGCATGAAAAAGATATCCTCAAAACAAAATTTCAGCCATACAACTCACCTTGACATGTCGTTCTTTACATTGGACGCAGCCCCGCCTGGACTTGGTATGGCAGCGGCGTGGCATAGTGTCGTGAAGTTGAAAATACCCGTCTCGCGTCAAGTTGGAGATTCCATCACTTTTGCACATTCGTATCGGCGGGGGTCCTGGAGCTTTGGGGGCCAGAGGTCTATGATAATCACGCATATGAAACTCCGCTGTGGGGTACTTTCTTGTAAATGCAATCAATATCCAGATGAAAAGTGTCAAGTTCAAGGAACTAATGGGCACAGCAAATTTTTTTTTTAGAATTAGGATCACTAATAATATACGCATATAACACTATGAATTAGATCAATTGCCTTGGGGCAAAGCTGCCCAAGGATTCAAAATATTTTAATTTCCAACCTAGGCTTCTTGAGCTCTTGTGACCGTTGAGGTCAATGCAGTAACGATTGACGGCGATCAACCTGGGGGCCAAAAATCACACTTTAAATAGATCTTCGAGGCTACTATGTATAGTCAAATTTCCTCTTCTGGTAGTTTAGAAGTTGATGTTTACCCAACTATTCATTATGCATTATTTGATGCCTAATTCGTAAACTCCCTCAATCAACCTGTGCAGGTGAGCAGCCGATCTACATTCCCATGAAAGCAAAATAGGAGAACGGCTTCCTTTATTCCTCTCTCCTCTCATGATTGATGGGTCTTGCCTCAAGTGCACCATTCCCAGCCCGCTAGCATGGCGAACCTCGTACAACATTTCACTCTCGACGAGGCACAGGCCAACATGCCGATCAACAGCCTCCAGCGGCAGATTGGGACCAAAGGTCCTCCAGCCAGGACCAGGATCTAAAAAGTGCATTTTCTTGTTCTCTGTGGACTTGAGCCAGGCGAGGAAACGATGGAAACATTTTCTTTGAATTTCCAAGTGGAGAACGGGGGTTTTGACATCGGGCTCATCGTCAAGCTCTACAGGGTTTTCAAACAGTCAAGAATCCAGTGATTACTGTATCCATATATTGCTCTCGTGAGAGAGATCATATAGATTTGGGGTCGGGGCTAGTGATGATCACCGATGTATGACAAGCTCGATTGATGGTGAGGTGAGCAAGTCAGCTCTCAAAACCCGGACCGCTTCTTCGCAGGCGAGACCACTCAACTCATGTAACAATCTGTACCTTTTCCGACTTAAGCCTTAATGTGTGGTTGGTTTGTGGCCCCGCGGACCATGTAGTAGCCCTCCGTATACTAGTATCATCGTAGGAGGAATTGCCAAGACCGTGCATCCTATTTCCCGACCTCGGCAAGGGGAAGACGCGGTACAAGCTCGGAAAATGCGGAAACATCGAATGGCTTCATGGCATTACGCGCGGCCAGCATGTGAAATCCCCTTCAGCTGAATCATTTACGTTCGAATCTACATAGAAGGAACCTGCCTAGCTGGCTGGTCGACCGACTTTGGTTAAGAAATAGCAATCTATAAGACCTCTATCAAAACTGGATATTTTTTTGTTGGTAATTACTCATTGCAATCACATTGCATTTCATCATACAACCCTGTGCAGTGTGAAATTTTTTACCGCGACAGAGCAATGTCATCAATTCTCATGATCATCTTCACGGTCTCAGCAGCCAGCTCAATGGCACTGGTGCTGACCAACAGGGGTTGCAGAATGTTCTCCTCGGTGATATCATCCTTGACACCTCCGCTGCGGATGCTGACACCAGCGTTGTGCTGACCCTGGGCGTGACGGTGACGCAACTCAGTAACAACCTTGATCGAGTTCAAACCAGCATTCTCGGCAAGAGTGGTGGGGATAACCTCCATCGCATCGGCGAAGGCCTTCCAGCAGATAGACTCGGTACCTGTGAGCTCGCGAGCCCGCATGGCAAGGGTGTGGGCCACCTCAACCTCAGGAGCACCACCACCGGCAATAAGGGCGCGCTTCTTAACGAGACAACGAATGACACACAGAGCGTCGTGCAGGGATCGCTCGGCCTCATCCAGAATCAGGTTGTTGGCACCGCGGGCGACAATGGACACTGTCTGGTTGGTGGGGGTAGTGGTGGGGGACTTAATGCCGGTGATCTTGACGTAACGGGCACCCGAAGCCTGAACCTCCTCGACAAGGTCGGCAGTACCGAGCTTGTCCTCGGTGAAAGAGTCGACATTGGCGACGGGCTTGCAGCCAAGAGACTTGCACAGGAACTCAACCTCATCACGCTCGATATCCTTGATGGCGAGAATCTTCAGGCGAGACAGGAAGTGCAAGGAAAGGTCGTTGACGGCGTCACGCAGAATGGACTTCTGGATCAAAAGCACGTTACACTTGGTCTTTTGGATCTTCTTAACCATGTTGAGCAGGTACTGGCGCTCCTCCTTCAGAATCTTGTCCATCTGGCGGTAGTCGTTCACGACAATCTGGTTCTCCATCTAAAAAAAAGAAAGGCAAAAATGTCAGTCATCGAATTTGTGCCGATTGAAAAGGGTATAAACACATACATCGGGCTTAGGAGGGCTCAATTGGAATTGAATGAGACCTATCCGGGCCTTCTCAATTCTTGTGGGGCCACCGCTGCTCTTGATGACGGGCTGGTTCAAGACCAAACCATCAATCATCTCACTGTCCTCAATAGTTCCGCCGACCTTCTTCACAATCCGGATGTTTCGCAAGTCCACGTTCTCAGCAGTCTTGGGGTCACAAACTTTCAACACGGAGTCGACGGCCATAGGGCCCAGCAAACCAGAGTGCTGGGAGACAATCTTCGAGGAGAGAGAGGTCGAGGCAGCTTGGAGGAGGGTGGTACGGTCGGACAGGTTGATAGGGCGGGACATGTTGTGGAGGATCTCGACAGCGGCGCTGGCAGCACGCTGGAAGGACTCGGAAATGACGGTGGGGTGGATGCCCTTGGACAGCAAACGTTCAGCAGCGCCGAGGAGACTGCCAGCAATAACAACAACTGAAGTTGTTCCATCACCAGCCTCAACATCTTGTGCAGCACTCAAATCGACCAGCATGCGGGCTGCGGGGTGCATCACGCTCATATCTCTCAACATGGTGTTTCCATCGTTGGTCTGCGGGGGGGTTAGTCGGAGAAGTCATTGGAAGGAATTGGGCGCTTGGCATACGATAATGGTGTTGCCCTTGGCTGTTTGGATCTATACTTGTATTAGCATTATGTCAACTCGAAGGAATCATGGCGGACTTACCATCTTATCCATACCCCTGGGTCCCAATGACTGTCGCCTCGTTAGCCCCTCATCTCCGAGAATGTTCAAGTTTTAGATATGCGTACTGTGCGGATAGCATCGGAGACAGCTGGAACAGAAATGTTAGTCTGAGAATGCTTGAATGAGAAAAATGCATGACATACCCCGAGCTGCCATAATGTTGGAGGCCCGCACGGCCATGGGCTTCTCCTTGTCCTGCTCGCTATCAGAATTCAGTCCACACACACAAGATTTTCACTGGACGCACCTTGAAGGAGCTGTTGGCACCGGATGCCTGAACCGCTGAGGTCGCCATCTTGAATGTTGATATCAAAAAGGAACCTATGTAAAAACAAAAAAACAGGGGAAGTCGAATCGGCGGTGGTGGAGTGAACACACAGAAATTCTGCGAGGTTCTGGGGCGGTGATGAAGCTTGGCACTGATTAGTGAGTTGAGCTCGGCCACCGCAGCTCTCTGCTACATCACCACCTCCATCCTATTCCATTATATCATCCACCTCCATTTTTCTGCCGATTCCACATCATTCAACTTATCTGCTGTCGTCTTTGACTTTCTTTCCAGTTTCTTTTCTTTTGCCTCGATCCTAGGTCCTCAGCCCGGGGCTGTCAACACCTCATTATGCCTAGCGCCACGGGACAGAACTGGGAGAAGTACCAGAAGAACTTCGCGGATGACGATGAGCCAGAGAAGAAGATCACACCTCTCACAGATGAGTAAGTCTTTTTCTTTGGTATTGAAATGCATACAAAAGCCATCACCAAGCTCTGTGCAGTACTGGTCGCTAACGTCTCATCCTCAGTGATATCGCAGTACTCAAGACCTACGGCGCGGCCCCCTACGCGAAGGCACTTCAGAAGCTCGAGAAGGATATCAAGGATAAACAAGCAAGCGTGAACGAGAAGATTGGTGTCAAGGTGATTATTGATCCAGCTATTTCGATCCCTTGAACCGCCCCAAGCTCATACCCGCTCCAGGAATCCGACACTGGTCTCGCACCACCACACCTTTGGGATGTTGCCGCCGATCGACAACGGATGGCCGAAGAGCAGCCGCTCCAGGTGGCTCGCTGCACGAAGATTATCCAGGACGAAAAGGATTCGGACAAGAGCAAATATGTCATCAACGTCAAACAGATCGCCAAATTTGTGGTCAATCTAGGAGAGCGCGTGAGTCCAACAGATATTGAAGAAGGCATGCGCGTTGGGTAAGCTTTTTATTCTCAAGCCAGATTGAAGTCCTTTCCATATGCTGATTGCGAGTGTAGTGTCGACCGGAATAAGTACCAGATTATGCTGCCGCTCCCGCCCAAGATCGATCCCAGTGTGACAATGATGACAGTCGAAGATAAGCCCGACGTGACCTACGGCGATGTGGGTGGCTGCAAGGAACAAATTGAGAAGCTACGAGAAGTTGTGGAAATGCCGTTGCTATCACCGGAGCGGTTCGTGAACTTGGGTATTGACCCACCCAAGGGTGCTTTGCTCTACGGTCCCCCGGGTACTGGTAAGACTCTTTGCGCTCGTGCCGTTGCCAACCGAACCGACGCTACATTCATTCGTGTCATTGGAAGTGAACTGGTACAGAAGTACGTTGGTGAGGGTGCTCGCATGGTCCGTGAACTGTTTGAAATGGCCCGGACGAAGAAGGCCTGTATCATTTTCTTCGACGAAATTGATGCCGTCGGTGGAGCTCGTTTCGATGACGGTGCCGGTGGTGACAACGAAGTCCAGCGAACCATGCTGGAGCTTATCACCCAATTGGATGGTTTCGACGCCCGTGGTAACATCAAGGTCATGTTCGCCACTAACCGACCTTCCACCCTGGACCCGGCGCTCATGCGTCCCGGTCGTATTGATCGAAAGATCGAGTTCTCTCTGCCTGATGTCGAGGGCCGTGCAAACATTCTGCGTATTCACGCCAAGAGTATGTCCGTCGAGCGGGATATTCGATGGGAGTTGATTTCACGACTATGCCCCAACGCGACTGGTGCGGAGCTGCGCAGTGTTGCGACTGAGGCGGGCATGTTTGCCATTCGTGCCCGGCGGAAGGTAGCCACCGAGAAGGATTTCTTGGCATCGGTAGAGAAGGTGATCAAGGGCAACCTGAAGTTCAACTCGACCGCCACATACATGCAGTACAACTAGATATCTGGGCTGACTCTGGCATGGGAATGGTGCATGAGGTTGTACGATCACACCCTTTTTCTTTTTACATGTTGGCCTTGGGTATTTACTCTGGGCCGTGTGAACGAATCTATAATCTACCATATTTCAAACATCTCCAATTTCGTAGGGCCTGCTTATTACTCTACAAGTACTACTTGACTTTCTTTGGAAAATATCTAATCTTTTTATTCAATCCAGTCAACTGGTACATACCTAGCACCTACATATAATGAACCAAAACCAACATTTGAATTGGGTGTTAGTAGTCATGTTTTCTCGCCGCGAAACTGCCTTTGGCAACCGTGAAAGCTTACTAAAACATTTGAACCACTCAAGTGCTAGTTATTTGACTTGATATGAATCAAAAGTGAATATGCTTTCCAAGGATTGAACGCGGGGTAGTGTCCTGACACTCAGTGCGAACTAAGGTTCTCTTGTGCAGCTCCTCCAGGGCTGAAGCTGGCCAAAATCACTGGCCTCCAGCAAATTTGTGTGAAAAGGCCAGATTCGATGTCCCATTGTGTTTATAGTGTTTGGTATGTTAACGAAGTGAACACGTCCCATTACAACGTCAAGCAACTCCTCGATGCTGAAAACGTCTTACATTGCTACATACTAGTATGTATCTGATCTTGCACGCTGGGATTTCCAGATGTCTGTATTCATGTGGATTTCTTACCTTCAACCGGTTGGTTTTCACCGTTGTCAGCCTTGATGACTGGTATACATATATCTGCAGATTTGAGACCCGAACAGACGGATCGGAGATCGGACGGGATGTAGAGAACTTGGAATATGAACGATCAATTGATGGATTGCCCAACTTTATCCTTACCACAAGACTACTGTACCTAAGAAGGCCGAAACTAGACCCCCTGGGTCATGTCACACCTGGGCACCTCAAGTGCAGGGGAACATATCTACACAATTGATGTACGCACGCAGCAACATTGAAGGCCGGTGCTCAGGTAGTGTTTGAAGCATCGCCCAACACAAGTCATTTTTATGATTACGAAGTATGATATAGCTGCATATATGCGGAGTACTACTCCGTACTAACCATATAGCTTGTTTAGCAAGTAAGACCCACTCGATCGCCGATATGTGAATGTACTGCCGATATAGCGGTACCGGAGAAACCTGTTTCCGAGAGTTGTGGGAAGATCGTATATCCGGGGAAAAGGGATGAGAGGAGGACACATCGGCTAATGGATTGGAACAAGCATGATAGTGCTTGAGGGAGTAGTGAAGAAGAAATTAGATCTGTTGAAATTGGATTGAATAGGTTGATGTTTAACTAGAGTTATTTGCCAATTTCCTTTCCCTCTTATGTTTAGCAAGCGTCATGGATAAAGACGATGAAGCTTGGATCTACGAAAACGAGGTCACGTGTCACCCGGCAGCCCGAGGCAAGTGACGGCGCACGAAAATGAGCAGGGCCCGATGTAGCCAATCAGCGCACGTTCAATTGTAAAAAAGCTGAGATTAGGTCAGCACCAACTGCCATCCGCAAGCCGAATTCCATCGCCGAAGTTGCTCTGCTCTCCAAAGGAAGTTCTTCCACCTCTCCCCTCTACCAATCTAATTCCCCACCGTGATACCGGTGTTATCTTTTCTTTCGGGTGTTTAGGGAGTACCTCCTCTTCAGACCCGTCATTATGAGCTCCATGAGCTTGCGGAGCTTGGCTCCCGCCTCTAAGGTGAGTAGCCGACTTGCGATGATTTTCGGCCCGGGTGCGATCCTTGAACTGACCGAGTGTTTCGCAAATTCCAGGTTTCCCGTATCTTAAGGGACCAGAGACGTCTTTTCTCCTCATCTCGCCCTGCTGGTATGAATTGACGATTCTTCAATCCGATCACGTCACGTCACGACCTCACCACTAACCCGCATCCTCGATAGCCAAGATCTGGACCAACCAGCCGCTGCGCGCCAAAGCCGCCAATGGCTACATCTCTGAGAAGTACCCCATCATTGTAAGCCGATACCGCCATAAAAAGTGAAACTATGCAGGAGAGAAAGGAGATTCTGACCCAATGCAGGACCACGAGTACGATGCCGTTGTCGTTGGTGCCGGTGGTGCCGGTCTGCGCGCTGCCTTCGGTCTCGCTGAGGCCGGTTTCAACGTTGCCTGTGTCTCCAAGCTCTTCCCTACTCGTTCCCACACTGTCGCCGCCCAGGGTGGTATCAATGCTGCTCTTGGAAAGTAGGTTTCAATCCCCCAGAAAAGATTTGCATGGATGGAGGAGTTTACCCCGGATCGGCAACTAATCGAACTTCGAATATAGCATGCACGAGGACGACTGGAGATGGCACATGTACGATACCGTGAAGGGTTCCGATTGGCTCGGTGACCAGGATGCTATTCACTACATGACCCGTGAGGCTCCCGCCTCCGTCCGCGAGCTTGAGGGATACGGTTGCCCCTTCTCCCGTACCGAGGATGGCCGCATCTACCAGCGTGCCTTCGGTGGTCAGTCTCGAGACTACGGAAAGGGTGGTCAGGCCTACCGTTGCGCCGCCGCCGCCGATCGTACCGGTCACGCTTTGCTGCACACCCTCTACGGCCAGTCTCTGCGCCACAACACCAACTACTTCATCGAGTACTTCGCCCTCGATCTCCTGATGGAGGACGGTGAGTGCCGTGGTATCATTGCTTACAACCAGGAGGACGGTACTCTGCACCGCTTCAAGGCCCACCACACCGTTTTGGCCACCGGTGGATACGGACGTGCCTACTTCTCTTGCACTTCCGCCCACACTTGCACTGGTGACGGTATGGCCATGGTTGCCCGTGCCGGTCTCCCCAACCAGGATCTTGAGTTCGTTCAGTTCCACCCCACTGGTATCTACGGTGCCGGATGTCTGATCACTGAGGGTTCCCGTGGTGAGGGTGGTTACCTGCTCAACTCCGAGGGTGAGCGTTTCATGGAGCGTTACGCTCCTACCGCCAAGGATTTGGCCTCCCGTGACGTTGTTTCCCGTTCCATGACCCTGGAGATCCGTGAGGGCCGTGGTGTCGGTCCCGAGAAGGACCACATCTACCTCCAGCTGAGCCACTTGCCCCCTGCTCTGCTGCACGAGCGTCTGCCCGGTATTTCCGAGACCGCCTCCATCTTCGCCGGTGTCGATGTCACCAAGCAGCCCATCCCCGTTTTGCCCACCGTCCACTACAACATGGGTGGTATCCCCACCAAGTACACTGGTGAGGTTATTGACGTTGATGAGAACGGTAACGACAAGGTTGTTCCCGGTCTGTACGCTTGTGGTGAGGCCGCCTGTGTGTCTGTCCACGGTGCCAACCGTCTGGGTGCCAACTCCCTGCTCGATCTGATCGTTTTCGGCCGTGCTGTGTCCCACCGTGTCCGTGACACTGCCGCCCCTGGCAAGCCCCACAAGGAGCTTGCTTCCGACGCCGGTGCCCAGTCCATCAAGGACCTCGACTTTGCTCGCAACGCCGACGGCCCCAAGTCTACCCACGAGGTCCGCAGCGCCATGCAGAAGGCCATGCAGACTGATGTCAGTGTGTTCCGTACCCAGGAGTCCCTCGACGAGGGTGTCCAGAAGGTCAACGAGATCGATACCTGGTACGAGCAGGTTGGTACCAAGGACCGCAGCATGATCTGGAACTCCGATCTTGTTGAGACCCTTGAGCTCCGCAACTTGTTGACTTGCGCGTATGTATTCCCCTTTGGTTGATTATGAACTTTCCCTTGGTTATTTGAACATGATGACTGACTTTGTTGATATAGTACTCAAACCGCCACTGCCGCCGCCAACCGTAAGGAGTCCCGTGGTGCTCACGCCCGTGAGGACTACCCCGATCGTGACGACGTCAACTGGATGAAGCACTCCCTCACCTGGCAGAAGGAGGCCCACGGCAAGGTCCAGCTGGGCTACCGTGCCGTTGAGGCCAACACTCTGGATGCTGAAGAGTGCAAGCCCGTGCCCCCCTTCAAGCGTACTTACTAAACACCCTGTTTATTGGGAGGAGTTGAAAGAATATACCACGTCCTGGTTTCAGATGTTCGGTTGGAAAACATCTGGTTTCGAGGTGAAACAAGCGTGGTGTTGACGGATAAATCCACGAAAAGAGAGCATGTTTCTTATTTTGACTGTTATTTTACCATCCTGTATAGCCATATTTCCTATTTCCTTTTAACCTCCAGGCGAAGAGTCGGTGCACTGAGTGCTTTTTCTCAGTTTATCTGATATTGGAATTTCCTTTTAATTGGTTCTGAATTTATTTTGTCCTGACTTCCGTGTCACCGCTGTAATGTCGTAGAATATCTGGTTTTCTCCTATGTCTTTATTTGAAGCTTATTCTTTGATGTTCTATTTTCAATTCGTGCCTGGGGCTCTGTGCAACTGTCAAAGAGACTTCGCCCCCATATTGTGATTGATTTTGATTGGCCTGTATCGAACTACTATGTACGCCCTTTGGGCACTGCCGCAATTTCCAAGGTTCACCTTTGGTATACACATACCACCTCTACCAAGTCAACGTTCGCAGATTGGAATGATGCATATGATGTATAGAGTATTGTGCATCTCGTTCGGCTGTCTAGGCTACGTTCACCATAGCTGAGCCTGCAATTCCTTCGCCCTCGAAGTCACTAAAAATGATGGACCCCTGTGGGAAGACTCGTTGGGAACAAAGAAACATACAAACCCATGTCTTTGAATGAAATGACCCTGCCCCCACTTCAAAAGCCACTTCCTAGTACTCATGAGGGAAAGGACCGACTCAAAATAACGATCCCTGTTCTGTCTGGTGACTCTTCTTTTCCCCTTTCCCTTTCCTTTTCTCTTTTATCCCCGAATCCATGTCCCAGTACATTTACTTGCACCGTGTACGTCGGTCTGGTGCTTCACTCTGTTTGCCTTGCGCTTCTTCAAAATGGAACTGATGAACCACTTGGTCCCTCGAACAGACGAAACATGTACAGGTGATAAACTTTGGTATGTCTGTACTGCTGGTGACTACAAGGGTTGTTGTTCCAGCAATCCGTGTACGTCGGGAGTATGTCCAGACGACGATGATACTACAACCTCCTCTACAACAACGACTTCAAGCACCTCCACATCCACAAAAAGCTCAAGTACTACCAGCACTACTAGTACGACGACCTCATCAGCGCAGACAACGACCTCAGCAGCGCAGACAACTACCTCTGCTACTGCGGCCACCGGAAGTTCTAGCACCAGCTCGAGCACGGGTACTATCGCATCCGCAACATCTACAAGCACATCAACCTCAACCACAGCACCATCCAGCTCCAACAATCAATCAGCCATAATTGGCGGAGCAGTAGGAGGCGTCGCAGCCCTTCTGATCATAGCAGCCCTCCTATTCTGCCTCTGGAGGCGCAAACAACGCAGGAAAAACGCCCAACCCCGCATTATCGACAGGGGTCCATTGGACTCGGAGCAACCAAACGATCACCCAGTCCACCAGCTACCTTTCGCAGCCGAGAAAATAAACGACTATCACGGTGCCATCCGTGGCCTCGGTAAGCGCTAAATCCCCCATTTCCCCAAAAGGGACTAAATCAAGTCCACAAAGCAAACAACACACCGCTAATCCATATGCCCTACCTCTAGCGGCCTCAGTCACAGACTCAAATGACCACACCACCGTTGGCGGCTCCAATGCATCAACTACCGGACTTAGCAAAGTGGGCGGCGCATCGTTTCCTAATACGATGTCCAACATTCCCTCCGCTGAGCTCCTCGCCTCTATCCCCAAACGGGCAGAGTTTACACCCGAGCTTCCAGATAGAGCCTCCAGGCGTGTGCGTGCTGAGCTCCCTTCAGAAACTCAAAGAGATCTTATAAATGTCCCGCTAGATCAACGGCGGCCAGGAGTCATGCTCTATCAACGCGGTGGACATTCGAAGCCTCTCCCTCAGAGTCCACTGGTTCCGTCTCCTTTGAAGTTGTCCTCGAGACTCCCGAAGGCCGAACCTGGGAATAAAGCATCAAACTTGGCCCCTGATACCCTTATGGCGCGTAGTACGGCCCGGCAGCTGGTTACCGACGAAGGAGTGGTCATGGGCGCGAATCTGGATCGCTATTCTGGGGACCCACGGGCAGATGATACAGACACATCTATTGACGGGTGGAACGGGGCTGACAATGCGGCTGGGAACGGAAACGGAAACGGCAACAGTAACGGTAACGGGCTCTCGAATGTAGATCCAGATACGAAGAAGGGCAAGGAGCACTCATGGCAATCCCAAGACCACGTCATGAGCTTCATGAACTTCGATGGCAGTCTGCCATTAACTGACGTCTCCGAGGCGGGCAACTTGCAGCGTGAATCTGGATCCGAGCAGGCCGTATCCCCTCCCATCTCACCTCCCGCCTCCACGACTATCTCTGGTCCTATTTCCCCTCCTACTTCTGTGTCTGCTTCGCCGGCTTTTCTTGGGAACAAGCATGGAATGAGCTTTTTGGATGGCCCTCTTTCGCCGACGACGAGTGAGGTGCCGCCTGCTTATGAGGCTGGGGAGGGAGACACTGAGTTCGAGGTTAATGGGGAGAGGAAGACACCGGCTGGGACGATGGGATTGGGAGTTACGAGATTTGGTTGATGTTGAAATAGTTGATTGGTTTTGTTTCTTTTTTTATTTGTTGTTATAGGCAGCGGAATTTTAATTTCAATTCACACATGTGCAAGGAGGGCACCTGAACGCTCGTAGCACTTGAGGCTAGCACATCGTCAGATGTGCATCGATCTCGCTAGCAAAACCAATGTGCACCAACGCGCAGCGCAACCGGATACTAAGTCGTCAAGAAAACCCGTCAACTGGGAATGTGGGTCCAGATGTCGGATTGCACAATGTGCATGCGTGCGTGTGTCAATGTATTCTCAAACTATAGCTAGACCTATTATTCAAAACTGTCTTCGCCGCTATCGGCCACGTAGCCACGCAGCCACGCAGCCCACATGTGCACGCTTTACCGCCTCCACATATCAAAAACGAGTCTGGGACATTGATGTCTCAGTACTAGTCAACTTGAGTTAGCCGCCAACCTGTTCCGCAGGTTAACCGATTTAAGAGCATCAGCCGTCCTCTTAGTGGCACTGTACGGGCAGTCGCCCTTTTCTTTTTGTCTCTAGTCATTCAATTATGTATGAAGTTACCGTATAGTTACCGGCGTACGGACATTCTATGCTTCAACGGAAGAAGCGCCTACATTACCACGGCGATGACTAGCTACTAGGTAGTATTAGGTTAATAGAATATCATCATCATCATCCTCACCATCATCGCCATCACCGCCATCACCGCCATCCTCACCATCACCGCCATCCTCGCCATCCTCACCATCACCGCCATCCTCGCCATCCTCACCATCCTCACCATCCTCACCATCCTCACCATCCTCACCATCCTCACCATCCTCACCATCCTCACCATCCTCACCATCCTCACCATCCTCACCATCCTCACCACCATCATCACTATCATCACCATCATCATCACCCAATAGAGACTTCGGATATCAAAGTATCGTTGACGGTTTACCGGTTGTTAGAAACCCTTCGGCTCAGCTGGTTCTGGAAATATACCATCAACACTAGTACGCCGTAAACGTTTAGACGTTTCAACGCATTGAGCCATTAGGCGGATTACACTCTGGTTTTATCCGTGCTGATTATACATGTTCTGAGGTCGGATTTTAGCAAACTGCATTATTCCCGCAAATTTTCTTAATTGCGCAACAAAGAAACAGCGAAGTAGGTAGGGCGCGGGCTAAGCTAAGTGCGCTAATTCGTCCTATTGGGACAATGCACTTAAGTGCTATTTGCAGCCTGGAGTTTAGTACATAGTACACTAGTAGTATACACTCGCGGGAAATAAGCACGTGTGCAGGACTCATGTTACACAAACATAGTAGTAGCAAACCGTGTGTACCAAAGGTTATACTAGGTACTATGCAGCTAGGTACGTACTCTGGATTTGTTACTATAAATATTTCGAATTTCGTCACTTCTCCGACGCTTTTTCTTTCCTTCAACGCATCTCGTCAACGATCCTCTCTTTCACTCACGCATTTATTCAACGCCTTTTATATAAAGCACGCCACTCGCAGGCGCATCCGGGCAACGCCTTTTCTGTCTTCCCACGCACTTTGTCGGCGCCTTTCTTTCTTTCCTCCGCATCTGGATTTCCTCAATTTCCTCACTCGAATTTCCCGCCCATCTGTCGAGTTTCCTGCCCATTTGTCGAATTCCCTCTCGGAGTATCCCGTTAAGATGACATTTCACGGGTCTTTCTTTCGAACGAACAACGTCGGAGCTCGGAGCTCGGGTTTCGGGTTCCGGATATAAACAATATCCTCGGGGATAAACTCGACCTCGGAGATAAACAATATTCTCCGAACTCCGAGGTCGTTTCCGGGAATAAACAGAATGATCAGACCCAATCGCCAATGTCTGAATATACATACATATCCAAATGCCTGAGGAATATATACATATATATCCTCTCTTGTTTGTATATATATATATATATATATATTTATATATATCTCTCTCTCTCGCGGTATTGAAATTTGAATACCGGAGTATCCCATCTGGTTTGAAGAGGATACAATCGTGACAGAGGACGACCGTCGTCCCATTTGAACGAACAGAGCCAAAACATGGCTTTCAAATGTTGAGCATCTTCAATGTTCCAGTTTCACGGGATTTTCATGCCACCTATGAAATGACGCTACGTCAAGCTTGTCCTTTTCGAGGCCCCTTTCGAATTTTCCTTGGATTCAATGTTGTGAATATGGCGGGTCAACATTCAAGAAAGCAGTAACATGCTCCTTGGAGTTGTTGCACCCGCTATATGACGAAACGGTGGAGCTGAAACTATCAGTTTTCATGTCGTTTGCCAGGTGACGAATTAGCTTAGGCCAAAGATACTTATGGCTTCGACTGCCTTGGACCCTCATCGGGGGAGAGGTATCAGGCCCAGTGGAGAAGAAACTGGGGTTTTCGCCTTGCAACTGTTTTCAATTGGCTGTCACATACATTCCTCTACCATGCCACAAAACAGTGAGGTGAAATTAAGCTGCCGTTTTTCATTAGACAGTGAAATACATGCTCGCGCTGCCTGAGTGTGGTGGGTTTGCCCAGGACTTGGATCCGGGCATATTGCATGAACAGTCATGCAATCTGAAAAATGGTTTTTCGTCTTGCGAAAGTTTTCAAGTGGCTGTCACATACAGCCCTCTACCATGCCTCAAGACGCCGAGGTCAAGTTACGCTGCCGTTTTTCATTCGACAGTGAAATACATGCTTCTATTCGGTGTTATGGGCTACCTAGGGACCCGGGCATACTGCATGAACAATCATGCATTCTGAAGAATGGTTTTTCGTCTTACGAAAGTCAAATGGCCCTCACCGGTGGCCCTACCATGCATTGAGACGCAGAGGGTCGAATTATGCTGCCGTTTTTCATTCGACAGTGAAATACATGCTCGCTCTGCTTGAGTGGGGTTATTTACGCAAGATTTCTACCCAGGACTTGGATCCGGGCATACTGGCCGGCATGAAACTTCATGCAATCTGAGAATCCCGGGTTTTTCGTCTTACTAAAGTCAAGTTGCCGTCACCGGCGGTCCTACCATGCATTGAGACGCGGCCAGCCGAATTATGCTGCCGTTTTTCATTCGACAGTGAAATACAAGCTTGCTGTGCTTGGGTGTGATGGGTTTCTCCATATTGCACATGTGCATGGAAATGCATGCAATTTGGAAAAACTAGGGGGTTTCGTCTTACGAAAGTTTTCAAGTGGCTGTTTCATGCGGCTCTACCGCACGATGGATGACTCTCCGCGGTTGTTATTGACGGAGTGGATGCTCATATAGCTGGTTGTTGTGATTGATTTGCCTTGGCATGCTCTCGGAACAAGACTGTTCTTCAGTCAAGTGGCCGTTGCATCATCAACGCACAATTATTCTCCGGGGTTGTTGCCGGAGCGATTGCTCATGTAGCGGGCTGTTGTGATTGATTTACCTTGGCATGCTCTCGAATTAACACTGTTCTTCAGTTGAGCTTCTAGCTTTGTCTTCTTTTCTCTTGTAGCCTTGTATTATCGTATCGAGTACGTGCGTTCTATCATTGACCTACGAGTTCGGTTATATCAATGTAGTCTAGACTTGATTAATTTGGCCTGATCGGGTGCTTTGCTAGATACGCTCCCTCGAAACCATCCTGTCTAAATGGCATCTCGCCGATCTATGATCATTTGCAGGCTGCTAAAAGATGTCGGTTTCGGACTGTTTATCTTTGAGAGGGAGTTGGAGGAGCTTTAGGGTAGTAGGAATGTTGAGGCTTAGGGGGAAGGGGTTTGTTGGTCTTTGGATCGGGGGTGGAGGAGGGGGTTTGATTGATGTTGCGAGGCATTTTGGGGTAGGAAGTGGATTTTGATGTTGGGTTTCATCGTGGATGCAGCACTTGAGCCTTGATGTTGGCCCTCGGTTGGAATGCGTCCAAAACGGCTGATCGGCGATGAAGTCACTTGAATACAGACTACGGGTGCTATGTAGTAGACTCTACGACTTTGTAGATTAGGAGGAATTGTGAATTCCAGAGAAAATAATGTGAACTGAAAAAGAGACTTAAGTCCTTTTTTTTTCTAACCTGAGAGAATATAACTCAAAACCGCTGGTACTTTTCATGATATACTGCACAAAACAACTTGCCATCTACTCAACCGAATGCAATTATAGCAGCTTCTTCAACACGGAAGTCTGCTCGATGACAGCCCGCTTACTGGTGCCACCGATGGCATCCTTCAGCTCAACGGCACGCTCATAGTCGAGGCAAGCCTGGACATCCTCGTCGAAGCGGGGGTCCAAGCCCTTAAGCTGCTCCAGGGAAAGAGTATCCATAGGAACATTGGTGCTCTCAGCAAGCTGCACAACACGGCCGGAAATGTGGTGGCCCTCACGGAAGGGAACGCCCTTGCGGACGAGGTAGTCAGCGATCTCGGTAGCAAGCATCTCAGGCGCCAAGGCGGCAACCATCTTCTCAGGGTTGGCGGTCAGTGTAGACAGCACACCGGTAGCGATCAGGATGCTGTCGCTAACGGTCTTGATGTGGTCAAGCAGGGGCTCAATGCTCTCCTGCAAATCCTTGTTGTAGGTAGTGGGAAGACCCTTGATGGTCATCATCAGACCAGCCATCTGGCCGAAAGCACGACCAGACTTGCCGCGGAGCAGCTCCAGGCTGTCGGCGTTCTTCTTCTGGGGCATAAGGGAAGAGCCAGTGGAGTAGGCGTCGGACAGGCGGACGAAGCCAAACTCGAGACTGCTGTAGATGATCAGATCCTCGGCCCAGCGGGAGATCTTAAGCATGAAAGAGCTACCCCACTGCATGGTCTCCATGGCAAAGTCACGGTCACCGACGGAGTTCATGGAGTTGTACAGCAGGTCGTCAAAGCCAAGCTCCTTGGCCATAGCCTCGCGATCAATGTTGAAGGGGTTGCCGGCGAGCGCACCGCAGCCCAGGGGGCTGCGGTTCACGCGGCGGATGACCTCGCGCAGACGCTGCAGCTCGCTGGCAAAGGCAGTGGCGTGGGACAGCATCCAGTGGGACCAGCGGACGGGCTGGGCCTTCTGCAAGTGGGTGTAACCGGGCATGATGTAGTCGATCTCCTTCTCGGCACGGGCAATGGAGACCTTGACGAGGTCGCAGAGCTGGTTGTCCAGGACGCGCAGCTCGTCACGCAGCCACAGGCGCATATCGGTAGCGACCTGCTCGTTACGCGAGCGGCCGGTGTGCAACTTGCCGCCGATCTCCTTGCCGATGATCTCGCCGAGACGGCGCTCGTTGGCAGTGTGGATGTCCTCGTCGTTGGGCTTGGCCTCGAAGGTGTCGGTGCGCCATTCCTCTGCGATGACCTTGAAGCCGCGCTCGATCTCGGCGAACTCGTGGGGGGTCAGGATACCGTTGTTCTTGTTGGCACGGGCGAAGGCAATTGAGCCGGCGATGTCCTGCTTCCACATGATGCGGTCATATGGGAGGGACTCGTTGTACTTGACCATGAGGGGGTCGAGGCCCTCTGGGAGATTTTTTGTTAGTTGTGAGTCAATCGCGGGATGGGAGTTTGGCGGGGGAGAGTTGGCGGGGGTGGAATGGGGTCCTTACGGGTGAAACGACCTCCCCAGAGCATGTTCTCTGCGACAGCCTTATCGTTGCTCATAATGGCGATTTTGAATGTGATCAATTGGTTAGAAATTGGGGTGTATAGAGAAAAGAAAGATGAAGAAGGGCGAGTTTGACCGATAATGGTTGTGTTCGACCGATCATCGGAACGCTAAACCTCTTTGGGGGATCGACAGTGGGGTGCTCAACTATGACTGTCAAATTGCCCTCAACATTTTCTAACATTTGATCAAGAATTGCACGTTTACTGGAGAGAAAACGCAAATTTCTGAAATTAATAATGCAACCTATATTGTATTTTGAGTCTATATAGAGCATAACCCTCATGGCTGCGGTCCAATATGCTCAACGTTCACCGTTGACACATCGTCCTTATCACCTGTAAATGGACGAATCAGGGCAGGCGACACATCCCAGCCGGCAATGCATAGATGTTGATAGGTCTCGTACTTTTGATTCAGACCACGCTATAGCCGTAATTCTCTGTGGGAGAGAGGTAGGGGCAGGATGTAAATTGAAAATGCAATGCGCTGATTAAAGAAAAAAATTCGAAGTATTCAATCAATTGATGGTTGAAATGTCTTGCTCCAGAGCTATGAGTCAGACTCCACCTGCAGCTTTCTAGCTCCTTGCTTTACCAAAATCTCAGCTCACCACGCGGTGTCATTCATACCCTCTTGTAACCCACGTGGATAATCGAGGCAACCCCACCTTCTTGTAGCCTGTCGAGGAGATCCTGGCTGGATTATCTGGTTTTAACACCAGTCCCGGGTTCAGGGCGCGTAGCATGGAATGGATCGTAACAGAGCATTGCGACACCGTGGTCAAGCTTAGAACTGCGAAAGGAGACTGATTTTTTTTCTTGAGGTGATTAGTGTTAATTCTGGAATTCATGCTGTAAAACAGACACATAATAAATATGGCTTACAACAAGTTCACGTTGGCCAGGTACAGCAGTCATCTGAAATTCCCGTATTGAGCGCCTGCAACGAACAACGGTCGTGTCAGTCAATCACAATGTCGTCCCATGTCCTATAGTCGATGTCAGCTTTTTGCGGTCGAATTTTCCACATCATATGTACAGTGCAGGATGCCCACATGTGCAAGGAACTTTGGAAGTGCGTATTTAGTATAGTAACGTACTCACGTGCCCAACAACATTTATATATTTAAACCTAAATGTGAGCATACCTCCAGGTATGTATCAATGTTCAAGCACTCAATGAGTTGTGTACACATCTTTTGGACCTTGAAATGTTCAAATGTATGTGGATTATAAACTTCTGATTCAAATGTTTCCTTCATTCTGGATGTTTTCAACCCGTGATTGCAATTTCCCACCGCCAGACGTTAATTCTTATACATGTACATAAGCAGCTCAGATGTCTCATTGTCATGATCATCAATTTATGTGTACTATGTATGCACGGGTAGCACTGGTATATGCCAAATGTACCTCACTATCTAATAATGTATGTGCCTCTTGAAATCTCTCAAGAGCTCTAGGTCGCGTACCTATGTAGTAGGTACCAGACGTGGTACATCCTCGTCTACGAGGATCTCTATATCAAATGCAATCTAATCAATCACAAACCTCAATAACCACCCACATAACAGTATTCATAACCTCCCCACCAACCTTCTCCATAACCCTCCGACTAGCCTTATTAGCCTGCGCAACCTCAGCATGCACCCAAGCCGTCGTACTCTCCCCCAACTCCCCCCCAAACCCAAGCCTATCAGCCCCAAACACGCCCTGCGGATCCATCCCCCTCCGCATCGTCTCCTTAGACAAGCAAAGCGCCAGGCCCCTCCCCCGATGCTCCGGCTCAACATGCAACGTCGCCAACGGCCCATCAACGCCCAAGAAAGCCCACGCAATCGGCATTTCCTCCCCATCCTCTCCATCCCCATTCCCATCCCCATCCCAATAAACCGCCACCCCAGGAATACTCATCAACTGCGCCCTGGACCGCGGAATGCTCGTCCGACTCTGCACAAGATCCAAATGCGCCTCCTGCACCCCCGTCCTCCCACCCCGATCACAAAACCGATAACCCGCCGGCAACGGAATTTGAACCCCCGCCTCCACCCCCTCCCCACCATGCACCGTAAACACCTCCCGCCGGAAGAAAAACTTGCTGTACGGCGGATTATCGTACCGATGCACCCTCAGTCCATTCCGGAGCGCGGGGGCGCCCGCATCCGCCGCGCCGGGATGCGGGAACTCGCCCGACTCAAGCAGCAGCGTGAACAGGCCCGTATGCAGGGACCCGATCAGGAATGCGCGCGGGTCCGGCGCCGGGATCAGCGCGACGCCATTACTGCCAGTAGATTGCGATTGTACCGGTGCGGTCGCGCCCTCCGGCAGCGAGGCCAGGTAGCCCGGCAACAGGGTGGCCTTGATGTAAGCGAGCAGGGCCAATAGTTGGTCACGGGCCAGCTGCAGGGAGGCAGGGTCGGCGGAGTGGAGAGTGGCTACTTCGTAATTTGGGGCGGGGGCGTCAGGGCGCTCAGCTGGTGGAGTTGATAGTGCACCGATGGGCTGGATTGACGTGTGCTCCGCTTCGAGGCTGGAGTAGAGGATTATCTGGGTTTCGCGGCCGCGGTAGAGATCCACTCGCGCAGCTAGCCATGGGGTCTTGGTGTTGGTGTTGGTGTCGGGGGATGGGGGTGCGGAGGGGGGAATGTGGCTAGGATCTTGGCGGTGGGGGTTGGGTTTGCGATGCCGTGTTGGATGCGGCGGAGGAGGGAGGTTGAGAGCGGGAGGTGTGCGGCTAGGAGGGGGAGGATGGTTGTGGCCTTGTCATCGTGCTCGTAGATGACGGGGATGTGGGATTCCGAGATGGAGCCCATATTGAATGGAGGTGTGGGATTGGGGGTTTTTTTTGCTTTTTTTTAATTTCGATTCGGGCGATTTTTATCGATTCCCGGGAACCTGGTTACGGACAATGCGATATGTCACACGGGTATATGGGTTTTGTGTGGACTGTGGCCCTGGTGATCGACCTTCAGCTCAAGCCTCAGGAATACCTACTTGGGTAAAGAGGGTGAGACTATGGGAGAAATGTGGAATTTGTGGAATTGACAGGTTGGCGTATGGGTTAAGTTCCCGTCCTAGTGAGTCACTTGGGTCGAGTCATCGAGTGGAGTCGGTGTTGACTAGACCCGAGTAGGAAAATTGTTCACAACTTCTAGATTAACTAAGATTAAATCCGAGGCGCTAAGAGATGATGGAATTGGGCTGAGTTTATCCATCACCCTTTTAAAGGTATTTGTCACGCTGGTGGACTTGGTCTGTGCCTGTGGCGGTGCGGCACTATTGATTCTGACAGGGGATCCGCTTGGCGATCACTGTCATCTGGGCATTGGCGCGCGGGTTCAAGGGCGATCATAGGGGTACTAAAGCTGCGACGAGGGCTAAGGTGTCCGAGATCCAGTAGTTTGGGTCTCTAGTTACTTTTTGAAGGGTGATCATGGAGTTAATGTACGGAATTGTTAAAAAATAATCATGAAGAAATCAAGAGTCTGTCATTCGTAAAAAGCCCTGATCTTATTCTGCAACCCTGAGAGAGTAAAAGGCCTGCAAAAATAAAATAAATAAAACGCCGGAACTATACCGCAGACCTCGATACGGGGCCTCAATCATTTTCCCTCGTAACCGAACCAAACAAATGAAAATATAGAACCAAGGAAATCAACAAAAGAAAAAGTAAATAGTCGTGTCTCATAAAAAAAAGAGTTGGGGTAACTCTGGAGTCTAGCCTCCCTGATCCCCTTTCTCACTCCAGTAGCTTCACCAGGGGCTCCGGGCCCCCACCATCCAATCCTCCATAGCAAGCCATTCACTCCATCGGGCCTCTGCTGCCCGAATTTCCTCCTCAGAAGGGTCCCGCAAAGGACGCAAGAAAGGCGCCTGCTCATCAGGCAGCATATCATACGCCGTCTTCGTATCGGCCCACCCACTACTCTTAGCCGTGAAGAGGTAATTGATGCGCTCTTGCTTGTAGATACATCCGACGCCAGCCTCCCAGTCATCGCCAAAGAAAGCGCGCATGGTAGCCGGCGAGTCCTGCGCCGTAATAATCAAGCGGCGAACATAGGGCCGAAGAGAGACATAGGGTGCTGATTGCTGTGGAGATTGCAGACCAGCCTCTGCTGGGGACCGCTGAGATGGAAGACGGATATTGATAAAGGCGGCCACGGCTTGTACCGATGGCGCATGTTGGCTGCAGTCGAGGAAATACTGCATGCATTGCTTGTAGTGCGGGTACCAGCCCGTGGGATCCACACGGCCGAATTCTCCATCACTTAAGATGGATTGCGCCTCGGCGTGACTGTCCGGGTAGCTTATTCCCTCGGAATGGGGTGCGCGCCTATCCGAGGTGCGTTCAGTCTCTCGCTCGACAGATCCTGGTGGAGGGACGGTTCTCAGAATAAGGTATAGAGGTAACGGGGGAGGGGGAAGAAGGCGAAACTGGAATATAATGGAATGGAATTTGGCTTACCTCGAGCGAGACGTTCGCGAGAATAAGGATCGCATAGATCCATATGTGGAGAGTTTTCCCAGCACTCTCTTCCTGAACCTTGCATGCTGAGTGACATTGTCGTTTGTCGACATGTATAGGGGAATAGTAAAGGCTTGGAAAGGAAGCTGAAGAGAGAAGAGGTATGGAATTTGAAGTCAAGAGTCAAGACGTGTGGACGGTATTGCCAAATGTTTTTTTTTTTGCAAGTTGGGAATGTCTAAATGTACGAACTTGGAAAACAATGGACTATTGGGGATACGAATGGGTCCTTATAGCAGCCCGGACAGACCGAGGCCCCCAAGGGTGTGCCAGAAACTATCACATTTGAAGATCAAGGGCGGATTAGTTCGGGGTTAGACAGTGGATCAGTAAATTCAAGCCACAGATCGCAAAGCTTGAGCCACATTACTAGCCACATGTGTACGGGGAGACCGTGTGGCTCGTGCTAGCAAGGGATGCATACAAGTCAAAATGGGGCTGTGGCGGTGTAACTTTTGGATTTTTTGGATTTCATTTTTATTTTTATTTTATTTTTTCTTTTCTACAATGATCATTGTCGCTCTCAAGCCCCAAAATCCCTCGGATCAGAGCTTAGCGTCCCAATAGTCTGGTAAGTGTCCACTTACTATAGCATTTTAGTTTATGATTTCATTCCTTTTTTTTAAAAAAAAAAAATAAAAATAAAAATAAATAAAAATAATAAAAATAAAAATAAAAATTCATAATGTTTACTATGATTTGAAAACCCCATGAGATCACCAAGTCCTTGACGCTATTGTTTAATCTATCAATTCTTTCTCTAACTATGTCATACATGGTCTTTATCCCCCACGACTTGGTGCCTGAATGATTACCAGATCAATCTAGATCTAGAACCTTGGGAAAAACCTTAGAAAACATGGGAACCTAAAGAAGGCTAAAGGCGTAAAAGCCGACTTCTCGCAACGATTGACCTGTATGACATTCTTGAGTCCCGCTGTCCCCACTTGCTTTCTGGTGAATAGTTTAGCAGAAATAATCTTTTCCAAAATAAAAAAATGGTCGAAATTAATATAACCACGGCTTCATGGAAATTAAAATCAAGGTAAAGTTGGTAATCATGAATCGGATGTGTTCGGCGGATCGCCTCTAAATTGATCGACGACATCCTGCTCTACTAACCTCTATCTCCCCCCTATTATGTAGTGATGTAGGATAGGACCGTTTCATTCCAAGTTTACCGAGTTTAACAAGTCACATCTTGAACAGCGAAAACCGTCCGGTGTGACGTGGTTCCTGGATGCACATGCACGATAAAAAAAAATTGAGTCAAATAAAAACGAGGCAAAAAGCAAAGAAAACGTGGGATAGAAGCAAGAATCTGCAAGGGGGAAAGAGAACGAGGGTAGCGTGTGAGACAGGGCAGCGAAGAATGTCGGAATTTGGGTTGGCAGCAGGGATGATGGAAGAGAAGAATCGCGTATGAAGGACTCTGATTCGAAGGATGGGATTTCAATTAAAGTATTTCTAATCATCATTATTTCATTTCTAAATTAATTAAGTGGGATCTGACTCTGACTCGGTCACGCCGAGTAGATCGGGTAAAGAAATCGTCGATTATGGAGCCCGAGCGGCTCTTGACCAATGATCGGTGCGCGTCTCCCATGACCTTTGCCAAGTTGCAAGTCCATCTCGCGCCAAGTAGCCCCAACATGGATTGCAGATTGACGAGACCCTGGTCGCCTACACCCCGCCCTGCGGCTGAGAGCCCAAGATCTCTCTTAAATGCCTGCCTTGTCCTGCATCTCAACATCTCAACTGCATATTCCATATCCGACCACGCTTAAACATTTCGAACATTGAACATCCCGGCACACCTTACTGCGTGCCTTGACTACTATACACTCAACACACACACAACACAAACACATACATTTCACCATGTACAAATCCAACTACGATATCTACGTACGTGCTACAAACCATACATGCTAATTAGACCCCTCAACTAACATTTTTTTTGGTTATATAGAAGTGCGATAGCCTGGACAGCAGACGCTCACCACCACCGCCATCAGATGAGCTGCTCTCCCCGTTAGCTGAGCTCTATCCACATGTGGCAGCCATGCAGCCGCAGTACAACCCAAACAACTGCGCCTTCACCGGTTATCGCCACATAGACTACTGGGCCGCAGCCTACTCTACGCAGCCCACAGATGAAGCTACTATGTTCTCAAGGCGCGGAAGTGGTATGTCTAATTCTTGTCACTTGTCTTTGCATACGTCAAGACTAACAATCTCGCCTCCAGAACAACCACCATGCCGCCGCTTTGTCTCCAAGCTTCGTCGCCTCCTCAACCGGGACGATTTAAAACATCGACGACGGTCCGGGGCGACCGCCAGAACGACACTCTCTTGATCTTTCTTTTTGCATGAAGACTCTCATTTCAACTTATACGACCAACATTGAACATTCGAAACTTTTGTTTTTCAGCTTTATCAATCTTTTTATTGGATTCTACGCGACGAATCTCACTCAGATCCGCACACGGCATCTTGACCGGACTTGCATTTTTCTTTTGTTGTGCTTGCAGGCCATCATCATCATCATCATCATTTTACTTTTTGTTTTCATTTTTTATCAAGCGATGGGTTAGCAAGGCGTTTTAGAGGAACAGGAACGGTTGGATTTTCATTGTGTATCTCTCGCACGAGAACACTCACTTATCATGTACATATTAACTCGAATCTACCGGAGAATAGACAAAGCTCTCCAAATGCAAATACTACCAACACATACATAACTCAAGCTTTGCTCCAATCTTCCTAGCATTGAACATTCCAGAGGTGCCCAGGTGCCTGCCTTCATTCCCATTCCACCCAAACCAAACCAAACCATACCTAGACTTGGACACTCAACCCGACGAAAACCAAAACCAAAACCAAAACCTACATCTAGCCCCTCACGGCATACGCCGTTATACGAACAGACTCAAGCCAGACCCATACTCCGGCCAACGATCGGACCATCAAACCAGGCAAACGCGGGGCCCAGAATCCGGCCCCCAAAAAAAGGCCCCAAACCAAACCAGAACCAGAATCAGAACCAGAACCCTAACTCGCACTCGAACGTGGATCAAGTGACCACTGAACACGCGGTGGCCCCTGCGTTAGATCGTACCAAAGAGTCGAGCAGAACGGATGACAAAGTTTACTTAGTAACTCAAGTCACACTACAAACCAATTCCCCAAAACAGTCAACTCCACTCCCCGCACACTACAAACCTAATCCCCAAATCGCCATGCGCTTACGCAGAGCTAGCACGCTAGTCTATGCACGATGACTCGCCAAAAAAAAAAGACACTATTGCAATTAGGCTCGAGCGTTCCTGATTTTTCCCTGGTTCTGACCTGATTCATGTTTTTCCTGGAGTCAAGTCAGGCGGGGTTGCATTTGCATTTGCATTTGCATTTACATTTACTTTTGCTTTTGCTTTTGAACTTTGAATGATGTTTCCAAGGTTTCGGCTTTGCGCTCTATGCAGTCCAATTCAATTCAACTCAATTCTCTTTGCTTTTTGCTCTCTTCCAAGACTGTCTAGCAAAAGCAAAAGCAACAACAACACCGCAAAACAAAAACAAAAAGACAGGTCTCAAAAAACAAATCAAAAAACGGGGCCGATCATCACGGGGTACATGCCCAATAATCGGCAATCATTCCATATTCCGTACATATGCATGTAGCCATCCTATAAACGAAGCACCTACATGATACACCTATGTAGCTCGAGGAGGAAAGGCGCTGTCGGCCCCTGCCTTGCCTGCCCAGGTGGTCTGGTCTATCCGCTCGCTCGTTCATCGTTCACCACGCACCCCGTGCTCTCAGGTGTGGCCCGGCCCGTGCAGATCCAATAGTCCAGTTCCAACCCCTCGCCCCGTTTCGAGTATTTGAGATACTGAGGCCCGATGGGGGTGTGGAGATGCGTGTACGGATAGACCTTGATAGGGAGATAGGGAAACGGAAACGGATTGGATTGGGTTGTGCAACATGCGAATAAGTTGACTTTCCAAGGACTTGGCTACGATTCCCAGATAGCGAGGGCGATAGTTTGAGGTTTATTTGGATCGGGGATGATTTGAATTCTTTGACTTTGATCCATGGATCTTCGCGTATTTGGTTTTCCAAGGTCGATGTTGCGAGTGTGATTGCGATCGCAACGCAAAAGTTTTAGGTGTATGTATACTAGACGCTGTAGATACTGATGGTGATTGACCGATCCTGGCCGTGCGTGTGTCGGGCACAGGCCTAGGGTGATGGGCGATACTATTGACTTCATTGCCTCACTACGGAGTGCAGAAGGAGGAAAACCAAACCAGATCGGGACCGATCGATTTTTGATCTCGATCTGGCTTTAGTTTTGATCTTGATTTTGATTCTGCTTCTACAGATAGTGCTGATAGAACTACGTAGATGGCTGGGCTGTATACGTAGTCATGGCAGTCGCAATACTTTTTTTACTAGCACGGATACTCCAGGCCCCAGGGGCCAGGGCTGAAAGCAAGCTAAGCTTCAAACAAGTTTGGCGAGGCAAAGTTCTACCCGTAAACATGGAACATGGAACATGGGGCATGAAACGCAAAATCCCCCATGCAAACATGAAAGAAACGCTTCAAACTCCATATTGCTTCTGCCTTGCATCCCGAATCCCGGGAGCGGGAAGGGCGAACCTGCATGCTGGGATTTTGGGAGTGGGAACATCAGCCCCCGAATTATGAGTGGTCCGGACGTAGCCGAAGCCGTTCGGCATCGGAGAAGGCGAGTACTTTTGATTTTTTTTTTTTCCCCCGTTTCTAAATTTGTTTTGGAAAATCAGTCTTAGTCTTGTTTTAAATTTTTCTTTAGCGGCCCCATAATGTTTTCGCGACATTGGGCCCACTCGTGTGGCTCGTGGGTTCAAATGATGTGGGTTATGGGTTTTGCTTGTTTGGGGATCATGGGCTTCTTGCTTCTGTTGCCCAGGTCACGTCTAATGATAATGACGACGGGGGATCCATGGAGGTGGTAACGCTAGTAGGTATTTGTCCCCCCTTTTTTTTTGTTTGCTTTTGCTCCCAAGGCTGGTTTATGTTTGCATGCACCTTTACCTCAATTACATAACGTAGTACATACTACATATGGATACTATGTACAGGTAGTAAATAGTATGTACATCAATTGATGTCCCAAAGTTGGACATGATGGTGTGATACCCATGCATGCTTGATCCTACCCTACCCTTGAATGATCATCAATCGACGTTGTATTTACCATCAATTGATAATCGAGGGGTAGATTTCAATTGAACATGGATGTCCACCTGTATTGATAAAATCGGAATTACGTTCCATGATGTTGTGGCCCTGGAGTTTCGCCCCCAGTTCCAGGGTTCAAAGGCGCCCCTTGATTCAGGTACTACACGTCCATTGATGTGCATTGAACACGGCCTCTCCAATGATGTCAACATTGAATATCCAGGGTTTGGGACACCCGAATGAACATTCCAATGGAATCAACTCTCAAAGGGTTGGAGTGCTTAGCTACAACCGTACGATTCGATGGATTCCAAAAAAAAGACTTGAATAAAAAACATTTCAAGGGTATACATTCAAGTTCGATATCAAAACAAAATCACCCCCAACCCTAACATAAAACAGAATGCTATTCCTAAACTCCATAAGCAGCGCCAGAGTGATCAACTCACTCAACATCAATGGACGGTTCCCAGTTTTTGTCCAACAGCGGCTAAAAGATGGTCAAAATTCACCTTTTGTGACAGAGTAAGAGAAGTCACATCGATTTATGAATCCATGGATGATAATTCATCGAAAAAAAAAAAGAAGGCAAGGGGAAAGAAAGTAAAAGGTTAATATCGGGCAACAGGCCCGTGAAGATAAATGAAAACAGGAACCAGAAAACAGATAAAAGGTATGTCATGAACGTCATGTTCCGTCAAAGTCATGCGTCACATCAGGGTGTTATACTTCGTATGCCGTCATTGGACATTAAAAAAAAAGGAATTCCGCCTAGGCCAGAGTCGCTGATCCGGCGGCTGCTGTCCCCCAGCGCAGGCGCCTAAGGCTGCCTCGAACAGCTTCTTGACCACATGCCGCTGAGGAACGCGCACCAGGGACGTTACCATCCCCCATCATACCCATCTCGGTTCGGCCAACTTCTCGACCAAGCATATATCCCGCAGAGAAGCTGATAGCCGAAAACAAAACCACCACGCCAGCACTGATGACCCAGGTCATGACGGTGGGGCTGACAGGCGTTGTCGACTCTGCCAGGCTCGCACGTCGGCTCTTCTTAGATGTGGAACTTCGATCTTTCGGGGAGGCAGATCGTCGTTTGGTCTTGCCGGGTGGGCCAGATGGTGGCACGGGAGAGCGGGGATCACGCTGGAGAGGCGTGCCCACTGAGGGACTGGTCTCTATGTATTGAGGAGAGGAAGTATTGCCATCGTCACTTTCTTCTCCCATGGCAACAGACTCGCCAACGAGCCGGAACGAGGATGCTTGGACAGGGCGGGAGGGAGTCGAGGAGGCAGGCCTTTGATTTTCTGGTTTGGGAAGTCCACGAGCGGCAGCAGCACAGGACAAAAGGGTAGATAAGCTGGCTCGAAGAGCAGCATCATGGTCTGCATGATGAGAAGGCGATATCATATTATAAGGGCTGTGCTGAGATTGAGGGGATCGACGAGACTGCCGTGAGCCAGGAGGATAAGATTCTCGTCGAATGGCGGTGCGGCGGCTTGAGGATGACATGACACTAGGTTGAGAACGGCGGGACTCGCTGGGGCGAGTCCAGGAGGGATCGCTGGTAAGTGGTGGATGGCTAAAGACGTTCGGCTGAGGTACAAATGGTGATGGGCTGATTCCCATTCCCAAGGCAGTTGAGGTATCGTCTTCATCATCACTAGAGGCCGCATCGGACTGGGCTGAGGGAACCGATCGTGGTGCAGTCAGAGTAGGACGATGGATTTCCTCGTTGGAGCTGCTCATATTTGGATCGGGATCGCTTTCACTCTCTTCGTATTCTTCTTGGCTGCTGCTTGCCAGACTCGCCTCGTGCGACGAATAGTCAACATGAGCCGTGGCTACTGCCGCAAGATGCTGCATGCGCCGTCGCCGACTACGGTGTTGATACATGCCAGCCGCTCGAGGTTCCACTCGAAGACCCGTTGTTATGATATCGTCGGTTGTACCGATCGAGGATAGTGATGAGGAGGATGGCTGAGATGAAACGTCGATCCACGAGTCTATGTAATACCGCAGTGAGTACATGGTAGTCGAACTATAGGGCGTAACGGAAGATACATGATTTAAACTCGATCTGCAGGGGAGATTCTGCAGGTCCAAGGGTATAAAAAGGTTTGCTAACATACCTTCCGATCTCATGGGCGCCGCACCAGACGGTCGGGGCTGACCATGTTCTCTCGGCTGGCCATCGCGCATCAGTTGACTTGAGGCTCTGGGCTGGGGCACCTGACCGAGAGGGTCGCAGTGATTTGGTTGCATGGCCGCAGAGACTATTTCCAGAGAAAACACAAAGTGGGGTGATGAGAAGAGGATGGAGACCTTTTGAATGATATTTTAAAAAAAGAAGAGATGGGAACTGAGGAGTCAGGCCACCCGGTGTTAGGAAGTAAGAGCGGTCAAGCGTGGGGAATGTCAATCAATGAGGATCTTATCAGTGTGGAGATGGATGATCTGCCCCATCACTGATGCCCAACCGCTTTGTTTCTTTCTTATTTCACTCCTCCAAGCAGTCCTCCTCGAAACCAAGGGAGGAAATAACTTGAGCTTAAAGCTGAGGAGCCAGGGAAAGGTTCAAAATTAATCGTAGGATGAAAAACAAGATAAGGGGGAGATGGGCTGAAGATTGAATGATGAGGTGATCAGCGGATGGAACAGGTGATCTGCAGCCCGTGACGGAAGCCACCGATTAGATGAGACACGAGGGGCGGAGTTTGGAAGATAAAAAGGAGTGAAAGTTCAACAGAAAATGATACTGGGGGAGAGAAAAGTACTAAGTTATTTATCAAGGGATATTGAGACAAGTATCCTTATCAAAGAAAATAAAGTAATTTTAATGGATTCAAGTGCATTTCAAAGAGAACCACGCAGTAATATAGACCACGTTGGAACAAAGAGATGCGGGGAAGGGGAGCGGTGACTAGTGGCAGTACAAGAACCCCATCATAGTAAATCACACTGGGTCACCACATGCACATGGACATTGAACTACTAGATGGACTGGAAGATTGAATGTTGACGTAGAAAATTACAGTGGATTCATCGTTTACTAACGACTAGTAACTAATAAAAGAAATACCTTAGGAGAATCATACAAACTTTTGGAAAATCCAGGGCCTCCCAGAGGCCTAATGACACCAAGAAATAGCAAAATGCAAATCAGGAACATGCTTAGAAGGTAACCTTGGTACCCTTGAACTCAGGGATGGAACCCTTGGCCTTGTTGAGGCCACCACGGCCACCGAAGCCACCGCGGTCACCACCACCGCGGCCACCGAAGCCACCACGGCCACGGCCACCACCACGGCCACCGAAGCCACCACCACCACCGCGGCCACCGAAGCCACCACGGCCACCACCACGGCCACCGAAACCACCACGGTCACCACCGGCAGGGCGGGGAGTGCTGAAGTCAAGGCGGAGAGGACGGCCGTCGATCTCAGTGCCAGCAAGCTGGGTGTGGGCGTTCTGGGCCTCCTCAACGGAGCCGAACTGAACGTAACCGAAGCCCTTGGGGCGACCGGACTCGGGGTCAGTGGGGAGACGGATTCCCATGATGTTACCCTGCTCACCGAAGACATCACGGAGAGCATCCTCAGTGGCAGAGAAGGGCAGGTTACCAACGAACAGAGTGTCGGAGGCGGGGCTGGTCTGGTCACCGTAGGTGTTGGCACGGGCCTGGGCACGGTCACCACCCTGGTTGTTCTGACGGGCAGTGGCGTAGTCCAGGTTGATGGTACGGCCGTCCATCTCGACACCCTTCTTGGCCTCGAAGGCCTTGACAGCATCGGCAACGTTCACGAACTCAGCGTAACCGAATCCGCGGGAGCGGCCGGACTCGCGGTCAGTGACAACACGGCAAGAAACCTCACCGAACTCGGAGAACTCGCGCTGGAGCCACTCCTCATCGACGTTCCAGGACAGGTTACCAACGAACAGGTTGGCGGAAGCACCCTCGGGAACCTCCTCGGTCTTGTTCTTCTTAACAGGGGCCTCGATCTCATCATCAGCCTTGCGCTTCTTGGAAGCCTTGGCAGTGTCCTCGCTCTCCTCGGACTCAGACTCGGAGTCAGAGCTGTCAGAGTCGGAAGAATCCTGTAGATGCAATATATTAGTGGTTGTTCAGGATAGATAAAAAGGGGTAGAGTAACATACCTTCTCAGCCTTGGCCTCGGACTCGGACTCGCTGGAGTCAGAGTCAGAGTCAGAGTCAGACTCCTCCTTCTTCTCAGCCTTCTTGGCAGCGGGCTTCTCATCCTCGGACTCGGACTCAGAGTCAGAAGACTCAGACTCAGAAGAAGACTCAACCTTCTTCTCGGCCTTCTTGGCAGCGGGCTTCTCAGCCTTCTTGGCAACGGGCTTCTCATCCTCAGACTCGCTAGAGCTGGAAGAGCCATCCTTCATCTCCTCATCGCTCTCAGAGTCGGAAGACTCGGAAGAAGACTCTTCCTTCTTGGCAACCTTCTTCTCAGCCTTCTTGGCAACGGGCTTCTCCTCCTCGGACTCGCTGGAGCTGGAGCTCTCCTCCTCAGACTCGGAGGACTCGGACTCGGAGCTACTGGGGGTAGGCTCCTTCTTCTTGTTCTTCTTGGACTTCTCATCCTTGGCGGCGACCTTCTTGGTGACCTTGGCGGGGGCAGCCTTGGACTCCTTGACCTTGTTCACGGTCTTGCTGGGCTTATCAGCCTTGGAGGAAACCTTGGTCTTCGACATTTTGAATCTAAAAAAGGAAAAGAAAAAATGTTAGTAAGGTGTTGACCAAGATTGAGATGAAGATTGGGGTTTCGTTTCACATCCTCCACGTACAGTGATCACGAAAATTGACAAAGTGCTTTGGTTTTGTGCGGCGGAGCCAACTAATCCCTCAATAAGCACCCGTGTTTTTGGATGTGTAACAACGTGATAAGATAACCCTCAAGGAAACCCTCAGGAGAATGGAAAGAATGCCAAATGTGACTGATCACAGCTGGTAGATGCCCTCAAGTAACCCACAACGGACAGAGTTCAAGCCCACAGAGACCGACCGACGATATGCAACTATGATACGCAACCCACGAGGAAATAGAAGTCCCACAGAGCCCACGAGATAGATATGCAGTATGACAAGCCCACAGCCCTCGATGTGTTAAAAGCCCACAGATGTCCTGTTGAAGTACTTTGGTTCAAAGTACAAAGTACCACCCACACAGTTGTGTCAGTTTGGGGGAGAAGGGGGAAAGGATAACGTACGTGTGAGAAGCTTTGTGATTGAAGCTTCGAGATAGAAAAAAGATGCTAGCACAGGAAAATGTGATAGCAAAGGGGAAAGGGGAAGAAGGATGGATGAAGAAGAAAGAAAAAAAAGAAGAGGCGTTGCTGGGCACGAGCTCTGATAAGAAGAAAAAATTTCAAAATTTTTTAGAAGGCTGGGCAGAAAGGCGTTCCGCCTGCTTCATTCAGTTAGAGTCAGGCCAGGCACTGACCGCAAAAGTCTGGCTGATACTGTAAAATTGATTTTGGGACCCACAGAATTGTGGATATGTCGCCTTCTCTGATCAAAACAATAAAATTTTCTTCAATGTTTGTCAAACCAGTCAAACCAGTCAAATGTGTCAAACATAGCAAACCAGCCAAACCAGCCAAACTCCTTTTTTCCCGTCCTCCGCCTTATGTCCGTTCTGCTGTTTTTGTGGGTCCGTGAGGTCTTATGTCATCAAATTAGCACTCCTTCTCGCTGGCATATAGCTACGCTAGCTGCTCTACCCAGCGTGATTGATAGTAGGCGCACTGCTTTTTGGGGGCTTTCTGTGGCTCCAAATATTAAGCTATACTGCAATTGATCTGGGGCTCTCTTCGTTTTTTTATGCGCTGCACTTAATCATACGTTCTAGGCCGGTTTCAAAATGGCCCCTCCCACTCCCTCCTCCCATCGCCCGCGCAAGAAGAGAAAGACGCCCACGGCTCCCGGCTCCAATAACAACCTCATATTAGACAACGGAGACGGAAATCAATCGCCAGCATTCCCGTTGGTCTCATTTCTTTGGGCAGCACGAGCAGGTGTCTCGCAATGGCTGATCTTGCCACTTACTCTTATGGCTGTCGGTCTCTTCCGATGGGCCGTCAGTCTATGGGGTTACTCAGGTACGGGTTTGCCCTCGTTGCTGATACGGAATGCAACTATACTGACAAAACCCAGGCTTCCAGGTTCCTCCTATGCATGGGGACTTTGAAGCGCAAAGACATTGGATGGAAATCACCTCCCACTTGCCCATGTCTAAATGGTATCTTTACGATTTGCCATACTGGGGCCTCGATTACCCGCCATTGACCGCATACCACAGTTGGCTCCTTGGAAAGATGTACGTTTTGCATTGGTCCCAACGAAACATTGACTTGAACTGACCTCTTAAAGTGGCACCGCTATTGAGCCTGCTTGGTTCGCCCTCGACGAATCCCGCGGTTTCGAAAGCCCGGACCTCAAAGTTTACATGCGTGCCACTGTCGTGGTATCCGAATACCTGATTTATGTTCCTGCTGTTGTCAACTTTCTTCGTCGCTATACCCGCATGCATGGTGTGCATGCTTGGTCTGCCTCTATTGCTCTCGTCGCAATCCTGCTCCAGCCGGCTACTATCCTTATCGACCATGGCCACTTTCAGTACAATACTGTTATGCTAGGATTGATGGTTGCAAGCTTGGATGCGATCATGGCTGGCCGCATGCTTTGGGCTTGTATCTTTTTTGTGGGTGCCCTGGGCTTCAAGCAGATGGCTCTCTACTATGCCCCGGTCATGTTCGCGTATCTTCTGGGCGTTTGCGTTTTCCCACGGATCAATATCCCACGCCTCATCAACATTTCTCTCATTACAGCCGCGGCATTTGCTCTACTTTTTGCCCCCCTCTTGCTTGGCGCGACGAGTATCGAGGCCCGAAAGGAATTTGCATCCGCACCACAGCCACCTCTGCTGCAGTCGCTTCCAATTTCTTTGGATAAGAATTCCGTGGCATATGCACTGTTGTTCCAGCTAACCCAGACTATTCATCGCATTTTCCCTTTTGCTCGTGGCCTGTTTGAGGACAAGGTCGCCAATGCTTGGTGCGCGATTCATACATTCTACAAGTTGCATCACTTTGATACTTCCTTGCTCCAGCGGGCGTCTCTTGGTGCCACCTTGGGCTCGATCATCATTCCCTGTGGTATCATTTTCCGCCACCCTCGGGCTTCTCTCCTACTCCCTGCTTTATCCTGCGTCTCGTGGGGATTCTTCCTGTTTTCTTTCCAAGTACACGAAAAGAGCGTCCTTCTTCCTCTTCTCCCCATGACTCTCTCGCTTGCCGGCGATGGTGGATTGAGCAAAGAAAACCGCGCCTGGGTTGGCTGGGCTAACGTTCTTGGCTCCTGGACCATGTTTCCCCTCTTGAAGCGTGAGGAGCTCCGCATGCCTTACGCCGTCATCACCCTTCTCTGGGCGTATCTACTCGGTCTGCCCCCACTCTCTATAGAGACATATCGGAGCCGTTCATCTCCGGAAGATCCCAACTCCAACTTCGAACTGAATGTTTTTACCAAACTTCTGCACATCATGTTCTATATTGTCATGGCTGCTTGGCATGTCGGTGAAGCGTTTGTTCCTCCTCCTCCTGGAAAGCCGGACCTGTGGGTTGTACTCAACGCCCTTGTTGGGGCAGGTGGATTTGGAATCGCTTATCTCTGGTGCATGTGGAAGTTGGTTACACAATGCCGTCAAATTGACCGCCGAGGGGCCGAAGAGGAAATTCGAAAGAAGAAGCAGTGATTTGCTTGGCAGTGGCTTATATGTAGTCTAAAGATACCCCATTACAATTCCCTCGGGGAAAAAAAGTGTTCCTAGAACATGTGAATTCAAATTTGATTTCTTAGATTATAAATTGTGTTTGCTAGGTTTCGAAGATGAGATGGGTTATGTTCATTATTCAATACTTGGTTCCCAATATTGAAATCTAAAACGGAGCACGGTATGGGTCCGATGGTACAGTGTATGCCACCTGGGCTGACAAAAGAGAAACTCCACCCAGTAAATGCTAGTATACAGAGGCGATGCTGGACAGGGCAGAAACATCGGCCACAGGGGTCTGCCTTACCCCATTCAAACAAAAGCTCCATTATTTAGACCTTGAAGCCGAAGCCGGCCATGCAGCTCTTGTACTGATCGATGGTCGACTGGCATTCTTTGGCGGGATCGTCGGATTTGGAGAAAAGCATACAGTCATCCCGGGCAGTCTTCTCAGTCTTGCAGACGCAGCAGGGCTATATTGGAGTAAGGATAGGAGTTAGCGCATCGGGTATGCCTTTGTTGCCGAAGCGACCATCTCTAGGCGTACCTTGGGCTTTTCAGATTGAGCAGGCTGCTGGGGCTTCGTCTCGGCTGGAGCGGGAGCGCTCTTTTCTATAAAGGGCAAATGTTAGCATGTTTCTTTGTTGGGTTGGCCACCTCTCCGTGATTCGTGAACCCTTGTGCATCGCGCATATCGGCTATGGTTGCGCAAATCGACATTTGAGTCTATTGGGACTTACCACTGGAAGAACCGAAAAGCCACGACATTTTGAAAGAAAGATTAGATGACTGAAGAACAGATTGGAGATAATTTAATGATTGACGAAGATGTATAGGTCTTTGAACAAGCGCAATTAGAGATCAAATAAGTCGCATGTCACCATCGATATTATTAATGCATGCGTTATTGGTCATTGCGGACCGCCGTAGTGTATTATTTTTTTGGCTTTATTGAACAATAACAATGCGGCGGCTTCTGAATTTCGCCTCCTCCTTTTTCTGTCTTTGAACTTTCCCTGCTTTCCTTACAAGTCCGGCTGATTTGTTGTTTCTAGATTCCTTTTTGGTTTCCTAAGCTTTTTCCCCTTTCCTATTTTCTTTGTCAAGCCCAATTCTACAATTTCTCCTAATCACTACCCCGCCATGGCCCCTCCTAAGATCTTCTCGCTCGATGGCAAAAGCCTCAAGCTCGACACTGCGGAGGATATCGAGGCTCACATTAAGCCTTTGACTGAGAGCACTGACTACACTGAGATTCATTTCGGTGGAAACACCCTCGGAATTGGTGCCTCCGAGCGCCTCGCTGCCGTTCTCGCAACCCAGAAGAACCTCGAAGTCGCCGACTTGGCCGATATCTTCACCTCCCGTCTCCTGTCGGAAATCCCTCCCGCCCTCAAGGCTCTTCTCGACGCCATCCTTGAGATCCCGACTGCCCACACGATCAACCTTTCCGACAATGCTTTTGGTCTCAACACCCAGGCCCCCCTTGTCGATTTCCTGTCCAAGCACACCCCTCTCCGCCACCTCATCCTGAACAACAATGGTTTGGGTCCCGCTGCCGGAACTCTGATTGCCGATGCCCTCAGCAAGCTCGCCGAGCGTAAGGAGGAGGCTCGCAAGGAAGGCAAGGAGGTTGCTGCTCTGGAGAGCATTGTTTGCGGTCGCAACCGTCTGGAGAACGGCAGTATGGAGGCTTGGGCTCGTGCCTACCAGAAGCACGCCGCTGGCTTGAAGTCTGTCAAGATGACCCAGAACGGTATCCGCCAGGAGGGTATTGCGCACCTGTTGAAGAACGGTCTATCCCACGCCCAGGGCTTGGAGGTTTTGGATTTGCAGGACAACACTTTCACTGTTATGGGATCCGCTGCCCTCGCTAGCGTTTTGCAAGGCTGGGCCTCTCTGCGTGAGCTGGCCGTCGGTGATTGTTTGCTCTCTGCCCGCGGTGGTGTGAAGGTCGCCCAGGCTCTCGCTGCCAATAAGAACCAAAAGCTGCAGATCCTGCGTCTCCAGTACAACGAGATGAAGGCTGACAGTGTCAAGGCTTTCACTCACGCTGCCAAGACCGCTCTCCCCAGTCTGCGCCGTGTCGAGCTGAACGGAAACATCTTCTCTGATGAAGACGTGAACATCACTGCCCTCAAGGAGCTCCTGGAGGCCCGCCAGGAAGAGCACGGCACCGACGAGGACCCCGAGGATACATGGGGTGTCGATGAGCTGGATGAGCTTGAGTCTGAGGATGAGGATGAGGAGGAAGAAGCCGAAGAGGAAGAGGAGGAGGAAGAGGAGGAGGCCAAGGCCGAGAAGGACCTCAAGGATGCTGATCTTGCTGAGGAGGAGGAGGTTGCTCAGAAGTCGGACAAGGATGTCGATGCCTTGGCTGACGTCCTGGGCAAGACTGGCATCTAGATTCGCTGACATAAGATACACTGGGTTACCGCCGCTTTGGTCCCATTATCTTGATCCCGACGATTTCTGGAGTCTATTGCCCCATGGCTGTACCGACCACCCGCCGTGCACCGCTAGCATGTTTCCGGACGAAGCGGTTGTTGTCTGCGCCCACGGTGTTCCTACCGGCCCCGACTGACGACATTGATGCCACATTTCCCTGCAAAAAAGAAACAATTTTCCCCATATACCCCCGTTGACGATGATGACTGCACATAATATCCTATTGCTCTCAACACCAACATGCATACTAGCTACCATACACTGCTGAAGGATACAGAAAGAAAACACAAGATAGAAGTAGATGCACCCTTATGTATGCGGGTGCTCATCTTTAAGCCTTGAAATACAATCTGTTCAAATTCAAATCTCTAATTAGTGGTATCTTCATCCTTTTCTCAATTTATGTGTCCCGACGAGTCCCAAGTGAGAAATTTCCCAATCGGGCAGCCACGTCTTGGCACTGAACCTCGGAGCTTTCACTTCTTCATCTTCAACATTTCATAAAACCACACACTCGCATCTTGCTTCGAACTACTGCCTCTCTCCTTTCATTTTCCCTTTTTGCTGCCTTTTCCACCGGTTACTTTCTCCCGCTCGTGCTCTCAGAGTAAGTCCCCGCGCATCCCACCCACCCCTCCCAGCCCATTCCGCGCCATGCCTATATTACGGGACTATGGCAATCGCGAACAAAACTTCAACCAGCGGATTCGGATTCTTGAGCTGTGTGGGAGAAAACTTATGTCACAAAGGGGGGAACTACCAGCCATGTGATACAGTGGATATGGTGAACTGAGATGTCTTGGATTGGACCGCCTAGGTTGTCCAGGAACAAGCACGAAAAAAAAAGTTTTTGCGCCAATGTTTTGGCCTGCATAATATTCTTACTGGTCGTTCGTCATGATGCGCGCCCTGTGTTGCCTGACTGCGCCAAGTTCCGATTGACTACAGCTCCCATAGCAACTTTTATCGCAATCGATTGAAGAACAAGTCGCTGACAACTTCATATTTTAGGCTGTGACAGGATTTCAATACTATCAAGCAGCGCGTCGCTCCTGCTCTCACCTCCTACCTCTCCTTCGGCTCGATAGTAGCCACATTTCACCCCGCACACCGCGCGAACATGGATGCCAGAGAAATTGAAGCCAAGGCCAAGGCCTTGGGCAAGGCTTCGGGACAGGAGGAGTCATCAGCAGTGATTCTCGGCCTGCTCAAGGAATTGCAAACTGGTATCCGGGCTTCTGAGGATCTACTTCGGCGAACCAAGATCGGAGTCGTTGTCAACCGATTCAAGCAAAGCAAATCACCCGAAGTGGCCCGGCTAGCAAGCGACATTGTTGCGAAGTGGCGGACTGAGGTCAACAAACAAAAACAGAGTGGCGGGTCAGCAGCGAGCCGGGCTTCCAATTCGCCACGGCCACCACAGAATGGCACAGGAGCATCCACACCCGCGAGCGCTACCCCATCTGATAAGGCGGCGAAGCTGTCGGTGCCACCAGACAAGCGCACCTGGAAGGCAGATGGAGTGGATGTCAACGTTACATCGAGCGCTGTGCGAGATAGCTGCACGGGACTTATGTACGATGGACTGTGCCTCGGGTCAACCGAGTCACCCAAGACAGTGTTGGCAAAAGCATCTGCTGTGGAGAAGGCAGTACACAGCTACCTTGGACCTGAAATTAAGCCGGAATACAAGACGAAAGTGCGCAGTCTGTTCCAAAACTTGAAGAACAAGTCAAACCCCCTGCTCCGTGTGCGTGTTCTGAGTGGAGAAATCTCCGCGGAGAAGTTTGTGCGCATGAGCAGTGACGAGTTGCGATCTGAGCAGCAGCGCGAGGCCGACGAGGCCATTAAGAAGAAGAATATGAACGATGCCATGGTTGCTCAAGGAGAGCGCAGTATCAGTACCAGCTTGCAGTGCGGCAAATGTGGTCAGCGCAAGGTTACTTACACCGAGGCCCAGACTCGCGCCGCTGATGAACCGATGACCTTGTTCTGTACCTGCGTGGTCTGCGGTAAATCTTGGCGACAGTGATTTGGAGCGCTTCTTCAAGCGTTCTCGTGGAAGGTGTATGATTTTATTGATGGCCCGGTGTTCGATTTTCCCTTTTCTTTTCTTACACTTTAACTGAATTTTCTGGCCTCGTCCTTTTTTCCCCCTGGCTTTTGCCAATTCTTTTTCTGTTACGTGGGCACCCCTGGCTACTTTCAGCCAATTCTGGAGTTTTCCCCTCTCTTTTGTTGTGAGCTTTCCAAGGTGGAAAGTGAAGGTGTGCTTGGACTTTTCCAAGCTCCGAGTGAATCTACGTATTCGTTTTATGGAGTTGAGAGTACATTATTATCTCCTCCCTAAAAATATCGAATGCATCTCAAAGAATCCATCTTTTATTAGAGAAAATCAAAAGAAAAAAAGTTATTCACGTCATTGTTATGTAAGTCTAATCAGTAACCTTGGAATCCGATGTATAGAAAGCACACTCAATATCAACCTCACCTCTTCACTTTCCCATCTACCCTTCCTCAAATTATCAAAATGACTTCCAGGTCAACACTAATTGCCCCTGTTCGATCCCTCCTGAACACACTCACAACCCCCAACCCCATCTCAACCATCACATCAACCTTCACCACCAAACCCGCTCCCATTGCTCACGAATATGGTCTTCCGCAATTGGCGCCCTTCCTTGGTCACACATACACAGGAATAGACGGCCCAGAAGGGATATCCGTCTATTTCGGGATTCTCGTCGAAACTCTCGATATCAAGTCGATGACTTTTGAGCCCGAATCCAATTGGCTCGTTGACGATACCAATATGGCAATCTGTCTGCGTGGAAGTGCAAAGTTCATTTGGCGCCAGACGGGCCAGTGGTGGGATGAGACTTTTATTTATCGAATCGTGCTTGCAAAAGACACGAGCGAAGATGACGATAAGCGGGACCAATACTTGGTTTCGGAATACAAGGTTTGGGCTGATACCGGGGCGGCGTATCTTGCTCGGACTGGGGGTTTACACCGAGAGAGCCACTGAATATTGTACAGAAAGAGAACATTGGAAGTCTTGGATGTTCATGATATTTTCCATCAAGACACTTCTTATACCCTTTACTGTTCCGGGTTGTTTCGCACCCAAATGACCTTTAAATAGACACTGGATTGCCGCTGTTATAGTAACTAGTAGTAGTGCTGCCAACATTCCCATCCGCAATGAAAACTACATATTGGAAACCCACATCCTTTTCAACCACCCCCGCAAATCAATCGTATCCAAGAGCACCCGAAAACAGCTTTATCTCCCTTCAACAGTCTCCCAATCAATCCAACTAACATCCCCAAAAGTCCCCTTTTGATCCTGGAACACAAGCGCAGGCGTCGAATACTTAGCATACTCACTCTTCGTCAGCAAAGTATCAATGTCTCCATCAATTCTCCCCGTCAGATTAAATCCAGGTCCATAAGCCTTATACTCCGCCATAAGCGTAACATTCGCCTCGTACCGATCAACACCACTGGAGATCCAATGAGTGTACCCAGCAGGCAATATACTTCCATCTTCCCAGGTATCCGCAAAGATAGAGCGATGCTCCGAGTTCCAGGGCCGACCAAGCGAGCACTTGCCCAAGATATCGGGCGCAATGGACGAATTAGCCGCGGCAATATTGCTATCGACGACGTAGATGCCGTACTTGTTTTCGAAGGTGGTGTTCGTGCCTTTCCAGGCCGTGAGACCGCCGCCACAGCCCCGGAGCTTGATATCGGATGATTGGATCCAGCCTGTGCCGAAGCCGTAGAGGAAATCGGTCTCGCCGGCGATAATGCTCTTGTAGAAGTAGGCGTTTCCGAGCTTGCCGATGTAGATCTGGAGCAGAGCACACGGGTTAGATATTGTTCGTGTTTGTGTTTGTGTTTGGTCCAAATTCCCAATCAAGCCAATTAACTAAATAGATGAATCGCTGTCTGGTCCTTGTACTCACCGTGTCCTGGTAGGAATAAAAGCCGCAGTAGTAGAACCCGCCGTTCGCGCGACTGAACATCAAAGCCGCCGCCGGACCATCCGTATACGGCGCAAAATCATTATTGAAATCCACATTGTACACCCTGAAATTCTTGTTTCCGAACGGCGTATCGTCCGGTACCGCAAAGCCCGTTGTCCCCGAGCCAACGAGGCTAGCGTTCAGCGTCGGCGCCACGACCAGCACGCTGTACCAAACATTATCGATTGTGCCCGTGCTGTCCTGGTTCGCGGCGGCAAAGGACACGGTCACCTTGTTCTTTGTCGCGTCTGTGGCCGAGTCTGTCTCGCCCAGGATAGTGATGGGTCCTGCGCGGGTAACGTTTAGCTGCTCGACGTAGGTGCCCTCCAGGATGAGGATTGTTTGGGTCGAATCGTCATCTGGAAGGGAGTTGATTGCGCTCTGGACTGTTGTGTATTTTGCGCGCTTGTCGGTTGCTGAGACGAGGATTGTGCCTTCTGGGCAGTTCTGCGCGGAGCGTTGGCATTGGATGCGGTTTGATGAGCGTTTGGTGGTTATGGCGGCGGAGTCAACTTGGGTTGTTTGGGATAGAAGGCCCAGGAGGGGGAGGAGGAATGGTTTAAGACGCATTTTGCTTTTAGGTGCTCAATGGATGTGTGGTGGGTATAGTATTAGATGTATAAGAATCCAAGATTGAATCAGTTGGATAGGATTGTATAGATGGGCTTGTGGGATTGATTAAGCAGTAAGTAGCACTAGATGTAGCGAGTCTAGTAGCAGACAACCATGACACGAATAGAGAAAGTAGACTTCGGAAATCCCAACAGGCCTTTTATACTACATCGGACATCCGGAACTGCGCATTCCAAGAGCAATCTCGCCATGTGGAGGCGCATAACGGTGCAGACGGAAAATCTTCGAGCTGGAAGTCGAGCTAAAAAATAAGACTATGGCTGAGAGTGGGAATCATGTCCGTTTCGTAGATTGGAATAGGTTGGGAAGCTGGTGATAATCTCCGCATTTCCCCCACGAAGCTGGGGTTGAAGAAGCTTGTTCCTCTCTTCCCCGCGCATGGTGGAAAATCTCCGGGGAAATCTGAGCGATGTGGTTGGAGACGGAGAATTGGCCTTCCACCTGTAGGAAGCGGGGTTGATGCAATATGGGATACAGACTGTGCATGGAATTAATTTGAAAGCATCAAATGTGGGGAATTAGAGGGAATTGAACATCGAATAACTTGAAATAAATGCCATTTGTTGGAAATTAACTGAGTTGGGTTCTACATGTAACATGAGTATGAGAGACATCATACGACAACAACTCCTCTATTCTTAAGATCGGACTACATTCAAGTATCTCAACCAAACTAACAGAAACTTTTCCTTCTCACATTCAGATACGCATTAAAGCTTGAAATTAAACAGCAAGAAAATATTAGTACTAGATCCATCACAAGATAATTAATTACCCCTGCACCACCAGAACGACCCGAGGCTTTGTTTTTGCTCGAGGAAGAGATGAAAATCCCAAGCGGAAGATTAGCAAGGCATCTCGTTCTACCTCTGTGGAACTGTCACAAACTCCGACCCAAATTCACTCATTCCACCTTGCTCTTTCGTTGCGCCTCGTCGCTTGAAGAAGTACCACAACGCTCCAGCAATCAATGCGACGCCTGCCACACCTCCCACCACTCCTCCTGCAATAGGTCCAGCCTTGCTAGAAGATCCACCTGATCCGCTTGTACTCGTACTTGTGTTGGTTGGAAGGGTAGCCGTAGAGCTCGTCTGGATAGGGGTCGTCGAAGTCGAGGTCGAGGTTGCGGTACTGGCTTCAAGGAGAAAGAAATAATGTTAGTATACGAGACTATAAGGTCGTCGGCCAGGGAGATAGCAGCTGTTTTTTCTTACTGATTGTCGTGATAGTGTCATATTCCCGATATAGTGCGGTGGGGTGACCTCCCGGGAGACACCAATACGCAGTCTTGGACCACCCATCTGTTGATTGCGCATGTTGCTCGAATATAGTCACCGAGTCGCAGGTCATGGTAATGCCCTCCCAGCTACGGCAGAAGCCAATGATCAGCTTAATGCATATTAACAGTGTATGCGTCTCGTAATGTATCTTTACCAGTTGTATGTATAGTAGCCAGTATTCCCGTATGTGTCGGTCGTCTTAGCATTGAAAACCTGAATACTGCCTTCGAAACAGGCTGTTGGTACACCACATTGCGTACAAGAGGCTGGAAATGAACAGCCGGAGGTGGCGCAACAATCGACGAATGCGTCGTCTGGGCCACCTGCGACGAGGGTTTCGAGATTCGGGGGGCAGAACGATGCGGTTACTATAAGAGGATTTAGTACGAGCCAAGGTTGATATAGGGGATTCCAGTCAACTTACTTCCACCATTTGACTCGCTATACCAGCCCTTGAAGTTAACGCTGGTTAAAGAGAAAAGAGTGACTGTAGAAGTTGTCACGTCAGAAGTGGTCGTCATTTGTCAGGTTGAAGAACTAGAAGGCCTAGTCTGAAGAGCAGATTAGAATAGATCCTTCCTGCCAAGCAAGCATTGCTCTGTTGTAAATCCACTTACTCTGCAAGTCAGAATGTTTTTGCCACCGAATCTCACGATAGATAGAAAGTTGATGAGGCTGACTAGTAGATTTCGATCTTGAGTTACTCGATTATAGGGTATCTTGACAAGACAAATTCGAAGCGCCCATACATCCTCTAGTATCTAAGAGACAATGAAGGAGAGAGATTTTCGATCTATCTTGGAATCAGAATCAAAATCAAAAGACCCTCTCACAGGGTCCATGGTCATGCTGGGCACGCCAAATGAAAAAACAGCTCCAGCCGCTCTTATCGATGCATTTCAGTCTACCTGAATCGGGTCTAGTCAGCCCGTATTGCAACTCCTTTAGGGCAATGATGTGACAGTTTTATCCACTAGGGATTGTCTTACGGTAGCGCAAATCAGGGCTGAAGGATCAAGGTAATTGTACTCTCCGTAGCGTTGTGTCACAAAAGGGGTTTGGGGGTCCAGTTCGAGCGTTCATCTCGTGGGTCTCCTCCATGTGTGCTCCCGACTATATTCCATAGAGTACCAACGGGGGTCTACTCTGTAGTTTAGATCTCTCGTCTTCTATGAAAACTTGAAAAGGATTCAGGCTCTGTTCTCCACATTTGAATAAAGTTGATCCGTCGAACTCAATCAAGCGGCACACCTGTTCTCCCGTAAGCACTACGTCTCAGCCAGGCGCCCTAGTTTAGAATGGATCGTATTGCCCCATAGGCCCCATAGGCCTCGCTTAGCCCTGACATAATGTTCATCTGAGTCTAAATACCTTTAAAAGAGTCAGTCTCAATCTCATTCCAAGTTGAGTAACGTCATCTCTCAAAAGACCATTATCGTAGACGGGATTATTGGTGTTTAAACAAGAACTTAGATCAACCGCCACGTTCTATCGCAAAATAATCCAAACCCCACATGCAGCGTCCTAGTCTGCCATGAAAATAGAAACAAGCACATGCTGTACTCCGTACCAAGATACGAAACCAACCCCCACACAGCCTCAACATCCTAACCCGACAATCGCACATGCATCCTTGAAATCTCCCAGCTTCACAAACCCATCAGCCCATGCCCTAATAACAGACCCCGTAAAGCCCTCGCACCAACCATCACCATAACCATCACCCCTATACACCCCTCTCTCCTACGTGTGTATAACCATGAGCGCATCCACCGACCCCCAAGATCCCAGCAACGAAAACACGCTCTTCGCCGCAATCAAACACACGCGACAAGAAATCGACGAAGCCCGCCGCCTCTACGACCAAAAGCTCACCCTCCTAACACCCCCAGACCAAGCCTGGATCACACGCGTGATCTCAGAAACCGAAAATGCCGCCAACTCCATCTCCAGACTCCTAGAACCCGCCCGCATCGAGCGGGAAACCCGCGCGGGCAAGCTGAGCGTGGCAACCCGCTTGCGCTGGGCACTGGGCGATGGACAGAGGGTGCGGGATCAGTATGCGCATATGAATATCTGTCACCAATCTCTAGTCACGGCTATAGCCTTTCTCCACAATCGCGCGCCGATCCCGGTTGTGATTGGGTCGTGGGGTCAGCCAGCGCATCCGCTGGAGGAGGAGCAGTGGCCAACCAGCGCGCCGCCGGCGTATGACCTCAATCAGGTTTTGACGTGGAGGGGGTCTAAGAGTTGGAGGCGGGTTCAGCCCCCGAAGAAGAAAGTCGTCGAGCTGGAGTAGCTTATTTTTTATTGTTTTTTATTTGGCTTTGGGGGGTTTGTGGTGGGTTGCTTGTTTTGAAAAGGGGCGCTATGATGGATGTGGGATTTGGCTTTTTTTTTCCCACTTCCGGTTCAGGGACTAGGTTGTGGGCTCGACCCTTATTATCTTATTATTGAGCTTCTCCAATTATATGCTGGAATGATGGATCGTGGTTTGGGGGAAATATCCTAGCGCCATGTGACTCTTTTGGTCTATATCAGAATTCCGCGACACGAGGAGCCAATTACACCGATAGGTTGGTGCGCAATAAGCAAGGCCAGGTTCATCCTTCCATATCACAAGGTCTGCGTGTACCTAATTGGCCTTCCTATCAGCCTTGGTGCTCACAGCCGGGATTCCTACGAAGGCCTTGGGATATTTCCCGTTTCTCTCGGGGGGTTTCAAATGCACTGAGTCGTAAAGATTATCACAATCCATCCATCTTCTATATTCCAACTGGCGAGGGAGAGAGAGAGAGAAAGAGAGACAAAGGCTCCCAAACCCGCCGCCATGAACTCCGAAGCCTGGATTCCGGATTTCGTGGTGGCCGTGGACTTTGGAATGACATGTACAGGTTCGTGCTTCTCCCCTCTCATCTCTCGCCACCCCACGACACACAATTAATCCAAACCCAATGACACCCCAGGTGTCGCCTACTCCTACGCACCAGACTGGCCCAGCCCCAAAGCCCTCCAACAATGGCCAGGGATAGGCAAAACAAACCTAGCCAACAAAGTCCCCAGCCAATTGATCTACCACCCCGATTCCAGCGTCGTACGATCCTGGGGCTTCCAATGCATCGCAGAGCGCGATGCGCCAGAAGTCGACATCAAGCAGGACTTCAAGCTCAATCTAGATCCCCAATTCAACGACACCCGCCCCGATGTGCCGACCTGCCACGACGCTATGCGCTGGTTCCAGGACTACATCCTGTGCATCTACCGCTACGCGGTCACGCATCTCGCGCGGGGGTTCCCGCGCTTCATGTCCCGCCGCGTGGAGTTCATCTTCAGTGTTCCGACGACATGGAAGGATCCGCGGATGGTTGCCCGATTGCGGGAGTCGGTTATTTTGAATTCGCCCATGCACAGGGCCACTATAGGGTTGACGGAGGCGGAGGCCGCGGCCGTGTATGCTAGTGGGCATCACTATCAGAAGGATGATGTGATTCTGATATGCGATGCTGGCGGCGGTACGATGGATGTTAATATACTGAAATTGCTCTCGGTGCCGGGGGAACCGACCGTGTTTGCGCCGCTCGGCTTAGTTGAAGGTGAGATGGTGTCCAGTGCAAGGAGGAGTGCACAGTTCTGAGTGCTGGTCAAACTGACTTTTGGCCATGTACCTAGGTGAGGCGAGTGGGTCTGTGATGATCGATATAGGAGCCCACCAGCTCCTATGCGACAAGCTGGAGCAGATCAGTACTGTGCTGCCACTTCCGGCTCGCGAGCTTGCGCGCCAAACGTTGGAGAATGGGTTTGAAGATTATAAGTGCTCCTTCGGAGCTGCGGGGTCCAAGGCGGAACCGTTGCTGCTTGCAATACCGGGCTTAGACGAAGGCTCCAGCTTCCCCGGCATCGGCATTGAGAAGGGCTTGATTGCATTTAGCCAAGAAGAGCTAAAGGGACTCTTTGATCTGCGCGTCAAGGAGATGCAGGGTCTATTGGATGAACAGATTCGTCGGCTGAAGCGAAGTCATCCGTTTGAAAAAATTGTCTGTTGACTCCCTTCTCTACAATCCGATCTGATCTGATCTGATCCTTGCCAACCTTTATAAAAGCCCATGGCTAACAGACCTGCCACCAATGACAGTCCTTCATCGTTCTTTCCGGCGGATTCGGCAGCTCACCGTATATAAGAAAAAGCCTCTGCGACAGATACGAGGATGCATACGCCATCACAAACGCCATGCACGTCCTGACAGTAGACGAACCGTACGTCTCAAACTCCTACTCACCCCGTCAAATCAAGATGCCTGCATGCACCCCAGGTATTCGTCCCGGCTGAGCTAACGCATCCTCCTACTTACTCCAGACAACTCGCCGTAGTCCACGGCCAAGTAATGAACCGAATCCACCAACTAAAACAAGGCAGCCACACCCTCCAATCACTCTTCAGCCGCGTCAGTTACGGCGTCATCTGCGACCAGCCGTACGATCCAAACCGGCACACAGGGGAAAGCGTCCGCCGCGACAAATTGGATAAAAGGATGTACGCGGTCCAGCAGATCGACTGGATGGTTCGACAGGTCTGTCTGCGCTACTCACCCACCCACTACACCGACGTTCATTCCAAACCAAACCAAACCCCCCTCCATTTCCATCTCCATTTCAAATCACATGCCAGCACTAAACTGACACACCACTGCGAGAAACAGGGCGACCCGGTCCCCCGCGAAGGCGTAACGCAAGTCTTCCGACGCAAGATCTACGCGCACGAGATGAACAAGCCCTGGCTAGCGCAGATCGTGATGTCGACGCTAGCGAAGGACAAGCTTCCGCAAAGCATGTCGCGGACCGGGGCGGATTTGATCTGTAATATTAAAGTTGATATGAGTAGTGTGGATCGGACGGCGAAGAATAGTCGCTGGTACCATCTCAAGGAGAAGTACTATGAGGCGGTGATTAATCTCAAGGTGATTGTGGGCCCGACGGACCTTCAGTTTGAGCTTTGGAATGTGAATGGGGGCAGGATTCGGGGCGAGACGCATGATCCTGTTAGTGTGGTGTGGGAGCCTGTGCAGGAGAAGATGGAGGATGTTAGGGAGGATGAGAGGAAGAGGGAGAAGCCGCCGACTGAGCTTGTGGGGTGGGAGCCGTCGCCTGCTGAGCTTGTGGCTTGACCTTAGTCTGACCTGCGGATGGGTGTTTGAGACCTCCTAGGTGTGTGTACAATGTAGTAGTAATGACAGAGGGATTATGATTAGCTATAAGGGAGACGGGAGGATTGAATCTCGAACAAGGGATCCTTGGATCAGATCTTCTTACCTTGATACGATTAGAATTACGATGGGATGAAAAGGATAAGTTATTAGAGAAACCCTTGTGATTTGACGAAGTACCACTATTAACGGCATACATACACGTAGAGAAAGAAAACTCGTCTCTGTCCAACAAAAGCAAAATCAGAGAGCAAGGGGTAAAAATGGAACACACAAAAGTCTATAATACGGGGTAAAGAAGAAGAAAAAAAAAAGACACAGGAACCCGGCCTCTTTTTTTCCCACGTGTGCATGTCCAGATAATGGCAACGACATTGTGTAAGTATGTAGCAAGGGGATCAGATAAAGGAAATAAAAGAAATTAATTGATCTCGGTCCAGTATCGAGCTCAGAAAAAAGAGATTTCAGGGGCGAATAATCTATTCGTCCTCCTCAACATCCTCAACACGAGCACCAATGGTGTAGCGAGAGTTACCCTCACGGTCAGTGGAGTGCTCAATGGCCAACTTGGAGAGGTGGGCAATCATGTTCTCGATCTGGGTGTCAGCCTTGGAGCGGGTCTTGCGGCCAAGGTTGTCCAGAGCGGGGATGATGGTGAGGATGTAGTAGACCACGGCGATGATGACAGTGACACCGATGGAGTAGGCCCAGATGACAACGACGGTGACGATGTCAACGTTGTTGTTGTGGGAGAATCCGTAGGAGGCAGGGTCAGCGGGGTGGGTCTGGGTCCAGTCACCCAACCATCCGAAGACAGCGAAGAGAGTGGCGAGGACATCGACGACGAAGATGGCAATAACCAACTGCCACGAGGGCCAGGTCTTACCACCACGGGTGACGAAGATCAACCAGTTCTCAGTAAGGGCAACCTCGAGGAAGAGGATCTCCTGAGGAGAACCCCAGTTCTGGATGATACCACCGTCAGACAAGAAGAGGGAAGCACGGACGATCCAGGTAGCGGCAGCAAGGAGAACACCGAGGACAACGGAGATGACCCAGATCTTGGGCAACTGCCACTCGACGGGGCGAGCCTCGAAGTGAGCGTTATCGTAAGCGACGGCAATGGTGGCAAGATCAGCGAAAAGAGCGATGAAGACAATCAGGTCGGAGCGGATGGTCTCCTCGATGATAAGCATGGAAGTAACCAGGTAGATCTCCAAGTGAAGACACAGGGCAATACGGTACTGGATGTAAGCCTTCATACGCTGGAAAATCTGGCGAGCAAGCTTGATAGCATCGACAATGGTGGAAAGACCGGGGGCAAGGAAGACAATATCGGCGGCAGCCTGGGCAGCCTCAGTGGAACCCTCGACGGCAATACCACAATCGGCCTTCTTGAGGGAAGGAGCATCGTTAACACCGTCACCAGTCATGGCAGTCAAGTGACCACGCTGCTGGAGCATCTCAACGACCTGGTACTTGTGCTCGGGGAAGACCTCAGCGAAACCATCAGCCTTCTCAACGAGGTCGTGCTGGGCGGAACCAGCGAGACCACCGTGGATCAAACGCTCAGAGTCGTAAACCTTGGTACCGAGAGCAAGCATCTTGCAAGTCTCCTTGGCAATAGCGATGGCGTCACCAGTAAGCATCTTGACGGACAGACCGAGAACCTGGGCCTCAGCGATGGTGTGGGCGGTATCCTCACGGGGGGGATCGAACATGGGGTACATGCCCAACAACTGCCAGGGCTCACCCTCCTTCTGGACGGCAACACCAAGGGAACGGAAACCACGGCGAGCGAACTCAGTAGCCTTGTCACGGTAGAGCTTGGCCTCCTCCTCGGAGCACTCGGACATGTTGAGGATAGCCTTGGGGGCACCCTTGGCACAGACGTAACGGACACCATCGCAGGTACAGATGGTGGTAATGCGCTTGGAGACGGGGTCGAAGGGAGTGTACTTCTCGGTAACCCAGTTGCGGGAGAGAATCTCACGGGCCTTGGGGTAACGACGGAGGGTAAGGACGGTGACCTTGTCAATGGGGTCGAGGTTCTTGATGTTGTGGGAAGAGGCAATGGCAGCAACGGCGAACATCCAGTTGACATCAACACCCTCAGCGACGTAGGGCTCACGGATGGAGAGCTGGTTAGCAGTGAGAGTACCGGTCTTGTCAGAGCAGAGAATGTCGACACCAGCGAGGGACTCAATGGCAGTGAGCTTCTGGACAATGGCCTTCTGCTCGGCGAGGTAGGCAGCACCGACAGCGAGGGTAGTGGTGGTAACGACGGGGAGACCGACGGGGACACCGATGATCAGGAGAATAAGAGTCCAGTGGAGCAAGTTGTTGTCGGAACCCTCGGGGGTAGCGATCTTCAAGTGACGGTAGAAACCACCGATCCAGGCAGCGAGAATCCAGAACATGACGAGAACGAGGAGGGAGGTACCGATGTTGTCCATGACAGCCTTGAAGTGACCCTGGTCCTTGGCACCCTGCACGAGAGCAGCGGTCTTACCGACGAAAGACTGGCGGGCAGTGGCAGTGACAATACCGTAGGCCTTGCCACGCTTGCAACCAGTGGTGTAGTAACAGACATCAGCCATGTACTTGTCGACAGCGAGAGATTCACCAGTGATAGCGGACTGATCACAAGCAATGAGGGAGACACCGGCGTGAGCCTCACGGCGCTCATCCTCATCCTCATCCTCGTCCTTCTCCTTGAGGGTGTCGTCGTTGGAGTTGAGCAAGAACTCCTTGTAGTTCTCGAACATCTCGGGCTTCTCGTAGTCACAGATGAGGCGGACATCGGCGGGGATAACCTGACCTTCCTCAACAACGACAATATCACCAGTAACAAGTTCACGGGCAAGGATCTCCTCCTCAGCACCATTGCGGATAACCAGAGCACGCATAGCGATATCTCCCTTGAGGGAAGCGACGACATCGGCAGCCTGCTTCTCCTGGTACCAACCAACGAGAGCGTTCAACAAAAGAATACCACAGATAACACCCAAATCGATCCAGTCACGCAGACCAGCAGCGAGGAGGACAGCAAGTTCCATAACTAGAGAAGAAAGAAATGGGTTAGAATAAAGATGGAGATGATGATGAGACGCGTCAATTGCTTGCAATTGACGCTTCTCATGGTAGGGAAATCGAAATACTCACCATAGAGAATAGGACCACGGAAGTAACCGATGAACTGAACGAAGATGTTGGTCTTCTCGGTGACCAACTCGTTCCAACCACACTTCTTGCGACGGGGCTCGATCTCGTTGGCGGACAGACCGGCACGGAGATCAGTCTCCAACCAGTCATCAGGAGCCTGCCAGTCACCATCGACGGTGTCACCCTTTCCAGCTCCGAACTTGTACCAGGGGCGCTTGGCCTCCTTCTCAGAGACAGCGGCGGCACTGGAGGTAGAACCACGACGGCCATCGCGGGCAGTCGAGATGTAACGGTTCAGGGCCGAGTACTCGTCGAGGTTTCCTCCATCGTTAATGTCGGTCTGGCGCTCGTGGCGTTCACCGTTCTCCACGTCGACAGCATAGGAGATCCTCCGCTCGGACGTCGCGTTGGTAGTAGAAGCCATAGTTGCTGCTTCGGCTCACAAAGCCTTTCGGAACTCAACGATATGAGCTGATGCAGACACACAGGCTAGGAATGACGCGAGACGGAATGTTCCTATGAGAAAAAGAAAGAGAAAAAAGAAGAACGATTGTGGGTGAGGAAGAGGGAGTACTTTATAATACGGGGGACAATGAGTGGAGGTGGGCAAACGAGTAAAGTGAGGGAACGAGAAGTGGGTTTTTTTTCTTGGGGAGTGGATACTGTCCGTGTTGGAAAAAAGGAAAAAAGAGAAAAAGAAAAAAAGAAAGAAAAATGAAAAATTGGAATTTTTCCTGAATAGGGAATTAAAAAACCCAAAAAACCAAGACCTTGGAAAGTTGAAAAAACAAAAATATAAAAATCGGAAATAATAGAAAGCGGATTGAAGAGATTGACCTTAGGGGGACCCGAAATCCCGTGTTTGGCTGCGGAAGGGTATACCTTCTTGGTACCTGGTTGCTGGGGGAAAGCATGTACCAGGACCCACTCTGCTCTATGTTTTTTTTTTTCTGTTTTTTCTGTTTTTCATGTTTTTTATCCGTATTTTATCTGGTCTTTTTGGTTTTTTTGGTTTTTCCCCTTTCCATGTTTTGAATTCAGGCGATTTTTGACTTTTTCCTCTTTCAGGATTCTTGGATTTCGGATTTTCCTGGTTATTGCATTATAGTATGGTAATTCGTCTATCATCTGTTAACCCCTTCTATATCGGAAGCCTTATGGCGGTTATTTGGTTGGTTTGTTTTTTGCCCTTTGATAGTACTAGTACAATCTGATTTCTTGTTCTATCGCGGTATCGGAGACCAACCGTAGCATGCGATCAAGTGGAGAGCTTAATGAACTAAACTTCTTTCAGGACGCGTATAGCTAACTAGTACATGGCAGAAAAAAAAAAGGTAAGCCAAAGAACGAGAGAGAAAAAAAAAAACTCTTCTCCGTATTCTTCTGTATTTGACAATACCCCGATACCCCCGATAACCCAAGCAAAGCAACCAAAAGCACCAACAATATGCGACCGGCACTGCTCTGCCGAGCTTGGCCTCCACACCCAAACTCGGTATGGATCGGTACGTATGGTACCATCCTCGTTTTCTAGCCTTGCCGAGAGCGGTTGCCCCAGTTCTGCGACCAGCTTCACTATGCGCGATTTTTGTTAATAGAAGCAAGTAATTTCCTGACTATTCGATTCCCCAAGACCAATTGCCTCCCGATAAAACACTATCATGAAAAAAAATTAAACGAGAAGCCATTGGCGACATTGGATCAATTAATGCCAATGCAAATCGCAAATCACAAAATGCACATTACATACTGGTATAGAACACGGAGAATTAATCTCAAGAATTCGAAAACAGGTT